CCTCAACAACGAAAGACGCTGCGCATGCAGAAATTGACGAAGTGCCTCAACAACGAAAGACGCTGCGCATGCAGAAATTGACGAAGTGCCTCAACAACGAAAGACGCTGCGCATGCAGAAATTGACGAAGTGCCTCAACAACGAAAGACGCCGCGCATGCAGAAATTGACGAAGTGCCTCAACAACGAAAGACGCTGCGCATGCAGCAATTGACGAAGTGCCTCAACAACGAAAGACGCTGCGCATGCAGAAATTGACGAAGTGCCTCAACAACGAAAGACGCTGCGCATGCAGAAATTGACGAAGTGCCTCAACAACGAAAGACGCTGCGCATGCAGAAATTGACGAAGTGCCTCAACAACAGAAGACGCTGCTCGTGCAGGAATTGACGAAGTGCCTCAACAACGAAAGACGCTGCGCATGCAGAAATTGACGAAGTGCCTCAACAACGAAAGACGCTGCGCATGCAGAAATTGACGAAGTGCCTCAACAACGAAAGACGCTGCGCATGCAGAAATTGACGAAGTGCCTCAACAACGAAAGACGCTGCGCATGCAGAAATTGACGAAGTGCCTCAACAACGAAAGACGCTGCGCATGCAGAAATTGACGAAGTGCCTCAACAACGAAAGACGCTGCGCATGCAGAAATTGACGAAGTGCCTCAACAACGAAAGACGCTGCGCATGCAGAAATTGACGAAGTGCCTCAACAACGAAGACGCCGCGCATGCAGAAATTGACGAAGTGCCTCAACAACGAAAGACGCTGCGCATGCAGAAATTGACGAAGTGCCTCAACAACGAAAGACGCGCGCATGCAGAAATTGACGAAGTGCCTCAACAACGAAAGACGCTGCGCATGCAGAAATTGACGAAGTGCCTCAACAACGAAAGACGCTGCGAAGTGCCTCATGCGCAGAAATTGACGAAGTGCCTCAACAACGGAAGACGCTGCTCGTGCAGAAATTGACGAAGTGCCTCAACAACAAAGACGCTGCGCATGAGGAATTGACGAAGTGCCTCAACAACAAAGACGCTGCGCATGCAGAAATTGACGAAGTGCCTCAACAACGAAAGACGCTGCGCATGCAGAAATTGACGAAGTGCCTCAACAACAAAGACGCTGCGCATGCAGGAATTGACGAAGTGCCTCAACAACGAAAGACGCTGCGCATGCAGAAATTGACGAAGTGCCTCAACAACGAAGACGCTGCGCATGCAGAATTGACGAAGTGCCTCAACAACGAAAGACGCCGCGCATGCAGAAATTGACGAAGTGCCTCAACAACGAAAGACGCTGCGCATGATGGAATTGACGAAGTGCCTCAACAACGAAAGACGCTGCGCATGCAGAAATTGACGAAGTGCCTCAACAACGGAAGACGCTGCGCATGAAAGAATGGAAGTGCTTCAGCAATAGAAGCAATTGGACTTGTAGAAGTTGATGAACCTCGCAAACAACGAAAGGTGCAGCCCTTGTGCCATTCCAAAAAAAGAAAATGCTGCATGTACTGCCATTATAGGATCATAAAAGTTTCATAAATCTTCCTTGTACAAACTCTAACTCTTTCAACACTCTCTATCTACTCGATCTACTCAACTAAATAAGTTTACAGTTTATTTGTTCTTGTCCACAACTTAAATTGTGGTTCTTGAATTGATTTTTTCCAAATAATGTAAGCTCCTGTGTGGCTTTCGTCACTGCTCTAGACGACTTGCAGCCATTTTACTCTAGTTCTTGGAGTTTATTTACAACATTATGTTTTACTTAATTGTCTAATTGATAAAAGAATAGTTGGCAAATGAAGACTTCAAGTTGCTGATGTATAGACAAGTGTGACATTTACTTTTGCTTCATGTATAGATTTCTTCTACTGAAGTGTTTCTTTTATATCTTATAAATTTCTCGTATAGACTTGTTTATTTTCTTTTGAAAGTCAATTTCAAATATATGAAATCAATCGATCATTTTATTATTTGACTTATTGTCTAATAGTATAAACTAACAGCATTTGTTCGTTTTAAAATAAACTACATTTCCGCGATTTAACTTTCATGATAGATATTTCATATTTTCAAAGAAGGAAGTCATATAGACTTCTTTATATAATTATATGCCATTGAATCAGATAGATCTTTCACAACATTTGTTTTGACTTATTTATTTAATCAAAATAGAAGACAAATGAGAACTTCAAGCAGCCAGTGCATGGACAAGTATATTATTTATATTTGGTTCATGAATTATTTGGTTCTTTCACTTTAAAGTGTTTCCATCTTATAAAAGGAAGTCGTATAGACTTATTGATGTCTTATAGATTTCACTTCCTTATCATTTAATTGATATTCCATTCAATGATCGATAGATCGTTCAATCGTTCACAATAGTTTTGACTTGTTATCCAATCATTCTTAACCTAAACTTATAAAGCTGCTTTTTTTTAAAATGGCACTCATGTATTTGCAGCAAAATATGAAAACAATAACTGTATAATAAAAAAATATCAAGACAAATTTTTTAATGCAAAAAAAATTTGTATGTGTGCACAAGTAAATCCCTAAAAATATTCTCAGTCGGATAGTCTTTTATTTGAGTATCCTATCAATTCAAATTAAACATTATGAGTTTCTGTGTTTTCACCCCTTTGACGTTGCACAATATCAAAATAAGAATTTTTAAGAGTTTTTTCATTGTGTATTGATAAGGACATAAAATAAAAAGCTCTAAAACAAATTAGGCAGTCAATGAAAGTTTTAAGGTGATTATTTTGAGTTTCCTACCGTTGCTTGTTTTCAGTTTTATTCCTTTTATTTTTTCTCAAAGTTCTACTTTGGGACACGACTTGGTGGCATTCATATACGTAAATTGCGACACAAAATTAGCATCTTTTCCTATAGAATCGAAACACGTGTTATTAACAAAATGCTCTAAAAATAATCAATAACTTTTCAATGATAACTTTTCTAAATTGTACTCAAGTATCATAGCCAATATTAAGTACAAAAATTTATCGGTGTTTGATTAAAAATTTTCTCGTTTACTGAAATTGCTATCATTCAAATTTACTCAATTGTAGAGCATGCAGCCGTTAGTACTCTTCAACGTTTAAATTTTCAAATTCATCCATTAGTTAAAAAATTTGTTTTATATAGTCAAGTTGGTTAGTTTTGCATAATTTGTACCCAGTTTCTTCATTTTCACGCGGAACAAAAAAGGCGCCAATTTAATTGAAGTCCAACGTTCAACATGAACCAACTTTTTCATATTTTTCAAATATCTTCAAAATTTTTGCTCAAAAGAAGACTTTTTGCATACACAGATCTACCCAAGGAGTAAGAAATACTCTGCTTATCTCTCATTTTGCCATACTGTCACTTTTCACCGAGAATTTTATTCATATTTTGCGTTGAAACGAGAAAGATGTCGGTCGCGCAAGTTCGTTGTTGAAAACATATCGATACAAAAATCCTCGCTAAAAGTAAAAATGTTTAAGAAATTTTCTCTTCGAAACATTCCAGACACTAGCTGTAGGCAATACACCAAAGTAGAGTTGAAAGAAATACATTAAAACATACAAAACTTGTCGTTTTTATACTGACAAGGTCCTCGTGCAAAGCAAACACACCGTTGAAGACACACGGTTGAACGCCGAATTGCACAAAAATAACCGACGAAAAGCTTTACTAGTAAAACAATACGTAACTATATACATCAAACAAGCTTTTGTCATCGAATTTATAGACATTTGAAGTATTCTTTTAAATAATTAATCAAAATTTTAGAAACCTACCTTTCACTTTGGAGTCTTGGGGCGTCTAGTTGTGTGATAAGTGATTGACGTGTCTTAAGATCATTTGGTGGACTGATGTGATTGGCTGATTTGGACGAGCTTAGGGAATTATTGGTTACACTTTTTCGAACTCTGATTGGCTAAAATGTGAGCTATATTTTATCCCAGCTGAGTAAGAAGGTAATCTGTGCTTTTCCCCCCACATTTCTTTTAAATGAAGGTATTTAAAAGAGAAAAAAGTTTTTCCGTTTTCATCACAAGTAAATAAACTAGTTAAAGATTAAGCAGAGACTATTGATTTTTTATTGGGCTTATAAGAATTCCAATGTAATTTGCATATTGATGACCTGTAGCTCTAAGATCAAGGGATGTATGTAGATAAATCTCGCTCGAATGGATCTTCTGACTATAACCATAAGTGGAGTACCTGCTCTCTTATTTCTATTTATTTGCTTGTTAAAAATCAACAGATTTCTAAAGAAATGAATTACGTGTCAAAAAATGTAGCAATACTAAAACTTACAGGCTGGCCACGTTACTTAAAACAAAGTAGTTCATAAAATCATTCAAATGTTCTCAATTGCCTTAGAAAATTTATGGCAACACATAAAAAGCGACCACAGTAAAAAAAATTCTGTGAAATATTATCTTTCACATTTACTCCCTTAGTTAGCAAAAACTAATTCCACACGAAATTCTACTTCCTGCTTAAGGCGCTCATCTTCAAGGACAAAAGTCAATACATACACTGTCATACCAACCAATGACAACTACATAAAACCATCGCAGATTTTATGAATGATTTTCACACTAGTCTTGCTGGCTCCTTGGAAATCACACCCTATTTACATTATCATGCTTCATGCTTAACAAGTTTTTTTAACAACCACTATAATTGTAATGTGACCACCATGTATCGTTATTATTCATCATCACAGTCATGGTTAATCGCACAGTGAAAGTTGTACCAACATAGATGTGACCAACCAACCAAAAATGTGACAAACTGCAATTACATTTGGTAATGAGTGCTCAACTTCAAAGTTTTGCAGTTTTGTAGCGGTATCTACAATGAATTATGCATTATGTTCATGCAGCTGACAATGCGCATAAAAAAGGTAGAGTTTCCTGAAGTGATCCAAAACACTTAAACTCGCAAAATCTTTCAACTTCATGCCACATCATTAAAATATTAACAAAAACGAGAAACTTGCTTTAACAGGACTTAAAATCATAAAACACTTCTCGACCATACCTAATATCAGTATGTTACGAATTGCTATATTTAATATTGGTTTTAAGCCAATCAAAAAGCGACGCGAGAACATAATGTTGCTTGCGACTATTCTGTGCTTATTTCACAGCCAACAAAGAATATCCTTATTCACTTGTTGCTTTGTCGCCAACGTCTTTCTCCCATTCATCTAACAACCTTTGAAATATTTTCATAAACAATTTAGTCTGTGTCTCTCCTTTAGCAATGATCTCATCTCTTAACGCAAATGCACCCTTCATGTCATTATTTTTACCTAAAATGAGAAGAAAGCAGTCAGTATAATTTTAATGTGCTTTTGTACTACATTTTAATGACAGATGAAATGTAGAGAAAATGAAAAATTCAATGCACAGTTTAGTTCTAAACTAACCATAAGCATATAACAAAGGTTCATACAATACACTCGGCTTCAACTTTTCTTCTTCAAGAAGGACATTAAATTTCGAAGTAATTCCACCTGGAATGAAAAGATATGTTAAAAAATTAAAATTTCACGAGTGAAAATCGACGACAATTCACCTGGCCAAGTGCAGCTGCATTCCTTCCAACAGATTTGTAATGCTCGTAATCATTATTAAATCCTTCTATCTAAAAAAATATGATACAAATGATCTTATTACGTATTAATAAAAGAAAACAATAAAAATTTTAATTATATAGAGATGATCATAGATGATCACAAGTTGAAATGCTGAATTAAATTACATAAAACAATACATACATCGACAATCTCTTTTGCTTTATATTTTGCATTAGCTTCCAAAAATGCCAAGACTAAACCATGTCTCATTTTATTTTTGGTAACTTCAGTTAACGTTTTCGATTGCGTTATATCTTTCGAAACTGAAACAAGTATTAAATACCCAATAAGAATGATGATGTAATAACCATTAAAACTACATCATCACACATCAACGTCGCTTTAAACTATATAATACATAAAGTCATGGTTGATATGATTATTGCCAGTAAATGCGTACATAAAAATCGACAAACAGTTGATTCCTTTTGTTCAATTAAAGTGAATGAAATAAAATGACATAATTTGAGAATCATATCACGTCGCCACAATCAAGTGGAAACTTACACTCCTCCAATTTTGGTACATCTTGAATGGAACCTAGATCTCTCATAAGATGGACACAACATGAGTCGCTTGGAAACCTCCCAATTGATTGGCATTCATTTTTATATATTTCCCAAGCACCTTCGATGTCTTTACTATAACATAAAAAGAAAAAAAAACGAAAAAAAAATATCTTTGCCTCCTCCAAACATTATTTTTTGTATTTGCAAAACCAAAACAACTGCATTCTCTTGAAATTTCTTTAAATACCATTTTAACTGTGTCATCATGAGCTCGCTGTAATTCATGAAAATATTCTCCATGTTCTTGGATTTCATCTCTGCAACAAGTGTCTTAATTTTTTCGACATTACCTAAGAATTGAAGATAAGCATAACAATCAGAATAATTTCACAACTACCATAAATATTTTTCAACAACATTCAACAATGGATTATTTAACTGACCGTGTTTACGATAAGCCTGCAACAAGAAGTGATAAGTATAGGAAGTAATTTCGCAGTTCATTTCTTTCATCTCAGATATAATTCTCTCACAATCTACAAGAAAAATTAAATTACATCGTGGACGATTTCACTTTTCATTGAAGAGAAAAGCAAAACAAAAAAAAGTGATGAAGTATAAGTGTTTGCTTGTTAATAAGTTGAAAGGGTTCGTCCTCTTAACAACGATAAGAGTAAAAAGTGTCCAGTCATACGAACTTTGAACATCTCCTTTCTTAGAATAATATCTCAAATATTGTGAGTAAACAACATTTGCTCTACTTCCAGCGCCATACTTTCTAAAAAATAATTAACAATTTTCAATTTACACATGAAGTAAGCAATGCACAACTCTATGTAATAAAAATGAGAACAAAAATCAAGACAAATATACAAAACAGCCAGTCTAAAGATTTCCACAGAAACAATATTACTAACTCTTTGGTTGTATCTGCCATTTCAATGTTTCCTGTGACGACATAAGCAATAATTGCATGAGATATGGCTACATCAAAAGGCCTAAAAATAAAAATTCAATACTTTACAAAAATTTATAAAATTTGAGGAAAGAGAAAAGGAATGGTTTCAACAGCAGCTTAAGTCTAGTGAAAACGCAGTAAGTATATGGTATATGCATGGAAAAAACTTGCAGTTATTATTATAATATTGCAACAACTGAGTTACGTATAGCTATACACAACTTATACAATATCGGATTACGAAAGACAAACATTAAATCATATGTAAATACGTACTTTAACCCTTTTTCAACCATGTCTCTAAATATTGAAGTAATCTTCGTTCGGTTCTACCAAAGAAAAAATAGATACACAGCTTGTTACACAGCGAATCGCCATAATAAGCATAATTGAAGAAAACAGCATCTCACATCGTGATCAGTCGTAAAGCCAAGATTCCCAACATTATTTTTAGCGTGTGCTAAAAGAAGATACGAGTACGCCTTGGGATCATTGGGGAAAGACTCCTACATTGAAAAAAGGAAGCATCCATAAGTATCCCTGCAACACCTAGAGAACTTGAGAAAGACATAGTAAAGGAATATAGAAGTTAATATTTAATATTTTTTATGTACTTACGTTGACTTTATTAAAAGCAAACTCAGCAGCTTCTTTTCTGCCCATGTTAGACGCTTTCTTGCAAAATAGAAAGTGCAATAAATTCAATTCAAACTTTGATTTCAATGAAGTTTTATTTCTTTTTCCTAGAGTATTTCATGATGTAATTCTAAAAACTTTTAACTTAAATCTATAGTCTCCTCATCAGAAGTGAATGAATGCTAAAACCTTAAAAACCAAAAAACTCTAACGTCTAGGGCCTGAACTCCTGGTGGATTCAAGGTTATTATACGTGACTTGATGATGAAACGCGATTCATATACAGCTATGCTCAAATTAATTGCAATAACTTTAAAACTCTTATAGCCCGTCTCCTTTTTACGTAGCTAATAGAGTGGACAACGCTAACAATATTTATACTAACTTGGAGTATTGCGCGATAGGTATTTACATCAGGTTCCACGTTATTCCGTTTCATAATTCTCAGAAACTGTTGGAACAAAAATAGTATAAGTAAGAAAAATATAAAACATATTAAATAGTAGCTAAGTGTCAAGAAGATGCATCAATATACCTCAAAAAACACATCCGTAGTATCATCTGTTCCCAAAGCGGACAAGACACGAGAAAAGAGCTTGCCGCTAGCTTGTATATTTGGTAACTGAACACCAAGTATATAAATGAGTACATCTGAGTGCTCTTATATGGCACATACACATACACACAATATTAAAGCTTAAATACACGAAACCGTGTTCTTACATAACGAAGAAGATACATACATACCTTCTTAAACAAAACTTCAATAAATTCAACCAGTTTTGCAGATGAGTTCTTCGTTCGCGAAATGCGACCAATTAATGTGAAAACACATTTTTCTGGAAATCATCACAATGTATTAAATGATTAGACACTGTTAGATTACAACAGAAAACATATTTGTTTGCTATAAGAGGCAAAAAAGCGCAGCTGATTGATACTCACCAACATCTAAACTCTTTTTCTCGGCAAACAAAATCACCTGAAACAAAGGGAGTAGTAAATATTTAAAATTTTTCCTCGAATATTGCAATTTTCTCAAATGATAACGATCACAAGCTTGAAAATATTAAAAAAAAATTGTGTAGGAAATCTTTAAGTGCAGTTTAGCAGATAAAATTATAGTTGACATATTAACAAGTATATACACCAGAGTATTGTTGGAATTTAAAGCAAGAAATGCTTTGATTTTATTCACTGAGTTGTCATTGTGAAGTGCATGCCTAGTGAAAAAATGTTTTTGAGCTGTAACTCTACAAACCTCTACAGCATCTTTGATTCTATTGTCTCTAGAAATGAAGGCACAAGCATTTTGTAAAGTGATTTCATATTAAAATGTATGATTTAATGTGCAACGTTCAACAAAGCATGTTTAAATACGCGACAAACTAAGCTTAACACGTAACAGTTCTCACAACCGATTCCAAAGGAAAACATTCAAAATATGTAAAAATTTTGTGTGAACTGAATACATAAACAATGATATTCTTCACCAATAACCAAATTACTTTCATAGTTATTATTCAACTTTAAGAAAGAAAAAGAAAACCTTTTAATAAGAAGTTCTAGGAAAGGTATAAGATCATCGCTTTCAACAACATCACCACTTGACTCGACTGAAAATAACGAAAACATTTCATTGGTATTTGCTCAAGACAAAAAGTAAAACATTGATGGCTTTTTTTAATAAAACAAAAACAGATAAAGCTAAGGCAAAACTCTTCAACCAAATATTTATCTATTACCACCTTGAAAAGCATTGAGCAAAGCATTTATATGGAATTGACTTTTTTGAAGTTCCAAGAGCAATTTCAGAATTGTATCAAAGACATATAATATACCAATAAAATTAGTTTACAATTCACATTTTAAAATTACTTACTAAATTTTTTAATCTCATCAAGGTCCAATCTATCTGTCAATAATAATAGGGCAGTTAACTTGCTTTCGTAGGATGGTGGCTCTTCGCCAAAACTCTAAAAGTATAAATGAATACAATACAACAGCTTAAGAATAAAAAACCTACAAAAAAAAAACACTTACAAATACATTAATGATGACATTGATATCAATCTTATAAATGATTACTCATAACAATACATAGGTATAAGCAAATCGTCTACACCAAAATATGTTACAAAGGAGTACACATGATGCAAATATTTTATGAAAGTGAATTACAAAGAAACCAGTCTATTCTATATTACGCAGCCCACGTTTTGCTAGTTTCATAGAAACAACTGACAATGTTTCAATGAAAAAACATCGTCATAAAGATACATAACCAAAATAAATCAACTCAACCTTTAATGATGACAAAATCGATCTTGCATCGCCTTCTTCCCATTTTAGGGCTTTCTTCGCGTAGTAAATCCTAGAAACATTTTTATTGGAAGAAAATGATTTTAAAAAACATATACGTATACGACGCCTCGTTGGCCACGACAACAGAAACATTTCCGTATATCTAACATCTCTATCAGTCATTAAATCTAAAACAATGCGATGAAAAGAAAAACTTACAGTTTGTTGTCCAATCGAAGATTTCTTATTCTTACAAATGAAAGTATTTCCATAGCACCTAAAAATAGCAAAGATGATCCAAAACAGTGTCAAAGCAAGTGAAAAAAAAAGACTAAAAACAAAACCTTTCCCATCTTCATTCTTTATTGCATCAACCATCATTGGATAGAAATAATGAGGACGTATTTTCAAACCCTGATAAATGGAGTAAGAGATCATAAGCAGGACTTGTTGCAATCGCTAAAATATTACTACGAGAATATTAGAAAGATATGGTAGAAAACACAGAAGGCAATCATCTTGTTCATATAAATTAAGAATAGAAAAATATATGGAAAAGATGACAAGGTGATGACAATGACATTGCCCTCGTACATTTGTGATATTGGAATACATGCATCACTGGCAGAGACAAGCTTTTCTGCCTGTACAATAAATAGACAAAAAAGATAATGTGTACCAAACATTACAAACTAGACAATATAGTAGCAACCAAGCATTTAAATTTGAGATGTTTTCATCGCAAAGTTTGACGTGTGCTTTGTACACTAGCATAAATGCTATAATAACTGTCAACAAAAAAGCCTTAAAGGAAATTTCAAGTCACTTAACTGTACGTATATCGTACAGAGAGCATCAAACTTTTAATAGAAGACGTACGCACCTTTCTTGTCATTGCTTCAATAATTGCCAAACTCAAAGCTAAAAAGGCACAAATGAAAATAAATATATTTCTTTTTCGAAGAACACAACAACTGTACAGGGCATTGTGTCTTGATTTTTCCAGATCAGCAAGACAAAAAAGTTGGTTTAATATTCAACACAGACAGATATGAAAATCAATTAACTATTTGAAATTAACAACAACAAAACCTTTGTCATTTTTGCCATAGCTAAAATTCAATGACATTTCATATGGGGATTTAACAATTTTTGCTTCATCAATTTTCTCCAGTAATGACACCAACTTTGTGAGGTCCTAAAGAGTAAAGTTCATTAAAATAAATTTTGTGCAATGAGATATAATTTGACATAATTTGCATAAATTATGGTTTTCAAAAACTTTGTAGACAAGCTGACTATAAACTTAGACAAACATATGGATAGGCTGGAAAAGTAAAATTCAAGCTTCACAAATAAATAATACATAAATGAACAAACAAAAGTGAGAAAAAATAGCATATCTGTTGTGTCGCTGTTGCTTTGGATACATGTAGAATTTGTAAATGAAGAGAAAACTGAATATTGGGTACCTGATTACAATGGGCAGGTAATAATTTTACATGAATGTAAGAATAATATAATTTACTGAAATTATACATATAGAAATGGCTATTGCATTATACTTCATGTTATTAATAAAATTTTACCTCAACAGAAAGAACAAGTTGCTTAATGAATTCCACTTCAGGCACTGATGATTCTGAGTTTGTCCCCTGATTCCTGGGTATGGCTTTCAGTAAACCAAGCACATTTTCATAGAGACCACGAGATATAAGGTTTTTTATAACATTGACCAATTCTATCGAATTATAAATGGCTTAGTGTACATTCACAGAACCATGTCCACCAAATCAAAAACTAGCTTGCAGTGACATAATTTATAAAGAAAAAATCAACAAAAACTGCTGTTCAAGAAGGATGTAAAAAAAATTTTCAAATGATATTATGTAAGCACTTACCACTGTTAAGGACATAATGATTAACACTTATTTCTTTCATTATCTATAAATGGTGTTTATATAAATAAATAAACAGTTATTTAAACAAGAAATACACACTTAATCATCACTGGCTTTACTCTCAACAATAATGCATAACTAAACTACGTACAAATAATGTAGCTATGAATACTGATTTTATTTATGCACATTATGTTCATAGTCAACTATGTATTTTATAACATGACCACAAACAAACACATTGGACATACAAACAAACACTATGGACATACAAACAAATACTATGGACATACAAACAAATACTATGGACATACAAACAAACACTATGGACATACAAACAAACACTATGGACATACAAACAAACACTATGGACATACAAACAGACACTATGGACATACCTGAGGAATAAGCAAATAATGTTCTGCCCTTGCTAAAGCTTCAATAATTGCAATAGACATGCCAGCAGGACACATTCCTTTCAGTGATATAAACTCATCAAGGACCTGATTTCAATAATATACAATATATTACAATGGGAAAGGATTTAGAAGGAAAGTGGGGAATGCATGCGTACATACTTTTTTCACATTGTCAAGATCACCAGTTTCGCTATATGCAATCAACAAAGCCATGTATGTGTCCATTCCTGGTTCAAGATTATTCTCTCTGTAAATAATGGTAGAATACAACAGAAATCAGGTCATTATTTCAACAAATAAAGCATGTGCAAAGAAAGTTAACATCACAACAAACTTGATACAATTACAAAAAAAATTATTACCTCATTGTTGTCATAATTCCCATAGCACTATTCATGTCCCTATAAGACAATAACTACTTTTAGGTGAAATTCTATAATGAGGTACATATCTATGTTATACACACCCACTACGACCATATCCAGTTATTAGTGATGCATAAACCTTCTCTGTAACAGGTACTCCCAATGTCTTCATCATTCCAAGCATTTCCCTTGTTGAAAAAATATTATATTTGCTATAAACCTCACAAAAGAGATAACTTCAATTCCTTTATGTCATCATATCTCCAATTAAAACTATAATGGCTACTTAAATGAGTTAGTAATCAATAAACATACAGTGATCCAGCCATGTCCCCATTTTCACAAAAAGCTTGAATAAAGAGTACTAAAGTTTGCTAAAAATGAAACCAAAATGTTTATTGAACATTATTTATTTATTTCATGAAAACTGTTTTAACTTCTTCTACCATTTATACTAAAGTTAAAAACCAATTCCCTATCCTCATTTTATGTTTTTTTCCTCTAATTCTCACAAACCTGATTTGGTTCAATACCACTGCCTTTCATTTCTTCCAAGATTTCCAAAGGATCAAAGGAATGATGATTTTGTAAATGAACAGATAACAGCACATTATAGTGATTCACACCAAATGATATGCCTGAAATGAATTTTGATGGTTACACAATGCAAACAAAACATTTCATTACAATTACCGTTTGAAAGTGACTGTTAAGCAAAAAATATGTTTCACATTGTTCTACGGTTTAAACGTCATGCTTTGCATGTCAAACATATGTATGCAACAAAATGAGTAAAGTAAATAATTTGGACTGTGAGATAATAACGTTTGACATGTCTCATCTGTATGAGAAACATCATCCTTTATATCATTTTCATCAGTGACAGTACATAACAAATGTTTCTTCATCATCCCCAATTTCACCATATTGGAGTTTCTCAAGGACTTCTTTAGCAAAACATGACAGTCTTGATCTAAAACGTGCTCATATTTGTCTCATTAGATAGACACAACATGAGGCTTAAGCATAAAATAAAACACTCAATATAGATTGTGCCTAATGGTTGCTTGTAACTGGTAATAGTAGACTTTCAGATGTGTAAAACCACTGGTGATGTTCAGATGTAGGAATCACACATTTTAACATGAAAAAAATGTGCAACAATATCGGTTAATAATCAGATGCCTTTGAACTCTGTCTCCATAGTCTCTAGTGGAATATATTAAAATTTAGACAACACCTTTAGCTTTAAGCTCAGACCAAAACTGCTTCACAAGTTGAGTTCTTCTTTCTGGCAAACTTGTAAACAGCTGTTTTCCACAATTTCTGATCAACTGATAAACCAACAATGCTGGAACATATTCTTCTAAAAGAAGTGACATAAAACAGCTATGTGAAACATTTCATCACACAGAAATTCAATAAAAATTTTACTACGCCTTTTCATTTGATACTTATGTTCACAAAAAGGTCGTAGTTTCAGGTCTCTGTCTAGAGGGTTTGCTGCTACAAAACTGCACTGGGCAGCCAGGGTACATTCTGTGTACAGAAGTTTGGAGATCTCCAGCATGGAGAAATTATCGTTTTGGTGTTAAGGCGTACCATTGCCTGTTGCTTCGATGTTAGCGTACCACAGTTTATATTATTTCTTAATTCGGCTTATGTTGTGTTGGTGTGAAACTTCAACAATTTGGCAACAATTTTATATAAATGTTTCTGAAAAAATTTTGAAACCTTCTGCTTGGAGTTTACACAGAATGCACCCTGGCTGGGCAGTCTGACCTAAACCCTAACCCCCACCTGCTCCCATTTTACATTTTGCAATGATAAAAAATTATTTAAAAAATAGAAAGGGATAAAAAAATGAGCAGCAAAGTTGAAAAGTTTCTTCAACATACTTTCAATTCCTTTTATGACTTCAAACGCTTCCAAAAGTGTTTCCTCGCGTCTGACAGAGCCAAGACGTTGGGAAATGCGAAAAAGATCATTGGACGAGCTGCTGATCAATTCAGAGTCATCGCTGTCATTTGACAACGAACCTATTTCTATTAAACCGCTCTCTCCTCCTGCCTCTTTTGCAGTGGCATTAAGTTGTGCATTATCGATAGTCGGTTTTGTAAAACTGCACAAGTACTTAGCATTGAAATTACAACTCCATTCAATCTTAACACTATTTCTAAGCAATGGCGATAATACCACTTGGTTAGAAGACCGTGACAAACGAGGAAACGAGTGCAAACTTCGCAACGTGACCCTTGAACATTGTCGAATTATAGCGGCCATATTGGAAATCCTCCGACAGCACGTATTTGTCTGCGCATCACGTGGAAAATAAATTTCAACCAGTTAATATCACGTGCATCTTGCAGACCTTGGTGGCAATAATAAGTTCAATTATAACTAGCAGTAATGCAGCTAAGGGCTAGTGCCCTCTCCAGATTGCTCCTTAGGTCTGCAGACTCTACATTCGCACGCTACTTACCTGTCAACAAATTGCTATTTTTCATGTAAACAGCAGTTTAGTGTTTCAGGATGATTCACTACAAACATTTGGTGTTGTTGATTAGAATAAAATCACCAAGAAAATCATTACACAAACATTGGCTCAAATTACTTTAAGCTAAGGAGCACCTCACCTTCTACACATTGAAAAATGATTTGAAATGATGAAAATTACCTCCATCAATTTAAACACCATGTTTATATAACATCAAGGTAAAGAGAACCTCCTATCCACACATGCAAAAAATAATTAAACTAAAATAATTGGTGGATGTTTACCATTACTTGGGCACTTCCTGATCCAGCAAATAAAAAGAAATTATGTTATGCAGTATTTGTGTTGTATTTATCTCATTTTCAAACAATACATAATACACGTAATCATAGTCTTCAATTATAAAATTGAGCACATTAAGAGAATTCGTCTATTTTACTTTAAATATAGTGTCTTTAGACCTTGAACTAGACTTGTCGTGACATGTGACACTCAGCTTACACTATCCAGACTCAGCAGTTCAGTGAAATAATATCAACAGGATCCAAATACTTAACATCTAACAGTACAGGAAAATACAATAAACCTAGGATGTAGACTTTTCAGCAGCAATTGCTAAAACAAAAAGATAAAAAGTTATTAATATCAAACATTTTTCTCTTATCAAATATGATCAGTAGAGGGAATATGATCAGTATAAAAAACCAAACAGTCTTTTCCTACTGAAGAATATAATAAAACTCTAACATAGCATCTTCCTCACACTTTGATAAAAATTGACATTGGACCCGTATCCCTGACAGATTCTTCATTATATAAATTAGTGTTAATAAATCCATGACCAATCACTTACCTTTAGCATTGGGTAAAGGATTCTTCTCATTTGTTTCAACATGCTGTAGTTTAGATTTATCAAAAGATTTCACCTCCGCTCTGGAGTTGACAAATTCCTCTTGTATAACTACAATGATTAGAGAATATTAGATTAGTGAAAAAATATGTAAAAGCATATTAGCTTATTGCATGCATTTGCGGCCAAGGAATTGATTTCCAGGAATTAACCTATATATTTTCGAGTGTAGATACATCCCTCAAAACCAAAAAGAATATGCATAACTAAAACAAATGTTGAAACAGATTGTCAAATTAGATATGTACAAGCCGTTCATGAGTGAAAGCATTATAAGAACACTACACATGAATCATGGTTGACCAGCATGACGCTTGAAATGTTGAGAAAGTTGAAGAGTATGTTTGGGTAGCATCTACATTTTTTTATTTCTTTTCATAAAGACTACGATAAAATATGATCCTCCTAAAAAATTACTACCTTTTTTATTGGGTATGACATTTTTCTCGGTCGTTTGCACGTGTTTTAAATCTTTCTTTTGAAAGTCAGTCACAGCTGACCTGTCAGGCAGTTGGTCGGGTCGAAGAGCTTCGGCTAAAGCTGTAAATCAATGACAATTAAGTGGCAACAAAGATAAATTTTCAAGAGAAAAACAATATTCAAGCTCCTATGTAACCAACAAAGAGATTGTAAGTTCAGAAAGAATACAACAATTTTTGCTTGCTTCATGTATGACAGATTAGTTATGTTGACACTAAAGGCCTTCTAACTTTTACTGTTAAAATGACCTGAATTTTATGTAGTGTTTTTAAAATGAATGATAATGTACATAATATACATCACCATTTCCTACACATACTTCCAGCATCTGGTAAGGAATTTTTCTCAATTGTATCAACATGTTTCAAATGACTTTTATCAAAACTTTTGACTTCTGCTCTTGACTCAACAAGTTCATCTTGAATTGCTTTCATCAAAACAAAAAATAAACTATTTTACAAACACATTAATTAAAAAAATCAACTAATTGGCAGCTTTTTGTTACCTTTTTGATCGGGTAAGACACTTTTTTCACTGGTGCTAACATGTTTTAGACTTTCTTTGTCAAATTTGGTAACTTCAGATCTATCTGGTTTATTTTTCGGCATACGGGAGGCTACAAGATCTATACATTCAAAAGAAAAAGATTACAAATTAAGTAGACACTATAGCAAATGAAGTAAAAAACAATTACGGCAACAGCTAGGCCACATTCATATGTTCATGCAATTGTCTGTAATGACAATTGATTTTATGGAAATAGATAAAGCCTGAAAATGCATATATGAATATTTGCTAAGTCTTTCAAGATGTTATAATTTTATTACCTCCAGCACTTGGTAATGGATTCTTCTCCACTGTCTCAACATGATTTAGTTTATCTTTACTGAATTCCTTTACCTCTGCCCGGGAATCAATCTTCTCCTCCTGAATAGCTAAAGAAACATGAAATTTACTTTCAGCATTATTGACAGCAAGATGAAATACTTCAAAATTCTGCAATCAAGGAACTACTAAAAGGAACATACTTGATTTATCTGGTAAGACATTTTTTTCTGTCATTTCCACCTTTTTGAGTTGGCCTTGGTCAAATGAGGCAATTTCTGAGCGATCAGGCAAATCCCCTGCGCTGTCTTTCATCTCCTGGTAGACATCTATGAGAAATAACGCATTTGTAGAGTTTAGCAATGGGATACGGAACTAGCCATTAAAATAAATAGACCAATTAAAACAATTTTTATTTTCTCTGTTAAAACACGCTAAAGCATGTGCTTACCCGTTTGGCGTCGGTCATAAAATAGACTCATGTGATAAACATCAGCTTATGGCCAACAACACATTTGCAAAGCAAAATCTCTATTGAACATTAATTCAGCACGTGCTTATTAAATTTACTGTTTATTCAGGAAACATGTACGTTTTGTAAGAATACAAGTGGCTTCGTGGGCATGACAGCTTCCCAATTGCAACTCAAAACAATGATTTAATCAACAATCTTTAAACACATTTGACTCCATTCCTGGAGTGATATCATAAAAAGTATTTCTTGGAAAGAAAGCCGAAAATATTACGCAAACAGACAACACAGACAGAATAACAAGATGATAATCAAACTAGATCGAAAGATTACAAAATGATATGCACAATCAAAAATTTTAAGATAAAGACATTAAGAAAATACGCAAATACCTTGACTAGATGGCAGAACATTTTTAACGTCCGTCTTAACATGTTGCAATCTTTGTTTGTCATAAATTTTTACTCCTTCAAACGGCTTGTTCTTCTTCTCTTCATCAATAACTACAACAGGTTTAACGTATTTACACTCAAAACGGCCTTAGAGCTTTGCATCACTTGCATATAAAATTTATTCATGTGAGAAACTAACACGTAGCAAAATTAATCGGATTTGAATTTTTATGTTTTATTTGCAGCGTTTACCATCTTTTGAAGGAACAGGATTCTTTTCCACCGTTTCAACATGTTTTAGATTCTTTGAATCGAAAGATTTCACCTCAGATCTATCAGGATACACGTCAGGAACAAGTTCTTGTTTGAGAGCTAAAAATGTTTACAGGTAACGAGCCAAAATTCAATTCATGCTATTCTTCAAAAACAGCACGCTTTGTAAATATATTGTAAAAACGAAAGGGGAACATAAATTACTTTGAATTACGCATAAAGAATTCAACGATTGTACAAATATATCTATTTTAATCGATTGCGTTTATATAATTTGAAAGATTACTCATTTTAAATTGTTTTCTATGCGTTTTATCCACAGAGGTGGTTTTATCACAATATAAAGTGTACAAACATGCACAATAAAATGTACCTACCAAATGCACAAGAATGGAAAGTTGTATATCAAAAAGCATTTTCTGTATAAAAATGACAGAATACGCACATTCACACTGCCTATTGCAGATAAAGTGTCGAATAACAAGGTGTGAAACGTCACTTACTTTCGTCGTTTGGAAGCGTGTTTTTTTCCTCCGTTCTCACTCTTTTAAGTTTACTTTGATCGAAGTCTTTCACTTCAGAAACATTTGGCTTATTTGACGTCATTTTGAGCGAATCAATATAAGTAAATCCAGGAGATAAGAACGCACCTTCCTTCTTTAAGTACAGTGAAATTTCAGTTCAGTGCTTCTGGCGGACGTCAGGAATTATTATCCGCATCTATACCACACACAACACCCGCCTATACGTCAATATCCGGTTTATTGACATATATGGTAATATGCCTTTGGAACACCATATATAGATCATAAAAAGGGACGATTGTAATGAGAATTGGTTGAGTCAATCAAAGGCTGAATTTAAAGATTCATCGCTCCCAAATGAATCTGACATTGTGGAAACACGTTTTGCACGATTAAACATTGAATAAATGCACACTTAAACCTTTTTATATTTAAAAATTGAATAGATATAATCGATGCAGACTTATACCACGTGCTCAAAACGTGACTGCCAAATGACAGCGAAAGGAAAACTGAATTGCCTTGAATGGAAATGGGGAAAAAAAGGAATATCATATCCAACCACACGCTTGCCTTATAAGACATTTGTGCTTTAGAAGGTGACGATTTACAAATGGCAAATGACCACTCATTAAAAATACCAATAACTAAATTTGTTTCCACAATGTTTGTACTACATATTCACGTTCACATGATCAAGTATTTACATTTTGAGACAATATTAAATAATTTCTCTAGTTTCTTTAGCTTAATTCAACTATCAATCATTCTCCCCGTAGTTAGAAATTCTTTATCGTAAAAACAATATCTTATATTGAGGGAAGATGATCCAATTTACTTAACTTTTGCTTTGATTTCTCGTGCGCATTTTTATCTGAATGAAAAGAAGAGCATTATTTTTTAGAGTATTATTATGGTATGTAATATTATGATATGTTAAGTTATGTTATGCTACGTTGTGATGCCATGTTGTGCTACGTTGTGATGCCATGTTTTGTTACGTTGTGATGCCGTGCTGTGTTACGTTGTGATGCCGTGTTGTGCTACGTTGTGATGCCATGTTTTGTTACGTTGTGATGCCATGTTTTGTTACGTTGTGATTACGTGCTGTCCTACGTTGTGATGCCGTGTTGTGCCACGTTGTGATGCCATGTTTTGTTACGTTGTGATGCCATGTTTTGTTACGTTGTGATTCCGTGCTGTGTTACGTTGTGATGCCGTGCTGTGTTACGTTGTGATGCCGTGCTGTGTTACGTTGTGATGCCGTGTTGTGCTATGTAGTGATGCCATGTTGTGCATTGTGAGGAAGCTTATTGCTTAAGGGAAGTTTGGCTGACGAATAAATACTAAATGGTAGCGGAAATAATTTATTGGTCTTGTTATTACTCTTTGCTATAAGCCAATCATATTGTTCATTCCTAATTCTCTATCAATAGAAGGCGTTAGAACTTTTATTCAACGTGTATGATTGGACACAACACATTTACTAACCATTTTTGTGATCTGGTACAGGGGTGTAGTGTTGCTCGTTGATAGAGGAATGATGCATGTGAAGTTGAGGAAGATGATGATGCTCGCTGCGATTGCTATATTTCTATTTAGAAAAAAATGAAAAATACCTTAGCATTATAACAGTACAGTCGTGAACACGTAATAAGTCAAGAAGTCATATCAATACCTTCTGCTTTTTCAATTTTGTCGGATGTTGCTCCTGGTTCTTTGAAAATAAAGCCAATAATTCCGTTTCGAATTGCTCACGAAAACCATCAAAGTATTTATGCTCTAAAAGCTCTGCACATGTTAATCTGCTGTCTGGCTCCATGACAAGACAACCCTAAAATTTATCACTTAATTTATTTTAAAAAATATTTGAAACAATAATCGTGAGTTAAGTCTTTCTGATAATAACTGGCAGTTTATACCTTCAGAAAATTCATCGCTTGTGGTGGAATGAATGGAAATTTCTCTTCCAATGTTTCCTTGACACAAAGAAAATTTCAATAACTAAAGACGTAGCTATGTAGCTAGTACTTAAAGAAAATAAAATCACACAAGTGGAGAGTATTTTACACTAAAAATATCGTTCATAATGTAGCTACTGTAGGTTCAAATAAAGCAAAATTTGTTTAGCGAAAAGTTTTCAAAATGAACAACTCTTTTCAAGTCAACAGATTATGTTTTAACTTCCATCATTAATAACAAAATATTTCTTTTTATTTTAATTTCCATCATCAATAACAAAATAATCCTTTTTGTTTTAAATTTCATTGCATGACTCACCCTTTTGCTGGGTTCGGGGATTTGCAACCCTCTGAAAAATTGATTATTGCTAAATATTTGAATATGACGAGGAATGAGATCACCTACAGAGATAAACGATCAAGATTTAATAAACAGCTTAAATTCACAATAGGCAGTTAGTATTCAAAAGAAAATTATGGATATTCTTACGTGCAAGTAAAGCAGGGATAAATATATTTGTTTTACGGTTTTACTTTAAACGACGCTGTTCAAAGCTATACAAAATTGATCAGTTATTTTTTTCAGGAAAATTTATCACAAATCTGCCGAATTTATTTTCTTGGAAAAATATTCACTCGGAACGTTAAAAAAGTCACAAATCAATTCTTGTACATTCATTCATTACATAAACCTATCTGCCACAACGATCACCTACCTAACGTTTTCTTTATTAGATATAATTGATCAACATCCGAACGTCCAGGCCAAAGAGGTTGCCCGCAAAGCAGCTCGGCAAATACACAGCCAATGGCCCAAACGTCTACGTGAGTACCGTATTGAGTATCACCAACTAAGAGTTCCGGTGCACGATACCATCTAGTCGCAACATAGTCGGTGTATTCGTCACCAGGAGCTGGAAACGAAGTTACAAATTTTACATACTTACTGACTGGATTATGCAACGATTAAAGTGACAACATCAAATCGCTCATGAAGGTATTGACTGGCATTTATGCACAAGTGCAAAAGCTTGAACAACATCTGATGGCTCTTAACAAAGACTCTGGAGTATGTTACGACATGAGCTCCAACATCAGATCATTTGCAAAAAAGATACTAGACTAAAGTTTCCACATCAAACATTCTACATTAAAACATCTGAGATGATTTCAACAGGCAACTTACTGAGTATTCTTGCAAAGCCAAAATCACAAAGTTTTATAACTCCATCTTTGGTAATAAGTATATTTTCTGGCTTTACATCTCGATGAATACACTGTATGAAAAAAAACCCATTAATGGTCAAATTCAGAACAAGGAAGTTTATTAAAATGACCCACATTGTGTTGGTGACAATAATGAACAGCACGTAATGTCTGCCAGATAATCTTTTTAATGTTCACATCATTCACTCTACAAACACACAAGTCATATTTAGGCAGATCAAAGCTGCTCCTCAACACACAGTTACACACTATTTTTTTCCACAAAACATACCCCTTGGGATTAGCATCAAGCTCATTTAAAACAGTATGATCACAAAACTCAAACACCATGTGCAATTTTCTCTTACGACGAAAAACTTCCAATAGATTGACAAGATTTGGATGCTTCAATTGCTGAAAACAAAATAATATGTCATTGTTAATTGTTATTCTACATCTCAATTCAAACTTGTTTTAAAAATAGGCTAAAATCAAATTAACACAGCAGCCCTAGCTTACTTGCACATGAGTTAATTTAACTTGGTTATTAACTCTTATATACCGAGAAATTTAAAACACTATGTTTATGTTGTTATGGCATTTTTATGTGTACATTTCTTTTGTAACACTTCAAACTTACAAATAAATGTAGGATATGTTCCTTTATTTTCTTTTGTAGGTAAAAAATGCAATAAAATGAATACTATGTTTTATATATTTATTTGGAAGGAACATACAACATCAAACATCATGATAATTCAATGTGAAGGCATTACAGTCAGTTTTCCATTACTCAGGTTCATATGTCATCCAATTACATTCTATCGTAAATTTTCAAAAAAACATTTGAACTTTTGAAAGAACTTCACAGTAGTACTAAGGAAAGTGATATAAAACTAGCTGTAATTAGCATCCAGTAGCAATGTTAAGCATCTTGAAATCACCGCATGGTCACGGCTAAATGCAAGATTACAAAACCAAAGATGAAATACTGGAAATAGTCCTCTTTGAAATTCTTTTGAACTGTGAACAATAATGCTCACGGCTCACTCACGTAGCTAGTCAGTACAATAGCTATTGCTATAACAGACCACCAACATAGCTCAATTTAAGTCAAAAATATAGATGACATCCCATGATGGCAGAACTAATTACGTTTTTAACCTGTAATTAATGTACATGTTCGATGTTAGTTGTTAACAAGCCCAGAGTATTCGGGTAAAAATTTATCTTTCTTTTCACATAAAACGATTATATTTTCGTCACAAACCTTCAACATCCGAACTTCTCTCATCGCAATCTTTTTTATCAATGGATCATCCTCTGACTCTACAAATTTCTTTATCGCAACAATCTGTCCAGTTTCACGATGGCGACATTTAAAAACAACACCATATGAGCCTTCGCCAATCTTTCCAAGTTTCTCGTACTTTTCCATCACAAATCAGGGTTAAATGTTTCACCCTTTCTAAAATTCCAACCAGGAATTACAAAAGTGTCTTTCTTATATAACAAAGAAAGCACAACAACAGCAGAAAAATGAAACCGTTTAAGTAAAATGAATTACAACCGACAGCAAATTAAGTCCGTCGCAGTTTGGGACAAGTTACAAGTACCAATTAACTTTCGTTAATCCTATGAAAAGAAAAGGCCTTCTTCGAGAGAAATACCTTCTTCGAGAGAAATACCTTTAAAAACGTTTTCATAGGCTTTATTTGACCAAAATAAACGTTTAAATTTGTACCAACATATGTAAACAGAAAAAAACATACACGCCAAGAAGCCACGTGACCCTATAGAACTAAATCTCAGTTACGTTTGTTGTTGACAACAGTCAACATGACAACCGTAAATATTAATGTTTTAGTTAATATTTTGCAATATTTGCAAGTCGTGGGTTACTGAAGACCATCAAGGAAAGAAGCAACTTGACCCAATCTTCTCAACTTACGGCGTTGAACTACAAGTGGGACACGAACTTAAAAAAAGGCACGAATAAAGACCTCAAATAAATCATTAAAAAATCCATTTCAACTATTTTCACTAAAGAATTTACTCGTAAAAAAATTCTTAAGATCGCACTCAACCAAGCACTTTTGGTGCGATGAATCAACTTCATTCTTCGAGTTTCATTCATTCCATACTTCCACCCCGTCCCATGGAGAACACCTTTCCTGTCCAGTTTGACTCATGTAGTTTCAACGATTATGAGGAAAATAACGAAATTCTGAATGTGATTAAGTTCTTGCATTTGTTGCATTTTCAGAGTACATAACTTACTCATGCACGAAAAAAGAATTTTACTCTGTGCACAATACCCACAAGATATGACTACAATTTGGAAACGTTTTGAATTCAAGAAACAGACAACACAGCCTTTGTTCCATAAATAATCTTCAGCAACTAGTTGGTAAAAAGTTTTCACGCTTGTAACACTCGATTTCTACAACATTTCGATCGTTTCGGGTTTTTCCTAATAAAATGCGCAAATTTCAACACACAACACGGTATTATTTTCAGTTTGCCATAAACTTTGTCATTTATACACATTGGTGCGGAGAAAATTTTCTTTTGTAATAAAAAAATGTCTATTGAGCAAGGCAACAAACCTTTACCAGATCCAAGAAGTACTTTGTAATTCTTATTCGAATCTTCTATATTGCCATTTTTGTCTTTCATCATCTTTGCCTTTCATCATCACATTCATCTTTGGCTAGAAAAAGATGTTATCTTCATCCAAATTAATAATGCTAATCACAATTTTTATGGAAAATCTTCACACTCTTGCAACGCTCATTAAAATGGAGCACCTGCAAATTTAATGATAAATGATATATTTAGTCATGGCAACTACGATTACTTTTCGCCCTCTTTGTTGCCTCGACATAACACCTTCCAAAACTTGGTTCTGTCTAATTTGCAGCATCGAATTCCAGGCATGTCCGATAAAAACGTAGCGCTGCTTCAACAAAAACATTTTTATTGAAAGCTAAGCTAAAATATAAGCTAAAATGCAAAAAAAAAACGATACAAAATGTATCGCAGCTACAAAGTGTAGCAATGTTACGATTAAAATATATTGTTCGTCAAACTGCAGTGATATTTTATCTTTTTTTTAAATAAAATCCACATTAGCCTTCTGGGGAGTGAAGAAACGCCATAAAGACATACATTTAAAAATGTTTGTATAACATATAGAAAAACTCTTCTTTCATAACTTAAAGTCAACATAACAAACACCTTAACATCAAATGATGTAATAATATATTACTTTAAATCTTGGGCTTCAATAATTTAAGATATTGTGGCAAACTTTTAGTTACAAACTTTAAAAATTTTTAGAGGACAGACTTCGATCTTGACTACAGTCTATGTGAACTCGATGTGAAAAGTGACAGACTTTCCAGGCACAAAGCTCAAAACTTTCCTTTTCACACACCGGTTACAAGCTTGTGCAATTTAACATTCAAAAAACCTAGTGCTCTTCAGCACTAGTCGAGTCTACGGGCACCTCAACGATAACGTCATCACTCGGTGGTTTCAAATTGTCCGAATCAATCACGTGGTCATTTGAGCCATAGTGACGCCTCCTTAGGTTTGTGGTGTCCCTCTCTTCCAACACTTCTCGGACGCAGTAAGATGATTGTAACACCGGAGGTAGATAAGCTTCCTAAAGTGCAAACAAATTGTAACAACATGTTTGATCTTAGAAACTCTCTTATGTTTTTATTAGGAATGATGTGATTTTGGAAATTAGGTAAGTCAAAATAATGAAATGTCTAACATCAGTGAGTGATCTGATCTTGGAAATTGAGTCATGATATATTTTTTATTAATCTTTATTTTTACTACCAGAATATCGTGATGTATAAACAAGAATCGATATACACTCCATTGATGTGTCTTCATAACGAGTGACCTTATGTTAAAGATCGGGGCCTATAGCTATACTGATGCTTTAAATCTTTGTCGAGGCTTCAGTTAACCACACTTATGCTTTTATCAACAATGGGATGATTCTGATGTCTAACTCGAACGCAATTTGAAGTTACGAAACAAAAATAAAAAAGATCCCTACCAAATTTTTTGAATCCGCAGGAATTTCTTCTTGTCCTTGGAGGGAATTCGAACGCTGAAAAGACAACTTCCATCTTTCAGGGTGAATTTTTGAATTGAAAATTTTATGTTGTGTATACGACCACATTACACGTGAAACAAATGCATTAACTTACACGAAATATGGAATAAGATGCAAACCATCCGAAACAAACTTTACCAATAAACAGCGTAAGTGTGATGAGAAATATCACTAATGCAAATATAGTTTGGGGATCTTTGATACCTAGAAAACCACAGCAGAAGTATTCATCAATGATCAATCTTACAATAACATTATATCTAATGAATAAATTTATCTAATCCATGTAAGGCTAGGCCATTGCAGTTCGAATCACAACTTTTGTCGTCCTACTTTCCGTCTCGTTTCATCATATATACTAACCATAACCGTAAAACTTAATTGACCATATGTTGACGGTTAAATTAGAAACAAAATCTTTTACAACTTGAGTATTGTCACTTTCTTCTGACATTTTCTGCTTTGTTTCTTTCACGTTGACAAGTGACACGTTATATATTCGTTGCATTCAAATACTTTTCAATAAAAATAAAAATTCTCCTTTTAAAAGATACGGCTTTTTGACGTGGCCCCCGGAGCAACAGTCGCTTGTGACGTATTGAACAATGATGACCACGTCGAAAGTTTTTACGCAATTTATAAAACGTCCAGAGATCATGTGAATATGTAAAAATCACAAAAGACTCATTAATTAAAATAAAAAAGTCTAGTTGTTGTTCCATGTATGTTTAGTGTTGAACGTGCACAATGCAAAATCCATGGAAACAACAGCAAAGAAGAAAAAATTCATTCATTAATTGTGAAAATAATTCTGAAGCGTTTTAATTGTTGTGGCACATAAAAAAAACATAACCAATAAAAAAACTGATAATTTTATACAACAGTCAGTAGACGATACAATGAACTAAGATATAACATCTATCAGTGCTGGGTAATAAAAAAAGCACACGACATCACGACATAGAAATATAAATAGAAACTATCAATTACGAAGATCAAAGTCACTACACTTACCTAATCTGATGATGCAATAAAATAAAATGCAAAAGAGCAACAAAAATGCAGATGATATAAGGAAGTATATAGCAGTGTTGTGCAATGAGCGATCCGTATATTTATGTGCAGGAGGACGATATATGAAGAACAGATTATAACGATCAACAAAATGCTTTAAAAGAAGATATAGCAGTCCTAAAAAAATCAATAACATTATATTAGTAATTCTTATTCATACGACAGCACCGCATGACCACAACAAAATCCATGGTCCTTTTTGAACTTATAATATATTATCACACAACGATCAATAAAATAGTTATATTAATTTAAAGCAAAATTATGTAGGATAACTTACCAAATGGTACAACAAGTGGACAAGCAATGCTGTAAATGATTATTATTGAATAGATTGCAATCATCCAAGCGTATTGGATACCAAATGGAAACTCAACAACGGCTTCCTATACAAAGCAGAGTAGAATTCGATCAACTTCAACTATGATGGTTTTTAAACTAAGACCATTTGTCAAATTTTTGCTAACTACTCATGTTTTTTAGAAAGTTTCTTGCTTGATTTGGAGAGGAAATAGTGGAATACTCAAACGATAGGCATTTTAAAGGATGATAATAAAATTTGAAACTGCTAAAAGAAAACAATTACTGACAATCAACGGTAGGCCTAGGACAAATTAAGCCCTCTCAAAAGATATTTTAAATAAATAATAGAAAATTATTTTGTGAAAATGGCTCAAAGATACATTTTTTACTAGCAATCTTTCTCCCTCTGTCCTTGTGTAGTACATCCTCAAACCATACACGACTAACTCAGGAATGCGCAGCAACTCAAGCGCAGTACCAATGAGAGCCGATGTAATGATATAATTTACAAAGAATGCGCCACTATCTGGTAGGAAAACGCAACTGTAGAGAAAATAATTTATATGAACGGATAGTCAGAGAACACTATGAGAATGTGAGGTACAGTTATACAAATAAAACGAACATGTCACGTTTTGACGACCTACCCCATTCTATCCCTGATTGATTGAAAATCTCCTCGAATTGTTATCTCAAACAGAGCGTCTAAGCTAAAATACATGAATTGGCTGCTTCAACATAAAGAAATAAAACATAGAGCAGAGCAACGCAATATATTCATTTACCAAACCTAGGCACACTTGCTAAAAACATAACAGCTGAATATATAATATATTCAGCTATATATCTGTATTGTACTATATATGTGTGCAAAGACTAGAAGTATAAACGTGAATACGTAGTTACCTTGTGAGAGCAAGGGATGGGAGTACAATTATCATACAAAGCAAAAAAATAAAAACTTTGAACATCACTGACTTCTCTTGTTGTGTTCTATAAACAATAAAGTTAAAATGCAAACAAATTACGAGGAAAGAGCAACACTATTTTTTTACCAAATTACAGTAACATGATAATGAACTTATTAACCATTACAATCAATGCTAATGAACTTATGGTGCTCACTAAATTAAATCAACAGACATACCTGGTCCACTGACACTCGTAATAACTCGACCATGACACAACCGATGGTAAAATGGCGGTAAATATCCACAAGAGAAGGGTAGGAAGAAACTGACTAAAGAAAGGACTACTGGGCGATTGGACTTTGCTATCTAAAATGATAAAGATGATTCTATAAGAACGGCCTTGCGACTAAAACAAAAATCATGAAGCAGTAAATATTTCCGATAACTTCCACTAATGGCTATTTCACTGACAATGACATCATACATGTGACGTACCAAGAGATGATTTCAACTTGTTCCATCCAGCTAAGAGAATTGCAGGCGTAGTAAAGAACAGCACAAAAATGAATAAACATAAGTTTATCACAGTTGCTCTTATCCACCAGTATTTTGGATCAGATGATAGATTCTCCCAAATGATGTTGCCAGGTGCAGGAGCGTGTTCGACAGTCCATTCGCAGGATTTAACAACTGTTGACATTGATGTTGCAGAGTAATTTCCACCCAAAAGCAGACTATAGTCTTTGACACATCTGCAAACATAGAGAAAAATAAATTAATTTTACATAATTTTAATGAATCGCACAAAAAAAGACAATGAAGATTGTAAACTAAATTACAGTCAAGTTTGTATTATGTAACACCAGTCACTTATATAGTTGAATTGAAAGTCTCAAGTGTTTCATAACAATATTCTATAAGCACTTTATTCTCTCAAAAATTTATTTGAACTGTCAGAAGAATCTAACTTTATCTAACTTTATGATACTTATATATACTCAATACACCACAATAAAAAAATTTCTCAGAGAAAGAATACTACTCCCAATGTCACAATAAAAAAATTTCTCAGAGAAAGAATACTACTCCCAATGTCACAATAAAAAAATTTCTCAGAGAAAGAATACTACTCCCAATATCACAATAAAAAAATTTCTCAGAGAAAGAATACTACTCCCAATGTCGTGTGTTTTATTCGTTTGTTTGCTCACCTTACAACTAAACTTGGTCTTGAAAACGTGACGAACATGATGCGAAGTCTTTTTTGTTGCAGCACAATCTCTTTTTCGCGGAAAAAATCCTTTGTAAAACGTTCCTCTTCGCTAGTAAAATAATCCACACCGTCGTGATTTGTTTTCATGCAAGGACAAAAAGGACATATACTACTTATAGACACTTGAGTATCACGCCGTTGCCCATGCTTAACAAGGTATTCAACATGTATATTTCTACCAAGGCTTGCTGCAGTCATCTGACGACTGATTTTCTTTAGTTTATTTATGTCGTACGCAAACTGTATATTGCTCACACTGTCGCGGCCGTAGTTTTCCCTAGGAAAAAAATCTGCTTTTAGACCAAAACTGTCGTTCTTTTTATGGTTTTTCAAGCACGATCATCACAGAGATTAGGATGGCATATGATACAGCAAGATAGGTTTCGTCTACATAAGTTTATGGGAACTAATTCTTGCTTTGAAGTGAAGTAATTTTAAAATAACTCCTTGTTTGTTCGTAGGAATCAACTTGAGTCAAAATTTAAAATCTCAACCCTTACTCAAAATGCTGCTTGATTACATCCTTTGATGCATTTTTCACGACATGACAAACGAGTACGGTAAGCTGTGATAATGGATCACTGTCCGTTTCATAACCCTGAGAGAATTTCCAGACCATGACTATTAAGATTACCAAATAGAGGAACGCAAATACCGTATGTAACCATATGATGTTTGAGTCTGGCGCAAGATTCGCTAGAGTTGTTGTGGAGTAGCCATTTTTATCAGAAACTTTTAAGAAATAAAAACAGCAGCTAACAATGTCGCAAGTACAAATAAATAAATAGTAGCTATAATGATAGGGCTAAATGTTACACAACGGAGTGTTAGTTTTACATTTTTACACTAGTAAAGTGTTCATATTTACCATTATCACCAGAGTGGTTTACAGGAAGAATTATTGCCATTGACAGAACACATATAATGACCGTATAATAGATGAGGCATCTCTGGAAATTTAAATAATGGATGGCATCATTGCCAGAACGTTGACTTATCTCTTTTTCGGAAAGTCTGAAAACCACCAAAATCCATTTCAAAAGTCCCTGCAAAAAGGGATAAAATAATTATAATATAACATTTGGAACTAGCTCTGTAGCTATGAGAATAGCAATATTTTTAAATCAATGGTGAACAGTTCGTAAAAGTGCAATGTCCCTGCTAAATTGCTTGACTTGCCACCTTACTAAAATAAATCAAACTTATAAAATCCCCATAAGAACATGTAAGCAGTATAATAACATTGACTAACTTTATCTTGCACATCTTCTATATAGGATAAGTCTGCATCGTTATCATTGATATTTAACCTCTCATTGCTGCCTTCTTCTGTTTTACCAAAGAATAATTTTGCCCATCTATTTAAAACATCAAATAATATGATGATTGCTTGAAAGGCATGACTTATCAACAAAAGAAATACATGCAGAATGAGTAAAACTACTGAGGATTGTTATTCTTTACCCTTTGTCTTTACTTTGTACAAGTGCAAGTCTTCCATAATCCCAGGCCCACCGCCGAATCACACAGAATATGCACAAAACAATCTGAAATTATATATAAATCATTGGTATAAATAGACAATTATGAAGACATCACATTTGTTTCTGATGAATATGGAAAGAATTCTGAGTTTACTCAGAACAAAATCCATCATTATTATGTGTTCATAAGCTGTACACAGCATAAACCAACTCTCTACCAGACTCTGATGAAAATTTTCCATCATTATAAGCATAATGTTCATCAAAAGCCAGTGAGCAGCAACTTTTGGCATCTTGCACTGGCAAAAACACTGCATATTGCGAAGGTCAGTCGAAACATTTTGAAATGTAGACTGCTTGTGTTGCCAGTTGCTATTTGCATCATGCATCAACAAGAAATTCATCAAAATTTCAGCAAAGAACAATCATGCAAAGATGTGCATTGATATTCATCAATATAAATGAATGAAAATCTTGGGCAAGACGTCAAACATGACAGGTGTTGTTAAGCTGACGTCAAACATAATTTATTTTAAATAAATGCAATAAAAATAACTTGAATCTGCAAGATGTGAAATGAAAGTCTTCATATGAAAGATGACAAGGTCGTGAAATATAGATTCAGATAAAACTGTCTTGGCGGTTACTTACCAACCAGATTGAAAAATTGATAGCTAAATTATCAGGTATACCACCATCCGAGCTTTCGACATCGTAAGTCTTCCCAGTTATGTTGTAGATTTGCGAGCATGAAAAACTTACGTTCCTATACATACTATAAAGTTTAACATTAAATATAGTTTCAAAATCTTTACGGCTTATATACGGATACTATCTTGCAATTGTAACTGGCAAGAAAACTTACTTTGTGTTTTTTCTCCTCTGCTCATATTTGTTTTGATAATTGAGCTCTAGAACCCAGTTTCCCTAACAATGAACACTGAACGTGAACCACATAAGGTGGTCTATCTAAAGCATTGATCCAAGGATTCAACGTCGTTTCTCAAAAATGAAAGAAATTTCCAGGATATAGGCTTCGAAAATATGATATATTCAGGGGAATCGTACGTCGTATGTCGTATATTGCATTTTACAAGTATAATATATTCAATTCTCAATTCAGTATTCAAGTTATACAAGGAAAACGTCTGGTCAACCTTTCAACAATATAATTATCTTTTTAATAAAATCTTACAACTTGAATCATAAATATATATCAACATACTAACCATAAATTACAATATACAAGACTGAAACACATTTATGCATATTTATGTATGTACATTTATGTACACATAAGTACAAAATCATTGTCTTTGGCATGACATTTAAAATAAGACATGAATTCTGCATGTGGGTTTTCACAAAAATTTAAAGGTTCTCTTGAACATATTTTTAACAACTTATATATACCAACATTCGTGAAGTCCCATCATTGCTGCCATCCTCGCAATATTCATTTAATCGATCAACGAAGTCCTATTCTATGTTTGAAACTTATTAACTACTTGAGATTTCGAATTCTAAATCATACCAATAAACTTGAGAATAGTGAACTCGATTCTTCTACACCCGATATCCTTAAAATCCCTCTTAAAAGTATGCATAGCATCCTTACTTTCAATCTTTGTCAGATTTGGTTCGGACTTTGAAAGAGAAACCGAAGCCGGATTGTCCACAGATCCTGGGACATCAGTACCATTTAAAGCAACCAGATCAACGTTGGAGGGTCGCGCAGATTTATTACTCAACACGTCTTCAGAGCTATGAATGGAGCGGGAGGGAAGATTCGCAACATGACTTTTGAGATAGCCACCGCACCTGAAGCACATCTCCAAAATTGATGCGAGATCTCTTCGAAACGCCTTTGTGATAATAGCGTAAAGAAAGGGATTTAACAGCCCATTGAGAGGGAAGAAAAACACGAGTAGAATCTTCGATTGTTCCACGTCGATAAGTGTATGTCCCAGTAATGCAGCTATACTTGCTACGGCAATCGGGGCATAACATGCAAAGTCAGTAACTACCAACACGAACATTCTTCGAGCAACTTTTGAATCTTGCCTACGAGTGGGTGTGGAGTTATTTGTCACGAATACAGACCGATACATTAGAGCGTACAGCGTACATATGAAAAGGAAGCAAGAACCGTTGAGACCAATCAAGGTAGATAAATAATAGCCACCGCCGTTTTCTGTATCAAAAGGAAGGCAAATGGCAACCTTGCGATAACTTCCAATTCCAACAACTGGCAAAATTGCTAACGTGAGAGCGAGTAACCAAACAAATGTCATACATACGACCGCTGTCCGCATTGACAATCTGTATCGCGGGTACATTGCGTAGACTACAGTTAAATAGCGTTCGACAGTTATCATTGTAAGAGAAAAAACAGATAACTGGTTTGAAAGTATAGCCAGTGCACCAAGGACATCACAATTCCAACTATACTGAAGTTTTTCAACGTACAAAAAGTATTTACCCGATGTTACAATTGACTCGACAACCAGCGCGAACAGATAGGCAGCCAATGACATGTCTGCTATCGCTAAATTCGTAACAAGAAACCGTGAAACATTATAGTTTCTTGGCAGAAAGGCAAACACCAGGAGAACGACGAAATTCCCACATAAAGCAAGTAAGGAAATAATAAAGGATGCGGCTGTAAGCCCCTTGCTACCCATGATATCTTCACACGGTTGGAAAGGTGTTTTTTCCGGAGTGCAGTTAACTGGTACAAATATTTCCTTTTTGCGGCTCAATTTAGGATCATGAATGTTCTCTGGAGTTTCACTAACAATGGTGAAACTGAAATTGGAGTTCTCAACAATATCAGTATCAATGGAAAGACCGTTACAGGTCTTTTCATGTTCATTATCGTATGTTTGAGCTCTTTGAAATGCTTCAAACTTATCGTTGATCACTTGACAACACAGGTGAGACTTTCCTTCGGCTAACCTTACCCTTTCTATTGAGTCCAAACCAGGAGGAATCCTATTTAGTCTTCTTACACCATCCAAGTATAAAACCTTCACCGTTTTAAGCCCATCTGTTGGTAAATACTCTATATTGATGCTGTCCAAGTATCTGAAAAAAAGTAAAATATGATGTTTTCAGAGCAGCACATGCAATAATGGTTGGTATGATCTCCATGTTACAGTCCTACAGTCATTGTTTTCACTAGTTTTTAATGAAAAACACTGCATCACACGTACTCGTATTAATATATCCGTCAAGTAGTGGCGATTGGAATTTTATTCCATAACATGTGACAAAAAACAGTTTCTTCTTTTCTAAGCAAGTGGTCAAAAAGGATTTGGAAATTTCAAATAGTTGCCAAACAATTTTTTTTTTCCAAAGACGTATTCAAATTCACACACAAAAAAATTTTTGCATTGAAATATAAAACGAAGAATATTTTCGTTCATGGCTAATGGGACTTATTTGTAGTATAGTCCAAAACACATGTAAATTATAGTATACTGCAATTGGGATAAAATTTAGGACTAGAAGGGTGCATGCAGGCAAAAATCTTCGCGTTCTATAAACTCGGATTATAACACTTACAGTGTAGTCAAACAACGCAAGCCTTTAAATGCTGATGGTTCAATACTTGTAATTGGATTGTGTGAAAGATCCCTGAAATTTAAACAAAACATAATTATCCATTTTATTTCAAATAGACAGTAAATTTGTCATTTCAATCTTTGATTTATTTATTGCGTTTACTTATAGGAATAAACGAAAGCCATGTACCAAAGAGGAATTTTGTCATGAAAACTACAGTGTATAGATAACCAAGTTTGTCTTTTTTTGTCACCTGTCTAATTATGTTTTAAGGCAACTTCAATGTTAAGATACAGACTAGACAATTTTGTTTGTTCTTGAACTTTATTTTCATTCCAATCATTAAATCGAAAGCACACTTTTCTCGATCTCGTTAATACAAAAATCATGACATCGATACTTACAATATTGCAAGGGAGCTATTGACCGGAAACAAGTTATTAGGTAAAATCTTGATTTTATTATAACTCAAATTCCTAAAGAATTTTAAAAATACATCCATTTTAAAATATGCATGAAAGAAACAAATGAAGCTTTCAAATACGATATGTATCATCATTACATTGATTGTGTATAACCACCGTTTCAAAAATCACCACAATATACTTACAAATCATTAAGGACTGAAATTTTTTTGAATGATTCACTATCAACTTTCTCAATATTGTTGTTACGTAAATCTCTATATAAGAGAAAATACCAGGAAATCTTGGCTAGTTGCCTTTGGGAAGAAAAGTAAGTCTTTACGTCTCATACACAAACAAATGTTATTGCTTAAATATTCTTCTATCGACAATCATCGTTTAAATTTTGAATATCTGAAATTTGATTTGCTATATCCTATATATAGTAACATGGGTTTTTAAGAAGCGATATGATTTTGACAGAAATTTCAAAAGAATAATGCGTAAATTCTTTACTATGAAAAATATGTTAGAAAACATTATCTCTCAAGGAGTGAGAGGCTACTTCGTATATGACCATAAATGTTTCAAACGATTGACAAATGAGACAGAACATAGACTTGCCATTAGACTCAAACTCCCTTGCGCACCATTTTTGTTGAAGATATGAGTCATACTTTGGTCAATACGAATGATGGAAAAACATTTTTTTTAAATCACGAGCAGTTTTTCGTATTGCATGCAGTGTCGAGTTGAGCATTAACATTTCTTTGCACAAAGTGTTCCTTTCATGGTTGTTTGTATAACATACTTACACTTTTCTAAGTTTCTTGTGAGGACTGTTAAAAACAGGAACTGATTTCAACTTATTGTTATCCAATATCCTGCAGAAAATGAACAGTAATTTTGGAAAGCGTAATTTTTTAGCCAATTCTCGTTACTATCACACTGGAGTTAAGCATAAGAAGAATTGAAATTTTAATGCTAGATTACTCCTTCTAATTTTCAACACTCAATCATCAACATTTTGTTATACCTTACATAAAATTACTAATTAGTGCATTGAAGACACACAACACTTACAAATGAATGAGATCAAACAGATTGTCCAATGCTCCAGGTTTGATTTTAGAATTGGTAATATTGCTATCGGATATTGATCTAGAGAAAATACAAAATTTGACATCGTTAAAAGACGTTGCATTACAAAAGGAATGTTATACACAAGCAATAGAAAATGATCATACAACACATCGAGAACGTAATTTGGTGATTCATGTCCAATAACAGATTTTATTGTAGAAGAATAAATTCTCCTAAAAATAAAGAAATAATATACCTTGAGCATAAAGAATTTTTCATATGGAAGTGTAAAATTAGCTGGAAGTCTAAATTTCAAATCCAGAAAAACTTACAATTCTTCCACATTTTCAGGTAGTTCTCTCATGTCGATGATTGTGCTCTTTTCAATTCGTCTAAAGGTTATAAAACACATCGTGAGATAAATCATGATATCTACACTTCGTAATCAGTTCACAGTTGTACATAACCATTGGATGCCGACTTTTCAAATATATTTTTAAGGTGTTTATTTTTTCAAATATTCCAATTAATATGTTATAAAATCTTCTAAATTCGACTTTTGCCTTTCTATGAATTTTAAAAGTATCAAATTAACGAATTCCTATCCAGCGGATAACTCTATCCAGGATTCGTGTAAACGGCCCCAACTTAAGACATCATGAATCCCAGCTAGCGACAATATGTATGATCAATGATTATGATCAATCACGAGTCTCTTCTTGAAGTTGAAAATTTTACTTTCTAAAGGAAAATCTTCATTTTTTTACGTCATCCATGCACTACGACGTAAATAGGAAATCGCGATAGTGTATATTTAGATTGAACATTAAGATTTTATATCCTTGCCGAAGTTTGAGCAATTTTCCGCACAATTGATACATACAACACTTTCAATCTCTTGTAGAAAGTTAGATTTCCAATTTTCCCCAACATCGATTTCTTTATAACTCTAAAACAATGCGGTGTATAACATTAAGAAAAATACTGTATGCAGACAGTCGTGGCCCTCACGCCATGAAAAGTTAACACACTCTATTACGTTACGTATTTATAAATTACGTCTTCGTAATGAATGATCGTCCATTTTTTTTACTGATAGATTTTTCTCAGAAATATGAATAGATTATTTCAATTTTTTGAAATAAGAATTTCTTATTTATCAAAATACTAAAGAAGACGTTTTCGAGTCATATACTTACACGTCACTAACACTAGCAGGCAAATCTATTCTTTGGTGACCAATCAAAGTAGAAGAAGTTAGTTCGCTACAAAAAGAAACATCAGCGTATGAGAGTAATACGTAAAAAATACAAGCTTATTAAAAACACGAAAAGCTCCACAACAGGAATTAAGCGCTTACGGTGCTTCTCGATGTTTTTCAGTAAAATACATCAACTTAATTTTTCAGGTAATTAGTTAATCCAATTTTTCTAATCTCGGTCTTGTAAGAATGTCACATGTTAAGATACCGCTCGCATAACGAGGAATATAAATCATCAACTATTACCGCTGAAATTTCTGACAGAACTGGCTATAAACTACTATTGAGAGCGTATACATGCAAGGGGAAGGTTAGGGTTAGGGCGTGGCTTCAAAGGGATGCAATGGGGTAATTTATTTTTTGGTGCACAAAAATGAACACTTTTCGTTGTGTTAATTTCGAAGTTATGATCGAGTTAGGAAACAAGATACAATATTGCAAAACCAGCCTTAGGTCATTTAGAAAAGCATGCCATAACATGAAAAGGCAGAGCTAAGCAAGCTGTATCCTCAATATGTATGCCTAATACACTTCTAGTATTTACCGGTGCCAATGGCGTGGCTGCGTACATGCCTGAGTAATATCGCCCACTATCAGTTACGACGTCGTATTTGTGAATAGAATTTAATGTACAACTGTGCAAGTACAATCAAAGAGTGTTTAAACTTTTATCAATGAGATAGAAACCTTCAAAAAAACAAAACTTCCAAACGTCAATATATGAAGTACTTATGGTTATCTGTTATTATATTTGTTCTGCTGAAATGGCAAAGTCTTCTACGTAAATATATGAATAAATAAATATGTTCCCCGTTACTTCAAGTGAAGTGAACATAAATACTATTTCAACAAATGAGTAAATGTATTTTAACTCTCATTGTTTAAGAGTTTTACTTTGCGATCATAAATGGAAAATCATATATGCTAATGAACGGTAGTTCGCGTGCATTATAACATGGGTTTGTCATGCGTTGTTATTGAATTGCAAAAATCTGATGAAAAAGAAAATACATGAAAAACTCACGTTGTTTACAGTCTTAAGGAAACAAAAAACAACCAAGATTTAGAGAGTAAACAGTGCAAAGATATCGTTAATTATATTAACGATCTCAATGCACGACTTGCGGGTCATTTTCGCAGCACGTTACTATACTACTCTTTTCTTCTTCATATGATAATAAAGATTCCATAGATTGTTGTTAGTCGAAATTTGATAATACCATCTATACTGTAAAGAACTCGTGGTTTACGTATGAAGAATTTTAAAATACAAGTGCATGTAGGCAAGACTCAGACACTGCCAGGCCAAGTCATTATAGAAGACATACGAAAGGCAATTTTAATAAATGTTGCAGTTAGTAAAGGAATAGTTTATAGACTATGGTAAATCATATATGATACAAATATGATTTCACGAGATCGTTTAACAGAATTAAACAAACACAATCACTTTAATTATAGAATACTTCCAAACTTACACAACACTAGTATTTCCAGGTATATCCTGTCTTGATGGAAATTTCGTGACATTCGCACAGATATATCGCCTACTTTCCAATTGACAATTCCCATTGGTCGAAATTGCGAAGACACAAACGTTTAATCCATTGAAGAACACACCAACATACACAGGAGAAACGCCTTCAACACCATTTTGAGCTTTCCAAAGATGAAATGATTTACAACAGTGATATAATCGATACAAATATTCCGTAGGTAGAGAGTAACACTTTCCACAATATTAAATGTTGCTCAATGTATTGTTCTACAAAATCATAAACAAAGAACCATGTGTTTACGATTCAACAAAATAAGAACTGAGCACGTTTCTTCTATAGAAGCAAAGAACAACATGTGTGAAGAACAACTTTGCGTTGTCATACACTGACTACAGCACAAAAGTCAAGTCTCATTTAAACCCGAGCAGAAAGACTTGTAAAGTCGGGAAAGGAACGTGCGCGGGCATGAAATCGCGACATAAAAAGCATAAAAACAGTGTTAAATTCAACACCACAGGCAGCAGAACCAATCCACTTCAATCCACTTAATTGGGAGATTAGATGTTAGGTAATTAGTAACAAGTTTCGTGACATAGGTTTATTGATAAACTAACAACAAATTCATACGAAAACTTCCTAACAAGAGGGATAGAGCGGAAGTACAATTGCATTGTATTTATAAAATTGGAATAAATAATGTTGTCGTTAAAACTATCGTATTTCAACAACAAACTTACCTCAAAATGACAGCTTTAGTCTTATCGATATGAAAGATACTGCCAACAGTTTAAAATATCGTTTCAACACGTCTTTGATAACTCAATAACAACTGCTTAGATGACATTAAACTACAAGCAAAGTTTTCCCATGCAGTATTGAGTAAAATTGTAACAAACAATCTATAATTGAACAATAAAGCGTAATTAGTTTGAAATCACCATTTGATAAAACAAGAGCAAACGCGATCTTTCAAATTTCAAAAACAACACATTTGACAAAAGCAGTTCGCGACCCTTAAGTTTATACTAATAGCCTGTGGTCATCACAGTTTTAGGTTAAAGATAGCATAAGAAAAAGACATGACGTAGCAAGAATATTGTAGCCCATCCGGTCCATACCACATATTGTCATAAGTTTTACAAGACTTTTAGACAACATACAAAGAAAGATAATGACCTTATCGCATGACATCGGAAATAGGTCAATACAAATATAAATAGATTTCATCAGCATACAACGCCAAGCCTGACGCTATATTTACCCAAATACGCACGATCCCAAAGCTTTGCAATCACTTTTGTACTTGTCAGCATGCACAAAACAAGGAAAATGGATATGTTATTAAGTCATTCCAAACGACTATCTCACTGATTTTGCCAGAAATCTGAACACTGTTTATATGTTAAGGACAAAAAGAAGTTAATTGTCCACTTTTATATAATAAATATGATAATAACTAGGGTATACTTGTACTGCTGTAAATATACTTGGCACAACTTATTATTCGAAACATGAACACACGACAAAAATGGATATTATTGGATAAAATGGATATTATTAATCATGTTTAAACACATTTTACTGGAATTTTACTTTTGCGGCAAGTAAATAGCTACTTTAATTTTCCTTTCTAGGCTTAGTTAAAAAATTGTTGTATTTAATAAAGGTTGTTATTTATATACATGAAAACTTTGCTTTTGAGAAAATAATGCGTTGAACGACTAATCGATGTCTTCCTTATACAATGTGGGTGTATTGCTCAGCAAAAATTATAGTGAATTTTAAAAAAGTACATGGGTCTTAAATAAGCATGTGAAACGAAAAATAACAATAAGAATGGGCAGGTACAACATTCAATAACGACAAGTTTTAACTTTGCATAACAGATTATACATTTGCAAAACAGCCTTAAGCTAAAAATATCGTGTTTTTTACAAAATAATAATTTGGCATTTCTGAGTTCTAAATGAGCAGAAAATGTATCAAATAAGAGTTAAATGATGCAAGCAAACCACGCTATAAAATGGCTTTATTCAATATTCAATCGACTTATAAGCTGGATTTGGTTGGTAAGAAACTTATGTATGTATGCCATTAATTTCAAAAATAGCTACGTCGGTGTTAGGAAATGAACGAGCAAACTACTATCAACTTCACCGGATAAATGACCGATGCAAAGTTGCAAACTTTTGCAACAAAAGTAGACTCTATTTAAAATAGGATAAAGCAAAATTCATGGACTAAATCGCTGTCAACAATGATCAACATTAAACTGAACACACCACTGCACACAGTGCTATCAAATACGTATGACCCAGTGGTATGACCTCGCACGATTGTTCGTGAACTTGAACTATGAGAAAGTTTCGACTTTTCCCGGGGCAAGCCAACGAATCTTTGTTGGAACTTCTAGCACGTTTGAACGAGATTGAGGGTGAAAATTGATAGGCAATGACGGATCGACACCCTTGGAGGGTCAAATCCATCGACGATTGCATTTTGATTACAAAAAAGCGCGGCACTATAACACAGTCGCGTTCATTGTTTAATTTCTTTTAAATAGTTTGCAGCTGCGAAACATGATAAAAAGGTTCAAAAACTACCCAAATTTGCTATGTATTTTCAATGCTTTTTCATAGCAAACCAACTAGTAATACAGTACAATAAAGTAATTCAAAACGACAAATTATTTATGCTTGTGTGATGACCTAATCGGTTTGCTGGGTACCTCAAAACTCGAGAAACCTTTTATAAATATGTTTGTATGATGACGATGTTCAATATTTACCATAATAATCCTAGCTACACAACTTTGTATCACAAAACAAAAAAAAATTATAGCCATAGCATCAGTAGGCAATAAAAAACAGCGTGTTTAAAATATTATGTTGCTTACCAAAAAACCATGTCAGATATATAGAGATGACGAATTAGCTGCTATAGTGGCAATAGAAAAACACCAAAGCCTACAAAGTACAAAATGCAAAAAAGAAACGAATAGTTATTACCACAACAGTTATGAGTGCGGCTGACTTTACTGTCAAAAGAAATATTTAGAAAAAGTATAAGGAATTGAAGATTTTAGAAAGTCACGTGGACACTTCACTCTGTCATGTTTTTATGTGTACATAACATTATGCGCCTGTGCAAATTCAGCATCGAGTTTTCAATTCATCTTTGTGTTGTTTCAAACACATCTTGCGTTTGTCGTATATTATGAAAATAACACATCATTGAAGAAACGTAATTAATTTTGGTCAATAGCCCCCCCATATGGTTTTCTATATTTGAAGTTGTGCAATATAGCTGTGTGTGTCTTCAAATACTCCACAAACTAAGAACAAGCGAGTGCAGATTCATTAAGATTTTAACATGTAATTTTAACAATTTCAACATAACTTTTTAAAAACTGAAACTGTAACTAAAAAAACATGTTTCACATCCTGATCAAATCGCGGCATTGTTTATGGGAGCATGTCGTCGAATTTCGAGAGTTTCAAAAAGCTTTTCACAATGACGGCATTAATGAACAGAACTCCACAAGCAAATTATACACTAATTCCTCATAGCTACATACCTTATATAATCACCTCTCTAAATATAAGAAGAACGATGTAAAAGATGTTAGAGTCGCGCTATAAAATAGACAAGCAGTTGAGGTACAGTTGATAATAATATTCTATAATCTTGAGAAGTGCATATCAGCCGCTGTTTAACCACATATTTTAAAATGTCACTTGTAAAAGTGGTTAAAATTGTAATAGGCTGTAAACATCAAATGTATCGATATAGTTCACGTTTGGGCGACAAAAAATCGCTTTCACAATTTTTAACTTTTAAAAGAACATTGCCTTGTTGTTTTATTCAATAAATTATTTTGCTTTTCTTCAACGGGCTCTCAACAGCTGCTTTATAGAGCCTCAAGATAAATATAATAGGAAAACTTTACAACATATGTTTAAGAATTTCACGACTATAAATCAATAATACAATTCAGTTCATTCCAATATGACATCGCACTAAACACTTTCGGTACAATAACTAATATTTCATCCTTTTTGAAGACTACGCATTTGCCATTTTCTTGTTACAAATTGTCGAATAATTAATGCTTTGTATTTTATAACTTAATGTTTTGTACTTTTACATGCTACTACGAGACAAGGACATGTTAAGACATTGCTGAGTTTAATTGTTAGAGGGAGATCTTGTTTTTCTAATTTAAATTCTTTGCTCGTCTCAACAAGGAATTTGACGATAATGAAATACTATTGAAGATTTTCTCAGAGATATCTCTTACCCAAATGTATACCCAAACATTATCTTATCATGACCTCTTCATTCAAATGATTTGTCAAGAAAAATCCATAACCATATTTTTAATGACTTTGAACAATTTTAAAACGTAAGGACTAAATGCAATGCACATTCTATATGATGTTTACACTTTGCGCTTCCATTTGGTTTAATTTTTTTTAATTCAGCACCTCCAAAAAAATTCGTTTCGTCGCCCCTGGTTTTGTACACAACGAGAATACGTTAATTGAAACAAAAGCAAAGAAGTTTTCGTAGATTGTTAGTGATTACTTGTTATACGTGACGTAAATCTATCTTTAAAGGGGTCAATGGACGTGGGCTTGTGTCACGATGTAAACATAAACACTACAGTAAGTCTGATCAAAAAATATTTCTCTGGTTATTCAACCAGTTGATTAAAAAATCCCATATAAGTAAAGTACAAAAAGATCTTTATAAAATGAAACAGTTTTCTGTCTTGTTTTAAACGTAGGCTATATAATGGATATATCTTATGTACATAAAAACACCTACCTTTCAAACGAAATGTTTCTCTCGTATGAAATCAAAAATAAACATATCAAGTTGAAATGACCTTTCTCTAACTACACGTAACGTAGTGTTTCTCAATCTTCCAACGATTTGTCATTTGTGATGAGCAGTTGATGAATGCGAGGTGAAATATGGAGAATATCTGGGATGCGTAATTGCTTGATGACCTTAAATATTAGATACGAAATTAATAAATTTTTAATTAAAATTCTCGACAAATGTTGAAATAATAATCAAACAAGTCCGTCATTTTTTCCGTAAACACAACAGGGTTTATAAATATTTTTTACGAGTTTTACCATATTGACATATTATTTAGAAATATTCCATTAGAAATTTTCGTGTGAACATTAAAGATGGATGAGCTACTAAATATACAAAATATTTCAGAGAAAAATAAAACATGTTTTTTTTAGAAAACAGTACAAGTATTTCAAATGGGCATCGTGAAATTTACCACGAATATGTCAGAATAAAAAAATTCACGAGCATGTCAAAAAACGAGAGATTTAAATAATTAAATAACATAGCACGCACCCACTGGGCACATGCCTTTTACGACAATGTATGAAAGTAGTAGTGGATACATTACTCACTGTTTTTGATCATCTCAGTTGAATAGCATTTTCTTCACATGAACTTTATTCCAATAATGACGTAATCGGAACTGACATATCGCGATAATAACAATGAGAACAGCAGTGGAACCAATAGATATGCCAATAATTGCGGCCAAGATCAAAAAACTATCTAAAGATATATATCACGACGTAAGTATATGTTGGTAAACGTTCAAATTTTTCAAATCATAATAAACAGATTATTTTCGTTCCGTTGGACCAGACGAATTATAGAAACACATGTGCATACGTAAAAAGCCTTGAGAGACAATTTTGAATATTTTAGTTTTACATTATTTCTATAAATTTCTCTGTCCGGTAAACTTATACCTCTCATTAAAACGTTGACAGTTAAACAACTAAGTTTGAAAAAAGAAAAAGGATAATAGGAGCAAAAGGGAATCGAGAGAGTACAATGAATTAATCTTTAGAAATGTATCGTCTGATGATACTCACTAACACTCACACATACCTAGCACTTTCTCACACACATACGGGTATTTTTTGCTACACTTCGAGTCGTACCAGGCCACTTTGTTGTTCCAGCGATTGATTCGTACGCAGTCCTCGCCAGGACATAGTTTATCCGAGCCTCTTTTCTGGTGAATTTTATCGTTTGGTTCGCCATTGTCCCAGTTAAAATATGAAGCCTTGTTGGATAACTTTCCAACATCAGAGTCAAACCATACGTACTTGCCTGCATAATGAAAGTTGTAAATTATATCTTTTCTATTTTGGCAAAGATATCAGGTACAAACGATCTTTAATGAAGATCGCTTAATTTAATGGCATAGCTACAACTACAAATTGTTCAAAACCAAAAGATGATTATGCTTGAACCTATATGTCATAAACTTGTTCAGTTATTAGTGCTTTTTCTACTAAAAAGAGATGCAAAATGATATTCTATTGCGCCAAATGTATGAATATAAACAGCAGTACAATGACACAAAAAATAACCTGCGTAGGTAGTTGTTAAAGAAAATTCCAAGTCAATTACCTGATTCAGCAATATCATTAAGAGCAATCCAAATATTTCTTGCGATCAACTTTCCAACAAATTTTAATACATCAGGATTTTCTATCGATACCAGACGTCCTCCAATATACTGGCATCTTTTCTTAGCATCCTTCCAAATTACTTCATCACGGAAGTATTTGTAACAGCGCTGAGAAAAACACGACCAAGACGACGAAACTGCAAAAATTTATTACTTGTTTTGTTAGACTATCACTAAAAACTCAACGTTAGGTTACTTCAAACAAAGACACTAAACTAGAGAACATAAAGACGAAGTTTTGATAAGAATTCATTGCATAAGACTTCATGATTAAACGGCACAAGTGCCGTTTTAAAAATATCGATAATCGTTGAAATTGATCTTACCGTTAAAATTCCTCATGTCCAGCTGACAAACAAACGCGTTATACCCATTGCAAATCATATCATTCCACTTTAAACTACCATATTTCATTTCTACACAATTTTCAATGTTACAATCTTCATTTGTATTGCTTGGTTCACTCTTTGCCCATGAAAAATAATGTACGGTTTCATCTGCATCGTTATTCCAAGTGTATTTAGATTCAGAATAACGATCATTTAATCCGATCCACGCCCCTTCACCACTTTCTAACAAAGATGAGACGAACCTGACAAATATGTAATCAATATTATTAATGTGTATACCAACAATGATACACATTATTGTAATATTTATACAGCTATTGATATTATTAGACAGTTCAAGTTAATCATTGTCAATGTACATAATACACAAATCATCATTAGTGTACTCTCATTCTCTGTTGTTCATTCATCACTACCTACACTGAGACACCTTATCTTAGTTTATATTTTAGGTAATGTAAAGACTGTTCTTGTTCTCTGTTGCTCATTCATCACTACCTCTACTGACACACCTTAACTTAGTTTATATTTTAGGTAATGTAAAGACTGTTCTTGTTCTCTGTTGCTCATTCATCACTACCTACACTGACACACCTTAACTTAGTTTATATTTTAGGTAATGTAAAGACTGTTCTTGTTCTCTGTTGTTCATTCATCAAGACCTACACTGACACACCTTAACTTAGTTTATATTTTAGGTAGTGTAAAGACTGTTCTCATTTCTCATTTATCATTTTTTTCGTCATCCAAGTTTCTTGTCTAGTCCGTGTAACAGCAATGGTTTTTTCTTCATAGAACTACATACTCCTAAAACATACTCGTTTTCTTCCTTGCTTTCAACGACGGTGAGTTTAGCTCCTTTGGAACGACAACTATCCAAAGAATTTTCCCAACTTTTAGGCGTTGCAAAATATTTGTAGCATCCTTCCTTGAAATATTTCCAGCCAACATCACATTTTTCTGACAAAAAAAAGACATGAAAAACATTTCACAAGTACGACAAAAATGGATTGTTTACGCCTCCGCTCGTTTCTGTTTAATTCGTTTTCTGTGAAGAAAACGTGAAAACATTACATAGCAAAAGAAAGACCCAAAACAATCACAAAGTTTGTCATTGTTATTGAAGCCCAGTCAGTCTATTATAAGTATTTTGGCATTGATCAAACTCTTCTTGCTTTTGGGCACTGGACAAGGACTTACTTTGGCACCAACTTTTGCATTTCCCTTGAAAATATGGACTTTTCTTTTCGTTATCGCCACATTCTGTTCAAGGCAAAAATAGATTAACTCTTAACCTTTTCATCTTATCAAAGAAACAAGTATTTTAAAGAGTAAAATATCAAAGAAACCAGTACTAATCGATATTTTAAATCATTAAAATTTTCTCTCAACAACCATGATACCTTTCACAGTAAGCCAGAATTGAAAGAACTCTTTTCTCTCAACTGTTTGTACGGAGGTTGAATAATATGCGCCATCTGAAGCAGTTAAATCATAAATGTGTAAATAATTGCCATCTTGTACAACACGGGATGATGTTGTTAATGGACGTGTATTTTTACGCCATGTCCAGTTTCCAACTACGCTGTATGACGGTCGTGCAGTGAAAGTAATACATTGGCCAACGTAAAGTCTGACTGGATTCTTAGAATGAATAAAATCTTGTTTGCCTGTAATAGATAAAATTGAAAACGTACATACCATAAGAAAAAAAGAGAATGAATACTTTAAAGAAGGCAGAAGATAAATATAACTACAAACACAAGCATTTAAAGGAAAGAGGGAAAATGAATACTCCAAGGAGAGAAGACAGAGACCTCAGTTAAAGAGAGACGATATATACCCTAAAGAAGAGAGAAGATAAATAACTTGGGAAACAGACACGAAGTATCACAAAAACTCGTATGACAAGAACAAAAAAATAAGAATATAAAAATATAAGAAACAAAGTGCTAGTTGGTAGGCGGTGAGCACAGCGATAACGAAAACAGATTATAAGAATCATTGTTTTGAATAGCAAACATCAGTTACATCACAGTCATGCAAAAGAAGCATTAGGTAATATTTTCTAAAACCTACCGATTCCGAAGTCAAAGTGTTTTAACAGTAAAACGCTAATAGCGAGCCACGTTTGAGGAATAGAAATTAGACACATCACAAGCGCCTAGAAATTGGGCCTATAATATAACAGCTTTAAACCACTCGCTTTATGTAACTCATGTAAGGCATACATGTAACATGAGATTGAATAACTTTACAGACAATCTTACGAGTCTGTCAAGTAAGACTCTTTTCCCAATACGGTTTGTTTTCTTGTACTTGGCTAAGAAGCCAATATGATACAGTGCTATAAGAAATAAGCTAGACAGCCATTACAAGAAGTGAAGTTGAAACGTTGATACAGATTGAGTACATATATCAATGTTTGCATAGAAACAACAAGACGCGATCGATTGACGCGTATCGAATGTCAACTTTGAATCAGTAAAAGATCATATTACCATATCCAAAAACTGGTAACGTCATATTAGACAACCATCGAAAGAGAGCAGTAGTAAAAGTTGAAAATATTGATGAATTTTATCATTTTTATTCCAAATTCATGAACGACTAGTTGCTCAAACTTTTGGTTCCAACATGTGGTTCAAATTTGTACCAACACAGGAGTGTGAAATGCCGGATTCAAAAGAATTACCATTACATGAAATTAGTGTTTTGGTGGGATTTTTTTAAGAAAATACTTGAGTGAAACAAAAAAAAATCTATTCGCAAATATTTATCGTACTGTTAAAATAGACTGGCCTTGAAAACTATGAAAAGTGTCTGCCATTATGATCATTAAAAAGAAAACTTTCAAGCTTAGTTTAATATCCTGGTGATAGTTTGTACAATAAGAAAATTAAAAATCGTCTACACAACATGCCACAATTGTTTCGAAAATTGTGTCGTGTCATGTCATCATACATTTCATGACATCATACACACATGACATCATACAAAATATCAATGTATGACATCATCAAGCCTCTTCACCTTCCTCCTCCTCATCATACTCGCCTACTTCATCCACTGTAGCTTCTTGATATTGCTGATACTCAGAAACCAAATCATTCATATTAGATTCAGCCTATCAGAGAGGGAATAAATTAAACTCGTGCATCTGGACAAACGTGTTTCAAGTCGTTCGTAGTTGTCCAACCAGGTTGGAATATTTGGCTGTATGGTCAAACATATTTATGTTGTTCATGTTAGAAACTTGTTAAAACACGAAAACTTAGTTGAAAACAATGTTTGCAGTTTGTATTGATCACATGTTGTTCATGTCTGTTTTCTAGAGCCAAAATTTGTGTATTTAACCTATGTAATACTGCACAATGCATTTAAATAATGAAAATCAAGTAAAAATAATATAATGACCAAAGTTGAAGACATTTAGATCATTGGACAAAACACCAGAGGACATATATAGCACAAGGACTTGCAAGATATAAGAATAAGAAAAGTGGAAACAAACACGTATGATATAAAAATCACTTTTAGAAGAAAAAATGGGAAGGCATACCTCAGTGAACTCCATTTCATCCATTCCCTCTCCTGTGTACCAATGTAAAAAAGCCTTACGACGAAACATAGCCGTGAATTGTTCGCTCACACGCTTAAAAAGCTCTTGAATTGAAGTATTATTACCTATATGAATAAGACGTTACATTTTCTTTTTTCGTCCAAATTACAATTACAGATGATTTCAAAATACGTACGCAGCAGTCAGCACGGATAACACAAAAAGAAATTTTTTAAAACATCTTATAGCTTTATCTACTTTACCCTCCAATTTTGATCATCCGAAAAAATTCCAAAGTATGTAAACCTTAGAATCTACATCTTAAAACGTTGCATGAACCGTTCAAACAAAAAATAGAAATCTCGTTGTGGTAGTGGTAGATTTTTAGCATTGCCGATTGACAACATTTTGTAAAAGTGAACTCTTAAAATCACATTAAACTTACCAATGAAAGTTGCCGACATCTTGAGCCCACGTGGTGGGATATCACAAACAGCAGTCTTAATGTTATTCGGAATCCACTCGACAAAATAAGAGCTGTTTTTATTTTGTATATTCAACATTTGCTCGTCGACTTCTTTCATCGACATGCGCCCACGAAACATCACCGCTGAAGTTAGATAACGTCCGTGACGCGGATCACAGGCGGCCATCATATTCTTGGCATCAAAAACTTGCTGAGTCAGCTCAGGAACTGTGAGAGCGCGATATTGCTGAGAACCACGACTGGTGAGGGGGGCAAAACCAGGCATAAAGAAATGAAGACGAGGGAATGGAACCATGTTTACAGCCAGCTTACGGAGATCTGAATTAAGCTGAAACAGAGAAGAAAAAAGAACTAGTGATGTACATTTCAGTTTATTTTTTTCTTAACGTAAGTATTTTTATTCCCCATTGTACTGTCTTAGTCAAAATTAATTGTATTTTGAACTTTTGTGTCTGTATATACACCATTACTGAGTTTTAATGATGAATATATGTTTGTAAAAAACTTGACATTTCATAAACTTCAGTTCAGTGTCTTTACTTTGATTGATATGAAGTTGAAACTGGAATTTTTCAGGAATGACTATAACTGAGACATTACATTCACTTAATAGTTGATTATTGAGTAATTCAGTAATTCTTGTTCACTAATAGTTAGTAATAACTTTATAAGAGTTATTTTAGAACAATTAGTTTCTACCTAAGGTTCTTCACGATTATAAACAAAAACATACCTGGCCAGGAAAACGTAAGCAGGTGGTTACACCACTCATGGTCGCTGATACTAAATGATTAAGATCCCCGTATGTGGGTGTGGTTAACTTAAGCGTTCGGAAACAGATATCGTACAAAGCCTCATTGTCAAAACAAAATGACTCGTCCGTATTTTCAACCAACTGATGAACGGAAAGAGTTGCGTTATAAGGTTCAACTACTGTATCAGAGACCTTTGGCGATGGGACAACACTGAAAGTGCTCATTATTCGGTCGGGATACTCCTCCCTGACTTTGGTAATGATTAGAGTTCCGAGACCAGATCCCGTACCTCCACCAAGAGAATGTAAAAGTTGAAATCCCTGTACGCAATCACAACCTTCAGCTTCTTTACGAAGAACGTCTAACACCGAATCCACTATCTCTGCCCCCTCTGTGTAGTGGCCTTTTGCCCAGTTGTTGCCAGCGCCACTCTGACCTGTCAAAAGCAAATAAATGAATTTGGATGATCACCGAATTACGTGAGATTCTAAGATGAAAAGACACGTCTAAAACATACCAAAAACAAAATTATCGGGACGAAAGATCTGGCCAAATGGTCCAGATCGTACCGAGTCCATCGTTCCAGGTTCCAGGTCAACGAGAACGGCGCGTGGAACATAACGACCACCTGTGGAATAGATAACGATCGTTTTATTATGTCAAAAGCACAAAAAAGGTTTTTCGGAGGGAAATCCGTTGCAGAGAAAGAAATTCATTTATTGTGGGCCGAGTATTGATTTGCGAGCAACAAAAGTAACAAATTTTAAGATAAATCCTCTGCGCATGCGTATTCAGGTTGAGCATTCGAAGTCAAATTGACCAGCTGCCTGAGTTCATGGTCATAGCAACGACCAACTTCATCTACTAGCACCGAAACAATTTAATAGCAAAATCATCTTCGCATGCGCTAGAGCATGCGCAGTCCACTTGACTAATTGTTCATAGTCATGACAACGACTAACTATATGTACTTGCATTACATTTGAGGCAATTAGCTTACTTAGTCACAAATTATCAAAGAAATCATCTGAGCATGCGCAGTAGTGACTTTAATAAACCACAACTTTCGTAAGCCTTTGAATTTTTGTATATATATATAAAGCCAATATTGGATATAGTAGATGTCAACTAGCAGTGGAAGCTGGGTGCGATATAGTATGCAGTGGCTTAGGGGCCCACACTTCAGTGGCGACCGCACTCTCCCTGCGTACCACGAGCAAAGCCTATCGCAGGTGATCTCGGGGTCTGATGGGCGGAAGCTTGCTATTGCATCTCCCAAGTAAGATAGCGTGGAAGGGCCGAAATCTCCTACCGAAACGTTACAATGCGGCGTTCTAGTGCCTTGCGATTAAGAAGGTATCGGGAAGCATGGCTCGAAAACGGGGTTTTTTGCTTTTGAATTTTATCTTTTTGAATTTTATCTTATCTCATAAAAAAAACTAGAACATCCAAGCATACTACAAAGGTTCAAACAACTTCTGCCTTTTCGAATTATAATTTAACAAACTCTAAACATTTTTATACGTTTTTTAGTTGTTATCTTTTACAATGTAACTTTCTCATAACTCTCTCGTGGTGAACGAGAGCCTCCTTATACAATGTAACTCCCTCATCATGAACGAAAGCACCCATGGGCTTCATGGAAGAAAGGGATTATCTACTTTTTTAATAATAGTTTTTACAAAGATAATATTTAATAAGCCAAGCCATTTGTATCGTCTAAATTGAACTCTTATGTCATAAAATTATAAAATTTTGATTCATTTTCGATAATAAATTTCTTTTTACTTTACCATTTTTTCTTGATTCAATCTAGAAAGTAACTTTACTTCTGAGTAATTTTGCAAAAAAGTCATTAGCGCGACATCATGCCAGTATTCAAGCTTCCCTTCGATCGTTATGCTTCTAACCCAAAATGGTTAATATTTACCGTTATGTCTTCTGCCTTTATAAATAATCGCTACGAATAACTAGAATCAGATTCACAAATGCCCCAAAACTCAAAAGCATCTCTTAACCATTTTATTGCCACCATTCCGTATTTTTGACACGTGTGTCTACCGTCGAAAAGGTGGATTGAAACGTATTTCCATTTTAATTAAAAAACTAATCCTGTAATAATTTAATTTTGTGATACTTGGCACGGTCATATTGCACACCACCAGAGATCCAACAAACCTGAAACTTCATTGTAATACACATTAATCCTTTCCAATTGTAGATCAGAGTCTCCGTGATAAGTTCCAGTTGGATCAATACCATGCTCATCAGAGATAACCTCCCAAAACTATAAACAGAGAACAAGCAATAAGAGTTCCCAAAGTTAGATGTGAGGTAAATCAAAAATGGAGAGCAACTTGATTTTCAAAGGGATGGTTCATTGAATATATAAAAACCAAATACATTAACAGTCCAACTTGAAAATAAATGAAGTGAAAACAAAGATTCCTGCTAAAGAGAAGCTAAATGATCAGCTTCAACCATAAAAAACCTACGAAGAAATAAATAATGACAGATGAAAAATGTTAAGTTTTGGTTACTAAGTCTGCAAATGCCCAACTTCTACATATTTAACGGAAAACAATGCAGTCAAGATAATGAAAATGGTTTCAATACCTTGGCTCCCATTTGATTACCACATTGCCCTGCTTGAATGTGAACAATTTCCCTCATTTTATTGTAAAAATTCTACAACTAGCAATAACGATGATGACAATGTTAGCAATAACCGCGGTCACTATTACTGGCTAAACAAGTTATTCACTACATAGTATAGAAGTGTAAAATATCTTTCATTCCAAATCCTTTTTAATCTGGTGTTGATCTGAGAATCAACATCAACAAGGGGGTAAGTTAAGATAGATCAAACATCATTACGAATGCTTGAAATAATGTAATAATAACTTGAATGCACGTAGTATATAATTTTTAAAGATTGAAATTTTAATGTGCTTCAGTACCATTGTGTGACTGTAATTTCCAGTTTACATGACTTGCAGTGACATTGGAAAATAATATTTGTACAACGTACGGCAGTAGTGAAAAAAAAATCCACAAATGTTTTTATGCATTCCAATGAATCTTGTTCGATAACATATTATGCTCTGGAAAAGTGAAAAATGAAGCTATGCATATGTTTGATCGACGATTAGTTTAATTAAAACAATATGATGATAATTATGACAAAGATATATTGTTGTTTCCGTTATTGATTATCGACCATTATTTTATTGACAACAGGAAAGATAAACAAATCATCGCCAGTTTAACATTTAAATTTTTATTGCCACACATTACGGGAAAGTTTCAGCAAGCGTATTCGAAATAAACTTCGCCCGAAATTGATTGAACATTTTTAAACAAAAAACCATCTTTGACACAGTCCTTTCACATTACTCAACTCATCTACTTAAAAAAATGATAAAATGCCAAATATTCAATGCATAGGCAACTGTTGTAAGAATTTCTTACTTTTTTATAAAAAAAGATACTCATAGAAAAATTTGCGACAGTCAATTTACGTACGTTAGCTATGAATGTTAGGCGACAAATACATATACATACAATATTTAACGACCCCAAATCAGGTTCACCTTCGATAATGTCCAGATTTTCCACCACCTTTCTCCAATAGCCGCACATCACAAATCACGATATCTTTGGAGACAGCCTTGCACATATCATATACAGTAAGTGCTGCCACAGAAACACATGTCAATGCTTCCATTTCCACACCTGTTCTACCATGACATTTTACTTTTCCTTCGATTACAACACTCCAAGTTTCTTCATTTAAGACAAAATCAACCGCCACATCACTCAACAGAATATTATGACAAAGTGGAATAAGATCAGAGGTCTTCTTCGCCGCCATTATCCCAGCCAGTTTTGCAACATTTAAAACATTTCCTTTCTCGATACTATTCTCTTTGACCAATCGAAAAACCTCTTTTCCAAGTCTTACAGTGGCAATGGCCACACTGAAGCGTCGTGTTTTCTCTTTTTCTCCCACGTCGATCATTTTTATATCGCCATCTTCATTCACATGTGTCAAAATATCACTAATTTCTGACATTTCCCGATTACTCTTATAAGTCATTTTTGATTCCATGTCGTCTGTTGTCAAGGACGTTGTATTCAAATATCGTCGCAATACATTAAAATTTTGTTGTACTTTGGTTATATGCGGAGCATTTAACTTTTTAAACCTAGAGCTCTTAGAGTTTTTTTGTTCAAAGTGATAATGTGGAAACAAAAATTCCTCGATAGCACATTTTCTTTTTAAAGTTCCAACCACGTCGGAGTATATAATCATGGAAAAATATTTGCAGAGAATTTCTTTCCATGATGTGCAGCATTGTTTGAAATTAAAGCCGCATCGAATATCACTTTTGAAATTCCCTGTATTGCTATGAACAGTTGTGAAAGAAATATTGACGATAGCCGTCAGACGGTTAAAATTACGAATACCTTGTAGGACGTACTTCTCGCTCGTTATTGTTAAAATTTTAAATTTCTCATTGCTCAATTTGGCTGATGTTTCGTGGATATTTTGATCTAAATATAATAACAACAATATAAAGCCAACTTGCTCGAGCTTACGCAAACATAGTGAAAACTATATAGCAGTACAAAACTATTGCTATGAAGTACTTAACAGTTACCTACAGGTTAGTTTACCCACCAATGAGAATCATGGGACGGTTTTTCTGCTTTGCAATATTAAACATGCCTAGAGAGAAAAATATTCCATAGTTTGATAAACCGTTTTTGTACAAATACCTCCACATTTTCTTGTTACATTGTGTTTGTACAAGAAGTATCAAAGTAAATGGTTTGAACCATTGACTCTGAAGATGACTACCGCTAAGGTTGTCGAAACGTCAGTCAACAACAACAAAAACAGTCCTTCTCAGGACTATACCAACCTGGACGATCTCATTTACAAACGTAGAAGTAACCTTATGCAGTTTGTATGTATTGTGCTGTCATATAGTCATACTCAATGATTGAGGGAGTAACTATTTATATATTCCATTACAAACCGTAATGAAACAATAGTTTCACCCACACTTCCTACCTGCATGTTCTTTCTTCTTGCGTAAAACGGCTGCGGAAATGACGTCAACAAGCTCTGCTTCATTCGATCCAGACCTCAGAAGTTCACGTAAACTTACTTCAGCCGCACCAAACAAACAAACCTAGGCACAAAATTAATTTCTGTATCATGTGAAGTTCGTGTATCATAATCTATGATAATGAAACGATAATCACGTTTCATTGACAAGTAATGTTCTAACAACATCATTTAAACGTAGATAAAAAAAAGTAAAAATATATACTACACAAATAACAGGTAACTAGATCGTTTTAATTTCACGTTATTTATACATTTTAGACGGAAACATCTGAATATGCCCAAAACACAAACTTTGCGTCTTCGTTAGTACCTTGAGATTTCCATCAGCAGTAATTCGCAGTCGGTTACATGAGCCACAAAAATGCTCACTCATTGACGTCACAAATCCAAGTTGACCAGCAAAACCAGGAATTTTGTACGCCTAATAAAACAATAAGTGTACAACCAAATTTCAATAACAATGGGCTATGGTGAACTTTATATGTATATATATATATACATTTCAAAATACATATGTGAGAAGGACGAATTTACTATTTCCATAAAGTAAGGATATTGTACGCTGCAATATGACATCACGCTAGCGTAGATGCGTTGTAAACTGTCTTTCGCACTGATTAGGTCAGCAATTACTGCGATACGAGGAAGTCGATCTGCCTCAACTCGCGAACATTCTTTAAATATTGACCTAGGTTATTGGGAAAGTTGTCTTTACATTTGACTGTCCCTTTATCATGGATATTTTTAAACACTGATTTTAGTCATATTTGATTTAGTTTTTTAACATTTATATATGTAATAGATATATATTGTACGTGATCTTTCAAATTTGACCACATACGTAACAAAGCAATGTCAATTTCTCATTAGGGAAAAAGGAGGACATCCTCTTAGCTTTCAATAATTATTCATAAAAAGTCAGTCCACAACACCAACTGATAAAGGACAAAAATGGCCAGGCTAGAATTGAAATATTCTCCATCAAATAAAAACATTACAAAATTCGTTCCCAAAACGTAGAGCTCCTCCAGTTTTTTGGATGTACCCCCCCCTGCTTATAATGAGATAGTAGTTTGTGAAATTATTTCTAAATTCAAGTCAACTTACTTTAGACGTTTCGTTTACAGCATTCTCTAGTTTTACAACATTGGACCATTTTGCGCGAATTTTTTTCAACATTTCTTGATAGGAGACAAACTTATGAAAATTCCATTTGTTTCCTGATCAAAAATAAAGGCCTTTAACAAATGATTGGAATCATAAAATGTTAATGAATATATTGATAAAAGTAAACGGTGAACCATCAAAATCTTGATGTGAAAGTAATACATATCAGAAAGTTCTCTTACCATCAAATGGCATGTATTCAATAAAACGAACATCAACAGGCTACAAACATAACAATCAAAAGACATAAAGTTTGATGCATTAAAAAATGGTCATTTTTATCTACACAAACTACATTTCTCACCATGTCTTGAGTCAGAGCCACAAAATCACAGATTTCATCATCATTTAAGCCCTTCATCACAACACAGTTAATCTTGAAAATAAAAAAAACTAGCCTCCAAGCTTATACTGAATCTACCCCAATGGAGAAAAAAAACATCCGATTCTGCTGCAATTAAAACAACCTGAAATGGGTACCTTAAGGGGATGAAAACCAAGGTTGACAGCCATATCAATGGACTTCATAACCTTATGCCACCCTAAATGAAAAAAAATACCAAATAGCAACAACTTTAACTTTAAATACACTGGATCAGGACTATGACAAAGAGAGGTGTGTCTGTTATCAAACTTGTATTGATGACTTTCATGTATTTTAATATAAATACAACATTTTTATATACAATCAACCATAAAACTATTTTCTTTATTACAGCATGGAAAGGGTACAGCATTCCTTCCATGACATCTCCAAAATTTAAACAGTTTATTGAGTATGTATATACCAGTATGTTTTCTTCTAGTAATGAACTCAAACTTCTTAGGCACCAATGTATCAAGACTAATATTAAGAAGATTTAATCCCGCTTTTTGTAAATCTGGAAGAACTCTTGAAAGAATAACTCCATTTGTTGTCATGGCAATGTCTTTTAAATTTGGCATCTGACTTAGTCTTTCTGAAAACAAAATAGATGGAAAATTGAATATTGAATTTTACATTCTAAAAAGACAAGTGTGTGAGATACAGGTGAAAATTTTACATTTTAAAAAGACAAGTGTGTGAGATACAGGTGAAAATTTTACATTCTAAAAAAGACAAGTGTGTGAGATACAGGTGAAAATTTTACATTCTAAAAAAGACAAGCATGTGAGATACAGGTGAAAATTTTACATTCTAAAAAAGACAAGTGTGTGAGATACAGGTGAAAATTTTACATTCTAAAAAAGACAAGTGTGTGAGATACAGGTGAAAAGAAAAGTTGATTATAAGCATAAAGACAAAAGACTCCACTAAATTGTAAGGACACAAATTTCAATCTTGAATTCCTCAAAAAAGCCTCTAAACAGCACAAAGATGTCTTGTTGAATTGGAATGAAAGAGTAGATCTCACCACATATAGTAACAACATCTTTTCTAAGTAAAGGTTCTCCTCCTGTTAGACGAATCTTTTCTACTCCTTGATTTACAAATAGTTTACTGAGACTAATAATTTCATCTGTAGTAAGCAATTGATCTTTTTCTGTCAATCGAACACCTTCCTCAGGCATGCAATATTGACCTAAAATATATTTGCATAAAGCACATCATTTAGATGAGAAATTACATCATGACAAAGAAATTCATTGTAACAAGATTTTATCAAGGATAATGTGTAACACCTTAAAATTTATCTTATCCAGAATCCTGCTGGACATTACAGGACAGATAGGTAATATTCAGGAATTTCACCAGGGAAAACACATGGTATATTAAGAATACTTATAAAGACAATAATGATGAGTCTGTCCAATTTAAGATCTAAGTCTGGGTAACCTTCAGTGAAACATATCAATACTTACATCTTAGATTGCAGATTTCATTGAGGGAAATTCTTAGATAGTTATGCTTTCGATCAAATGTATCTACTAACAATGATTTTGATTCATCTTTTTATAATCATACTCCTATATTCAAACAGTTAAAATATATTTTAGTCTAGCATACCTAAAGTGCAATTTATGTCATTTTCATGTTTTAATGCTTGTGTTCATTTTTCTTTTGGTTCAATTAAAATCTCCAAGACTCTCATGGTAGCACCTAAACACCTTCAAAACCAGTAGCATAGCCAAGCTGCAGACTTACTACGCTATGTAAATTTTGAAAGATTACCATTATTCATTTCTTTAGAAATCCATTGCTGTAAAAGTCAATGAGCTATGAACACAAAAAATATTACCATAACAGGAGAAAAGTTGTGCTTGCTATGCTACCGACCCTGAGAAGAGCATGTTAACTTTGACTTATGATAATAAATAATTCTAACAGGGATATGGTTAAATACACATTATTTGTTTGTGCAAGACTACATGAAAGCTAACGGTTGAAAAATGCAATCTTTTATAAATGGAATGGACAACGTAGTCACATAAAGTAAACTTAATCAATACTCACATATTGTTCCCTCACATTTATTTTACGGGTAGATAATGTCTTCATAAAACTACATTGTTGAAACTGATTAGCTGGAATATCTACTATTTCTTTTTTCAACTTCCTCCAAGCAAAGCCAACACTCGCATTTAAAATTCGCAATCCGAACATTTGTACACAAGTTTTTTAAGCAGAACCCATTCCATACATTTAATTAAACAAATAATTTGAAAAAGTATATCTTGTGCATATAACATGAAAGAAAATTGGAATGTGATGAATGATGATGGCACGTTGGTAATGGCACATTTACACTGTTTATCATCACCGAAAATGATAACAACTGGTTACTCAGCTCAAGTCATTTTGATAAAGGGCTTTATGCAATCATGCTAAGTTGTGAGACGAAATATTATAAATATTTAGAGAGCAGAACGTTTATGTATCTTTAACACATAAAATAGTTGATTTTATTCAGAAATATTTCTGCGATTTTATGTACTCCACAAACTGTGAATACTTCCTCCTACTTTTCCAATTCGTCATTTCTATGGTTACTTTCATGAAATCCCTGTCTTTCAGTCACAACAGCACAGCACAGGACATCACATCACACCACATTAAAGCACAGCATAGCAGGACAGCAAACCAAAGCACACCACATTACACTAGGTACTCCAATACACAGTAATAATTAATGGATACAGTTAACTTCTATTGGCTAAGATATCAAAAGACGTCACCAACATAACACGAGATTTACAAATTCGGATTCGTTTCTCCAGCTTTTTGTTTTCGTTTTTCAAAACTTCAACGAGCAGAGGATCGTCAGAATTCATGTCTTGAGATTCAACTAGTGTGAATAAAAGTAATTAAGATAACTTTTACGTAAACTAGTGCTTCAACAAACATGCCATATACATGTCAATGTTTCAACTATATGTATAGTAAGCGATATTGCATGTTACTCACGATAAAAGCTCCATCGGGTTTCATTAAGAAGCAAGCGGTTCTTTGCTTGACACAACTCATTTTGAGCTCCACTTGCTTGCTTCTTAACCTTATGATGTTCCACTTGTGAATATCAAGTATGGAGTCATTCTCACGTTTATTATTGTTCTCCTAAAATACACATTTTTTTTCCAAGATTAGCTTCATCAGTAAAATCGGATATTTTGACGGCAGGTTACACTTTGAAGAAGTTGTTCGTCGGTGTTGATGACGTGTTGGTAGAGCAAAGAACAAGATGGCATTACCATACCGTATATATCATTGCTATGGTAATATCGCTCATATACTAATGGTGACGCATGGTGATAGAGATGCTAGGACATATACTAATGGTGACGCATGGTGATGGAGATGCTAGGACATATACTAATGGTGACGCATGGTGATGGATGACATATACCAATGGTGACGCATGGTGATGGAGATGCTAGGACATATACTAATGGTGACGCATGGTGATGGAGATGCTAGGACATATACTAATGGTGACGCATGGTGATGGAGATGCTAGGACATATACTAATGGTGACGCATGGTGATGGAGATGCTAGGACATATACTAAGGGTGACCCATGGTGATGGGCATGCTGGAACATATACATATGGTGAGAAATGATGATGGACATACTAGAACAAATACTTATGGTGAGAAATGGTCATAGACATACTAATACAAATACTTATGGTGAGAAATGGTCATAGACATACTGGAACATATACTTATGGTGAGACATGGTGATAAACATGCTAGAATAGACATCAATGATGAGAAATGGTGACGGACAAGATGAAAAATATACTTATGGCGCACAATGATGATACACTAATTAAGTCACTCACTCGTCTCTCGTCGATGTCATAGAGACGTTCAAATTCAATTCGGTTACTGCCAGAGAAAACAGTTTCAATGCAACGAGACTCATCTGAAATACCGCAAGAAAGAATTGAAAATAACACACGACAAATAATTCGTATGCCGAACATAAAAATGTATTCTGTGACACATTACGATAGGGCAGAAACGTCGAAGGATAAAGCAAAAAATAATTAAACCATATTGTAACATTACCTGTGTTCGAAGAATCCGGAATCATTAATTTTTCGTCAGCACTATCACTGCCAGAAACATGACTTGTAGTACAATCCCTCATGCTTTCGTAACCACTACTGCTAAGCTCTGAACCAAGTCTTCGGCGCCTTCGGGCAGGAGATTTTGATAAAGGCGAGTCAGTTAAACTCCCGTCACTTGCTAATCCACTGCTGTAACCATGAACACTTTCTCGTCGTCTACATAACAACAATAAACGACGATGATTCAATTCTACCGTGTTTAACATGATGAACTTTAAATTTCTTTAATAAACAAGACAAAATTTAGTGCTGTAGTATGACAGATGAAAGCTTTTAACATGCTCTTCATAAAGATGAATTAGAACTTTGCCATGGGTGGGGACAAAAATGCCAGAACAACGTCTGAAGGAGGGGACATTTACACCCAGTTTTTGTTTTGAAGAAGCCATAGAAATAATTTTTATTGTGAAAGAATTTATCTCTTTCAATTTACTCTAACCTTGCAGCCTTGAGCTTAGAGCGTTGTCGAAATACATCTAACATTTTACTGTCTTTTCGAGTCATGTTTTGTGAGGATGAAACATCTTTCTTTTGGACTGTAACATCTTCCTTTTCATGTTTAAGTTCAACACAATGAGGGACAAATGGTTCTGAGTATTTGAACTGCTTGTCTTTGATTTTGGGTTTCAATGGCGATGACTGACCAAAAGCAAATGCAGCACGACTTGTTATGGTAAGGGATACAGTTTTACGCTGTGATTCTGGAGTATCAATATTTTCCTTTTGTTCGTTGTATTTCCTCTGCTGTGAACCACAATATCTGAAAAAAGTCTTCATATTAAATTTGTGGAAACTTTCAATCTAACGGCAACTGGTACGAAAGCTGGCCAAAATTAGAATGTAAAGTCAGTCAGCAGTTTTTTACTTTGATTGTTTTGCTGAATATTCACAAGATAAAGGTGTAAATACTTGGCAACAAGGCATTATGCAGTTACATCTTCTGCCTTTAACTTTTCTTTCAATTCCTCGTGTAAATGATAAATTAAACTTAAACAGTGACAAAGTGAACATTACTTAAGTGGTAAAAAATCGGAAGCGTTGAACAAAAAATTTACATATAACATGCAACAAATACAAGAATTATTAAAATAGGAAAAAAGCGTCTCCTTACTTCAGTGTTACAGGTGCCTTGTTAAGACTACGTGGAATATTTGTCCCGTGTTGTCCTTCAATATCTATTTTCCTATCCATCTCACATCCCACGTAATGGACATAGGCCATTTTATCCCTAATGACCACCTTGTACTCCCTGGGTAGAGATCCCGAAGAAGCATAAAAAGACTTCAGACCACGACGAGGTGTCTTTACGTAATGTAGAGGGTCGGTCTTAGTGCTCTCGTATGAGTCTTCACTGTGCGTATCGCTACAATTTTCTCCTACGTCACTCAGGCAATTCCTGTTTGACAACAGTAAAGTTCTATTACGTGGACGTCGTTCCAGTTTTACTTTCTTTGGCGAAGTAGCACTAATTTGTGCAGTTTCTGCAACACAAGTTTTCTGGGGTGTGAGAGGTGGCTCCAATTTTTCATTCTCTTCATCGTGATTAGAAACATTGTAAAGAGATCTCTGATCTCTTTCATTGTCAGAATTTTTAATGAGCATTTGATTGACAACGTAATTTTCCAAAATAGACTGGATCTCCGTACTATTGGGGCTCGATGGAGAAACACGGGAAATTTTAAGATCCTGTGATTTACCCACTTTTGGTTTGCTATTTGCAATCTTTTCTTGTGCATCCGAGTCAGAGTCTGGCACAAGATGATAAAATGTCTCTAAAGGAGTATCTAACGCCGGAGAATGACTAAGTTCATCATCTTCTTCATCACTAAGCATTTTCTCAGGTTCTTCTTCAATAATGGGAACAAAACCGTTGGTTTCAAGGCTCTTTTCACTGTGATGCAGCTCCATTACGTCAACTGAATCACGTATGATTGTTGTATTTTGGTCAGAAGTCTGTGGAAGATCTTCTACAATGTTTTCTTTATCTTCATGGTTTATTTTTTCTAAAGGATCTTCCCAGAATTCACATGTTTCAGTGATCTTTTTCTTCTTTTTCAAGGTGAGGTTTTCAACGGAACCTTTCTCTGGAACTCTTTCAATATTTCCTTTAAATTCTTCACTTAAGTCATACTCTAGTTCCATACTTGGACATCTTTCGCTCATATCAGCGGGTTTTTCTTCAATTGCATCCAGTTTTGATCTAGAAACATACAAAAACTTTAAATGAGAACAATTTTTAAGGCGAGAAAGAAAACATGCTTCCTTTGAAACGAAAATCAATTTTATATTTTATAAAACAATTTCTGAACAAATACTTCAAGCTTTGATCCACTTTTACTGGCGTTGATTTCATACAATCGTTGCTCATATGCGATGGTCCTTCGTTATCCGTCAAATCTCGGTCACTAAGTTCACCATCTGGGCCACAGTAGATGACAGTATCACATGACTCTTCTCCTGTGCTTGAGTTGTAGTCCGAGTGACCGTTGTTATTCTGTTGTAACGGATCAGCGAGGGCACTGGTGCGGATTCTTGGTTTGCGCATTCTCATTTCGTCACACGAACTTTCCCCTCCAGACGAGCTAGTGCCAGATCCCTAAAAACGAAAAATTAAATAATTTTAGAAATCCCTATCTGATCACAGGAAATTCTTTTTTCCAAAAATAGCAATGTGTGCGTTTGTGTGAAAAATTACTTGTCCTGCTTTCTTTCTTCGCAGACGATGAATTCGGGCAGCAAACTGAACGCAAGAAAGCGACTCGGTATAGAACGGGATTGATGGGGATATATGAGCAACCATTGTGGCACGACAAGTTGTACTACCCAACGACTCTCGCAAAAGTCTAGTCAAAGTGCTATCCCTGAAAACAAGAAAAAATCTAATTAAAAGCTATTCATGAAATTGCGAGAAAGCAGTGTTTCAGGTGAATAAAAACTTAACATCAGTGCCTACTCTTTCCAAATATGTAAGCAGAAATACTCAAAAATGCCTATGTATAAGTGGAGCATATTATAAAGAAATATTCACAAATACTTTTACATACTTATGAGGAACATGTTTAACTCCATTAATAAGAGCAATGATCACATTTCCCAGTCCACTGAGAGACATTGATGAACAACTTGTCTCTTTATTAACGGCGTTGTATCGCTCACAGCTAGCAAGATCAATTAAATGGAGGCGTGATCGTCCACCGTGTACTATAAGAGCAGTTAAATTGTTCAATAGTCATGCCAAGAACATATTCTCGTTTAGAATTTCGCTGTTACCTCCCATTTTGCCGGCTATTTTGTCCACTCTTGACTGATATACGTGAATAGTAAAGAACATATGAGAGTTGAGTGTCTCTTCACTATCTTTCTCTGTACAAATAAACATGAATATCAAAATTATGGCACTTGACTTTGCATGAAAACATAGGCAAGAAATGTGAAAAATACCGTTATTTGGAACAGTTCTTGTAGCCAAAGCAGCATCAAGATAAAAAGCTGCCTTTTCAGCAGATGACGCTCGCAGTTCGCTGTGATTCAGTAACTAAAATACGATGAAAAGCAAAACAATTGTCAAAAAAAGGCATGAATGTTTTTATGGATATGTAGATTGCACCTGCGGTCCTGAGACAGGATCGTCATAAAGATAAACACTGGGTTTTGTTCCGTTCAAGGAATCACTGCAACCTACGAAGAAGACATTTTACAAATTTGATTGAAAATTGAAATATAGTTTTTGTTTGTAGGTAAAAAAAAGATGACGAGACAAAGAGAAAATGATAAATTCTCATGAACCTTACCGTTCGAATGTTCTTGAAGAAGATCGTTAAGATTCTCAGAGCGACCAACAACTTCTACAGCTGACACGCGAATGGAAAATCTAGCACCAGTTCTGTCAAAGCAGATCAAATATAATATTCAAAAACTTTTTATAGTTATGGTGGATGAACAAAATCTCAGAGAAATAGAAATGACAAAAAGACAAAATTATTAAATTAAGTACTTTTCTCGTTTTTCTTCGATCAGTTTGAAAAGCCATTCAATAGAACAAGGAATTATGCCTAAGCTGTGAACACTTTCATCTCCACCAATCATGCTAAATGTTTTGCCTATAAAAAGACAATCACAAATAGCTAAGGATTTTTCATAAACAGCACCTATACCAAAGATGAAAATCATATAGTTTATATCAAAGAAATAAAAAATACCTAATCCAGAATGCCCGTACGCGAAAATGCAACCATCAGAGCCATTGACGACCGACTGCAAAACATCCACAAGAGCTGTACCACAAAGCTCAGCCTAAAGTATATCGGTTACTTTGTCAAAAGTCAAAATTCAATGTTTTCGTCGAAGGCAAAGCGATTCAAGACACGTTCCACACGAACTCACACTATACGGCTCTCTTTCAAATCTAAATTTGCTTATAAAACATTTCGCACAGCTGGTATAAAAGAAGTACTATATCTACACTATTTCACCTATACATTGGCTGTACAATGTCAGCAATACCTGGGATGAGTCTGGCTCGAAGATGGAATCAAATGCAAACATTTTTGGCGCTGCTATTCCCATTCGTCGGTGTTTTTGTGACACGTGATTAATGGCAGTCGGACAATAAAGTGTAACTTGTTTTTTCTTTTGATCAACTTTCAAGAACGAGCTTGTCTCTCCAGGAAAACTGGGACTGATCCGGAGCAACACCTTCACCTGAGAGGGAATTGATGTAAGACAAAGACATTGCTATAATACGTAATACAAAGTGAAAAGGTTGAAATTTTTCATTTTGAAATAGACAAATTATTTATCATTAAGGCTCCAGACTTACACAAACATATAAACCAAGATCAATATAGAAAAGTCAAGTCCTTACTTTTCCTCCAGTGCTTTTACGTTTTGATAATCCTTTTATAAGAGCAGGAGGTGCTGGCGGTGGCTGTATTTTGATGGCTTTCATGAAGTTCGTAGAGAATATGTTCATTTCTGGGCAAGAAGTGATGCCATTTGTCATCACTATAGATGATTGCATTTCCAGTTTAGTTGGCGACCTGGATTCCCGTTTTTGTTTCTTCCGAAGCTTATACGCTGCCCTAAACGAAGAAGATTAAATAATTCACTGAAATATTAATAAAGTAAATGGTTTGAGCCCAGGAGTATCGTTAAAATATTTCTAAAATATTAATGTTCCATACTATATACGTGGATAATCACACTAATGGTTAAATGAAACTTTATGTTAAAATCTCACACTTTTATTAACGTCGAGGACATTGATATTGCAATAAGGATGTGGTAATTTTTATAGATTATTCAGTTCGTAAAAGAGCCAAGATCAATATTCGCTTCGACAACACAACTATCTGTTGCTTTAAAGTTCAATGAAAAATGCAAAATAACGAGTCTTTGTTATAGTGAAATTAGCTCGCCACGTAGTCACATGAAATGGGTGCTAAAATGACTCAAATAGTTTACGCTTGGTATCCTCGAGAAAATAGATAAAATATTTGAAAGACGTAAATGTTTTTCGATGATTGTATAAAGTTCATTCTCACAATGAATATAACTATCAATTAATGAGATAATATCAGTGTGATCATCCATCACAGGAGGGTAAAAATCAAACTATTCTATAAAAAGACCTACTGAAATAAAAACTCAAAATGAAAGTCATCACATATGAAGTTACCGCATATAAAAAATATTTGCCTCAGTACACTGGTAAAAATTTTATCGCATATTATAAAACTATTAATGAAATACGTGTCGGCTAAACATCACATGACTGCGTATGCAAAGAACACATGAAAAACAAACTTTCATAATTTTAATGATCAAATAACGAAGTCAAGAAACCATAAGACTTTTTGTGTTTTGTATTAATTGTGACACGTTTAACAATAAGTCCTGGTGTCTTTGTGACGTCATGGTTGAATAATCTAGATTCATATTGACTAATAATAATAACAAACATTATTCGTCAAATCGTCACTCTGAATATTAAAAAAAACAAAATAATCTATAAATGAATGTAAAGGAAGTATTGTATCTAATGAGATGAATCTGGTCAAGAAATATTCTTCACAAGATTCTCTAAACAAAAGTTATACAAAGCTTTTTTATTACACAACGTGTTTTAGGGTCAGCTTTATGTTTCTTTTATGATCACACAATCAGTGGCCCAAGCTATTATAAACCCCAAACTATGCTTACGAAGATACGAGAGTGTAGAGGGTTACAAAGGGCAACTCTCGTGTGTGTCCAAATAAGAGTTAATATAAAAATTAATTATGCAGTTATGAAAAACCACACGACTAACAAAGGAACAGTTCACTCATATATATTCAGAAGACAAAGAGTATTCTCAATTCATGTACAAAATTCAAATACATAATCTATTTGTTATAGATCATGATCATAAATAAACGAGAAAAATTAAATTGACAAAAAATTACCATTCCTATATGGTTCCATATCGTGTTGTTTTTCTATGTAAGAACGCTTATAGCACATTACTTTCTCGTATTATGTTGATACGTTGTATTCTTTGCTTTGTATTGAATTATGTCTATGTCGATCGATGAATGTATTTATAAAACCACCTCTAAGAAAAATTCAATTAAGCACATAGCAATCTTTTAATCTTTGGTAAATAAGAGATTGAAAATCACTCAAACATCAATTCACTGACTGATGAATGTATGCAGATAGCAAAGCAAGATCAGAATTTCTAGTACTTCAAAGAAGTTGTTGAAACATGTGTAGTTGCCTAAGTTAAGACAAACGTTATTTTTACATTTAATTGACTTTGTTGGAATGATAAAACTGTGTTTGCTTAAACGTGTCGGATGTATTTAATGCTTTTATTACGCGAGAAGAGACAATGTTTGGTCAGTTTTAGTTGCTTTTATAAACAATACAGCAAGTTAATCTGTAACGGCATTGAATAAAAATGTCCACAAGAAAAATGATAACAAAATGTGGGATCATGTTTGCCTTCAAATGAAAGGTTGGAGTGACTTGGTTGATGGATTAATCTTAGTCAAATTAAGGAACGCATTGTCATTTATCTTGTTTGCAAAAGCTTACTTTACGTTCCTTCACTGTATAAGCCTTGAGGCAACATAAAAATGTAATGTTATCATGATAAAAACACCTATTGTAGTGAAAGGATAAATATTATGTATGTAGATAAATAGCTTGTGTATTTCCTCAAAACGGAAAAAAATAACACTTGACTTTCATTCAGTCACTTCACAACGACTGCATAGCTGCCAATGATAGATAGACAAATCTTTCTGGCTTCTTCACAATCATATGAGGTAACAATACAGTGAAGATAGCAGTGATAATAAAGAAAAAGTTCTATGTTTGAAACAGGACTTTGTTATGCTTACAATGTTCTGAGAAAGACAACAAATGGAAAAGAGTAGCAATGGAACATCGAAGAGCTTCACGCAGAATAATTCCTGATATATCTTTCGGATACACAGCGTCCCATTCTTTGATTTTCATTTTAAATCAACAATACACAATAATCGGTGATAAGCGAATATTTTACCAAAACAAGTATCATGTATAATGAAAAACGTGAATTCTTCAGTTCAAAAAACATATTGACTTAGATTTACGAACTTCATCTCGTGAGGAACTTAGCAATCGATGCTACGAGAATCAATAATTGGCACAGTTGTTATTTTTAGCTTCGAAACAAAAATAATATCATGCAGTTATATTCCTTCGACAAAACATTGAAATCCTACGATCACAAAATTTTTGTTTGTTTATGGTTCAACAATGGGACTCCAGGTCAGAGTTTCTGACATTCATCTCCCCAGTCGAGACATGCAATTGTGGTATAAAAATACCGATTTAATAAAGTAAAAAAATCAACTGTAACTAAAATATGGCAGTGGATTGATTCCAGGGGGGGAGTCAGGGGGAGTGATCATATAACATTTTAGTAAGCGTATTTGTCAACAAAATGACAATTTATACATGTATATTTCAATCATGATACAATCTTTTGGGTAATTTATGTAGTGGCTATAATTTGCAAGAATTACTTCTTATAGTTACTACAGGAGCAAGTAACCAGATAATCCGAACAAACGCTTAGTTATACTGCAACCATGCCATGGGCAAAAGTTGTGCTCAAAAGCTCCCCGTAGATTGAGGATTGTAATATGTCTGACCTCTCTTCTCCGTGCTTTTGTAGAAGCAAAATGAATACACGACTTAGCTCTGTCAGGCTTTTATCAACTTCACAAACTTCCTCTTCACTTTCATCAGTGTGCGTACTCGCCATCATTGCATTTAAAGTCTACACTTTATACAATATTGTCTGAATAATTTTACCTGCTCTCGACATCGAGAATACATATGGTCGAAATGATCGTGTGTCACAATTTGACGACTTGCTTTTGAAATAAAACCACAAGCTATTCAATTAATTTGACACGTGTATCCACTTTCTCATATATACACATAACCTCAAGCAAATAATAAGCAAATATGCATAAAAACAATCTTGTATATGTTTCCTGTTATAGCAAATTAAAGGCTTGGCATGCATTGCCGCGTTATTACAAAAATCATGCTATGATATACATATATATGAAATTACATTGTTGATATGTATAGCAGATGACATCATACTATACTGATTTACAATTATTTCATTATTTATGAGAATGAATTTACAATGTAAAACGTCGCGTCAGTGATTATTTTTTTCAAATTAAATTTGCGTCGAGGTTAAATTTTTTTGGATACGATCGATCAGAGTTGATTGTACGAAGTCCGTACACAGTTTAAGCGGTTAATAAGCAGATCTTACATAAGTGAAGCAGCGGTTTGCTTTTGTAGGGAGCCTTTATAAATGGTGCTTGCTATTTCTGCTGTGTATGCAATAAAGTGTATTAATGAAAAAAAGTTTGGACAGGCATAAGTCATCAACTACTTACAGCATTTTGCGAAATTAAAAACCTGTCATCAATACTGTAAAATAAATTATGAATAACAAATACAGTGGACAGATGAATTTGAAATAGACTTAAATCTTGTTTGGCCACATATAAACTACCTCGAAAACTATCATCACTGACACCGTTACGTTTACACAGTTTCTTTAGCGCAGTTTAATCCAAATTTAGTCATGAATTTTAAGGTAAACCTACCTTGCAAAGACAGATGATGACGATGAAAAAGGCTGCGACAAATCACGTCCGTAGGCAACGTATCCTAGAAAAAATATATTTAAATCAGGCAGAGCCACAATTCTAGGAAAGAATTTTAAAAGCTTGGAATAAGAAGAACATGAAAAACTTAAAAAAACGGAAATATGAAAATCTTGGGAAACTGAAAACCTTAACGGAAAATTTAGCAAAAAAAAACATAGCTACAACGAACAAAAAATATAGATACCTTTAGAAACGCAAGTCTTAAGTGACAGAGAGCATGAATATCTTATTAATAAGAGTGCTGTTAATGTTATAGCTTGTAGGAAAGCAAGATTGTAAGAAAATAAAAAACAGTCACATAAATAATGTAAAATAAAGCCGTAGAAAAAAAAGAAATCGAAATTAATGTTAACATCACACTATACCGTGTCTTGGAGGGAAATTAACTCCATGATTGTACGGGGTTTCTGCAACTGCGAAATTCGAGGTCAGCGATCCTTCATTTGGTAAGGTAGAAAGTCTTGGTATTTTTGCAGCTAATAATTGGGAATCATCTAAACTTTGGATCATACTCAGGGCTTCGTTTTTCAGCTGAGCTGCATTGGTTGAGCATATGTCACAGTAATTTTCTCGCCAGGATTTCAATTCTGTGTCAGGAACCCGTAGTTGCTCAAATATGCGCGTTGCAAGCTTGGAGCCCTGGGACAAAACAAAAAATATTGATATCATTAACGGAAATCTTATGTTTAAATAAACGTTTTTCAAACACAGAAGAACTTTAAAGAAAGTGCCTAAGACACTTATTTTTTTGTTGCAAGATCTTCAAAAATCTAACCAACTTTCTTTGCAACATTTATGTTCGTTCCAGTGGCTTAGCTACTTTTTGATCAAATAAAGATGAATGAAGTAAACTAGATAATTCATGGATAATTGTTTCCGAACAAAAACATCTTAAAATCATTTATATTGTCGTTTGTAAGCTGCAAACTTGCCTGAGATGGCTCTAAAAGATTTGATTGTTATAGAATAATCACAAAGGGAGTCTAAAAGACGAGCGCTATTTTCAGCCTTCAAAAAAACTCACCAGTGCATATTTTGCCGTAGTTGAAAATTTGCTATTAAATGCTTTAAGATATTTCACAAAACGCCATGTCGCTGTCTACTTCTGCCTCGCTTCAAAACTCTCTATTGTTATGGCTACACAAAAGCCTCGTTGCGCAGCGCCCAACTTTAATCTAATTTTAAACTAAAACACTCACCACAAAAACAGTACTTGCTGTTGTATTTTTTTGCATTGTTTTGTAATTCTTGAATTTTACACGTTTGCAATTTATAATTTTTCGTTCGAAACATCACGTTCCTTTGTTTTTAGATTATATCAACTCTAAACATCCCAATATTTCCTTTACTTGTGAGACTGAAAATGAAAGCAAACTCCCTTTTTAGAGAAGTTTGCAATTATTGAAAGCTCTGTTTACTTTGGTTAACTGCAAATCTGCAATGTTTACTCAACTGCCGCCATGTTCTTTTTTGCTATCGCTGCTTTTCAAGCCAATCAGCTTACAGCATTTACAGTGCAGTGAAATTAAATCCCGGACTCCCTCCCCAAATCAAAGTCTTATGGTGGGAATGATTCAGCTGAATACATCGTCCTTTATCTAGTATTGAACAGTTACAAGGAAGGTGGAAAATATTTATACAAAACGCACGAAGCATTTCGCTTGCCGGCTCACCGTACAATGTCTTTAATGTTTAAATTTTCTTTAAAAACTTTTCATGGTAAAGAACAACAAAGTACTCACAATGTAGTAAGCAAATGAAAAGACCATAAGTTCTTTATAAGTACCTCATTAACAACATATTCGACAGAGCTAAAAAATGATCCATTATCTTTGCCAATACTGGAATTATTTTGTTTCCCGCGATCAAAGAGATGGCTAGAAACATCGTATGGAAAACAACGCTTCTCTCTCAAAGGTATAGGTTTGTGTAAAATGACATCCTTGAAAAGCGTTTTCGACGCAACGTCGCTGCCGAAACTTGAAGTCATTTCTAACCGAGAGTCTTCAATTAATGACTAGATTAATGACTAGACTGTTTAAAGCGGGTTGTTCTAAAGACTCCAGCTGTTACACATTGAATAACAGTTAGGGACATGAAGTTCGCAATGAGATTGAAGAATTTCCTATCTTTGTAGTCAAATGCTATGAATATCTTCGTAAAAATAAAAAAATCATGATAGTACAAGTTAAGAGAAATAATAGCTACGCCCATTTTTTTATAGACAAATTTTACAAATCTATTTTACAAATTATAAACAGAAAACACTCAATATGCGAGATTCACGCAACTTTAAAAACACGAGAGACGACGCAAACGATTTGCGGTCATGCCACTTATTACTATGAATTGTCTTTCATTGTGAAGAACTAGAAACATAAGCAACGGGTGTTCCATATCAAAGAACAAAAATAAATCGAAATTATAATTTAACAAGTTAAACGCAAGTTTTCTCTAATACAAGAAAAATCGTAAAGCTTTCTTACAACGTATGAACAAATGCAGCTGCTGGAAAATTTTTCTGCAGCTGCTGGAAAATACAGCTACGATGTTCTGACATCAAAAACGAAGCAGCCATAATTAAGAAACATGACCACACAATTCTCTTCAATTAAAGACTTTATTGTACTTCATAATTAAGCACAATTACGAAGTCCATAATAATTGCACGTAGCCACTGTTATTTTTCATTAAAGTTCGGTAATCAATTTTGTACGTTATAGACAGCTTTGAAAACGTAAAATGCACACTGCAAGCTGGCGAGACAAGTATGCAAATTTATGACATTTATAAATGAAAATTGTGGACCATGGCTTGTCAAGCAGGGTGCACAAAGAAATATTCATGATTTCGTAAGGAAATCACAAGCACTTAAAAGTACATGGTATATTATCTACTGAACATATGTTACATAACGATTTTTGAGGGCAATACATGTAAAACAGAATATTAACATGAAATTATTCACTCTTTGAAGTTTGCTTGCACAAAGACGGCAACGGGCAATCGCGCCATCTTGGCTGAAGAGGAAATTAGTTTTGTCAAAGCATTGTTTTGTGCACAATGTGCTATAAACAATATGAAAACAGATGAAAATAACGACTTAAATGTGTCCCTCCTTTTGCCAATGGACAATAATGGTCGATTATTTTTACGACTCAGAGAGAAACTCTTTATTTTCAGTTTTAATAGGTATTACTGCACGTGATTACCAAAAAGATGTAAGGTTTAAGTAAGCGAAATGAAATCTTAGGGCAAGTCTTTTTTCTATATATTAAACTTGATGAAGTATTTTTAAGTCACTTCATGAAGTATCAATAAAACAGTAAATACGCCGAAATAAAGCTTTCTACGCTAAATAAGAAAGTTGACTTGTTAGAATGAAAGAGTAGCCCAACTTAGTATTGAAAGTTTAAAACCTTGCATTAGTTATTCACCAAATTAACAACAAAATAAACATAAGACTTACTCTTTGTAGGCTTCCTTCATATTGAATAACATTATTTAGCTCTGGTAAAATCAACTTCAACGTTTGTCTTTTCAATTCCACAAGACGTCTGTTACATTTCTCGCACCAGACCCCTGACTGAAACTTTTTGTCATTGTTCAACACTTTTGTTGTCGTAGTTCTTTGAAATGACATTTTGCCTTTCGTACCAACCCTAGGTTGAAAACAAGAGAGTTTGCTGTATTTTTTTCTGTTGATGCCAATCAGTTAGTCATTGTATAGTAGCCTTTGCATGTTGGCTGTGGTACAGTAACTGTTGTGTAGTAGCTGTTGTATGGTAACTATTGTATGGTAGCTGTTGTATGGTAACTATTGTATGGTAGCTGTTGTATGGTAACTGTTGTGTAGTAGCTGTTGTATGGTAACTAATGTATGGTAGCTGTTGTATGGTAGAAATGGTACATGTTAGCCTTGGTATAGGCTTGTCATTGAATAGTAGCAATTGTATGGCCACTTTTGTATTTTTAGTTGCGTTTAAGAATCAGTTATTTAAATCTATAGCTGTTCGAGTACAATTATTCAAAGTGTGGTTTTAAAATATTTTGATGAAGAGCTGGAAAAATGCACAAACCAATGGGATGATGCTCCTACAAATCTTACTGAATTTTATTTGTAACAATCGATAAAACCAAAAACCTTTTGTTGTCTTGCTTCTTAAAAGCTCATATACCTATAGAGTTTATTTACTTAGAATTTTATTACAATTTGCCAACAAGCATAAGACAGTGATTTCCAATTCGTTTCATCCTTAAATGGATTAACAAAATCTCATTTGTCAAACATATGGTGCAGTGTGGCGTTTAAATTGTTTCATAAGTGATATTTGATATTTATGAACATATATATACATATATATTCCAGGCTGTTGGTAATACTGAACTTCCGATATTTTTACTGTGTCGTTTTTGCCTGTCAACGTTCATAAAATCATTAGTGCTTCGCTAAAATTGTCAGTGCAATTGCTCGTTTCCTGTTCACGGAAATAAAATAGCATCATATTCACGTCACCCCGGGGTTAGAAAATATTTTAAGAAATGAATCATTCAAAAAATGTTGGCACAATCGTCAAATTCTTTATCCCGCACACTTAAAAGGATCAAATAAACGGCACTTTTGTCTAGTAAATCATTCTTTTGATAAATAAATTAAGTACGTAAATAGGTCAACCAATTATTAGTGATCAAAATACAATACTTGCTCTAATTTATCATGAAAATTCGTACATCGTTGTACTTTAAACCTACTATGTACTCTGATAAAAAATGCATATACCAACCACTTTCTTCATCTATTATAACCTAATTTGGCACTTTAATATGTAGCAAATATTTTCAATTCCAAAAAAAACCCTTTACGTGGCGATCAACAGATCTAATACATCTTGAAAAAGATTAACAATTTCTTAGTCTCTGGCAAGAGGATGTTCATTGACAAAAAGCTTACAATGCAAAAGACGAGTAAACAATAATAATAACTTGTTCAATATTTTCTATTCATCGTATTTACGTTTATTGGTAAGAAAGACACCAGAGAATTAAGGATTCTTACGAAAACTAGTCTTCACAAATCAATTGAATTGTGTTGGATTAGACGGATTCCCCTTTATCAACGTGTATTCCCATCATAATAAATAAATTCGTTCAGTACTTTATGGTTGACTAATGCTTGTTTTTTTTTCTGGTTCACATTGTAATGCACAGTATGGCCTATCAATTTAATTTCTTTAAAACATTCATAATGTAAGTCTTATTTTAGCGAAAGCTGCAAATCGTCACAAACAACAGAAATTCTTTGATAACCTTTGTCCCAACTTATAGAAGTAGCTGTGTCATCTTTCAAAAAAAAGTAATATATTTGAATTCGAAAGTAACAAAACAAACTCTTTTTTATGAGCAATCCAACGTTTATTTAATAAATGCAACTCGTTGTAATTTGCATAATCCGCGTCGTAATTCATTTGGGTAGTTTGCGTTGCATAACACACAACTTGGACAGCCACTGACATCCAAGACAACATTCATTACACGTATCAAATGACCAATCATCTAACTAAGTAAAATTATGTGGAAAAATATTTCTAAAATCCTCATTGAATAAAAAATATTCAATGTGGAATAAAGTAAAATGAACACCATACGGAAATCGACACTAAAGCACCCACTAAGTTTCCGTCGAGAAATGCGTAAAACTATACTTCAGCTTAAACTATGTAGTGGATTATTGTCTGATCCATGACGAGTTTTTTAAAAGATAAAGAAACACAAGAGCAGTGGGTTTTTTGACACTCAATACTATAAAACTTCAAAAAGAAGGTGTTGAATAATCAAAATAATTTCAATGTAGAAGGTGCAAAACATACTAAAGGCCTTTTATATTATTTGGTGCAAAATATGCGCTATATATATTTAAAAAAAAACACACACAAAAATTGTTTAAGTTCACTTCAACTAAATTTAGACCTTTGCAAAGTGATTCAATTCCACATTGATACACAAGTTTTTACTATCACAAATGTCACCTTGCAGACCGGTATTTGACAGCAAATGATTGCTGTGTTTAACACGAGATGGAAAATCCTCATAGGCCCGCTGTCTATTTAAAATGTTTCAGCCCACACATATATTTAAACGTAAAACAGAATGTTACATGAATCTGGGTTTTATCGTTGATTTGTTGACTTCGGTTAATGAAGCAATTGGAAAGAGTTATCAAGGTAATATTTAACAACAAGAGAAATTCACATATACACATCCGAAGTGCTATGGTTAATCGATATATGTGTTAAACCGCTTTCGTCAAGTTTTCTTCACACAGTCTTTTGCGTCAGTGCAAAAAATTTTCTACGTAAAGCAAACGCTGTAAAATGTACAAATATAGTATGTCGTGTAAAATTTTCCATAGTAGTTAGCCGAGCACAGAAAGCAGAAGACAAAAAGAAACCTAATAATCAATCAACTTTTCCTTTCATTTTTTTCATGAATTCAGACTTCATTACTGACACAAGCGATTGCAAATCAATGATTTTGGACGATTTTCTTTCTCTGCACAATTGCGTAGACAATCGCGTTGTACAATATATCTACACAAATACATAACAAGGAACAGTTGTTGTAGGTTAAATATATCTACGATTTGACTGATAACATGAGCGAAATTTCTTCTTCTGCTGGTTATGGTATAAAAAGGACTTTAAATTTATATATAAAAACCAACTCACCACTTGCTTGAAGAAAATAATCAAGTTAAGTTTAGAAATCTTGGCCCAATTATGCTGGATATAAATATCGTCCGAAAGAAGTTAATTTTGAACTACGAAAAAACGTCCATTCGACTGTATATTTGAACAACCAAAAGCAATCGACGCAAATTGCGCAAATAATTTCAAATCTTGCATTATCCCTTTTTAAGTATTTCAATGTCAGAATATTCAAACAAACGTCACAACATTAGCATTAAATGCTATGCGCGTCAAGATAAGAACTTTGATTTGGGACATCTGTATATCACGAAAGCATACCACTGTGGAGCTGTCAACAAGATAGTCAGATTAAGCTGATCGCTGCGTATGGCTCACGACTCAACAGCAATATTACTTTTGGCAATAGAAGCAATACCACATACGGCCTACCTAATTCAACAATAAAACAAAGTTCGCCTGAACTTTTATTAGGAACAGATGTCACCCTTATGTCTATGCACATGCAATTTTGCTGTCTATTAAAATTACTTCATCTTAATAGCAGGTCTCTCCAAGAACAGAGAAAATTATTGGCTATTTACACAAAATACACAACGCAAATCAACTTTTCTTGTTAAGTGTTAAGTAATAGAATGATTTGAAGTCCACAGACATTTTCAATTGTATATTGGGTCATTAAATTAAAAGGGCGGTCATTTGAAATATTGCCCTAAATTGACTGCGTTGAAAGACGAAAAAACATCATCTTGACTCATAATGTGAAAAACTTCTGCGAATACTTTAAGATCTCAGTCCGATCGTTATCGTTTGATTACTTCAATTCCTTTGCTGAAAAGATAATTTTACAACAAAATATTTTAAAAACTACTGAAACAAAAAGCATAAATGAATGGTGCATTCATCAGCCATAATATACCGTGGTGCAATTTGCTGCCATGCAAACCTCCCTGTTTGGTTTTAGTTCGCTCTGCATTACAAAATATTTTAGTTTGCTTGATCATAACAGCATTATATATTTTAGTAACATAGGAGTACATTCACTTCTGTTCTTATGTAACTCACTCAATCAATCATACCCGCTTGGAGTCATAGGTTAAGGTAACACAATAGTTTAAACTTCTCTATTTTGTAAATGAAAGTATCATCTTATGGTTGGCTTCTAGGTTAAAGTCTACAAGTTATACAACTCTGCTATACTTGTCTACCACAGTATTTAATATGGCAAGAATCTTCTCGAACCGTGACGTAAATACTCTTAAGAGCTTGGAAAATTTTTTTGTCATAATGTCATTTCAAAACACTTTTATGATGAAACAATAGAGATGATCATGTAGCAACCAGACTTACACGCGTGGCTAAATAAATTATATCATAACGTTTTCACAAAACATCCATGAATGTTATACATCTCAGATCAATTGAAATGCTTTTCAACGGGCCTAACTACTATAAACTATGCAATTGATCGTTCAGAATCAACGCAATGGCTGAAAAATATTTGAGATATTTTATAATTCATTATACATTGAAACTGACTGATCCTTTCTATCGTCAGCAAGAAAACTGAATATATAATGAATGTATAATGACTTATAAAATATTTGAGATATTTTATAATTCATTATACATTGGAACTGACTGATCCTTTCTATCGTCAAACATATGATCTTGCAGCTTCAAGATAAAAGTAAAATATTTTGGTCAGCTTCCAAAAATTCACGCCAATTCATATCTTTAAACACTTGAATAACTCTTCGCCTGTAAATTACTGTCAACTAGCTCCGAAATCAATAAAAGACAATTGGAAAAATAAATCATCGAAGTCGATGATTTTTATGCGAAGTGTTTTTTCATCATGTCAAGCATCATGCATCCAATTGACGTAACTCATAAAATACAGAATACAAATACTTCACTTTTCCATAAATTTTATAATTTTGGCTAGTTCACTGAATTAAAATTAAAATTATTATCTTACTTTAACTTTCAATTCCTATGCTTCGCTTGCATGTAAAATCTTTTTTCTTCGGTATTTCAAGTTATGTTGAAAGCCATTTTCCATTAAAAGAACGTTAAAGAAAACATTGACAATTAAGATTTCCGACACCATGTACGCTGTATAAACATGGTGTCAAGAAGTGTAGATTTCATTCACAGTATGCACAGTCAACGATGTTTGTGGTCCATTTGGTGCATAGCTTTAGCTACTCCTTACTACACATGGCTACCCCTTACTGCACAAAACAAACATGCTTCTGAGCTTAAATCACTCCATAAAAAGAAGGCTTCGTCAGAATATTTCAAGTTAATGAGTCGATTTGATGCGAGCATTTTGATATACAGCAGGGAGCATTTTTGATGTACAAGTGCATGTGAACATGTGAGACTTCATTGAATCAGAGAGAAATGCATTATACAAAGAACAGAATAAAACTTGACTGACCATTGCAAAAAAACCTTACATAACAAATATAAAACACCACTTGAAATGTGGAATAAAGTAGCAGTTTTACAACACCTTTGTTTACAAGTAATAACATCTGCTACACATAGGCACATGGCAAATACGTTTCTTATAACAGCGTTTGCAAAGCTTAAAATTATTATCTGACGTGTGTTGTGTTTCCCTTGAACATAAAAAAAGAAGAGTATCGCCACTTTGTTTTTAGCTACTGCGCAGCAAAGAGTAAAAAAACCCCGAAAGTTCTGTGATTCTTTTGTGCATTGTTAGTGGTCATTTTAACGTGAAAGAGATATTTACATTGCCTCCATTCAAAAGACAATTTGTACATCGTTATCAAGTGGCTAAAACGTCTGTGGACAAATAGAAATTAATATAAAAATAGAGTGTTTTATTCTTTTACGCACTTCCCGTTATCGCCTAGGTAGGAGGTTAACTCAGACGGAAAAAAATTGACTTAAACATTACTATAACAGCCAGGAATAAATCTGCTTTTCTACTGGCAGCAAATCTATCAAAATAGCTTATCTTATAAGCGCACATTTGAAGGAGTAACTGCAAAATCAGGCTTAAGGCTGCGACATTATGCACACATGCATATAACGATAGAACTTGAATATGAAAACACGCGAATGTTTGTTCAAAAAAAAAAGCAATTATTTTATGAACATAGACAGCAACATTTGTATCACAAAAAATACATCAAATTCTCGATCGACTTATTAAAGTAATTATACGTTTGGAGTAAAAACATCTGCGTGTAAAACAAATGTATTCACCTTTCATACGATGGACGCAATGTCAGTATAAAGTAATTAGCATAAATCACGCTACAATCGTGACACGTACGTAAATGTTGCATTATTTTGTATGGATTGTGAACGAAATTTTTCCTTTACAAGAGAAACGTAATCTTAGGATAACCGAAGCTAATATAGTGTATGAAATCCGTGCGTTATAAATTGGGAAGAGTAATTTTCGTGCAAATCAAATCAAGTTGCACCAACCTGCTGGTTTAAGACGTTTTACTTTAAGCGATGGACATCCAACAGTGTACCCAAAAATTCATGTTACGTCTCACAGAAAGAAAGCCTTTATTTTAAATTATCTTTGTCTTGCAAAAGAATAAATCTGTTCAAAAAGAAACAACATTCGGAAGTAAGTTTCGAGATAACTCGTATTGTCGAGGGGAGTATAGAGTCACCTTTGTGACTACATTGAGGTTTTTGGTCATTTTATTGATCGGTTTTGTTAGCATAATGGATGATCACCGCTCAACTTTTGACCTTTCTTCCGCTGCACCCATTCCCTATGAAACCTCAAAGGCACATCAAGTCTAGACTGGGTATTCACATCAATTTGTGTTTCAGTGCATGTACTGCCCCGCAAAATTCACACAAGGAAGGAAATTAAAAACTCATTGCCTTTTTAAATGACTGAATGTCTGACTGCAGACATTTATCAGCAAGTTCTAACAACATAGTTGGATTAAATAATTATCGAAACAAGCATTTGTGAAATTTTTAGATTTGGAAAAATACATTTGCTTGATATGATATCACTTGTGATGAAGAAACACGATAAGAATCTGTTTAAAATCACATCAAATTAGTTGCGTGTATAAGAACTTGAGTTTAAAAAGTACTTGGATAAAGAAAACACAGTTGAATAAAAATGAGCAACACACTTTGAAATAACTTTTCACTCACTCAAATCAAGGTCATTACTTGTAAGGATCTTTCGTAAATAATTTCACTTATTGACATGTTGCTAAGCAGGAAGAGTTTATATTGATTAAAATGATATCAAATCTGTCTGAACTATTCACTTCTATAGATCATCTGTTCCTTGCCTAAGACTGACATGCAAGAAAAGGACAGATTAACAGCTTGCGTTGTTCAGCATTTAACTTATCTCACCAAAATTTGGGAAGAATAAAAAAGAAACTATCATTTTTTTTCAATTTAGGCCCCCGTTTACACTATACTGAATGGCTATCGTAGCAGGTTGAATATTCTTTATATTAAAAGGCAGTGAAATTGTTCAACGTCAGAAACACAATCAAATAGACTAAATCTTAATAAGCTTTAACTCCGAGCAGTTACCCTTTAGAGTGAATAAAGATGTCATGATCAGCGAATCCGGTATAGTGTAAACGCAGCCTTAATGTTTTGCCCACAGTTTAATGAAGCAATCTACTTATCAGCAATAGTCAATAGACCGACAAAAATGGCTTTTACATTCGAGCAATAATTTTTAAAGAAAAGAAATACTTTATAAAGTTGATTTATATTGGAAAAACTCCACCAGCAATTCATTTAATTTCCTCCAATTGAAACAAATACTAAATTTTCTAAATCAATTAGTAGAAAATCGTTTTGTTGAAAGTTTAAAAAAATTTGCTTTAACGTCCATTACATTCAGATTTAAATATCTATCAAATATTAGTCGCATGTAAAATGAAAATTTATCAATTTCACGCACTTGACAAAACGTCTGCGAACATAACCATTCATTCATTGACAGAACAAAGAGATAAAAACAAAGATAATTATGGAAATGGAGGAATTTCGACGCAGAACAACAACATGGATTAGCCTGATAACAAACATCAAAAAACTATAAAACAGGAACGTGAGTTCTGCTTTGTAATCAAGGGAAAATAAAAGCTTTTCTTGAATGATGGGGACCGTTAAGATAAATTTATATACATATCTCACATGCCAAACAATGAACTAGTATACTACAGTGAATAAAGATAGATTTGAATAAAGTATTCTTTTTTACTCTCTTTTCTACACTGCTTAACATTAAGTGTTTCTTTCTCTAATTGATTCAACTTCTCTTTTTAATGAAGAAAAAACTAACATTATACAAAAAAAAATAGCTAAGTGATTCGAGGAATGCCATTACTTCATCATCATGTTCATTCCAATAAATTCCATGGACAAATCGAATTGAAATCTGATTTTATTCCGAAATAAACTGTCAATGAAGAAGACGCATTTCTTCCAAGTTCAAAACCTTATTCATTTGCGTTGAAACTTAGATCCATTAGGCTGATCTAGAACCTACATGCTTTGCTTAAAAGTCAACAACTTACTCAAATGTCAGCAATGCAGATAGCCAAATTCGACCATAAATAATAATGAAAGAACTCGTGAAAGAGATTATCAAATGCATACTGTGAACATCATTCCAACAAAAAACAACATCATCAAACAGGCAATCAACCAGTTTACTCCTTCACGCTTAATGAAGGCCTATTTTTTTAGTAATTTAAAATAATGATAACGAGAGAGAGTTTTCATCAATCCATAATATGAAAAGAAGAAGTAAAACTTGTATGAAAATAAGAAGTAAAACTTACCAGCTTCTTAAATGTAGCTAGCTTTACCCTCAATATTCTCTGGGCAAGATCGAATCAATTGGCAACTTGTTGCTTATCCCGAGATAAGCAGTTTGGATGGAAAGTAATTGGAGCTTAATTGACCTTCGAAGGATATTTAATGTTGCACAGAATGCCCCAAGATGTCGGGTAATTTGAATGTTTACATTTTAATATTCAGAAAAGTATTACAAAACGGCGCCGAAAAAAGGTATTATGGCAGAACATAGAATGCATTCGTGGCGTAATTCGTAAACAAACGAACTGCTCTTTGTCGTAATACAAAATAGAAAGCCATTATCATCTCTATCTCGTAGAACAACCATTGTTCATAGGTAATCCTTTAATCTAATGTATTGTACAAATTTGTAAGGCCTCTTTAAAAACATACCGCTCGCTCATATAATGTTGGAAATCTAGATCATGCAGTGTTGTTTTCGTTTACTTAAATATATCGCCTTGTGGTGATGAGTGATTAGAAATATACATTGCTTGTTTTCTAAGAAGGAAATAATGTTTCTAATTGAAAAGATGAAAAAATCAGCGACATAAGTCAACTCTATCTTAAGCTACCATTGTGCGATCTTGAATTCTATAGATAATCTGATTGCAATGCTATAGCTATAGCTCGCTTCCTACAGAATTATAAGTCAAAAATGCGATAAAAACCAACAACGGTGTTCGAATTCGGAAGATATTTGTTACGTGTAGATTTGCTGCAATTCCCACTTAGAGGGTAAAAATGCAAAATTTCTAGCAATGAGTAAATGAAAAATTCAAAGAATTTCACTAACTCACATAGTACTCAATGATTCACACACATTGACTAAGAAAATATTTACTGTAACAATACTCACATGTATTGTCTCTCATAACACCATGTTTTTGGTCATTGAACGTTGACCCTAAAAATTAAGAATTTCAGCACATTATAAATATTAGGTCAAAACGATGGCAGTTAAATTGCACAAGAAATTGTTGTCTTTGATAAAATATTTTTATAGAAAACTGATCTAATACAATTTTAAATAAAAATTGAAGATTCTCACTTGCTCTAATAACCATTTAAACACAGACCATCATCACAAAATGTTGAAAGTAATGTAAGAGAAAATGCTGCAGCTTATCGATGCCATCTACATCAAAAGTTGATAGCTATGATTCACAGCTCTTGCTTCACTTCAGAAATCAAGTGAACAAAAACCCTTGAACGCGTATCAATTTTGATTTCATCAAACAAAAAGCATTCAGCATATAGGTCGCTAACTCATCAAAAATATGAAATATTGATGTAAAAAGCCAATTTTCTCAGCATGTACAAGAACAACGGATAAAGCATTTGCACGTATATTAGAAAGTTAAATTCATTAGTAAGATCAAGCAATTTAATTTGACCAGGTCAGCAAACCAGGTGTTTTGGAAACTTTACATTAAACAATATTCTCGCCATATTTACTTCAGTCGTTCCAATTGGTCGGTTTTTCAAATTCTTCATAACAAGGATGATCAATAATTGACATAATGCTAATTAAACATGTTTAAAATGCATTAAATCATATACATACACATCCTGAAAACACGTTGACTCCATTTGTTGTTATTTTTTGTTCTAACTTTTAGTCAACGAAAAATAAAATGAGACAAAGACACTCGTTGATCAATGTCCGTCTCAACAAGCAATTTGTATTAAAACGTTTTTGGGGTACAGAAAATACTGAGTTTAGGAGTGAAAATCGTGGTTACTATATTTCAACTGTTGTTCACTAAATTCAGTGAATTCTACAGAGCACGAGTTGTACAAGTACGTTGTATTTAAGTTACATTCCGAACAAACATAATTTCTCAGATTTCCGTGAACACATTTAAACACCATTTTTCCCCATTCTTAAAACTGGTTTAATTTTGGTTGTTAAAGGAACAACACACAATGATAAATTCATGTGTCATGAAGCATAAATAAAATTTGTTAAAATCATGTAAAACTTTAATTTTGTGTTCTGAATATATATTAATAAAATAGTTGTAAAAATATAAATTATTTAATTTACACGGTTTCATGTGTTTTAGTTGTTTCTATTTACGATTTATAAGGAAAAGGTACTTAACTTTCCATTATCTTTCGTAGTATATTTACTGTTACATCCGGTTCATTGTCCGATAAAATGTTCAGCTGCAAGAAAAGAGAAAAATACAAGCATCTTAATGTCAACTAACTTGCTTAACACTAGCTATTGTACACTTCGATGCACTTTTATGTAATCAAGGCTACCGATTTATAACATAACTATACATATACATTTATGTACTCAAGGCTAACTATACTGATCAACACTAGCTATTGTACACTTCGATACATTTATGTACTCTACCAATAATCTATACTGATCAACACTAGCTATTGTACACTTCGATACATTTATGTACTCAAGTCTACCAATAAAACTATACTGATCAACACTAGCTATTGTACACTTCGATACATTTATGTACTCAAGGCTACCAATAAAAACTATACTGATCAACACTAGCTATTGTACACTTCGATACATTTATGTAATCAAGGCTACCAATAAAAATACTATACTGATCACTTCACACATACTATTGATACACTTGTATACATTTATGTAAATATTAAGGCTATTGTACACTTCGATACAAAAAACCACAGTGATCCTTGTCTCAACGCTCCAGAGCACCTTTCGCATATAATCAATGATAATATAGTAAAATCAAACAAAATGAGTGTGAGGAAGACGTGCATATCTTTACCTTTTCATTACTACAATGACTGACCAAAAGAGACTCTTGACTACTAGGAAAATCGTCAAACGCATCTTTGGGGGCATTTCGTAGAACTTCAACGGCAACATCAGGCAGACCAAATTCGCGAACGACACGTTTTCGAACTTCGTGATTTACTGCTCTGACGTCACCTAATTAAGTATAGTATTTATGTAAATGTATATTGAATAGTTCCTACAAGTACCATTTCACTCAAATCTTTTACTCTCTGGCGATTGTATTTCAATTTTACAAATGAAATAAACACTGAAATGGCTAAGAAAATTTAAACTATCTTTCCATGAACGTTTTGCTTCAAAGCCAAAAATACTATAAATATTTTCATGAGATTACCCAGGTAAAAATCTAGCCAAATAAAATCTTACCCAAAGACAAGGCGTACGCACGTTGTGTTTGGTTATAAGACCTGAGTTCTTTCTCCCTACACAACATGGCCTTCACTGTTGTAGCATCAGGATAAGGCAGTTCATTAGCAATAAAAGAGGGTGGACCATCTTCATATTCAGGGGAACAAAGGTGACTTGCAACACTTGTTACCATATCTGGCATTTCTGAATGTCTGATCATGCGCAAACGAACCACTTCCATTTCTGCAACCATACGTTCGCGCATGATAGCCTAAAATCAGAAAATGGTGATGAAAACTGCATCTATGTCGACAAGATAGCAATGATGAACATTTACAGGAAAATCGAGACTCATTTCATAAAATATCATGTAAGAAATTTCTTTATCGTGTAAGAGGTTTTTTTTCATACAAAGTCAGTTCTCAAGTTATATTTGTACTATATTTTCGTTCTTATATACCTTACCTTAGCCTCGTCCACATAAGCCGAAAACAGCCTTGGTTTTACATATTTTCGATCGTCTTTTAATCTTATCCATGAAGATCTTTGCCGTCTTTCCCCTTCCCCTATATCCAAAGGCATTCCTTTCGGCAGCAAGCCTTGTTGCATTGCTGTTTTAAGAATACAGTTATCCTTTGGAAGAATATGTTGTACTCTCACCAAAGAAAGCACGCCATGTAAGGTTTGTTTTAAGGATTGTATGTCAATTTCTTTACGTCGAGAATATCGTTTCAACGAGCTGGAGAGATGATCCATTTTTGAATCTACATTTCATATTAAAACACAATATTAAAGGGAAACGTCTGTTTACATCAACTAAGCATATCATAGAGAAACGAAAATAAGTTTTACGAGCAATCAATTCAACTCAGTGTCACTTAAACTACAGAGTTAATCACATGCTCACCTGAAGACTTGTAAACTTGTGCTTCACCCCACTTGATGACAGCCATTAAGACATCACATTCACTGGCCTTAATGATAATTGAGCTCTAGTAAGTATGGCAGTATGGAGACTAAAATGGCTATGTTTACCAATACATTGTTATCATATTCCTATACATGTCAACAATCGTGTACGTTATACATATATTAAATGGTCAATAGTTGGATGAACCCTACATCTGTCCCTGCTTGTCAAGACCGATTCAATTAATCTACACATTTCCTACACTATGACCGATTCAATTACTCTACACATTTCCTACACTATAACAGCAAAATTAAATGGTCTTTTTATACATACTGCCGCTTTAGAGCATCAGAACAAATAATGAAGAGATAATTTAAATGTAGACGCTCACTTGTAGAAAATCCGACTTTAACGCTTCAATAAGAAAAGCTTTTGGTAAGTTCAAGAAAACATCAAGATGAACGATGTTCAAAAACTCCTCGCGTAAATAATTCATAGTTTGACGATAAACCCAATAAGATCCATGAAACTTATGACTCCAATCAAGTGTAAATAACAGAGAAGTTGGAGACAGTTCTTGAACAATGATGTCCTCAGCACCTAATTAACAAATTTTGAAACATACTAAAGGCAGTAAACTAAATTTGCTCATGCAAAATCGTAAAAAGGACTTTTTTGAGTTCAAAGTTAACTAAATGAAGTAAGTCGAAAACTTTGGTAAATGTCGTAAAATATGTCAATTCTGCTATAGAGGTATGAACGTCATGTCATGAAAAGGTAGCATGAAAAAGATGTGGTAAAAAGCCAGAACATTCAAAAAAATCTGTATGCTTTTACCTTGTTCTAACGTATTGAAATCTAAGAATCTAGCAATTTCGTATACTTCCATCGCAATTTCGGTGATGGTCAGTAACTTGTGTGGTTGGTCACTATCAGATGACCATCGTATGACCGATGAAACGTCAATAGAATCAAGATACATACACTGTAAAAGCACTCTCGCATATTGCCTTGGTAAAATATTCTCGTCCAAGACAATACGCAGCGGTTCGGTGGAATCATTGTCATGTGATAACTTAGTTATTAGAGAATGAAAAAACGATGAACGTGCAGCAAGAATTGCTTTGTGGCATTGTAACTCAAACAAACATGTAGAGTCTTTACTTCGATACAAAACATCTTCGAATACAAGAACAAGATCGGCGTATCTAGATGTATTGAGCAAAATGTTCATGTCATATTCAAAATCATTTGGAGTGCCAAATTCCTCGCCCAATTTAAACAGTAAGTCAAGGCTATCCATAGGTATGTCCAACGAGCGAACATCCCCCGAGTACAAATACCGTATCATGATATCAAATACGTCAACAGTGAGATCAGAATTATTCATGTTTACGTCAACAACGACATTGAAACCCGGATGTTTCGAAAGAAGGCGTTGAAAATATTGTGACCGCACAGAAAGTAGGAATCGGTGGCAATAAAAATGACGATCTTTGAATTTTAGTACAACATCCGTGAAGTGTCCATGTTGGTATAATGCAAGCAAATCGTCTGTCAAGCTCCGAATATTTGGACGCGCTAAACTTGTTTGTATTGATAAATCTTTCAGAGCAGATAACGACTCGTACTCCTCAACTAATGCATTTATTTCGTGCGTTTTCCACGACTGAGTGAGATCGCGAACATGCTTCGCATATGAGTGGGTTTTTTGCAACGACGTCCGATGTCGAGTAAGTCGTTTTCGTAGGGTTGCAAATTTCGAAACGTTCTTTTTTCCTTCCATTCGTGTTTTTGTGTGTTTGCGCGCGAGATTTTCCACAGATCTCGCACCATGAAGTGAGTTTATAGCACCCATAACGTGACTAGGGGAGATTAACTGTTGATCTTTATTATTGAGGTCTACATAAATCAAAAAAATAATGCCCTTTAGTGGAAAGATGTTATTACTAAAATATTTTCTGTATTTTGACTTTTACATTATGAGTTCTTCAAAGAAAATGGCTCAAACATATCAATGTAATTGGTTCATGATCAAGTTATAGAAGGAAGAGGGCGTTTACAATCAAGTGTTAGAGGGGGGAGTGGTGCCCTAGTTTGGATTACATTTACATGCCAACTTTTGGGTAGTGCTGTGTGCCTTTTTTATTAAGTAATGCTCTCTGATACCACGATTGAAAGATCATATTTTTGGTGTTACATTAAACACAAATAAAAACTTCTTTTGCATCAATTGCATGGTACTCTTATGTTTCATGGGGAAATTTTCACCCCTCCCTCCCCTCCTTGCGGCAAGGCTGGGAGGAGTTCACTCAACATGCAGCAAAGACTGACTTGATGGCAGCTAAATCCATAATCTTGCAAAGGCAAATTATCTTTCAAAGAATACAATCTAATGCTACAAAAGCTGTGCATTCTGTAATTATATAAAATGTATTGGGTCTTCACAAACTCAATTCAAACAAATCCAGTGCAACATCATTACTAAAATTTATGTCAAGGAAACCGTCTCTGGATTTCCTTTAAAGTTTTTTGTTTCCAAAGCATCATATCTTGACTTTTAAGTCAAGATACTCTTGTGAGGATGTAAAGGATTAATCGATATAAAATTGTATGACATAACTACTCAACTAGAACAAGTTTGATTGAATTATCGATTTATAAATACTTGTAGAGTGTAGTATAAGAAGAGGAGGCACTGTTGACTTTAGAATATTTTAGGCAATATGCAATAAACTTCTATAAATCTATAACAATTGGTGTATTTGCATGAAACGTTTTACTAAGCGACAAAAACGTACGTATAATACATTAATACTATACTAGAAAAGTATTTTCAAAATTCTTACTCACCAAGATTTTGTCGACATCCAACATAAGAACTTCACAAGCCAGACCTACTACTGATGCTCTTATAGCAAAAAAGACTTTAATAAGTACAAATACAGACGGAAAATAACGAAGTTAATGAACAGCTGAAACAGCAACACAAATTTTCATTTTATATTTGTTTGTATGGAGACTGACAAATTAAAGTGGCGAGTTTGTGACGGAGGACTGGGATCCAATGAAAGTCAAGAAACTTTGCCAAACAGAAACTGTGCAAAAAGTTCACCAGTAAATTAGTAATTTAATCAGTAAAGAAAGAAACGATTATCTAAATGCTATATGTATGTCTGAAAATATCAAAGAGTGTGTATTTATTCAAATACATGTGTCTTTTTTGATGTATGGTAAGATTATCACAATTGTAATATTTTCTTTTGATCCAGCAGTTAATGCAGCTCTGGCGAGGAATTTACTGATTTCTTTGGCCACAATATCTTTATCCTGTAGCCCATGAAAAATACTCTCTAATTTCTCAAAAATCGTTTCTTGATCTTTCTTCCTTTGCTTTTCTAACAGGGAAATATCTTTTAAATCCCTACTGAACTCAAAACTTTCGAAGCAACTTGTTGATAATAAATTAGATATCAAATGATTTTCAGCTATCTCTAACCACAGCTTTATCAGTTGTAGTGCTTCATTTTCATCAAAAATATGCCAAAACCCAGATGATGCCAACAAAATAATTTGTGACCATGACAGCTTTATGCAAGATACTGCAGGAGTATTTATGATACTTGATTTTAAAATAGGGTCACCATGGTTACCTAGCCCTCTGGTTGTCATGGCCACACCATTAACCCATGCAGTCTTGGACCACTTGCATATATCACCTGAAAATTTAATCCTTTTCTTTTCTTTTTGATTTCCAGGAGTATGATCTTCAGTTAAGATTTCAAAAGATTCATCTGTTTTAATGAGAATAGCTTTAACATTTCCAACATTTGCCACATGTAATGTACTTTTTGTTAACTGGCATGTGGTTGCTGAGCAACCACTCCATCGATTGCGAGATGCTTCATCAGCACCATGGAGTAAGACTCCATCCATTTCATTGAAAGCAATTTTAAAACTTTCAAAGTGCTTACATTGTCTGATATCATCGTATTTATTATCAAAACAACTACAGCAACAAACTGACTTTTTTAAAATAGGATGAAAATGCATTGCACATTGCTTTGCCGCAGTTTCTCCCCCATATCCATCAAACAAAGAAATAAACACTATTTCTTCATCGCATTCCAATGAGTAAGAGTACGCATTTTCCATGCATGACTTCCATTTTTCATTTGCAGATTCCGAAATACCCAGAACATGCCCATTTTTACAAGGTCCTCCCGACAAAGATTTGATAAGTACCTTTGGTTGTTGTATAAATGCCGAGTCCGTTTGGCACAGTCGACCATTAATACACGACTTTATAACTTGAAAGGCAAGGTCTATTTTAGCTAGACGCTTGTGGTGTGACGAGCTACCAATTTGGACATTATTGTTCAAATCTCTCACTAATGAGCGACGCTTTTTACAGAGCTCAAATTCAGTCGCTGGTTTGCTTTGAACATCATAGGAGTAAAGCTCTAGAGCATTGTGCAAAATACGATGATCCTCTAAATCCTTCAAATAAACATAATTATTACATTTGCGACAAAGGATGGTCATATTTGTCACTTCGAATGTATCAATTTCGACGCGTTTCATATTCCAAGAATTTTATATCAGTTTATGGCAGTCATAAATTCATACACATGACATTTGATGATGTTAAACGCTAATGGATTAGAAGGAATTTGTCAAAGTTTCTTCTGTTCAAGTGGATAATGTCTGAAAACAAATGAAATGTATTTTTAACGGTGATTTTTACTGGCGTTTCTATGGCAAAACGACGGGGGGAGCTAGCTTGAAAATTTAGCTCCCTAGAAAATTGACTATAAAATCAGGTTCGGAAGACGTAGAAGGTAATGCAGGTGATTTTATAAATTTATTTTATCGTGCACCCGCATGTATTGTTTGTTCTGTAAATTGTTTCCAGTAAATAATAAATTGTGAAATATTCTGTTGTTTCCATTAATTTCTTTCGTTTATGATTTTTATCCATTGGCCACTGACGAAAAATTTAGTTCATTTGCAAACATATGTCGGGGCTTTATTAATTACGATTAGTAGTCCACAAAGCCTACATAGGCAAATGAACCACAACATATTGCTTTCGAGAGAAAATCGTCTTATCAAAAGCTGACTATGAAAAAAAACGATTGTAAGAATAATTTCTAATTTCCCCTAAGTTTTGTAAAAGAAACTGGAGAAACAGAGACGTTATCACTACAATTTCGTGAGTTTAATGAAAAACAGTTGCAGTTTATCAAAGATATTGTCCCCACAGACGCCAAGCAGACATTCAGAGACGCGATCACTGGGTGCCGTAATGTGCCTTAACATTCTTTGAATACATTTAAATGTAATATAATAACCGTTTACAGCGTCGCAAATTAGCGACATTGAGGTTGCTATTGGCTGACACTCAGTCAGCATGCTGTACAATAAGTTAATGTTTGCCCAGTGATGAGATCTGCTTCTATTAAGCACATTGTATTTCTTCGAAGGCTTGTATTAAAGATTATGTGAAAGCTCTGATTTGCTACAAGAAATAAGGTTCGTTTGATCACGTTTTCAAACAAGAATCCGAATCCGTCTTCGTAACTACTTCCCACTCTCCTCTCAAGATGAATTTCGAGTCGTTCTAATAGAAAGCATCAGTGCGCAGAAGACCAAGACGCAGTTGTACCAAAATTGACGATAAAATGGCAAGTTCCTTAGGTAAATAAATGTTTCCGATGTGTGCGTTGAATGTCCCGCACACTCGTATTTATTTTCCATATGATATCTTAAACATATTCCTTAGTCAATTTACACTTTTCATTTACGAATATGACAGATTACCGAATCATGAAATTACGCTGTCTATTTTTACTGTAGTATAAACGGATTGCCTTAGACTTAGCTTGTTACAAGGTTGGTAAACGCACCGCTTTGCTGCTAAATGACTTCTATAAAGCAAAACAACCATAATGAATAAGGCATTAATATTGCATAACACATTTATAAGATGTTTTGCATTACACAGGAGGGTTTTATCTCGGTTTTGATTACATGACGATATATCATGGCCACAATGTTGCGCATGCGAAAATATTGCCCAAATGTAGCAATAGAGAAACACTAAAACAAGAATAATTTGTAACCTATTGAGTTGATCCTTAACTCCCGAACACAATTCAGACATAATAATAGGTTAATATAAAAGGTTCGTATTCAAACAGTCTCGATATTCCCTTCATAATTCATATTTAATGAAGGCGAAAAAATTTTTGTGTTTCACGAAAGCGTGCAGTAAAACAGTAAAACCTATAGCTGTTCTTTGAACTGTTTCCCTTCATTTTGTGTTTCACGAAAAGCCAGACATTCCAAAGAAAAGAAATCTTGCAATATTTTCTTATCAATTTGTTATTGAAACTGTGGTTCAACTCAACAGCTGTTTTCTAATGGCATATGTAATAAACATCACGCAAAGGAACATTAGCACCTCTCAACGCAACATAATTCAATATGATTTATTCAAAATGCAATGAACATTTAAATTACTTTGATCTACTCCGAGAGAACTGACAATGGAAATTTTTTGTTCTTACTTATACGTCTACACCCTTGGTCAACAAAAATGTCATTAATGAAGGAAATTTCTATTAAGGACAAGAAATCCTCGCGTAAGGGTGTAACTAAAAACTGTTCGGTTTTTTTTATAAAATATTTTCTACGAGTACAATTGATTTTTTTAAGCCATTACCTACGGAATCAATCTTTTTGTTCCGCGTCTAGACAGTAAGGTTGACAACAAATAAGGATCATTTACATACGGTTTAGAGAAATTATTTGTTGTAAACATGGGCAAGATTTTGAGCGATTAACCGTTCAAAAGGATAATCTTTGCATCAGTGGAAGTAGAAGTAAAAATATGATCAAGTTTTTTATCATATTACACAAATACAAATAATATGGACATGATAACTTTTGATGAGAAAGGTAGTCTGATAAAAACAAACATTCAAATTTTAACATTAGATTACTCAGGAAAAAGACATAGGAGTAGAGTATACATGCTCTCCAGTTGCAAATTTAAATGAACTCATGAAGACCAAGTTCCAAGCATGTAATACTCAAGTCTCAAAAAGCCATCACTCCCGATAACACTAGACTTCAGCATACAAATATATATAAGACGATCACATCTCTTATGAATATTAACATGCCAGTGAAAATTCATTTTAGGTCAACTGCTCACAGAAGAAGATTTGGATTACGCAAGACGCCTGGCAAAATCTTTGAAATCATCGAGCAAATACGACGAGATCATGATACGAAACATTATTGATCATAATTGGGACACGGAACCACAAATGGTATCTAATTTGCTACATTTTCCACTCGTTATACCAAAAGATCTTCGCTTACCGTCCTTATTAAGGGGACTTAGCGAATCAGAAAGACCTTACTACATTCTTGCGGCATCAAACGGCCTTTCGAGCCTTGATTTATCGAAAGAAAACGATACGAGCTCAATCAAAGAGAAGCTGAAAGAGGCAACATTAAGACCACAGGGCGATATTGCCATCCATGCCTTCATGGCATTGGGTAAGCTTTTACGTCATCCTGAAGATACAGAATTCGTTTTACGATTCTTACACTGTGCCAAGTCCACTCTACACTATAACGCATTAACTTGGATACTTGTTAACGTCAAAGATGTGAACGAAGTGCGAAAAATTCTTGAAAATAAAGCTGTTCCGGAGGACATCCGTGAAGAAGGACTCGAAAGACTGGAATCTGATCTTATCGAAGGTAAGCTGGCAGTCTATTTTACAATTTTTGCCTGAAATACATAAAACAGCTGACAAAGTACTATCACCATATATAGAACTCTTACAGAGAAGTACGTTGATGTACAGTTTTAATTTTTGTGAGCTTTATTATTTTGCTTTATACTAGAGCTGGAATCCTCCCTATTGCACTTATAACTTGACTCGTCAAATAAAGTAATAATAATAAAATGTTTTTCGTTCTTGCGGTTTAGCAAACATCAATTGCTAAAGATAACTACAATGCATAAAGAAGGGTGTCATATGAGTAAAAATCTCGATGTGCGGGTACTAAATTTGAGCTTATTTACCATGTATTTGCACAGCTTGATGATAAAGTGAAGTAATTTGAGATACATAATTCTTGATCTGATAAATTTTTCACACTGTGCAAAATCCTGCTGATAATTCATTGCTAGAGGTGTAGGAAACAGCTGGGGGGTTATTTAATATAAGCGTAAATAAGTGTTCAATCGTCATGATCTTTTCTCAAGAGGCATTGTAGGTACGTAAAAACGTAGAAAGTTGTTTTTTACAGCTTGGAAAATTACTTTTTCAAGCTTTGTTTAAAGTGTTCATGACACCGAATTTAACCATGAACACAGTTTTCTGATTGAAAAGACCATATGTGTGAAAAACACATAGGACAATGGATAGTAAAGGAGCTTCCTTAATCTTTCATCTCCTTCATTCATACATTCATTAATTCCAGTAGACCTCAACCAGAACGAAGGATTCACATACACGCCAAGTCTTGCAGACTTTGAGGCTATGCGTCGCAAAGAACAAACACTATCGGAAATTTTCACAGAACTCGACACAGACAAAGATGGAAAGATTGGAGCAGAAGAAATACTTTCATTTTGTGAAGATATTGGACGAGTGATGACCTTAGACAAGGTGGAAAAAGACATTAAGCATTATGATACTGATAAAGACGGCAAAATTGTTAAAGATGAGTGGATAGAACTCATGTTTCCCCAGTTTAATGTGCAATGATATCCTTAGATGTATAAATTAAATATATGTCATACTGTCCTAAAAATTCGAATTTATCATTGAAATAAAAACAGGTATTTCTAACTCAAGGAAATTTGAAAACTAAAACAATATAAATTGGTAGAAACGCAGGATGCATAGCAGGACATTAATGGCTGAATTAATCAAGATTACTAATATTGGAATAGCTAAAAGCTTCACGTGCAAAAAGCTAAGACACACGTGGAATATAAAGTTGTTGTTAGTGATGGTGGAAGAACAACTCTAAGTGTAAGAATAACAAAATTTTTTCTCACGTTTGTCTAATATCTGTTGAATGGGCAATGAAAATTTGCTAGATTTTCCTTTTTTAAAGCATGCATGTTCATGAAGCCTTGCGGCAAGCAAATATACAAATACAACAAATTTATGGTAAAAATTTAGACTATCATAACCACTTATTCATTTATGGTTCATTCATATAAGGTTCACCCAAAGTTCCTATACCTCTTTCAAAGTACATGTTACCCGTTCAATGCACGTGCTCCACTTTTAAATGCGCATGCAGCACTTTGGTGAAATCCAGCTGCCGGGTCACAATTATGTTCTCAAGTCAAACCATAGTAGGATGATATAATAGCAGCAGTATTTATAAATCTTCAATCGCCAATTCTTATTTTTCTTTATAAAAGCATTCACCGAAACACTCACGCCATCAATGAACCATCAAATCATCCCGAAACGTTTTCGAAAGTCGAACAGTCTTCGAATAATTTCAGATGTCTTAGTGTCTTCATATTTACTGACCTTCTTAGTCCAGTCTTCCAAAAGTGATGATATAGCTGCTGAGTCAATGGGAAATAGGTCCAGTAAGGCATAGGCAGCCGATTGCTGAACACAAAGCGATACTGCAAAAACAATAGAATTTTCTTGAACTACAAAGTAAAAATATAGCAACGTGGTTTTGTACTTTGAATTAGATGTCGGTGACTTCTAGTAGCCGAATAATTTCAAACTTTTTGTTGATTAAATTCTGTCTCCTTTTTATTATGATTGTGAGATTTTCGAATATGTGCTTCAGCAAAGCTAAGCACGTTTCCTTTTGCTTAATTGTTTGGTATATTAATATTGTTTAAGGGATTTGGTACCTCTCCTGCATCTCATTAAAAAAAAAGGATATAAATTAGTAGCAAAACAATATAAACTAATGACATAAAATAACCAAAGAAAATAGTCATTTACCTCTTTCTGCATCATAACCACAAAGTAAAGCACACAATAATTGCTTGATTGGCTCCAAGTTTACGAAAATTCCTTTCTGCAGTCTTTCACCACACACGAAACCTGTGAAATGCAAAATAACCCATTATTTGATCAACGCTAAATACTCTTTCAAAATTACAAAATAATCATACCAAGCAAGCGTATAATATGTGCAATGAAAAAATCCATGCTGTTTTCATCAGGGCTTTTGACATCGCCAAGATTATTTTGTAATGTCGTCTCTCGTGATAAACTATGTATCCTCCAGTCGTGGAAATGAGGCCATAATACTTCACGAATGAGAACATCATTTGTCCATTTCCAATCCATGATAACTGCCAGGAGTTCTAGCGACTTTAACGTCTCAAATGAAACATGTATTTGACGAACTTCTTCTTCTGATAACATTCAAGGAAAAGAAAAACGAACTATTATATATATCGCGACAAACTAGTTATGTACTGACATCACGTGGAGAATTTCTAATCCTTTTTTTCAAGTTCCAACTTAGAACTTCAACTATTTGACAGACAGTTAACCATGCTTGAATTATATTGTAGAAGCTACGATAAAGTGAATTTGTTCTTATTCATTTTTCATCAAAATATTTTCCATACCAAATGTTTTTATGGAAGGACCACAACTATTTCGTATAACTCGTAATAAATCTTTTGCCAACCATTCGAAGACATGATCATCCTTTGGTATTATACACCAACCACACAAACGCTGTACGAGATAACGGGTTTGCTGACATGACGTATCACGTGACATAACTATCACGTGTGTCGTGGCCAAAAATGGATGATAAGGAGGACCAGATAGAGTTAACCCATTAGAACGAAACACAATAGATTTTGTCGATCTACCTAAAATGTCTGGCCAGGTTAGAGCAACGGCAAGAATAATTTTCTCAGTTAATTCGAATTGCTTGTTCTGTTTCAGGACATCATAACATAATATACGAACATAGCTTCCCCGATTCACAAGACGACACACGCCTGTGTACACACGACTAAAGTAGTAAACAATATAATTTAATGAACTTAGCAAACATGTATAACTTTATGTAGCATATGTATTCAAAACTTACTTAAGGCTATATTAACAAAAAACACTGCTTGGAAATGAGGTTTTGCTGGCTATTCGTTTGTTCTGCAATTAGTATTCTTTCTCTCAAAAATCACTTTAGTTTACATAATTATACTTACCTCAAGGCGAAAACACCACATTCTTTCTGTCCACTTTCAAACAGCGAACCAATGTTCATTCCAATACATTTTATTAACTTTATTGGCAAACTAGATAATCGTTGAACTTTACATAGTTTTGAATCAACACAAACAGCTTCGTTTCATAATCGGTGACAACTGGTTCCCCACTTGTTTCCGTGATCTTATCCTGGCATTGATCAGCGTACTTTTGAAGGAGTACATGCTCCTCTTCGTCTGACGTCAACTCCAACACTTGCACTATACCGTGACATATAGGCGTATGATTCGCGAAGTTATTCCTTCTTGAAAACGCCGTGACTAACTCGTTCAACGTGATTTCTCCGTTCTTAAGTTTAGTTAGCAAAAACACGGCAAACTGAATGGCATTTATACCGGAATAACGGTTCAAAGTGCTTTCAGGTAACATAGTGGCATTACTTTTAAGTATTGTTTTAGCATTAACATGTTTTTTGGTAAAAATTTTAAAACTTTCTTCTCGATTGGAACCAGAAGACACAGACATTTCTGGAACAGGGTAGGTTTTCATACAATGTTTGGTACCTTTTATCAATTTATGAACAGGTAAAACTTGCATTTGGTTTCTTACAGAAAACTCATCAGGGCTCGTCGTTTGTTTTTGTTAACTTCAGGCAAGTCTTTAGCGAAACCACAAACACTGTTTTTCATCTTTATATGAGCTGAAGCCGCTAACTGCTCTGTTTTGGTTGGTGATGAAGGAATGGGAGATAGTGGTGGATAGTCAAGTGCATCAAAGTTGCAATCATCAACTGATTTTATTTTTTCTGGAGTATCAATTGATCTTCTTGTTTTTCGAATAGTATCAAATGGTCTTCTTATTGTTTCCGGACTATCAACTGGTCTTATTTTTTCTGGTGCAGTAGGAATAGGTGAAAGTTCTTCGAGCAACCTTTCTTCAAACGAAACAGAAAGATGCTTTTTTTCGTTCGGAATCAAAGAGTTTTTACAGCTTGTCGTTGCAACCTGACTTTTGTCAGTTGAACAAGGCAAATTACTCGTTTCATTAGCAGACGTCATTAGCTCAAATTTGCATCTTCCTTTGTTTGTATTCAACATCTTTGATACGGCAGTTGGAGTAAGTGAAGATTTATGGATGTTTTTGGATGTGGGTGTTTTGACATTTTTGCAAATGACACTTCTAACCTGATCTTGTGACATATTTTTCACAGTTTCTTCGGGAAGATGCAACGTCTCTGAATTTTTTTCGTCCAAACAAACAGTAACACCACATTTCCTGTAACTGTATTTTGACTTGTCATCCGTCGTTTCTGTCCTCTCTCTGTTTGTTGAATTGATTGTCCTACAAATCTTCTCAACGCCATTATTACTTGATTGCATAAAAATATCCAGATCTCGATTTTCTGATGATTGGTCTACAATCTCAACGTGACCAGAAGTTGTCTTATTTTCGTCAAGTTGCACCATGTTACAAAAATTTGTCGATGGAACCTTCTTGCCAAAAAACTTTCCATGACTGTAGTGTTGTTTATCTAATGTATTTTCAGACTTTTCTTGATCCTGTTGTAGATCCAACAGATTATCGGATTGTCCTTTATCTTTATTATTACTAAAGTGATGCTCATCTGGCTGATCCATGAGTTGTTCTTGACCATGATCATAACATGATTGCTGTTGATCCAGCTGATTGTTGGATTGTTCTTCACCTTGATCATTGATAAATGGTTGATGATCCAAGAAATCCATGGATTGTTTTTGATCTCGTTCATTAATGCATTGTTCTTGACCTTGATCATAACACGATGGTTGCTGATCCAACAGATCCTTGGATTTTTCTTGACCTTCATCAAGAATGAATTGTTGTTGATCTGACAGATCACGAGAGTGTTCTTCATCTTGATAACTAACAGATTTTTGCTGATCCAATTGATCCTGGGATTGTTCGTGACTTTGATCGTTAATAAATTGTTGTTGATTTGACTGATTCAGGGATTGTTCTACACCTTGATGTTTAATGGATTGTTGTTGATCCAATCGATCTTGAGATTGTTTTTGATCTCGATCATTAACACATCGCAATTGAACAGACTGATCATGGAATTTTTCTTGATCTTGATCATAACAAGATTGTTGCATATGAGACAGATTCTTGGATTGTTCTTCATCTTCATTTTCACAACATTCTTGCTCATTCGAATGATTCTCGGATTCTTCTTTAAGTTGATGATAACTAGATTGTAGTTTATCAACACAATTCTCATAATTATCTTGATCTATATCAAGACTAGAAACTTGCAGATTAACCAAATTTTTGGAATACTCTTCAACTTCATCATTTGATGGTTGCAATGATGAATGAGCTTTATCCGTTTTTTTGATATCATTGTCATCAATACAATGTATTGCATCTTGACAAAAATTATCTTGATCGTAACTATCACTAAATTGTTTTGTTACTCCTTTAGAAGAGACAGTTTCCGTGGCCAAACACTGCCTGATTTCTTCAACAGGTTGGGAAATATTCTCCTCTCCGTCATGAACATGAGCAGCACTTTTAGGAAATTGTGCATTGTTGGAAATCTGATCCAACACAGTACTGGATTGTTCATCATCTTTGTTTTTAATAGAAAGTTGGTGCTTTCTGCAATGCCCTCTGGGCTTCAATTCATTTATTTTAATCCCCATCTCACGACTTCTGCGTCTAGTTATCGGGGGATCATTTCCTAACTCTTCATTCAAGCTCTCGTTCTTTGTGGCTAATTTTGCCGACATTGTTTCGGTTTGCAACATTGACGGTACTTGCTCATTTACTCTACGCTTCTTTCGGGACCTTAAAATCATGAAAGTACCACTTGATTCGGATGCACTAGAGAAGTCGAGTTGCCTTTTATTTCCTTTGCATTCATTTAGATTTTCAATGGTCACTTCCTTGTTGCTGTGACCAATACAAATATACTCTTTTGTGTCACAATGATCAATTCTGTTGATCTCGTATTTATTGTCTTGATCAATACTATTGACCTCTTTGCTGTCGCTATGATCAACACCATTGACCTTAAATTTGTCGCTATGAACAGAACTATTGACCTCTTCTTTGTTGCAAGGACCAATACAATTGATCTCTTTGTTGCTATGATCAATAATATTGACCTTCTCTTTGTCACAATGACTAATACCATTGACATCTTTTTTGTCGCTTTGATCAAAACTATGTGACAATATGTTACTACAAAAATCAACCAAAGCTGTTTGATGATCTTTACTTTCATTAACAGAGTAAAAATCTTTATCATCAAGATGATTAATATCCATGGTTTCATCAATAACATTCTGATCAGCTTGCTCATCATCATTGATATTAATGGAATTATCCTCATCAGCACATAAACTTTCATCACAAAACTTTACAGGAGAAGGTAAAGGGATAGTGAAGGACATTGGGATATGTCGAGGAGCATCTCATCGATTTTCTCAATGATTGAACTATTTTTTTCGTTGTTGCAGTCTGACTCAGTCGTGCTGACCGCCGGCTCATCGTCATTTTTATGTCGAAGACAAGTAAAGGATGTACTCTCATTGACAAAACCAGATAATTTTTCATCCTTGAACGATGCTGCACTAGACCTACCAGTTCAAAATAGATAAGTATTAACACGTATTTATTCAATAAAAACAAAAAACAACGAGCATGTAGCTTCATACGTACTACAACGAAGAAGTTCTTCCTACGTACTACAATGAAGAAGTTCTTCATACTACATTGATGATAAAGTTCTTAAACACTCAAGTAAAGTTACTTTTTAGAAGTAATATTGATGTTCAAACTTATGATGGAGAAATTCGCACCTGTGTCATTATTTCTTGAGTGCTGACTACAGCAAGCACTAATGTCTTCATCACTAGTGCTGTAGTTTTTATAGTTTTTATAACGAGCATTAAACATCCGAGCAATTTACAAACAGTGCTTCTGTCAGCAAATAAATCATTCGTGATTAACTATTTTACCGTTTTCTCGGAGATCTTCTAAGGAAATAGATGATTTGAAATCTTTTTGGGGACTCTAGAAGGCCATTAAAATATGACAACGATCACATACACAAAAAATATGAAAACGATGAAATCGCTTTGAAAAATCTTTGAGCTCCCACCTCATTTTCAACGCTGGGTACAAACTGAGCTGAAAATTATAATTTTACAATGTAGATATTTCATCAAAAGCTACACAATGATCATAAATTTAGTAACATCTGCGAAAGTTGAATAAAATGAAATCAAGATTTTCTTACTTTCTCGAAGTTTTTCTCTGAGTTCATCAAACAATCTCTGCAAAAGGAAAAATGATTCGTTAAATAAGCCTTTTAATAACATCGTTCAAAACACGGTAGTAGCTAAACAAGGGAAAATCCTAACAAAAAGCAAACCTTGTATTTCTCAGTTTCCGTTTTAAGTTGTTTTATTTCATTTAAAAGTAATCTTGTACGTCCGTCAGACATTTCTGCGAAAAATATGACATACCAACTATATTCCATTAACAGAACAGTGGTTGAGAGCAAAACTATGACGTAGCTACATGACTCGATATGATGACAGAGTACTTTACCTGAGTCTACTTGTGTTGACTGATTTTTTTTATTGACTTTACTTAGCTTAAAAGATAAATTTGGGAAAACAGTGTTGATTACATATTTTTTGCAGGCAAATAAATTCTATCTCCCCTAAACTACACCGTTGAACGATACAAACATATGACATACAAACCTTAAATTCTTTAATCTGATCACGTAATGAGTCAATTTCAGCGTGGGATTTAGTAAGGTCTTTTTTTAGCATTTGATTTGCCTCTGAAATGTAAGTTTAATTTCATCAGTGAAATGAAATATTAAAGGAATGAAACAAGAAATTACTTCTCTCTATTTGTACTTTATTCGTTAATTTGCTGATTTGTGCAGCATTCTTTTTTTGACTAAATAGACGACATAACATTTGTCAAAGTGAGTTCAGCTTTATTGAAGGTTAAAATCATAGTAAAAGCAGGCCACTGTCCCCATGGATAGAGACTAGTGCAATTCATTATAAAGAATTGAGATACTAGTGAAAATTCTTGGTATTTTTTGAGCTAGTCGTAAATGAGTTCGACTATTTTTGGTGGACAAAAACTCGCAGATACTAAATTCTCGACAATCGTAAATACGTATACCAAGAAATATTTCACACAATCATCTTCACCAGTGGAATAATAAGGGTCAATAACACAACTTATAGGAAAAAAACATTTATGGTGACAAATTGTGAGCAAACAATTAAATGAAAACCTCAACGAGCAATTAAAAAAGTCCCTTTTAATCAAACCGTCGATACAAAAACTGAAAATTTTATGATCAAAAAGCGCCACACGTTTTTATCGTGCGTTTTTAAGACTAGGTCTGTTTATACAAAGACTTCTCATTTCTCGAATAAAGAAATGGCCTTCTACCGATTTGTGTACGAAATGACATTTGAAGGAAAAACTGCCTTGGTATTCTAAAAACCATGGAAGTTAAAAAAATGCATCTTATGACGTCGTTTAGTGAGTTACAAAAAGGGGACCGACATTGGCAAAGGTAGAAACATATCGTTCTTTGATCATTACGTTTTCTTCAATTCATCCATTTCACCAGAATGAATAGCTGCATCAAGTTTAAATGAATTTGCCAAAGTCTCATTCTCTTTAATGACATCTTTCAGTTGGATTACTAAATTCTATGTAACATGTAAAAAGATCAAATGAAAAAGAGAAAAAATTACGCATGGTTTATAAAAATAGAACAAAATGTACAAAACAATCAAACCTCTGATCCTCTCACTCTGTCTTTTAATGTTTGAATTTCATGAACATCAGCTGTAACTGTCTCTTCTAACTCCTTACATTTCTAATAAAATATAAATTTTGAATGTTATCATTAGAAAAAAATGTGTAAACAAATTCATTACCAGTAATTAAGCATTTATATTTTTTCTAATTGAAGTAATTAAACATTTATATTTTTTCTAATTGAAGTAATTGAGCATTTATATTTTTTCTAATTGAAGTAATTAAGCATTTATATTTTTTCTAATTGAAGTAATTAAGCATTTATATTTTTTCTAATTGAAGTAATCAAGCATTTATATTTCATCTCATTGAAATCTTACAACACAAAGTAACTTCTCTCTTATTTGCTTTTGAATAAACAAGATTCTAGCACACAAAAATATATGTAAACCTTTTGAAGAGGTTCTTTTTGCTCCAATGAGGCCTTTAACTGCAATCGAAGAACCTCTAGGCTTCTAGATTTAAAAGGAGATTTTAGTGTCGCTGAATCTGTCACTATGTTCAGTAGCAAGCCAAAGTTTTACTCCTGCTATGCAAATATTTTTTGTTCACTGACTGTGAAAACAATAGATTTTAATGAAATGAATAAAGAATCCTTCAGGATTTACATAGCAGGAGTAAATCAGGCTGGCTACGCTTTTGAGTATGTTTATTGTGAAAATTCATGAAAAATGTAAGAAGCTACATTCAAGTGACATCTACCTTTGAGATCCTTCAAGTTTGCCAGTTAAATCAACATTATATTTCTTCAATTCAATGTTTTGTAAGCTAAGTTAAGAACTCTACATTCTCACTTCTTCAACATGATTAAAACACAAAAATCTATCATTTCCAAGTTTGCATAGGAAGTGGCATAAGCTATAGTTATGTATCAGTAAATTTAGTGATAGTACAGAACTTTGCTATTTGTTCAAAAGAGAAACATTGAAATGTGGTGAATTTTATTGATTCAAAAAGGATATCTTCACATTTTGCTTGAAAAGATCTGATGAGGGTGCTATAGTAACAAAAAAATTTCATTGATCAGAATTTCCTATGTCATTATATGTCAATAATTTCGGGAATGGTTTGTATGATGTCTGTAGCTAAAAGCTCAAAGAGAAAATCAGCCTATCAATATATTTACAATATTAATAATACAATATTAAACAAACATGCTTTTAGATGTTTGTGGATTTAGTTCATCCAATTTCACACATTTCTTAGAAGAGCAGTTGGCATTGATGCTGTCTGATATTTCAACAACACCACATGTCATTTTCAGAAATGCAATAAATCTTCAAACATGTAAAAATTGCTACATTTAAACTTCAAAACACCCATTTCTTACTCAGTTGAAATGATCTTCTGTTTGATAGTTCTAAAATCCAACATATGTTTCTGTTTCTGATCCTCAACTTGCTATAATTTTAAAATAATTTTTTATTGCATTGTTATTTATAAATAAATGGTGGTTATTGAAGATAAATATTAATGTATAAGATGTCTTACTTTTTTCAACGAGGCACATTTAATACAATCGTCCATAGTTTAGAAGTTGCATAAAATTCTTCAATTCAAGCAGCACGATATGATAATAATTCAGTTCAATGATTCATTTAGACGAGAAACTTTGAACAAAAAAGACAAGCAAGACCTGCTCTCTTTAATAAAAGTTTTCACCTGTGAAATTAACTGCTGAAAGTTTATTAGGAGTTGATGCAACAAAATGAACACTTTAAAGTTTTAAATTGCTTTTTCTTGTTTTCACTTCCGAGCGTTTCAAAACCATGTGCTGAGGCTGAACATTGACAGGATAAAATCGGACCATGGTTTGGGGTGGTTAGACCGTTGGACCGTTGGACCATGGGTTGTATGGTCTAGTTGTATGGTAGCTTCTCAAGAACATCCATGAAGTCGTTTGTCCGTTTTGCACTTTTGCTCTTTCGTGACTTTTCCATTCAAAGCTGCTGACCATTATAATTTGCAAGCGCAGCTTTAATCAAAAACTAATTTTTCCACCTTTTGTACCACACCACCAATGGCATTTACATGATAGTTTTTTTTACCAACTTCTTCGTGCTTTCACATTCACTTTCACGTTGCGGGTCAAGACGAGTCTATCACGACGTTTTTCATCCAGATTAACCATGAATGGAAGCCATGAAAAGAAACCTTTCGAGAGACTACCTACGAGTATCGTACCAAAAAATTACTCTCTAGTTTTGAAACCCAACTTGAAAGAGTTCACTTTCACTGGTGAGGAAGTTATCGACATAGAGGTAAACTCATCATTTTGTGACATGTCATATTACTACATAGAGATCTAGTGCCAACATTAGAGCAGAGGTAGTTTGGAATTTGTGTAGAGTTAACTTGAGACATCAGACGTAGACACGAGTTCCTTTTTTTTCTGTTATATAGTCCACATTCACATTCACATTTATGTTTCCATTAATAACCTTGGTATTGCAATTCAGCTCTTTAATGATATAGAAGTTTGATTGGGGAATTCAATTGCATGCATATAATGTTTATAAGAAAAACGTTGGATTCTTATGGTATTAAAGTTTTGTATGACATTGTACAATGTACATGGTAAGTGTCAGAAAGTGGTGGAAACTGAAAGTGGGTTTTTTTAGAATTCCTAGATTTCTTTTGTGTGCAAAAAGAAAGTGCAAAAGTAGAGGGATAATTATCATAGTTTATCACATATAATCATAGTTTATCACAAATTATCATAGTTTATCACAAATTATCATAGTTCATCACAAATTATCATAGTTTATCACAAATTATCATAGTTTCATTAGTTTTCTGCTTTTATTTTCAACATTAGATAAAATCATCGACCAACAAAATAAAAATGAATTGTGCCGAAATCAACATTTCTAGTGTTTCAATTGATATTGCTGGCCAAAGTAAGTTTAGTAATATGCTCAAACAGCCATTGATGGAAATTGTTTCTTTGCCTTATTCTGGATCAGGGCTTGATTAGCATCCTTAATTGTATACTCAGGCATTGAAAGCAAAACAATATATTATGACAAAGAACAAGAGACTGTATGTATTGAGTTTCCCATAAACCTGCAATTGGGAGAAGGATCTCTGTCAGTCAAATATACTGGTGAACTTAACGATAAAATGAAAGGATTTTACCGTGCCAAATATACCACACCAGAAGGTGAAGAACGTTTCTGTGCCACCACCCAGTTTGAGGTTAGTAGAAAATTTTTTGAAAACTTTGGTAAAAAGTTTACAAAGATGATTGCAGGATGTGTGCAACTCATGAGCAAAAGTTCCGTCAGACTTTTTCATGAGACGTTCAGACGTTGGATTGACCATTTAACGATCATTTTTTGTTCATATTTAGGCAGCAGATGCAAGACGAGCATTTCCCTGCTGGGATGAACCAGCATTGAAAGCGTCATTTGATATCACTTTAATCGCACCAAAAGATAAAGTGACATTATCAAACATGGTAACTGAAACATTTCTTAAAAATATTAATGCGAAATGTGTTGTAGAATGAATACGTAAATGGTATTAAAGTTGTACTCGCATCGTTCATAACAGTTAAGTCGAACGTAGTGTATGCCTAAGGTCATTGAATATTTTTGTTAAACCTAACTTAGATCCACCATCTTTACTTGTGGATTGTATAATCAACACTCATTGTGCTAGATTGAAACGAATACCTCTGACTGAAGTTACGTAAACGTCACTACGGTATGTCTAATGACATAACTCCAGTACTTCATTGTTCTCTTGAGATATGGTAGTTCTCACTCTTCTACTCCACTCCATTGTCAACATTCATTTCTCACTATCATACAAGTCACGTGCTTTGCCATGCACGAAGTGACTACTGAACCCCCCTCACGGAAATACTTGTTACGTTACATTGTTGCACTTCTTACTTGTGGGAAAAGTTAGAAAAACTTCGTAAAACGATTCATTTGTTACGACACCATTTGAACATAACTAAAATAATTTGAACAGACTTGTATTTAAAAAGTGAATATTAGGGGTATTTGAGATGGAAACAAAACAATGTGGCGTTTATAAGGAAAAACTCGTCACATTTTACTTTCGCGTTTATTTTGTTAGAATGTTATTAAAGAAAGCGTGTATGAAGATGACCAAAGTTTAAAAGTTGTTACATTCGCACGTACACCAATCATGTCGACTTACCTTTTGGCATTTGTTGTTGGTGAATTTGACTATTTGGAGGCAAGAGACAATGATGGCGTATTAGTAAGGGTCTATACGCCACTTGGAAAAACCAGTCAAGGGAAATTTGCCCTAGAGGTATGGAGAAGTTAGAACATCTTGAAATATTCTAGGTTAAAGTATAGAAAGACTACAACTTCAACATCAGATCCATCTTGAAAACGAGACAAAACTGGAGTAGAATATGTTATATACTGTAAAAGAGGTTCAAATCTAACATCAAATCTAACCTCAGATCCTTTTAATGAAGATAGACTGAAATAGATGAAGACTTAACTTTTCTTATAACATGGGAAAATTTTTTTAGCAAACTTTTGTTTAACTCTTTCATCTTTAAGGTTGCAGTGAAAACGTTACCTTTTTACAAGAACTACTTCAAGATTCCTTATCCACTGCCCAAGATGGATCTCATTGCCATTCCTGACTTTGCTGCCGGTACAATGATTATGTAGTTAGATATTAACCAATCCCGAAAATTGCCATATCTTCTTTGCTTAACCACAGGTGCTATGGAGAACTGGGGTCTAGTTACCTATAGGTTTGTCAAAATGTTTGTCTTTACTTGTAAAAACTTTCGATGAAATCGTGCCTACTACGTTAAAAATGGGAGGATAGCGCTAGAAGTTATCTGCACGGTTGTACAAATTTGAAAAACTGTCTAACCGTTACTCTATTTAAATTTTTGACTCTCTGATGATGGCTTTGGGATAAAGTCACGTGCATATAATCTCGATGTATTGTATAGAGAAACAGCGTTGTTGGTTGATCCCGAAAATTCCTCATCGTCAAGTAAACAATGGGTTGCGCTTGTTGTAGGTAAATTCAGCTATCAATGTACATTAAATGAGTTCGAGTTTTTGTATCAATTCATTGTTCTCTTGACATTATATACTACAGGTCATGAATTGGCTCACCAGTGGTTTGGAAATTTAGTAAGTAATCGTTTTTATTGTGTTTCATTTCGAGCGTGGATACGTCAAGCTTACGACTCTTTTGTGGGCTCAAAATGATATATATCATAATTTGTTGTACGTAAAATGTTTTATTGCTCATTTTTAAAATGAACAATTGGTTCTGTTTAAGAAATAACTTCCTCATAAAAAAACAGAAATTGTCGTGGACATTGTTTTTAGTTTGTTAGCTAAATGTATATGTTCCTTTTCTTTGTTTCAGGTGACCATGGTAAGTTCAACGATAAAAAAAAGGACGATTTGTTTACAATATACCGTCAAAACAACACCATCTGGATACAGGGAGATTTTAGTTGTATTTATGGTGTCTTGAACTATGCTTAAACTTTTACTTCACCGAGTTTTCTCTTTGGTCGAAATGTCAACAATGTCAAAATTTATATGGATCTATATTACTTCACTAGGAATGGTGGACTCACCTTTGGCTAAATGAAGGTTTTGCCTCGTGGATTGAGTATTTATGTGTAGATTTCTGTCATCCCGAATACGACATCTGGACGCAGTTCGTCACTTCAGATTACACGCGAGCTCTTGATCTTGATGCAATGAAAAACAGGTAAAGGAAAAATGTTTATGTGCATGCTGTGCGAGTTAAAAGATAACGATCTTCATAAAACAAACTGTTGATGTCAAAGAAAACTTTTTTGTCTATTTTTTTATTTCAGCCATCCAATTGAGGTGCGTACTTTTAGTCTGCCATATCAAATATATCTTAGCGTTTGTTTTTTGCCAAAGTATATGTATGAAAAGACTAAAACATTGACTTTAGCAATCGTTACTCATATTTAAGGTACCTGTTGGTGGACCAGATGAAGTCGATGAGATTTTCGACATAATCTCATATTCCAAGGGTGCTTCAGTTATACGAATGTTACATAATTATATTGGGGACGAGGTAAACTAGAATTCTTTTGAAATGGGGTTGTTAACTGTGTACCTTCTCATGCATGTCCAAATTCTTTAGGTTTGTATTCTTGTTTCAGTTGATAGCCTTCCTTTACTGGAAAAAACTTTAGCAATTTTCTTCTAGTTGATAATCATCTCAACTTTTTACAATCCATGAAAGAAATTAAAATCCATGAAAGAAATGCCTTAGTGAAACACGAAAGTCTTTGTTCTAAGCTTTTCCTATATTTCAATATAGGATTACAAGAAAGGTTTGAACCAATACCTGACCAAATTTTCCTGCAAGAACGCCATGACAGGTTGGCAAATCATTCATTCCGGAATGTTCTGAATATTTCAATGGCGAATGCAGATTCGTTTACATAATTTTGTATTTTTGTATCAGAGGATTTATGGCAAAGTTTATCTGATGCAAGTGGTAAGGATGTTGAAAAGATTATGAATACGTGGACCAAGCAAATGGGTTTTCCTGTTTTATACATCAAAGAGAACAGGTAGAGTCGTGTTTTGAGTGTTACTTTTTCCTTCAGAGGACGCCAGAGTAAATTTAACATGAGTGAATTTTCTTTTCCTTCTTTAGAAAGAAGAAACCAGAGTTTTGCATATAAAGCAAAAAAAGTTTTCTGCAGATGGGCCATGCGAAGGTAAATTTTGTTGATGTTTTGGATTGACTTTAAACTGATTAAATTTAAAAAATGCTTTTAAGAAATATCCTCTTTTGTATAAATGAAATAACTGTTTGTTAAGATAATTCTTTACAATTATTTTACTGATAGAAGATTCAAACTACCTGTGGAATGTTCCTATTACGATCTCGACGGTAGATCAACCAAAAGATGTCGTTTTTAAAACTCTATTGGACTCTGATTCGTCAGTTGTGCACATTCCCAATGTGGCTGCAGATAAGTGGATTAAGGTGATTTCTAACATTTTTAAATCAAACAAGTCAGTCATCCAAAGAAAGATCGATTCAATAATTTTATCTAAATCGCATATTTTCTCAGTGTAACAATAAAGTTTTGTTGAAGGCATTGAATACATGCAATAAATTTTAAACATCGTTTGTGTGCCTCGCGTACAATTTCATATCAAGCGAAGGTGTAAACTTCTTCGTTTTTTCACACATTTAATTTATATTAATTTTGGAATTGATTCAATTGAATTAAAACAGGTGAATCCAGGTCAAGTTGGTTTCTATAGAGTCTGTTACGATAAAGAAACTGTGGAGAAATTTGTCCTGGCCATTAAAGATATGTCATTGCCACCTTTGGATCGTCTTGGTATACAGAACGATCAATTTGCATTGGTAATAGTTAAATCTTATCTCTTAATAAACCAATAGGCGTATTTTTTATTTCGTTTTGGGCTTGGGCTTGTGTTACGATTACATTCACTGGCACAGAACTTGTCAAAGAACAAAATTTAGGACCTTACTAATGAAATGAGAACTTTTCTCATTGATATCAAAATAAAGAGTTAATTCAGTTGTTGTTACCTACTCTGTAACAATTGAAAGTGCTTACAGTGGTGGTAACTCGATTAGATGTACAACTTCCTTACCTTAGTTGTGCATAGAACCAAAACTAGTTCCTTCATCTCTAGGCGAGAGCTGGTTACACCTGTACAACAAATTTTCTTACTGTCGTGGGTGCGTTTATCAATGAAAGAAATTACACTGTTTGGAACGATGTTTCAACAAACTTAGCAAAGCTGTCCATACTTCTTCAGTACACTGACTACAGTGAGTCTTTCAAAAAGTTCGTTTGTCAATTGTGTAAACCAATCATGAAGAAAATTGGATGGGAACCTGTTGAGGGAGAAAGTAAGCTTAAGAAATTTTGTTACCTACATATTAAAATTGTATAACTATTTACTTGAGCTGTCAACCTAAAAATACGATGAAGTTGACATGAGTTGAAAATATGAATGGAAAGACGAAGAAAATTGACGAAAATTCATACTTATCGGTTCATTCATTGAAATGTGTGTACTCTGTAAACTGTCCATTTCCTAGATCATCTTGACTCGTTGTTGCGTTCGCTCGTCATTCAACTTTTGGGTAAAGGTGGAGATGTGGAAACTATCAACGAAGCGAAAAGACGATTCGATCAACATGTCATTGGTGAAATCTCTATCACGGCTGATCTTAGGTCACCTGTGTATTCTATTGTTCTTACGAATGGTGATGCAACTACTTTGAGCCAAATAAAGGAAATGTATTGTAAAGCGGAACTGCAAGAAGAGATGATCAGATTATTAAAAAGCATGGGATCTGTGAAAGAAGAAGCTCTGATTGCCGATGTTTTGAAATTTTCTATTTCGGTAAGCATATATAGTGTTTAGTGTATGTATGCAAAATGTGGATTAACCCCCTTCTCCCCTGGAATTGAATAAAACATATGGATTGTCAATTCATAAATCAAGTATATAAAAATTAGTATTCCATTCTTCAATATGAATTCTTGCCTTACCAGGAAGAAGTTAGAGCCCAGGATAGCGTGTTCTGCATCTTTAGTGTATCCGGCAGGTTGGTAATTTAAACAGACGATAAGATTTTCGTTCAATTCTGTCCTCACTGCTATGTAAGATTGTCCTCATTTCAATTCTTGTCCTCATTCCTCATTGATTGTGGTGGCTATACTCTTGCAGTGCTTTGGGCCGAGACATGGCGTGGAAATTTGTAAAAAGTAATTGGAAAGAGTTTCATGATCGTTATCAAGGTGGATTCTTGCTCTCAAGACTAGTAAAGGTAAACAAGCAAATTTATGTTTCATGAAGCATGGTGGACTTTGCCAACATTACATTCGTACTAATTGTTGTGTACATTGCACATACTTTTATGTTCGTATTCGAGTGTCTTTTGACGAAGATTCGAAGCACACTGTACATTTTGATTTCTTATTAAACTTCAAAGCATATAGAAATCAATAAATGACCAAAGGCAGAAACAATATGTGTGTATAAAGCTGTTGTTGTACGATATATTCCCACTGATCTGCATAACTTAACTGAAATACAATTCCTACTTCTATAGATCACAGAGAACTTTGCGAGTGCAGAGATGGCCGAAGATGTCGAGGTAAAATTAATAAACCGATATCATTTTCGTCATCAAAAATGGTTGAAAACCATTACATGTTAATTACGCATACGTTTGATACGAAAATTTATATGCACTATTAAATCGAAAAAACTTCTTATCTTTGTCATTACTGTAGAATTTTTTCAAAGACCACGATGCTCCTGCAGCTGAAAGAGCAGTACAACAGTCGTTGGAGAGTATTCGCTTGAATTTACAGTGGTTAACACGTGATAGTGACGCAATAAAGAAATGGCTTTCAATGAAAGGATTTTAACGATTCTACGTAAATTATTGGCACAAGTGGTTTTTAAATTGTATAATGTTGGTCGTGCACTGGTGATTGTAAAAATCATTTATTTATGTTGTGTCAAATTTGCAGGCAAATGAATAAATCGATGAAAAAGTACACATCAACATAATTATAACTTTAAGTTTAAGTTCCTAGCATTAAAATAATTTTTTCATTCTTGTAGATTATAAATTTCCTTACATACGTTAATGTTTCGTGTTTTCGTATTAAAAATACAGCATATATGTATGTGTGTTTATATTATATGATGTAAAGCTGTTTTTATTGCTCGCTTAACCGATGGCGGCACTAAATCAATCTACTATTTTTTAAATATTGTATAAGAAGAATATACACGAAGCGATATTGTTCCACAGTTCGTACTAAGCACATTCTTTGACTTCTCAACTTTGACAAGATTCTTGGAACATTGTAGGGCTAAAAAATCACAGAATTAGATTCCGTAAATATCAACTTAGTGTTTTATCATGGACAATCGAATGATAACATTGAGTCATTACATACTGCAGTCAAGTAGTGTCCTTCAACAGAAGTGAACTGATGTCGAAACTCGAGTCTTATATAATCCAGTCTAATGTTTCATTAAGTTGTGTATATTTTACTCGTAACATAAATATTTATTGACTTCAATTTGATATGTAATGCTCACCTGACGTGTTGAGGTTTGAAGATGTGCAATCATAAGATTAGCTAATATAAACACTCCAGTTCTACCATCACCCAGACGACATTGCACAACCATTGGAGAATATTTATCACTGTCCGGTATATAATTGCTTCGTAGTGAATCGACTTGAGAAATAAAGTCTAGAAAATTATTTTTTGCCAAAAACCAGTTGGATTAAAGAGACAGAAGCATTGTCCCTCCTGAGTTGCGTTGATTAACTTTGATTTTGGGAGGGTTAATTGCAACAGGAAAATCTCATTCCAACAGAAAAAAAAGTTTGGTGTTCTATATATTAATGTACGTACGATGATATATGAATGACGAAACATACCTAAGAAAATAGAAGCATCGCCTGGTACTCCATGTTGTGGCCAGTGACAAAATTGGAAGAGAATTACGGTCTTATCCTTTGAAAAATATGACAAAGATTTTGTCATTGTAAAACATGTATACAAAGAAATTTACGTTTTGCTCTTTACCTGATGCGTTTTACGATGATGCAATTTAAGACTTCTTGATTTGTAGAAAGTAGATTTATTAACAAACTGTGTCATCAGTTCAAACTATAAAGATAATAATGAGAAATGTTATGTATATAACATGTATATACGATAGCGACGTTTAAAAGTACCTCTCCAAACTGAAGTTTTGTCAACTCATTTGATTCATATGAATCTTTCGGCCAATATCTGAAGCATTCTTGCTGTCCACCCTGTTATATTGAAAAAAAAGTTTATTGACCTGCAACTCGATTGTACGAGATATAATGAAATGTTGCGTACTATAACAGTTTTTATCTTATGAATGTATGTTTATTACGTTTTTCGTCAGTTTTGCAACAGACGTAAGCAAATTAGTTGGACGTAAGAAAGAGGTTGTTTAAAAAGTATCTCAAGTCTTGTTTCTTACAGCGATTTCATATTTCTGCTTAAATAAATGGTGTTTACTTTTTTATTATAAAGCATCACAATTATCTTAGCATCTTGCTCCCATATCATTTGAACAAAATCTGATACGGTTGCCTCCGTCGGAGCCTGGGTTGCAATGTAGAAGAATGGCTTGTTCGATACTTTGACCTAGAAAAATAAAAGGTCAGTTGAAAACTGGATTTATTCACTGATTTTTATCCTGTCAAAACCAACATCTTTTCAAAGAAGCAAAAACTTGTTTAAAATTTAAATCAACTCTGCTTTACTTCTGAGCATCTGTTAGGTAGTCACTATTATACCTTCACAAAGCTTGCATTCACGTAGTCATTTTTAGAAGAATTTTTCGAAGAATCCAGGCGCACTCTAGATTCCTAAAGTTTTTTTTCAAAATCATTATTGCTGGCGTATTAAGATTAAAAAAAAACAATATTTACAAGTCTATAACAACTCAAGTTTCACAAAAATCTCGGTGGTTTTCAAAATATACGTTGAAGTTCACCACAATTACTTTAAATGCCATAACTAACCTCGTAGGGAAGAATATCTGAACATCTATTTCTTGATGAATTTTCACTTAGAGATGCGGTGGTCGTAGATTTGTTCTGCAGGAACAAATAGGATTAAACTTACAATAGAAAAAGAAACATCTTGCAGGTATTTTCAATACGATTTGAACTTGCCTCATCCCGTAAATTAATAGCATCAAACTCAATCCCCAAATCTCCTTTATTCAGTACTGTTTCTAACTGCTTGCACTTAACAACGAAAAATATGAATGATTTAATAAGAGCTTGACAGGACAATATATAGGGAAAGTACAAGCTTTTACCTAATACAAAACACGTTCAATATTTAAATAAATACATTTTCTTCTCTGCTTATATGCACCTACGTAACCTCTTAAAACAAACACATACAACTCTATACTCAGAATTTCGACTCTTCAAAAAAATGGTGGGGAAGAATAAGGATTGAGGCAAGACTAACCTGTGTATCAGCATCAGGGACTTCGTAGGAATGGTAAGGAAACGAGCTTGTGCTGATTAAACTCACAGGAGATATTGGGGATACAGGTGACTTCGAACTAGACAATTCAGAATCTGCGGACGTGTTGTAACCGCTGGTTGCCAACGTTTGAAGGCTACATGCATCACCGCTCCTTTCTAAACGTGTAGGTACAATCATGGAGAAACTCCTAAAGAAAACTCAAAATAAGAATCATCATTTCATGGGATGAAGGGGTATAAAAGGAGCTATCATAGCTTCAATTGTTTATTTAATATAAAGTTGTATATCGTGCACAATCACAGAAACTTTGACAGCTTGAGCTAAATGTATTGTAGATGATCCATAGTTGGAGATAAGTGAGCAAACCTTTCATTTCTCCTTTCAGCATCAATGTTACTCGAGGCACATGGTAGAGATCTACGAGCCTGTATCGAATCAATTGACTTCGACTGATTTGAGAAAGTCTTATATGATGCCATCAAAAAGTCATTTGGAACAGCTGTGGTATCCATTCTTTTACATCGTATTGAAACTTGACTTCATTGTTTTGGGTCGTGATATCCACGTGTGATTCAGAAGAACTGTAAATACCTGATTCACGGCTAAGTTCTCCCGCCTGTGGATCACCATCTATGTGGTCATGAACGACGGGATTGTCAAACGCAAAGTTTGATAGCCCTAAATTGAATGAGGAAATATAGAAGAAATGTACGTCTGTCCGCCAACTGTTTCATTGACAAGTATTCGTCAGAACACCTTTGTTAACAAAAAATTAAAAAAAAATGATTAAGCAAAGAATGCATTCAGACCTTGCACTTACCATTACTATATTCATCAGCAATGCCCTAAAATGTTTATATGAAATTTTTTATACAACATACATGTGATGAATTTACTGAGATTTTGCTAGATAAAACTAACAACGTGACGATTCAGAACAAAAGTCAACTGCGCATGACAGCATGATGTCATCAGAGCAATTCACAAGGATTTTGTGAACGACGTAAAATAAGACTAAAAAACAATGAAATATTTCCTCACATTTCTTCCTGATGAACTCTTTCTGCCACTAATAACAAAGTGAGAAACAAAAAATTTTTAAAAAAGCATTTCTCTTGTATTTGTATCCCATTTGACTATCCAATAGTATGTATGTTTTTGGCATAAGTTTTTCTATGTTGTGTTATTTATGGACGTATACATTACAGTCAGTCATTTTTTAGTAACTGGTTGCTTGTTTGTAAGACAGCATGCTAGCAGTTTACAGTATAAATGCAACTGTGTTTTAAACGTGTGTATGGGCCATGACGTACACCGGCTCTAGCTGAGAAGCTCTCCGTAAACCAAACAATAAAAGGCCAAAACAACCATACTTCATTAATTTATACATTTTCTTGGTCCAATGTCTAAGTTAAACACTTCATTGCAATATCATATTTTATTTCTGTACAAAATCCTAAAGATCATTCGTTTTTCTCAAACCAACCTTCCAACATCGATTGCACTGCTTCGTTTACTGCTGTCTTTAATTCTATGAAACTGGTGATAAGTAATACAGCTCTGCCACACATACTTTGCATCTTCAACCGAATTCTATAAATTTCAAAAGGTCACACCAATCTCTCGACTACAACCAATGACCAATGAAAAAACAAAGAAACAAAAACCTACCATCTCAAGACACGATTTCAAAGTTGATGTTTCAACAAGAAACATTTTCTTGCGATGAATCATGTTCACTATGTCAGGCCAGCTAATGAGAATTGCAATAGCAAAACAGTTTGTGACATGTTCTCAATACTTAACAATTTCTTAGCTTAGTCAACGGTATTACTCAGATGTACTGAAGTCCTTAAATAACTTAGTGAACTGTTTTCCTCAACAGTGACCTAATGTTATAATGTCTAGTTTCTTTGCCTTTCACAAGCTGATCTTAACTTTCAGTTTTCATAGAAATTGACGTTGCCTCTATTGATATGACGTAAGTTGTTGTTGAAACTTACTGAAAGTACATGATAGGTGTATTGCTGTCGTATTTAACAAACACACCACAAGCACATGGTCCAACTTTTACAGCACGACCATCCAGATCCTGAGAAATTTAAAAATCAGCTCATAAAATAAACAAACTTTGACCCCAAACATGACAGTTGTAATCATCCCATAGGCGTAAGAAGCGAGTGAAAGTTGGAAGCACGTGCTTCCCTTCCTACACCACTGGGTCATCCCTTACAATGTAGTTAAATTACCTTTGCAGAATAAAATTCGTGTCCGTAGAATTCTAACTGACGCGCATGCGTGATGTAAGCAATTTCTGCGTCACTTGTGGACATTCCCCTTGGGAAAAGCATATCATTTTACCATACTGTATTGTATACATAACTCTCAGTGTCTTCAGTGTTCAAAAATTATTTTAAATAGAAACATTGAAATTCAGATACTTTCATTGCTTTTCATTTTCTTTCAAAAACCTACAAGGACTGCAACTGAGCAGTTGTCATAAAGTCAAACTTACACACAATTGATATGATTTGCAGCAATCTGAAAAAAATAAAAAAAAATACTGTGTTGACAGGTATACTCTCCGTTAAACACAGGATTTTCCACCCTTTGTGAAAGATTCAAGTATGATTTCAAAATTTTGCAAAGTACAAACGTACCTCATCATAAAGTTCACTTTCAGTTTTTTCAGCTAAAAAATGCTGTGAAAAACAAATTGCAGAAAGCGTTTGAAAACTTACGCAGTAAAAGGAATTCATACAGTTTGAAAGATTGGCAACTATGCTTTGAAATAACAACTGGGAGTTAGTGGTAAGCTTTCAAGAGGGAGAAACTTTTAATCCTGCAACTATATAAGCATTTACTTATCCATCAAGAATGTTATGTGGTTTACCGTTGGTAAAAGTTGATATTCCTGAATGAATTCTTCTTTATGTTCAGTTTCATCGTAGTCACCATATTCAGCTGGAAAAAATTAGGTGTGAAACACAAATTTATAACTTGGTATCAGAAATGCAACTTTTAACATCAGCAGTTGTTTTAAAAGACATAAAAAATAGAGAAAAATACCTTTCATATATGTACTAAGTAAACACCCACCTTGCAAGGCAAATGCAGCCAATTCCAAAGCTTGTCTTTCATTACAAGGAAGAATACCATCTTGAATGTCTTGTCGTAATTGCAAATAGTAAAAATACCTACAGACAAAAAGTTATTAAACTCCTTCGTCTTTTTACACACAAGCATCACGAAAAATGTTATTTGTGAGGTCAGAGTGGCTACAACAAATCAAAAAAAAACGTGCGGTAAATAATCTTGATTCAATTGCAAAGGTCTCAAATGATTACACCCCGAAAAACAAATAACTTTTCTTTCTTCTAAAGTGCTTTTTCCACTTCGCTTGCTACTCACGAAATGAAACTTTTAATGTTTGTAGTTAAAGAGGATCTCAAATTTTAATTCAAAAAAACAAAACGAGATTCCATTCTCGTATTCAGACAAACACGTCATGTTTTCAATTCAAGTTTTACCTTGTCGTATCCTCTGTCAACTTTTCCACGTTAGTCTCAAAGAATCTTATTCTTAGGAAGATGGTTACATTTTCAGTATCGTCTATTGCCACCCGCTTGATTTCCTTACTTAGACGCTTCTCAAGATCCAACCATTTTCCATTTGATGTCTTATCGCAACCATATTTTAAACCAAAATGCCAAATCTCATAAAAATAAAATAAATTCTAACGTTAAACCATAATAAATATCGGGAACAACAGACATCATGGGGGGATAAAACATTTTAAACAAATCATTATTTACTTTCAAAGCTTTTTTATGGAGACAAAGTCAACATGAAAATAACATCGGAGACCACACAGTACTGGAAGATGAGATTTGGAAATTGATGATTGATTATGAATCTTCGCTTAAGCCCGAGGTCAAACGTTATTTGAATTATTGAGCTGACCCCTTATGTATCGTGACCTGTGAGACGATGCATACGGAAATAGTTTATACAAAAACAAAATTCATTAATGTAACAATATTGCTTTAAATTTAAAGCAAGCCAATTATTTTGGACCAAAGAATTAAATGCATCATATACGGGTTTTTAGATACAATCTATTTGCATTACAACACAGTACGACAATATCGAAATTCCATGCATTTATCGCATTCTAAATCACTGTAATAAGAAATAATCACAACAATTATCTACAAAGAATGAAGACAATTAAAGAAAAGCCTTGAAGGAACTAAAGTTATTAAGCTGATACTTTGATAAAACTAGACATATGTAACGAGAGTCGTTTAAAATTTTTACGTAAACGAATTTCAAACTCCCGTATTGACTGTCGTACAGGAAATATTATTAATGCCCCATTTACATTGCAAGTTCACAATCGAAGGTTTGCATTTCTAGCAACAAAGCAAAATAAATTCTATCAATAAAACATACATACCGCAATAAAAATTCATATAGCAGGTTGTAGTAGCTCTTACCTCTTTCAAGTTGACTTCTTTGGCAATTTTTTGAAGACATTCTTGACCTGTGCATTTCTTCCTCAAAATATATTCGGTTATGATGTTATCTAAATGTTGCACATTCACCTTGACTACACTACGTTTTGCCTTTCTTCGTCTACAGATACAGTCAAATATCATCGCAACATTATAGTCTACCCTGGAACATTCGAGAACACTTCAAAAATCATTGACTTGACTCGTGAATCCATGTTGTTGAATTAGTCCCTCGCAGCATTCTCACGTTGCAATATTGTGCGCTCTCAGCAAGATTTTACACGCATCAGTAACTGTGAAATTCCAAACATTTTTGATATCTATAATCACATTGAGATAAAAGGTCTATGGTATTTTAAACGTATGTCGTCTCAGTTTGACGAAAATCTAGCTATTAACGTTTTCTTTGGGCAAAATCAAATATAAAGATAAAAATATAAGATGAAGATAAAAATATAAGTCGAAGATATGCAAAAGTTAGGCACGCTTACTAAATGCACAATCCAGACTTTTAGAAATTTAATTTTAATTGAAATTTATTTTCTGACGTAATTAACAGCTTATGTGAAATGTAAAGAAGCACAAAGATTATGTTGACAGGGGAGATTTGTTCTCTGCGAATTCTTAGTTCATACTTTGTTTCATTACCTGGGCAGAAGGAGCGATCCGACAACGCAAGTTTCAAATTCAAAATTAAAATGAATAATTTGAACAATTGGAATTCTCCGTATTTTTGTAAATGTATCCAAAAAATAATCTGTTGCAATTTATTTGAACTTTCCCAAAGTCTACTGCACTAACATCGAAAATATAACTATCCTGCAATGATATGAATCAATGTAGACTTTATACATTGGAATATACGATTCAACACTTCTTTCAATGGCACGGGTTCAGATAGTTTCAACATGACTAACTAGGCGATTTAAATCTTACATTCACATGAAGGCAATTAAGGAAGGAACTGTTGTTGTTGTTGTTGTTATGTTATTTTGTTAATGTTGCTGTTTGTTGGTTATTGTTGTTCTTATGTTATTGTTGTTGTTAGTTGTTGCTGGTGTTCTTGTTATTTCTCTTAGTTGATTCCACGAGTTTTGACATACCAATCTGTCGTGAACTGCTTGCATTTACGACCGTACTTTCCATCAACAAATGTAACGTTGAAGAGGTATCTAAAAACGGACAAAAGAATTTTAATAATGATCCATTGATTAACAACTGATTTTAAAATAATGAAAACCAATATCCAACGATAAACGCTACATAACCTGAATACAACCAAAGTCTGAGCCTTATGTAGACGATCGTCAATGTATGGATGTCCTACAAAAATTATCGTTATACCCATACCTGTCAAGAAAATGAACACTTAATTGTTGTGGGTATAGTTTTTCCAATTTTGCCCACTCTAAACTGGTTGAATGTTTCCAAGAATGGATCTCAACTGTCCAGCCTCGATCTATGGCGGCTTTTGCACACTCAGGGAAACTAGTAGCACATTCTGACTTCCCTTTGTTGCCATCACCACTTGCGATCACCAGAGTTCGAGGAGATAGTTCAAAAATAGCCTAGCAAAAAATTAGCTATATTTTTAAACGTCCAAGTTATTTTTTTAGATCCAACTGTTATGACGCTTTACATTGAAGACACCTTCACAATGAAGAAAAAATATATTGCATGGTATCGTTTTCTTCAAAGGCTTTTACTATTTTCCTTACATCGATATTTTTAAAAAGTTAGAATTTGGCTGATAGATCACACCTTATAAATATGAAGATGAAGACCTTCATCAACTCTTTGTTCGTCCTTTCCTCTTCTGTCTTCTACATCAACGCTATAACCGAGCCTTCTAGAAATGATAACAAACAATTGACAAAAAAATGAGGTACTGTACTAATAAAAACCAAAGCAACTGGCTTTCATATTTGAAATTATATACAAATCATTATCTCACCTATAAACCTCCCAAACTTGATCAGTTTTTGGAGGACTGGAACCTTGAACAAATGCACGCGAAACGGTTCTCCCTTTTTGAAATACTTTCACAAGTTGTTGTATTTTGATGCGAACGTTACGTTTTCGTTCATAAGGGTTCAGTATGGTGGCACATTCTTGGGCACCGATGAAGACATTACTGTTGTCTACTACTATAACAACATCGCTCGAAGGAACCATTCTTCCACATACTGCTGTCATGGATGTATTATTTGAGTCTACTGCTGCCCTAGTCATCGCGTTAGCTCTCCTCAAATTAAATATTCTGTTGTCATCAGAGTGGGTTCGCTTGTGACAACGATTGTCTTGTTTTAAAACAATGTCTTTATTTGCTCTTAACTTAGGGCTCGTATAGGATCTATTTAGATTAAAGTTTACGCTATTATACTGAGATGAATTCTCTTGAACGTTTGCTTTATCCGTGAGCGATAGATTATTTCTTCTTTTGACGTGTCCACGATAGGATATGCTCGTTTTCACACTCCTACAATCTTCCTCAAAATTAAGTTTATTTTTTTCATAATGACAAAGATTTTTTGACAAACTTTTGATCTCGTTAAAGATCTCTACTTCATCAACAAAGATTTTTGATTCTTCTTTGGCACAAGTTTCACTCTGTGCACATGATCCAAATTCGTTGCAATGCTGATACAAAGTAGCTTCATTATTCAAAAATCTAATGGATTTATTTCTCATACGGTTTGAAGAAACGTTGCTTGTGTTTAGATTCATGTCTTCTTTCTTTTGAGGAAATTTCGCTGGCTCTTCATCAAACGGTATTTCGCTTGCATTACATTTTGGAAGACATATATTTGTTTCGGCACGATAATCATATTTGTAAAGAAAAGATCTACGGACATATATTCGGAAATCACACAGTGAAGTTATCAGACGGTGTGAGTGACACAAGTGGTAAAAAATTGACATAAATACCTCCACAAACGCCTCGTAATCTTCACACCAAGAAGAGCCGTAGTAACAGCAAGACAACTTGCCATCATGCAGACTATAGTCCATTTCATTAAAGATTTTGTCACTCTCCGTTTATCTAGAAAAGAAAAAATAAAAATACCTTGTAATTCGAAGATATTTTGAAATCAAAAGAGAAGAAACTCGTTTATAGCATGCTGTAACAATAGCTGTTGCATGTATTTGAAATATTGAAATTCTGACGTTCAAATCGTACTCACTTGAAGAAGCTGTTACTCCAGGAAAAAGATCTGAGAATGGCGAACAAATACGGCTTTCCTGAAGACAAGATCGCAATTTGAAATGGTACAACGTGTCCGGTGTTAAACGTCTTGCAATGTAGACAAGATCGTTGCCAAAATACTCCAGATAATCGTCTATATAGAGTTCGTAGAAATGAGCTTTACCATGGAACTGATGGAACGGTTGCCAAGTTGCTCTGATCTGTGTTTCACCCCAAGTTTCCACTTTCGTCAGATTTGGTTGTAATGCACCTAAACATGAAAAATGTTTTAACAAGAGGGTGGGAAAGCACAGTTAAAACAAGAGTTATTGTAAGGAGAGGAAACGAAGGCAATAAAAGTAGAGACACAAGGGAAAATTGTTATTAAAATTTAAATGAATCGCAAAAATTCTTTGTAACACGGTAGTCACATGACAACGTCTTCAAACTTACCTGACGTGCCTTCAATCCATAAAAATATCATCGCAATTATGGTAAAACAGGTGACAACCATCTTGCATTTTGAACAATTTCGCTTCCCAAAAGCAACTCTCATTTTTGTAAGCATTCACTCAGTGTATATTCAACCTTCGTTTGAATATGAGACGACTTGTCGTTATAACTACATGAAGAAAACACGGAGTGATCGCGAGATTTTCTCTCTATATTCTTCAGGCTTACTAATATCACTGCAAAAATACGTCCATATATGATGAGCATTATAGGTACTTTTTATTAGCTAAGGGAAATTGCACTTTCTTTCGTAAGACAATAAACCTTTTTAGCCTTGTTTACTTATCTATGAAGATTATCAAAATAAACTTCTCTCCAAATTATTTAGTCAACCAGGTGTTGAATAATCTGTTTTTATCAAAAACTTTTTTTTTTTGAATACAGACTTTTTTCCAAAAAATATATCAGTGTATAATCCAACATAATTGAACAAGCCAAACATCTAAAGCAGTGAGGATCTTTGATAACTTAACATTGAAGGAATATCCTGAAGACAGTGATTTACAAGGAAGACTTGTCTTCAAGTTATCGTTAACAGTTGATGGAGTTTGATAAATTAAACAATTTCAGTAGGGTTGCTTTTCATTTTAGTAGCTAAGATTTGTCTTGTGGGTGTATGAATATCTGCCTCATTTCAAAGTTTTGATAACACATATTGAATGAAATGCAATATTCGTTAATTCACTTCATATATTGCAATAACTAATACTCAAAGCAAACTTACCTTTACAAATAAATATGGCTCGCTCTCTTAATTTGCAACAATTGTCTATTCCTCAGAGTATTTGTGATATAAAATTAGCAATATTATTGGCCCAAAGTCAGCAAATCAAGACTATCGAAAACAAAGCATGTTTACAAATGAGTTTTTAATATCAAGTGATCGTGGAAGTAATCAATACCACCCAATATGACGTCTGTAGCAAGCGCATGATTCTACCTACGCACTCTTTCACCATCTTTTATCAAATATTTGCATAGTAAACGTAAAAACATTTTGCATATCACGCGCGGCATCTCAATCACTAAGAGCAAAGTTCAGCATACTGGTTCGTATTTCGTAAACGACGCTGGTGTAAAATAGATCAATGTACGTGTACATTGAAAACGATCACGCCATTCGGACTTCCGCTAAATGAAATCTGACCATTTGATCTTGAGTGTTCATTTACTATATAAGCGTTTTAACATCAGACCACTTCTGACGAAGACAATGGAATGGATTACGTATAAAGTCGATTTTTAACATTAGATTACTTCTAATTAAAACAACAGACTGGATTTAAGATTAGATTACTACTGACAAAGACAGTACACAGTCCTTATATTAGATTTCGTTCACTCCTGGTGAATGTACGCAGATAGAAAACTTTATAATCTCAAAATAACGACAACAAATACATTTTTCATAAAAGTACAGTAGTCATGGCAATGTGTCAAACGTATATAAACTTTTAATCCATAAATATATTACTTAAACATATGTTATACCTTTCAGTCCTATTTTATAAACCATGATAAAAACGATATGAAACATCTGCTATAAATCCTTATATATATATTATATACATATGTTTACAACTTCATATTTTACGATATATTTAGTCATACTTCAATCAAACGTACGTTTTGCAGATCAAAATGTCTATAACAAACTCTTAACAAAAATAAATATTTCTAAATGTCTTCGTAAACTAAACGCAAACACGTATAATATACCAAAAACGATAAGTCATAAAAATATATGAAAGTGGTTCAAATCTTGTCTGGATTTCGAGGTTGAGGTCTACATAATCATATTGAAAATAACAATCCTAGAACGCTCGAATTTAAAGCTAAATGTTTATTTAAATTCGGCCAAAAGGAATAAGCACAAATTTATTGAAGGTATAACTGTTAAAATGTACATTAACTAATCAAAAACTCGAAAAGATTTTCAAAGCGGTAAACATTCTAAAGTTTTACAGGGAATTCCTATGGATATCACCCAAAAAACCTTTTTTATTGTTCTGTTTAACTCTCCTCCAAAAAATTTGTGAAGATTTTTTTAAAATATCATATCAACTATCCACTCTCGCGTTTATTCATGCATCATGTCGTTAAGTGGTATAAAAGTAATAACGAAATCAAAGAAAAGATGAAATAAATAATTTATCATTACATACCCCATCCACTCGGAAGACACGGCAAACGGAGACTCCTTCAAGTCTTTCTTCATGAATCGTTTACCTGGTACAAAACCCATTTCTGGACCACTTCCGCCTAACCATATAGGATTGCCAGGAACAACGTTCACGTCAGCAGGTTTCGTTCCGGCTGGCGGACAGGTTGATGGAGAGATTCTGTCCTCCTTTTGAAGAACTATAAAATCAGCGTATAGAAGAACTATTAAACTGGAGAATCTGCAAAAACACGGTTTAAAATGTATCATCTATAAATTGAATGAAGTATATTACATCTTTCTTGTACGTGCTCAAATGGATTATCATTTCTGCTGTCAGTTTCAATTCGCAAAAGACCTGCAACAAATAAAAAAATAGGATATTGAGATCTCTTCTGTATAACTTCCACTTGAAACTATTTCTTGTGTGGAATATTTTCAGATGTACTGTCTTTCATGTTTTTAATCCAATGCATTGACTATTACATAAAAGCTCATTTTGCATACATAAGTTAAATTTTATCATTGATAGACAATACTTTAGACATATAAACTATACAGTGATACTGATATCAATATACTACAATGTGGTGAAACTCAAAGTTTTCATCCATCTATGTCATGACTCATACGTAATGTTTGCAAATGCCAATGTAAAATTTAATAACAAGACAAACCTTCATGGCCACCTTTTTTTGATAGTTTTACAAATTCAGAGTCTGTATCTCTAATATTTGATCTTCCTGACAATACAGGTACTTGACCATTCTCAGCTAAAGCAATAACAATTATAACAAAGAAAATTACTACTCCAATCTCATGCCTTCAATACTCATTCCCTTGTCTAGTATATATATCTAAAGCAATTGACTGAAACTACAGTAATATACAATATAAAAATAATCAAGCTGATAATTGTAAATTTCCACCGCCAAGTCTGTCCCCTTACAAATTTCATCCTGGTAGTACCAGTCTCCACCCTTTCTTTCATAACCAATAGCTTCTGTATTTTTGACTTGTTCATCCATTCTAAGAAGATCTAGAAATATTTCATAAAAAAATCCTTATTTGTGATTAATAATTAAGGCAAACATGTCACATGACTTATGGCCCATGCAAACTAGTTTCAATCTATAAATCTTTACCTTTGTGGCCCCCTTCCCGACAAAGCTTTACAAAACTGGTTTCATCCTTGCGTCTCAGATTCTTCACTGGAATTTCTTCAATGTTGACATCTTCAGCAGGACCACCAAGGCAGGCAATCTGTGATAAAGCAGGTTGGTCGTAGGAGGAAACGTTTGTTGTTGTTGGTCTTATGTTGTGAGTAACACCTGATGATAAAGAATGTTCGGAAACACGAAATTAATATTCTGTTGAGGAACGATACCTCGATGACAAAACTATCAGATGAAGGGCAGATAGAACTGGCAAAGCCAGGCAAAATCTTTCCTTCTCTCATACTAATTTTTAGAAAATTTACTTCATTCATAGTTTTTAAAGAATGGATGCAAGCATATTTGCATAGCATGATGGAAAGACAGGCTGCCTTTAATACTTAAAAGTAGGAATGTTTTCTGATGACAGATAATAGTCGAAAGACAACCTCGTGAGAAAAAGATTTCATTTAATCAGAAAATGTGAGGGGGCAATTTCATAATCGTCCGAAAACTAGTGAAGAGCAACTGAAAATAGAATGAACCAATAAATTAATTTAATATATGGACTTCAAACACGTCTGATTGTACGACATTAACCACAAAATCGTAGAGAAAATTTGTAGAGTTGCTAAAGGTTTGAAAGTTGAAGCTAATGCCTACACCGAGCGTGATATTCATTTTTACCTTCACTTGTCATTTCGTTCCAGCAACAAAACCTTCAAACTATCCAAAATTTAAATAATAATTATGTTTAAATTTGCTGCGAATTTCAAGTCTGTACTTTATAAAACATGAAATTTTTTTGAAAGTCCGCCATCACTTATGTTAATGGCGCATGCGCCGTTTGTACAGTAATTTGACGTCTTGGGTGTTGCGCAATTTATTCACATTTATTCAGTTTATATTATTCAGACTTAATTACATTATCTAAGTTATAAAAACTACTAATTTAACTATCAAGACAGGCATCAACCCCACGTATTTAAATGTTATATATAATGTGTTAAAGTGACAAAAGTTGTAGGAGTCAGCATTGGAATTATCAATTAAGTATACGGATTCTAGCTAAATTGTAAATGGTTCTAAGTTGTCTATAAATAAAAAACAAGTTCCCTTTAATAGCCGTGATTGTCAGATTGTGTAGCTTTTTAGTTTATGGCCAATGCTTTATGTATTAATTATAAATATATTTCTTTATGGCAATAGCACTCGCAGCCATCACTGGTATTCCCAGCGAAATCCAGCTCAATCTTGTCACCATCTGCAAAGGAAAACATTAAACCATAAAACAATCATCGATAAGCTTTCAATGATTGTTGAATGCAGAATAATACGTCCATAAAGAAATCGAAAATCATAAAATCAATTTGCGCCCATTGAATAAAAAACTAATAAGGAATATCAAATGAAGTTAGAACAACGATTTATCCCTAAAATCAAATACTCATGAGGCTAAAATACCTTTTCTTGCCAGTTCCATCTCACTACAGCTTCGTGATAAGGTATCCTTGAAAAGGCGACCATGTTAACAAGTGGTATGAAAGTGCGAGGCATCAAACGATTCAGTACTTTTATTAAGAACGTTTTCAAGAAGAAAACGCGAGTGTTGAGCAACTTTCGCATCTGATAAAGAATAGAGTCACATCGTTTGGCATTGATACAGATGGAGTGAAAACAGAAGTAAGAACAGCAAAGGAGTTTCATATTATAATATTTAAAGCAAGCAAGCTGTAAAACATACCTCAACATAGTTGTAGTACGATAGATCGCAAATAGCATGTGCATCAGGACATCGAGTTATAGTAAACTGTTCAAATGCTTTACCTGTAGAAGACAAAAGTGTTTCATTCGAGGATTCTTAATTTAACTGGTTGAAGTTTTTGTAAACAAATAGGAAACAAGGAAACAAAACAAATAGCTATGGCTTCTATAACAGCCGACAATTAATCGTAATTTCACGAAAATTATCGTCACCTTTCATCGCTTACCAAAATCGTCATTGTAGATATCCAGAAGGTCGTTTAAAATCAAACAATCTTCAAACGCCTGGAAATATTAAAGGCTATTAAACAGATTCACAAATATTAAAATTAATCTATATGGACAACCGAATGTTTCGAAATTGTTTCCTCCGTTGTACTTGGTACAACACAATTTTATATATTGATCATATGCACTTACACAGTTCATTCCTTGACCATAGAAAGGTACCATAGCATGAGCAGCATCACCCATGATGAGAACTTTATCTTTAATATGATATGGACTGCACTGCAATTTGTTTAGGTAACTTATATTATTCTCTTGGTTGAAAACAAGATTATACTATCTTGAATAATGAAAGCAATTACAATTATACCACGGAACATACTTGAATAGTCTTAAACGGCGGTCTAACTGTTTTATATATATTACAAGTTTCACAGTACAGCATAAGCTGTGGTTCAAACATTTCGTCTCAAGTTATCATTAGACCTTAAATTTGTCATCGGTTTTCTTTTGACAGAAAAACATAACTTTTAATCAAAATCGTCTCACCTTTACCGACACCATAGGAGACGGAGGACAAGAGAAAAACTTCTCTACAAGTTGCTTTCTGAAATCAAGAATACCACAACAAATAAAAAATAGTTGCAACGACATTCACGTGTTATGTATGATCACTAAAGTCATAATATGAGATCTTTCTACTTAAGACTGTAGATAGTAGTATATCAACATCATAAGACATTCTCAATGGTCACTCGATGAAGTTACTTTGAAGAACGCACATCAATGGAAAGTATGAAAAGCTCTAATTTCAACATTAGATTATTCCTGATAAACAAACTAGGGTAAGGTACATAAGAAATTAGATTTCGACATCGAATCAATCCAGCAAGACGACTAGGGTAGACCGACTCCAACGAAGTAATATGGGAAACACAAAAAGTCAACATTTCTTCTTGTTCTAACTTCAACGATCAGATAGAATTGGTGACAAACAAAATTATTTACTTTGTTGAAAGACAAATATATTTCTACTCACTCGCCCATCAGAAGAATCAAATCTTGAAAATGAATCTTAAAAAACTTCAGAACCTCATCCTGACAAAATTTTAAAATTAGACATACGTTTTCAAATGGAGAACAATGTAGAAAAGGCATTATTTTTTCGTAACATTTTTATCGCAACTGAAATCAGTACTTTTAAAAATATGACAGACTGATACGAAAACCCAGAGAAAATGCCATCAAATAATTTACCAGTCTATGATAATAAAACAAATATATGTATCATGATTTTAAATGTACCTCTGTTTTTAAATCATCAAACATTTTGCATGGCATAATAAGCGTACAATTGAATGAGCCGTCCTGGAAAAAATGCAACATAACTTTAAGTCAGTTCGTTAAAAGATTTTAAAAAATATTTTTGAACGCAAAGGACTGTGCAAAAAAAGTTTTACCCCATTTGGCATTGCAATCAACATGAAGGAATCACGTGGCCACACGTGAAGGAAATTGGGATCTATCTTATACTAGATAAAGATAAGAATCTCATCGCCATTATCTGTGACAAACTTCACTCTATGTCTCTTTAATGAATACAGAATTTAAGTATATAACACAACCTGATAGTGCAAGGACATCAAATTTAGCTGTACCTCGCCTTCATTTGAAGGAATACAAAGTTCCTGATAGCCATGAGCGATATATTCCTGTTTATAATTGTACCTAATTGAACAAAAAATAGACATAAACTAGACTAAACAATGAGTTTCCATACATTTTTATACTCAGTTCATCGTTCAGGTGAGGAAGAAGAATTCTCTCATGTTTAAAGTTAATCATTGATGTCGTTGATTAAACATAAAGTGGCAGATGGATAAAGTATACCAATCTGTTGAGAGATTTACGTTAAATTAAAGTAAAGAAGTTTCTTACCAAGGTTGTTTTGACATCTCCCGACGAATAAGCGAATAAGCTCCATCGTTCCCAAAAATGGCTTTGCTCTGAACTGTAAAAGTAGTTTGATCTGGCCTATAGAACAAACATAATGAAGGTCAACATAATGAACCTCAATGGATGTATGGGGATGAAAGAAAATATCACGATTGTGATTATATGTAATCACAAGTGATTATATGATGCATAATCTCTAATCCAATTGCGATTACCGATTATAACATATAAACATGAGTATGAGCCCCCAGATTATCGATCTTCCAAGGTACATGTAAAAAATCAACCGTTTACTTTTCTGATGAAAGTACTTAACAAACCTTGTAAAAACGAGTAATGTTTCTTCGAAATCTATTGATGTCAGTTTGTGCTCGAAATAAAAATGAACATTTGGAAGACTTTCTGCTTCTAAAATATTTGTAAAAAGTTGATAATGTGTATGAAGTTTCTTTCTAGAGTCATGCATGTTGACGGGAGAGAGAAGGATACGACATCTATATGTCAATGAAGTTTATTTTTAGACTACCACTGGCAGATATATTATTTTATGAGCGTATTAGGGGAGAGTAAATGTCAAAAAATTTACTGTAACTTTACCAACCGGTAAGCAAATATTCGTTTAAGGTTCTTCTATTTATCGAGTACAAGCGCTAAAAAATACCAAAGAAAAATTTTAATATGAAATGCATTTATTGCTTTGGCTGAAACTAATGGCTGAAACGAGTGAGAAATGCGTTGCCATTTATTGAGAAAACGTTGGCAATTATTGAGAAAACGTTGGCAACTATTGAGAAAACGTTGGCAATTATAGCTCCAATTGTAATTATATGATTTTGCTATAGAAAAACTGAAGTTCAGGATAAAGATGAGACGATTTGATTGACGTTAAGACAACTTTGAAAGTCAGGTATACACCAATGATAAGTTCACTGATGGTTGATATGAGATAAATCTTTATTTCCGATAAAACTTTTATGTGCTTTGTCGTTGGGAATAAATAGAGATAATAGTAATTACCTCTCCATGACTACCATAACTCATGATTTTTGTTTTTCCACTTGCTTCATGAATGTAACGTCCATACATGGGCAGTCCTTCATCCATTACCTAAGTAATATATTATAATAAATTATAGTATATTATAAGAAATTATAGTATATTGCTTCGTTAAGACCTACATCATTGAAAAATTGACTAAACAGTCTTCAGTTCTGTGTGCATTTATGAATAAAATTCAAAATGAAAATGTGCTAAGAGTCAAACAAATCAGTAAAGCAACCGTTTTAACATACCGGTCCAACTACTCCCGCCTTTTCCAAAGCCTCCTGACCGCGGGTCGCCAAAGATAAATTAATGCTCCTGCCTTCAAAGAATTTCTGTTTTCTGATATCTAAGATATTGAATCCATGAAATTTTTAGATCCTCCATTTTATTTCAATAATAATAATAACAAAATTAATTCAGATCATCGTACCTTCCCTTGCTTCGAAAACGTTTACGTTATAGCCCCGTTTAGAAAGATATATGGCATTGAGTGTTCCGACCTAAATGAACAACAATCGTAGCATTAGTAGCTTGAAATGAAAAATTACGAGACGAAAAGAAAGCAAAGAATAAAATAATGTTAATAATTAGTATGAAGACAGTTGAAATATATAAAACCCTAATTCAAATGTTTAGACATAAGATTAAACAAATCAACAAGTAACAATTAGATCATTCTGAAAATTCTAATGATTCTAAAAATCTTTGCTCATTCTTAAAAAGACATCGTTTATGTGCAATTATAAAAATACAACATTCACCTAAAGGTGATCGGTTTCTGACAAAACCGACTTTTCAGCTACCTTATAAAATATCATAGCTTTATCCAAAAATTTTTGATTTTTTTCTGCTCATAAGTCTACCCAAGGAGAACCACACGCAAAGAATAATTTTAGAAGGTAATGTGAAACGCTCATAAAAAAAGGTGGGGGCGTAATTTGAAAGCTAAGAGTTGAATGTTTGCATTGGTTTCTCATCCCTTCAAAGTTTTAATAAGACACAAAATGACTTAGTTAAAGTAGGCATCAACAAGTATCACTAAAAGCATCACTAAAAATTGAATAACGTTATGACAATATTGGAGTCGTTTTTAATACTCAAAAAAGCCAACAAATTTGTTCGCCATATCTGTACGTTGTCAAAATTAATGGATCAATGGGAACGGAGAAAACCATATTATGCAAATGCTCAACAAAACCACGAAAAGTTCATGCATAAATAAGTTACGACGCATTTATAATACGTCTGCACGAATTTAAGCAGCTAACTCAGTGAAAGGTCGCAAATTATTCTCGTCTATATAGAAGCAAGACGTTGAATACATCTAACCAATTTATATTGTTTGGCATGGCTTTGAAAACGTGCCAAAATATAAGTCTTTAAGACAAATTATGTATCTTTATAACTTATCATGTCCATATCATTACTTAGACTGTTTTAGTCATGTCGTTTAAATCTTGGCCTGCTTTTACACTTGAAAGAAGAACTTGGAGTTGTATTTAACGTATCGATTCAACGTCTTTAATGAATAAAAATGGTAAATCCTAACAGACCTAACGCGACGTAATTTAGTAAAAAATGATGAACGATTTTAGGCATCATAGTTTTTCGTTTGATTAGTCACAAGTAATAAACATAAGTAGTGAATCGGGTCTTTGTATTTAAATTTTATTATCGTTAAAAAATTAGCAAAAGCAACATTTCATGGGTAAATGGTTTAACAGATATCATAGTGGAAACGAGGATCACGTTTAAATTCAACGGAGACGTGGCATAATGATGCAACAATTTGGATTTTGTCTTGTTTGATTCTTTCATTACTTTTATCATTTGCAAACAACCTTATTGTCTTATTGTTTAAATGTATCACTGGATGTAAAAAAAAGCAAATCGTCTGATTGACTTTAAAAGTAATCCAGACATAATTTGCTGTTGAGATTCGGCGTACGACTATTATACTCTACACAACATCAAAATAAATCACATGATATCTAAATGCACTTTTCCACCAACCTGATATATTGCCATTAACTACTTAAGAATGTCACAAACTCTACATAACACACTAAAAAGCGTAACCTTTCACAAAACCTACCAAGCCAGCACCAACAATGGAGATGGATCCTTTGTCAATTTCACCTCCACTTCCCGCTTCCATTGTGTCGCACGCACTGTGTTCGTTGCTTTTTACCAATTTGCGTTTGTGTTGTAATACTTTAAACCATGATTCGTTGTAGACAACGGTTTGGAAGTTGTAATATTGTTCGGCACACAGTTTAAATAGCTTTTCGCTGATGCACTTCGGTTATGTGATGAAGTTCATTCGCTGATTTTGGTCTATTTGCATTGACGTTTAACATTAACATTGGATGTCACACTGATAAGTAAATGGCACCAAATTAAAGCATGGAAGAACAAAAAACCGCTCACATTTCAAGTATTTCTGAAAGGCAAAGTAAAGAAATCTATGGTAATGTGTAAACATGATGTCAAGACTAGAATAAGATGAATTATACCGATGTCGAACGCAATTTAATTAAAATACTTGACGATTGTCGATTATAAGTCATTGTTAGAATACACAATGGAGAGTGTTCAAAGAAATGTTCTCTCAATTTCAGTAACAGCACGAGAGATGACTCAGATGTGCAAGCATTCAATAGTAATTATCTTAACTAAATATTGCACAACAGCTAACATTCTGTATTTCATTTCGCAATGTGATAAATGGGAAAAAAGTTTTCATAACGAAAATTATTAATAAAAAAAATAACGAAAATTAACGAAAATAAACGAAAATTATTTCTCAATAATATATACAACAAAGAGGTGTAACCACTGGCCAGTTTGATATTTGGAAGCAATATTGAATATTCATATATTTGTGTTCTGTCGTAAGTTCTTTTGAAATTGATTGTTTTATGAGGATTATAAAATGCACGTATGAATATTGCACACCCCTCCCCCCCAATTATTGATGCTCGCTACGTCACTGATTATAATATCAATATAGGCAGAATAAAGGCCGAGACGTGGTCGCAAACCTAAAACAAGAACTAACGACAACTACCACCATAGTTAGCAAAAGGTTTCCATGTCCTCATTCTTAACGCAAAAGGAGTTAAGAAAAGACCACGGGATATTTAGCTATAAAGAGGGAGGTAACAATTGCACATGTTGATCATTTTAACATGAAGTACCGCGTCGAAACAATAGTCGTTGGTTTATATTCCTTACAAAACAATGTGAAACCTGAAAAAGTTCAAATAATTAATACAAAAGGTTCTTCAAAGAGAATAGTTTATTTAGAGCAAACGATTGGATCTTAAATCCATACAGTTTTACACTTTTGTCAAGAAAAAACGCTTTTGTTTAATTTGAAATTAATCTAAAAGTATCTCAGCAGGACTCTAGTTCGATCTAAAAAGCTTGATACAGTGTTCTTTACCCACAGTCTCAATCCAATACAGACTATTTTTCCTTCTCAAAATTGAGAAGAGTCATGAAAGTGAAGGCATTTCAAAACATTTTAAATATATTAACAAGATTACCATCACAACAATCTTTGACTTGTTGTATTAAGAGGATACATCAAAGTATAATAGATCTTGTTGCTAGCTGGTATTTCTTTATATTTAAGATGACTTACGACAACCGAACATGTATCTTTCTAGCGAGAAGGACGCCAAAAGCAAGGGAAAACAAACCAACCAATTTTGTTACTCCGAAAATTATCTGCACATAAAATATAAGAAGTTATTCGATAAAATCACCGCACTAAAACAACAATTCATCACTAGAGTATTGATAATTAATTGTAAAAGAATCGAGCCAATGAAAGTCGATCATGATTTGTTGAACTTATGGATTACTTATTGTTTCATTGGATTTGAAGCAGTATTTGTTAGAGATAGCCAAAAAAAGACTGAAATGATGACGAAATTATTGTTACAAAACCAGACTCACTCCACTCCCACACATTAGCTACATCTAAATTCATGTTTTGCTTGAGCTTAGTTGAAAACAGTCTAAAAGTAAACAGCTTATGTGCCCGAGTGCGTTTCCATTCCCATGCTTGTCGACAATGTAATAAATATTCATCGTTTACATCACACAGGTAAATTCATCTTGATGGCACAGATGATACCAAAACAATGAAATAATTTAACGATTAACATGTATCGTTGACTGATGCATTACCTTATCCTGCCAAAGAGCTCTTTCAACTACTTCGTGATAAGGAATGAGCGTGAATGAGACCTTAAGACAAAAAAATAAATTCTTACCGATGATAAAACAATATCGATGATTTACAGGAACCATGTGAGTAATAAAGAAAATAAATACGTCAATTTTTAACATTAAACTACTTTTGACTATAAAACTAAAATTCTATACATGCACAATAACTTATATCACTCCGAATAAAAATTCTGCAAAATCTGAAAAATTAGGTTCCGACTTATAGTAACAATCAATATGATATAATTTAAGAAAAGATATTCGTCGGTAACGCTCACCATTGAATACTTGGGAATAAAGGTGTTTGGCATTAACCAATGAAGACAATTATCTACACGTTTCTTTATGATAAAGGTTTTGAAAGTGACATGAGATCGCATCTAAGACATAAAATAATAAAAGGAATTACATTTTTATATTTTGCTAAGGGAAAAAGTGAACAAAGACTATTAAACACCTCGATGTAGTTTTGCATAGATAAATCACAAATGGCTTTTGCATCTTTATTTCGTTTCTCCGTAAATTCCTTCATGGCCAAACCTGCAATATATAATAATAAACAATTCATCGTTATATCATACACAAACAGCTTGAAAATTTGTGAAGACAAATGAGAACACGTCATGACATGTTTTATACCAAAATTATCGTGAACTTCATCCAGCAAACCGTGAAAAACACGGACATCTTCTAGTGCCTAAAACGCAGGGATTATACTAATCAGTTATCAACAACAGCCATGCAAAAATAGATGAAAAGGGAAGATGGGCAACAGTCTTCGTCGAGTAAGAGAGGGACAAGTTTTAATTGAATGGGTAAGTTGCCGTTTCCCAGTTCTTGCGCCGTTTAAGAATACGTTCTGGTTAAGCTGGGGAGGGCAAAAAATCACTTGTTTAATTTACAATACGTAGTTTCTCATTCCTTGCATTAACTTTCGACGTTGCTGATGTGAAAATTCAAAAAGTTCAAATAATTCTACAGAATATGTAATAAAAAAGGAAATTTTTTAAATATGTCTCACAGAATTCATTCCTTGTCCAAAGAATGGCACCATAGCATGTGCAGCATCACCAAAGAAAATTACTTTGTCTTCGAAATGATAAGGATCACACTGATAACAATGACGAACAATACAACATAAATATTCACAACAAAAGAAAGTACTACAATGCATCATGGGAAATAATCACCTTAATTGAGATCATACTGCCGACAGGATTGGAGAAGTACTCATTGATCAAATGTTCCCTATAAAATTGTTTACAAAATTCATGGACTCTGGCTTCGATATTCACACAGAGGAAAAAAGAGTCAATTAAAAAATTACAATGTAATAAACACGTGACTTACTCGCCATACAATGGAATAGAATCAGGAAATTCTTTTTGAAAGAATGCAAGAATATCTTCCTAAAAATTACGAAAAAAAAGTTTAAAATTAAGTTTGGGTGCCCACTCCATATCAAAAACTTTAATGCAAGATGCAATATAACAATAAGAAATAAATCCTATCATCCTATCATTATCTTTGGTAACATGTAACTATGTCGCTCAATTCATGCTTTATTCTTTTAATAAAAACACACAAAAGATCTCGATGCTCAACATCAACAGCAATAATACCACCTTTTTCATCAGTAACAATTACAACATTATTTCTCATCACCTCTGCCTTTCTTTTTCATTATTTATCATTTTCCTCGACCGCTGACCGCTGTGCAGTCACCTCAACGTCACAGCTAAGACATCAACATCACGACATTTATTACTACTTGTTCTTTCAGAACTTCACTACCTTACGTATCTTTAGCGACCTTTAATAAATATTTCATTTATCTAAAACCATTTTTAATCTAAACTGGTTGTGCTTCGCAACGCCTTTTTTCATCCTATAAATGGCCCTCCTTTTCATTCCCTTCCCTATTCGATTCTACAGTTAAACGTCAAGACAATGTGAATTTCATAAAATTAAGAACATCGATAACTATTATTTTAAAACTAAAACCCATAAACAATGTAACTCAGTTTGAATCCTTTGTCAAGAAACAACAAACATTCTGCTTTCAATTGCACACGCTACATACCTTTGTTTTAATTTCGTCAAAACTTTTAAAAGGCAAAAAAAGAGTACAAGTAAAGGACTTGTCCTGCGAAAGAAATTGACGCCTGAATTTGACAAGTTATTGCAAGAAATCCGCAAAGAAAGTTTTTCAAACTACATGAAGTCACAGAAAACAATGTATGTAAACATTTTTGTGAAAAACAAAGTTGACATTTCACCATTGAAAAATGTCATTATATATTATCTCTATGAAATATTTGATGTTTCCAAAAGAAATATATTCACCTTGTTAGGCAATGCAATCATCATGAAGGTTTGTCTTGCCCAAATATGGAGACCATTGGGATCCATTGCATACTACGTGTAGAAAAAAAAGAAATAGACAAGCTCATCACTTCAACAGTACTCGTTCCCTCCGCGCTACACGACGATAGACGACATTCAAACGTACGTAAAATAATCACCGATATTCTTCTCTCCCCCCCACCCTTCTCCTACTGGAGTAAGGTAAGGTTTTTATGTCACAAACTATGTACAAACATACATTGTCGTTTTTTGGTGGCATGGAAATTTCCTTGTAGCCATGATCGATAAATTCTTGTGTGTAGTTTATTCTGTAAAAATAATACATTAGCTCAATAAAAATTGGTGCACAAACGTGGACGATCTACAACTATTTAATCACATGATGCGTAAAACCTTAAACAAAACAAATTCTCCTTTTTTTTGATTGGTCAACCGTTCGTATTCGCTCAACCAGCCCAATAAAGTAATGACGTACGTTACTAACCTCATTCGTTTCATTAATTGCTTTCGGACAATCGAATTCGCTCCGTCGTTTCCAAAAATTACGTCTGCATAAACTTGTTTCTCTGACAAATCATTTCTAGATGTATATTCGTAAGATTAACGATATCATCTTTATACCAAAAGGATGCATTTGATGTTACAATATCACTAACACATTGAAAGTCAGTTTTGAATTATCAACATCAAGATCAATTAATTTATGTTCACAATGTATTGTAACATTTGGTAGTTTCTCCGCAGCTAAAAAAAAAAGAAAAATATTGGTACCAAGATGGTGTATGAAGTGTAACAGAAAATAATAATTTACATAATGATGTGGAACAAATCAAACTGTGAAAGATTTCAAGAGTTTATGATCATGACCATGGAAATAATACAATAATAAACAATATAGAAATTTTTATGCTGATACAGTTCACCACCTAAGACCTTAAAATTACCACCATAAAAATAATAAAAGGTTAACTCTTCTCAAATACCTGTCAACAGTTCTTTGTTTAAATTACTTCTAGATATTGAGAGAAGATACTGAAATTGAGAGAAAAGAGAATGATGCTTGTGACTATATCATTAATATGAGGGTGTGCTAGTGAAAAACAATTGCACAATTATTTAATTTTTGCACAACCCTCCCCACTTTAATAAATGACAAGTCACTTATAGATGTTTTTATTTACACATGTTTATAGTAGTTTATATTTAAGTAGTGGTTTGAATAAAAATGTGATCATCACCACCTCTCCTTTCTTTCCGTATGCCATGTATGAAGTTTTACCATTGATATGATGAACAATTCGTCCAGGCATTGGAATGCCAACATCCTTTATCTGGAATTAAGTATAGTCACTTAAAAAATGTAGGATGTTGGTAAACACGTCAATTCAAAAAAATTAATAAGATTGAAAAAGGATTTAACACTTGCACTTTACTGCAAGGACATACCATTTTGGAAAGGCCAACTTTTTCCAAAGCAGCAAGACCTCTGGCAGACAAGGCTAGGTTGATACTTCGTCCTCCATACTTAATGGATGTTCTGATGTCTAAGCATTTATAAAATTTGATCAGAACAAACCGTTATAAATACATGGAACATGTTGGCTTAGCTAGGTAAATGGCAAAGGAGCAATTACAGATTACAAAGCAAAACAAATCTTGCACAAATTTTTACATGTAACTTCTAAGGTGAATAACAATTAGTCAAAATGGCCTGTGCAAAGTCTCTACCTGATTTTGACTCATACACATCAACAACATATCCTTTTGATCCCAGATAAACTGCATTTAATGCACCAGCCTAATAAATAAAGATAACTAGCTTTAAGTCCAACGACTAAATATGAGGCTGTTCAAACTAAAGATTTTTTTGAAATGGGTGGGGAGATCGATTTCATGAATATAAAAATACTCCACATTTGGCTATGAGACTCCTAGCAATTACAACAGGAATGCATTTACAATGTATACGCAATATTTCATGGGAAATATCCAATATATTAAACAACCACTACACAATGTGAAAGTTAATAAACAACGGCATTAAGGACATACTGCAGTCAGTTCTGTCTACTCACCAATCCACCACCAATTATGGAAATTCTTTTGGCTGTGACCTCTTCTCTCATTTTAAAATAATTTTCGGGATATGAATATAATAATTTTATAAAGTCGTCCTCAGAAATTACAAACCGAACTTTCCTTGACCACCTTTCCAAAGAAGGTAAGTTATTATTAATTTCCATCCACCAAAGAGATAATATATACAAACGTAATTTTAAATAGTTTGGCATCACACTAAACTTGAAAATTCGTTCCCTGCAGACTTCTCCAGACTTTTTTCTCTTTTTAAATAACTTCTTTTCAAGAAAGATGTGCAAAAAAGTACAGATAACCTTGAATTTTCCCCTTCTGATAACATATAGCCATTCATATAGCTCACATTTTAGCCAATCAGAGTTCGAAAAAGTGTAATCAAATAATTCCCTAAGGACCAAATAATTTCCTAATCACTTTTCATCACATTTTTCACACAACTAGACACCCCAAGAATCCAATGTGAAAGGTAGGTTTCTAAAATTTTGATTAATTATTTAAAAGAATACTTCAAATGTCTATAAATTCGATGACAAAAGCTTGTTTGATGTATATAGTTACATATTGTTTTACTTGTAAAGCTTTTCGTCGGTTATTTTTGTGCAATTCGGCGTTCAACCGTGTGTCTTCAACGGTGTGTTTGCTTTGCACGAGGACCTTGTCAGTATAAAAACGACAACTTTTGTATGTTTTAATGTATTTCTTTCAACTCTACTTTGGTGTATTGCCTACAGCTAGTGCTGGAATGTTTCGAAGAGAAAATTTCTTAAACATTTTTACTTTTAGCGAGGATTTTTGTATCGATATGTTTTCAACAACAAACTTGCGCGACTGACATCTTTCTCGTTTGAACGCAAAAATATGAACAAAATTCTCAGTGAAAAGTGACAGTATGGCGAAATGAGAAATGAGCAGAGTATTTCTTATTTCTTGGGTTGACCTCTGTTAGCAAAAAATGTTACTTTGAACAAAAATTTTGAAGATATTTGAAAAATATAAAATGTTGCTTCTTATTGAACGTCGGTCTTCAATTATATTGGCGCCTTTTTTGTTCCGCGTGAAAATGAAGAAACTGGGCACAAATTATGCAAAAACTAATCAGCTTGACTATATAAAACAACTTTTTGAACTAACAAATTGTTGAAATGTTATTAGTATTACATGTTGATTTAGCTGTCTTATAATCACGAATCACTATTGTTATTGTTTGATGAAATCTCCCTAAAACTGGCTTTTCGGATACATTTACAAGTTATATACCGTAAATGCTCGAATAAGCGCCCAGCTTCCAATAAGCGCCCCCCTTCGAATTAGCGCCCCCTAGGACTCAAATTTTGAAATAAGCGCCCCTTCCAATAAGCGCCCCCCCCCCTCGAGTCAACCTTGTCATTCTGGCCTGGCACAACTGAAGGCAGTTCGGCAGCAACTTCAGCAAACACTGGAGAATGATCCTTTTCAGGATATCACGCTATCAGATGTTGAAGATGCTGCTCCTGTGTCAACATTGCTTGATGACAGCGATACAGAAATTGAGATTGATTAAGGATCAAATGGTTAGCGAAAGACGCGATATAGCATAAACAATGTCAGTACTATTTTCATTGTGTGTTAAATTGAAGACAACCGCTGAACATTAACGGCAGGCTTTCTTTATATATACAAAACATTTCACGATGTTAAACGCATTGTACAATACACATGCCCTTTAACGGGCACCAGGAAATCGCTTGGAGAACATTTCAAGTTTCACAAAATGTTAATGTTGCTTTCTAGAATGTTAACGCTTTCAAAATTTTCATACTTATGTTACAGTTAAGGTCACAAGAAATAAAATACCAGTGTCATTTTCACGTCAAAATCCGAAAATGAAATAAGCGCCCCCTCCAATAAGCGCCCCCCAATAAGCGCCCCCTTCGAATTAGCGCCCCCCTCTCGCCTCCAAAAATTAAATAAGCGCCCCGGGCGCTTATTCGAGCATTTACGGTACTTAAAAATGGAACTTTAAGCTATAGCTATAAATTTAAATGTATAAAACTATAATGACGTTAAATGATAACATAAAACATTGTTTTATTATGAATTTAAGCTAATTGTATTCAAAGGCAGTCATGAATATCAACTGGAATCTCATAATACATCGAATCACAAATATCATAAAAATAACAGTTAAAAAAAATTCTACTACAATTTTCTTCGCTCGATGCAGCTATAATCGGATCTGGATATTTTTTGAAGAAAGTGGTTCCTAACAACAAAATGCACACTAATTGCATTTACGTAATAAATTGGACAGCTGTCTCTATGAGATCAAAAGAAGTCCTTTGAATCCGAAAAGTGTACTGTTTAATCGCAAAATTACTCGAGAAGTGAAGTTACTTTCTAGATTGAAGCTTATTAAATGTTATCTTTTTTAAAACATTTATTATAATATAAAAGTAGATAATCCTTTTTTTTCCCTAAAAGCCCATAGGCGCTTTTGCTCATGATGAGAGAGTTACATTGAATACGGAGGCTCACGTTATTCACGAGAGAGTTATGAGAAAGTTACATTGTAAAAGATAGTAACTAAAAAACGTATAAAAATGTTTAGACTTGTTTAAATTATAAGTCAAAAAGGCAGAAGTTGTGTGAACATTTGTAGTATCCTTGGATGTAGTTTCTTTCATGAGATAAGATAAAATTCAAAAAGATAAAATTCAAAAGCAAAAAACCCCGTTTTGGGGCCATGCTTCCCGATACCTTCTGATATGTAAGGCACTAGAACGCCGCATGTTAACGTTTCGGTAGGAGATTTCGGCCCCTCCACGCTATCCTACTTGTGAGATGCAATAGCAAGCTTCCGCCCATCAGACCCCGAGATCGCCTGCGATAGGCTTTGCTCGGGGTACGCAGGGAGAGTGCGGTCGCCACCGAAGTGTGGGCCCCTAAGCCACTGCATACTATATCGCACCCAGCTTCCACTGCTAGTAGACATCTACTATACCTAATATTGGCTTTATATATATATACAAAAATTCAAAGGCTTACGAAAGTTGTGGTATTATTAAAGTCACTACTGCGCATGCTCAAATGATTTCTTTGATAATTTGCGACCAAGTGAGCTAATTTCCTAAAATGTAATGCAAGTACATATAGTTAGTCGTTTCCATGACCATGAACAATTAGTCAAGTAGACTGCGCATGCTCGAGCGCATGCGCAGATGATTTTTTCATTAAATAGTTACAAAGCATGCTTTATACTTCAAAATCGGTGCTGGTAGATGCAGTTGGTTGTTGCCATGACCATGAACTTGGGCGGCTGGTCAAGGCGACTGCGCATGCCCGAGCAGACTGCGCATGCGCACATTATTTGAAAATTTGTGACTGAATGAGCTATTTGCTCCATAGTGGGTACAAGTACATCCAGTTGGTTGTTGAATGCAATATTGTTTTTAAACAATACCAACAACCATACAATTTATTGCATTACTTTTAAAATAAAGTAAGTCTGTCAGTCACTGATGAGTATGCAATACAACACACATATACAACAATAAAGAGCATTTGCACTTCCAAAATCTTGGGTGTACTGAGAGGTTTGGTGTGAATGCTCTAAGATAACTAGATGGTCGGTTTTATGAAGAAAAGCAGTCAGTAATTTTTGAATTCAAAGCATCAAGAAAAGCTTTTCATCCATTCACTTGTATTCCAAAGCCATTATCAACGAATCAGAATATGAATTACATATTAAATCGCTAACTTCAAGGATGAAATAATCGATATAGATACCTTCACCAATTTGAATGCCTTTAATAATCCTCTGATATAATAATGTTTCCATTTGACAGCAAACATTAACATAAAGTAAATGGTTTGAGCCCGGGACTATCGTTATGTGTTTGTAAATTTAGATCGTCCAGGTTGGTATAGCCCTAAGAAGGACTGTTTTTGTTGTTGTTGACTGACGTTTCAACAACCTTAGTGGTAGTCATCTTCAGAGTCAAAAATTGATTGACTTTAAAGATGACCACCGCTAAGGTTGTTGAAACGTCAGTCAACACCAACAGTCCTTCTCAGGACTATACAAACCTGGACGATCTACATTTACAAACATGAAACGTTAACATGTTAAATTGTTTGAAAAAATTTGGGTTTTTACTCAGTAACATCTCATTCTTAGCTAAAGCTGAACCCTTCTCAAATTTGATTTGTTCTCTATATGACATAGCTAATTAACAAAAACAAATTGCTTCGTTTCAGATAAGCCAGAAAGAGTTGAAAAACCCTTTATAAAAGGCATCTTCAAAACTTCAAACCTATTTCTTAAAGGTGTTGACTATAGATCAACGCCCTAAACACCTGAGCCATGTCTAAATCTACTGGCTAATTAAAACCTACTTCCAAAACATTAACCAGTGAAAATTTTTGTTGAAAAAAGAGCCACTTTAAGGGATTATAGACTTACATGAACAAAAAATTAAAGTCCAAACTTATGTTTAATGTCATACATGTCTTCATTTGTTCAATGTTTGTCACATTCTTCTTCTTTTAAAGTTGTACATCTTAATTTTCACTTGTCTTTTTGATCCTATATTTCTTCCATACCCACATATTTGATATTTTCATTCATCTTACTCTCCCCCTGCGCCATTTCCAATGAATGGACTCAATGGCCCCCCTCCCCCCCCTTTCAATAACACAATTCAATTAGCTGCAAGGCAATACGATTATCTACATGACAATTGAAACAGACGATGAAATAGTTGTTTTTAGTGCACACCGACAGAAGATTAATCATGTTTCGTTTTATGAAAAGCATTCCTCGATACATGCAAGGAATGCAGACGCAAAATTTCCAACGAAATTTGTCTACAATGCATCAATATGTGGAACATAATTTTAAGTGGAAGTTAATTTGCTTAGGTGCATTTTCGTCAGGACTTTACATATTCTTTGGAATCAATCATTGCCATACGGCTGAGAAGAAAAAGAAAGTTGTATTACTTGGCTCTGGCTGGGCAGCTGTAAATTTCATACGAAATTTAAAGCCCGAATTGTACGAACTCAGTGTTGTTTCGCCGGCAAATTATTTTCTGTTCACGCCTCTATTGCCATCAGTGACGGTTGGTACAGTCGAAATACGCAGTGTAGTAGAGCCTATTCGAAATCTCATTCACAAAAAACACAAGAACACTGTGTACTTTTACGAAGGGGAATGTGTGGATGTAGATATTGACAACCAAAAGGTCATATGTAAAGACAACTCCGGTAAGATTATCCAGTTGTGTCATTATAATTATGTAGACATATTTTACGTGTTTGTTTTGTATTTTTAATGCGAAAGAATTTCATGAATTCTCATGGAAACTTTCTTTTGCAATTGTGTTGTATTTGGTAAAGAGTCAGTTGTATCGACGTTAGAAGTTGTGTCGATTATATAAGATTCGTCTGATTTCGTAACTTTTGACATTTCAACCTCGGGTGAAAAAACATGTCAATAGTTCGCCCCGTCAAGTATGTAAACAAACCGTAATTCATTATAATATTTCCTGCTGCTAACAGCTCTTGTATTTTTTTAAATTTTGTACGATGCGTTTAATGTACAAAGCTTTAAAGACGTACGTTCTCCTCCTTAGCAATCATGGGAAGTAAATCCGAGTACACTTTGGATTATGATATCCTAATTGTGGGAATAGGTGCTGACAATGCCACATTTAACATACCTGGTGTTAGAGAACATTGTCATTTCCTTAAGTCTGTGGAAGATGCATGCAAACTGAGAAACACTGTGATGGACTGTTTTGAAACAGCTGCAATACCCAATCAGCCACAGGAAGAGATTGAGCGATTGTTACATTTTGTAGTTGTTGGAGCTGGTCCAACAGGTAAGATGAAATATATTTACAATGCAATTTATCAAAAGAAGAGCTTTCACATTAAGGTCAATGTTTTCATTGTACTTGAGTCCACTGGTCTTGGAATGCCCTCGGAAAACTAATTTGTAGTCAACGTAAGATTAATTGTGACCACATTGAGAAACGTTGCTGAATACAAATTCTCCCCCCCCCCGCTCAAACGTGTTCAAGTGAAATTTTCTCTAGATCAAAGTCTTGTAACGTTGCTTGTCTTAACGTTGGTGCAGTCAAAACGTCTTTCATTATTAATTTCTAACTGACAGTTGAATGCTCTTTTTTAGGAGTTGAGTTTGCTGCAGAACTAAGAGATTTGGTCCGTGAAGACCTTAAGCATCTATACCCAAATTTGATCGATTACTGCAAAGTTACTTTGGTTGAAGCATTGCCACAAATCCTCAATGCCTACGACGAAAGTGTACGAAAATGCTGTTAATAACACGTGACAATGTCGCTTGTCTCTGGATTTCTTTCGACTTGTAAACGTGTCCGAATTTCAAAGAAAGAGAAGTTCGGGCCAAACAAACTAAGAATAACCAAAGCATTAGGCATTGTTTTTTTTTCTCACACAAACAGTCATATATTACTACTTTGTTCGCTATCTTATACAACTCATTATATCTAGATCAAGGAATACACGACTAATCACTTTAAAAAAGATGGGATCAACATTTGGACAAAGCATATGGTTACCAAGGTCGAGAAAAACTGTGTGACCGTTAAGAAAATGGAAACAAAGGAGATTATTGAAGTTCCTTTTGGAACTTGTGTTTGGTCAACAGGTATCGCACCTCAAGAGCTTACGAAAAAAATTATGAAGAAAATACCAGGACAAACGAACAGGTTTGAGAAATATACACACGGCAACCTCAGAATACACTAGCCTAAATTATTATATATAGTATGTATTCTCTTTCTTGATTGGTCAAAAGGTTCGGTAATTTCTCAACTTTCGGTAATTTTAAAGTATTTTTTTATCTTTAGAAGTACGTTTTCGAATTGTACTTTCATGATCCAAAATAATACATAGACCTTAACTTCAAATGAGGACAATGGACACTACGAGAGCGGAAATTTTCTTGTTTTTAGACATGCGTTATTGACAGACAATTTTCTGCAAGTGAAGAACTCAAACGGGCATATATTTGCCATGGGCGATTGCTCAACAATTGAACTAAAGAAACTTTTGTCGAATATCAAGGAAATTTTTTTCGAAGCCGACAAAGACAACGATGGAAAGCTCAGTTTGAAGGAATTTAAAGGTAAAAAGCTCAATGGAGCATTGAAATAAATTAACTATTAGTCTCTTGCAGTTGCTACATGCTATCAAATAATAGTGAAGACGATGACTTTTCACATCACAAAATGAATTTTACAACGATTGTTCTCTTCTTCTAGATGCCATGGAAAAAGCAAAGTACGCGTACCCACAAATTTGTAAACATTTTTCTGCTGATGATTGGGACAATACGTTACTTAGGTGAGCTCGCATAAGTTTAATTGTTTATGTGCTTCGAGTGAAAATCCCTTTTTTTACAAACTTCGTGTTTTTATGTAAAATTTTACATTGGGACGCAGTATATAAAAGAACCCACAAACACACCACTAGTAAATTTCTCTTTCAATGATTCTTTACTTATAATGTTAAGTGTAACATATCAACTTGTTTTACCCAGAGCTTTCAAAGAAGCGGACGAAAACGCGGACGGCTCTCTTGGAATTGAGGAATTCCAAAATATCTTAAAAATTGTTGATAATAAACTTACAAGCTTGCCATGCACCGCGCAGGTCGCGAGTCAAAAAGGCAAATACCTTGGAATTCTCTTCTCAGATCACGTGGACGATATTGGTGAGACTTCTGACCTCAGCAAAGTGGGTGCTGACGAATTCGAATACAATCATATGGGAATGTTTGCATACATTGGTGACGACAGAGCCGTGTTGCAGTTTCCGGTTATTGGGTCATTTAAAGGTCTGGGTGCAATGTATTTATGGAAAGCGGCGTATTTCAACGAGTCGGTTACCGTTCGCACGAAATGTCTCATTCTTTTTGATTGGATCAAAAGTCGATTGTTCGGAAGGGACACCTCGCGAATTTAAATTACATTTACTCTATTGTGAAATGTAAATTGTTTCTCAAGTAAAATCGTGGCCGAAAGTCAAGGCCATAAAGCAACATTTTATTATCAATTGTAGCATAGACTTTGTAACACAATTAAAAGGGGTGTTATTGTTATACATATTACTATATTTCACTTTAATAACATTAGTAAGTAATGTATTATGTATTTATGTGTCACGTTAGCGTATATAGGTATTGTATATTTATACTGAATAAACAGCTGTAAATTAGTCATACTTTTATCGTGTAAAGTTTACTGTGCATTTTTTAAGAAACAAATTCATCATCTTTACAGAGTTAAAATGTTCGACAGTTGAATAGCAGATGACACAAAAAAGGAGACGCTAAAAATGTTTTTGAAGATTTTCTTTACGTTTTGCAATAGCCATCATCCCAACATACACCTGACACGTGCGTGCGTGCGCAGGCTTTTGTTTTCCAACCGTTAAGATAATGTTTATGACTATTAGCAGTTTGTGTACTACGTCATACCTGAATACTTACAATTTATTTTCTTTTTTGGATTGTAGTTCTGAAAAAAAAAGGTGACAGAACACAAATTGGAAATATAATAGATAGTCAACATTGTCAGTAGTGAAGTTTGTAAATAAAACAGCCAATCCGAGTGTAGCAACCCAATAAAGTTATTGTAACCCAACAATACTTGAAAACTCCCAATAGTCTATTCAGATGGTTGCTTTTTGAATACAAACTGATGAACTCCCACCCAAACTCTAACCCCTCTAAGGCTTACACTTAGCAATTCAACAATTGATAACAAAAACCTATCGGTAACAACGTTCGGACCAGTTGATTAAATAGGTGGTAACACCGACAATAGTGAAATTTGTACTTTAATAGGTGGTAACACCGACAATAGTGAAATTTGTAATTTAATAAGTGGTAACACCGACAATAGTGAAATTTGTAATTTAATAGGTGGTAACACCAACAGTAAGTGATATTAGAATCGAATAAACGGTAACTTAGTAGGAAGTTCATTCGTGACGTCTAATGTATTGTTGACACAACTATCGACAGGTACATACAACACAATGCACACATTGCACAAAATAACTGGCAACAAAATTATAAAGAACAAGCATACACAATTAACTTACCCCGAGCCGAAAGTCTGTCCCCCACCGCTGAGAATAAGGTAAGGTGTTTGTCCTTGTTTTTGTTTCTCCGAGAACAAAGCCACCGTATTGAGTGGGGTATCGCCTGCATTCATTTTCTTTAAGGCCTTAACAAACACGAAAATCTTAAAGTTTGCAATGAACAAGTAATCAGTAGAATTGATTTGTGTAAGTGATTATGAAGAGTCATGTATATAAGATGAACATGCTAGATAACAAATATGCAAAACTAATTTTATATGATAATCTTATCACTTGTTTATACCCACCAAATCATCTGCAAATTTCTTTTGTCGCTTCTCGTTCTTCAATTTCCCGGATGCTTTGCCATGAAACTTGTGCGATAAATACCTGAACGCCTATGGCATAAGAATGACATTTACAGTTTTTATGCATCATTTAGTATGTGCAATTTCTATTTTCACTGTGAGTATTTACCACAGTATTTTACAACCCATGCAAACCTCTCATTCATGAAATGCTCGTACAAAAAACTGAAACTTTATGATGGTATACCACTTATTCACATGAACGCGAATTAATCATATTACAATGTACCTCTTTAGGATTCATCTGTCGGCCATGCTCATCGACGTACTCCAATTTAACATCTGGTTTATAGCCAACTTTTTCTTTGAAAGCATTTGGATTATATCTTTCTCGTTCTCGATCGCGACCTCTGCATACATTACAAAGAAATTGATGCTATATGCGCGGTTTGCTGAGTCTGGGTACTACATTGTACTTAATTTTTAGTACTGAATTTAGCATTGCATAAAATACACACCTTTCACGTAATCTGTCTCTTTCTTCGTCCCTTAAATAGAAGCAAATACGTTTAGGTATTAGCCTATTGTATTGAGCTTCTTCAATTAAACATGTTTGTTCAAAACAGATTTAAATAGATTTTACGTAAATTGTTTTCGATTCCCGACCTCATTTTCTCTTCATCAATAACCTTTACGGTTTCAGGAAGGGCAAGACCACCAGCAAACTTTCTTTCCTTTTTATCATTTTCAATCAAACCTAGAAAATAGGTCCCCTTAGTTCGAATAACAGAAAAAAGGAAAAAGCTTTAAAATGATTTATGATGCTGTCCTTCTTCATTTCTACCATCCTTTTCTTCTAACAATGTTTTTTTCTATTTTATTTCTTGCTTCACAGTCTCTGTATCTCACGTGCACAATCTTGATCATCATTGTCTTCCAACATTTTTCATAAAACCAAAAGCATACCTTTCTTTTGTACCAACATCAACGCAGCACCGACGCCCAAACCCAACGTGGGTTCATCATCCAAAACGTTTGCATCTTTCAACTAAAACATCGTTACACATCATGACAAATCTTAAGAAGTATAATACTGAACATACTATAAAGAAAAATGTTGAACTCAATGTTTGAGAAAAGACAGCTTTTCATACAGTTATGTTTCTAATTTATTGCAAATTCAGCATCACGCTATTGATCAACAAAGATTATCTTACTCAATACAATTTCCCTTTAATCCCTAAGGTGTCCTACGTATGGCTAAGTATGGTTAAGATTGCGTAGGAATGTAGTACGTGTGTTCATTTATAACCACATTTTGATACACTTCAGGAAGTGTCAGATAAAGTAACTACCCATCATTTTACTAACCGCTGATTTTGATTTTGCATGCTCAGTTCCGCTGTCTTTTTGTTTCACAGCTTCCCATCCACCAGGTTCAGTTTCAGTTTCTTCAAGATCCATATCCTGTCCAATACAATTATATAACTTAAATTAAATGAAGGAATTATATGCAGTTTGATATTTCTAATTAGACCACGACAGAAGTATTAAACTTAGATCTAAAGACCCAGGAAGAATATTTACAAAGACTGAATATCATCCTTGATTAAAACTCAAAACTTCTAGCAATTTCGCGAATGTATAACACTCCAGTAACTTACATCATCCAGTTCATCAACATCAGCACGATTTCCTGAAGTGCCTGGTCAATATTATTGCGAAATAGAATGAACAACTCAGCGAACAAATTAATAACTGTCTGTCAACTATAAAATCTTGAAAGACAAACCGTATGTGGGAATTTCGCCAAGCGTTCGACAAAATTCGGAGGTAGAGTCAAGAACAATAGTATCTGTGAAAAGCGAAATTATCATTTGAAATTGATATTCTTTTTAACATCGCGATAAAAACTAACTTCTCATTGCGGTGTCCGTATCCACTTTACTTGATATGGACGTCAAGGACTCGACAACCTAAACACGTCATTGAAAACGTTTGAAATCTGCTAATATTGTACTAAAACATCCCTCCCCCGTCTACTTAAGTTGAAACAGTGATGAAACTGGCATAACAAACTACTGTACCTTCTCTATACCAACATTTTCTTTCTTTAACTTTGAGCGTCGAGATCTGAATGAATAAATATTTCAAAAAATTTGCAATATAAACCAAATACAACTACTTCGTACGTGTACTATCAAAACAAACTCTCGAGGGCAAATCACATGAAATTTCCTAAACAATAAACTCAAGAAATAAAAAATTCCATAACCAATGCATATACATAATGATAATTTATACCTCTCAAGAGCCAGCTGTAACTCCAGTTGAGCATCGTCATCTTCTGTTGGAAGATCAATGTCTTCCATTGGAGCACCTCCCACGATAGAAACTGAACAACAACAATATATAAATATATATACATAAAAGATAAAAGTTTCTCCGGATTTTTAATGATTTTTATTGAGCTTTCGACTCGTTGCTTCGAGCCTTCATCAGAATGCTCTTCGTCTTTAGTAAAGGTAATGTTCTTTGTGGTATTGTTTATGGTGCGTAGGATATGTTCAGTTTTGTCTTTCTTGACTATGGCAAAGATGTCGTCGACATATCTTTTCCATAGTCTGATGTTTGTGTTGTTTGTGACTGATTGTGTTTCGAGGTGTTGCATGACAGCTTCTGCGAGGAAGGTGGATAGTGGTGATCCCATTGGTGTGCCTGAAATTTGTCTGTAGTATGTGTTTTGGAAGGTGAATTCAGTGGAGAGGCAAAAGTTGAGTAAGTCTAGGATGTCATTTTTGTCTAGTTGTGTTGTAGCTTGCCAAGTTTTGTCGTTTGTGAGTAGTTCGTTTGTAATTTGTTTAGCTATGTCTAGTGGTATGCATGTGAAGAGTGATGTCACGTCGTAGGATATCATGATTTCGTCTGGTCATAGTTTAATGTTTTCAATACTGGCGAGGAAAGTAAATAATATCCTCATTCTGATGAAGGCTCGAAGCAACGAGTCGAAAGCTCAATAAAAATCATTAAAAATCAGGAGAAACTTTTATCTTTTATGTATTAAATGCCTGGATTACCAATTTTCAAACTTATAAATATATATATATATGGGTAAAACTAAACAACTCACTTTGTGACCGTTAGTATTAATTTCAAAACTATCACTTACTGTCATTAGGATCAGCCATTTGCCACTCCATTTTATCGTCCTGAAATAACAGAAATATTTAAAACACGATAAAAATGTAAAACAAGATACACATAAAGAAATTACCTGATTAGACTCAAGCTTAATTTTCTGCGACAGTTGTTTAGACTTCCTAAAGGTAAAGTAAATGAAACCATCCAGAACAAAAATACTAGAGTGAAAAACGTACGAATGGACTGGATATCAATAATCAGATAATTCCTATTACATAATGCAAATGCAAGCTGCAATACATAAGAACTAAAATGTCCAACATCAAATCCTTTAGGACTGAAAACACTCCAAACAAATTCATCAACTGAAACAAATTCGAGTTTTAATAAGAGACTTTCTGCATCCAAATACATATAAAGAAAATGTTTACCTGGAACCATGGTCGTTCTTTTCGGAGTTTTGTAGAGGTATCAAATCATCGGCCTGAATAAAAGAAAATGATGCAGATACTCAACCAAAATGTTTCATGTAACCAAACAATTTTTTGATTAATTATAAGGACGCGTTCATAACACAGAAGCTGTGCACAATTAAAAATTTAAGATAAAAATATGTTCACAGAACAACAAATATACAGAAATTAATTTATTGCCAGAAAATGTCCTTACCTTCAAAGTTTCTCGTTTCTTGATCTTTCTCCTCTTTTTCGGTTTTTTAAACTTTAACTAAGATAACGAAAACTCTTTCTCACCAAAAATATTCGATATCAGAACTAATGAAAGCCCTCAAAAAGATTACCATTTCTTGCTCAGTGTAATATTCGCTTTGTGTGGCCAACTGAGGTGTCGTTAACGATACCTCAAAAAAGTAAAAAATAGTTAGATGTCGAGTTTGTTGTTTTAAATAAATTTAAAATTGCATTTTCTAAGAAAACAACAATAATATTTTTGATATTTCGGCTGAATACATTACATCCCTCAACGCCTTGCATGAAATGAACAAAGTGCAGTCTTATACAAAACGTAAGAGCTTTTTGTTCTGAATTGTAGTTTCAAAAATCCTCTTCATAATTGAAGAACAAAACTCACTGCTTGACTTTTCAACGTATCACGTATCTAAAGCAAGAAAAAATAACATCACAATTACCACAAATTATTTAAGTCAAGAAAAACACACACTAAATGATTAATTTATGATTTTTTACCGAAGGTCACTAGAAAACACATTAGGGTAACGAAATTTCATTGATAAAATATTCAATAAAACGTACTCACTTTTTGCATTTCCTGTTCCTTTGTTAAGTTAACGCTACCCCCTTTACCTACACAGAACAGACATCAAATGAAATATACATCATACACACACCATATCTGTCAATTTAGCTACATATTAATGAAGCAGAAAACCACGTAACTCTTCGCTAATCCAAACAAACTTACGTAAAAATATAGAACATGTCAAAAAGAATTGATGCAACAATATATTAACAAGAATTGATATAAAGCCACGTGTAAATTAAAGTCATAAATAGCCCCAAAAAGTACGTCACGCACAAAAAATGACATTAATGACAACAACATACCCAAACTGAATGTTTTTTTCTTTTCGCCATCAATTTCCTCGTCGTATTTAGACAACAGTCCGTGAATCTTTTGCTATGAAAATACATTATTTTATCAAACAGCAATAATGAGCGAACCGTAAAAATGTAATACATACTATACCTCTCCCGATTCGTCAAATTCGTCATAAGCTTGATAGCCGGGCTTTTTCTTCCTCAATTCTACGTTTTTTTCCGCCTAACATAAAATACATGTATTGAAGAAAATTACATAGCAAAGTTGTACCAAAATAGTAATAATGGCCAAGAAAATTATTTCTTGAGACACAAGCTCACGAACTTTTTCATCATCAATCAAGTTCACGTTTACTAAAACGTCATCGCTATCATCTAATACTTCTAAAAAATCACAAAAATCACAAATGAATCATACACATCGACATGAATGAGATTTAAAATTCAGCAAAAAAAAAACACATAAATGACCATGTGTCGTTCAAATGCATTCATTAGTTCGTATGTCCTTGACAAGAATAATTATGCGATATGAAAGTTTGTCACTCTGGTTATTACCATCTTATAAATATAACTAAAAAAATCATGGCTTTGAGAGGATTCAGAGATGACTAAGAGAATGATTGCTCGGAGTTGCTTTAGAGAACGATGGGTAAGAGGTGAATCAGAGGTGACTCAGAGAATGATGGCTTAGAGGTGACTCGGAAAAAAAATCAGAGATAATGGAAGGTGCAAACATTGAGCTGTTGCGCATAGTGAATTTATGTGGATTTCGTAAACGTAAATTTAATGGATTTCGTAAGTAGTGTTTACGTACACGTCTACAACTATGGCAAAGGGGTAGTTCATCAAATTATGTAATCGCTAACTACGTTCCATAAAACAAAGACATGAACAAATACCTGAATCTTTAAGAGTTAAGACCACATTTTTCCCTTCCTGAAAAAATAATAATCAAACACGATCCCTTTAATTTTTTGTTTCAATAAGCAATCGGAGATGATCGTAAAACACGGAGCTATTAAAACATTTTATGGCAATTCCAAACAATATACACATGTAAACCTTGATTATGTTAGAAGAGTGTTCGACTGTCAATCCTTTTAAATCTTTGGCGGTGTAATTCTGAAAATATATCGTTAAGTCTTGAATAATGACAAAGGTTTTAAGATGAATTTATTTCTACTATATCTTGTACGTAGTAGTTTTGTTGGTGGAAATGACAAACAGACAAAAATATAGACTCACTTTAGGTTTAATGCCCATCACGTTATCAACAAGATCTCCAACACCAAACTCTTCATCCATTTCTTCAAGAAGTTGAGCACGTCTTGCAGCCAACTGTTTCTCGTTCTCTTTTCTCCTCACTTTCTTCACCCACGATAAGGCACTGTCTTCTTCACTATCACTGTCAGCTAGTTTTTTTACTTTTCTAGAGTACAAAACATTTAACTTGAACTTCTTTCCACCAAATAATCTACTAATGAATACATAATTAATCTACAATCCAGTATATACACAAGTCTTATATTGAGGTTACGATAATTAATCCATATCAAATAAATAGTACATCATTCCTTTAAACGACCCTAGATTATTGTCAATTAATCATTTAAATACACAGATTATTATCAAAGGCGTGTACAAGAGCTACCGTTACAATTGCCATAACTTGAAAATTACACAAATTTACGCTAAATACAGTCAAGTCCAGATAGGCAGCAAATAAGCAAGTACAAAAAACTTTATATTCAAAGCTGAGAAACTCTTGCCAGCCAAAGGCAAACATTACCCAAGTTTCTTTTCCATTTCTCTTCTCTCGCGCATTTCTTTCAATTTCTCACGGTACTAAATGATGTAAATTTGCTGAATTCCTTGGTCTGAACATATTTTATGGAAAATAATGAAATAAAATTAACAAGATAAAACCTTTTCCTGACTTTCATGCTCCGCAATGTTAACAGGAGGAGCATGAACAAAGTCATCATCACCTTTCTTCTTTTGATCTAGAAAATGTAATCATGAAACAAATGTTTATTTAAACAAGCAAAAGTACATAGAAGTAGTCAACTAAATTTGGATTAAGAAACACTTAGAAAACTGAGAAATAAACCAAAGACTTTATTTTAAAGAAAATTTCAGATGACATGCCTATTGTATCAAATATAAATATGAATATTTTATTCAAACTCTCACTCAAAAAGACTTCAAATGACTTTTAAAGCATAAATATTTAATTGATACATCTTTTAAAATTGCAAATAATGTGTTGTTAATTCCTAACAATAAAAATCCTATTTTAAACAGAAAAATTACCTCCCTCATTTGAGTCATCAACTGCCAATGGCTTTAAACCAAGTTTTGCCCTGATCTTACTAAAAGTTTTAAAAATCACAGAATTTAAGATGTCTTACTTAAGCAGGTTTGCAATTTAAGTTTATGAAAAACCACCAAATTATAGCATTATTTTTATTTACTTGGTTTAATTGGAAACACCAAAATAAAACCCCCTAAACTACAGATAAATATACTGTATGTCCACTCATTTGACTGTTAGATCATATCTTAAAGTTATTGAAACAAAGAAAGTTATTGAGATAGTTAAACACCACAGAAAATTGCAACTCACTTTGTTTCTTCAATGCTTAATGACGCCTCTTCTTTTGTCGGTTCATTTTCTTGATTACCTAACAAATATGTTGTTTTATGGAACGCTACTGTTGCTATTAAGTTCGTATCCTACTTAAAGCTATAGTACTTGTGTATAATTACAAATTCATATTTTATTAAAGATACATACATTCGCACTAGACTTAAACTTGATAAATATAGTACTAGTAGGAACATTTTTGAAACTCACTTTTGTTGACAAATCCATGTCCATAATCAAATACATTTTCATCAACTTTTACAGGATTTTGTATAGTATGATGAGGAACTTCTTCATCGTCGTCATCATGTTCACGTTTTCTTCTTTGAGACTTTGATTTCTCGACATCTCTGTCTTTTCTTTCCTTTTTATGTTTTTTGCGATCGCTCTCTTTCTCCTTTTCACGCTTTTTTTTTGATGAACCCATTTTTGATATTTATCAAAAATTTCCAAATTTGCGACAAGAGAAAAAATGTAGGAGAAAAAAGAAAATTCAAAACGACAATGATTAAAATTGCTTAATCGATGGTTTATGCGGCCATGTTGGAAAATATGATTTCTAGTTACCAGGGCTTCTCGGACTTTCTCTCTGAGTCAAAAATGACTTCGTCCCCAAAAATCGTCCAGGAAAGCAATTTAAATCTCACAATAGTCGTAATGGACGAAAAGAAAAGAACTCTGTCTTTGACTTAAATTTTGAACTTCTGTAAGAACTTCTGTGAACAGTCAACTTTTTTCAGAGTGCTCAGCACACAGTTATATTTTAATTATGTGTGTCAATCTCCAAACAAACCCCTTAGCTTTTTGTAGCCCGTACTCCCTTCAGTATTTTAGATTGATCATTGATGCGGCATGAGTTGTTTTATTGTATTTATTGCTCTGCTTTGCTAAAATCAATGCCGTTACTATGTAATCATAATTTTAATAAAAATTGCTCTCTAATCGTTGCACATAACGGCATAAAAAATATCCTTTACAATGACGGTGTTTAAAAGAAATAGATTTGTGTCACGACAAAATTGATAGTTGAAAAACTGTAAAATTTAAGATTTAACAACGATAAAAACTTTCATATAAGCATTTCTCCTAAATATTTTTATTCTTTGTCGGTACTTTATAGTCAAAAGTCAAAATGAAGAAACAAAAGGAGGATCTGAACTCATCTTTGCTTTCTTTGAAATGTATAGAACTACAGATTTGCTACATTACAAAAGTAAATCTGCTTGTAAATTTTGATAACATTGGGAATTTTACTTAAATACCTTATGAAAAAACTACCCCCCCCCCTCTCCAAGGAATTTGTTCTCAATTTTGATGCGCAAAAGTTGAAGAAACACTGTTAACGTGAAATGATCATTATATTATAAGAGACTATGATTTAGTTTCAATCAAATATTATAAAACAATACATTTTTTTAGCGTGCTGTCGACTATTGATTGTATATTGCATAACATATATATATTTTTTTAAATGCAATAATTTGTCTCCAAAAGCTCCATGACGATGAACTAAATTAATGAATACCGCTCGTCGTTTTTTGATATTATGTCAAGATTTTTCTGGTAGAGATTGACATTCGTGCATTTGGATTTTTATTCAAACATTTTACGATTATGCTATGAGCATTTTTCGAATATATATTTCAAGAAAAAAATGTATTTCACCGTTTGTTTGAAGCTACATAACATGTATTTCAACATATATATTGCTTGTATTATACGTCCATAGCAACAAAAGGAGAAAAAAATTGCTTTTGAGTAGCAATATACAATGGCGACATAAAAATCACATGCATGATTAGAGAACTTGATGAGTTCTAAAAGAATGTAATTGGTTATTTGGTTTTTACAAAAACACAACACACCACAGCTTCCGTTTTACCAACATTCATAATAATAAGCATATGAGAAGAAATACTTTTAAAGATGAAGTCTATTTTAAAAAGCACAGTTTGTGTAAACGTTGTTTTCTCTTCCTAGTCCATCTAATGGTTAAACGGGACATCTTAACTACCAATGTAAAGAATTCTTAATCTTCTTTTGCAAATATCAACTTTTTAATATAATAATATCAAAAAAAAAAATTTTATCCATTTTTTTACGTTTTATGAAAACATATTTACGTTTGAAACTTCCGTTAGCTTTCTCAGTTACGGTGAGATCTTTACCAGGTCAAATATCCAAAATAAACGCACGGTGTCTGTTATTGAAACCTCCAAAAGACATACCAACTCGCACTTAACTCAATATCCTATGGCCCTTTTTTGAAATATTATCTTGACAACAATTAAAGTGTTGCGATATAGTTACGTATAAAATACGTGAACATTTCCCAAACCTCAGTACATACTATTACAGCTCAGTAAAAGCACAAGCAGCAGAGTTTCGAATAGCCTGAAAGCATGAAATCTACAACACTTTTGGCGTCTATCTTATTTATCTTAGGTCTAGTCTGTTTAAGCAATGGCTGCAAAAGTCGGTCGGCAGAGAATTTGCCCGTGGAAGAAAGTGTCTCGACAGAAGTGAAGAAAAGCAATGAAAGGTAGGAAGAGTTTTTAACATTCTTTATTTGTAGCTATTGCTGGTTATACTTATACTTACCCGCAAATGGTTTTGAGACAGCAGTTTTAAAACAATCTTACTTTGCAAGTTGCAACAGTCACAGCTTGATAATACTTTTTATCAGGGTTGAATTTTCAATTGTAGTTATTCAGTTTTTTGGAGGCTTTGTTATCTATAGTAAGCTAAAAGAAAATAATCTTTTTTCGGCTTATTTAAAACACATTACTAGCTATAGATGTTGAATTTATAAAACACATAAATTTTTGTTGCTTGTTGAATCTATGCTGAAAATCAAAAACGAAAGCGATCATCATTTGCGCATCGTCCTTGATTTGGCTTTTTTCAATGCGTGTTTTTATTATTTAAAAAAAAACCTTCAAACTTTTATTCTTACGAAGAATGTAAACACTTCGCCAGTATATCGGGATGAAAATACAATATCGTCAAAATATTGTTCTGTTCAATTCAAAAAATATGAAAGAGTATGAATGTGTTTGTTTTTTACGAACACCATGCAAGGTTTTGACGGCTAACGTTATCGCTAAATAGTACATTTTGATTTCTGAGAATGAAAAAATTTAGAGGTAAATGAAAAGGTATCTCAAACTGTTTTGATAATCAACCTGAGTTACCTGACATATTGCCTTACTATATATTCGCCATTCTTAGTGCTATAATGAGGAATGAAAAATAAGATATTCATTTTACAGTAGAGAATTAACTCGAAAAGTTATGCAACCATTGTTAACATACCAACAACGAGTGTTTTTTTTTTCGGGATATCGTATGATTCCTGAAATGGTTCGTGATTTCGACATATTTTCTATTTACATATTAAGAAGCATTGTATAGTTGTGTTATACTCCCGAATTACAACAAGTTTTTCAGGCAATATAAGAGACGTTCCTCCACCACCCAGAATAAATCTCAACAAGCGTCTCTTTCATCAGGAACTATCGGCCAATAATGACCTCAATGGAAGTAACTAAAGATAGTGGACACCAAACAGATTTTTACATCAAATCAGAGAATGAGAGCAGGCACTTGGAAATGAACAAAGACAAATCCAATATGGAAAAAAACTCACAATTTGGTAAAGAAAGCATTTCTGAGAAAGAGCCAAAGACTGAAGATAACAATGAAAAAAAAGTAACGCAAGATCATTTGGGTAAGAAAAACTTAACCATTGACATCAATAAATATAAGAGTGAAACAGAGATGAACTGGAATTTTTTAGAGAGAAAGCAGAATAAGCTCCAGCTATGAAAAACAGTGTATCGAGACTTAGTGGACCAGTACAATGGATTTCACGTTTCATCTCAATGTTTCTTTAGGTAATTTAGTGCTTTTTTCTTAATAAGAATCACTCTGAATGACCACCTAAATAAAAACTAATTCTACTTTGCTTCATCAAAAACACATAGTGCAACCACCAGAACATAGACCAATACAATCATGCTTATCAAAAACACGCTTCTGCGACCATCAGAGCACGAACCAACCTCTGGATAACACGTTTCTCTCGTGACTGCACAGTTATCTTTTTCAAAATTTTTCTCTCTCAATTTGTATCTCCCGCGAAGAGAACCAAATTCTGCCACAATATATAATCTTCTTATTCGTAAATATTGCCTCTTACAGAAGTTATTTTTTAGTCTAAAAAACATTTTCTTTATATTTATTATTATTATTACCTTGAAAGTAAAAAGATTGTCTAGCAAAATCTAATTTGACTTTTGGAATTCTTATAAGAGATCCCATGTTCCTTGTATGACAATTTTTGTTATTTATTTCAAAGTAATCATGGAAATTGGCACATGTTTTTTTTTGTCCAAGCATTGCCTCACTGTTTTACAAGCTCGTTTTTGTACGCTCTTTAAAGTAGAGGGTACCAACTTTCCCGAAACTTGAATCATATTTTGTAATCTCATTTCAATTGAATCCATTCTACTTAACTGGGTACCTGTTAGTTGCAGTTTAAGCATTCCAGCATAATTCATGACAGGTTGAATCATTGTTTTGTATATCCTTAGAGCTGTGTCTGCGTTCATAAAATGCCGTAGTTTAGATAAGAGCTTAAGTCGGTTGCAGGACTTCTTATATGCTTTATCAAAATTTTCTTGCATTGTTAGGTTTTTATCTAGTATGTAGCCCAGGTACGTATATGTTTTAATGTTGTTTATTGGTGTATCACGATAGTTGATTTGCATCTGACGATTTTGGAGTGAGATCCTTTTTGCTGTTCCAAATAACATAGCCTCAGTCTTACCCTTTTTCAGATTAATGATCAGTTCATTCTCATCAACATAATCAGCAATAAGCTTTCAACCATTTGTTAACGTTTTTTCAATCTCTTCAACATTTTTACCAGCTGAATAAATTACTGAGTCATCAGCATACATCAAAAACTGACTCTCGCTGATACAATCAGGAATGTAAAAATATAAAAGATGATAAAAAGAAGTGGACCCAGTATTGACTCTTGAGGAACACCATTGTAAACTGTTTGAATATTTGATAGTCTTGTACCTAAGTGAACAACTTGTTGCCTTTCAAATAAATAATCAGTAAACAGCTCTAATTCATTTCCCACTATTCCAAATTCTGGCAGCTTACTCAGTAAAGAGCTATGACTTATTGTACCGAAGGCTTTACTTAGATCAATGAACACAGCGCCAACCAAATTCCACAGTTAACCTCTATTCTGATATTGTCAACAAATATAGTTGCAGCCACATTAGTTGATCTATTCGATCTAAACCCAAATTGATAATCTGTCAATAATCTATTCTCTTCTCGGTATTTCATTAACTGCTGATGTATAGCCCTCTCAAGTACTTTTGATAGTACAGGTAGAATAGAAATTTGGTCTGTAATTCATTGGGTTGTCCTTAGAACCTTTTTTTATGGATTGGAACCACTTTTGCAGTTTTCCAAACTCTAGGTATTTTGTTTGTCTGTATGGCCAAGTTTACTATATATGCCAGTGGTTGACAAATATGCTCACAAGAATCCCTCAGCAATCCAGGAGGCAAATCATCAACACCACATGCCTTATTCCTTTTCATTTTTCTAAGTTCTTTGAGGACAAAAGCATTTGAGACACTTTGTATTTTAAAAAGGTAGGACGAACGTGAATGTATTGTTTTTGGAAATTTCCTAACAAAATTCACCAGTTTTATTGTGTCGTGCTTTAATTTATTTGCAGCTGTAGAAAAGTATTTGCTGAAATTCTCCGCTTGACTTGCTAAAGTTACTTTATCTGGTATATTTCCATCAATTGATGTTACGGTTTTACGAAAAGGAAGAATCGTCTTAATTACTTGCCAGAATTTCATGGGGTTTAGTGAGTTTTCATCCAAAAGCTTTCTTTGGAATGAACTTTTTGCTGATTTTAATTTGTTGTTACATGTCCGTAACTTTTTGTAGATATTCCAATCTTCAACCGTGTTGGACTTTCGTGTCTTTTTTTGACATTCGGTCTCGATTAGTCATGCATTTTCTAAGATCATTATGATTCGTCATACGCCGTTCGTCGTGTAGATTGCGAAAAGGCAGCTTGCTGTCCTTTTTCAATATCTTGTCTCGTCGTTCTGGCATTTATGCCAGAGCTTAGTGTCGTCGAGAGATCCTTTATCTCTCCATTTTTGTTCTCTGTTGGTTTCGTTCGCGGGGGAGAGGTTCACAACCTCTGTCGATCTTCGTCGCTTGTAGCGGCCTCCCTGAGTGTACCGGTCTTGCACGAACGGGTCCGTCGTCATTGCACACCCCGACTTCGTAACCTAACCGGTCCCCACCCAAAACAAGATCATTATGAAGCCATGGGCAAGGTTTTCCTCGAACTTTTTTAACACTATGCGGTGCATGTTTGTCAATTATCGATTTTACTGTTTGATTAAAATAAGCCACAGCTACGTTAACATCATCAGTATTATTTAAAGGCTCCCAAATACTTTCATTAAATTCTTTATTCATGTTATTTGAGTTATATGTCGAATAATTGCGACACGTAATAATTTTTGGTGTACATTTTGAATTGTTCATCTTTCTTACGCACCAACCATGTCGTGATCGCTTATACAAGTCGGAAAAACATCACAGTCAAATAAAAACGTAGGGTAATTTGTGGTCAATGAGAGTTGCTGAATTATTTGTTATACGAGTGGCCTTCCTAACAATCTGCTTATATCCATAAAGTCGAAAAACACTCTTGATATCTTTATCATGATCATTATTCATGAAATTGACATTTAAGTCCCCAAGCATAATAGTCTCTTTGTTTTCATTTGAACATTTTTGTAGCATATCTTTGAAGACAATATTAAAATCAGTCGATAGATATTTCGAGGTCTCTGGTGGTCAATAGAATATACCAAGCAAAAAACCTTTTGACTTCGGTATTAAAACTTCAATCCAAATATTCTCAATTTCTTCACTTTCCAAGTCCTGCCTCCTTTTCCATCTTCAATTATCTTTCAAGTAGATAACTACACCACCACCCTGACCTTTCTTCCTATTTCGTTTGATAAACGTATATCCATCTATTGCAAATAATGCATCATTATCGTTATATTCTTCCTCGATTATATAAGTTTCTGATAGAGATAAGACATCCATGCGTTTATTCCGATTCAGCAACTCGTGCACATTGAGAAAGCTCGGAAATAAGCCCCTAACATTTTGATGAAATATCTTAAGACCACGTCTAGTAGTAAACATGTCAAGCTTACTTTGATCAGGACCAGGGCATGATTCAATGTCACCACACATGAGTAACATCAGGACAATAAACGTTCTCCTCGACGCTGCAAAGCGACAGCAGCCATTTTTGTCATTTTTCTGTACCCAAATCGCTGATAATATAAAGGTTTCACCCTTCATAGCTATATCCCTTTCTAAAAATGTAACACTTATTCCATCTGGTGTCATAAGATTCATTTTATAGACACTAACACTCAGATATATGAATACTATAATCAAAGGCACGCAAAGAACGTCTGTGCGTCCCGCCATGTTATTTCCTTTATAGAGGAGCAACAGAAGATTTAAACTTGACAATGGTTTTTCGATTATTATATGCTGCTTTCGTTTAATAAACATGAAAACAAAATAAAAACTTTATGGATTCAACGGTACTATATAAAAAATCTGTAATTGATAACTAAACATTATAACCATTATTCTCCTCGCATTTTATCGTGGAAGAAAAACAATTGTAACAATAATTTGTTTGATTAAAATTTTATGAAACAAATTATTTCACCCTTCAAAATTAATAAAATACTTCCAAGCTTGAGTTGTGTATGGTCATGCTTTGGTACATAGATCTGTTCGTCAAAAGTTGCTGTAGATTTCAGAAGGGTTTGAGTTTAATTAATATCTAACCTATTTGTTGACAAATAATTTAATTTAGCGCAATGAATTGGCCTTTTTTTTATCCAATTTGCCAATTCCATTAATCCCTATAAAAGAATGATATCTCAAGAAGGGTTTGCACTACTTAATTGAAATCTTCAGGAGAGACTTCACATTTTACCCTAGGAATTGAACTAAAATGATTTAAATGCGTTAAGCAGACATAAAGCGTTTAATTGTCAAGAATGAATCCCAGTTAAGCCCATATGCACTAGATGGTGCAATCAATTCATACAATCGTTGTTATATGCCGAATTCAAACGTTGAAAAAAGATCGGGAATTGATTTTGCAATTCAATAGCTAAAGTTTTTATACATATGAGAATGCGTTATACTTCACCACGCAACTAGAAAAGATTTTTTCCCAATATTTTGACAGATGTATTGACGTTTGCTTAAGACAACACACGAATAACGATGTTTTTGATTGAGAAAATTTAATAACAACGATTTTGAAGATCATCTTTTTTTTTAAACAACAGAGAAATAATTGTAGCTAATTCTTTCATAAAAACTATATATGGTCTGGAACACGTTTTTCTTCGAAATTGTACTCCAATTCCACTTAAGAAACATTAACTTAGATACTCTCCCACGCCCTGATGCACAACAAAATCACTTAGTCAATGTTGCAATATTTTTACGTGCAAAAAAATTTACAAAGTCCAGGATGGAAAGCCAAATTGCAACTCTGCTATATTAATAAATTCGGCAAAAGTTCTCCAGAGAACTTGAGTCCACTTTTATTTTTAGAGTTGTCTCCTTCGGTTTTCAAAAGAATTTTCACAGGCGAAAATATTTTTAAGGAAGCCGTACTCGTTGGATGAACATCTTCATGTCCACCAATCTTCTTATCTGCATGGCGCTTTTCTTGTAAGTCATCGGTTTTTCGTTCATCATATGGACCTTTCCAAGTTACCACAACTTTTGCAGGGCGGTCTTTGTGCCCTTCCTGAAACCGAAACGACTTCACCTCGTCGGAAAATTTAAAGTAAACACGTTTGATGATTGCAAAATGAGGTACCAACACATCCAGTGACTCGTGCATCACACTAACAACAATACCGTCTTCGGTAAGTGGACCACAATCTCTAACAAACGCACCAAGGTATAGATCAATGCTTGCCTCGCTTGCTTTCTTAGCAGCGAGTTTTCTATCGTTACAGTGATCTGCTATTACTTGAAGATCTTCAGACACGAACTCAGGAGCATCTTTCACTCCCAAACTAGCCGCAAGCAATCGATGTACAATAATATCAGGATATCTACGAATTGGTGAGGTGAAATGTGTATACAGCGGAACACTGAGAGCATAATGTTTGAACTCTTCTGGATCTCCTTCAGCTGTTGCCGAAGAAAAATATTTCGCGGGTTTCATAGGTTTCATACAAAGATGTGACAGGACCAGATACTCAGGAGTATTAGGAGTAAATGTGTTTAAGGTATCTTGAATGCCTTTGGACGATTCATGACCAAAATCTACTCCCAAAGGCTTACATAGAGCGCAGATTTCTTCCAGTTGCCTTGAGTCAGGTTTTGGATGGCAACGCAACAAAGATTTATGTGGAAATGCCAAATAAATGCGACGAGCTACGGCCATGTTTGCCAACAACATATATTCCTCAATCAACTTGTTGCTCTCGCGTTGTATGTACTCATGCCAACCAATAGGAAGCCCAGTTTCACGATCCAGATTGAAAAATACTTTAGCCTTGTCAAGTCGAAGTGTTCCATTTTCGAAACGCTTATGACGCAATTTGAGCGCAATCTTGTTTAAATTACGAACGGAGTTGGCGATTTCATCTACAGAAGCACCATTGGCTAACAATGGATGTTCTTCTTCTTTCCAAACTTTCTCAGGTTTATCTATCATATCTTGCGCATGCTCATACGATAACTTTGCCCGAGACAGGATAATCCCTTTGCCAATCCACTCATCATAAATTGTCCCATTCTTATCAACCTTCCAAACAACAGAGAATGTTAGACGATCTTCGCATGGATTTAGACTGCAAAGTTCTTCACACAATAATCTAGGAAGCATTGGAATGACCTTCTGCACCATATACGTTGAAGTTGCTCTTAAGCACGCAACTTTATCAAGTGCTGTATCGTTCTTGACAAAATAACTAACATCAGCAATATGAACACCTATTTCGAAAAACCCATCGTCAAGCTGAATACAATGAAGAGCGTCGTCGAGGTCACGAGCACTGGATGGATCAATTGTAAAGACACAGTATTCACGAAAATCTCGGCGTGCCTCCAGCTCTTCAAGTGGGATCTTCCAAGGCAGTTGTTTTGGCAGGCAATCAAGCACATCTTGAGTAAAAGGACTTGTATCGATTTCATTGATCGCTAAAATACTTTCTGTTTCAGGCTCGATTTCTCCTGCCTCTCCAAGACTTCTTGCAAAAACTCCTTTCGCAAAAAATGAGTCACGTGGCGCTTCACGTTTCCAATCAGTCAAGCGAGCAATCATTAAGGTTGAAGCAAAATCTTGTGGACGATCGAAAAACCCAGCTGGACAATCATCACGGGCTATACGTAGTCGAGGTAGCCGACAGTCTGTTGGAGAAAATAAACCATCCGGGTCCTTCGGGTCCGACATTGGTCTTAAATAGCCGCAAGCAACCCTAGGATGTTTTACCTCGATAATGTAAACAACTTTAGCTGTTCGTTGAATATATTCTTCAGGAACACTCGTAATATCCATTTCTTTTTCATTTTTTAACGTCTTTGTCGTTATCTTTAGAGAGTTTTTACCAGAACTTTGACCTTTCCCGTCTTCGTTTTTCGAGTTTTTACCTGAACTTTGACCTTTCCCGTCTTCGTTTTTCGAGTTTTTACCTGAATTTTCTTCATTCTGTATAACATGCAAGCTCCCAGATTTTTCCGTCTCATCAATGCAAACTTTTGTCTCATGGAACTTTAAAGAGTTCATTGTTGACGTTTTAACACAATTCTCTTTTTCCAAAGAGAGATGAATGCCTTTTAACTTTTCTACAGCATCTTCAAATTCTTGCTGTGTTTTTACACCGCTCTTCATTTCCTCGACAGATTTATTTTTTGAAGAAGCACTCACATCATTATCCATATAAAACTTCATCTCTTGGTGCAGTATTTTCCAATTCTCTTTTGGTAGTATTTGAAGGGCAACTATATCTCCATCAAGTGCCCTATTCCTGGGTTGCATACCCAAAATCATAACGTCTCTTTTATATTCTTTTACAGTAACCCAAGCCATTTCATAATTCTTTGGACTAATTCTTAAACTGCCCTGAAAGATCAAGCCTCTCTTCAATGCATGTGATAAGTCATCTTTGTTCCAATATTCTTCAAATAGCTTCTTCACGTTCTGGGTTTTTTTCTTTGATGATTTCCTACCTTTAGGAGACACAGGTTCTTTGAACAAGGGAGAGGTTTTATGGGACAAAGACTCTCTAGATGAAGAAGAACCTTTAGGAGACAAAGAATCCTCGGATAATGGAAAAATTTTGGGTGAGAAACAATCCTTTGATAATGGAGAACTATTAAGGGAGAAAGACTCCCTGGAAAAGGGAGTACCCTCGGGAGACAAAAACATCCCTAGTAAGGGAGTAGAATAAGTAGACATATGCTTCTTAGATACAATTCTCTGTCTCGCAGACACACTATTTTGCAATTCTACCCAAGGCTGTGGATTGTTTGGTGCGCCATATCCACTTTGTTCATTTGTTTCAGCAGTTGCATTACTTGACAATTTCATGTTATTATTACACTTCTTAACCTTGTCATGAAAGATTTGATGACGATGAGGTCTTGTGATCTTTCCTCTAAACTGACGTCCATGACAAGATTGATCGGTTGTTGAAGTCTGATTACCAACAACTGTTTGTTTTACCTGATTTATAATACAACCATCAACCTCATCAGAAAAATACGTTCCAGGGATTTTGTTCTTAGTTTTGAACATTAAATGTTCACTATATGTTTCAGAGTGTTGTATATTGTGTTTTTTACCACGTTTACGTCGATGCTTTTTTTGCTTTGTGTTACAATCAATATCTTCTATTTGAAGCTTTACCTCATCATTCCCCTTTTTAATGCTCACTTGCTGCATTGCATCTTTGGAAGACTCCATTAAGAATTCACTCCCAAGTTAACTCTATAAAAATTGAAGAAAGTGTTTATCATACTATGTTAGCATGATAATCTTACAACTCGATGTTTGAAGGGTGACAAACACACATTTAGCAAAATATTCAGTTTAAAACGTCTTATACATTGTTTCTGCTTATGTAAGTCATGTATGAATTCCAAGTTAGAATACTTCAAAAAATCCTAAATTTAACAATCATCCATTGATTTATATTGTACTACTTAGATGCATGCAGTTGGTGATTCAAAAGCACTTGTATGGCTGTTGCTGCTACAGCAAGGTACAAGTAAAAATAAAAGCATCAAAAATGTTAAAATGTAGAAACAATGAAAAAGCTTATGACTATTACAAATGGTCACATATGATATCACAAAATTTTAAAATTTGCATAGAAACAAAAGTCTGGCATGAACTAGAGGAAAATATCAGATTTATTCAGAATGAAGTCAATGGTATAAAATTTTATAGTGGAATAAGTCTAAGAGAAAGCATTGTATTTTATTGTCAAAATTGCACAGTAATTGGAGATATTTCAGAATACATTTCATGACAAGAACAATGTAATATGAACATCTAGAACAAAGCCTACTGTTTAAGAACTCACTTTCCACTCAAAAATCTTCAGTAAGATGGGAATGCAATCTTTTCTTAGACTTTTTTTCACCATTATGACGTCACAATTCAAAGAAAAGTCATTTTGTAATCCGTAAATTTTTTTGTCAGCAGTTGTCATTTCACCTTTCATTTTTATTTTTTTGAGTCAGGACTGGTGCGCTTCGTTCACATAGTTAAAAAATGAAGTGGTAACAAACTAATAAAGTGAAGAATAATTCTGCGATTCAATAATTATGTGGGAATCGCTTTTGGGAACTTGTTAGGAATCAGTGCTCTGTTGTTAGTAATGCATCACAAAGCGAATCGGGTGACAATAATATTGGTAATAAATGGTAATAAATGGGAGGAAGGAGTGTTAGTTAAACATATGAAAATGGGCATTTCGGCACTTCTACTCTAATGAAAGCAAAACAAACCTTTATTCTGGTGGTATCAGGCAACTAAAGTAGGCAGATCCTTGTTTATTATCATGTTTTCATTCGCTTCTTACATTTTTCTTACATAACGTTTTGATAAAGTTTTGCAGCGTGCGCCAAGATGGCGGCGACTGGATAATTTGCCAAGTTTGACAATTGTGAAAATTTGAATTAAGATTTCATCATTATTTATCGGAAACCTATGATTTACTGTAGTTACTGTGCGTAACTTTAACATACGCTATGGGAGATGATCTCAAGCTGCCTGAAAAGTATCAAAAACTGGCAACAGAATTTGCAAAGTAAACAATACTAATATACAATTACTCAAATTGACATGCATGATTTCATCCTTCATATTTGTACTATGTGTACAATTGACTTTACCTCATTTGGAACTTTTTATTTTCTCATTTGACTTTAGCTGAGGGCTCAAAATGCAGTTTTAAAGAAGGCTGTAATAGAGGGACAAGATACGCAAAGATCGCAGGAAGTGAGTAACAACCATAGCGTTTTAGCAATAATTGGCATATGAAGAAAACCTGAATGTTACCTATATGTTTTAGCAACCAGGCTTAATTGGCTGTGCAATCATGCCACTGTTAATGTGTAGAATTTGTTATATTAATACAAATCGTCAATTTTCTGTGCAAGCCTGTAGCCAACAATTGGGTTGATCGTGTTTCAACTTTACGACTTTTTAGAGTGCTAAAGGGTTTTTTACTTACTTTAAGGGTTAATGTTCATAGTATTATTAAAGTTTTAGGATTAGCACTAGAATGAATATTTAGTGTTAGTTTAAGGAATTGATGAATCAAAATCTTTTATGTCATTGGCTCTGTATGTGTGTCAGTGGGTGAGCATCAAGGCATTCTGGAGAGTCATCTGTATTCATGGGTTGAGACATACTAGAAGAGATGGAAAGTTTATGTTGTAATAACAATGATCTTTTATTTGGAGATCATACTATAGAAGAGGTTAGGGGAGAAGTTGCACAAGTGGGATTTGAAAGAGTTTCCTGAGCTCATTTATTTATTGTGGTTTGCTAACCAACAGTTTGCAGTGCATCCTACCAGCTGAATTGAAGTTGCTTGGATTAATTGAAACAAGTTGAAGGAAGCCTTACTTGTTTGTGGTTTAATTTACAGGTTTATGAATTCGAAAACCTCACTGGGATACACACCCTCCTGTGGGTCCTCGTTAAAGCACATTTAGTTCTTGCAGTTAGCCACCATCTATAACTAGGTGGCTATAGGCATGCTTTGTTGCCATAGTAGATTTTGTAGGGGACCTAGTCCTACCAAACCCTCAACCAACCAAAAGTGCTTTTTTTGTATTTTCATTTTCTGTTTTATATTTTCCAAAGTTAATTGTAGACTGACTACAAAAAGTATTGACAAAGCAATATTTATTGTTCAAGTCATTTCTGTTTATTTACACTCCTGCAATGTTGGAAATTTTCCTTAAACAATGAGATAGCAGTAATTTGGTCATCTATTTTGTAGATCATTTTTTTTTGTTAACTGTTTTAACTATAGGAGAAATTGAAACATCGAGAACAAGCCATTAGAAAATATGAACAAGAATTGGACAGTTTACAGTTTAGAAATGATCAGGTGACAGATTTGGGGCATTTTTTTATAAGTTTTACTTTGTGTAGAACATTGTATTTTGTTGTACTACTTGTTAAAAAAATTAACATGTATGATTATAATTTTTGTGTGCAATTTCTTTATCATTATTTTCACATCATTTTTGGACTGAATAAATTGATTTGTTGCAAAATTATACAAATTACTTTTGCATTTCAAACACGTTATCATAAAAGTTTTCAAAACAGTTAAGAGTTTCCTAAACTGCCAAGGTTTGCAGGGTAGTTTTGCAGGGTAGTCCAATGAGATTTGTCCTATGACTGCTTGTTTGATTTCCCTCTTCAATTCTTATATTTTAGTTATCAAAAAGAGTTGGAATTCTTCAGGATGAACTGGACCAAACAGCATCTGCAAAGAATAAAACATCAAGCAAAGTATGTAAATCATAATACACTGTATAAAAGAATTTTGCTTATTTATGCACAGTATGTCTTGTGTTTGTTTAAAGCAACTTTTGCTATTGACAAGCCTTTTGCATTTGATAACACAAATGTAAGATCAAAGTGAAAACGACGATTAAATATCCAATGTAGAATTATTTGTATAAAAGTAGTGGAAGTTCTTCATTCATTGGCTACTATGTATGTGTATTGAAATATTGTTTAGATTGCAAATTCAAATCCATTTGTTGATGGTGTGGCTGCTGAGGATTTGCAAATGAAAATTGAAGAAAATGAAAGATTACAGCGAGAGGTACTTACGTGTACACACTATTTGATGAAACAAGTGTCTTTAAACTAAGACCTGTTTGGTCATCTGATGACTGAAAGGAAAATATTATTTGTGCTTACAGTGGTGTATTTGTTCCTTGTTTATTTTTGTGAGTGGCCATGCGTACGTGTGTTGCTTTAGTATTAATAAATGAAGAGGTAAAACCTTATAGTTAGTCACAGAAAAAGTATGTTCTCTTTATCAACAGTTATCTTTGTTTCATAATGAAAGCAGACTACTTCACAACACCTAGCCATGTTTTGCGTTCAGAACTTTAGCACTCTTGACCGCACTCATTTTTGTTTGCTCAGTCTGCATGCATTTATAGAACCAGCTTGGTATTATATGTATTTTGTAGGAGTCTGTGTATTTTTCATATGATGGTAATGACATGGTGATGATACTGTATGAAGTAACAGTCCTCCCACTGTAAAATTTTGCATGTATATGTTTAATAATGCCCCCTAACATAATTAGTTGCATATGTGCTTATTTATAATCTTTCTAGCTTTTTGAGTCGAGTCAGAAACACAAAGCTGTCGTACTTGACCTGCAAGAAAAACTTAAGTCAAACGAGAAGTATGTACTTATATGTATATTATCATTTAATTTGTTTTTTATTATTCTATTGATTGAAGCTTAAGTACGAGTCTGAGTTAATATTTCTTATTGACTGATATAAGTGGGAGTTACATACAGGAGGTGGGGTGGGGGGCTGTTCATGGTCTATATTATACTTCAGTACACACAGCACAGTCCTTATTATCATGTTTTAAATATAAGGACTTATATGGCAGTGGGATTATATGTGAACATTGTCTTCTCTGTTGAATGACTTTGCTATCACGACTGTTGTGGGCTAATTCACCGGAGGGCTTATGAATTGGGGGCTTGTAGACAGATCTTTGCTGTATAATGTCTGCTGACAGCAAATAAACTTTTGGATGTGTAGAATATCCACAAATCATCAGAGAATCGTCGATGAAAACAACGAGAAACATAAAATTATTGTTCAGAAACTTCAGGAAGAAAAGGCAATGCTCGAGGTTTGACTCACACAATCCATTCTGCTTGTAAAAGAACAACAAAGACCATCACAGTTTTTTTTTACTTAGGCGCGGTTACAAAAATGCCTTGAAGAACTCAAGACCATTTCCATAAAGTCAGAGAAAAGGTAGAATATATTAGTAGAAAGAATAGAAGTCTCATTTGTTGTAGATTATACAATTTCAGTTTTATGTTTGTGTTTCAGAAAGAGAAAACATTTTCGATATGTTTGTTGAAATTTTACTTACAATAAAATAAGTCTATGCAATTTAATCTGCTTTGCTAGTGTCAATTGATAAATTCGTGCTTAGAGAATGGAAAAAATGTTTACTGGTTTTGGAGCTTCAATAAAGCTCGACAAGTTTGTTAAGTCATTCAAACCCTATTCATGCTAGAATCCTTTTTTATAGCGAACAGCAGGCACAAGTTTTCAATAAGAAACTGGTGGAAAAATATGGTAAACTATTGATATACATACGTTATCATTTCATTTTATGTACAGTACTTGCTTATGGCTGGTCCTCATTTTCTTACAGAAACCTTAGTAAAGATCGTTGCAGAGAAAGTGAATTTTAACGATACATGTTAGTTTGAGGATTTCCCACACTTCTTTGTATTTCTTGCATATTTTTCCCCTATTTTCAATGTTTAGGTTTCAGTAGTTTCAATCAATTAAATATTCCTTCTCATGACTTCAAGCGTCAGGTATTTACTAAATTTTCTTCATCAAACGATACATGTACGTATACGTGAAGTATAACGGAAACCACTACAGTCCTAAATTGTTTTCCATCCTATCACAAGATCTGTAGCTCGCACATAATGTTTATGAAAATGAAATTTGAGTTAATGAAGATGATGTTTTAGTCATGATTCTTTGTTAGGACTGATTAATTTATCGATAAAATGTTTGATATAAATTATTTGACTTATCTTATTAAAATTACAAGCGGAAAGTGTTTTTTTTAAACTTTGCACTATTCTTGGATCCCTAGTTTAAATTGAGTTTTGTATATTTTTAGGGGAAAATAAAGAAACTTGTTAGTGAAGCTTTGGATCTTCTTCGAGTCTTTTTAGCTGGTCTATCTGATTATCACACTTACATGGAACAGGTTAGTAAAATTGTATTTTTAATTTGTGTTTCATTTTTGTTGTAGTTAAATTGTTTTGTAGGATTTTCCCATCTGTTATATTCATCTCTTTATGCATAGCCATAAATAAACTTGGCGAATTCCAAAAAACGACTTAAAAATGCACTGAGTCGATCAAAATTTTATTTTTTTAGCGAATTCGGAATCTGTTTGAGCAACCTACAGATATATCTCGAAAGGTAAATATGTGGAGCGTTATGTAATAATGATGAAAAATCTACACAAGAAGAAAATTGTTAAGAAAATTGCATTTTGAAATTCTTCATAGTAAAATGTAAATCTAAAGCAACGAGTTGCTGTATTACACAAATTGTTTTCGCTGGCAAACAAACCATTCTCTTATAGCTACAGGTGTTTACCTTGTAGCGATTTTTTCATAATTATTGAGAGTTTATCTTATAGCTACAAGTGTTTAAGTTGTACCCATTTTTTCCTAGTTATTGAGAGTTTATCTTATAGCTACAGGTGTTAAAGTTGTAGCGATTTTTTCCTAGTTACCGACAGTTTATCTTATAGCTACAAGGGTTTAAGTTGTAGCGATTTTTTCATAGTTATTGAGAGTTTATCTTAGGGAAAGACGAAGAGGACGTAATGTGTCGACCATGATGAAAACTGAAAGTTCTTTCTGTTTTTCCTGTAGTTGTGTGAACATCTTCATCAGAATGCTACAATACTTCGGAATATTGAAGAAAGCTTTAACAACTTTAGCTGTGAAGTTTCTAAGGATGTTTTGCTAACTCTGGTAAGTTTTTTGTCAATAATATGTTAAACGTTAAAATAAACGTCATTTTATAACGTTGTCAGATTTATTTCTTGATGTGTATCATTGTAGCTACAAATGTGAGATAAACTACTTTTTTTTTCTAACTTTTCTCCATAAAATTATTTATATTTTAATGTGTATTGTAAATCATTTATTACTGTTTTGTGACCTCTAATTTTTCTTAAAAAGGTGGCATTTTCAATGAAATGGCTGCAGTGTGTATAATTCTACCTCTAATTTTTCTAAAAAAGGTGGCATTTTCAATGAAATGGCTGCAGTGTGTATAATTCTACCTCTAATTTTTCTTAAAAAGGTGGCATTTTCAATGAAATGGCTGCAGTGTGTATAATTTTACCTCTAGTTTTTCTTAAAAAGGTGGCATTTTCAATGAAATGGCTGCAGTGTGTATAATTCTACATGTTTGTTCACAGGAAACTGCCGTTGGATTCAAGGAATTTACGGAAGCCTTTCATAAATATTCAAGTTATCTTCAAAAAATTTTTTCATACCAGTCACTAAGGTCAGCATTAAATTTTGTATCATTAAAGTCTGATTACATAGAAATTTTTACTGAGAAAACTTTTGCACTTGTATAATAGTAAATGCATGGAGTATATAAGATTTGTAAATATGCAATTGATTTTCATCACGTTAACATACTTTTCACTAACAAACGTTGACACATTTTTGAATTACAGCACTAAAGAGGAATGCTCGAAATCTACTTGCTCCTCTTCAATGGAAAAACTTAGCATGGCCATTTTGCACGAGTTCTCGAAATTTGTTGCCGTTATCAGCGAGCTTGATACCTATTTAAGGCTACTAGCATCGGCAGGTAAATTATGGCATCGTAACTGAAGAGAGTGATGAAGCACCATTGTTTTTATCCATGATATTATGTCAGTGCGTTACAGTCTTTCTTGTTTTTTCGTTTAAGGTTCTGAAGGTGGTCTTTTAATCACAAATGTAACTAAAACGTTCGCCTTGCTTGACACCACAACTCAAAAAATCCACACTGTTTTGAAAGGTAACTTTCAACTGTATGGAGATTACTGTTTTTAATGAAGAAGTGAGGATACATTGAAATGAATGTGCTTATGGGGACGGGGGGTGGGGATTACGGAGTGAAAATATATGTGAATGAATGTGTGCGAGGAATTGTGGGTAGCGAAAATTATGGAATGAGGAATTGGGGATATACGGGAATAAGGAGTGAGACGGAGAAAGGAAGTTAGTCGATTAATTTAGATAGATTGAAATTTAACGTAGTTTGTGCCAAATCGTTCTTCATCTTTTCTTTCAATGAAGGAAATTCATTTATTTATGTCTAGGTCTTTCAACTGCATTTTACTCCAAGAAAATGATCGAACATCAGACGCCAACAATTACTCAGGTTCTTCGAGAAACAATTTATTCTTCTCTGCTCTTTTTAATTTGAAATAATTTAACATAATTTGTCGTTTCTAGACTTTGAAAAGCACTGAAGAATGTTTGGAGACGTGCCTTGCTTCACTGGTCACATCATCGTTTAAGGTATAAACTAGAGTTTGATGAACAAATTCTTAATCACTTTTTTTCAATAACAACAGGACCCAAATCAATGTATTGTGTTCACGTTTACTTTTGCAATTCCATGGACAACCGCGACACAATGTTTATTTTGATTTTATAGATTTCAAATTTCCTGCATTCAAACATTGACTTCTTTTCGTCGCGATCTTCCCTTCAAGTTCGTGGCGTTTGCGCAGATAAGGTAGGTACCGAAAAGTAAATCATAGTTATGGTTGATTAGTAAACTTTAGTAGTAAATTGTACGACCAATTTGAGAGAAAGCTGGGGTTTTTACTTGTATTACTTAAGTGTACCTCTTAGCACATAGGGCTATAAACTGTCGAATGCCCAGAGTTATTGAACTATACTACTGTGATAAGATTTATTTAACACTTTGTTGGCTAGGTAGCAGTTATATATGAAGTAGTTGTTTTGGAAAAGACCGGTTTTGTTTAATCAAAAATGAAGTCGATCGTAAAATTGCTTGTATATTTTTGGAATAGAATGTCGGATCTCCTGTTGTGAGAAAATTTAGGGAAGAAAACAAAGATTATATTGCAAAATTAGTTAAGGTTGGTACGACAATTTATATACGTGTATGACTTCTATAAAAGAAAAAAACAGTTCTTCTGCGATTCACCTATTAATTTTTCAGCCGCTGCCAAAGTCTATTCCTTATAAATTGGCATTGGAAAACGACTGTACATTGCGCAGTTCAAATGAAAGTCGAGATACTCTGACAAAACAGGTTTGAATTGTTTAGTTTGTAGGTTTGCAAGTCACTTTTTATATCAGGGTGGTTATATTCTCAAATTACACCAAAAGATATGTTGTTGATTTTCATGATATTGTAGCAAAATTGTTTTAATCTGATTTATGCTGCGCCGACAGTTCTGGTTTAGTATCAAAGAAAGAAACTTGGTGAAAATTAAGATTACACTTTTGAAATTAATGCACTGCTTTTAATCAATCAGAATTTAGGAAGTTCCGTGCTAAATAGTTAATTTTTAAACGACTATTCAAGTGACATCTACGTTTCTTTCAATGGATGCCTTTAATGTTTGTGTTTGAGCATTGTAAAATACTGAAACACCTGCTTTCATGTCAAACAATGAAGTAAATGTTTCGATAAAGAACATTTGGACAAACGCATTTATATCAAGACAATAGGAAATAATATGTGAGATGTTAAGGGGTGACATGTAGGATAGCAAGGTTTGAGATGTAGAAAAGTAAGGGGTGACATGTAGGACGATTAGGAGTGATATGTTGCATAGCAAGATGCGGCATGTAGGATAGTAAGGGTGACATGAAGGATAGTGATGAATGGGATCAAAATGCTTTGCATCTTTTTTTCAGAAAGCATTTAAAGTTAACTATTTGACTGAATTTGGTCTATGAAATAATTAGAGTTTCTTTTTTTATCATTTCAGGCTGCTTTGAATTTAGAGAAAATAACGAAGTTAGAACAGGTATAAGAGTATTTTTGTGTTGCAACTGTTGGTTTCTTCTTTCTTTTGTTAGGTTAATATTTTCACAGATTTACAATAACACACATGTGCTTCTCCATTTTTATTACGAAACAGGAGAAAGAACATTGGCTACTTGAAGCTCAACTTTTACAAATTAAGTATGAAAAGGAGCATCAGGTTAGACAAATACCATTTTTGAAGAGAGGAAATGTATTTTAGTACAATGAAAGCTGAAAATATATTCCATATTTCTATGCGATTTTTAAAACAATTTTTCAAGAAACGTGCATTATAGTCAGCTCATTTACCATATTTGCAATGTGATTTTACAGAAATACAATCTACTGTTTAGTATGAAAAATTTTATAATTAATTTTATAGAAGGCGGTATTTCTGCAAGAGGAGATCGAAAATCTTCAAATAAATCGAGGAGTGTCTATTTCAATGAAGGTTTGTTTTAGTGTTGACCCCTTGAACAGAAATTACGATATGTTTATTATTAGCTTTTGTACCCCCTCCATGTTCATTATTAGCTCTTGTACCCCCCATCTTTATTGTTAGTTCTCGTACTCTCCCTTTATTGTTGACTCTTCTCCCCCCCCATCTTCATCATTGGCTCTCGTATATCCCCACGTTCGTTGTTATCTTTCGTAACCCCCCCCCCCCGATATTAGATTATATAAAATGTTTAGATACCTATTTATTGACACATCACCCCATCACGGTGACATGTTAACGATGACGTGCGCAGTATGTTTAAAAAAATTTGCTTTTTTCGCACTTAATCATTCTTTATATCCAGCAAAGATTTTCGCTATAAATGAACGACTATCTCTGATGTAGGTTCTGTTTTTCACAATAAAATTTCGGTATGGTCAATGTTTCAGAGCGATAACCCGAAGACAGAGGAGGATTTGATAAAAAAACCCGAAGAAGAGATTGAAAAACCCGTAGAGGTAACGAAAAGATATTTCTAATTATTATATGGTATGACATCAAAGCAGTCATATTAGTGGATTGACCCAGAATGAATGATCCACATGTTAATGATGCTTATCACTAACCAATCATCATTCTTGTGTGCTTATCACTAACCAATCATTATTCAAATGATTTTCGAGTTCCATTAAGGTTTTGAGGGAGAATTGTCTCTCCAATTTCTGTAATTTCTCTTTAATAGCTTGGTGAGATGAATGTTTTACATGCAGTTGAGGTAGGTGTTTTAAAACAGTGGAGAAGCGCTTGATTTTTTTGAGGCTTATCATATGCTCGACAACCATAACATTTAAAAAGACTATAGCTATCTCATTTATTATTGCGCGACGCTTGGGGATTGGTGGGGAAAGTTTTGACTTAGTATTAGCTATCTCACTTAATTATTAAGTGCTTGCTGGGGAGAGGTGGGAAAGTTTTGACTTAATATTAGCTATCTCACTTAATTATTAAGTGCTTGCTGGGGAGAGGTGGGGAAAGTTTTGACTTAGTATTAGCTATCTCACTTAATTATTAAGTGCTTGCTGGGGAGAGGTGGGGAAAGTTTTGACTTAGTATTAGCTATCTCACTTAATTACTAAGTGCTTGCTGGGGAGAGGCGGGGAAAGTTTTTGACTTAATATAGATAGATTCATTCAAATTTTTGTGGAATAGGGCTTGTATTCTAAAAGCTTCTATTTTTTATTCCATAAGTGCTGTATCGTTCATCAACGTCTATCTACATTTCAATATTAAATGCGTAGCAATGTCAATTATTTTCTAGTCACCAGTCTCTCGTGAAGATTACATCAAAGAGCACTATAAGAAGCGGATGGCAGAATTGACTTCACAGGTCTTGAGTTTAAGTAGTGGCTTCTACAGATAACATTGCAATGTAGGAGTAAATTTGTTGGATGGTTATTCTGATTATTTAAACGATTGTATATTATACAAATTATGGTGATGTCAATCTTTTTCTTACGAAATCTTTTTTTTATTTCATTGTTGCTTTTTTGTCTGTTTTGTGTGCGTTAAAGTTTTTCTCCATTGAGTGAATTTGTCTTGTGTGCTTATCACTAACCAATCACGTTTTTTGACCTTTCATTTTACATTCCTCTCGTGTTTGAATCGATGGCACGAACACTTTACAAACCATTGTGTTGTTTTCTGTCCTACTTTTCTTGTTTTAAAAACATCGCTCCATATTTCTTCTTTAGTTGCAGCTAGCTGATAGCAAGGCCGTTTTTTTCCACTCTGAGGTATGTATTTATTTATCATTTTGCGCTTGGCTTTTACGTCTTGCCAACAGATGAAGTTTCTGAAATAACACCATTTCTGATTCACAATCTTAATTGAGAACTCATCACTTTTGATAATTGCTAAGAAAAAATTCCTTCGTTTGAAAATGCCCGATATAAGTTGTTTCCTCTGATGTTATTAAATTTATTGTCGATTATGTTTGACAGTGTGAAAGCTTATTCAAGAGGTTACAAATGAATATAAATGCGCAAGACGAAAGCAAAAAGGAATTGGCAATTGCTATTTCGAGAATTTCAGAACTTGAGGTACTAACAATGTGGGGATGGATCCGCTATGATTTTTAGGGGAAGGTGTGCTCTACTTTTGAATAGATATCGGTGTCTACCGCTTATATTTCCGAGATTTTTGAAACTGTGCTCCATTAAACATTAATCACAATTGCTTTGCTTAAGTATTTAGGGTGTTTAAGTATTTTGTAGGCCAAGTTTAAGTAGGTTTCGCCCCCCTCCCCTCCTCTGCTCTCCTCAAATCAATCCTTCTTACATTGTCTGAATTATCTTACATACCAAAATAGTCGATTTCTCTTATAACAAAATGCTCATTATAACGCAAGTACAAGCTGGAGACAAAAAAGTTCTCCGCTGTTGAAAGAACTTCGAAGAACATTTTATTGTTTTTTTCTCTATCAATTTTTATTTTATTTTATTTTGAAGTCTCATGATCGAGTGTATCTTTGTTTTTTTTATCGTGTATAGTTATTAAGGAGTTTAATTTTTGTAAAGCATTTTTGTAAAACATAAATTTTTGTTTGCCACTGACGTTCCCTGGTGAAGCAAACTTTATATTTCTTTGTAAACTATTCCTAGGATGAAGTACAAATGACAAAAAACAGTTACCAGGTTCAACTTGACGCAATGACTGACCATCTTTGCGGAATGTCTGAGAAGTTGACGTCACAGAAAGATCAAATCGATGCATTGAAAACAGGGAAAAACAAGAAAGGAAAAAATTGGTTTCAATCTTTGAAAGACAAGGGAAATTCTGATGATATTGTAGAATAAGAAGTAGTCGTTGGACAATGTCCACTGACATTATAGACATTTTTTTATGACAGGCTGTGAATGTAGTTTAATTTCAGATGTAGTTAATATGACACAAGATACTAGAAGGGAAAAGGAGAGAGCTGAAGCTGCCCATACATTCATATGGTTAGCTTTATAGTTAAGTTGAAGATTTTGAAAATCTGCAACGATGAAAAATGTATTTTTATATGTCTGTTCGCTGTACATTTCTCGCATGTTTTAAGTTGAACGAAAATATTGTCTGCATACGTGTTTTGAAATGTTGTCTCTCAACATTCTACTTAGTTTATCTTGATATTACTTAATCTAATTACAACTTAATCTTCAACCTAGTTCCTCATCCCCAAAATAATCCTTGTGACAATTCTTACTGACCCATCCGGGAAATGAACCAACCATCACAATGTTAATACACTGTGCGCTTAACCACTCTAGAGTCATTGAATACTATCAATTTCTTACACGACGTAATAATTACATTGTAATCGATGCACCTTTGGAAGTTGGGTGCATGAACTATAGTCTTTGGGAGTTACGTGTGTGAACTATTGTCTTTGGGAGTAGGGTGCAAGAACTATAGTCTTATGGAGTTAGATGCATGAACAATAAGCTCTAACATTAACACTGATATTACGAGTAGCCTAACAAAGTGTTGATGAGTTTGATATGCATTTGTAAAAACAAGCCTAAAAAGACAAAGAGCATGCCATAAATGTATGAATGAAAATCTGCTAAGAGCATATACATGCACCAATTTCAGAGCTCACACCATCACAAATCAATTGAGAATTGATATGAGCATGCGTAGTCAACTCCACCAACTCTTCAAGTACATGGTCATTGCAACGACCAACTGTATATACCAGTACCGATTATAGAGTAATTAGCTCGCTCAGTCACAAATTTTCAGATAAATCATCTGCGCATGCTCAGTCTGCTTGAGCATGCGCAGTCGAATTGAGCAGCTGCCCAAGTTCATGGACATGGCAACGACCAATTGCATCTACTAGAACCGATTTTGAAGTAAATAGCATGCTTTGTAACTATTTAATGGAAAAATCATCTGCGCATGCGCTCGAGCATGCGCAGTCTACTTGACTAATTGTTCGTGGTCATGACAACGACCAACTATATGTACTTGCATTACATTTGTGGCAATTAGCTTGCTTAGTTGCAAATTATAAAAGAAATCATCTGAGCATGCGCAGTGGTGACTTTAATAATACCACAACTTTCGTAAGCCTTTGAATTTTTGTATATATATATAAAGCCAATATTAGGTATAGTAGATGTCAACTAGCAGTGGAAGCTGGGTGCGATATAGTATGCAGTGGCTTAGGGGCCCACACTTCGGTGGCGACCGCACTCTCCCTGCGTACCCCGAGCAAAGCCTATCGCAGGTGATCTCGGGGTCTGATGGGCGGAAGCTTGCTATTGCATCTCCCAAGTAGGATAGCGTGGAGGGGCCGAAATCTCCTACCGAAACGTTAACATGCGGCGTTCTAGTGCCTTACATATCAGAAGGTATCGGGAAGAATGGCCCGAAAACGGGGTTTTTTTGCTTTTGAATTTTATCTTTTTGAATTTTATCTTATCTCATAAAAGAAACTACATCCAAGGATACTACAATTGTTCACACAACTTCTGCTTTTTTGACTTATATTTTAAACAAACTCTAAACATTTTTATACGTTTTTTAGTTATTATCTTTTACAATGTAACTTTCTCATAACTCTCTCGTGGTGAACGAGAGCCTCCTTGTAAAATGTAACTCTATCATCATGAACGAAAGCACCATGGGCTTCATGAAAAAAAAAAGGGATTATCTACTTTTTTACAATAGTTTTTACGAAGATAACATTTAACAAGTCAAGCAATTTGTATCGTCTAAATTGAACCTCGCTTTCAACCCTTATATTATAAAATTTTGATTCATTTTGGATGGTAAATGTCTTTTTACGTGACAATATTTTTATGATTTAATCTAGAAAGTAACTTCTCTTCTCGAGTAATTTTAGCATTCTTTCGGGCGTTCTTTAGGGAACAGTGAAGGTGAGGACAAGACAAGGACTAGGACCCAAATTCAACATGGCGTCAGATGTTGATCCGATATTAGTAAAAGCACTTGATCTCCTACACTCCAGACATCCTAGTGCATTGGAGCAACTTTGTTTTTTAAGAGATCAGGCATTGGGCAAGAAACCTGAATTCGTGTCTGAGGTATAAATATATTCAGTTGCAAAGTTAACATCGCCTTCGTTAGTGAATTTCTTTTGTCTTAATTCGTAGTCGAGACTTGAGAGTTAACATGTCTATAGATTTGCGCACCCCATCATCCTAAAATTGCATTCTATAAATAATGAATAGATAATGTAAACACTTACGCCCTTTATTTTATCCATGGTTATGTTTCACTGAAGAAACGAATGGCTGATTTAGTTTTAACTTTTAAGGGGCTGGGGGTGGGGGTATTGAGAAGAACACTAAAAGTTAAATTGAAAATGAACTTGATTTACTTTTAGAAAAAGAAGGAAGAGGTTAAGAAAGAAGGGATCCAAGTTGAGACAATCACTAAAGTACCATTGTTATCAGCAAATGAAGTCATCACAATATCAAGTGATTCGGAGGTTCAGGTTGTTGAAGATGTCAGTGATACAGCTTTGACCATCATAGAAGATGATAAAACAGATGGCTTTACAGAGACTGTTGAGATGGGTTCATCCATGATGCAAAGTACAGATATTCCTGATGACAATGTCTTAGAGACAATTGAAGAACTAGGTTTGCTAGAGTAATAAACAAAGTTGATGAAAATGTGTTTATTTGTTATGTGTCACCCATTTCATGACCTTTTATTTCTTTGCTTGAATGTGGTAAGGATAATATTCACAAACAAATTGACTCTTAGGCTTGGGCTATGTTGAAGAAACTTTGGAGGAATTGGGCTCAAGTAATCTTTTCGCAAAAAGAAAAAGACAAAAACTAGAAATTGGTACAGATAATTCCACATTGGATGGTTTTGATGAAGCATCTCATGATAGCTCACCTGATCCAGAAATGTCAGAAGACTTAAATGTTACAAAATGTATCATCTGCTCAAGGTATTAAACATTTGAACTGCCATTGTTAAATGTTAATCCAATCTGAATATTTGACTCATTTGCTGGAGGCTTTTAGGATCTTAGCCACATTCTCCTCTTCATATATTTAGTTTATTGTGACATTACTATCTTTTTATGTTTGGTGAACAGCTTAGTCTTTATTCTTCTTTAACCTAATATATATCAGCAAAACCACTAAATTACTTATAGAATTGGTTGTTTGGCATGTTTAATTAAGTGTTGATTATGGCAAGTTTGTAATTTATAGTGGTAAATCTGACAAAATGGGAAATCAGCTGGTTGAATGTCAGGAATGTCATGGTCTTTATCACCAGGTAAACTCTATCTGTTATTGCTAATAAAAACAGTCAATTTCTCTTGCTGACATGAAACTTTGACCTCATTCTCTTTTAATGCACATCACTATGTTAAATAAATGGCATTCAATGTTTGATAGTTATGATCAAAGATTATTATCTTCCTGAGATAATCCTCATATTGAAATTCTTATTTATACTGTGACAAACCTTTTCTTCATTTAACAGAATTGCCACAACCCTAGAATCACAGATCAGAGTATCAATGATCTAAGACATGTGTGGTACTGTCGCAACTGCTCAAAGCAGATGAAACAAGCTGTAAGTTTTTTTTATGAAAAGGAGCTATACATTTGATCAAAACACTTGGTCATGTTTCTTTTTAGCAAGTTGCATGGTCAAAGGTTTTAACTTCTCAAAGATCTTTTAACAGTCTTGTGAATTAAGAACATTCTTAATTTACAAACAGGATTTAATATATTGCCTTGTTAGTTGAAAACTTAGTTCACAATATCTATCATGTGGTAGCTGTACTTTATTTGTTTGTAAATGTAGATCGTCCAGGTTGGTATAGTCCTGAGAAGGACTGTTTTTGTTGTTGTTGACTGACGTTTTGACAACCTTAGCGGTAGTCATCTTCAGAGTCAAATGAGGAGTAAATGTCAGGTTAGCCGTATTTGTTATCTGGTTCTTACGTCATTGTATTGTGTGTACAGGAAATATGTAGGTGTCAATTGTGTATTGTCATTGTGAATTAGTGCAAAGTGAAATGTTTTTAGTTGTGATGTGTGATTAAGGCGTGATGTTTTTTAGTTGTAATGTGTGGGTGTCAATTGTGTATTGTCATTGTGAATTAGTGTGAAGTGTAATGTTTTTAGTTGATCGTTTGTTTGTATTGTGAATAAGTCGTTTATAAGGTGCTGGTAATTGCTGTGACCTGCTCAGGGGGGTTTGTTCCAAGTTGGTATACCAACTTTCTAATGTAAGCCGTTGTCTATAGTCAGTACTGTAAGTAATGCATTTTGCCAAGTCCCAGTCAATGTTGTGCTTTGTGATTCAGTGATGTGTACTTTATTATTGAAGAACAGGACTTACTTGAAGGGTTTTCATTGTTTTTGATATCCATAAAAAGTTTACTTTTGTAGTTTTTGTTATTTTACAACTGTAGACACCTGTAACAAGTGTACCAAAACTAAAACCTATCACTTCACATGGTATACAAGCATCAACTAAATCTCAAACACAATCTTTCAAGACGCCGTTAAGATCTGACACTAAGGTATTGTATATGTAATATATCATGGAGTCGTAGAAATCTTGTATATCCTTATTTTTTTAATCAACTATTTTTGGTAATGTTTAGCCAATGTTTTCGCCGACAAGTCCCTCAGTCAATCAATCATTTGTGATGCCAAATCTTGCGTCAACGGTCACAGCAGCCAGTGGTAGCAACAATGGCACAATAAAGTCTCCTGGGAATGCCAATCCACGTGACGTAACACGTCAATACATGAAACGTTTACAGTTGGTGAAGAAAAAAGCGGCTGCAAAAAGTCAGCAAAGGTTTACCAAGCGTTAAAAGATATGTCATAAGGTAGGACAGTAAGATAAGGGAGAAATAGCTTAATTTTATTGTAGACACTTGGTGTGACCATGTACAAAATGTTCACCTATTTAACAAATAATTATGTCTCCATGTTATGCATTCATTGAAGATATATATTGGCCATATTGAATAGGATTTTTGATTTCATATTTTTATCTGTGCGATAAGGAGATCAAGAACTCCGATTTCTACTTTCCCCTAATTATGGGCTGTGAAAGTTCAATAATGCGTTCACTAGCTATAGCCTTCTTTGCTGCTGCCGAAACAATGAACGCATCTGTCCGTGGGAGTTTGGTACCCACTGCTCTTATATGAGGCTTGCTGAGCTCTTCAATACGTTCGGATGACGACGCTTTACGAGCATTCGTTGAAACACGCCACGTCTCATCAAAACTCTTGCAGGCCATGTAGCCGTTAGCAAAGGGTCTTGGTCGAGATAACTCAAGAATCCTTTCACTCGGTCGGTAGCTTAGGGCCGAGTTTTTTACGCGCCACTCATTTTCAATCATGAAAACTTTACGAAGTGGCTGTGAGATTTCTTCTATTCTTGGCGACGGGATTGCCTCTAATGCTGCTTTTGTAATAAGTGGAATTGCAGACTTACTTATTTGGTATTCTGGATGCATTTGCCGAGGTCTTGCTAGCTCCATCAGTCTTGTTGTACGCTTCTTTTCTGTTGCCGATGGAGCGATCGAGTCGTTATGGTATTTTAGGTCCTTTGATCTAAATTGAAATGGCAGCAACAACCATGTTGCAAAGTAAGCAAATGTCAGTTTTAAAAAAGGCACTGGGTAGAACTATACAAGGACAGAGGTTTGAATATAAAATGAAGATTAAAAAAAGACTCATGTTTGCATCTAACGTCAATCCCGATAGAGACTTTACATTAGAGAATATGAAGTTCAAGTTTCAAATTCCTATTATTCCTGAAGAAGACGCAGGGTTGGATTACCTGCAAACGTAGGTTTTAACATGAGATAATTCCAAAGTCACTACACTGGAATATCTATCTTTGGGTTTAACATGAGATAACTCCTATTTTGCACACAAGACTTGAGTCAAAATGTCAAAACCGATTTTTAAGTTGAACACCACATCACTCTTGGTCAGGAGTGTATTACGGCCTAAAGAACGGTAAAAATTCCATATTTTATACAGTTGTGCTAGCTACGTACCTGTTATCTGGGAGTGGTAAACTATTCGAATTTATTTTCTCCACCATCGCGTTTTTTGCTTCCTGAAAAACAATTAATAAGCGCAATTTAATGACGCAACAGAAACGAATTCAACGTCTCAGTTAAATTAGAACGCCAAGTTTCGCGAATGTCGAAAGCGAATTTCTCATTTTATAATGGCTCACTTAAAGACTGATTGGTGAAAGTTATACATGGCCAACTTACAAAATCACAACAAAGACATTAAGTGTGAGAAAGTTGAAAGAGAGTTGTCCTCAATAGATAAATCGTTTGACTGTGGTAAACTACAGCCTTCAGACCAAACTTGCGTCAATGACAACCTAAAATCATCATCAGAATATGTGTACTCCAACATATACGAAATCCTTAAACCACACGACTTGGCATCGCTTGTTTCGACATCCTCTGATATATCACCTTGGTATGCCTGTGACGTGTTGATTACCCGCAACGAAGGAGCGAAATGTGCGAGTTTTGTGAAAGAGCGTTCCCTGTCTACATCAGAAGCTACTGTCAGTTTCAGTAAGAAAAACTTTAAATGGAAGGATCGTTCAAAAAGGCCTTTCAGTGACTCAACATTAAGCGTGAATTATAGGAAAGCTCCTAATTTCACTTTCAACTCAAAGCAATTTGCCAAACATTCTGTTGTGGATAATTACAAATTTCATCATTTTCAAGATATTTCAAAGCATATTCACGAATACAAACAGGCTGTCACGCTACAGCGATTGGAAGAGCACAATCGTAACGACATTTGCCGTCAAGGCAATAGACTCGAGATGACTACTAGACAGCTTTGGTTAACGCATAATGCATTACAGCCTAAAGTGATTGACAATAAAGAACTGTCTGCTACCACGCTCGAACTCTTTAACACAGATTTAAGGAATAATTCTTCTAGGCAACAAGAGATGAATAATTATTCTAGTCAACGAGAGATGAATGTGCAAAGTTATGTCAAAGTTCACTTACCTAATTTTAGCTCCTTTTCTTTTAAGGTCAGTTTTATATATGAAAAACACTTTTCTAGTCTTCATCACGAGTGAACTGATATTAAAACTTGAGTTCTTGTGCACTCTAATCTTTCGCCTTCATTCAAATTGACCTGTTCTCAAAGCTCGTGTTCTTAGAATAGTTAGAAATGACGTAAATGTGTGACGTTGGTATGTTTTAGTTGTTGCAAAAAAACAAAGTGAAAGAAGTAGAAGTCGTATCTCGGCCATCATACTTAAAGCCAAACCACTTAAAACCATTAAGAACAAGAGTTGAGGAATCAGGATGGAGAAATTTCGTGATGGCTGGTCGACGTTATCTCGACTCTCGAATAAAATGTCCAACACCATTGATCACGAAACCTGCTCGTCTCGAGGAGAAGGTTCATCCAAAAAAAGCGTTTAAAAAAACAAACTCTGAAAATATTTCAAACAACCGTGTGAAAGAAATTCATAATCATTTTTAATGATTGTCATATCACATAGCGATTAAATTCCCACGAGTTACTCTAGTTAAAATTAAATGTGATTTCATTTTAAAATTCTCATACAACAAGTTCATCCAAATTCCAGAGATATGAATCGTATATGTATTACATATTTGTCAGTTTGACAGTATTTAGCTCCCAATTGTAGTTACTGTAAACTAGTGTTACGTCATCATGGTTTTCCGTTACTAGTTGCTTTAAATCTGCTGATACTTTGCCACTGCTATTTCTTTGAATCCATCTAGAAACACAAAGATATTTCTGAAGTCTGAAACACAATTGTTGTTTTGAATAACAAGTACAGATTTAAGGTGCAAAATCCTGACATTAGCAGATCGATGTCCTTTTCCGCAAAGTCTCTCTTGTACCACTGAAAAATTTTGGATAACGTCACCTTCAAAAAATAAGAGAAGAATTTATCATGGTGCAACATAGCTATATGACAAAAACCAATACATAAGTAAGTGTTGTGACCAAACAGCTTAACTATCAGCCTTTGGTGTATGTTTCATGCACAAACATAATATAAACATTTTGCATTTCACCTTTTTTGAATGAATGTCAACGTGGATTTCTTGAGAGCAAAAGTTATCAGTGGCAGCTTGAAGACCACGCTCGAGGTTTTTAGTTGAATAGACATTGATTGCAGGACATGACTGTTAAATAAAGATTGTTGAAGTTTTGGCGAACAGAACCACAGTAATTGTGAAGGAACAATCATTGCATATTGTGATTCATTCACATACCTTAGCACCACAGACTAAGGCAAAATGTATCCGAGGATCAAAATCGACTACAATGTATTGAAGACGAGGATCACTTTCATCAAACAATGGATTGGGACTTGATGGATGTGGTCTGTTGCCTCAAATTAAACAAATATACCATGGTTTTCAGTTTGAAAAACATTGACCAAAACATAGTAGCCTGTGGCACATCTTTTTTGGATGACTATATAGTCACTGTAGTGTTCACTTTAGTTCTATCTACCTCGTAGAATACCATGTTCAATATCATCAAGAGAAAATACATGTCCTCCAATGTTGTATGCTATAGTTTTCCAGAAGTCTTTAACACCAAGTACAGAAGAAGGTAATCCTTGCTCACATATCCCATGGATTGTCAACGAATTATAGATATCTTGGAAAGAAACATTGAGCGATGTGATGTGTTCACAGCATTTTACAAACATGTTTGTCAAAGTGAGACCTACACTATAATGGTTTATGTAGTGGGATTGTTCACCATGGTTTAAAGTCACCATGGCCATAAGTAGTCTTTGAATGTAACAGTTAAATTATGCATTTTTTTATTGAGTTACAATGGACTAGTTAACAAGTTTTTGCAGAATTTCTGCCAAGACATATTGTTAGTGTGGCTTTGTCACCAAGCTATGTATGGTCACTAGAGTCTAGATGTAATACGTGTAAATTAATAATGATTTTTAATAAGAATAATATCATACTAATAAAAAATGCAATTCTTTCCGATTGTGAGAGAGAGGCAAGGTCGACGGTGACCAAACGGGAGCATTCTGCAATATAACGAATAAAAACCTGGCTAGATCGTATGCCATGGTAGTCTACGGACTTCCCTTCACCAGTCATAAAATCGCCTTTAATTTGCAGCATTAATTTTTGAAGTCGTGTAGATATATTGAAAATATCTCCTTCGTTTGACAATGTCTCAGAAATTTCTGAATTTTGATCGTGATTTAAGACATTTATTTCGGTCATTGTTTAGCATGCTTAGTTGATAATCTTCCACTCAAAGTAATTAATTAATTGGTTTTGATTATGTCTTCAGGAAGTAAATAAATAAAGTGAATAAATAAATAATTGTGCCCATGTGCAGGCTATGGAAGAATGCCTAAAAATTTCAGGCAGTTCAACGTGATTCTTGGCGCAGCCGCAGGGAAGTAAGAGCTTCCTATGAGTGTTCTTGCGAGAAAATGGTATAGTTTATTTCGAAATATGTTTTAGTTTGCTTTTGAGTCGGTACTTTTTGACATAGCCATACGTTTTCTCCTTTAGAGCTTTTTAGGATTTGGACAGTCCACCGACATATTTGTTGATTTAGAAGGCTCGGACAAGCGAAAGCAAATTGAAGTGCGAAACGAGGATGGGAGAAAGGAAAAATTGCTCCTATTTTATGATGGCGAAACGGTCAAAGGAAAGGTCTGTTGCGCCTTTAGTCTTAGCTTTTTTTTAAGCTTGCAATCTAAACTAGGTCGACTTTACTTCCTGTTAAAATTTAAAAGCGGGGGTCACTTTATTTCATAGTGACTCTTCTCTCGTATACTTGTATTATTGTTCGAAAGAAGATTCGGGTAAGTCTTCAACTTCAAGTCTTTAAGATTTCAGATTTAACAATGAACCAACATTTAGCTTTATAAATGTTGTTTTTTTCTTTTTGAAACTTTCGCTTGATCGATTATTTGCAAATCAAACTTGCACTAATCCCACAAATTGTTCAGAGGCATGTGTCACATGACTGCGTAAAAATGTTTTCTTGTCTGGAAAAGCAACAATCTTTCGCATTGCTGCATGAGAGACTTGATATCTAAAGAAAAAAAAGTTAAAATGAATAATTTTTGCATATCATTTGTCAATGTCAGTGTATAATTTTCACCTGGATAACTTCAGTTGCATCATAATATAATTTTGACTAGAAAGTAGTTGTCTGTCCAAAAATCAGGAAGCAATATGCATTACAATAGACATAGCTATTACTTATCTTTGAAGATGTACAAGTTGCATTTTTTGTTATTTCCAAAGCATTTGGATTTCAAATCATTTTTACAAATCATTTTTTCCATGAAGTTTCAGCCTTGCCAAACTGAACTTGTTGGATAGTAATGTAGTAATTTCTTTCAATTAATAAAAGTTTCTGGTCTGCCCTTTATCTTTTAAGGTAAAAGTGAACTTGAAATATCCAGGAAAAAGTTTGAACACCATGGAATAAAGATTGAACTGTTTGGACAAATCGGTATATATTTTTAGCTCTTGAAATATAGTGAGAATGGCACATAGTAGTCATATGCATTTGATTTATAATATATTGATTCACATAATTTGATGTTTAGAATTGTTTTACGATCGTGGTAATCACTATGAATTTACATCACTTGTAAAGGAACTGGCCCGACCTGGTGTAATGACTGAAAATGCATCATTTGATTTTGAATTTCTCAATGTTGAAAAGCCATATGAAACATATACTGGTACAAATGTGAGGTTAAGGTAATTTACTTGACTTCAAGATGTATTTATAATTAAATGATATTTGCATTCAGCATGCTTTAGTTACTTATTTTGAAGAGGAAATTTTGTAATTTGTAGGTATTTCTTAAAAGTGACAATAAGTCGAAGACTGACAGATGTAATTAAAGAAATGGAAATTGGTGTCCATACTTTGTCAAGCTACCCAGAAATCAACACAAGGTACGTATGTAGTTCAAGACTTGTCTTTCATTTTATGCGTACAATTTAAATATAAGTCAGAAAATTTTGTGTGAAATAGAAGAGACAGTGTTTGCAGTTCATGTGAATTTTTTTAGCACTCATTGGCTTGCCATATTTAGCATATTCAAACATTATTTAACTTCATGTTTATGATATGTATAAAAATGTTTATTGGATAATGCAATTTTAGCATCAAAATGGAAGTTGGCATTGAGGATTGTCTTCATATTGAATTTGAATATAACAAATCCAAGTGAGTCTTTTTAAGCTTGCCTTACAGTAAAATGAACCCCCAACCCAACCTTGACTCATAAATTTCAATGAGTTGCATTTTGGGGTTTTTATTACATCAAAGGAAGGTATGATGATTTTGATGTAATGAATACCTTGATAAACATTTGATTAACCAATAATTTATATTGCATTTTCTGAAGTTTGCATTTTCTTACCAAGAAACCTTTCAACAAGTAAAAGATTCAATGTTTAACAATGCTTGTTTCGATCTCATTTTGTAGGTATCATCTCAAGGATGTTATTGTTGGCAAAATCTATTTTTTACTTGTTCGTATCAAAATCAAACATATGGAAGTTGCGATCATCAAACGTGAAACAACAGGAACAGGTTTTTTTCAAACAATTTCTTTGTGTTGTAATTGCTTTCAAATTTAACTTGTGTTTGATGAACTGTTTGTAATCGTTACCATATCAGGATGCTCTAGTATTCTAAAAAATGTTGATTCTCTTACCAAATGAAGCAATAATCTTTGATTTTGTAATTGACTTGTGTGTGCTGGTTGGCTAGTTGCTAATCCTACAATTTTAAAAAGTATTAAAACAAAGTACAAGAAGTACAACTACAGTTAAATAGTTAAAACAAAACTCCAAGATTTTTATTTAAGAACAAACAAGGTCAGATTCATGCTTTTTTCCCTCTGTATAGGTCCTAATTCTTATAATGAAAGTGAGACAATAGCAAAGTATGAAATAATGGATGGCGCACCAGTTCGAGGTACATAACATTTTTTTGTTTTCAGGACTTTTATGTTCAAGCAAAAGTAAATATGTAATGTTATTTCATTATTATACTCACAAAAGAAAAAAGTGGCGATAGTTCTTTCCCATACAGATGGTAGCTGCTAGATCTATTTGTTCTATCATTAACTCAATCATAATTTATTGTTAAGCAGAGCAGTGACACAATGTGTACATTAAACTTACCAATGTTTTTTAAAATCATGTTCATTAGGTGAGTCTATTCCTATCAGGCTGTTTCTTGCTGGGTATGATCTAACACCCACATTTAAAGATGTGAGTAAAAAGTTCTCTGTAAGATATTATCTCAATCTGGTTCTCATTGATGAGGAAGAAAGGCGGTATTTCAAACAACAGGTGAGTTGTCTTTGATTTCAAAAATATTCAGTTTTTAGTGTATAAAATAAATTAGTTCATTTGTTATCTTATCATTGCTCCTGATCTTGATGTTAGCTGCCAGGGTTGTGTTGTTGTAAGATGAATGTTTCATTTATATGAATAAAGATACTAGACCAGTAGTATGTATATGGAATTAAGATTCAACAGCAGTTTGCAGTATATAACAATTAATGTCAGATTATTTGTGTGTTAGTGAAGACGCATGATAAAAGTATGTAAAAACTGATGTTTTAACGTCAGATAACTTCTGATGAAGACCCAACACTCATGTATTTTATGAGTTGAGCTTCAACATCAATTTAATCAATGTAAATATTTATCTTAGGAGGTTACTTTATGGAGAAAAGGGGAATTAAAGCGACGACAGCATCCTGTTTTCGTCACCGACAATGATTTTAAGGGCAACGAATCTCAAGACAATGATAACAAGCAATAATGTAAAATACACTCTGAAAAGCGTTTTTACGAAGACGAAATCATCACATTACTTTGCAACATGGCTATATTGATGATATGACTTATGAAACGTGCTCTATATTTGAAGGACAGCGGTATGATTAACACGTGTGCAAGCAGTGACAGGCAAGTACTATTGTTAAATGTATTGAAATATGTATTGTAATTTTACTCGTAGACAAGGTACATGCGTGGTTACACGTATGTAATTGGTTAAATCACGTGGTTACACGTATGTGATTGGTTAAATCACTTTGTGTGATTATACTTGAACTATTTATGTATCATCTCTGCCTTGACTAACCGTTATGGCACGATATGAACCTTCTGCACAAAATTTTAATGTTTCCTTCTTACGTATGTTCTCTCAACATTAGTGTTGTGAAGAAGTGAGCTATTACGAAAACCATTTTAAGGTACTGGTCATAGTGTCGCTTTGTATTCTTTACAATTGCTAATATAATTTAAAAAGGTAAAATTTATCATGTTCTGCATGTAAGTACGTATTAGACAACGATGGATTAATCGTAAATCACCATAAAAAATCGTTACATGTTGTAAATTAAAATAATTCAACAAACGAACCCAGATTGAAAGATTTATTGATTTTCACGAATAAACATGTTTACTGATGGCGAAAATTATTCATATACTCGTATTCGAATTTTATGAGGTGAATGTGAAAAATGGCGTATCTGTCGCTATTTCATTACAGCGATTAAAAAATAAATTTTTATAGATAAGATATTCTTAAGTTATTCTCATGCTTTATTGTAACTAAATTTATAGTGCTAAATATTTTCGTTGTACTTTATGTTTACAAAATATCTTCACCTTTACGTCGTTTAGGACTTGTCGCTTCTTTCACTTTCGATGTTTTTTCATTTCCATTTGATATATTTTTTTCCTCGTCTGCTTTCAAGTGTGTAGACTGTGAAGCGTGAAATATTTGATCTTTTACGCTCTCAAGACCCTAGTAAAGTAGAATTTATTCGACTAAAAAGGAACCCGCTGCCTTAATTTCGCCTATAGAAGCACATGACGTGAAACGACTTGGACATTAAGATACTGGTATGAATGAATAAACAGAGATCGAGAACAGTTCTTATACTACCTAAAATATAAACTAGGATAAGGTATTTCAGTGTAGGTAGTGATGAATGAACAATAGAGAACAAAATCAGCCTTTACACTATCTAAAATATACACTAAGATAACGTGTGTCAGTGTAGGTAGTGATGAATGAACAATAGAGAACAAGAACAGTCTTTACACTGCCTAAAATATAAACTAGGATAACGCGTTTCAGTGTAGGTAGTTATGATGAATGAACAATAGAGAACAAGATCAGCCTTTACACTATCAAAAATATACACTAAGATAGCGTGTGTCAGTGTAGGTAGTGATGATGAATGAACAAGAGAGAACAAGAATTGTCTTATCACTTCCTAAAATATAAACTAAGATAACGTGTGTCAGTGTAGGTAGTGATGAATGAACAATAGAGAATAAGAACAGTCTTTACATTGCCTAAAATATAAACTAAGATAACTTGTGTCAGTGTAGGTAGTGATGATGAATGAACCATAGAGAACAAGATCAGCCTTAACACTATCTAAAATATAAACTAAGATAACGTGCGTCAGTGTAGGTAGTGATGAATGAACAATGGAGAACAAGAACAGTCTTTACACTGCCTAAAATATAAACTAGGATAACGCGTTTCAGTGTAGGTAGTGGTGATGAATGAACAATAGAGAACAAGATCAGCCTTTACACTATCTAAAATATACACTAAGATAACGTGTGTCAGTGTAGGTAGTGATGAATGAACAATAGAGAACAAGATCAGCCTTTACACTGCCTAAAATATAAACTAGGATAACGCGTTTCAGTGTAGGTAGTGGTGATGAATGAACAATAGAGAACAAGATCAGCCTTTACACTATCTAAAATATACACTAAGATAACGTGTGTCAGTGTAGGTAGTGATGAATGAACAATAGAGAACAAGAACAGTCTTTACACTGCCTAAAATATAAACTAAGATAACGCGTTTCAGTGTAGGTAGTGGTGATGAATGAACAAGAGAGAACAAGAATTGTCTTATCACCACCTAAAATATAAACTAAGATAACTTGTGTCAGTGTTGGTAGTGATGAATGAAGATGATAAAACGAAAGCAGTCTATACACTACCTACGTAATATATTAGCTAAGATATTGTGTGTGAGGATAAGATGTTATACATTACCTCCCCAGCATAAGATAACAATGGTGATATCTCACATTTGACTGGAGGTAAACTGTAAGTAAAAAGCACAAGTTTATGTACGATTTAATAGTGTGATGGAATATGTGAATGAAAAGTGGTGTTTGGAGTAATTTATTAGCAGATCACTTCAATGATTATCATTAGGTTTAGTTTGTATATAATTAGAAATTGATTTTATTGAACATTGGTAATTTGTCTCAATACAGCAATAGTCTATGTTTCAAGATGTGACTTACCGCCCAGAACCATCTACACTGTCATCAACCACTGTTTTGCTATAGAGAGGATTAATAACGTTTTAATGACGTTACGGAATTCAAAGGAACGTTTAAATTTCAACACCGTGCATGTCATTCACGATGAAGACTAAATACGTACAATAGCTAGCATATTTTCTAATAGAAACTACACGTTGGAATAGAAATTTGCATCTTGTATTACTTATATGATAACCGTGGCCAACAGTACGGTTAGGGACAGTTTCAAGTAGTTAAATTATAGGAGATAAAATTTGGGATTAGTTGTAAGGGCATCCATGAACATTCCTTAGCTATACAGTAGTGTGAGGTTGGAGGACAACTTTGTTGTTTAATTTACAAGTTTGCAAAATTTAGAAATTTCCCGGGGGTGGATATCCCCTGTCCCTGATACAGGGGTGGATATCGCCTGCCCTTGCTAAAGGAGTGGATATTGCCTGCCCCTACTACAGGGGTGGATATCCCCTGCCCTTGCTACAGGGGTGGATATCGCCTGCCCTTGCTACAGGGGTGGATATCGCCTGCCCTTGCTACAGGGGTGGATATCCCCTGCCCTTGCTACAGGGGTGGATATCGCCTGCCCTAGCTACAGGAGTGGATATTGCCTGCCCCTACTACAGGGGTGGATATCCCCTGCCCTTGCTGCAGGGGTGGATATCGCCTGCCCTAGCTACAGGAGTGGATATTGCCTGCCCTTGCTACAGGGGTGGATATTGCCTGCCCTTGCTACAGGGGTGGATATTGCCTGCCCTTGCTACAGGGGTGTCAATCTAAAACATTTCACGCTGTTAACTAACAACTGGATCACTATATAAAATGTGGCTACAGGCCTTCACAGACAGTCAATTAGTCAAATCAGTTATTTTAATCAACTTCTCACATCTTGATTTTTGTAAGATAATGCCATTACAGGCTTTCATTACATGTAAATGATGCATTTTTCATAACCTCTAGATGTTGCTTACCGTGAAATATCTGGTAAAATCTTCCCGTCATTGGACTTAAATTTACCGCCAGCATTAACAATATATTGATAATGTAAATTGCATAATGCATCTCTAGCCATTTCAGGTGTATCTTTAACAGCTCCTGGGGCATTTTTTAGTGGCGAGAACTCTTCTTCTCTTACAACTTGCAATACAGCAAACTGCCTTTGAAAAAATGCAACTAGTTTAGAAGTGGTAGATGTTACATTTAGATTGACATTTCACCAATTTAAAATAACTGCATTCAAGTATTCAAAATATCAGCAGGTTGACATGCATTATGCACCATAAACAATTTCTACAAGCAATGGAAATTTTGGAAAATTTTTCAAAAAAATATCATCAGTAGAGTATCAGAGATCAGATGTTACCAGGTTACATGTTCACAGTCTGAACAACCCAAAATGGGAACTATTAGGTAGTACATAAGCTAGGAGTTTCATTGCTTTACTATCTGCTATCATTCTTTCTGACTTTATGCAGAAACATAACTCCATGAACTTAATGAGGTAAAAATACAAGTTTTCTATACTCACTGAGAAAATTCGAACACGTCAAAGACAAATTTCTCTAGTTTTATGCCATTTTCCTTCAATGGTTTGATGCTGAAAATAATGGCATGATAAAATTATCATTAAGTATCACTTGTTGAGATTTATGTATAATAAATAGAAACACATATAGACTATATGATAAATGGTTGATCACCTTTTCTACTGGACAATACTAAGTGAATTTATACTTTGAATATTGTCATAAAGTTAAAATCAAACAATCTGTTCATATAAATCATATGTGCATTGTTCAAAACATCATTTCTTCATTCCACAATTTGTGATATAAGTATTTTTGATCACAAACCTATTTCCATCATCGTCTATGTATGGTATTTTTTTCTTAGCTACATGTGGTCTTAGTTCATGCTCATGATTGCTAGAAATTTAAACAAATATATTAGCAACCAAAAAAAAGGCAATGATTGATGAAATTGATTAAGATTATATAGATAAAAAACCACACTCATGAAGTGTTGCAAAAAATTTCTTCAAAAGATGTGGCATGTCAGTCACAAATTTTTTAACTCAAAATATATAATAAATATATAATTATATTTTAATATATAATTAAAGCTCAATAAAACTCACTTTAAATCCGGAGAAACTTTTATCTTTTATGTATAATTAAAAGAGTATTTTAGATCTCAGATAACCATTATTTCTTAGCATGTTTAGCTATGAAAATAACTTGGTACCCATGTATATCCTCATACATACCTAACAACATCTTTCAAAAAATTCAATGTAAAATAATGATTACAAATGTTTCCTGCATTATAAAGAAGGTGGCCTTTCTCATGTCGTTTTTGTGCCAGCTCAAGTGATAACTCACTGTATTCTACAACCTATAAGATAGGAATATTTTATAAGTACTGAATCTAAATTAATGATATAGTTTGTAATCTCATTCACGTTTGTGTAATCTAAGTTGTTATGAGAATTGCCTGGCTATAAATTGGAAGTGCAGCTGCAGCTAGAAGCAAAATTGTGTGTTAGACAAAAGAAATATAACATCACAGTTTCAACAAGTCTACAGGAAGCAAAAACCTGATAGGAACCTTAAACTTACCTTATACCGTCCATCCAATCGACAAATTACTCCAACTTTTTCAGTGGGATGCACTTTTTCAACAACCTGTCATAAACATCACAATGTAAATGACAATACAATAGAAAAGTTGATTACTTTGGAACACACCTTGGCTCCACAATTTGCTGATTTTGAAAGACAAAAACCAATAAAGATAGGATCAGCTACTTTAACTAAGATGTTATCAACACCATACACATGAATGTTTTCAATCCCTCGTTTGCTCATGCCATCCAAGATACCCCTATCTCTTAAAGCCTTATAAAGACCTCCATTTCCATCAGGAGCCTTTGCTATTTTTCCTGCTTCCTGGAGGATAATCTTTCCCTCAGGTGAGAGACATGGAAGTTGATATTGCTCAAAGAATACTATGTTTTCCTTCTTTAAACCAAAGTGATTATGTTTTAAGAAGAATGCCTCTGTTGAGGTTTGTGTATGCTCACTTGTCATGATATACCTACAGCATCAAATGAGAAAGGATTTAGTTTTGACTTGCAATGGTGTAGCAATAGACAGTCTATGTTTTGGCCACTATGAAGAAACATTCAATGTATTATATTTGCTCTATTTATCCCCTGGGGATTTGCTTTATATTGATACCTTTCACAAAGAGGGATTCCTACAGGGAGAGTGTTAAAATGGGGCTAGTATGTAGATGAATATAGGAAATAAAGAAATCAGCTCCTACGTAAATTGTACAGGTGACTGTGATGGTATGAAAGTAGCAAAACCATACCATTGATAAAATTAAAATTTATGTGCAATACATGGTAGTAGTTGTTACACTGCATCACTCAAACTTGGAATAGCAAAAGTCCTAATGAAATTTTGTAAATTCTGTCAAACATGCTTTAAATATGAAATTATTTGTCCAAGCACATTCTGAGGGATGACAAGTGCAGTTGTCACCTTGTTTTTGAAAGCAATCATTATTTATTTTAAGGAATTTTAAACCATTCATTATTTTCGTAAGAAACTTGTTGTCCTAGAAAAGTTGTCAACAGTTGGTGTTAATGTCAGTTTCACAGTAAACTGGGCGTCCAAGTATTTTTTTAGTCTCAAATGATCGTGTCAATGATTACATTACTTAGCAACAGGGTGCTTTCATAAAAATACGAAGTTTAATAATATATTCATGCCAATATGTATTGTTTTTACTCATGTACAACATCAAAAAGAAACAAACAATTACTTTTGATGTAAATTGCCACGTCAAAACAACGCTTGTCTCTTTGAATAGTTTGTAAGGTAGTTTTTAAAGAAGAACTGGGAAAATTGAGATTGCACAATTTTAAATGTGCAATATAATTATAATACATTACCATGTAACAATGCAAGATTTTCCAGTATGCTCTTCCGCAAGTTTCTGAACTTTCAATATTCTTTCAGCTTGGATTTGATACAAGGTTTTACTTGATGGTAAACCAACATCGTACATTCCTTTAGGATATGGTACATTTAAACGAGTACCTTGACCTCCTGCTAGAAGGAGAACGGCTACTTTGCTTTCCGCAATAGCTTTAAGGCCCGCGTATCGCCACTCATTTTTCAATTCATCACTAGCAGAAGCAACGCTATCACTAGATGATTCAGGGATGGGTTCTAAGGTTTTCTGTTTCTCTCCAGAGTTGTTTGCTTCCTCACAGCTTAGCTCGTAAATTCGCTTCACGCGATCAAAATCTAAATGACTTAATTCATCCAAAAACGCACTTTTTTCTTCCTGTTTTAGACGATCGTAATGCTGTAAAAGATGCTCCTGACCATAAGATTCAAGTTTTGTACGTAGCGCAGCTAAATCCATTCCAAATTTAAAACAAGAGGTCTTTCAAAAAGGACGTTATTTGCGTCACCCGCTCTTATTGGAGTTCAGTTTGAAACACGTACTCAAAACGGAACTGACGGAAATGGAACCACAAACCTCAACAAACGAAAATACCGGAAGTCACAAGTTCTCTGTTCTCAGACACTTTGGACAGTTGGATTCAAGGACACGAGAATAAAGAATGTCAAGAGGAGTGTGTCAGTGTGGTCTTTGTTCACTGTTGGCTGCCAAATCCACTTAGTAATCAAAGTCCACCTCATGAAACTAAATAGACAAGCATTAAACCAATTCATTCTCGGAAAGTCTGAACAATTTCTGAAAAATTTGGGTTGTACCAACACCTGTGGTTATCTTTACGTCTGGTGCGGGTACGGTTCATGGTGCGGGCAAATAGTCCTGAAAAAACCAAGATGGCCTCTATTTTAGAGCAATACGAAAGTGAGCTCAAAAGCAGTGGAAATATCCCGTCAAATAGGCAAATTTTGAGTGATGAACCGGTATGTCTAACACTGGTAATAAATATCTTTATCTGCAACAGCATAAGCGACATCATGCGAAGCTGCCGAAGCAAATTAATTTATCTTATATTTGCTAATCTATTTCTTTCTGATAAGATTTTTGACTTCAGATTGCAACTGGCTATGTGGATTTCACAGATGATGCACCGATGTTTCGTAGGGAAAAAAAAAATTTCAGGTAATCATGAGAGGTTTGCTGTCGACTATGTTTTCGTGTTTGCTTTGGAGTGGTGGTGATGTAATGTATTTATTTTTACCAGACCTCCTGCAAAAATCATAGATATATCAGTGTGCAACTCAACTGTCATCATTGCTTTGAGTTATTCTGTGATGAGACTAAATCTTGTCAACACTGATAAAATTGAAGGTAAGTGTTAGACATGTGATGATATTTTGAAATTAAAATCCATTGAAAACTCTTCCTTTGAGAAGAAGAATATATAAGAAAAAATGTTTTAACAAACACATCTTTTAAAGTTTGGATTGAAATTTAATTTTACATTGATGTTTTTGAATTTATTTAGAGATAGAAGTGTCCAAGCGGAGGATGTTGTGTATAAAATATTCCAGGACCCTACTGCTAGACATATCATAATTTGTTTACAATCTTTTGAATCCCTTTACCTTGCAAGGACAAGCAAGAAAGTAAAACCCATTTCAAAATTAAAGGTATTTCTATGATGATTTGACCATAATTATTTACGTTGATGCATTATGCAATACTTTATCAAGGCATACAGTTAAGAGACAGGATTAGATGAACATTGCATTTTTCCTTATAGGGTCATCTTATTGAGGCTGTGGCATGGAACAAAACGAGACTGAATGAGACTACTACACAAGCAATTTTGATTGGAACTAGAAAAGGTTGGATCATGTAGTTTTTTTGGGAAAAAAAATGATAAATTGCTTTATAAAAAGGTTAAGTAACATTTAACAAGGTTAAACAAATGATGTTCCATGACAAACATATCATTCTCTCCTCCTGGAGGTAGCTTTTTCACTGATTAAATAATATCATTAAAATATTCCAGCTGTGAGAGAATATTAATTGAACATTGTAAAAAGATATTTAAAAATCAATGTTTTTGACACTAGATTTATATTTTTGTGACATGTTGCCAGTGTGAACAGTCTTTTACTTTATAGGATTGATTTTTGAAACTGAATTGGACAATGAGGAGAAGTTCTTTCAGGCTGCTTTCGAGAAATATTGTAGACAGGTAGTATATGATCATCATAATAGTTAACATTTACAATTTTTTTGGTATGCCAATGTTTCATTTTAGTTTGTACTCTGACATTTTACTCACTACCATTAATCAAACAATCTTTAAACAATTAAATTTTTAGCTGCACAATATCAATAGTGGAGTGAACAGAGCTGAACCAATTACTGGAATGGTGTTTGAGAAATTTCCAAGATCAGATCGAACTTTTGTTGTGATGGTTACAACGTACAGGTAGAATAAAAAAGCTTTAAATCAAATGAAAAGAAAAAAATGTTATTTCAACATAGATCTCAAAATCTGAACTCATTTATTCATGCAACCATTTGAAAATATGCCTGTCAACTTATTTTTATCCAGCCGATTGTACCATTTTATTGGTGAAGTTTCATTGTCCGAGCCGCCCTTATTTGTTCCATTGTTTTCTCAATTTGAAACAAGTCCTGGTAAGGGAAATGGTTGAATAAATTAGGTTCTAACTATTTGACTAATATGATGTAAGGCTTGTATAGGACATGTATGACATAAACATAAGAAATAAGTTTGTAAATGTGTAAAACAACTAGTTTAATTCTTACTGTTAAACTTAACAGCAAGTTTCATTGAACTACCATCTGAAAACCTATTGAGGAGTCAATTAGCTTTGTATAATGCAAAAGCAAGAGGGACACCATCATCATTTGCATGGTTGACTGGTAAGTACTTCATATAATGCAGTGATCTTTCACATTTGCATATTGGAAATGTTTTTTTTGTTGTATAAATTTGAGTTATATGATGTTTGCAATTTAATTCATTCGTAAATTCTCTTTATTTCGTCCAGGTCCTGGTGCCTACTGTGGAGGACTAAATTTTGACTCATTACAGGGTAACAACACTAGCATTATATCAAACGCAAGGCTTTTACCTTACGTCACAGCTGATGGAGAAAGTTCCAGTCCTCCGTTGGCGCTTGCTCTGACTGAATTTCATGTTTTACTTTTGTATAAAGATAGGTTAGTTGAACCCATCTACTAGATAAGTGAGTTTAAAGTAGGTGTCAGAATTTCGTTTTTGTGAAGGCGCAAGCCGGTGGTGTCTGTTAGAGAAGGACTGGAGTTTACTAGTATGTTATGGTAATTGTTGAGTTACTAACATTTTGGGGAATGTACGTATTGGTTTAGTATACACAAGTCTTGATGTTGCCATGAAAAGTTGCTTGCAAATTCCGAATTTCGACCTTGGTTTGGCCAAGAAAAAAGGACAGCTAAAATTTGAATCCTGTCTTTTTTATACTTCATCACTTTCCTTCGTCAAACGTAGAGTTGCGTCAAAAATGTTTCTTATCTTTTACTAACTAACAAAGGCCTCAATACCCTCCCCCCCCCCTCAGTAGATTTCCTATTCAGTCATGAAATTATGTTAAAAGATATGTCCCCATGCTTTACTTCGTGTTATTTTATCATTTAGGTTTGAAGCCGTGTGCTTATTGAATGATCAAATTGTTTTTCAAGATTTACTCCCTGAAAGAGTATGTGTATACGTTTATCATTCCATGAACTTAGAACTATTGTTTTTGGGGGGGCAGCCAATTTATGTGATTCAACATTACGTCATTTTCTATAATATTCAATATTACGTCATCTGTTGTATTCAATAGCTTTATCGAAAACATTTCAGTTTGGGGAAATGCGAGGAATGGTAACCGATCCAGTAAAGAAGACAATATGGATTTTTTCAGTCAATGCCATCTTTGAATACCACATTAACAAAGAAACAAGGTTTTGTTTACCTGATTATTGCAATTTTTTCATTGTGCCTGCAAGGAACGATGGGAATAACGTATTGTATTATTTTGCTGCAACACAACATGTCTTTATTTTTTCAGACATGTTTGGAAATTATACTTGGAAAAGGGGATGTTCCAAGAAGCTGAAGAATATGCCAAGGTTAGGCAACTAGTTCATGTCACAACAGACATGTGCATTTTTTCAACTTTTGTGAGAAAATTGTTTTGTTAGACCTATTACTAGTGACATTGGAACTGTTCTTCGTAAACCTTTTACTAGTAACATTAGAAAAATGTAGCTAAAATGACGTACCATTTAGTCGTGTTTGCTGAATTTCTCTATTGATATTTTGTTGAATTTCTGGAGGGAGGGGAGGGGGAGTTTGCTTTGTTTATTCGTGTTCTGTTGTTATAGGACAATCCTTTGCATATTGATGAAGTATTAAGAAAGAAAGCAGAGAACTTCTTTAATGAAAAACAGTAAGTATTTTCATCTTTATCGTAGATATTTCGGTGAATTTGTATTGTGTGTCATGGAAACAGTTCATGGAGTAATGATATTATCGATATGTGACTGTAAAGGTTTGCTAGGGTTATGAAGGTATTGTTGTAGTGTTCTGGTTAATGGTTTGTCACATAATTCGTGTAAATGTTACATTTCATGCTGGATTGTAAACATTATTTCATGTAACATCGTTCATTTTATTTCAAGATACCGCCCTTCTGCAGCAACGTACGCCTTAACTCAAGCATCTTTTGAAGAAGTTACTTTGAAGTTTATTCAAGTACCTGAATCGGATTCGTTGAAAGTTTTTCTTGTAAAAAAATTGAACAACTTAGACAGCAAGGTACAATGCATTACTTATTTGTCCTTTTCTTTTAATTCTTTGATATACTTGTTGCGTTACTAATTACCTGCTTTAATGCCTGGTTTAAAATCAGATTATACTGCTGGATAACAAAAATGTCACAGCTTGCTGCATTCTTATGACATTCATTTGTTAAAACAATCACTTGTCTTGAGTAAATATATTTTGAAATGATTCACATAATTTGCGATCCATTCTTTTTATCATCTTAATGCTCGTGTATGTAGTTTATTATCGATTGTTGCCCTTTTCAAGAAGAATGTCTTGTGAGGAAAATGGGTATCGGCAAATAGCAACTCTTTTGTTAACAAAAGTCCACGATTCACATTGCCCTATTAAAATGAGTAAATTCATGACAAAAGGATGCATTGTTTGTAGATAACCACTTTATATTGATGAATTGCCTTCGAGACAGCTACAGTCAGTAATTCTATTGTATAATCCACACTGTGTGCAATGTTACTATTTTCCAGTCCGTGTAAAAGATGATAAGTGTTTTCTTTTTTTACGTAAGGATAAAACTCAAATCACCATGCTTACCATATGGTTGGTTGAACTCTATCTTAATGAACTGGGAGAACTGAAAAATGGTGGGGCTGAAAAACAATCGGAATTCCTGTCTGTTCAGGAAGATTTTAGAAAACTTTTAGCAACAAGTAAAGTGAAGGTATATATTGTATATTCACAGCTTAATCCCTATATACTCATAGATATGTCATTAATATTTTACAGATGTCTTTCGAAGAGAGTAAACAAACGGCGTATGAATTAATTGCCAGTCACGGAGACGTTGAGAATCTTATCTTTCTTGCAATGTTAATGAAAGGTATTTTTACGCATAGCAACTGGAATTCAATAAATAAGCTACCAGCTCATCTTTATTTGTTCATACATTAAGGATTGTCGTCATAACACGTTTTATACCTGGGCTAGATAACCATTCTGATGTAATTAAACTTATTATCCAATGTTAGATTTTGAGCGAGTAATTCATCATCACATTCAACATGACGATTTTGGAGCAGCTTTAGATGTTCTGAAAAAACAGGTAAACACAACCTGTAAAATTTCGTTCACTTAATCTAACATTCATCTTTGTATATGAAGTGTTTTCGATATGCTTATCACTATGTAATGTTAAAACATTCGAACGAAATGGTGTTGACCGTAAAACACAGATTTTGGTAATTTGCAACTTTTTCCTTTGAAGAATGAACCAGAGCTGTACTATAAATTCTCTCCAGTTTTGATGCAACATATTCCGGAAGATACCGTCAATGCTTGGATTGACCAAAACAAAAGACTTGATCCAAGAAAGCTCATTCCTGCTTTGATATATTACGAGCAAAAGGAGGACAAGGCTCTGGTAAAGTGATTGGTTGCGTACACCTGAGAGTAGTTAGGTGCAGAAAGAGACCAGTTAGTTGCAGAAAGAGACCAGTTAGGTGCAAAAAGAGACCAGTTAGGTGCAGAAAGAGACCAGTTAGGTGAAGAAAGAGACCAGTTAGGTGCAGAAAGAGACCAGTTAGTTGCAGAAAGAGACCAGTTAGGTGCAAAAAGAGACCAGTTAGGTGAAGAAAGAGACCAGTTAGGTGCAGAAAGAGACCAGTTAGGTGCAGAAAGAGACCAGTTAGGTGAAGAAAGAGACCAGTTAGGTGCAGAAAGAGACCAGTTAGGTGAAGAAAGAGACCAGTTAGGTGCAGAAAGAGACCAGTTAGGTGCTGAAAGAGACCAGTTAGGTGCAGAAAGAGACCAGTTAGGTGCAGAAAGAGACCAGTTAGGTGCAGAAAGAGACCAGTTAGGTGCTGAAAGAGACCAGTTAGGTGCAGAAAGAGACCAGTTAGGTGCAGAAAGAGACCAGTTAGGTGAAGAAAGAGACCAGTTAGGTGCAGAAAGAGACCAGTTAGGTGCAGAAAGAGACCAGTTAGGTGCAGAAAGAGACCAGTTAAGTGCAGAAAGAGACCAGTTAGGTGCAGAAAGAGACCAGTTAGGTGCAGAATAAAACCAGTTAGGTACTTTTAAAGACTTGGGTGCGTATGAAATCAATTAGGTACCTACACAAACATGTGTGTTTGAATATATATCAAGATTCGAGATAAGTTAATGTTTGTTCCCAGTTAGAAAGTGATTGATTGCTTTTGGTTATGATTCTTTGGGAAATTTTACCATTCATTATTTTTAGATCGAACAAGCGGTTCGTTATTTAGACTTTTGTGTTGATATCCTTGGTGTACAGGATCAAGCCATTCACAATTACTTACTTTCCTTGTACGTCAAGCAGAAGGAACACGTATCTCTAATGAGATATCTACATTTACAAGGGCAGGTAGGCATTGGGTGTGGTATAAAAGAGGGAAAATACTCATCTATTCTTTGAACATGAATTTATTCCCTGCAATATTTAGATCAAACTAAACCCCTCAACCCATCAGAGAAACTGCGATAGCACGACATTGTTTAGATAATGAATGGTTTGGTGGTGCATGTGGTTGCTTCTTGATAACGAAGTGCAATTTTTTTAGGATAAAGATGAAGTCAGATACGATTTGGAGTATGCATTAAGATTATGTTCAGAAAATGAACTTAAGCAGGCATGCGTTCATATTTACAGCACGATGGGCCTTTACGAAGAAGCTGTTGACTTGGCGTTGATGGTTAGTCTTTCATTTATGATTCTTTATTGTCATTATCTGAAAAGTGACACCATGTGGATCTACTACAAAACCAAGAACCATGAACTCAGACAGTTGCTCTAGTCGACTACTACGCATGCTAAGATAATATTTTATTAATAAGTGACCAAGTAAGTCATTCACTCTTAAAGTAATGCAAGTTTATCCAGTTGGTCGTTGCCATGACTATGAACTGGAATAATTGATCGACGAGCTGAATTCGCACGGGGAGATGCATTAGGATTTCTCTTATAATTTGTAACTAAGCGAGTTATTTACTTTGTGTAAAAATAGTTGTAGCCTTATTTATACAGCGAGCGAAAGAGCTCGTTGATAATGAAATTCTCTGGCTATGACTTTTTTTAACACTTTTTTTGTTTTTAGTTTGACGCCGATATGGCAAAATTCCAGGCAAGTAAGCCAGAAGAGGACGAAGCTCTACAGAAGAAGCTTTGGTTGCGAATTGCGAGACATGTTGTTGAAAAAAAGGAGGATGTCAAAACGTTTGTATTTCTTGTCTGAAATATACGTTTGATGACGTACATAGATGGTGATAAACTATAACTTCTGTCAGTGTAGCTAGTGATGAATGAACAATAGAAAACAAGAATAGTCTTTACACTGCCTAAAATATATACTGAGATAACGTGTGTCAGTGTAGGTAGTGGTGAATGAACAATAGAGAACAAGAACAGTCTTTACACTGCCTAAAATATAAACTAAGATAACGTGTGTCAGTGTAGGTAGTGATGAATGAACAACAGAGAACGAGAATAGTCTTTACACTACCTAAAATATAAACTAAGATAACGTGTGTCAGTGTAGGTAGTGATGAATGAACAATAGAGAACAAGAATAGTCTTTACACTGCCTAAAATATACACTAAGATAACTTGTGTCAGTGTAGCTAGTGATGAATGAACAATAGAGAACAAGAATAGTCTTTACACTGCCTAAAATATACACTAAGATAACTTGTGTCAGTGTAGCTAGTGATGAATGAACAATAGAAAACAAGAATAGTCTTTACACTACCTAAAATATAAACTAAGATAACTTGTGTCAGTGTAGGTAGTGATGAATGAACAACAGAGAACAAGAATTGTCTTTACACTACCTAAAACATAAACTAAGATAACGTGTGTCAGTGTAGGTAGTGAAGAATGAACAACAGAGAACGAGAATAGTCTTTACACTACCTAAAATATAAACTAAGATAACTTGTGTCAGTGTAGCTAGTGATGAATGAACAATAGAAAACAAGAATAGTCTTTACACTACCTAAAATATAAACTAAGATAACTTGTGTCAGTGTAGGTAGTGATGAATGAACAATAGAGAACAAGAATAGTCTTTACACTGCCTAAAATATAAACTGAAGATAACGTGTGTCAGTGTAGGTAGTGATGAATGAACAATAGAGAACAAGAATAGTCTTACACTACCTAAAATATAAACTGAGATAACGTGTGTCAGTGTAGGTAGTGATAAATGAACAACAGAGAACCAGAATAGTCTTTACACTGCCTAAAATATAAACTAAGATAACTTGTGTCAGTGTAGGTAGTGATGAATGAACAACAGAGAACGAGAATAGTCTTTACACTGCCTAAAATTTAAACTAAGATAACTTGTGTCAGTGTAGGTAGTGATGAATGAACAACAGAGAACAAGAATAGTCTTTACACTGCCTAAAATATAAACTAAGATAACTTGTGTCAGTGTAGGTAGTGATGAATGAACAACAGAGAACACTATTTAAAATTTAAACTAAGATAACGTGTATCATTGTGGGTAATGATGAATAAAAAATAATATAATGTGCAATTATACACTTAGAGCAATGCAAGTTTTAAATGATTTCAAGCAGATCAAAATTGAAGACATACTTCCGTTCTTTCCAGATTTTGTGACGATTGACCATTTTAAGGTATTGTGCTGAATGTGCGCTGAAATTATTTTCATTTGTTTTTTTATTTGTTTGTTTGTTTTAAGGATGCGATTTGTTCGTCCTTAGAGGAATACAATAAACACATCCATGAACTAAAAACAGAAATGCAAGTTAGTATATAAAATGTAGTAATATGTTTATATACGTACAATTGTTGATGCTATTTGCTCAAATATTGAAATATCGATGGTCTATGGTCTTATTTGTCCAGATTGGTGTAATCCTGAGAAGGACTGTTGGTGGTATAGACTTACGTTTATAATAATAGCTAATCTTTATTGAGGATGCCAACATCACTAAAAAGTGGTTTACAGAGGGGTCCTCTAAAAAGTAACTAAATATAATATAACTACTTAAAATAAAAAGAAAGAGAATACAAATCAAAAAATATGAAGATAAAACTACATCATTTGAAAATTAACATGCTAAAAACGAAACTAATTAAAATAGTGCTTTTTTGATACCACGCTTAAATTGGCTTAAGGTGGGCACATCTCTTAGGGAAAGGGGTAAGGCATTCCAAACGTCCGCTGCAAAATTTATTGTTATCCAGTGCCCCCATCTTCTGTGTGCGAATGATTTGCGGATATTTCGCTTTGATCGTGTATTATAGTTATGATAGTTACTGTTAAAACAGCAGTGAAAAGTGTACGTTTAGGCATCCTTAGCAGAGTCATCGTTCAAGATTCAAGCGAGGAGAAAAACGCTCACACCTCAGGACTATACTAACCTGGACAATATACATACACAAGCATGTAATGATACTTGCGGGCTCAAACCACTTAGTACTTTGTGTTTTATGCAGGAAGCGACTGAAAGTGCCGAAAATATTCGTCAAGATATTCAGGAAATGAAAAACAGGTTTAATAATGACCAACTGACTAACTATAACTAAGTAAGTAACTATGGTGGAAAAATTTACTCACTTTTATTGATTTTTAACATTAGATACGGTGTTGTGGAGGTAGATAAGAAATGTTTGCTGTGTTTACAACCATTGCTGACCAGATCATTCCACATTTTCCCTTGTCATCATGCATTTCATACTGACTGTCTTGTCGACGAAGTTTTGCTTCATCTTAAAGGACGACAGAGGTAATTTTGGCTACGAAGTCTCATAAAGCTTTACCCTTTTATATCTTTGCTTTTAAAATCTCTTTGAATTTAAAAATATATCGTCTTTTTTTACAGGAACAGACTAGAATTTTTGAAAAGAAAACTCTTTCGAACAGACTACGAAGGCTCACGAAATGCTGGTCGTAACCGAGAAAATGATCCAATAATATTACCTGAAGATTCGGTGGAAAAACTAATGGTATTTTTTTATCATGCAATATCGACGATATCATGTTGATAATGAGCTGTTTTTAAATACTATATATTTTGTTTTATTTTTTTTCATAAAGAATTGTATCGCTTGTTTTTACATGTAGGCAGATCTTGACGAACTTATAGCAAACGAATGTATCTTGTGTGGTGAACACATGATACGATCAATCGATCAACCATTTATTACTCAGGATGAGTATGACGAAGTTGTAAAAAGCTGGGCTTGATCCTTGGATTTTAATCTCGCCTACATTTTCTTACGATGTTGGTTCATAACGAGTTGATTCAGGTTGAATATCGCTGGTTGTTGATAATGTCAAATAAATTAGGTGAAATAATGTAATATATAATTCATTTGAGGAAATTACTGAATCATAAATTACTGTGCATTTACGTTTTTTCCTCTTTTTTTTTCTTTTGTTCTAATTTAAATATAAAGCGCATTCCCTTTAATGTTCTTTATTTCACATCGTTAACTATATTGATGTACATGCAGCTATTACAAACAAACAAAGAATCCGGTTAATCTAAAACTGTTAGGACCAAAATAACCTAATATACTTTGTTCTTGTGTTTGGTTGTTTGTTAATTCACATCATTAACTATATTGCACCTTTCATTTTATTTTCTTATCTTAACTTTCACATGCAATATTGACTTGTACATTTACTATTACAAAGTAAACAAAGCTTCCTCAGATAGCTCTTGCATGTACAAAGCATTTCTTCAACATCTTTAGCACTTGTCTGAACTTACCCTTGGATCATAGTAAGGTTTTATCATTAATTTGTTTGGTTTTTTGGGATAAAAATCTTGTTCTCTTTTATATTGTATTTGTCAAATGCTGGCATGTACTGCAATAGAGTATGCATGGTATTATGGAACATATAGATAGCTGGTACATTTAACGTGTTGGTACCTATGATATGCTGGTACATATGACGTGGATGGTACATATAGCTTGTCGATACAGTGCATATACATAGTGTGTGTATGTGAAGGTTTCATCGTTTAAAATTTTAAGCATATTTTTTAAATCTGATTTCTATAATCCTCTATAAAATGGCTGTAAGGTTGACATTCATGGAAATATGAACATCATTACATCCCCTGACTGACAGCACCAAAATGAGTAGTTTCCGTCTTTCCGGTTGTTAGCGAGTTTTGCCATTTGGCGCATGTGTTTTAGGACTTAATCTCTATTCTATGGTATAAATGAACAGAACTGTAAAAGCAACAAGTAATATTTTTATATCGCCACTATGGCGAGTGGTGGCCGTAAACGACGCCTTGCCTGTACGTTAGACGGTGATGTCTTGGAGAAACTTTCAATGAAGTTGAATCCTCGAATGCTCATGAAAGACTACCAATCATTAGCTGGACGTTTTAAATATACCTATGATTACATTTTGAATTTTGCTCGTGAGAGAGATCCAACTTTGGCGTTGTTAAATCATTGGTGGACGGCCAAACGAGGAAAAGAAAAAACCGTTTCTGTATTGATTGAACATCTTTCAGCAATGGAAAGGGACGATTGTGTGGAGTTATTACAACCTTATGAATTTTATTGTAAGTTTATCTTTATAAACTCTTCGTATTTTCAGATAATTTTCATCACGATTGAGTATTTGTTTGAGTTCATAGAATTGTGGCTCTGGTTACCTATGAAATTTTTGAGTATATTCCCTCGATGAAAAGTTTACCCATACATATGATATGTGTGTGAAATTTTATTAGATTATTTTAGTGAGGTATATGTTCGATCTCGTGGACTATGAATACTGCGCATTTGATATTTATGATAACATGCCCAGACATGTTACAGCTTATATTACTTAACCTGTGAGAATGTTTGTTTACGAAAAGCTTAGTTTTACAATGAACTCGTGGTAAAATTACGTTTACAACTGTCATTTCAGTTGTATGCAAGTATTATTTTATAAAATAAAAGAATGAACGATATATTTTTTGGTTTTTTTAGGGAGTCTATACAAAAATTATATCCTGTAGCTATTTTAGCTTATCATTTAGAAGATTGTCAAATTCCTGTGCTCATTTTTGAAGATAAGATTTTGTCTTATCTATATGAGTAACTTAATTATCTGATCTGCTAGACTAGTTCCAATTTTGCGTTTACTGAATTATGTATGTTTGGCAATATTTGCTTACAAGTTGGAATGGAGCGTTAAATATTCGCATTATTTTCAAATGTATTTTACATGTGAGACTGAATATAAACATTTACTTATCTATGTTGAACAAATGTGTATTTCGCTGCTCAAGACTTGCAATAAGTTATAATCGGCTGTAACAATTCTCTTCGCGTGAATTCATTGAGTTATCCCATCATGTATTTTTAAAACATGTGCGAATAATTACCCCGAAGCGATTCCGTCTGGGTCAACCGTCTTTGTCAGATTTGCTTTTTAACGGAACGGCTTTTTTTAATGCTATAAGCCAATTTTTTTATTTCTTCCCACAGTTTATTAAACGTTTTTACACTTACCATGAAAGTGATAGACGTCATGCAATGATTTGCTTCTTTTGGAATGTAATTGTCACGTTTTGTACACAAAAAATATAACTATGATATTTAACTTGATGTTATTTGTTGTTAGCGTAGCAAATTCGACAAATTTGTTACAACATCATGAAAAGAAATTTCGACGGGAAATTTTTGTGTTAATGTTATATAATTGTCTTGTATTGACAACACATGTACTGATGTCTACACAGCTTTTAGCCAATCAGTATTTCTAATTCCATTTTGAAATTCAATTTAGTTAACAAGTTGTACACTAATATTTTTCTTAAGAAAAGAACTTCAGCTTGATGCATTGGACGAAGGAATACATGCATTTTTGCTTTGTTAATTTTGATTTAAATCATTTTTATTATTTTGTAATGAATAATTTTTGAACTTTTTAGCTTCACATGAAGCACTGGAACTTGACGAAAGACCTGTCATTCCTGGTGCACCTGGTAAGTTAGCTTATAAAGAATTGTTATTGTACTTCACACAAATGCTGTTCTTTGTATCAATTTGTTTGTTTTTGTAGACATGAACATCAACCCCTATAACCCACACTTTCCTGCATACGAACATAACCAGCAGACGTCTAATTGTACGTATGAATTGCAAAGTAAGTATTTTGTCAAAGGATCAATCTGCCAAATTTCATGAACTTGTGAAAATTAGAATTTGGTTGATAATGTTCGTATGTGTTGTGTTCTGGGAGGAAAAATTTTCTCATTCAATTCAATTTTAGGATTTAGGAAAAGTGTCCGATGAATCTAGTAGAATATTTTTTCAAACTAAAAAAATGATCAAATTGTAACAATGGAAACAAATGCACCAACTGATATGAATTTACATGGGAAATCTTAAGTATAATAGATGTTTCAATTTTGGGAGATAGTAAATGGCAAAAGTTTAATGATTACCTAATGAACCCAAAGGAGACTGAACACCAGTCTTATTCAATGTTAGCTTCACCAAATCATCCCATTCAATATGAGGATCCTCTGAAAAATGCAAGTGCACCAGAAGTTAGTCTGATTGACTGCAATGAAAATCATTCGTTTCCTTTTGATGAACTCAATCAGAGAATGGCCACCATGCAATTGGTTCAACATAGCAACAATAATTTTTCTTGTAAGTGCTAGACTTCAGAAAACTTGCTAATAAACATTATTTAATGATTTGTTGGAACCTTGCGCAAAGCATCATTGATTTCCTGTGGAACATTCTTGTCAAATAAGAAGGAGATGAAAATTGATGTACCATGTTTTTTTTGTGTGCAGTAGATGAACCAGCAATGAAGACATTGACTACTACAAATGTTCATTACCCTCAAAGTAAGTCAAAAATTGAAGAAATAAATCATGATGGAAAAAAAAACAAACTGATCAGTTATAAATTTTTATCTTTTTTATAGGTTCCTCTAGTTCAATGGACAGTTTACAATTTGAAAAGCATTTCTTGGAGTATGAAAATGGTTTGTATATTGTGTGTTTTGTACGAAACTTTGTTGCTGAGTTTCAACATGAAACAAGTCTATACACAAGAAAATCAAATTATTGCAGAACATTATTCTTGATGAAGAGACTAGAGTATTTAAATACTAAATCACCAATGTTAGATTATTTGTGATCAAGACATTAGACTGGAGTATTTGTAGAGTCAAGTTTCAACATCAGATCACTTATAATGAAGAAACAAGACATGAGTATTTAAAGACTTTAGTTTCAACATCAGATCACTTATAATGAAGAAACAAGACATGAGTATTTAAAGACTTTAGTTTCAACATCAGATCACTTACAATGAAGAAACAAGACATGAGTATTTAAAGACTTTAGTTTCAACATCAGATCACTTACAATGAAGAAACAAGACATGAGTATTTAAAGACTTTAGTTTCAACATCAGATCACTTACAATGAAGAAACAAGACATGAGTATTTAAAGACTTTAGTTTTAACATTACATCGCATCAAATAAAGAGACATTAGACTGGAGTTCAAAAGATCTCAAATTTCAGCATTGATAAGAAAATTTCCATAGCAAAACAAGTTTTATCTTGTGTCTTTTTTTTATGACATTCTCCGAAAATGCCAATGCATCCAATCTATTCTTCAAGCGGCTTTCCTCACTCTGACATGCCCAAAAGTAATACCATTTTTCACCCCACTGTTTCTGACGAGCTTCATGGTGCAACACGTGATCTTACAGTAGAAGGAGTGGCCTCCAGACAACCACGTGACGAAGCATCTTTGGACCCAGCAAAGCATGATGACTCAATGGGAATGTGTAGGCCTGGAGGACATTACACAAGGACAAGTGCATATTCAAAGGTTTTTTCAGGAACTAGTATTGATTACGAAAGAAGAATACCAGCAGAATCCAATTCTGTAACAGGTTTGTCTCGAGCTTTGCTTACATTTAAGCCTTCAAAGCGCTGTGATTTGTGTTTGAAGTTTTTTAACACGAAGTTTCTTTGTGATGTTGTTGAGATTATTAAATGCAATAATGACATAGATTTAAATGTACTTCCTCCAAGTTTCATTGTGTTTATATTGATGGACTGGAGTGTTGAGTAACAGGGGCGACGAATATTTCCTTTTTGAGTTAATCCAGTATGAAAAGTTCGTAACATTTTTTTTGTGTTGTATGAAGTTGCTGCAGATAAAGTTGCCTTAGTTATTGGTAATCAGGATTACGCACATCACAAGTTGCAAGGGTTGTTCTACCCTGAAAAAGATGCTCATGACGTAACTGATGCCCTTAGAAGGTTACAATTTAAAGTAAGTGATATCGCTTAATTCATTTTGGTTAAATTTTCACAACACAAAGTCCATTATTTCAATTTTGTTTGTTCCTGCACGCTTTCTAGTTCATCATTTGTGTATTTAATCATGCCTTTTGGTACAATTAGGTTATTTCTCTGGTGAATTTGACTTTGAGTGAAATGAGAACGGCCATGTTAGCGTTTTGTTGTTTACTAGGTAAGTAAAGGAACAGTATATTTATTGAAAGGAAATAATATGTTTTAAGCTGACCTAGTTTTTAGCCTTTTCACTTACATTTTTGTTTACTTTAAATTTTTATTGCGTGGATGTTCATTGATAAACAGCATTTTTGCTCTAAAATCTATCCTGGTGAAGTTGAGTTTCAAGCTTGTACGTAGTGAATGTTTTGCTTTTATTACAACAAAGCAAACGTCTAGTTACTTCACAAACGTATTTTTTGGGTGTATTTTCTTCTATGTAAAAAATTCGTCAACGACTCCATTTGTCTTTGAGTTCTTTGTGAACCTATATACGATGCAATGTTTTCATAGTGCTACAGCCAGGTTGAACTGGTTTCACAAAGTTATGCTACTTCACAATTTTTTTAGAAATTTTTAAATAATGTTTTTTCATGTAGGTCGCGGAGTTTATGGTGTTGTGTATTACGCTGGTCATGCCTATGAGGACAATGGGGAAAATTACTTATTACCCGTTGATTCGGATCTCAAATATAATCGAGACCAAAGTTTACGTATTCAGGAAATACTTGAAGAGATGCAACAATGTGACACTTCTTTAAATCTCCTCATAGTTGACGCTTGTCGCGTGAGGTGAGTGATAAAGACCAGTGATCTATCATTTCAGCGTAAACGTTATTTATATAGCTTCGCAGTTGCAACATATCACTTCATTTCATTGCAATTTTTAACTGCAATCAGCGAAAACGAATTTTTTTGCTGGATTTTTCACAATTAGGTTTGTAGAACCATGAAGTTGATGTAGCATTAATGTAGTTCAACCAAATGGTTTTGCTCTGCCTTTATTCCAAACTTTCCTTATTGTTAATGAGTACATATATCGTGCAGACTTTTTCATATTTGTGGTACATCATCAAATGTGAACACTATGTACAAATTTACTACTAATTCTTCTTCATTCATTTTTGTGTTTTGAAATAAGATTATAGTCACAGGACTGCTTTTTGTTAAATAGTTTACCTAACAAATCTGGCATAAACATACCCCGCATCAAACGAAGTGCCCGAGGAAACAATATATTTGCTTATTCTTGGTAAGATATACAGTGTCTTTTTTTTTTGATTGTTTGTTCTGTTCTGTTTGGGCTTCTCGTCGAGTCAAGTCTGTTGAAACTCGAGTCCTTGTGAAATGAACTCCAGTCTAATTTCTTTATCCACAGTGATGTAATTTTAAAACTTGAGTCCTTTTCAATATCAGTGTGTTGTCTTCATGACGAGTGACGTGATGTTAAAGTTTGAGTCCTTATGAGCCCTACTTTGGTGTTTATTACGAGTGATTTGGTGTACAAACGTGAGTGATTGTGAATTCCAGTCTAGTGTCTTCATTTGGAGTGATGTGATTTTAAAATAAAAACCTTTTATACTCCAGTTTAGTGTCTTCATCATGAGATATCTGTCTTATTCACTCGAGCTTAGTATATTCGCGTTACTGACCTCATGTTTAATGTATCTCAATTTACTTATAATTAAACTTTTCATTAACAGTTGCAGCCAACAAGAATGTTTGGAAGAAGCTAACTTTCTCAATGGCATGTATTGCTCTCTTTTGTTGGAAAGATTATGTGAAAATCGTAGGATTGAAAGTATTTTAATGGACGTTGCTACAGGTAGTTTATCATATCCTGCATCTAGACCCAGATGTTTTATATCTGTGATGGGGATGTCGTTTTAACGTTCTTTGCCCATTCTCGTTTATGTCGAGCTTCTTTTAGTATTTTGCTTTAAAAAATCACAAAAAACGCATGATTATTTCTTCACGTTTCTTTTTACATATTTTCTAATCTGCTATTATTTTGTCGGCAGACTATTCGCGAAAGTTTACTCTTTCTCAGCGACCATGTTTGGAGACAGATGCGATGACTGATTTCAGACTAACTGATCCCATACAATCTGGAATAATGGAGGAGGAGTTTGAAAACCGTTGCCATCGCTGGTTGGAAGCTCAGCGTAAGTTCTTGGATGAGGAATTGTCTCTTAGACTTCCGAAGACTACGAGAAAGTGTACACTATGTTAATATTAGCTTACAACTAGTTTACAACGTCTACAAGAAATCTAAAACAAGAATACTAGCTCACGAAATCACATAATCAATCATTCGTTTCTAACAGTGGAGACAAGACAAGCCATTGGGAGGACATTTTGTAATTTCAATTTTCTTTATCTTTTTGTCATATCTTTATCTTCTAGAAGTAGAAAATAGGCCCTTTCTCCCTCATCTCTATTTTTACAGCGATGAATGGTAGACGTATTCTACTGATATTATTTAAATTATATTTTTGACCAGGTGAACCGAGGGAATTTTCTGTTTCGGCAGCAAGCCTTCAGATCTCATTGCGTTTTCAAGCTCGTTTCAGCAACATCCTTCAAATTTGTGTGACTACGGAAAAGAAGCTTGAAAATGTGATTGACGAGTTTCATCTGTCACTGGAGGCAGTTCATGTGAGTAAACTGTAGGCTAACAGGGTATTTTTTTAATTTATACATTTTTCTAATATATACATTTTTTTAATATATACATATTTTTCTAAATGTGATTATTTTTCTCATTATTTTAGCCTTTACGGTGTGTGTTGAAGGCGTGTGAACGAACCACAACTGATAGCGTCATTTGCTCCCAGGTGTTTGAGCTTCAAAACATTCAAAAGCACATCAAACTTCCGGTGCGTGAGAAAGATTTGGGCTTTATTGTCACACACTATGATGTCAAAAATACTTTAGTTAAATTATCTTTTGATGAACCTAAATTTGTTTATATACTCCAGTTTAGTGTCGTCATTTTGAGTGATTTGATGATAACATCTTGTCCTTGTTACCTTAGTGTAGTGTCTTCATTTGATATTGTAACATAAGTCTTTATATGTCCCAGTCTAGTATCTTAGTCAGGAGTGATCTGATGTTTGAATTTGAGTTTTCATGTAATCTGATCTTGCGTAATCAAGATAAATGATAAATTTTTCAATGGATTTCTTAACTACTTCTATCTGGTGTGAAGAGAGATCTGAAATGTACTGCAAACTTATATTGTTGTACACCCAAATTTTAATTGTAAACTTTTTCTTATTTTCTCTAATCAGGGCTCTGTCATACTCACCCTCAACGCGATGTTTAAAGAAAACAGCAAACTTTGTCATTATAATAAGGAGTTTGATCTTGGATGGCCTTTGGTTTCTTCTATCACGTGTTTATGGGATCGTTGGTTAAATGGTGATCAATGCAAGAGCACTACTGTATAGAATGTTCAGGTCATATATTGTGGCAAGATTACGTCACTTATAGGATGAGAGGAGGATAGGCAGGTTGCAGCGAGAAATTTTGATTTACAGTACTGTGTGTTTCATTTTGTACACGTGATCGTAAGTTTTCTACACGTGATCATCAATTTACTTGATTTGTATAAGGTACATAAAATATCAAAGTAATTATGTCTGAGTGAGAATTTCCACAAATAATCTCATCTATACATATTACTTTAAGCACCAAGTTCAGCTTTAAAGCATTTTAATGGAACTACGGCATGACTAACCTTGGACAAAAATTATCAAAAAATTATCTAGATGATTTTTAGAATATATTTGGTCAGCGATTATGCTTAAACAAATGTCATTTGTCCAAGTTTACGTTCAACTGTACTCGATGTTTTATAATTACACATGTAGAATGACCATTTTACATTTGTATAAAAAAGGTGTAGGTTTGTGAGTGTAAATGTATATGCGTGTATTTGTATGAATATGTATATGTATGTATGTTTATGTATATGTATGTATGTTTATGTATACGTAGGTATGTGTATGTGTGTGTGTGTACACAAATATGTGTAACGCATATTCTATAATTTAGAAAAATTTAGTTGATGACTGGTCATAGTTTATCAATGGTATCCATTGAAATTTGTAAATAATGAAGATATATTATTTTAAGATATATTTATATTCTATACATTAGAAGTATATTGTATGGTTGAACAGATTCATCTATGTAGAGAAGACGATGTTCTTTGACATTGACCTCATGTGGGATTTCAAATATTTTACATATACAATCCAAGAGACTGGGGAATAATATTTATTTAAAGTTCTATGGCAGTTTTTGCACCATCTTTCATAACTGCACGATTTTCATAGTCACGAAGACTATTTGTGAATAAGTATAAAGTGCTTTTCTCTATGGGTAGAGTAAAAGCTACCCATTCAGGTCCTTGTCCAAAGAATGATGCAGGGATTCGTTGTTCGAAGTTTGAATGGCGCATATTTTGAAGAGGTGTGAAATCTTTTGCTTTAAAGCTTTTGTTGTCTTACGGAGGAAGTAATGATGTAAAATTATAGATAAGAAAAAAATTTGTTTCAGAATGTTCAGCATATAAGTACATGAAACTCGAAATTGATGATATCGACAAGAAAGCGTTAAAACTTTGAACAAGGAACTCCTGTATGTTTTTACCATTACTAGCTATGTTTTAAGGGCAAAATTAGTATTTACTTCAACTCTTTTTAAGAGCAAGGCTGAAAATTTCAAATAAAATTATTTACATTGAATCTCGACTTTTTGTATGCTTACACAGTGAATTTTTCGTTTAACAACTGCGGCAGAATTGTCTGGGAGATATATTGAATAAAAGTACCATGATTCGGAATTCTCATGCTATCTTTTGATTCTCATCATTTTTTAGGTTTTACTATTTGAGCGTTTATTGATGGAAGAGCAAAGTAGTCGTTTGATAAAATGCCCGCGATGCTAATGTATTCACAAGACAACGAGCGATGTCATAAATTAGGCGGTAAACTTCGCTCACTCACGTAGTGCTATCTTGCTGTGACGTCGTCAATAGATAATCTACATTGTTAATATTACATGTTTGTAGATGTAGATCGTCCAGGTTAGTATAGTCCTGAGAAGGACAGTTGTTGATATTGACTGACGTTTCGACAACCTTAGCGATAGTCATCTTTAGAGTCAAATGACTAATGTCATTTGTTGTTGACTGTTGAAACGTCAGTCGACAACAAAAACAGTCCTTCTCAGGACTATACTAACCTGGACGATCTACATCTACAAACATATAACGATACTCCCAGGTTCAAACCATTTACTTTATTGTTAATATTAATAGATTAGAAAATGAATTTAATTTTCTTACATATTATACTAATCAAATCTTACACATGGTAAGGCAAAAGTTCCAACCGAAATGGAATAATTACAATAACTTAAACACGCACTGAATACTTACAAAGAACTTCTCAAACTGTGAAAAAGTTGACTTAATTTATAAATGATGCTGAATAATGAGTGTAGGCTGAATCACTATATACTTTTACGTTTGTTCTATCTATAGCTTTTGTCTCTATCAACTTGTTCAAGCGGAAACAGTCCAGTTTATATGACCATATAGAACTAAAAGTTTTTGTGGAAAAGTTTCTTTTGTTTTTTAGGGATTTATTGGAGTAATTTTTGTTATAGACGTGTAAATCAACTTTTTTTTCTTACAATGCTTACAACTCGTCATAGCTACTATGATAACTTCTTCATAGATTTTTCAATATTGTGAACCAGATGGAATTGTTTATTTTGGACCAAAATAATTAAGTTGCTTGGCATTCTCGTATTCAATTGGAAGAACGGAAATAGTTCCCAAGGAAATAGCAAGGCGTTAAATGATAAAATAGTCTTTTTATTGCCTTCGAGACATGACGTTGGAGGACGTCTTTCTGTCTGCACATTGTGTATAAAATCTATCTATAACTTGCATATTAAGTGTCTTTGATGTACTTGTAAAGTGTTACAATTTTAATATTGTTTTAAGGCGACTCTTGATATCGTAGTTTATTCATACAAAAATTGTTAGAATGTTTATGGAAAATTGTTCATGGAGAAACTTTGAGTGTTGTTTTTTTTACGTAAATATGAAAATTTCATGAACAGAAAATGATACGTTATATATATACCGTGGACTTTAATCTATTCAAAATAATTACCGGATAGGTCTTTATACAACATAATACTCAGCAGCAGAAGCTTTTCGTTCGGTTTTAATGGCGGTGGAATAACTTTCAGTGTTGCACTGCCAAATCGATACTAAAGAAAGAAAACTCAAATAAGAATGAAAAAGTAAATGAAATTACACTTCTACAGCATTCAAACATGTTATTAGCACATTTCACTTTCATGTATAGTTCGGTTTATATAACATTTTTACAGCACGTGTTAAGGTTAACTATTGAAAAGAACAATAGTTTACCATATATGGCATTGCGTTTAGACACATGACTCGTAGCACAAAATAAGTATTTATAGCACGTAAACATGGCGACTGGCTAACATATAATAATAGAAGAGCCACTTAGTTCATAAATTTTGTTCCGATTACTTATCGTACGACTAACATGTCGAAGAAGACAGAAGGTGGGAGAACATTCCATGTATCTGTGATAGGTTTATCGGGTTTGGACCACGAGAAAAATTTATATGGCGTCGGTAAATCATGCCTGTGCAATAGATTTGTGCGGCCATTAGCGGACGAATACATACTCGAGCATTCTTCAATATACAGTTCTTCAGATTTTGCCGGCCGCGTTATAAACAACGATCACTATTTATATTGGGGAAGTGTTGTGAAACAGTCTGATGATGGTTCAGATCAAACATTTCAGCTTGTGGAGCAAACAGAGTTTATCGAAGATTCGAGTCTGACAACTCTTACGCGCGGTGGACAAATCTCACCTTATGTAAAGCGTTGTGCTGCTGTTAAGTTACAATCCCAAGAGAAGTTGATGTACATTAGTCGTGATCAGGTTGCATTGCAAAGTGAGTATGAACAAGTACAACTGCCTGGTGGTAAATTTACTGTTGATGGTTTTGTTTGCGTTTACGATGTGTCGTCTCGAGGAAAGGCTGACGACCAAGAAATGTTGTACGCATCTCTTTTATCCGTCTTACAAAAGACGAAAAAACCTGTGGTTGTCGCTGCTACTAAATGTGATGACCTTCTCAAAAACTCCTTGGATAACTGCCATAAACTTTTTACCAGTAAGAAACTCACCAATGTGCCTATTATTGAATGTTCGGCTCAAGAAAACGTGAATGTCGATCTTGTTTTTTCGTTGCTGGCTCAACTGATAGAAAAAGGTCGTATTCGGTCGAGGATAACACCTTACAGTGAATCAAAACAAATTCAGAAAGAAAAGATCACGGATGCTTTGGGTCAATATCAAAAGTTAGTTGAAGAACAAATTAATAATTTTCAATCGATTTGGAAGAATACGAAAAAAAAATTTGAAAGTAGATGTGAGTATTTGACTGTACGTGATTTATGTGGTATTGATACTTGTAAAAAGATATTTAATAAACATATACGGCGTTTGAAGAAAGAAGCAGAAGACATAAAACTTGCAGAATATTTAACTAAGGTACCGGAGGCTTTAAACGATATGTTTCCCACGATAAAAAGTATTAATGGTTTGCAACAGGACTCGTCCAAATGGAGAAAAGCGATCAAAGAGCACTTACTGTTTGATAAATGGTTTATGGAACTTTCAAATGGCAACTCTTGGCAAGATAGTGAAAATTTGACTGTCGAAACCTCTCTTGTTCCATTCGATGTCTTGGGTTGTGATGAGGTCGAGTCTTGTTTTATCAAACATGTTGAAAAACTAAAAGAAGCCGAAGTATTCGCTCGCATGAAAAAAGAATTTCAACGTCTTTTACAGCTTACACCGCAAATTCAACCGGGTACACCTTGGGACGACGCTGTTTTACTGTTAAAAAACGAAGAAAGCTACAAATATCTTAGCGACGATGACAAATTGGGAATATTTTTGAAGTATCAAGAAGAAATTCGAGAGCAAGGACGCATTGACTTACAAGAATTACTTTTCGAATCTGCGAAGTTGTTTGCAAATTTTGGTCCTTCATGCCGACCTACAACAGAAAAACTCCATCAAATTTGCAACGAACTTCAAAAAGATGAACGCTACAGACGTTTGGACAAACTTCCAAACGAAAGAGATACAATGTTGTGGAATCATATTGCTCTGATACACAGTCCGACTCGTTGTCTTGGTCCTGAAGGAAAATGTATGGACAGGTTAATTCAAGATGTCGTTGCCACCACCGATCAAAGGTAAAATTTTTCAACTCTCACGCAAATCCACTACATATTTCTTTGTCAATAAAAGTCTAGCTTTTATATTCATTGATCTCATGAGTTATTCATCGATCTCAAGTTGAATATCTATAAACAGCACTTAAATATTGAACAATATCAGCATTATAGAAATATGAAAGTGTTTTTGTAACAAAAAGAACGCATTCATATTCTACACGGAAGACTACAATCTACATTTTTGTGCTTACAATTTAAACGTAGCCTACAGCGTATGTTTTTGTCCTGTTTTGCTTATAAATTACTGTAAATGGCGGATATTTCATTGCTAAATTTATTTAATAATCTTCGCCTTACGGATTGTTGCAATTATTTATGAGAATATTAATAGCGTGAATGAATATTAAGTGAAGTGTTACAAATTTGCCGTAAAACTTTTCTGGAATTTCACATCAAATATACCACGCTTGTAAATAAATTGTACACCTTGCAAATTAGCGGACTCCATGTATGTATGGGACTTAAGCCATTTAATGAATTTGCAAAGATGGTAATTATGTTAGCGAAATACACTAATACAGACTGTATTCATTGTAAAGCTATAGAGTAATCTTTCAATATTGTCGGCAGTTTTCTCTGGTAAAATTTCTGTTTCATATTATTCAGTCGCGTGTCAAGCACTGTCTGATGTTGTCTTAAATATGGTATTGTTTACAATTGTGCTGAATATGACAATTATTTTGCGATAAAGAACTTTTGATTTCTTTGTTTTGTTGATTGTGATAAATTGCAAAGATTATTTTGCTTGAAAACATTACCATTCATTTTCTATTTTTGTACGTCAAAGACGCAATAGAAATTTAGCAATGATTGTTACATTTAGATTTTTTGATGAATTTTGGCCATTTCAATGTTATCTTTGTCAAATTCCGCAAAGGGCGATGTTTTATCACATCAAAAACCTCCGTTTAGTTACGGGTTTTGTTATAATTTTCATGTAAATCTATTCCCACGAGCCACAGGAAACTATACTTTAATCATGTGAAGGAATTTTTGGATAAATAACGATTAATGTTGACTTTTAACGCTGTGTTTCATATTAGAATTGTTGTTTCTATGAGTCATGAAAATGACTTATCAACTATGTGGTTGAAATTGTTTGTAATTTTCGTCATATTTTTGCTTGGGTTTCGTAATAGGACTCTGCGATTTGCCAAATTAGGTAAATATCCTGCTAGCTTGTTTGTTATCGACGTTAATTAGCTTGTTTGTTTTTTATTGGGCAATTTATTTTTCTACATATTTCAACCATATGTTGCCACATTCTTAAATCACGTACCTTTGTATGTGGTTTTTATCTATAAACGTTATCTTTGATGAACGCTTTCGCATTCTTTGTCTTGATTGGACCTGCAAAACTTCTCTTCCTATTGAGTGTCAGTTACAACGGATTTTATTTTCTCTTGAACAACAACGTAATGGTTTCCGCCAAAAATTCCCAATATCAACAAACTTGTCTGCCTTTTTTTAAATATTATTTATTTGCCTTGCAAGATATGTTCTTTTTTCTGTCGAGGAAATTATGTAAGAAGACTTGGGATTTTATAATGGTTTGATGAAAATTTTCCATTATAACGATTTCATCGTAAATTTATTATCATGTAATTCCTCTTGGGTATTTTAGTACGGCATCCTTTTTTGTTATGGTTAAAATGAAGTATTTGTCTGTGTATTTGAATTACTTCATATAACACTTTCAAAGATACCACTATACCATATACCATGATTCAAGGCTTATTTTATACGTTTCGACATGTTATCGTCAGTAGATTTTTTATAAATGTACACATGACCATCGTGGAAGTTGGAAATTAATATCCAAAAAAACTGCTTCAAAGTTGTTTGGGTTCGCTATTTGGAGAAAATTGTTGCTCTAATGTTGCAGAATTAATTCCTAGACCATAAAACTATAGATACTATGCCTATAAGAGTCATACTCTAACTATAAGAGTCATACTTCTAACTATAAGAGTCATACTCTAACTATAAGAGTCATACTCTAACTATAAGAGTCATACTCTAACTATAAGAGTCATACTCTAACTATAAGAGTCATACTCTAACTATAAGAGTCATACTCTAACTATAAGAGTCATACTCTAACTATAAGAGTCATACTCTAACTATAAGAGTCATACTCTAACTATAAGAGTCATACTCTAACTATAAGAGTCATACTCTAACTATAAGAGTCATACTCTAACTATAAGAGTCATACTCTAACTATAAGAGTCATACTCTAACTATAAGAGTCATACTATAAATATAAGAGTCATACTCTAACTATAAGAGTCATACTCTAACTATAAGAGTCATTGATGAGTAAGTTCACATCTTTAGAAGTGTATCTGTTTTCAAATCCTTCTCTATATAACATATTGATGGCGTCCTCAATATAATTATCTTTTATTCTTTTGTGTGAACAGGCCTTTGTCATCGTTTCTTAGTGGTAGTTGTGATACATTTGATTCTGAAGACAGTCTAGTCACATTGGTTCTTGTGGGTGCCGATGATCTCGCTAAAGAATTTGCTAATGGAGTAGAGGTAACCTGTAATCATGTAAAAAAGCACTTTGAAGGACTTAAATATTATCATCAGTCGGTCACGTGATGTTATTTAGTTTTCAGCAATCTCGCAGCATGTTCTAGTACGGCCGTTACAACCGTACGTATGTTGACTTATTTTTAAAATGTTTCTTTCATGTTTTGATCTGTGTTTTGTAGAAACGTTGCTATGGTGAACATATGGAATATCCTTTCGAGAACAAATTGTATGAATTGGATATGAAAATCGTCGAAGACAATGATGAAAAAGTGGTTGATGTCTTTGGCGAATTGGACGACATCAGCATGACTGGTATGGAATAATATACTGCAAAATAATACTCCATATCTTGGTTTTCTAGTTGTACTAGATCATAGATTTTTCTTGTTAATGCTTTCACTTGCACACGTTATCTTAGTTTGCATTTTAGTTAGTGTAAAGACTGTTCTTCTCTATTGCTACTCGTTCTCTATTGTTCTCATCACTACCAACACTGACACACGTTATGGACATATATTACTAGGTCTGTGTTGTGTGTTCTCCTCGCAAGACTCATTTAATTACGTCGAGTCATACCTCGAGAAGACAATGGGGCAGTCGGATGACATTTTGAGAGAAGACGTTCCCATAGTGTTGGTGTTTGCGCATGACACTCAGAAGGCGCATGCTCAGAAGGAACTGAGATCAAGAGCGCAGGATCTTGTAAAGAGGTACATTTGAAAATTTTTTTTTACTCGTGTGTAATTGCATCTTTCACTTTCGTACCCAAACGTTGTTTTATCATCATTTAGGTACAATTGTGAGTTTATCGACGTCCATATTAGCCATTTCTATCGAGATCAGTTGATCACCGATACTCAAGTAGACTTGGCAATCAAACATATATTGGAGTGTATTCGAAATCAAACAACATCGCGGTGTATTTCTGACGATATCAAGGATCCTGATCCTGACTTGAGGTACTTCATTTAATGCAAAGTTTAAGATCGAGTCATTCGAGTACATCGGTGGCAAACGCCTTTTTGTACACTATTTAAAGTAAAATTTTAAACTTAAGTAACATATTATCTTTTAAAATGTCTTTTTCAACCATTGCCACCATGGGAGTATTCTGGTGTTCAGTTGGGAAAGTTTAGCAACTTATCTGAATGAATTTTGTCATCTCACTTTAACATCGTTGATGATTGCTTCACCCTCCTATTTTGATTTCATTGTATAATTAGGATTTTGTTATGTGCAAATTGTGGCGATCCATATCCTGTGGAGTTGATCTTGGGTCCCCTATTCACAAATCAATCATGCTCAAAATATCCAAATAGAAATGATAGCGTTATTCTGGAGACTTTTGTTGGGACTGAGAAGAAGAAAGTGATGATAACATTTACCTCTTATCATCGTAAGTCTATTGAATCAATTGAAGTATCGTCGAAGGTTCACTGATTTTTGTCATTTTTATTATTGGACTACAGGAGCGTATAGTTTAAACATGCAAAAGTACCATGGTTATATACTCGTGTATTCTGCCGTCAGAGCTGCATCGCTGTCCACCTTAAGGTAAGTTGTGCTTGTCGAAGTTTGCTTTAACTGTCATGTATAAAGCATTGTATGCTTTTGATCATTTATGGTAAAGTAGCAGTAATCATTAATGTTAACATTACTTCAGTTGTTTATCATAAGTACAGTAACCCTGGATGTGTGTTAGCAATATTGGTTCAATATGGCCGCCGGCATGAATTTAATTCTCAAAAGAAAATGAAAGAATAACAGTTACACAAACGTTTTGATGATTTATTTCATGTTAATTGTTATGCTTTTCTCTATCATAAATTACATTGCAAGTGTGCAGTTTTCTCTCAAAATGATTTTCAAATTTCATTACATAAAAATTGAATGTGGGGTTCACTTTAACCTTTACAAAATGCTTGACTTAATAAATGATATCATTGTAAAAACTCTGATGCAAGAAGAGCAATGCCAGTTGCCGATCTGGCGTTCCCCCACTATGCGCAAAAGCAAAATAGCCAGTTCACAACTGTAGGCATAACTCCGTGGACCAAAAGAAAATCGTTTACTTGTAAACCGTGGACATCAAGACAACATGCGGTTATTTAGACTATAGCTTGCGATAGTTAAGTAAATGTATAAATCATGTTATGGTTGATTGAAATTACGAGTCGAAAGGCAGTGTTTTTTTGAAACTTTGACTATCTATGTATCCCTAGCTTTGTGATTAGAATACTTTTCGCTAATGATCCAAACTTTTCATACTCTACAGTGTATACGCTGCTTCAATACCAACAATTCCTATTCAAGTTCTTGCGACGACTGGAAGTTATTCTGGAGCGAGTGTTGTATTTCATAGTAATGTTGCCAAGACCTTACTTGCTGACGGCACAAATCTTGCCAGCAGACTTTATGCAAAGTTTCAAACAACGTCAGCTCATTTTCAGTTTCAAGGTATAGATCGATTTAGTGCTCATTACTACAGTTTATACTGTCATGTAAGTTAAGGACGTTATCTTGTTTTACTTTATGTTTTAGTTTATGTATAAATTTAAAGACTGTTCTCGTTCTCTGTTGTTTATATATCACTACCTAAACGACACGCGTTATCTTAGTTCATATTTTAGATAGTGTAAAGACTGTTCTCGTTTTCTGTTGTTCATTCATCACTACCTACACTGACACACGTTATCTTAGTTCATATTTTAGATAATGTACTCGTTCTCTGTTGTTTATATACTTACTGTTCTCGTTCTATTTATATTGTTTATTCTCGTTCTCATTCACTACTACACTGACACACGTTATCTTAGTTTATATTTTAGATAATGTAAAGACTGTTCTCGTTCTCTCTTGTTTATATATCACTACTTTTATTATCTTAGTTTATATTTTAGATAGTGTAAACACTGTTCTCGTTCTCTGTTGTTCATTCATCACTACCTACACTGACACACGTTATCTTAGTTTATATTTTAGATAGTGTAAAGACTGTTCTCGTTTTCTGTTGTACATTAACACACGTTAACCTACTTATAATTTCACATAGTGTCATTTTTGTTTTTTTCATTTAATGGTTTTGTTTTGATTTCAAGCTGGTGCATTTACTCCGTTCTTTAATCGTGTTTGGGAGAAAAGAGAGGAATCAGAAGAAACATATCTCGATCATATCGCTGTTTTCTCTGATTCTCTTCAACGCAAGAAACATGATCCACTACCTGATGTTCCTCCATCACCTTACAATGCTAAACTACATCGCAATCGAAGCTACAGCGAGCATCTTAATCCTTCTGCGACCCTAATATTCCGTGACATCCATACCTCATCCAAAAACGTAGCAAGAACACAAGCTTCTCCTTATGAACAAATATCGTTGCTTCATGATGGTGAAGAGTCCCTACGCTGTTGTGAAAAGAAGATCATTCACCGAAGGTGAGCTAAAGAGAGCACGAAATAGAAATGTTTTGTTTAGGGTTTATACATAACTTTAAAATCTTTTAATGTCCTTGAATTTAAGTTAAAAATTCAAGGCCTTAAAAGTGCTTGAAATATATTAACGTGTTCTTGAAAGTGCTTGAATTCAAATTTTTTATCGAATTTTTGTAAACATGTCATCTCGTTACTTTATTTTTATCATCTTTTTGAAAGCTAAATGGATTATTCATTACAACAGACTCTAAGACGCGTTTGGAAAATGTTTTTGTTTAGTTGATGGGCCATTGAATGGAGATTTCTTCTAACTATTTTTGTTAGAAATCACATTCCACAAAAGCTTTCATAGAATTTATATATTTCATTATGAAGTGTTTCAAACATATATTGTCATTTGAAAAATATACAGTCGTTTGAAAAATATACAGTCGTTTGAAAAATATACAGTCGTTTGAAAAATATACAGTCATTTGAAAAATATACAGTCATTTGAAAAATATACAGTCATTTGAAAAACATACAGTCATTTGAAAAAATATAGTTTTTCATACTGACACCGTTTTTCAGGAAAATGGATTCAGCTTGTGGCACAAAAATATTGATGATTTGAATGCTTTAGTTGACATTTTTATCAAGCTGTCTCTTCAAACAAGTCTAGGACAATGTAAATTTTTTCTTAAATGTGTTTAACGTGCAGTTTTTAATACATTACATCTTTTAGGTTTTAACGTACATCATCCACCATTCACCAGCACACCGAATGCCAGTTCAACAGAAGAGGTGCAACCATATGCTTCAACAACACCACTCAGAGCTGAAATAAATGCCAGGTCAACAGAAGAGGTGCAACCATATGCTTCAACAACTTCACTCAGAGCTGAAATAAATGCCAGGTCAACAGAAGACGTGCAACCATATGCTTCAACAACTTCACTCAGAGCTGAAATAAATGCCAGCTCAACAGAAGACGTGCAACCATACGCTTCAACAACGCCACTCAGAGCTAAAATAAATGCACCACAACCTCATCAAAGTGTTGAGAATGTTGAACACCTTTACTCGAAGGTTGATCGTTCAGCCATTTTGAAAGCAGTTAAAGATGAGACGCGTGGTGCATCTCCAGAACGTCCATTGAATCCTCCTTACGAGGACATACGAAAGTATCAAAGAAATGAAAATTGTGATACACCACCTCCTGTTCCACTTCGTACTATTCATGATATGGATGATCTGAACGAAATGGAAAATCGAGATGATAACGAACCATACTCTAGCATACAAACTACAATGAGTAATAATCTTGATGAAGGATATTCGACTGTTGATGACACTAAGCAACGTGCTAATAAAGTATGTATTCACAGCATATAGATACATGTTACTCACATGTTTGGTGTATCTTGAGAGCTACTTCTTTAAATGGCTATTGTCGTCAATGTGTTTTTGATATGTTCAGATGTATCTACGATATTTAAATTAAGGTCCTGTTTTTCAAGTTAATGGCTTCAGATATGTGAACTTTGTCTGTTGTGAACGAATGTTTCCTATGAATTGGAGAATATTTTGGGAACTCGTGTACGATTCTAACACAATGCTAACTGGATGTTACTCCTTAGCCTTGCTGTGACGCAATGTTTAAATATGACAGCAAAGATTTTGTCAGAATGTGGATGACTTTTGAAAACCACGACAACGAGGATCCTGCCTCATTAGTTGACTTCTATTTTCTTTTTAGCTACCGAACGGCGATCCATATGAAATGGATACCAAGCGTAAAATTAGATTTTTTACTGAACGGATTACACCACCTGTACCTGAAGACAGCAGGCGATTTCCAAGCGATAGTTTACGAAGATTGCATGATAAAAAATCGGTTCCAAGCCTCATTAGACAGTTCTCAAACAGTGCTCCTCTAGCCCAGATGGAGGTATAATATTTTATAAAGTCTCTTTTAGGTCGTGTTTGTTGTGGCTTTTCTTTCAATAATGAGCTTTATTTTTCACAGGAGTCTGAGGTTCCTGATTACGCTACTATTGAGGAAATAAATAGAAAGATGAATCGACATTCAGCGATTCCCGAAATCACAACCAATCATTCTGACAATGTAGTCATGCGCAATATAAATAAAGAGAGCCAACGATCGGCAAGGTTTGTACGCTGCGTTTGGTTTGATATGTATTCTGCCTATGAGTGTTTATATATAGGTATGTATGTGTATATATTGGTATATATGGGTTAATAAATAACTCTATACCAATGACCTATAATATTTTTGTAGCTACAGCACTTCTGATGTTTTAACTTCTGTTCGAGAATTTGTGATGTTTATTTAGACTTTCATTTTTTAGATCTGCCGACGAAAACACAATAGCTGAGCTGATGGGAAATGCTGGAAACATTGCTGCCCAAAGACGACTTGAATGTCGTCGAATGAGTCCTGGCAAACGTTTACCTTTGCCAGAGATACCCAGTGGTGCGTCTTTATAATGATTTATATCAATAAACGACAACTATCTACACACCATCAGTCTTTACGCTATCTAAAATATGAACTAGGATAACGTGTGTCAGTGTAGGTAGTGATGAATGAACAACAGAGAACAAGAACAGTCTTTACATTACCTAAAATATAAACTAAGATAACGTGTGTCTGTGTAGGTAGTGATAAATGAATAACAGAGAATGAGAACAGTCTTTACATTACCTAAAATATAAACTAAGGTAACGTGTATCAATGTAGGTAGTGATAAATGAACAACAGAGAACGAGAACAGTCTTTACATTACCTAAAATATAAACTAAGATAACTTCTGTCAGTTTAGGTAGTGATGAATGAACAACAGAGAACAAGAACAGTCTTTAAACTACCTAAATATAAACTAAGATAACTTCTGTCAGTGTAGGTAGTGATGAATGAACAAGAGAGAACGAGAACAGTCTTTACACTACCTAAATATAAACTAAGATAACTTCTGTCAGTGTAGGTAGTGATGAATGAACAACAGAGAACAAGAACAGTCTTTACACTACCTAAATATAAACTAAGATAACTTCTGTCAGTGTAGGTAGTGATAAATGAACAACAGAGAACGAGAACAGTCTTTACATTACGTAAAATATAAACTAAGGTAACGTGTATCAATGTAGGTAGTGATAAATGAACAACAGAGAACGATTAGTGCCTTTACATTACATAAATTATGATACCATTTCATTCAGATATAACTTCTCCGGTATCAGAACAATCATCGCCTTTAGCAGATATTCCCCACCCCCCTGGAAGTTATTCGGTTTGTTCTGATGATGGACAGACAGCTGACGACGAAGCAACAATTGATCGATCGAAGAAACTTCGTATTCCAAGCATACGACGGTCACGTAAGAACTCTCCGATGACAGTACGACGTGTACAGGATGTTGGAAAACGTTCACGTAATCGAAAACGGAAAGGTAAGATCGTGTGTGTTGTTGAATTGTTTATTTTTTGTTCTATTGATTGAGTACATTGGTATCATTCTTTTTTAACCATGTAAGAATTTGAATTAACAAAATTTCTCACCCTGCTCGCTATACCGTATAATTGTAAGATCAGATAAATTTATCTCTTATGTACCATCTTTATTCTAACATTAGAATAAGGACATCCAGTATGCTTATTTCTTATGTACCATCTTTATTCTAACATTAGAATAAGGACATCCAGTATACTTATTTCTTATGTACCATCTTTATTCTAACATTAGAATAAGGACATCCAGTATACTTATTTCTTATGTACCATCTTTATTCTAACATTAGAATAAGGACATCCAGTAGACTTATTTCTTATGTACCATCTTTATTCTAACATTAGAATAAGGACATCCAGTAGACTTATTTCTTATGTACCATCTTGTTGCCATATGATATAAACATTAATTATATCTTTCTTTGAATGTTAGAAGCAGATAGTAAAATAAGCGAGCCGACTATCAGTCGAAGTAAAAGTGTGCCACGAAATTTCAATCCTTTAACGAAGCGCTACGAAACTGGTGTATGGATCGCTGCTACAAACCAGGCCAAATATAACAGTATTTCTATGGGATATAGGGTTCGTAGCTATCTCTTTATGACCTCGTTTATTTTGGGAATTTATGTGTTTCTTGAATTTCTCTTTCGGTTTGTAAAGATCCATATTAGTCTTGCAATGTTGAAATCAATTTTTCTATGAAACAGAAATGTGATATTGGGTTTATTTTTTGGAACTTAACAAACTATTTGATTGGTTTTGTCAGATGTTAACGTATGCCTACCTACATGAAACTTTATTTCTATTCGTTGATTATTTTTGCCTGTCGTAACCATCTATTATATCTTGTTGCATATGTAATAAGTATTGCCTTGCTTAACGGTCAAAATTATTTTTGGTCGCATGTTTTACGTATTGAAATATTACTTTTTTACAGGGTATGTCCCCGCGTCTTGATGATGCTGAATCTGTTACAGAAGAGGTTAGAACGATCGTAGAGTATTAGAAACGTAAAACTTTTATGAATGATGTAATAATTTATCTTGATATTTTTCTTGATTAGGATACAGAAGACGACACATTAACTAGAAAGGTGAAATATTCTTTCAATTTTTTTTCGCCAACCTCAAGATAAATCTTGACCTTGCTTTTCATTGACGAAATATTGTTTTGTTTGTAGCGTAAAAAAGACGAGAAAGAAGCAGAAAGAAATCGAAAACGCGAGGAGAAAAAACAAAAGAAACGTGAAAAATTACAAAAGAAAAAGCAGGAACGAATACGAAAGAAAGAAGAAGAATTTCGTCGAAAAAAATCGAAAGGAAATACAAGTCGCTATTTTGGCCATCCACTATCTGAAATTTGTCCTGAAAACTCCTTTGTACCACTTTTTGTCACGAAATGCATCAAATTCGTTGAAGATAACGGTAAGCTTAAGCTGTTCTCAACGCTTTTCTTATATTATTAAAGTTCGAACTAAGCTTAGAAAGCATCCTGTTTATGTATAGACTGTTGGGGAGTAATAAGCATGTGTGAAAATACACAGTGCACCGGTGGGAGTGGAATTTTTTTGTAAATTACTAATTTTCTTCACATAGGTATGCAAACCAAGGGAATTTACAGAGTTAGCGGTAACAAGGCTGATGTTGAAGCTGTTCATCAAAGATTCGAAGAAGATCAAAGTAAAGATTTTACTGAGTTAGGATTTAGTGTACACGCTGTCACTGGGGCTCTTAAGTCTTTTTTTACCAAACTTCCTGGCGCTTTAATTCCCAGCGATAGCTACGATGGTATCATCCAGGCGACAAGTAAGTATTTAGTCAATATTTTTCACTTTTGGTGATTTTTGATGATTTCTGAAATCGATGTCAATCTATCCTTCATATCAAATTACCATGAAAAGAGTTACATCGTTTGTTATGAAAACTTTAGAAAATTTGAATTGTTGAAAAGAAGTTCTTTCAGGAACCCTACCATTATCATTATACCTAGATCTTCGCATCACTACTACTGCTGTTTCATTTTAGCAATGATGGATGCAAATGAGAGATTTTCGGAGTTGCGAAAGATCATGAAAGAGTTGCCACCACAAAATTATTCCGTGTTCAAACGTTTAATGTTTCATCTTAACAAGTAAATATTAATATAAAAATTCTTAATGCTACTGCTGGGGGTACTTTTTTATCTATTATGGACTCCATCAAAAATCCATCTGGATCCTCTAATTTCTATTTTGTGTGTTGTCATTTATTAATTCAAAACTTTCTTTATTGTTTAAGAATAACCGAGTTGAAAGACATTAATATGATGGAGTCACGAAACCTTGCTATCGTTTTCTGGCCAACGCTTGCCCCACCTGTCGTTGCATCTATTGACAATTTTTCACGAACTATGAACATGTGTCTTTTTGTGCAAACATATATTGAGCATTGCACGGAACTGTTTAAAGATGAATGAATTTTAGTAGAAACTATTTTATTAAATGTGTAACAAAAATTTGTACATGTCCTAGAAATAATCTTTTCAAAACAGTGCTGTAAATCTGTATCATGTACTTAGTATTATTTCAATTTTTTCCTGATGTTGCTAAGGACTGTAGTTATATTTCTAATGTATTTTTATTGTATATATAATTTTATGTGGAAAAATTATGCTTTTTAACGTATTTTTGGAATAGCTGGAATCAAGAATTTTTTTGTTTAACTGTGGAAATAAATGTGTGATCTTTTGATTTGTGTGTTTTGTGGTGTATTGTATTTCTAGTGTGTCGCCATTTGTTGGTCATAACGTCATAACCATTGAGTTCTAATACCATTGAGTCATAACGTCATAACCATGTTGGTCATAACGTCATAACCATTGAGTTCTAATACCATTGAGTCATAACCATTCATAACGTCATAACCATTGAGTTCTAATAATTGAGTTATTATAGAACTCAATGGTGATAACGCATTTAACATAAATTGCGTTCAGTAATGTCCTGATCGCAGGTAAAAATTGTCTTCGCCATCTTCGTTCACTAATACTATTCTTTGCTGACTTCCAGCAGTTGCTCGAGCGCTGTATTTTGTATTTTTCTGTTATTACATTCAAAGTTATCTTTAATTGGCAAAGCTTTGGATTCGGAGCCAAGACATCTTAAATGGTATGTCATACTGCAAACTTGTTCAATGTAATTATCAGCTGAATAATTCTAGCAAAGCATGTATCCATTTAAACGCAGCATATATCATGTGCTTTTTTATAATTTGTTATTAAGTAAACAACAGCAAAAATATAACAGATGGTGATATTCCACAATTTTTATGGGCTTAGCACAAAAACTCATTTTATATATTCGTCATAAATATTTCTTTGAAAACCCTTGATAAGTCATGGAAATACATTCTCTTCATATGTATCTTATAAACTTATTTGTTCTTATGATGGATATCATCCATTATAAAAGAGTACATTGAGTTCTCACATGAATATAACTGTCAACTAGTGCAGTTTTAATGTACTCATGTTTGCTAAGTATAACTTATAAATGTTTGAGTTGACACAACAGCCACATTCTTAAACAACATTACTGGTTAAAACGTAATTTTATGTTTATATGAAGTGACAGCAAGTGTATTTATAACGCATACTTGGACTAGTTCGCTGAAGTGCAAATTTTTGTAAGAAAGAACTTCCTTTACAACCAATTTCTGGTGTAAGACTTTTCCACTTTGTCTCGTCAAACCATTGTGTAAAATGTACAATACACCTTGGACTTGTAATCTTTCCTGGTGACCCTGGTAGTCCTTTATCCTTTGGATCCCTTTACTCCAGGATTTCCATCCATACCCCTGTCACCTGGTAGACCTGTTGGTCCAATAGGACCAGCTTGTCCTGTAATACCAGGCTCACCTTGTGGGCCTGGTGCACCAGGTAGGCAGGAAGTCCTTATGAGTTTCAAAGGTGTCACTGTTGTGTTTTGTCTGTTACATGTTCCTGATATTCCCGGTGGTCCTGGAGGTCCAGGCTGACCATCACGTCCCTTTTAATAAAAAGACAGCATTTGGGACTGCAGAACTATTCAGAAATCAGAATTATCGATTATTGTGTTTAAATGTGCACTCACTGCTAGCCCTGGTGGTCCTGGTGGTCCAGTAAGTCCATTACTCCCTTTTATTCCTCGTAGTCCAATTGGTCCAGTCTTTTGAAAAGGAATAATGATGTTGAGGCATTAATCTGCTGAAACTTTCAACTAGTCTAGTCAACTGTGATGTATTGAAACTTTAAATTCTTCAAATTTTAGGTACAAAGTTTAATGTCTTTATTACAAGTGATAATAATGTTAAAACTTGAGTTCTTGCATTTCCCACTCCAGTGTCATGATCAATAGTGATGTAAAGTTGAAATGCAAATCTTCATAAACTTGTTTTGAGACATAGCTTACCATTCCTGAAAGTCCACGTATACCTGGTCTACCATCGCGTCCGTCTGTACCCTTAAATGGTAACAAGTCAATTATTTTATCATTCATATTGAGCACTTGAGCTCCACATGCAAACTCACTGCCTGTCCAGGTGGTCCTGCAGGTCCCTGTCTTCCTCTTGCTCCTCTAGAACCCCTGCGACCCCGGCATGAACATTGCTGTGGCGTAGAAAGTTATAATACATACGTCGCTATCAAACTAAAGGATTTTTCACTAGTTTATTTTTCAACCATTATGATGTAAAGTAACATTAGGGATAGTAAAGAATATTTGTTTTTATATATGCATAGTGAAATGTGTTGAAGCAACAACGTCAGTTAGTTGATAAAACGTGAGATAGAAATTTTTCTTTTTGGTATGTCTTATTGATATTTGCGCTGTATTTTGTTCTTTAGCTGTTTAGCTTTCTTATCTAGATAGGATTGAAAGTGGTGTTGCTATATGATGACATTTTTGCTTATCTCAATATGAGTGACGTAATTAGATTTGGTGGCTATAGATAAGTATCGAAAAAACGATTAAAATACTTGATAAGTTGAAACTTCCTGCGAAATGACTGTTGGAGTGTCTCCATATTTTAAAATGGGAAATGTTGAAGTTAGCTATAACGTCATGTTAATGTATTATCATGTGTTATCTCTCATGATGAAATATGCTTGTTTGCCATGAATTAATCGTGGATTTGTCATCTTCACTTTGATTATAAGTATTAGGTGATCGAGTAATTAATTGATTTTTTGTGCAGCAACCATCCGGTCTTGTTGTATCGTATAAATACAATATTAAGTTTGAAAATTGGTAATCCAGGCATTTAATACATAAAAGATAAAAGTTTCTCCGGATTTTAAATGATTTTTATTGAGCTTTCGACTCCAAGCTAACGTCTCCAAGCTAAAAGCACGTGTAAATAAATAATATCCTCATTCTGAAGAAGGCTCGAAGCAACGAGTCGAAAGCTCAATAAAATCATTTAAAATCCGGAGAAACTTTTATCTTTTATGTAAATACAATATTGTATATCGCTACAGAATGATATAATCAATGAGTATCCTACTGGCGCTATTGTGTGCACATCAAAACTTTTCTGAGCTAGGTGGCCTAAGACGATCACTTGAGTATAGATACATTTCTTTTTTAATTACTTTTGCATTGATCAGAGATGTTCCCTTTGGCTATGCTGTGTTGTTGAGACCAACGGGATTGTTCATCTCGCATTTTTGTTCTTTTGCCCAATAGGGTAAGTGAGCATTTACCTGTAGCGTGCGTGCATGTTTATATCATGTCATCTGTAGTTGTCGTGCTGTTTTGCTAACAAGGTCAATATCGAATTTTGTTTGTAGATATTTCAAATTACAAATTAGTATAGCTAGACATTAGTTATATGCCATTAAAAGGTATTTTTTCAAAAGATATTAGTTTTATATTTTTATATCGCATGAAGCGTGTATCGACCTTATCTGCATGTGTATCTTTTTATGTCATTACTCTGAAAGAAACAACATGATGTTAACAGCGATCATCTGTTGATAACGATCCTCCCTCTGAATAAAAATATTACATGGCGGCATTTTATGTTTGTTCGCCGAACGTTTCATGCATTTGTGGGAGGCAAAGATTTCATAGCCAAAATCCTCAGGCTGATTATACATATTTTAAAGTAAGTTGTTCCGGCTGAGAAAACCATTGTATCTATTCATTGTAGAAATGTTTTAAATTTTTACCCGGCAGGCTCAATCATTTGTTTCACGCATTCACGATGACATTGTAGAAGCAAAATAAATATTCACCTTTTTTCTCGTTTGTTTTGGGCATTCAATTGCCCATTTATTTTTCGTTTTTTCTTTTATTAAAACACAATCCTGTGGAAGAAAAAATATCAAATGAACAACGAGAACTGTCGTAAATTTGCTATAAGAAAACGTGCGTCATTGCAGGTGATGATGAATGAAGATCCCTAAACACTACCTAAAAGATAGACTGAGATAACGTGTGTTGTTGTGTCAGTGTATGAAGTCTTTACACTGTCTAAAATATAAACCAAGATAGCGTGTGTCATTATAGTTGAAAAGTATTTGTTCTACCCTGATGGTTGCACGCTTCTCTGGTATATGTGTAAAGTTTGAATGTATGTTTCATTATTGAACTTGTAGATTTTTAGCGCTATCAGACGAGGAGGTCTGTTAGTTGTTTTTTTGTCCACAAAGATAGGTATCCCGAAGCTCCATTGTTAAAATAATTTATTGTAGTTATTCTTTTTGTTTTAAACCATCTTGTTAATTAATCTCCTTATATCATGCGCAGTTTTATATGTTCAGGAATTAATTGATACGTATAAGTTGATAATGGACATGCGTATATATAATGTAAATATGTGTTGCTGTGATGTTTGGTTATACGCAGTTTATGTTTTTTTATCACAATAAATCAGATGAGATGCTTATTTGCTATGATATTTAAATCAAATCATGTCCTATAGATTCTGGCAAATAACACTTTATGCCACAATTTGGTTATGTGGTATTTTTCAATGCTGTTTTATTTGTACAAGAATTTAGCTGGTGACTGAGGGATTTTCGTTTCAATAATCTTTTCGTTGGTTACTGTGAATGTGTAGGTGTGATGTGATGTATTGTGTGATGTAAGTGTGATGTAAGTGTGATGTATTGTTAGGGTGAGATGTTGAGAGAAGAAAAGCTTAAGAGGGATGGAGCTGCCTTGGGTGTTAAGTGAAGGTTTTAGTTTGGAGATGAGGAGGCTTTCGTGGATCATGAGGTCGAATGTGTCGGAGCAGGATGAGATGATTTTAAAATCGTCTGGCGAAGCAGGGTGGTTAGAGGAGTTACTATGAGAAAGAATACTTGACATTAATGGGTTCGTATAGCGTTTTCCAGTCAAAGGAGAGATCCCCAAGTGTTCCGAGGTTCTGGTGTGTAAGTGTCGTGTGGTTTGACCCACATACGACGCGGAACAGCATCGACACGTGTATAAATAAACAACACCAGATCTCAGAGACTTGGGAATTTTGTCCTTAACGGGAAAAAATGAAGAGAGTCGTGTGGGGGTACGGAAGACGAATCTGACATTGAGATGAGGGAAAGCAGCGTTGTAGAGACGATTGATTTGTGTGCGGATTTGTAACGAGTGACAGCCGGTGAATGGGAGACAGAAATACACTATTTTCTTTGGGACACTAAGGACAGGTGGTTTCTGTTCGAATTTTGTGTCAAGGAAACGACGGACAATGTGATCGAACATATTAGTTCGATAGCAATTGAGTTTGAATAGTTTTCTGGTGGTTTCAATTTGGGCATGAAAAGTCTCATAACTAGAGCAGAGTTTGAAAAAGCGGTGTAACAGGCCAAAGATTAAGTTGCGTTTGTAAGAAAGTGGGATAAAGCTGTGAAAGTTTGTGAAAAGACCGGTGAATGTGGGTTTACGATATACAGAGGTGGTGAATTTGTCGTTTGAGCGGTAAATGTCAATGTCTAAAAACGGTAGTCGTCCATTATTTTCCGTCTCAGAGGTAAAAGTGATGTTGGTGTGTTGATGGTTAATGTAGTCTAAAAAGAGAGGAACGTGATCAAGTGATTTAAAAAGGAGGAAGCAATCATCGACATAACGTCTGTAGAGAACAGGTTTGAATTTCTGGGGACAGTTTTTCAGCCAGTTTTGTTCATGGAAAGACATGAATATGTTGGCAAAAGGGGGCCAAGGGGACTACCCATAGCAACACCATCAATTTGGTGGTATAAACGGTCGTTAAACATAAATTGGCAATTTTTAACAGATAGCGTTAGTAGATTACTGAATTCTGTGCGGGTGAGTCCATGAAATTGTTTATGGTTAGTAAAAACAAGATCACAGATGATATTGATTGTTTCATGTAGGGGAATGTTGGAGAAAAGAGAAGTTACGTCAAAACTAACCATAACAACTTTGTTAGAGTTGATGTTGGTGTTAAGTATTTCTTGTACAAAGGAGAATGAGCCCTTTATCATGAAAGTGTTTGTGGAGATGGGTGTGAGCAGCAGAATGAAAAATTTAGCTAGTTTATATGAGTAGTGATTTATAGAAGACAGAATGGGTCGTAAGGGAATGGTTGGGTTGTGAATTTTTGGGAGTCCATATAGTATACCTATACGTGAGCCAGTCGGATAGAGTGATGCGTATGGAAGACAGCCGTCTTCCCAAGCAGCTCTTCTGTTCTGAACTGGCCAGCGGCACAAGAAAGCAGGGAGGCCAGATCAAGCGCGTCGTATGTGGGTCAAACCACACGACACTTACACACCAGAATCTCGGAACACTTGGGGATCTCTCCTTTGACTGGAAAACGCTATACGAACCCATTAATGTCAAGTATTCTTTCTCATAGTAACTCCTCCAACCACCCTGCTTCGCCAGACGATTTTAAAATCATCTCATCCTGCTCCGACACATTCGACCTCATGATCCACGAAAGCCTCCTCATCTTCAAACTAAAACCTTCACTTAACACCCAAGGCAGCTCCATCCCTCTTAGGCTTTTCTACTCTCAACACCTCACCCTAACAATACATCACACTTACATAACACTTACATCACATAATACATCACACTTACACATTCACAGTAACCTGATGCCTCAAACTATGTAAATAGTTCTATATATATCTATATTCTTGTTAACTTCCTAATTAGTCTGAAGATGTCTTGAGTAAAGACGAAACGTCACTCTTTTAATAAATTTCATAAAACCAAATTGTTTATGACTATGTTTAAAATTATTTGTTAGGCTCTAATATTTATATTGAGAATCCGTTTCCCGCCTGGCACCTCATCGGCAACAATATTTGTCTCTTCTAATATTTTAGTTGCGCTTGTGTGAAAAAGATATCAGTATTTCAAAAGGAGAACATGTTCTTTGTAATGAACTATATCGTGTGTCACTTGTTGTTTATTATTATTTTTTGCGGACTTCAGTCGAGTACAATACTCCTCCCGTAATATCTAATCTTGGCCACAATCGAACTAAACATTAATTTCATAATCAGATGAACACGTGCGAGATATTTCAAATACACTTACTTCTGCTTTACGCTTTTTGGCAGTCTTCTTAGTTTTTGACGAAGTACTTAATGTCAGATCAGGAAGCAATATTACTTCAATCAACGCGATTAAGAAGAGAGCTTGATGACACGAACACTTCGCCTTCATTGTATGTTTTAGTTCAATAAATCCAATAAGTTGTGCGCGCTTTTTATTCCAAATAGCTCGTAATGAGTGAGCACGCAGTACTGCTTTGAATGCGATTGTGCTCCTTATGTTGTATTGAATAACTGCTCTGCGTCGTTCTTGCATATGCTGCGCACAATTCATGGCTTCATGCCGTTCAAATAACTTAATTATCACCCCTAGGGTGCGGTAATCAAATGCACTTGTTTCAGTCTTGCATCCATCACGTTACATAGAAAGAATTTTTTCAATTAAGACAAACTTTAGTGAACTGCAAAACGCCATAAAACAGAAATTTTAATTTTGACCTCTTCTTCAGAGTGCCATTTACAGAACAGATATATCATCCTGCTGGAATGTTTCCCCATTATTAATTGCAAATTTAATATTTATTTGTTACATAAATTTATAATTATTTCTTAATATAGTCGAAAGTGTAGAGTCAAGCTTGCATGATCTCAACGGTGTGCACATGAAGTTTTAACGCCATTAAGATTGAATGTCAAGCAAATGGAATGTGATTTGATTTGTATATGAATAATTCCTGCAGTAAGAATTGTTAGAAAAATTTTTTTGAGGAATATGTCGCTATTAACGTGTGTAAAATATTTTTGAGTAAAACTGCTGTCGTTTACGTGCCACTGTTTCAATATAACACTAGAGTTACATGTTTTTCAATTTTTTATCTGTAGGTTGGAGATTTCGCAATTGTTCTTGCATGTGAAGATACCGATAGTTATCTCCAGAAGTATCCAGTTTATGTTTGTAATCGGGAGACATGCACACTCAGAATTGAGTACAAACCTAACCTTACTGTTGCAGCTTTAGAATTTCTCTTCTTGGCAAAAATTAAGGCGAGTATAAGAAAGTATGGTATTAACTTATTGTAGTCATAAAAAGTTCAACAGTATTTTCTTCATCACAGTCTCACCATAATGTTTGCTTTAATAATACTTCTGCTCTCGCTATAATGATTGGTATAATAATACTTCTGTTCTCACCATAATGATTGGTATAATAATACTTCTGTTCTCACTATAATGATTGGTATAATAATACTTCTGTTCTCACCATAATGATTGGTATAATAATACTTCTGTTCTCACCATAATGATTGGTATAATAATACTTCTGTTCTCGCCATAATGATTGGTATAATAATACTTCTGTTCTCACCATAATGATTGGTATAATAATACTTCTGGTCTCACCATAATGTTTGGTATAATAATACTTCTGTTCTCGCCATAATGTTTGATATAATAATACTTCTGGTCTCACCATAATGATTGATATAATAATGATTGTATAATAATACTCTCTCACCATAATGTTTGATATAATAATACTTCTGGTCTCACCATAATGATTGATATAATAATACTTCTGACCATAATGTTCATAATAATGTTTGATATAATATAATACCATAATCTTCTCATAATAATTCTGTTCTCACCATAATGATTATATAATACTTCTGTTCTCCATAATGATTGATATAATAATACTTCTGTTCTCACCATAATGTTTGATATAATAATACTTCTGGTCTCACCATAATGATTGGTATAATAATACTTCTGTTCTCACCATAATTGATATAATAATACTTCTGTCTCATAATGATTGGTATAATAATACTTCTTCTCATAATGATTGGTATAATAATACTTCTGTTCTGATTGGTATAATAATACTTCTGTTCTCACCATAATGATTGGTATAATAATACTTCTGTTCTCGCCATAATGATTGGTATAATAATACTTCTGTTCTCGCCATAATGATTGGTATAATAATACTTCTGTTCTCGCCATAATGATTGGTATAATAATACTTCTGTTCTCACCATAATGATTGGTATAATAATACTTCTGTTCTCACCATAATGATTGGTATAATAATACTTCTGTTCTCACCATAATGATTGGTATAATAATACTTCTGTTCTCACCATAATGATTGGTATAATAATACTTCTGTTCTCACCATAATGATTGGTATAATAATACTTCTGTTCTCACCATAATGATTGGTATAATAATACTTCTGTTCTCACCATAATGATTGGTATAATAATACTTCTGTTCTCACCATAATGATTGGTATAATAATACTTCTGTTCTCACTATAATGATTGGTATAATAATATTTCTGTTCTCACCATAATGATTGGTATAATAATACTTCTGTTCTCACCATAATGATTGGTATAATAATTCTTCTGTTCTCACCATAATGATTGGTATAATAATACTTCTGGTCTCACCATAATGTTTGCTTTAATAATACTTCTGTTCTCACCATAATGTTTGCTTTAAAAATACTTCTGTTCTCTTTTCTTCTCTCCATATTGGCATCACTGTCTTGTTTCAGAACATCCAGAATTCTGAATCTTTTTCTACCTTCCTCCCTGGTCGATTTTTAGTTTTTTTTCCAGTTACTTTTGCTTTAGCAAATGTCGTAGACATGCAGTAAATGTTTTTATCGTTTCTTTCTTAGATTATATCTTCTCTCTTATCATTATGCCCTCATTGCTTTTTTCTCTGTCCATTTTATTTCCCAACGTATATCTAAAAATGTATATCATGTTTTTGACACAAGGTGATAAAATGATTTTTCCACTCACGCTTGTGTAATTTTTCTCATTCTGTGTGTAGAAATATGTGGTTGAAAAATAGATCAAATTTGGTCTTCTGCAGTAAACCTCAGCTCTACTGTTGGAAGTTTAGTCAACTGCGTGTTTTTGGATATTGGATGTTCGAGATTTTGTTTTTTTTACGTTTTCATTATTTATAAGGTAAGAATGTTACATGTATATTTAGATATTGCATTGTTTTGATTTGTTTTGATTTCTTGTTCATTGAATGAATGCTTAACTTTTTTAAAGTCTGCTGAAACGATCAATATAAATAATTGTGAATCTGAGATTTTTCAGCATACTTAAACCATGATCAAAATGAACCTAGATTTAGTGAAAATTTCGTTAACCTTTGGCATGCTTCAAATACTTGTAATTAAATCTTGCGAAGGAAAAATTAGGCAGTATGATGACTACATGTTTGTAAATGTAGATCGTCCAGGTTGGTATAGTCCTGAGAAGGACTGTTTTTGTTGTTGTTGACTGACGTTTCGACAACCTTAGCGGTAGTCATTTGACTCTGAAGATGACTACCGCTAAGGTTGTCGAAACGTCAGTTAACAGCAACAAAAACAGTCCTTCTCAGGACTATACTAACCTGGACGATCTACATATACAAACATGGAACGATACTCCCGGGTTCAAACCATTTACTTTATGATGACTACAGTAAGGTTTAATACAAACTATAGACAGCTGCGGAAATGAACACTTCAATGTTGTACACTTAGGGGCTGATTACATGGAGCAATTTCAGCCCGGGCTGAGTTTCAGCCTGGGCTGAAAAATCTGTCATGTAATCGTTTCAGCTCGGGCTGAAATCACAGCTGAAAATATCCACGCATTCTTAATTGCGTACCTATTGCTTATGATGACGACAACAAAATAACAACAAACCTTAGCGACAAAGCTACTTCGCTAAAAATAGCTTTGAAAGGATGAGTCAATTCATTGTCCATGTCCGCCATTTCCAAGCTAATTTGATTGAAGAAATAAACACATTTACAGTATAGCCATTCACGAATCCAACATTTCTTAACATTTCACTCCTTATTTCGAATATACAAAACATTCGTATAATTAATTTAGACTATCATTATCTTTAGTAAAGATATATATTAATATGTGGTTAGTTTGGTTATGACCAACTATATCTGAAGAACATTTTCCAAATTAGCTGACCATAATCATGCAATACTAATTATATTGTGGCATTTTGATAAAATTGTGAAACTGCGGTTCCTTTGTGTTGAGAGCGTGCAATATTGAAGTCATTGTGTTGTACGTTTCGCTATCGTGATTAACTAGTATTCTTTGAACTTGTTTGAAGTACGATCTGATATTTTGTTTTTATTTCCAGTTTGAAATAGCAAGAATGTCACAATATAATTTATATTTCAATAAGCTAGAAATAGCCATCAAAAGTTTAGATATATTTCCTAAACTCTTCAAAGAATTTGAGACGTTTTGGGAACAAGGATTTCGCAAAAAACACGAGGTTGGAAATGATGGGATTCCTAGCTTGATTAGTGAATGTAAAGACAGTTGTAAAGGCTATTCTGAGTTCATTAAAAGGGTTGTTGCCGAACAATTTTTAGCGAATTGCCTGAATGCAAAATTAGATGAAATTGGCCCTTGGCTCGTAGAGCTGAAGACAAATATTGTGTTTGCGAAAGAGCGACTAAATGGTTTTCTTGGTGAAAACGGTGAGCTCAACGAGTTAGTGGAAAAATTAAACGACGATTTTTCTCGTTTGAAATCTTTGGAGCAGAAGAGTAATGAAACTAGTCAAACATTGAATAAGATTAGCGATGGAGTGAAAGAAATTCTTTTGCATGGCAAAGTAAGTAACGTTTTAGCAATTTGGGATGAAGTCAAGTTAGGTGTAGCTAAAGCTGTTGAATCTGATTACGATCATAAGACTCTGGTTACTGCTTTTGAAATGATAAAAAAGAGTATTCCTGAAGCGAAGAAGAGTTTGGAGGAAAACAGACTAGCTTTAACGGGAATTGAGAATGTAATTGAAGTGATTAGATTGGAGCAGGAAGAATCAGATTTAAGTAGAGATCTATGCAAACTTTCACTGCTACAACATGATATTAACAATGCTTGCGATGACATCATCAAGAAGATTGCAAATCTTTGAGGGAGATTGAAGTTGTCTTCATAAAAATCTTAATTGTTTCTGCGTAATTTGCTATTCGTTTCATTGTGGAGTTTCCATCATTTAAATCATTTCTATGGTGCACGCACATAGTTTTTCATGTCATCAAAATAAATAACTTTATACGTATATAAATACGAACTTGCTGCTGAATTTTTTTGAGGATAATGTTATGAGAAATGTGTGTATAATATGTTGTCTGTCTATTGGAGTATTCATGATTGTCGTTGTTAGTGAATATATATGATAAAAATCTCCAGAAAGATTATGTTGCAGTTGTTTTTGTGATCAGCTAACCACTCGGAATTGGGTGCGAACTCAAGCTATAAAACCCTAAAACTTGGCCTCTAATTCATTCCTCAACAAAAATCGCCTCCGACAGAATGTCTATAATCATGTTGATTTTTTTCGTCAATTTCCGTCCAATGTTGCAACTGACCCTCGTTTTCTCTGCTACGATCCAATGATATCAGTCATTAATTTTATTATTAACAATGTCAGGACACAAGTTGATGAAATGATTTTCATCCTGAAGCAAGTACTTTAGAATTATGTGCTTTGAAAGCGGAAAGTCAACTCAACCATTGCAAGGTCCCATGTGTTTTTGAATTTTTTATTGATTCATACAGTATGCTTTCCCAAGTATTATGATTCATACTGAGTAGAGATATATAACATGAGGTAAGTTTGGTTTATCATAACCAACCATATCTGAAGAACATTTTCCAAATTAGCTGACCATAATCATGCAAAGCTAATTATATCGTGGCATTTTGACCACGTTGTGAACTTGCGGTTTTTTTGTGTTAAGAGCGTGCAATATTGAAGTTATTGTGCTGTATGTTTCGCTATTGTGATTAACAGATATTGTCTGATGATTTTGATGTTAATGTGTCTCATGTTCAAAGATAGGCTGTAATTTCTTAAGCCTTTAATTACTTGTTGTTAAAATTTCCAGCTAGTCAAATTATAGTAAATGTTTCAAGGAGTTAGCAACAGCCGTTGAACCTTTTGAAAATCCGTTTCCCGATCACATTGAAGTCACATCACAACATCTTGGAAGAATGCATTTTGCAAAGAACACGAGTTTGACGAGATCTCTGGTCTGGTAGATGATTGTGAAGATTGTTTCTCGTTTTTTCTTTCATGAAACGCGAATTTGCCGAAAATTTTTTGAAAAAATTGAAGGCAAATGACATAAAGTCATTGATGTTCTACTCAAAGAGCTAAAGTAAAATATTAGAAAGAACTACTAAATGGTTTTCTTGCCGTAGAAGTTAAACTCAACAAGTTCATGAAATAATTGAAAGTCAAAGGAAGAGAAAGATAAGAAAGATGGCTAATTAGAGAAAGAACAGTAACGTAGCAAAAAAATCCTTTTTGGAGGGATACAGTAATTGTTGGGCTGAAGTTGGCTCGTTGAAATGACGATATTTAAAAAAAACAAAATGTTTTCAAAGGAAACCGACGAGCTTTAGAGGGAATCGAGAATGTTCGAAAAGTGATTAAAAAAAAGAACGAAGGATGAAAATTTAATTACTGACCCATCAAATCTTTCAGATCATATAGACCAGATAATCCTTGTTTGCCATGAAAGGATGGTTTTCTCATGATACATGAGAAACAGTAAATGGGAGAGTTCAATTAGAAAGATATAAACCATTAAAAATTGTATAAAACATATTTTAGGTTGTCTTAAATTATATGTGTCAAAAAAGGCACAGTGTCAGAAGAACTGAATTGAAACATTGGTTTATTTTATGAGAAGAAATGTAAACAAAACGAGAAAGTTCGAAAGCAAAAAAACCCCGTTTTTGGTCCATGCTTCACGATACCTTCTTAAGCGTAAGGCACTAGAACGCCGCATGTTAACGTTTCGGTAGGAGATTTCGGCCCCTCCACGCTATCCTACTTGGGAGATGCAATAGCAAGCTTCCGCCCATCAGACCCCGAGATCACCTGCGATAGGCTTTGCTCGGGGTACGCAGGGAGAGTGCGGTCGCCACCGAAGTGTGGCCCCTAAATCATTGCATACTATATCGCACCCAGCTTCCAATGCTAGTTGACATGTACTATATCCAATATTGGCTTTATATATATATATACAAAAATTCAAAGGCTTACGAAAGTTGTGGTGTTATTAAAGTCACTACTGCGCATGCTCAGATGATTTCTTTGATAATTTGCGACCAAGCGAGCTAATTGCCACAAATGTGCAGTTGGTCGTTGCCATGATCATGAACTTGGGCGGCTGGTCAAGCGATTGCGCATGCGCAGATAATTAATCTAGAAATTTGTGACTGAACAATTCAATAAAAATACTTCGATAAAGATAACTCCTATAGTTATCCTTTGATTGGCTGAAGCCCACATACATCTAAAACTCCACATTAATATTTAACACTTTTGGTTGATAATTAATAAAAAAGTTCCCCACTTTATATAGAAATTCATCAAACATCAAAAATAGATATTTCATAAAATCCTCACAAGTGAAGAATAGTATTTACGTACAAAACATAAAACATGAAATAAATTGTAGTTCTTCATTCAGAGATTATGTTAAAGTCAATATCTGGCCAAATGAGTGAAGGTCAAACGTTCTCATTGTTTTCGATTTGCTAATTGCTTTACATCATATCTCCGAACAACTCGTCGATATCTTCTGTAAATGTTGATCGTGGAACTTTATTATTTCGAGTTCTTGTAGTTTTGTGACTGTTATATTGTAAGCTACAAAATAAAGAAAATTCACTCAAGCCATTTCATATTGATTTATGGTATTTTTTAACAATTTTTAACAGTATTTTTTCTACTCATGCACAGTTCATCAGTTTTCTTTGTTTGTTAGGATTTCTATATTTTCAATCATTTGGAATTGATGGCTGTGTTAAACACCTTTCATTTGAAGCGGTGCTTGCATCGCTGGTGTTACTGCACTCAACTCTCATTTTAACTTCAGGGATAAATGATTTCGAAGGCGTTTTTTTCACAGGAACTCCAGAAGACCGCTTTCGACGTTCGCTTGAAAAATGCATGAACTGTTATGTACAGAGTTTAGTCAAAAGTTCAAAGTTTAAATGTTTAGTTTCTCTACCGCTTCTTAACAGGAGCTATTTGATCATCAGTATCTTGAAACAAGGACATGGTTTCATTTTGCTAAATGAAAATGGAATGTCCTGAGAAACCTTTCGTGTTACTTCAACGTATTTTGGGAAAATTAGTTGTTCTTACTATAGTTTATCTTCTCTGTTGTTCATTCATCACTACCTATACTGACACACCTTATCTTAGTTTATATTTTAGGTAGTGCAAAGTCTGTTCTTGTTCTCTGTTGTTCATTCATCACTACCTACACTGACATACGTTATCTTAGTTTATATTTTTGATAGTTTCCGTTCTTTTATAGTAAACTACCCAGCGATACTTGTTTTTTCGTTCTCGTTTCTCGTTGTCTTACAAACCATACAATACCTGTGATTCTTTATTTTTGACGTTATCTTCGTTATCTCTAGGTGAAAACAAAGACACCATTTACAGTTAAAATTCATACCAAGACTATTGCTTTAAGTCATACTTTTCATCAGTTCCATGTTCATTCTTTGCAATGTCTGCGTTCTCTCCTAAAATTTTAGATTGCTTTTAACATATCGCAACAACAATGCCAAGAGTAAAGTACATGGACGTAGTTTACCTTCATAAGACTTTTTTTTAAGATTATTTTCTTTTGTCAGCTGTTCAATAGCTTCAAAGAAGAATGACATTTCGTTTTTTATGTAATAACGTTAACTCTACAAAAAACATAAGTCTGTCGTATTTTAACTAAACAAATAAAAGTGTAATTTTACTGTGTTGAAGTTGGCGTATTTTTGCTTTTTTATCATTTAGAACTGTCACGAACTTGAGAAAAAGAGAAGAAAACAAGTTAAGTAAAAAAATTTTTAAAGTACAATGCTTTGATTGCGTTTTACCTTTTGATATAAATCTAGCTCTATTTTCTCTTTTTTGGCGACACATTCCTCTAAAAACTTCACAAATTTTAGGGATTAAATTTGAATAGATGAGCAGCAAAAACGTGAAAGTAGAATGAAGTTTAAAACTCTTTCTCAACAATACCTACATCAAAGGCCCTATTTCTCGTTTGAGACAAGTTCTTTTTCATGGTACGCTTTTGCAATTTTTGCCTGTAATTTGTCAAGAAAACATTTGATAAAAGTGTTTTACAAAAAATAATACGATTTGATATAAATAATACAATTAATGATGAAACAAGTTAATGCCAAAATTGTGTTTGGAAAATGGGAGTGCAAGTCTCAAAATGCATAAAGATTGTAATAAGGTGGTATTATATTGATTTATAACAATCTTTGATCTCTTTTGTCTTCTGGTCACCATTAACCATGATATCAGCAACTCTTGTTAGTTGCAATAAGTACCTTGTAGTCATTTGTTTCTCTGATTGAAAAATCCAGAATGGTTTTCATCATAGCACTGCCATCTTCATTTATTCTCAAAATGATCGATCCCAATTTAAACTACACGTACATAGGGAAAGATAGACACAATTTGAACAAATGGTTTGTTGAGATATTTGGAAGTATACCTTTACACCGTGATCCAAGCTTCTCTTCCAAATAAACTTAACATAAAACAGATTAGGATTGCTGTTTAGTATATTGTGAGAAGTTTATTTGTGCAAATACACTTTAAGAGGAAATTTATATTTCAAATGAAGGGTTTAACTTTGTCTACTTCATCTGATGTCTGCATTAAAAGTGAGTGATCTAATTAACTTAAATTTGTAATTTATATATACTCCAGTATAGAATTTTTGGGAACTAATCTAATGTTGAAACTTCATGATTATCCTGCATCTTATGATACTATTGTCTCATTAAAATATTTTCGACATATCACACCTCCATAGAAGAATCATGAAAATAAACATGGTAATCAAAGGTTTCTGAAGCTTCAGTGTCAGCTTTTAAGGCCTGAAATGTCTGTGTGGCATATTTGTCAATATTCATTTCCACTTGATTCGCCATGTCTTGCAGATTATCTTTGCTCACATCAGCTGTCCAAGTGGAGCTTCCATTGGTAATGTTGAGATGGAATCCATTTGTTTTATCTTCGGGCCATGCAGAATGCAAATAAAACTCTCCATTATTTGTTTTAACTTTGCATAAACTTTCTGATTTGTCCATGTTTATGTTATTTTATTATTAAATTAAACTCTCAGATGCAAAATAAAAATCGTTGATCAGACGTCGACGTTATTAAGTTACATCATAATCACTCCTATTTCATGATTCATTACAGTGGAAAAATTGATATGTTGTCGTAGTTTGTATCTCTCTACAATAGTCTGGAAAGTAAGTGTTCATTAGGCTTTTATAGCCAAGTAACAGGCCAAAGTATGCAAGTTTAATGAATCGCTATATGGGAGATATTTTTGACAATTTGAAGGTAACTTATGAATCGGGTGAGTATTTAAAATTCAATGTAAATTTTTTAAAATTTGTTTGTGATCTTTGGGCTTATCAAGTTATTGTCTTTGTCTCTTTGATTGTCTATGGACTTTAAAAATATTTCTTGTGCTTTTTTTTCCTAACTAGCAGTTTGGAAACTTCTTTGCGTAAGTTATGGCTGATTTGAAACAGGATGATGATCAAAATCAGTGCGTAAAACCGATTGGCGAAAGATGGCCTCCCCTCGGTGCTCCTTCTAGTGAACTTAAACAAGAAACTTACGAAAGGACAAGTCGGTAAGGATTTTAAAAACTAGACATACGTTGACTCGTGTCAAATTGCCATTTTGATGGGCTTATATTTCACATATTAAAGTTTGTCTTTAATTTTGGAGAACACCGATTACCTTTAATACTGTATTTTAAATAATTTTACGTGTAAAAAGTCCATTTATGAAATATTTTATTCACCAAAATGCCTTGGTGAGGATTCATACCCAATAACACATAGAAATTGTTTGATGCATTCTTGTTAATGTGTATATAATGAAACATTGCTTTATCAGTCATTTGTCATGGTTAAATGGTCTTAATTCATGCTCCATTTCCAATCTAAATCCTTCGGATATTTTGGAAAGGTGTCTAACATAAAGCAAAAAAATGGTTGGAAATGAGTGAGCAGATGTTTTAAAAGAATATTTATGATAGTTAATGAATAAAGCCCACTCTTTCATTTGACAATTTGTGTGGGTTGCAAATGTAAATGCCACACATGTTTTGGGCAAAAGTTTACAATGTCATAGTAGTAACTCATTTGTAATTCTTTACAATTCTTTTCTTAATAAAATACTGTTTACTCAGCTGGCAATAATACATTAAAAGTGATATTTTTCATCGTCAAATGAATTTTAGTTAGACTAAAAGTTTATTTTGGGGCCAATATTTTAATCTGGCCTTATAAACTTTAGATATTCCTCACTTCCCACATAAAAGCTTTGGTATAATTCATATTCTTGGACACTAACTGATATTAATGCTGTTTATGATAAGAATCAACTTTCTCTTGCATGTAGAAATGAACTTGGAACATTAAAAAAGCTTGAAGAAGAACATGAGCAATTAAATTCATCTTTGCTTGCTTTAACATCACATTTTGCTCAGGTACTAAATTACTATGTCTATAGTATATATGATACAAACTCCACAAGACTAACACGGCTAATTTCTACCTTTTCTTGTGGTTTTTGTTACGTTAATGTTTATTGTATTGACAGGTTCAGTTTCGGCTCAAACAAGTTGTAGCTGCCCCCAAGATAGAGCAAGAAGTATATGATGTTGTTTAGTTAAAAATTACATTATTTTTATGTCATTGATATTCCTTTGTTATTCAATTTAGAAAATGTTGGAAAGTCTTGAGAAGTTTGCATTTGAAGGAATCCCAGATGTACATGGGGCAAAACCCACAACAAAACATGGACGTAGAACTGTATGTTTTGGAAAAAAACATCAACCACACAAATTTTCGACACCTAAGAATTGAAATTACTTGACAAATGTTTAGTAGGATTCTTTTTGCTTGTAACTTTTAATGTGAATGAAATTATTTGTGTTTTTAATTTAGTCTACAAAAACGTTTGGGAAGAAGTTTCACAATCAAAAACAACAACAAGAAACATTAATTACGCAGTTAAAAAAACAATTGGAGGAAATGGAGGCTACTGTTGTTAAGGTTAAATCAAAAACATTATGAGAAATTAAATTCAAGATTTTATGATACTCATTTTACTTACTTAGCTGAAACAGAACCCTTATAAATAGAATAAAATAAAACTTCTTGTTTTAGGGAGCTAGCACAAGTACAGATAGTCCACAAAAAATGATTGAAAAACAAAAAATATTACTGTCACAACTGAGGTGAGATTCACATACATTTTTCATATTTTATTGTATTTGTATTTCCTGACATTTTTAGGCTTTTAAAGCTCTTCTAAAAATGCTGATCAAAAGCATGTAGTTTTAATCTTGATATCATTTAAAGTTTTTGTTGAAATTTTGTAGTGCTCAAGAAAGTAGTCTAAAAAGAGAAAAGGTTTAGTATTATTTAACTATGCTTACTATACCTAACTGCATATACCTATTTCTATTTTTGCTCGTGATTTCTGCTCATATACTTTTTTCTATTAATTTTAGGATGTAATGAATGATTCAATTCCAAAGGTGTTTGATTTAATGTTTTGAGATTTTTCTTCTGATCCTTAATTTTTTTGTTCTTAGTAAGTTCATGACAAGAAACATTGATTATTTTGCTGTTTGATATTAGGAGAAGGTTATTGAACAAATCACAAAGCAGATAATGGATTTGGAAAAATTTATTAAACTTCTACGAGGCACGTAATCATTGCTGGCAAAGATAATAAACGTTTTACATATAGATCAGGGATTATTGATGTATTATCATGTTTGTATATTTGTGTATTAACACTGACTTGAAATGGCACGTTAGTGGAGTTATGACGAGTCTATTCGCATTTATAGCTTGTTCTTTAAAAGTTCTTATTTCATATTAAATCACACGAGACGCGAGGAAACATGACGATGTAGTGATATAAGTTAGATCTGTCACAAATTATAGTGTTCTTTAAAAGTTCTTATTTCATATTAAATCACACGAGACGCGAGGAAACATGGTGATGTAGTGATATAAGTTAGATCTGTTACAAATTATAGTGCACACAGTTTGAAGAATGCTTGATATGTTTTAGTTAAAGATACACGCTAGGCATTTTATCGTGTCTTTTCAACAATCAATCATCAAATGTCTGGATTGTTTCAGGGGAGACTGGTTTGAGTCCAACAAGATTCTCTCGATGTACAAAGTGTTCATATGAACATGAACAAAGAGAAGGATCCATGTCTCGTATGGCTGGTAAACAAAAAACAAGAAAAAATGATTTACAAACTGCTTTAAAGGTTTGTTGGGATTTTCATTGTACTGTGATTTTGTTTGCCAATTGAACAAATTAAAACCTTTGATAAGAGGTAATCTTCATTTATAGTGTCTAACTAGACATTTTTTATCGTCTTACTAAGATGATCTCATGAACTGTTATGTAATTTCTTTCCACATGTTTGCATGCTTACTTCTTCAATTATTGAACTTTCGTGACGTATAGAACTTGATTGAAATACGAGAATTTATGGTCGGTCGTTTTCTCTTATGCATATCTTAAATTTTTGTTTGTCTTCGTTGTTAAACCTACCTGTGTTTTGTCAAAAAGTTTTGAAGGCAATTTGTTTGCAAGTAAATGCAAGCAAAGAATATGCAAAATTGGCAGTAACTTATCATGTTATGCAAGCATTTGTGTTGAAAAGAAACTCTAATGCAGTTTTCGAAGCTCTTTTATTAAAGACATTAAAAAAATTTCTTATCATAGACATTTTTAGTAGAGACTGCTGACAACAGTCGTTACATTAGAATACTTGGTAATATGATCTGTTTGAATGCTGGTTGTGTTGAATGAGGTACTGAGAACAAGAATTGTATTTGAAATTTACAAAATTCTCTTTGAAACAGAATTCACCATTACTAAATAATCGCAAAACACCTTCAACGTCAAGCAAGACACCAGTTGAGAATCTCAGTGATAGGCTTAGAGTTGATTACACTGTGGATAACTTTGGGATAGCAGAGGATAATGAATCTGATAGCGAGGTCGCATGTTGCATACTACCAAAGCATGCCCACGTTGCTGGGCAACCAGTCATACGTGGAGAATCTGAAGAAACTGGGGAGAGTAGTCAGGTTTGTTGTTCATTCTATTGCATAAGATTTTCGTGACTTTTTATTCAGTTTACTCAAATGTTTTTAGTTTTTCAAACCTTAGTTTTTGTTTTCGACTTCATACCAGAACAACTTTTATCATATTCAATAAACATAGACAAGTTCCGTACAATGAATTATTATTTTGACTATTGTTAAAAGTCCCAGAAAACCTGCATATATATTGAATCCATCTTTAATACTGTTTCTTACTGTTATTTATAAAGTATAGTTATAAAGGTTAAATAATTCCAAAAAACATGAAATATATTATTACGTTTGTTTGGACTAAGTTTGAAGAAACCGCTTATGATTAAATTTCTGGCTATCCTTAAGACAATATTTTTTTATTACTGGAGAAATAAATTTTTGCATAGTTACTTCTCTAATATCTTATCGTTTTATTGACTGATGTTGATTTTACTTACAAAAATTTCATTTGAACATTTAAATCAACGGCTATCAAGAACATATACACGTTGCCAAAGGTTTTGTATCAAGAGGTTTTAATGACACGTCATAGTGTTAGCATTTAATAGCAAATATTTAGATTATCTACAACAGCAGAACGCATATAAACTTACGAGAAGCAATAACTTTTTTAATATTAAAAGATGTCTCGTGATTCGATATTTTCAATGTCTGCGTTACGGGTGATTTGTTGACGAAGCTATGTATTTAACTTTCAGCGAATAAAGGAAGCTAGTTTGGAGATCATAAAAGAGCATTGGCAATCTTGCAGATTTTTGCTATCAGGTCCTTTTAATCTTGTTGTGTAATCCTTAGCATAATTATAAAAGTTTTTTGTGAAATAACTTGTGAAGTGAACGCATATGGTTTAAATAGTTGAACTTAGGTAGAGATACATACCTGACTTGTATGTCTCCCTCGTGTGATGTTTTGTAACTCAGGTAGAGATACATACCTTACTTGTATGTCTCCCTCGTGTGATGTTTTGTAACTCAGGTAGAGATACATACCTTACTTGTATGTCTCCCTCGTGTGTTGTTTTGTAACTTAGGTAGAGATACATACCTTACTTGTATGTCTCCCTTGTGTGTTGTTTTGTAACTTAGGTAGAGATACATACCTGACTTGTATGTCTCCCTCGTGTGTTGTTTTGTAACTTTGGTAGAGATACATACCTGACTTGTATGTCTCCCTCGTGTGTTGTTTTGTAACTTAGGTAGAGATACATACCTGACTTGTATGTCTCCCTCGTGTGTTGTTTTGTAACTTAGGTAGAGATACATACCTGACTTGTATGTCTCCCTCGTGTGTTGTTTTGTAACTTTGGTAGAGATACATACCTGACTTGTATGTCTCCCTCGTGTGTTGTTTTGTAACTTTGGTAGAGATACATACCTGACTTGTATGTCTCCCTCGTGTGTTGTCCAACCAACAAAAACAAAATTGTTCAATGGAATTATATTTAAAATTTATTAAAACTAAATTGTAACATCCCATTTTTTCCTTCACTTAGTCAGTTTGGATGTGCTGGACAACATTTTCAAGAGCAAGTATTTCAAAAAGCAATGCAGACACCCTATCCACCATTCGAGTGGGTTGAAGCTTTATTCATTAATACTTTTCCTTACAATATATTTATAACAAGGAAACATTACTGTTTTGTTTAATCATACAGAAATCTCATTCGCAATTTACGGACCTCTGTCGAGAATGTACTAACACAACAAGCTAAAGTGCTTCAAGAAATAGGTGTATATTCACAAGTAGGAAACACAGAGACAATGTCGCGTAGATCTCGAAGTTCATCTGTTTGTTCCTTAGCATCCACGATGTCTTCTCTTGGTGATGGTGTTAGTACATATTTTTCTTCTTTCCTAGGTGTCGCGGAGACATAATTTTTATGAAGTTCACTTTGTTAATTACAGCATGGCGAATTCACTCAGGCTGAAGCAGAATTGATACGAATTGTCAGACGAGATTTTTCAAATTGTCTAAGTAACCTATTGGAACATGGCTTAGAGAGAGTAAGTCAGTTTGATCCTTCATTTATATGGCAAAGAAGGAAATATTCTCCCCCCCTCCGTGAGTAACACTAACCCTTAACGCCCACACCCAACTAAATATATTTAAATCATAGGAAAGTTTCTCCAAATGCATTGACCATTGTCTGTTTTATCACTTTTCATGGAAAGGATAGATAAAAGAGTGATTTTTCTTTTAGAATGCAGATTTTTCTTTAATTTCTCCTCGAAGTTTTGCCAAGTGTATCATGCCATCTGTCTCTACACAGCGACATAAGTTACATGCTTGGGATATATTTATGGAATTTTATCATTTAAAAGTAAGAAGTATATGTTTTAGTTGGAAAATTTACATCACTTCACAATGAATGTGATAAAAAGTTTCCAAACCATTGTACATCACGTTTTAGCACGGTAACGAGTATAACTCTGCGGTACCTCGAAAGCTTTCTGAGTCGTTTGGCATTGATGTCTCTGGTGCTACGGCTGTTACGTCGAAACAGGTGATGAAAAATAAAGTATATACTCTGTACTCGGTCGTCATATCCTATAGCAAGAAAAATATCACACAAAGTTCATTGATTATTGCTGCACTGTGTCTTGTTTTGTAGTTATTGGTTTGTGATTTATTTTTTTATGTGTTTTGTGTTATCTCTAGACGCTATTAAGAACAATCCACTTCGTTAAATCAACTCATGACCGTTGTAAACGAAGCAAAGAATCTATGGTGAGTGTGTTAGTAACATTGTCACTTTAAAGTAACAATTAATACAGAGAGTTTTCTTGTTATAGTTTCGTGCTTTGGTATCAGCTGGTCTGAAGTGAGTGAGCTTTTATACATTAATATAGTTGATAGTATTTTTGATAGTATTTTCTTACTTACAATCTATGTGGCTGGAAGAAAATACATATCATTGCACAAATTTTGTATTCAGTAAACATTTGACCTCATTCATTTCTCTAATTTATGGTCATTATTGTTTTATTTGTAGCCAGAAGAAACTGTCGCTATGGTGTCGACAGATAGTAAAATGTGGTAATTTAGTTGACGTGTTTTATCAACCATGGTCTTGCGTCGTAAAAACAGGTATAAGTTCTAATTAGTGTAATGTACATGGTTATAAGTTCTAATTAGTATAATGTACATGGTTATTTATACAACATCACAGTATTTCAAGCAAGTATAAGTTCTAATTAGTATAATGTACATGGTTATTTATACAACATCACAATATTTCAAGCAATTATAAGTTCTAATTAGTATAATGTACATGGTTATTTATACAACATCACAATATTTCAAGCAAAACTTTGATAATGTTTCGACGATTGATTGTGGCTCTATCACTCAAGTTTTATGGAGCTTACAAGTTCATACGTACATTTGTTTCAGGATTAAAAGATGCGTTGGATATTGTAGAAAGATTAACTCCTTTGGATTTTTGTCTCCCTGAAGATTTAGCCATCAGACATTTGATGAGAGCAAACGATGCGTTTGGAGACAGCTATTAAGGTACTCTCAAAGTTTTCTTAACTCTCTCTTAACTTTTCTTTAAATGTTTGCAAAACTCACAAATTTACTTTCTGGAAATTGCTCTGAATTACTCGAATGTGATAGTGTTAATGGTGAAAGCAATTGAACGGTAGAAATTCGTGTTTTCAATTCAGCGATGATGAATATTTTTGATGTGATGCGACATTTGACTTGTCTAATTCATCGAAGTCCTTATTGTAGGACTTAGATACGTGGATCTTTAAATAACAACGAAATTCATCACATTGATTAATAGATTATGAATTATTTAATGTAAATCATTACAAAATACAAACATAGCTTTATGTACCACATAAACGGCACTCATTTTCTTTGCTCGCAAGTGCATGACATGTCATATCAATTATTGTAATATTTTGGCGTTTGATTATCAATATCTGTAATCTGTTTTCATTTGAGGTCAATTTGGTCTTAATCTTTATAACGTGTTTCCATTAAATCAGAATTTTTCTCCTTTGCATCATCAATTGCTTTTGTATCAGGTGAACTCTTTTCTGTCATTTTTGAATTCATATCTGCTTCTTTGTTTTCTTTTGCTTTCTTTGTGTTTCTACTGCCGAGTTCTGTTTCTTCAACGTCATCCATATCCATTGCTGCATTCTCTTTTATTTTATTCACTATTTCATCGTTATTTAGTTGGTCCTCAGTCCTTAAGGTTCCACCCAAGGTTCGTCCATTGCCTGAAAAAGCAGTTCGACCTTGGGAGGGGTTGCGATGACGTAATGCGCCACTAAACGAGCCCATACTCTCGTCTTGTGGACGACGCAGTGGTGATGAGATAGCATTATGGGTAAGAGTTTTAGCACGGGACATAGTCTTAGTGTCTAAAGGTTGTACTGGTACGTGTTCTGATTCCAGACAAATCTCCAACTTGTCTTCTTTTTCATTGTACACAAACGTCTAAAAAGGAATTACTCTTAAGATATTTTACAAGATAGAGTAATATTTTGACAGCATCGAACGTTTTTCAAGCAGTTGCACTACGTTTTCTTAATAGTTATTACACTGAAGCCTTCGATGGTTAAAATAACGTATATATGTGAGCATATGTGAACATTATATTTAGCAGTATATATTTCTTCGTGATACCTTTCCTGGAATTCCTGGTATCGTCAAATGCATGTCGTCTTTAAGTGGACCAAGTTTTTTTACGACTTGATCGTAAATCTGCCCACCACGTGTGAACAGTTCTGGTTTCGTGTTCACTTGTTCCCATTTGTCAAACTCCAATTTTCCTTGCAATAAATTTAGCAAAGATGATGCAAATTCCTTGCGAGCCATCTCTGTAAAATGCGAATAAACAAACGCAAGTTTATGAAATGCAAAATAAAAACTATGTGTTTAAAGTACACATTAAAGTTACTATGATTTTTCAAAGAATGCAGAGTCATGTTTTATAAATCAAACCTTCAGAGCTGTCTAATGACGTAACTCCGTTGATTTCGTCATAATTTGTTGATCTCGTCTCCAAATTATTGGTCGATTGATCCAAAACCATCATGTTCGTTTCACGTATTTCTGCCACTGAAACGCGATCACCATGAGTCAGCGGTAGCAAAACTCCATCACGTTCCGGAGGTTTCAATTCCTTTGGGGGAAAACCGTATCGAATCTTTTGTTTCTTTTCTGGTATACCTAATTCTTTTTCTATCATCTCTTGAAGATCCTTAAAGGTGGATTCAGGTGTGAGAGAGATGGTTGTGGCATTACCAGTCTCACTGGTGAGACGAATTTTTATTTCCTTCGGTTTTTCTTTCTCCGTTTTTACTCTGGCTATACTTTCATCTTTTCTCTCTTTCTCTACAAGTCGAATTTTGCTATTGGTCTTTTGCTTGTGAAAAAAAAAATTTTTTAATTGTTAGTACGGCATGTGTTAAGTTTATTATTTTTTAACACTGTAAACGATACATGTTTGTAAATGTAGATCGTCCAGGTTGGTATAGTCCTGAGAAGGACTGTTTTTGTTGTTGTTGACTGACGTTTCGACAACCTTAGAGGCAGTCATCTTCAGAGTCAAAAGACTCTGAAGATGACTCTGAAGATGACTACCGCTAAGGTTGTCTCTGAAGATGACTACCGCTAAGGTTGTCTCTGAAGATGACTACCGCTAAGGTTGTCTCTGAAGATGACTACCGCTAAGGTTGTCTCTGAAGATGACTACCGCTAAGGTTGTCTCTGAAGATGACTACCGCTAAGGTTGACGAAACGTCAGCAAACAACAACAAAAACAGTCCTTCTCAGGACTATACCAACCTGGACGATCTACATTTACAAACATGTAACGATACTCCCGGGTTGAAACCATTTACTTTACTGTAAACGATGATAAGCGTATAGGTAAAAAAATTTGCCCTAGGATACCTCTCCGTGTTTTGTGTTTCCACTTTGTTTCTCCAGCGAAATTTTGTTACTTTTCCGTTTTTGGTTAAGTGCAGCATGGTGTTTTATTCTGGTACGTGTCAATCTCTCTTCTTGATTCATAGTCAACTCCTCCTTGTGAATCGTCTTGTGTTTTGGTCCAGTGATAATGACCTTTGATAGTGAAATGGATGTTTCTTCATCGTTTATTTTCATTGTTTCCTGTTTTTCTTGCTTCTCTGCTGATGTGTGAAAAATCGGCACATTAGTAAAATGTCCCTCACTTCTCAAGGTCAATACACACAGTGTCTCTGGAGTAGATAGAGTACACTCAGTGTCCCTTTGGTGAGTAGGGTACACTGACAGTATCCTTGGGGTAGGTACTCAGTTTCCTTGGGGTAAGTAGGGTACACTATCTAATAAACATAATTTTTTCTATTCATCTTCACCTTTACCTTCCAAGTTCTTTTGAAGGTCAGTTTCTTGGAGGATTTTATCAACAACTTTTCTAACAAGCGTCTCGCTGCCAAATTCGCCAGGGAAATGTTTCTGTACAACAGTCGAAGCTATTTCATATACATTTGAATTCAGGCTGGCATTGCTCTCGCTTTCAAACCAGAATACTTCTTCTTCAATTCTTTTGCCATTCCACTCCAGCGATAATTCAATTCTGCAAATTAATAGTACAAACAATACTTGTATGTATCTTTCATTCCAGAAATTATTAATTTAAATTAGGTACCTCCTTGTTCATTCATCACTACCTACACTGACATACGTTATTTTAGTTTATATTTTAGGTAGTGTAAACACTGTTCTTGTTCTCTGTTGTTCATTCATCACTACCTACACTGACCCATGTTATCTTACTTTATACTTTCTGAAGTATGAAAACTGCTCTTTGTCATTTGTTTATCATGCATTGGCACATCATACATGTTAATTTTGTTTTTCATTTGCTACTGAAAACCAATGTTGCATGATTATCTACATCCATGCAAACATAAAACTGATTCACCCTTTCAAATCAACAGGATAGCTAAAGTAACTATTGATTACATTTCTCCTTCTCAGTTGTGCCTCAATCAATCACCAGCTGCACATTTCAATTGCACTCTTACATTTTGGGATAGAAATCATATTCTTGACCATTCCAGTAATGTTTAAAACCACACTTGCAAGCACTAGTATTTTCTTGAGATCTGGTAGCAGTGCGATCACCATTCATGTATCGTATTGAACCATCTGCGGATACCTCACGTAGAACTCCATTACACACATTACATACTGGACTCTGTTGGAGAGAATTGTAAACAATAGATATTCATGTTGCTTTTAAACTTTGGCTAAAATGTTCTATTACTTTGTTTTGTATGCTTGATCGGTAAGAACACTAAAAGTTGAAACTAATTAATGTAAATATATTTATTGAATATAACATTATTAGTTATTAAATTCTAAAAGAACTGCTAATAATTTAACTTTTCCTGTATTTGGTTTTGACTTCAACAGACAGCTTTAAAATCTTCAATGCAACCTTACCTCTCCAATAGCTATGAGCATGTCAAACTTAGCTTCATAAATGCATGGAACATTGGTTGCCTCTGCAAATTTGTACATAGCATTGGCAACTAGTCCTGTGCTGGTATTCTTGGCACGAGTATACCAACGGCCACCTGGCTCTCTCCAAGACCGTGGCCAAACAGTTTTTACTTCTTTGAGTGCATGACATGAAAGACAATAAAACAAGTTTTCTTTATCCACAGCAGTTTTGGTATACTGAATAATTTCGGGTATTGAATAACCATCTGTATTTGATGGTTTAATTATGTACTGGTTGACATTAGTAACTAGTTCAGGTGACACTTGATGCTTCTTATAAAACACGTCATTCATAGCCTTGACTAGCCTTTGGACATACTGATCCTTTAGTGTTAGAGATCCACCAATGGTACAACAGTCATTCTCATCAAAGTCAATGTAAGTTGATACTAATTCATTTGGCATGCCCCATGCTTTAGGTAGATAGGAACGGGGTATTTTTGGAGGGGTAGATCCTCGAACACCTACAAGGGGCACATAATGGTTTCTTCCTGAACTACTCCATGCTATTGCAAGAGGTTTATGCAGTAACCCTTGGGATTTACACAAATCAAAATCAACAAAGGCTGGCAAAAACAAACCAGAATAATCCCCACTGGATTGCATGCCTTTAAGGTTATCCATCAAGATTATTGGTCTTCGTAAGACATTTGCTAGTCCAAAAACATGCATGTTTCGCAAGCCAAAAGGCTCATTACTTTGTGGATGATAATTTGGATCAGCTTCACTAATAATATCTTCCCATTCATCGACATCAATGAAGTTGTGAAACAATTGTCGATATTTCATGTTGTCTTTCTGGAGATGATCTTTTAGATTCTGTCGCAAGCTGTGCCACAGTAGCTCTCGGCCAATCACAGCCCTTGAAATGGCATGAACCAAGCAATGTCCATCACCATCTGTATGCAGTGGTACCAAACATTGACCATTGTTGACCTTTTCTATCATTTCCAAGGTATCTCGGAGATATGACAATGAGCCTGTCTGATCAATGCCATAACCCTCAGTACTCAAATGCTCCTGTTCGATGAGGAATGCTCTGTTCCCAAATACAGCACAATTGAACACTTCCTCTTGCCCTAGTTCAGATAAAAGTTTAGCTTTACCAGACTTTTTCTCCATACCATAATACGTAAGAAGTGGCGATATTATCTTGCAATGAAAATTTGACAAACCACGAACTTTTACTAATTCTGAGCTTTTTTTCGTCGCCACACTTGACAATAATATAGACTTCAAACATTTGCTCATGTTCGTTGTCTGATGTACATTCAAAAGAGAACTTGGCGAGTGTGTTTGGCCACAATTATTACATGCCACTGGCACATCTGTACCAGAGACAAAATACAACATTTCATTGCAATGGCTGTCAGGACAAGTGCCACAAAGCATCTTTATCTCATCTGATTCGTTGTCGTTCATTTCACTAAATTATTATTTGTAGCAAAACATTGACGCTGCAGTATATGTAATCATGTTTGATAGAAAGGATAATGTTTACTTACGCTTTTAAAATGAAAGTTAAAGTAACTGCTGCCCCTCATCCCGTTTTCCGTACCTCCGACAAATTCTCAGAATATTTATTTGCACACTATTTATTTTTCGTCCTCAGTCCCTCTCGCGCTCGCACCCCAGACAAACATTGAGGAAAAATGATTTCCGGGAGTCATAAATAACCTGTGCTGAGTAGTGTAATATTTGCTAAAGTGGTCTTATAACCGCTAACACTACCAAATTTTAATCTTTTCTGCTGTTTTTTATGTGAAAATGTCTGAATATTGGTTGATCTCTGTTCCAGGAGACACCAAAGATTGTCAACCTTCTTGGGATGAATTAAAATTACAAATTTCACCTCTTAGCAGTTTTTGGAAATTTCATATTCCAACCGATTTAAAGGTATTTAATTTGCTAAATTTGTCACATATAATTATTTAAATGAAAGTTTTGTGAAGGATTGTAGATAAAAGAAAAATTTCATTTTTTAAAGCATCATATTTTTCTAAATTTTGCGTTTTTTCGCTGTTTGTTCTGTTTTAACAGGTTGGTACATTGGACATCCTCATTGGTTTGTCAGATGAGTTGCAAAAGTTGGATATTTTTGTTGAAGGGTAAGCAAGCAATGACCATTGGAAATGAGTAAACTTAAAGCATCAGGGAATAGAAGGTTTAGTTCAATAATTTAACCACTATAAAAGACATCATGTTTGTTGTGAAAAGATATTTTCAAAAAGTAAGCTCAAACTCCTGGACTGGTTTTGATTACCTGAAAATTATTAAAATGCTTACTTATATAATTCAAATAATTTATAACTTCAACATTAACAGCTGGATACCAATGAATTATTTTTTTAGAATCATGAAAAAAGTCGCTAGTTATATGGCAGAAATTGCAATGGAGAGTGATGTAAGTTTGTCCAAGATTATGAGGATTGTTTCATTTTTTATGATTTTAATTTATTTTATCTGATTATAGAGTGGGAATTCACCTAAACTCAAAGCCAATGGATGTATGTTTGTAAACTGAAATTTTCATTTTTCTTGCATTCCTTCATTTGATCTTTTGATTATATTTGAGAATATATTTTCCAAATATCACTGATGAACATACTAATGATATTAACTGCTTGTATGTAGGTGAACTAAACCAATATGTGACTAACTTTCAATGGGATGCTGCAAAATATCCTTTGACTGAAAGAACCACACTTCGTAGCATTTCTGAGATAATTGGCAAGGTATTATGGAAAGCATGTTTTGAAATTAGTTTTGGTTAATTTGTAATTTCACATTTTTGATTTTCCATTAAAATCATGGTTATAATACATGTATGATATAGAAACTCAAAAATTGACAATTAATAAAAAAATTTAATGCATATAAATGTTTCTCTATTAACAGCAAGTAAGTCAGATTGACAATGATCTGAAAGCAAAAGCCACAGCCTACAATGCTATAAAAACAACATTGGTCAGCTTGGAGCGGAAATCTACGTACGTTTCATGAATCAATACCATTTATGTGGTTTATGTTGGAAATAAAATAATGAAATAACTTTATTAAATTGTTTAGTGGTCCACTTCTCACACGAAATCTTGGTGATCTTGTAAAGAGAGAGAATTTTATTTTAGATTCAGAATATCTGACAACCCTATTGGTCATTGTTCCATGGTAAAATATTTCATTGTTGTGTTTATGATGGTAATAGTCAAGTTCTTATGCATACATATGTAGGTAATATGCTATTATAATAATGCTTTTAGTTGGTTGTTAAAAAAACGATAAATAATTTTTGGTTGTTATGCTGTTAGACTGCCGACACTTTTGGGGTTGTTATACTGTTGACTGACAACTAGTAATTTTTTTAGCAACCTAGAAGATGATTGGAAGAAAAAATATTGGACACTATGTGACATGGTTGTTCCAAATTCTAGTGAGAAACTCTATACTGATGGTGACTATGCTTTGTATAACGTTTGCTTGTTTCAAAGAGTCGTTGATGAATTCAAAAAACACGCAAGGGAAAATAAATTTATTGTTCGAGAATTTGTCTACAGCGAAGAAGCGCTTGTGGCTGGCCAAAATGAGTTAAATAAACTGGAGTCGGATAAAAAAAAGCAATTGGTACGTTCACTTGCTTAAGGCATAAATAAACCATACAAACGAACATGTTAGCTATGCAGCATTAGACTAGCACAGACTATTATGACAAAAACATAACAGAAAGACATTAATTACAGCATAAAACAAGTGACAACATGTATGACAGAAGCATCAGATGAGTGACGTCATTTATAACCAATTTATACCTTACATAAAGTTTGTGTTAAATCTTTTTTTCTCATTGTTTGACTAGTCAAATCCTTCATGTTTATCGCTCTCTTAAAGAAAGAACAAATTAATCATTTCCAATGTGTCACAGTTATATAATTTCATATTACTATTATAGGGTCCGCTCAAAAAATGGCTCCATGTGAACTTTGGCGAGGCATTTACAGCATGGATTCACGTTAAGGTGAGCAGTCATTTTAGGGATTTTACAAAGATTTTCATCCTACGTAGAATATTTGTCTAACACACAATGCGTTTTAACTTCAGGCCTTAAGAGTTTTTGTAGAATCTGTCCTACGGTATGGTTTACCTGTCAATTTCAATGCCATGATTCTCAACGTAAGAGATGCTTGGAGATAATGGTTTTAATTCTTTTCTGTGGTCGGTAATTCATTGCACTTTTTTTCATTTTAGCCTCAAAGAAAGGCACAAAAAGTTACGAGAACTTCTCTATGGATTTTATTCGCATTTGGATAATCAAATGAAAGATTCATCAAATGATGTAAGTCATTATACACGATCCACAAAGCTCCTTTTTCTTGTCGGTGATTTCATAACTAAATGTTATCGTTCGTTGTCCGTAATGCATAAAAGAAGATATAGACAGTTTTTGCAGGGATGACCAAAATACATACTAAGATGTTTGTTTTGCGAGGTTTCATTCATATTTTCAAGCTTTGAGTGTTTGTTTTTAGAATGTAGACATTCCTGGTCTAGTTCTTGGACCCAAAGAATACTATCCTTACGTCTGGTTTCAATTAAAAACCAATGTTTTGGAAAGGTGAAAGTGTGTTTCTTACCTTATTAAATGACCAGACGTCCGTGGTAAGTATGGAGAAAGTTCAACTTGTCGTGATTGGAAATTTAAAATGATTTTTGGAAACAAATGGCAATATACGGGGACTTTCAATAAGTTATACAAACTATTCATAATATGAACGCAATTTTGACGTATTTTAAAATCCGATAGATATTCGCCAATTGGAAAATAATTTTTAATTAAATATTAAACCAAATAATTGTTGGTTGACCATGCTCAAGCAACAGGTCATAAAAAGCAAAACAGGAGGGTATATTGATTTAAAAAGGATTTTATTTACACAAACTATCTGCTAAATTCCATTATACCATGCAATTTGGTATGTCATAATCTTGATATTCACAAAATGTCTTGTTCGCAAACGAACTTTTACTTCACAATTCACAAACCTACCAATTACTTGTAAGAAAGTGGAACAGTAATTTCACAATACAAATGATAATTCAGGAATATCAAGAGGTATGTTGATGTGAAGTTATAATATGATGGTTCAATGATTATCAAATGTATTAATGTTTATTGTACTGGATTGACGTGTAAACAATCAATGATCTTAGGTAACATAAGTAGGCATTTGTTGCGGGAAAAAGGATCTTGGTTGATAAAAGGATCTTGGTAGATAAAAGCTATCAAACAATCGTATCTGTGATCTGCTGTATGTTTTTTCTTAATGGATTTTCCCCACAAAACATATAAGAGGGAATCGTGGCGTTTTGCTGGAAGTTCGAATGAAATTCACTTTCTGTAAGGATTATTTTTACGATAAACTGAAATCGAATGGTCGAAATTTTCTTCTGAATTCCTCAGTAACTCTTTTTTCAGTTTCTATAGGAAGTTTGCAAGATTTCCAGTCGATTTTTTCTTCCATATTCAAGACGGACGGACTCGCCAAAACCTCTCTAAACAAACAAAGAATTGCAAACCAAAAATGTAGGTGCTCAAACATGCAGTAGAAATTCATATGTTAAACGATTTTCCATCTTCAAAATATTGTTAGCAGGCTTGTGAAAGCCTTGGATGAGACTTTGCATGTGTGCACAGAATCATATACCAACCTTCCGAATTGCAGAGGCATTTTTCGTTTTACTCTGTGTAACATTCGACAACCATCGTCAAATTCAACAAGAAAAAAAGGAACTTGTGGAGGCATTATCTATGTTGTGAAAAAATACAGAATTAGTATGCTTTAAACGTGTTTGACATGAAACAATCTTTTCTATGGTTAATAACCAACCTGTTTTAAATCGGTTTCGTTATCAAGCATATCAAATTCTATGTTTTTCTCACTACCAATTTCCATAAAGAGTCCCTTCAAGTCATCTGCTTTCTCCTTCGGAACTGGAATGACCTATTTACAATATTGATATCACATAAATAAAAATGCTCAATGAAATTATCGTAATAGAAAGCAGCAAACCTGTATTTGCAAATGTTGTGTGTAGAAATTTCTTTCATATACGACACATGCATCGTCTTGTTTCTTAAAAAGTTTTCGTAATGAGGATTTGTATCTGTCGATTTGTACGATGAAGGAATTTAACAGTAATATCATTACTTTTATGTGAAAATTTACTGTCATTTAAGTTGGGTGGAATTAGTCCTAACTGTGGCTAAAAGATGATTTCCAAGTTTTCATTTCTAAGTTAAACTGTGTGCAATACTATTCTTTTATTATTCATTCAGGATTTAAAACATGCACATCGTTATGCATTGTTGAATGTTTGTAGTTATAACATATTTTTAAAAGGTACTTTTCAATTTCCATCAAAGCCTCCTGTAAAACAAAGAACTTGCATAAAATATCAAAAATATTTATAAATAATTACAGTTTCTTTCATTTTTTCTAGATGCAGGATGATGCGCATGAGTATAAAGAGAGAAAAATGTGTTGAAATTCACACAACAAAAACTCAAACAGTGTGTCATCTAGAGCATATAGTTTATGATAAAAAACAGCTAATAACGTGCGTACATCAGGCATTTCCACTGTTGACGGATAATGAGCAATGGGACAAATCAAGGTATGATCTGTTGTAAGCCCACCTTTAGCCATAGCAAGATATACCTAAAAACGTTTTTTATTATTTACGCACAACAGTTTTCAAATTCCAACAAAAGTGTTTGACTGACAACAACATTGAATGTTTTATTTCAACTTACGTGATCAGCAACACTGACAATTAAATGTTTCTCCACTTGACTGCCACCGAGGCAGAACCAACAAGGACCTTGAATGGGAGCTGATAGAAGAGTTGAACTGAGGTAAATCAAAAGCTCAATGAATATTTTTGATATTGCAAAAGAGAATTGAGTGCTTTTTCATTTGCCAGTTAGTAACTTACGTGGCCTTTTCGTTTTCTAGGTTGTCTATTGTTGTCTGAAAACAAAAAATCAGGTTTTTCATTGTGTCTTCTTTAAAAGTAAGTGTCATATTAACAATGCTAACAACCTGAAGTAAATGGAGTTGAAGCTTTGCTGCTCATGAAGTTAAATTATTACATTGAAGAAATTTTTACAAACCATTTTCGTTCTTACGCTTCTCTCCACTAGAGCCTGAGCTCAGGTTGAAAAAAAAGTTTTGACCAACATTTTGCTGAAATGAATTACATATGCTAAGATAACTTTACTTTGAATTTCTATATGTTGATTGAATACTGAACTGATCCATCAGTTTATTTAAAAATTATACCTGAAATGTTTGCTGGTGATGTTTGGACTTTAAAAATAGTCCATAAGGTGACTCAGTGACATCATCAGGTTGTTTAACCAGATCATCTGTCTTCATGATATTTAGAGGAACAATATTGAATGCATAGAGGTACTAGAAAATATAAAAACTAGGATATTTTATTGTGAAAGACGGGTATCCATAGTGTAAAATTTAGATTGTGAAGATGAAAAGTTTCTAATTTGTTTCTAAGAAAGACCTTTTTCTTTAGTGTATTGCCAACACTTGCAAGACTAATAAATCTTGTGACATGTTGGGATGGCTCCCGAAGAACTTGATGATTTCTTAAAATAAATAAAATATGTATAATTAGATAACACTCATATATATGCCTTATGATTATAAATACAAATCGCTCAATGCTGTTTATAGACTCAAATGGACATGGAACCTATATGGGAGTCTTTCATAGTATGTGCTCTCTAAAGCTGTAAAATGATATCTTGGTTTGAGTTTTGCAGCAAGCCTAGAAATTGTTTCAGATCCTAAGTCCTTCATATCTGTATTTGAGTCCACCTAAAAAAAAGTATTAGTGAACAATATTTTCTTTTAAAATGATTTTTTACACAAAGTCATTAATACAACCTTGTTTCCATATTGTGTCACATTTTTTGGCCACTCAGTTGTTAGCAACATGTCTACACCTTTAAAATTTGTATCTTCTATCTTTGCATACAGTTGTTTCATGTCTTCTTCTTTATAAAAACATCCTTCCTGTTCATAAGAATGGCAATTTTCTTGTCTAGTGAAAACATGTTACAAAAACTAAAACAACTTAGAACTGACACTCTAATATTACACCTTGCTGGTCTTTTTGCAATCCAGTCCACTAACATATGCAACCTGTAGGCCATTTGGACATTGTAGAATCCCGCTGCGACCTTCATATAAAATTTTTAAAGAAACATATATAGGTTTCTCTACATCAACAATTGTGTTGTCACATAACAGGTTTATAACAAAATTGTTACAATTACCAAGGTATATAATATTTTGGCACAATTCTCCACCAGATAATAAATTGATATTTTCATATTGTGTTAGGTGATCTGCTGTTGTTGGACCCAAAATGTAAGTAATAATTGATGCTGTAAGATAAAGAGAAAAAAATTACAGTTCTTAAATATATAAAGAAACAATTATTACAAAAAAATTTCAATTTCTTACGCTATGTCAGGGTAAAACAAACAAGTATTTTGACAGTTTAAGATGATAATAATATTATACCGCAAGAAATGCCTTCTCTGTACTCTTTCCATACATTTTTATCTTCTTCAGTTGTGCCAAAAAAATTGCCAACACAGAGAAGCATCTTAAGAATAAATGAAAGTGAGATGAATGTATTGAAGATTTTACATGAAGAAAATTTATTCAAAAGTAAAATATTTGACACCAAACATACATACTAAAAGTTAAACTCGACGAATACAATAAATAAAATATTGCACATTAAGAAAAGTGCCGGCTTTTATAAAAGATTTACCTCAAAGTCATTTGATTTTTTAAGAATATTAGAAACCCTTTTGTATAACGTTTTTAATTTGCCGTTGACATCACCACACACTAGGTATAAAAGTAAAATTTCTTTCAGTGTGACTAATGTGAAATATTTAATTTGCTATGTTACTAACATTTTATATGGCTTCTGATCCATGGTTTTTGCTCAGTAATATTCACGTTGTGATCTACTAAAATGTAAATATAAACAAATAACTATGTTTTCGCTGTTTCGCAGTCAAGTCAAATTTGTCCACCATATTGGTTTTGAAGATCGCGGTGCATTATGGACTACACACGTGTCTATCTTCTTTCTTTTCACTACAACATGGATCAGGTCTGTCGACTAGGTTTTTGTCGGTTTTATTTCGTGCTTTTTCTCCAATATTTTCTAGATTTATGCGTTTTCTTAACTTTTAAAAATATAATGTTATATCTTTCTTCTTTTTGTTTACTTTATGCTGTTGTGTTCTCATTTCTTATTTCAATTTTAACGTCCGAAATATGCCGTTTCTGATACTGCTATACGGCCATATTTATATAACCGTCTATTTCTTATGCCTTATCAATATTTGCACTCAATCATTGTCTTCGTTCATTTGAAGACATATATGGAATAGCTAGGTGGAAAAAAATTCGGGAAATGATTGAGTATTGAAAGTTTTAACTTATGATTTTTTAGCAAACCGAGAAAGCTTACCAAAAACAGCCACCAATCTTTCAAAATAAGAAAAGAGTTTTGACCCAAGGACAACAGTTAAAAAAGAAAGAACTAAGATATTACAAGAATGTTGGTCTTGGCTTCAAGACACCTCAAGAGGTTATTGTCACGTTATATATATACAACATTTTATTGTTTGTGCTCATTTTATATTGTAAACAATGTACTATAATGTAAAGTATCTTGAACCAAAAATTTCCTATTCCCAAACAATCATTGAAAAATGGGAGCAATTACAGAATACCATGTCACATACTTGTGCTAGCTGCTGGCCTGAACCTAAACCTGTTCCTGATTTTAACCTTGCCTGATTGTGGTTGGTAGTGTTGTGGAAGGGGTTAAATATTGGTCTGTTGAATGAGGGTTTTGAGTGTTTAGAAGTAAAAATGCTTCCATAAAAATTTGTGAAAAATGTAATGAACAATGTTACTCTAGGCTATTGATGGCCACTATATTGACAAGAAATGTCCATTTACTGGTAATGTCAGTATTAGAGGACGAATATTGACTGGGACAGTGGAAAAGATGAAAATGAAACGAACCATTGTGATTCGACGTGATTATCTTCACTACATCAAGAAGTACAATCGATTTGAGAAGAGGCACAAAAATTTGTCAGCCCACATCTCCCCTTGTTTCAGGTTTGTTTCATCAATGAATTTATTACTGTTGTCTAAGTAGCTAAAATCAAAAGTAGTGAAATGTTTGTTATTTAGTAAAGTATGTGGGCTTGAATCCAATTAGTTGAAGCCTTATGAGAATTACCTAGTTAGATGTGAATAAGTGAAAACAGAAAACATATTTTAAATACAAACAAAGATATTGTGTGTTGCTTTTGGTAGCGATAGATGAATACAGTTTTTAGCAAGTATCATTTGCATAGTTTTCAGTTATGTTTTCAATGCTCTGTAGGGATGTTGCCATTGGTGATGTTGTGACTGTTGGTGAATGTCGTCCTCTCAGCAAAACTGTCCGTTTTAATGTGTTGAAGGTGTCAAAGGGGAAAAGTTCTAAGAAATCTTTTGAAAAGTTCTGAGATTGTCTTTTAAATTTTCAATAAAGGCCTGTATCCTCATATATTTGTGATTTGTGTGTTCTTGTTATTTCGTCATTTTAAGTCCATGATGTAAAGTCCGTTTAATGCTGTTTTTAATGTTAAAATCAAACGAAAATTGAACGTCCTTGTAATTAAATACATATTCAATGTATTTTGAATATACTCTATGGCATCACACTATTTTAAACATTAAGATGCTGAAATGGAGTTTTCAAACTTGGGGCAATTTTCGTAATTGAAACACAACAAACAACCCAGAGTTAAACCATTGTTACGTATGCATGGTAAAGTCATTTTATAAAACATCGTTGAAAATCTGACGAAGAACTGGAAAGTCCGTTTTTCAAAATAGATTATGATATATTGGTTTAACCTTTGGCTACACTACACCATGAGCATTTTCACTGTAATCGTTTATTATCGGTCATTTGTGAATATATCTTGTTATTCACCACAAGACCGTGTTTTGAGCGATCAAAGATTATCAAAAATTTGATAACCTTTCATTCATTTCGTGCAAAGTCTTGTCTAGTTCAATTAACCTTCCGTTTTTATAATTGCTTTTAGTTCAATTAATTTTGTTGAAATTTCGTGAATTTTAAAAAAAATTCGTCGATTCAACTTTCCCTAAAATATTACCAGTAACGGTATATCTTATACCCTATGAGAATAAAGGCTTTGTATATTTTTATATACATGCATCCTGTTTAAGGGATGTATTTCATTTGAAAGAAAATGTTTTTTATCCATGCATTTGCAGCTACAAATCGGTGTTTCCTATTCCTACATTGATGTTTGTCTGTCGTGAACAATTACGTCATACATTTTCTTTGACATCGTTGGGATTAGTTTGCAATTCACTGCATTCAAAGTCTGTATATTTCTTTATTTTACTCCATGCAGCTGTATGTTATGTACAGATCAAACCAACTGAATGAAAAGCTGTGTCTTTATACAATACACAAGTTACTGAATACAAATGAAAGTGGCGATGTTAATTGTCTGGATCTGCCAAATGGTAAGTTTTAAGATAACTTTTTTGTATCATATTTGTTTAAGTCAGTTGAACGACTGTTATGGCTCAATACAACTTAATTTGACTAGTATTTCTCGTAATATTTAGTCTTTGTGAAAGGTTTAAGAAGAAGTTAAGTTATTTAATTTGCTCCTCTAAATACTTTTTGTTAACTTCTAGGATATGACGGAACTAAGTTTTTGATTTCATCAGCTATCCCATTTCAAGATGCCAAAGCTACATCGCCAATAAAAGATTAATGAAAAGAGAAAGGTTTGCAATTTTTTATTGACGTCTCAGAAAATAAATTTAAAAGAAATTATTCATTTCATAACCATCTGTCATCATTTATCGATGACACATCAATGACCTTAAAACTTACATTCCTCTTCGTTCATCAGTATAATAATGGTATTTTGTTGAAGTACTATTAATCAATCTAACGAATTCTGTACCTTTATTTTTTGTCCTTTTTGTTTAACAAATGTGTTGTAGATAGTGTATAAAAGACCTTTATACTTCTCGTGATAATTTCAATGTCTGTCACTTTGACAAACCCACGAGTACGTAAGATATTGTCAGCTATGTGTATATATTATAAATCTTTGTTACAAGCACAAAGGTTTTCTGCTCCAGGGAATTTAACATTAACATAAGTTGTTAACAGAAAAATCTGCACCATAATGCATACACGGGCTTAACCTACAGTGATCAGGAATTGAACAATCTGCATGTATGTGGTTTCGTATAAAATTCCCCTCGGTACTCGGTTTAGTTTGATCGTATTCACAAAGAATTAATGAAGATTCATATAGAAACTCCCACGTCAAACTTCCTTGTTTATTGAGCTTCAATATTTTAAGAAATTCATTAATGATATGAATGAAATTACGATTGATGGACTTTTCGTGGATTGTGTTACTTTAATGTAATAAATACAGCAAAGCTTCACGAGTATCTGTACTTAGCGAAGCGTATAATGTCAATGTAAATTGCTTTTCAAGATCCACACTGTTTTTTGTCGAGCAGTTACTTAAGCTAACTGTCAGTGTTATCGAGTTACTTCTATATGAACAAAAGAAGGTATGTCCGACAGTTTCATTTATATACTAAACTCGTAGACAGTATATGTATCCGGCTAATTGTGTATAGCAAGAGCACATGCAAATCATAGCCTATTATAAATATCATGTTTTGACACGCTTCATCATGATGATACAGTTATAAATCAAACATTATATGAATTTGCTTTCTGTAAGTTTAATTTGATATATCTGATTTTGAGTCAACTTTTGCTCTTTGGTAATTTTCAATTGTAGGAAGATGGCTGATGCCAGCATGAATTGGCGATTACATTTCAGTGCATTTTCGCCAAAGTTTTAAAACAAAGACAAATAGCATACATTGACAATCCTTACGACGAACATGTCTCGCAAATTATGATCGCAAAATGTGACTTGAAGTATTTGAATGATCGTCAAAAGGGACTTGATAAGGAAAAGAGAAGCGTAGTTAGTACTGGAGACTTTGATTCTAAAAACGAGATTGATGAAGGAAAGAGAAGAGTTGCTAATATGGGAACTAATGATACGATTGATAAAGGAAGGTGCGAAGCTCTTAATTCGTTTAACTTTGAAAACACGCAAAGTTTGGCAGATAATGAAATGAAGTTAGACTCGCTGAGTCCTCTGGAGAGCGAAGTGATATGTGATGTATCCGCATCCGTAGACGATTGGAGTTGTTTATTTTCTGCCAATCAGGTATCAAATAGTCGGATATCTTTCATACGACATTCATCTACATTCAATCATATGTACAGTCAATTTCCAGTATCCCCATTATTAATTCCGTGATATTTTGGATTACTTTATCATGTTTAGTCTGTTGAAACAAAATGCAATAGACATCACCATTACAATAACTACTCTGCTATCTATGGTTACAGTTATAACAGATGTAGTAACTTTGTGATAACTTTTATGGTCATTATTTTCTAGTGTCATATCAACTCTCCAGCTGGTCAACTTCAATTATCTCTCTCTTATGACCCGTGGTTGTCAAGTTTGAAAATAAGTATCATCAAAGCTAAGGGTCTTACCTGTGCTAAATGTGCCAGCAAGGAAAGAAACAGTGGCATTATATGTGTTGGTAAGTCAGTACATTTTTCTATAGTTTCTTAATAATTCCGATCTTTTTAGATATTCTATGAGTTGCCGTATCTGTTTTTCTATTATCAGGTACTTTTTTCAAAATTTCGTTACTTTGTGGTGGTAAATTAACTCAGTCCAAAAGAACTGCAACGAAAACGCGAAAGGCTGAGATATTTTTCTACGAGAAATTCTCGTTTGTGGTTGAAAAGGAACCATTCGTAATTGCAGTTTACAATGCGAGGCCATTCATAAAATAGGCTCGTTCATAAAACGCGATCATGTCATAGGTTCTGTGATGATTGGAGGTGATGATCGCTATGGTGAAGACGGTGTTTCTCATTGGCAGGCAATGCTTCGTAGATGCCATAAAGATGTCACTATGTGGCATTTTCTTCATTTTTGATGAAAAGAAATGTTAATCTTAACTTCGCGTGGTTATTGAAAGGAAAATTGCAAATGGTTAGAAAACATTGTGTTGAACTACTGTTATATGATAACATGAGCCTTGATGAACTGATAACATCAGTAAACATAATATGTGAAATTTACTGCAGGCCAAAGCTTAAAAGATTTTCTATCTTTTGCGCACTGAATATGTGAAATAGTTCTAGTATTTAGTTTTAGATAATGAATAATATATTTAAGTATGTAAAATTTGTAGAAAATAAATGTAGTGTTTCTGTTGGACTAATCACTCTTAGATATATTTTACGTTATAAGTTTTTTCATTCATTGAAGTTTTTTTGATCTTTGACATAACCACCTTCCATACTCTTAGCTCAAGAAATATCTTGGAAGGCCAATGATCTAAAAAAAAACAAACGATATTATTAGCAACCAAGTTGTGCAACACTCCGGGTGTAAAACACTCTAGTTGTACAACATTCGTCCACTTTAGGTCTCAGCCAATGGCAACGCGTGTTGCATATGTGAAAGAGATATCAATCTCAGCGAATAGCAAGAGGTGTTGAACGTGTATAAAAAATGGATATAAACACGGATTATCTCACCTTCATTATAAAGGAGAAAAAAATTCCCAAAATTAAGCAAGGTATGAACAAAACATCACTCGATGATCTTTTTACCCTCTTGCCAAGTATCCACACTAATCTATTGATGTTTGTTTGATTATATGGCGGATAACGTAGCCTAAAAAAAAGTCTTATGCTGTAAATAGTATACACGTAACCAAGCCTGCTGTTCTAGGCAATCAAAGTCTTAAAGATTTAGACAGGCATGCCGTCTTACGTACTAACTTATAAACCGGTCACAATGCGTTTTTCACAAAACATACAAAGAAATCACTCATACGAACAACGATTTCTTCAAAATTTCCTTCTCGAAGCCTTAAATATGAGCGAATTTTCCGGCAAGATTTTCCTAGCTCATTTTATCATTGTACTGGCTAATGCTAAGCAATTAGTGTGCTTTGTGTGAGTACTGTGTTATAAACCTATGGTGCTATAACTAGTACTATAATGTGTTTTAGTTGTGGAGTTCGTTCATAAAATTCTACCTCCTAGAATGAATCTAGATTCAATAAATCTTGTATGTCTTCAATAAATTTAGATTTACTGGAAACCTACGTGTTAACTGCCTCAAGCATCTGTTTTGTGACGTAAACTGGTTTCTTATGTGAGAATTCCTCGAAGCCAATTTTTCCATGATACGCGCCAGTTCCGCTATGACCAACGCCACCAAAAGGTAAGTGTTCCGCTATAAGATCAACGTTAAAATTAAAATTAAATATTTTTGTTTAATTTGTTTCGTAAAACTACGAAACTTAATTGTATTGTTCTTACCTGTCGCGTACATTAAAGTATCGTTTGCACAAATTGCACCACTTGATGTATCAAGAATAAATCTTTCCACTTCCTTGTCATCATTTGTAAACACATACAAAGCTAGTGGCTTTTCTCTGAGAATAGAGAGATCATTACGATATTTCTAGTACAAAAGTTATTACCGCAAGATATTACAATTACATATACAAAGAAAGTTGACCTTAGGCTGTAAAATAAACTCACTTTACCTCTCATTAATAAAGTTTATTGCTTCATCGATATCATTCACTGTAATTATAGGCAACACTGGACCAAATATCTAAACATAACACATGATTATTACTTTGTTGTCTTTAGACTGCCGTAACAATTGAAAGTTTTGTTTCACCTCTTCTTGCATAATAGGATCAGAAGAAAGAATGTCCGTCAGAACAGTTGGAGAAATGTATTTTCCCTCTTCATCGACATCGCCTCCAATTGCCTGTCGACCGCTGGACATTAGTTTGTGGACGCGTCTGCAACGAAAGAAGAAGTAAAAGGTTGCAAGAAAATGTTACAGTAACAACTAACAAAGTTGTTGTATTGTTTTATGTAAGTTGTCTGTGATTATTTCTTACTTAAAATGACGAGCGTTGACGATACGACCGAAATCTTTGGAGTTTTTTGGGTCCTGTGAAAAACAAATCCGGCTTTTCAAAGTAATACATGACTAAAAAATATGTATTACATCAACACGAAACCTCTCCAAAGAATTCCGTGATTGTATTTTTCATTTCTTGAATAAATTCTTCTTGTGTGCTTGGGTGACATAAAATGTAATCTGGTGCAATACAAGTCTGAAATTACACGTAAAATAACTGTTTTGATTCAATTGGTCTCATACCACAATAAACCTGAAATGAACATTGAATGATAATTTTGAATTAGTGAAATTATTTTATCTTTACAATTGTTGACATCATGAAAATATATTTATGGTTTGGTCTCTATTGTCAGTTGACATTTCCTGATAGGAATGACAATTTTGAGCAAAAATAAAACAAAAAATGATAAATGAGATCTATGCAGGTAATACCATATACATGCTTTTATAAATGCTTTTCTTCAATTTTAAAAAAATATAAAACTTGTGATGGATATCTCATTTCATAACAAATGAAATATGCATGCAAAAATTAACTTTTTCATACTTGTCCAGAATTTATGTATTTTCCCCATGCAATTCTCCTTGATGCCAATTTTAGGTTGGAGCTTCGGCCCAAGTAACAAGGGCTGTTGAAATAAAAGTGATTTTGAAATAGATGCAAGTCAGTTAAAACAAATGCTATTATGTGAATGGATGCTGACCTCTTTCCACCCAACTCAAGAGTGACTTTTGAAAGATGTTCTGCTGCTGCTTTGACCATAATCTTACCAACTGCTGTACTACCAGTATAAAAGATGTGATCAAAACGACATTTTAAAATAGCAGTCGTTTCCTCAACACCACCTTTTAGAACACGGTAACAATCCTGTTTCATATATCAAATACAAAGAAATATTTTATGAACATTTTCTTTCAACTTTGTTTAATGCATAGTCCTATCTTGTATAGCTTTGGACAAACACAAGTGTAAAGAACCAGAATTTCTATGTAGTGTACTTAGCTAAGGGGGCCTGTAACTTTCAAGTGCAACTATTTTTCCTACATTGTCCAGATATTTTTCAATCAATTTCTCCAACAAATCAGCAGTATTTGGTGAAAGCTCGGACGGCTTTATCAGTGCACAATTTCCTAGAAGTCACAGATATGTTCAATTAATAAAACAAACTAAAATGCTATCCATCAATGATTTTTTTACCTGCCGCAATTGCAGATGCCAATGGTAACAGTGTTATTTGGACTGGTAATTCCACGCACCAATAATCAAGCATACACCCAACGGTTCATAGATATTATATATTGTGTTCATCTTATTGACCATAGATTTTGGTACATAGTCTGGTTTAGTCCAGTCATCCAAATTATTGATAGCTGACAAAAAAGTAGTGATTGTAGCATTTCGCAAACTGTTGAGTAGTTTATAAAACTTTAAATACTTGGTGCTAAGTGTAAATAGCATTAAATCAATAAAAATCAATACACTATAATTTGTTATCAAGGTATTTTGCAATTACAGGTTACATACCCTCGCAAATGTCATTAATGACTAATTGAACTTCCATCATAAATGATTCTGCAGCAGGCTAATGCAAAGGAAAATACGCAAACTTAAATCCTAGTACAAATCTAAAATTTTCTTAAATATAACTTTATAATTTTTATGCATAGCATATACTTTGCCAAGATCCTCCTTCATTGCTCCAAGGATCACATCTGTATTTTCATCAAGAAGGTCTTTAAGTTTCATCAGCTGTTGCTTACGGAAGTCAATGGGTTTGCTTTTTCCACTTTTGAAAGTAGCATGAAGTTTCTGCACAACCTTTAAGTTTTGAATTTAATGTGACATACATGCTACTTTACTGAGTATTACAGTAACAAATTCTTAGACATATTGCTGTTTAAATTATTGTCTGTTTTTCATTCCATACAAACATTGAACATTTGTTATAAACATAAATTAAGGCACAAAATTCCAAGCAATTGTATGTGAAAAGCAGATCACATGATATCGTCAACAACTTTCAGAACTTGTGTTGCCCATTGTCAGATAATATTTTTCATTATGACAATCAAGTATCGTCTCAAATTAGACATGTATAAGTCATGGTTGGTATTGTCAAAAACTAGATTTTTACTTTAACAGCGACATCAGATTATATTGACCGGGAAGTCGAATCATACATTTGTCACGATGACTGGTATATTTCTACAATATTTCGAGGCTTGGACCATGTATACAGTGTATTCTCGTTATTGATGCACACGTGATCCAAGCAATATTCATTACAACAATGAATAGCAATATCCATAATACAACAATACAACATGCGTTTGATCTAAAGAGTATGGTTACATCTTACTACACCCAGCCATTGACCGCATTTGCGTTTTCTTCGATCGATCAAAGTTCAAAAACGAATATTCAGTTTAATTATATAACACAAAAAAAATTTGAAAAAATTACATTCTTAAACGCAAGTTGGAATTTAAAGCATTAATTTAGAGTCAGTCGATTGCAAAATAATTACAATTTACGTAGACTGTTCAAATTTTAAAAACGCACCGGTCCAGGGTCCATTTTGATTTTTATTTCTCCGTCGATAGGATCTTTAATTCGAGCAAAAATTATTGATTTATCTTTGCTATACAATGATAACAAACCACGTTGAAACCATAAATGGTGGTTTTTAGATTAAAAATAGATAAAAAAGATTATTTCGTAAGAAGCAATGTTGAACTCAAAACTGTATGTGGTCACTCAAGGCAACATTATTTATGTATATACATATGACGTAATGATTGGAATGAAGTCACATGGTCACAAGACAGTCAAGAGCTGTCAAATGTCAATGTCTCATAAACGATAAACTATACAAAAAAATTTTCACTGTCTGTTAATAACAAGACCTAATGGAGCCTGAAAATAAGATTTTTGTCTTTAATTAAATCTAAATTTTGAGTATCATTGTTATAATGTTGTGAGCTTGGTTGTGACTTTTGAGTGAGGTCAAAAATTGGTGTGTATCACTAAACAGTTCCCAGTCCTAATGTGCAAACGAAGAGGTTATAGTCAAGATGGCGGTAAATGTGAAATTAGAGAATTCAGCGCGAACAATCACTGAATCAAATGGTTCAGTTTTACGAGGAGGAAGTTTTGTTACGGATGTGTTAAAAAAAACAGGCTCCTTGGAAAAAGAAGATTTGCAAAAAAGTGTCATCAAACTGTCACAAAAAGTTGACTGTGTGAAGGTTTTGAGTTTTTGATGATTTTCCCATTTCATTGTACGCATATAACACATGCCCTCTCGCCCTCCTTCAATATCAAGAAAATTATTTCTAGATTGGCTCATTTTTAATTGTAAGTCAATCTTTAAGCATGCGGTTTTCATGGGAAGTAGATGCGCAAATTATCTTTAATTGTCATTTAACTTATTTTGTGTCATGATTGTATGGTGTATTCACTATATTGTGTGCAGTCCAAGCATATCTCATGCCAAAGATGCTCCATGTTTTTAAGAAGAGCTTGCCAACAATATTTCAACATCAACATCCCGTTGAATCACCTGATTTTTTCAGGTTAATGAGACAATTGCTTAAATTGTCCAACCAAGTGCGAAGATCATATCTTAATTTAATTTCAAACACCGCACTGCAAAAACATTCATAATTTCCTTCATTGCTGGAATAAACTTATTTACATGCAACAGAGTATAAGATTCGTTATCAGGCCAAAGCATAGATCTTCTGTATAACATACATGAATTTCACCTTGGGTGCCAGCTTGGAGAGTTTATAATTTTGAGAAAAGTAGGTGCCTATATATTTTTGCAAATTTTAAATCTCAGGTGCATAATTTACAAACTTTCCAGTCTGGGTGATGAATACTTGATCTTTTTGAACTTTATTTAAGATTTTTTGTTTTTTTTCTAGACCCATATATATTCACTCATTCTGAAACAATACACTGAATTCACTCAATCATATGACCTAACTACAAACATAAACTCAAGTGTTCAAGACTTAACCACAGAAATGAAATGCCTCAGTGAAACGATTCAGGTAAACCGCTTTTGGCATACTAGGTAACCTGTTTCACATAAACCATTTCACCTACAGCTTCTGGCATAACTATGCTGGGAAATTTAAGAATGTTTTTGAATTATTAGGGTGATGTGGAGATGCAACTTCAGAAGGCCAATAATTTGTTCACAGACTTATCAGAGCAATTAAATGAAACAAACATTATCATCAAAGTTTTGAGCAAAATTTGTGAGGTTATTCTGTTTTTGTTTATTTTGACATTGTGTAATATGTTAATGTAAATAATTATTCTTTGATGTATTACTTACTTTGACAATTTTTGTACCGAACAATAGTTCTACATATGATGGAATAATGTTAAATTGTTCAAACTGTTTTTAAATGAAATAGCATATTTTAAAAAAATTATTAACTTGATCTTTAAAAGTCTATTTTGCCCTCAACATGTAATACTTACAAGTTTACAAATTTAGCTGTAATGGAAACGCTATATAAGGTAGCAATCCATCTTGGTTGATTAAATCTTTAAATTAGCATCCCTTCATTTTTCTTATTTTTTCTGTTCTTCAAATTCATGTAAAGATGAATTTTGTCAATTAAACTATTGATTTTTATTCTAGATCCACGATTTGATGTCGGAGCTTTCTGACTTAAAAATTCACCAGAAATATTCTAAGATTGGTCATACTTTAGGAAGTATTGTAAGTACATAGTTGTCCTTCTTGGGATTGATTAATTTCATTATTTTTATGTAATGATGATACTGTATTATTTCATCATTGTTGTTGTTTAATTCCTTAGAAATCACTTCTGGATGAATTATCTAAATCTGGTGCTGAAAGCAAGGTTTTTCGAGCTCTGAGGGTAAACAGTTGAACATCCACATTTTCTCTTGCAAAAGAATTTCCAAATTAGATTTTATGTTATACATTTCAGGCTGAGTATCTTAATGAATACAGTGAATTTCTGATGATTCTTGATAACATATGGGATAAATGTGTATGTTGGCAAACTATGATGACATCATCTTGGGACAATCTTGATGATCATTTAAAGACGCAGTTAACACTCTCTAACAGTAGGTATTCCTTGTTGCATGAATATGGATTTGTATATGTACAAGTGTCAAAGGAATTAGGTGAATTTGAAAAATGAGTTGCTTATGGCAGTGTATTACATTATCATTCACTATAAATCAATGTCAATCTCTTTTCTCTCAACTTAATTAAATTTATTTATTTTTACCATTTTCTTGATGTTCTTTTTCATTGGTCAGCTCTTTCTCTAATGTTTTAACATTAGGGAATGAAACAAACGTGATGACAGCATTACAAACTATGCAATCTCTTGGCATACTTCATGAAAAGTTAGTTAAATTTGGTGAGCACTATTTTTAGTCCATTATCTTAGCCTGTGTTTTCTAGATGAATTAGATTTAAAATGTAATGAAATGCCTAGATTGTTTTTATATAATGTGTTTTATTACAGGAAAAAGGTTTATACAGTTTATTATTAAGCCTATTGTGATTTTTACAAGGTATGAATTTCTTGGGAGTCTTTTTGTTGTAAGAATACTCTACTACTTTTTTTACTATTAACTTGCTAATGTTGTTATAGGCTTAAACCTGTTCAGCATCGTAAGGGAGAGGTATGTTGAGGCTGGAGCATTTTCATACACAGTCGTGAAGAACGAAGCCATGTTTTTATGGTGAAATTCATTCAGATATTTTTATTTAGATATTTCTATTCACGTTCATTAAAGAAGCATCTAAGACCTCAAATATTGGCATAAGTAAGTTAAAGTAAATATTCACTGCAAAAAGTTTTCATTCTATTCAGTTATCGCAGTTTATATTTACTCATGAACACGTGATTGACTACATATATCTGACTCTATCGCATATCTAGACATGTTTCTTTTTTTGAAAACAGAAACATTACTGGATAGAATTATGCAATCATTCCAAAATTTAAATATCGCATTTATGAACCAAAATATTCCTGTTGCAAATGATGGAAAGGAAGAAAAATGTCTCGCATCAACGTTAGGTGAGATTATCTGGCCATCACTATCAGACATCATCATCAAAGATTTATTGGAGAAATACATACCAAATACAAGCAGTCATGTAAGAAACTATGATTATTTATGCTATATTTCTGTGGCAATTCTTGAATGCATTTATTTTGAATTGATAAAAAATCTACTCATACGTAACTACTACAGACGCAACCCTTTTTTTTAGCCATTGTGACTAAATGAGCATCTTTTTCTCAGATTTGACTATCTTGGTTTTTGTTTTGGTGCTATTTTCGTATATTTTCTCTGCTTTAAATTTACTTAGATTGAAAAATATGATGATATCTTATCGAGTGTTGAAAAATTTGAAAAAACTCTTGTTGAATCAGGTGATTTTTTCTTTAGTCATTAGAACGACTGCTACTATTTTTGCATTGTTATCATTTTTAAATTGTACATAAATAATCTTCTGTTATTTTTTTATCTGAAATTTTATCACTGTACTTTGGCCATTTATTGTGGCTAATCTAGACTACCTTCCTGATGGAACCAAGACGCTTTCTTCGTTCTGTAGAAATCTAACTACGCAATATGCGAATAAAAAGGTATCGTAAATTATGATTATCACAAATTTCACGCTTCTATCGAAGTCTTCTGTTTCTACTGAAGTTATTGTATTGAAGTTACTTATTTTTATTGAAGTTACTTATTTTTACCCTAATGTGAAATTTATGTCTGCAGTTCTTGTTTTGAAATCCTTCTGTATGTTTTAGTGCCAAGATCTGTTATTCACTGCTCGTGAAATTTTAAAGTATGACGTCACCTTTCACAATACAAAGTTGATTTCTGTTCCTGACACATATCAACCAATAACACCGCTTCATGTGCGGTGTGGGAAAGCGAGTGATTACGATGATCAAAAGGGAGTTAAGGTTTCTTAGGGATTTTTCTTCACCATAATCCATTTCTTTTCTTAACTGACTTCATTTGTGTTCATATATTTCAGCCTACAGCACAGACAACGAATGAAGAAGAAGCAACAAGCGAAAATCTGTTTCATTTTCCAGTTTGTCGAGTTAGTGAGTGTATTCCCGAGTTTCTAAACCTTGTATATAAAACATTGAGTGAAGCAACAAAAACCAACAAAAAAGGGTAAGATAAGATGCATTTTTATTTTCTACATACAACACTGTTTTCAATGCAGTACCTCTAGTCATCGTTATATCGACATGACATCTTTTTGATGCTGTACGAGGCTTGATTTTCACTCAAGCTACAATAATACTTATACAATAATTACCAACAAACCCATCAAATGGTAAGTATCTGTTTCTTATACGTACATATTTATTATAGGGATGTGAAGTTATTCTATACTGCAAGGAAAATGTTTGAAATTTATCAAGTTGTTGTACCTACCTATTACGAGGAAGATTTGGTAAGTGTTTCTGACAAAAATGTTTTATGAAGCTAACATTAGCAACTTTCTCGGTGATTTTTGCTGAACGCGCATCAAATTTATTGATAGTTATTGTTAGTTGAATTTGGCGATGATTTCATGAAGTTGTAAAGTAAATGGTTTGAACCCGGGATTATCTTTACATGTTTGTGGATGTAGGTCCAGGTTAGTAGAGTCCTGAGAAGGACTGTTGTTGGTGTTGTTGTTGTTGTTGTTGTTGTTGTTGTTGTTGTTGTTGTTGTTGTTGTTGTCGTTGTTGTTGTTGTCGTCGTTGTTGTTGTTGTTGACTGACGTTTCGACAACCTTAGCGGTAGTCATGTTCAGAGTCAAATGACCACCGCTAAGTTTGTCGAAACGTCATTCAATGTCAACAACAACAGTCCTTCTCAGGACTCTACTAACCTGGACGATCTACATCCACAAGCATTTCGTGAGGTTGTTAGTTCCGGAGAGCCTAGTTTAAAGATCAATAGGTACAATGATTTGTTGGTTCACAATAAATATATTGTTGATACAAAAAATGGATATATTTTCTCTAAGGACCAAAATATTAGTTCGTAACTTTTGTAATAGAAATTCAGGCATATGAGCATTTTTTCTACAGATTAAAATTTGCAGAGTTATTTTGCCACGATGTATTAACTGCTCGTCTGGATAATTAGACCAAAGCGTAAATTATGTACTTACAGACCTGTAAAAAAACAAGCAACCATATTTTAACTATATAATAAACTATTTTAGCGTGACCTCCCGCAGATCTCTGCCGTGCACTACAACAACTGTATGTATATAAGTCATCATTTACTTACGTTGGGTCATCAGTTTTCTACGAGATTGCCCGAGCCATTGAATTGTGGTGCTGCCACTTTTGTTGATTTGATTTCTCCTATAAGAGGTATTGGAGAGAAATGCTTTGAAGATCAGTTGGTAAGTTGTTTGAATATGAACATATCGTTAAACATTTTTTTGCTAAACAAAATTTTACTAATGCCTTTGGTACAGCAGTTGAAAGTGAAAGACTAGCCATCACATATCCATCAACAGAAATGTTGACAATTTTATGAACTACTTTCACTGTGTTACGCTTTTCATTTTACTTTTCACGCCGTTAACTTACGTTTTACTTTCTCATAAATGTTGAGGGTTTTGCGATTTATTCCAGAAGTATTTAACGTCATATATATACTTATAATATGTATAAAATGTGCCCTCCCGGCTATCGTCATATGGGGACTCCTGCACTTGGGACACAGGACGTACGGTTACACATTGTTTGGATTGGATTGTAGAGTCACCAGAGTGCTCAAACCTATAAAAGTGCATATCGCGAACACGGTGACCGTCTCATAATATATACTTATATACATACCTCACACTAATTCTCTTACATGTAATACGCTTAAAACTGATATTGATCCTTTTGTGCCTTAAAGTCTTATGGATTTAAATTATTTGAAATATTTTTTTACGGAACTGGGGATGAAACTTATTTATTTCGTGGTTGGAATGATTGTGACGAAATGGTTATTTTAAAAAAGAATGATTTCTTTGCTACAGCGAAGACAGTCTCATGTTCTATTGGACATAATGGAATCTGGTGGAGGATTTGTTGATCTAAGTGCTACGTTGATGGAGAAATCCATTAAACAGGTAAAACGTTGTTAAAAATACGTTCTTTATTTATACTCTGTGCGTGATGAAATAAACGTAAAATATTATTTCTATTAAACATATTTCCCTTTACGACGCATAGGTTTGTTATCAACTGCTGAAACTGAATCGCGTATGGAAAGATATTTTACCCAGTAACATATTCACATCATCGTTAGGAACTTTACTTAATATTGTGTTAAACAGATTCGTTGATGATATCCTTAAATTAGAGGTATCTTTTACAATTTTCCATTTATAGGATTGCATGCATTTCATTGCACCCTAACGCTATTGTTTCTTTTAGGATATATCGAGTGATGACTCGCATAGCTTTGAGTATTTAATGGCGATTTTCGAGGACAAAAGCCCTGAAGCACTTCAACTATCAGCGCAGGTTTGTTTTTGCACAAACAACTTTCTGGTTTCTTCTTTCATTTTTGAGGTTGTTGCTCGACCAAGATTGCTGTAAGTTTAAAGTGCAAATATGTCGCGAAATTTTTCATCAAAAATAATGAAAAAGAACGTTGTTTTTTTGCCTTTGCTAACTATCAATACTATCTTTTTACATTTAGGAAATGGCCTCTACTGTTCAAACTTGGACAAAATTTATTGAACTTCGTGCTATCATCGACTCAAGCCTACAAAATATCGAAAACAGATGGAAGGATGGAAAGGTTTGAATAATTTTGTTAATGTTATCACGCAAAGATTCTATAACGAATTCACATGTCATATACGTCAACATTAAAGGCATACCAGTCACCTGTATCTTTATCCATCATCATCATATAAAGAACATAACAGTCACCTGTATCTTTATCCATCATCATCATATAAAGAACATATCAGTAACCTGTATCTTTATCCATCATCATCATATAAAGAACATACCAGTCACCTGTATCTTTATCCATCATCATCATATAAAGAACACACCAGTCACCTGTATCTTATCCATATCATCATATAAAGAACATACCAGTCACCTGTATCTTATCCATCATCATCATATAAAGAACATACCAGTCACCTGTATCTTTATCCATCATCATCATATAAAGAACATACCAGTCACCTGTATCTTTATCCATCATCATCATATAAAGAACATATCAGTAACCTGTATCTTTATCCATCATCATCATATAAAGAACATACCAGTCACCTGTATCTTTATCCATCATCATCATAAAGAACACACCAGTCACCTGTATCTTATCCATCATCATCATATAAAGAACATACCAGTCACCTGTATCTTATCCATCATCATCATATAAAGAACATCACCTGTATCTTTATCCATCATCATCATATAAAGAACATACCAGTCACCTGTATCTTTATCCATCGTCATCATATAAAGAACATACCAGTCACCTGTATCTTATCCATCATCATCATATAAAGAACATACCAGTCACCTGTATCTTATCCATCATCATCATATAAAGAACATACCAGTCACCTGTATCTTATCCATCATCATCATATAAAGAACATACCATCACCTGTATCTTTATCCATCATCATCATATAAAGAACATATCAGTCACCTGTATCTTTATCCATCATCATCATATAAAGTACATACCATTCACATGTAACTCCATCTGTCGTTGTCTTGTACAAATTATCATCACTTCAGTTTTACAAGTGTCTATAAGGTGTCTGTTTACAACATGAACAATGTGTGTTTGGACGTGAACAAAATGTCTTTTTTCATATCAGCTGTTTTCTATCTTTTGTAGGGACCGTTAGCTAAAGAATTTAGTTGTAATGAAATCAGGAGCCTTATAAGGGCTTTATTCCAGAACACAGATCGACGCGCATGCTTACTGAATAAGATAAGACCATTAACAACTTGATGATCGTTAAATGTCATTGGAATTTGCTTCTACAAAGAGCGTAATTAGCACCCTGCATGGAATCCATAGGGGTTTGGGGGTGGTTCTACTATACATAGTCACCTAAACTTTTGATTTGTCACTGATTACCTATTTTAACGAGAGGTGTGGGAATAAATACGTATTTATTTATCTGCATAAGGAAAGGAATAGGATTACATTGGGCGAGTCGGACTTCGTACGGAAACGTTATTTCTATTTATTTCCGGTGACGTTTCACACACAATCACCAAAGATGAAGAGTTTACATTACCAATGACATCGGTATTGACATCTTTGACAGTACAGGTTTTGTTTTGTTTACAAATATGGCTACATCTTTGACGCACCTTTTCTCTAAAGATAGAGTGAGTATGATCTATTATTTATGTCCTTTCGATCACTTATATTGTATTTCTATCGGTAGTTATTGTCATTTTTGGGGGGGGGGAATTGCTAGTTTATACATTTTACTATATTTTACCATATATTTTATATTATTTTGATTATTTAAGAGGGTTGATTTGTTTGCAGACGTTCAGGGCGAAGAAAAGATGGGACGAAGGAACGTTACGCCATAATCTACACAAACATGCTAAAGTAATTTACTTGTTCAATACCAGTTCATTTTTCATTTGCTTCCGCTATTATTTTACTAAGTGAAGATATTCGATAGAATTTGCGCCGTTCCATTTTGTAAATTTGTTACACGTGAAATGTTTCGTAAAAATTCCAATTAGAAACATAACAAGTGTAAATAATTATTGCTATTATTTATGTGTGCTAACCACTTCAATGAACTAGCGCTAAGTTGTTACATAACTACTACAACAGGCAACATTGCAATCGGGACTGGACTTAAAACAGTGTGTTAAATTACCTCCAAATGAGACTTTAGAAGACTGGATAGCTGTTCATGGTAGGTAATTGAAGCAGTTTGTTACAATCTGCAAAGACTTTTATTTTTATTACTTTCTGTCAGACCATATGTGCCTGCTAACTTCCATTTGTTTTGAAACATGCCAAAAATTCATTACCTTTCAATTCAATCTCTGTTTTAGTGGTTGATTTTTTCAATCGTGTCAACTTGATCTATGGTACTATTTCTGAGTTTTGCACACCTGAAACTTGCCCCATTATGTCAGGTGGACCCAAGTAAGTGTTATTGACCAGTGTGTATAGTACTTAGTACAAAAAGTAATCCTGGAAAGTACTATACTAGTTATTTGGTAAATTCTTACCAATCATTTAGATGATATACATAAGTTAAAACAGATAAACAAAACATAAAGCTATAATTATTAATTTTTTGTTATTGCTTCTCACAAGTGATACTTGGGTACATCATGTTACTGAAATCAGTTAAGATCTTTTCCAGGAATGAAAAACAACAAACAACATTTGTATACCGGCCAGTATTAATCCCCGCCAGGGGGGTTGACCGGTCCATGAACTTTTCTACGCCAAACGTCTCTATCTCTCGCCATATCTCTCGTAAACCCATCGCCTTCATATCACTGTTCATAGCATCCATCCATCTCTTTCTCGGTCTACCTCGTTTGCGGACTCCATCAACATTCATATGCAACGTATATATCATCAACATTCATATCATCAACATTCCTTTTCCAGGAATGAAAAAGCTCATAAAAAACCAGTGGATATTATGTTTTTATAATGTAATGGTTTTTCACTTGATTTCATTTGTCACTTGATTGTCTTTGCAATTCCTGAAGATTCTTAACTAATAAGGTAATATATATGTATGAGAAGTATTCTATTCTATATTTACTTAGATATGAATATCATTGGGCTGATGGAACTAAAAACAAGAAACCAAGAGCAGTTTCAGCTCCAGAGGTCTGTTGCGCTACAAGTTTTTCATAGAATTTTTATTTGGGGAGGGGAAGGCTTTTAGTAATATGAAGGCGATGGGTATAACGAGAGATATGGCGAGAGATAGAGACGTTTGGCATAGAAAAATTCATGGACCGGTCAACCCCCCTGGCGGGGATTAATACTGGCCGGTATACAAATGTTGTTTGTGTGTGTTTGTGTGGGAAGGCTTTTAGTAGACCATGTTTTATCTGAGCTCAGCATTTGCCATAAAGTGCAATAGAATTGTATCTGTGGATTTCACATATTTTGATTGTATTGAGCATTTCGATACAATTTGTTTGCCTATCAGTGCACATATAAGATGTTATTATAATCATTTATGTTCAATGAGTGTAATTCTTTCTTCACTCATCTGTTTTCTGGCAAGTCACTATAATAATAATTGTGATGTTGCAAATAAATTTTATATTAATTGCATCAAACATATGCTCTTGACACATTTTCAAACTAATATCTGCACAATCATTTTTGTGAATGAATGAATGAAGCTAGAACTCTTTAAAGGCTTTTGGACAATCTTATGGAACTAGTTTGGTTCTAGAAAGGTTTTTCGACTATCTTATGGAACTAGGTCAAGGTGTCTATTTTCAGGATCGTTTTCCATCATGGACTTTTTGTATAATAGAAGATCTCCTCCCCAATGTTGAAAGACTGAAAATCTCCACCTAATACAACAAATCACACTTATATAATGTCATTCTCACATTAAATTGACTATTTTTAGACTTCTATACTGTGAATGTCTCACATATGCATTAAACGCCTTGCTTTTTCTTCGGGAAAATCTTGTGTGTTGGGAATGAACCCCCCAGTATTTTATGAAGTGTCTGCCACTGACAAAAATACCTTGCAAAAGGTATTTTTATCTACATTACCATACCAGTCTAAATGTATGTTGCTGGATGGTGAAATTATTTTGTTATTTTACAACTAATGCTAGTCCCAAGATTTGATATATTATGACATTATTCACATGGTTTAAAGAATGACATTTCAATACCGTCCAATGATTTCCTGACATGTTAAGTATAAAGTATTGTTACAACAATTGGTATTTAGGGTATTGTAACATGTACCATATGAAATGATAATAAAGCTGGTATGGGCTCAAAGGCAAAAGTGTGAAGTAATTGAGGCATGAAGTTTTTGGTTAGCAAAGGTAGCTTTGGTATGTTTGAATGTTATAATCAACACTTGGTTATTTTGCAGTATATGGAACTACTAATGGATTGGATAGAGGGTTTAGTCAACAATCCTAACATTTTTCCTCCCGACGATAGTAAGTTATGACATTGCTACAATAAATTCCAACCTTGTATATTATACATTGTAATTTCTTTGAATTTTTAGGCATACCATTTCCCAAGATGTTTTTACCAACATGTAAAAAAGTATTAACAAGGTTGTTTAGAGTGTTTGTTCACGTATATATACATCATTTTGAAAATTTGGTGGCAAAAGGAGCGGTATGTATACTTAGTTTTTGTTAAACTGTACTTACTATTATCATTACGTTAATTTTGTATGTCTACTAAGCGTTTCATGATGTAATCTCATTTACAGAAGCACAAAAAACATCATTCTTTTATGAATTTGGTGGCTCTTAAAAGAGCCGTTTTAAGTTTATGAGGAAAGCAAAGTTTACGCTTTCTTTTCGCCTGTCTTTTTGGGCAACAGAACAGCTTGAATATTAGGCAATACACCTCCTTGAGCGATGGTGACACCAGATAACAACTTGTTCAATTCTTCGTCGTTTCTTACGGCCAACTGTAAATGCCTGGGAATAATTCTGCTTTTCTTATTATCTCGGGCTGCGTTTCCTGCTAACTCAAGGATTTCAGCAGACAAATACTCGAGAACTGCAGCCAAATAAACTGGTGCACCAGCACCTACTCTCTCGGCATAGTTGCCTTTCCTCAACAGACGATGAATACGACCAACGGGAAATTGAAGTCCGGCTCTTGATGAACGAGTCTTTGATTTTGTTCCCTTAGCTTTACCCTTACCGCGGCCAGACATTTTGCTTAAATCTTCTTTGATTACCAAACAGTCGTTGTTCTGTGTGAAAGTGGAGAAAATATAAAGTAATTCTTTATGATTACGTCGGTTTTTATAGCAGAGCAGTTATTCATGTAGGATCAAAAATGGAATATATTATGAGATGCTTTTATGACTACTCAGAGGTCGGGCTCATTTCTTAACCAATCAGATGCCATATATGAGCTCCGACCAATCAAAGAGCAATAAAGTTTATTCTTTTGGTGATCCTTGGAATAACCAATCGACTTCGCGTATATAATTAACTTTATTTCAATTATTTCAGATTTTTTATTTTTTTGGATAAAATAAAATTAACTGCATTATTTTCCTGCCACAATGTGGAGTATGGACTTTTTTGGTGTTTGCCTAAAATGGCATTAATTATTGAAAATTAATGTGTGTTACCAATTGGTTTTCCCAATAGCGATTAATTGTATTTTGTTGGTATTTTTAAGGAGGCCCATGTAAACCAGTGTTACAAGCATTTTTACTTTTTTGTTACGCAATTCAGCCTTGTGGATAAAAAAGAGCTTGAACCATTGGTATGTATAATGGAAGTTTCATAGCTTCAGTCTATGATCAGCTTGCATTGAATGAAGATATGATCATAAAACATATATCATATATCATTATATTTTCATTATATTATATTATATTATATTATATTATCATTATATTTTATTTTATATTTTCATTCATATATCAGCTTGCATTGTTGTTTAAAACTCTGCTCAGCTGTTTTTGATAATTGAAGTAATATTTTTTGGTTTCAGTCTTTTTATTGGAGGGGGGGGGATACGGCAAAGGATGGTAATAGGCTATAGCTTTCAAATCGGAGTGGGTTTTTTATTCTGTTTTGCATTGGTGTAAATTATTTACAACAAATCAATCAATGTTTGCATTTTCAGAAAGAAATGACTGCACGATTGTGTCGTTGATGATTTGGAACATTTTTGAAGATCAATTAATGCAATGAAACGAGATTGAATTCAAACAATGGCCATCACAAAATGTCAGTCTCTTCTGTATCGACCATTTTTATTTTTTCAATACAGACCTTTAATTGCCCTTCCCAACAGGCCCATCTTTAACCAAAGTTGGGTACACCCATGTTTGTCATTAAGGACAAATTTAATTTTCAGAGTTGCTCTAGTTGTTTGGTATTACCTGCAAAAATCATGCAAAATGCTCTTGTGAAAACAGCTACCATAAAATTCTTTACCAGCTTTAGGGAGCTGTTTTAAAAAAATGGTTAATTCCTTAATTTTTATTGTTCTGATTAATCATTTTGCATCATTCATTCTTTCAATCCTTCCTGCATAGAAAGAGAAGCTATTTTGCTATTTCTTTTTTTTTTGTACAAAATATCAGCTGCACACTTTTTTGATTTTCTGCTGTGAAGCAACTATGGCATTATGACTTGTTATATATGTTGTAAATTATGTTCATATTTGTAAGCAGCTTTTCTTGTAACATGTTTATGAATATTGAAAGTAAATATTAAAAAATGTATTAAATTATTAAATTTTGAATCATTGGAATTACTTAAAAATTTCTGAACACTGATTTCATTTTCCAGTAATGCGTAATAGACATGTATTATTTATTGACAGTCGTTTGCCTGCTCAATGCTCAGTGGGTGTGGGATAGTATTTGTTTTGTAAATTGAAGTTTGTTTATATGTACTTAAAAATTCGAAGGCAATGGTTAAAGGTTGATAAGGATTTATTCTTTGGTGTTACAAAGATATTATGGCTGGTGGAGAATGTATTTCAAAAGTCCAACTGCACATCGCTTGCGAAGGGCTGAAGGATAAGGATGTTTTATCAAAATCTGATCCGATTTGTGTTGTGTATATTTGGGACGAAAATGCTAAGAAATGGATGGAGGTTGACTCATTAATCAAATGAGCTTAAGGATATTTAACTTATTCCTGAGTATTTTGTTTAAATGTAACCCTCGTCTTGCTCGATCTCATTCATCAAAAGTCATTTAATTCAAAAAGTTCTTTATCATCTTGTTTCTCTAGTATGCTCGAACAGAAAAGATCAAAAATAACTTGAATCCAAAATTTACCAAACCCATCAACATCGATTATCATTTTGAAATCATTCAGAAATTGCTATTTTCTGTGTTTGATATTGATAATGAGACAAGTCAACTGGATGATGACGATTTTTTAGGACAAATGGAATGTAATCTTGGCCAGGTATTTGAATGTTAATTATTTTATCAATTCTTTCTGTGATAAAATATTTTGTTTTTGGGTTTTTTCAGATTGTTTCAAATGTTCGATATACACAGCCTCTAAAGCAAAAAAGTGGTAGACAACATGGAAAAATCACTGTATGTTCTCATTTCATCATATATTGTATTGAACTATCTAATAGGTACTATAGATGACTCTCCTTGTCTATGTTTTGCTGGTTGGTAACTTAATCAACTTGTTCAAAACCACTCGACCAAATCTGCCTGCCAGCAAAATGTAAACAAGGCAAGTTGTCTATAGTACCAAATCTTTTGCAAGGCTCGTGTAACTAATGACTAATGTTCCTGAGATCTGAATGTTTATCATAGAAGTTTACTTTTATTTCATGAAGATCTTTTAAATGTGGTCAATGAACATAATTTTTGCAACCAGTTGTGAACTTTTTATAGCAGTATCAACTCAGTGATTTTCTCGTCTGGCATGCATTAGGATAACATGTTTTAGCTTGTGTGTTATGGTTACACCATAGTTAAAAGGAAGTTAATCAATCATTTTTTTATCTTTTAGGTAACTGCTGAGGAGGTTTCTAAAAGCAATGACAAAGTTGAGTTGATTATGCGAGCACAGAAACTGGATAAAAAGGTTAACATAGTCACCTGTTGCAAAATTCTGTAGCAGTTTTTTAACTTTAATAATTGGAGTGCCCATATTAATATATGCATGTTATAATTTGTAAAAAATAAATGATTTTAAAGGAATGTAATATGACAACTCATACTTACGCCATTGATGAGATCAATCAGTTTTACAAAAGATTATATATATAGCTAAGGTCATTTCAAGGTGTCATTTATTGGTCTTTTACATGTAGAAGCATCTATTGATATATATTACTGTACATATGTTTTGACAATCAGTCAAGGGAATCTTCTTTTTTCAGTCTTAATACATATGAAGACCAATTGTATGTCAACACAACCATAGATTTATTTTTATAATTCTAGATGGTTTATAGATTATAACAGCATTTATTTTCTTCATTATCACTGGTATTCATTATTTTACCAAATATTATAATTTGTAGAGCTTAATTTTTTACTCTGGTAGGATTTTCTTGGAAAATCTGATCCTTATTTACTTATTTCACGGCAAATTTCTGATGGTAGTTTTGTTTCAGTCCACAAGACTAAGGTATGATTCTTGCATTCTAACTCTGAATATTTATATGCAGGGCTTAAATAAATATGATTTCTGAAAATGTTTTAGTTTTACTCATTCACTAATAATACTTTTGCTTAAAATGTAGGTTATTAAAAATACCCTCAATCCAGCATGGCCACCATTTGAAGTGTCTGTAAATACTCTATGTAACGGAGATTATACTAAACCAATCAAAGTAAGAAATTTTAATATATGAAATCAAATCTATTAATTGCATGTTATGTGAATGCATTATCGTGAATTTTGTGGTTTTTTGATTAGATAGATTGTTATGATTGGGACAGTGATAGTAATGATGATTTGATTGGTTCCTTCACCACCACGTTTAATGAAATGTTGAAAGCCAATGAAAGAGAGGTAAATATGTATTCACTGTACAAAATATCAACTTCCTTGTGTTGTTCAATTTTTTTTTGAATCATGCATCCCAATTTAGATATCTTTATGATACAAAAAAATCTCCTCTTTCTGGTGGCCTGATCCATTTTTGTTGCAATTTTCTGCCTGGGATTGTAGAACAGGGGAACTGGGAAGACTATGTACATCGGAACTTACAAGCTTTGGAAAATTTGTTTATGAGAGTGTTGTGAGGGGAAATTGGTGTACAAACAAAAACTCATCATTTCAGCCCCTCCTACAAAGATATTTTGCTTTTTTTTCTAAATTGGTGTTCATTTTCTAATGTAGGTCTCATGGCCTTGCATTAATCCAAAAAAACAGAAGAAAAAAAGGGATTATTCAAACTCAGGAATTGTGTATCTTAGTCGCTGTAAGGTATGAATTCTTAATCACCACTTTTTTTTTCATAAAAGGCATCGGAAACAAAATATTTGCATGTACAATACTAGTGCACTTGCATTAAGCTGAAAATTTCCCCTTGAGTTTAGTTTTCATGCATTTCTTTTTACCGTTTGATTTGTTCCAACACTTGATATCCAAGACTTATGTAGCTCCCTGGTTCTTGTTTCCTATAATGTATTTACCTGTTGTCAGTGACGAAGCCAACTCCTTGATTGGGGACACATAATTAAGACATGCATATATATGAATTTTTTCAATAATATTCTTTTTTCTGCCTTTCTTTTTCATTAATATTCTTTTTGGTAGTGTTCAATTGTGTTTTTTGTGTCAAGATAGTATTATGATGTACTGTTGTATGTTCTATAGGTGACCCACTATTACTCGTTTATCGATTACGTCATGGGTGGATGTCAAATTAATTTTACCGTAAGTCAAAAAAATCATGGCACTGACTTTGAGCAAGTTGTGATGCACACACGTACAATGAGAAGAAGGAAATTATAAAAAAAAACACTTTAAAAAGTGTTTTTACGTTTTCAACATGGTATATTAAAAATTTTATATGAATATGAAATCACTATTTTCTTAACGAAATAACCATCAAAAAGAATTTAGCAAGCATTTGAGTTGTGTTTAGTCGTCCAGGTTTTAAAAAGTATTAGAGTAAATTCTCTCCTTCGTTCAGGTTGGGATAGATTTTACAGCGTCCAACGGTCATCCTGCACAACCAACATCGTTACATTACATAAATCCTTATCAACCCAACGAATACATGAAAGCTTTGACTGCTGTTGGAGAGATTTGTCAAGATTATGATTCGTAAGTGTACCTTTTAGATTATGGGTAGCTCTAGTACTAATACCATCTTAAAACTTTTCTTTCTTTTTCTGTTTTAGCGATAAATTATTTCCTGCTTTTGGATTTGGAGCAAAGCTTCCTCCTGAAATGCAGGTGTCAAAGTTCTAACGAATACAGCATGTGTAGACTTAAACAAGATGATAACCAGCTTTAGAAAAAATCTAAATTGTACATATAAAGACATACTGAACAAGTACTGTGACAAACATGTTTATTATACATTTTGGTAACTCATTGACAACAAGATGAACAGTTATTTAATGTAAGAAAGTTTAATTTTTATTTATAACTATTTTTATTGACCCAAATTGAGTAAGTTTTAAATATATTATACATAATTAGACACAAATTCTGTCCCTCTTTCCTTACATTTACTCAATCATTTTGTTCGGCCCAGGTCTCCCATCAATTTGCTCTTAATTTTAATCCAAGTAATCCTTATTGTCAAGGTATGTTTGTTAAATGCTGTAGTTAGGATATTTAGTTTTATTTCCATAAATGTCTGTTAAGGTTCTTGTTAAAAAAAACGTTTTTTCTACTATGGATTTCTGTTCTTTAGGTATCCCAGGAGTCGTAGCGGCATATCAAAATGCAATAAGTCAAGTTCATCTCTACGGACCAACCAATGTTTCCCCGATAATCAACCATGTTTCAATGTTTGCTTCAAAGGCTGCCCAAGAGAACAAACCGTCGGTCAGTTGAAATCAAAATATCAAAAATACTAAGCTTCCTGCCTTCTTGCTTGCAATAATGTGATTTTACAAATTAGAAAATATGTCTAGTGTTAAATTGTGTTTAAATATATAGAATGAAAATTACAATTTTTTGTCCTTTGCAATCATCATGTTTTTCAGAATTACTTTGTTCTTCTCCTTCTGACTGATGGCGTTTTATCGGATATGTCGTTGACCATCGATGCTATCGTGAAAGCTTCGCATTATCCGTTATCAATAATCATAGTCGGAGTCGGATCAGCAGATTTCACTGATATGAATACTTTGGATTCCGACGATGGAAGGTTCTTACGTAGTGTACTATGTTGAACTGATAGACTTCTTAGCGATGGAATTTAAGACAATGCATACTTTCTAAAAACAGCTTTTCTTTTTGCTATCCATGTCTTTACTATCCATCTCCTTTATTACCATTTTCTTACTACTCTACCCCCCTTGCCACTCTCTATTCACACCTGTTCCCCATTACTCCTTTGCTATTCATCTCGTTCATGGTAAATTCTCTTACTATGTAGACATTTACGACCAATCCCCGTTTAGTCCCCATTGTTCCTTCATTATCTTTTTTTTCTTGTAAAGATTAAGGTCACGTAGTGGTGTAGCTGCCAGAGACATAGTACAGTTCGTTCCGTTCAGAGATTTTGCTAATGTGAGTAGCAAATATTGCATTAATAAGCCTGGCATCGCGAAGCTTTTTTTTTCATAATATGTTTGTCTTTCTACAGAAACCGCCCTGGGCTCTGGCTCAGGCTGTTTTAGCTGAGATACCCAATCAAGTCTCAGAATATTTTACAATGAAGAAAATGGCACCTGGGTCAAGACCATCCATGGGACAGTAAGCTTTTATTTCACTAGACATACATTATTCTAACATCTTACCGTAAATTTAAATGAAATAATATGAAAATTTGCACTAGATTCGTTCACGTAAATTCATTTGTTCATCTGTTTACCGAGAATGCAATGCAATTTCTGTATGAATGTATCATATAAGTATGAACTTTAACTATTAACTATAAGTATGAACTTTAACTATTAACTATAAGTATGAACGAATAATACATATTCTTTATAAGTATTTAGTGATTCAATAATCAAATGTAACATTAATGTGAATACAGGGCACCATTTTAGTGATTGCAATATATTCTATCGTTCTTTTACATTCTTTTTTATCGCTGGCCATAACTTCGATTTAAAGTAGTACAAAATGATAAAATCTGCCAGAAGTACCATAGAAAATGCTTGTATAGTTAAATGAGAAACATTTCTTCTTGTCATTTCTGCTTGCTTCATTTGGCAATCTTTGAGAATTGCTTCGAAATGGAAATTAGATGTAATAAACGATGCGACATGGAACAATTGATGACTTTGTCCGATTAAGTCAAAAGAAACTGGTACAAATCTTTCTGGTAGTCTTAAAGCAAATATTAGCCCTACAACAGGATTGCATATCAAATGCATGTAATGATGATCAATAGGGCTAGATTTATTGTATATCAACCACCAAAACATAAATGTGGACACAAATACGAAAGGTATGGAAAGTGCTGACAAGCGCAATATACTTCCCCAGTTTTGGTCACTATAATGTCGGCTTAGACAACACCCCAAAAATGACATTATAATTAAGGCTACAGAAGTATATGTGTATATGTAAACGATCGAAGACGTGTGCACGTGTTCCGGTGCTGTATAAGCTAAGAATCCCATAGATATGGAACAACTGTAAATGCTAATGCCTAAGTAATCCATGTAAAATACAAAATGTCGCACTTCGATATTCATTGATGAGAATAAATGTGCAATCGTGCTTAACAGGGGATAACAGCATAGACCGAAAGCGACACACAATAATGGCCAATAGTACTCGTCTTGTGCAAATAGGATAGATAATTGATAAAGTCTTCTGGCAAAGAAAACTGAGACCAAAAGGTGCGTCCAGATATTTAAGGTCTCGTTGTGCCATTCAAAAATACTTAATATACTCTGACTTGCTGATATTCCTGGAGGGCGGTAGGACGTTAAGATGAACTTCTCTCTATATCTCCCAGGTACCTTAGACAAAAATTATGTATTGTTGATAATTATATTGTTCTAGAGAAACCTCAATTACCAAAGTTTGTACAGGAGAATTCCAACTTATATATCTGAACATAATAGAAGAATTTTTATTATTCAAAAAACGCAATTGCATGATAGAGTGCGCTTCTCTGAAAAAAATTTAAATTCGATAAGTACCACGCGTTTTACTTTTTGTACAAAAAATCGCATTAGATAAAATCAATACAAACGCGAGCTATTTTTTACTAACCTCGTGGCACAGTAAAGTCATTTCTTTATGTTTTGTTTTTTTTTCACCCTGTAGTTTCTTGTATTTTTGGAAGGTCACTGTAGGCTATTGAAATGTTCACAGTTGGTTTACAATGTATATGAATTTAGATTGCGCTGAACCATGTTTATTAATTAAATGAGCTGAAAAAAGATTTTTTATAGTTTTGAGTCGTTTATTTCCATTTCAAGAAATTTATGTTTTTGTTCTTTTATAACGAATTTGCATTTGATACTCGAGCTTTGACTGGAGTTCAGAAACAGGACCAAAAAGCAAATGTCAAGTTGGATATGCTCAGATAACCACATCATATATGACCTGTTTGTTTTCACATAGTTCTAAGTATATAAATTACAGCATTTTTATTGCAAAATTTACTTTACGAAAAAAATATATTAGATACCTCTTCATAGGAAGCTACCAAGCTCTTTGATCCTGCCAAGTCAAAAGCCCGAGCTTACTATTTTATGAAGATGAATTTTTTCATCAGATAAGACATGAGCTTTAGTCTGTATTGCTTTGCCACGTGGGCTACTATTAATCCTGTGGGAAATAATTTGAATAAAACGCGCTTCCCGGCCATTTATTCAGAAATCCGAATGTGTTTTATGTTTTAATTAATTTTCATTGTAAATGCAAAATGTATATATTATGTAAAAAATATGTATTGTGTACAATAGATGAAAAGAAATGGTGCAACTTCATGGAAACGGTGTTAACAAAAAATTATTTTTATATCGGAAGCGAAAACAAAAGCAAACCTTGAGGTCACGTGATAAGGTAATTTGGACGATGCAAAATTATCGAAATCCACAAAATGGGTAAGTTTCTTTAGAAAGTTCTTAAACCGACTTAAAATAGAAATGCAAAGTCAATTTTTGTGTGAACTAAAGGACAGTCATATAAAAACCAAAGTACATACTATTTTTCTGTTGACTGTTGTTGATAAAATTTTAAAACTAGACACTTCTTGGAAAGGTAAAAATGTTTGGTTGTGTTGTCGCGGGACGATTGGTGAGTTGAAAAGCTATAATTTTAAAATGTGCATTGTTGTTCCATGGTTCAGAAGTCAGTTCAAATTTGCAAATATTAATAGATAAACATCATCGTTTTTGTTTCACCCCAAACAACCATATTTTAATTGGAGTTGCACTTTAATAAATGCTTGAATTTTGAGTAAAATTTGCTTTCAAATAAGAGTGAAGATGTATATATAGAAGTTTAGTTTTTTATTTTATATAGAAATTTAGAGTGAAGATGTTATATATAGAAATGCATTCATTTGAATAGTCCAAAGTTTGTTATTGAAGACTTGGGCTTGAATTCAGTCATTTATTGAATGTCTTTTCACATACATTTAGATTCAAACAGACTTTCAGCAAGTAACTGAAAATCAGTTTGTATTGACTGTACTTGAACCAGAGAAGATAAACCATATTGTCATATTTCTTCTTGGTACCATGCCTTTTCCTGATGGATTGGGGGGAGCGGTTTATTTTAGCTGGCCTGCACCTGAACCTGCCTGGCAACTTTTGGGTCACATATCAAATGTCAAACCAAGTGCAATATTTAAGATTTCACAGGTATGTTAAAGCTTATCCTTGTTGAAATGATCCTTCATTCTACTAGTTAGAAGATGATATAAAATTTTATCAATCAATCAATGCACTCAAAAATAACTGATGTTTTGAAAAGATGCAGTTACAATATTACAAATATCTTAATATTTGTTTCTATGCTTTTGCTTAATTAAAACATTTTTTGCTTGAAATATCAGTTGCATAAGGCAGCTGATACCAATCCATTTGGAGCAAATTTCAGTGCTACAAACTCGATTCAAGAGGGTATGGCAATAATAGGGATATCTGTGGAACCTCTGAATGTTTTGGCTCAGCAAACTCCAGCTTTAAATTCAACACCGTCCATGCTAAACAATCGAATGGAGTTTATAATGAAAATGTTGGAGAATTTTGTCAATTTTACATTGTCCTTTGGTTTGCAACAAGCACAAATGACACCAAATCCAACTGAGACATTTGTTCCCTTAAGTGTAGTAAAGAAGTGGTTTGATAATTTTCAAAGGAAAGTGAGCAATGATCCAGATTTTTGGAAGAAATGATTCTCAAAAAAGACAACGCATCTGAATTGAATGGAAATTATTCACGAAAGAAGAGATATTTTATTTATGTAAGATTTTGAAGTTGAAACAATTACAATTACTGAATATTTTGACCTGAACGCATCGAACTAAATCTACTAACAGCCTGCTTACAAACGAGGATTTTAAGATAATTCACTGGTTATATGTTTGATGAACCGTTCCGCGCATGAAATCAGTGCTTTTAATGCGCACGTGTGGCCCTGCCCCATTAAAAAATTTGGGTGTAAATCAGTTGAATGCGCATGTGTACGCAGTTATAAGAGCGAGGCATGGGGAGAAGAAATTTCTGTGGTTTATAGCGTTCGAATTTGTGCCTTTATAAAAGTTGAATTTGATTATAGAATTTTAAAAAAATTAATTTTTGTGTAAACTGGTAAACGCGTTAAGAATTTTCTGTAACAACAGTTTTGTGGTCGTCTGTGTGTGTAGGAGTCAAAGAAAGAAAGTAAGTTTTTGGGATTTATGACGAAGACTTGGCGCCACTGATTTATGCATTATATAAAGCTTTGATTTGCTTGCTGTAATTATTCAAATAAGTTGGAAATAAAATGAGCTGGCAACTCGATGTAGCAGCTGCTCACTCGCTAAATATACACACAGTCTTGCAGTTCACTTTTCATGTACAAACCGATCGATGAAGCTGGCAAATTAATGTGTTGAAAACGGCTTTTTATGTTAGTAAAAATCAATTACTATTGTTTTGGTTACTGGTTTTTTAAAAGCAACGTAAACCTGAAACTGGTATATTCATCTCATCATATATGACAAGTGGAATTGTGATTTGATTTGAATGCAAAATATGGTGAAAAAACAACGATCTGTTGAGGACTCTTCAAATCGATCATCTGCGAGCGAAACTTTGGCTCGAAGATGGGCTGGATTCTCGCTTCGTGGGGAAAATCATTTCGTAGAGTCGAAAAAGGAAACTTATTCACTCCTCTGTTTGTCGATCAATCATCCTTTACGTAAATATTCCCTGCGTCTCGTCAATTCAAAGTATCCTTTTTAACATGATAAGTTCATCTTACTATTATATCTATACATATATATATATATATTTTCATGTGAATTTATGTGTTTATTTGTTAAACGTTCTATAGTTTTTATGTTTTTATGTCCTCATCCATTGTTATCTTGATCATTTTTGTATATTTGTATTACGTATAGTAGCTTTCGTAAACGAAAGCGTGAAAATCATATTTACTTTATTTTGCCATGCAAAGTTTCTAATTTTTTTCTCTTTTCTTTTTTTTGTCACATCCGAAAGCCACACAATAATGTATTGCAGTGTTGCTTGTGTATATATTGATTTGACCCAAGTAAAGAGTATAGTTACATATATATGACATTAACTGTAATTTTGAAAAATCGACAACGCAAAATGACGGCAAGCTCGTTTCAAAATGTTTTGTTTTAATGCTACTATCAATAGACATATAGTCATATAGATAATATAAATAAATTATGTCAAGTCATCTTGTCAATGAATACATGATCTTCATGACAGCTATGTAAAATAGATTTTACTAGACAGTGTAGCTACCTTGATGGTACAGTATAAATTATCAAATTTGCTATATGAGATGAATTTTACAGTGCAAGCTGTATTTAGCCATTCATTAAGTTTGTGCGGCTTTAGCCACTCATTTGTACGGTTTTTTACGTGTTTTGTGTGAGCGCCTTGCGGGAGGGTTTTTCATTTGTCATTTCAAGGATTGATGACTTTATGTCGTTATAAAATTTACAATTCAAAATTCCTCAGAGATAAAATCAAAAGCATGTTTCGTAAATGTTTTTGTTTGATCTTTTTCAAAAATTGTTTAATTTTTTCTTTGGGAGGGGGGTTAATATAATTAAAGGTTTAGACTATTTTCTCTCGTTGAAACTCTGTCCTCTTAATTTTCTTGACGGTCATGTAAAGGCATAACTAACTTTTGACAAAAAACTTTTCCAATTCATTTTAAATGTGCCCACAACTTGTTATAACTACTAGAATAATTATTTTTTGTGTACGAATAGGTCGGTGAATCGTTAGTATAATTAGCATTGAAGGAACGCGTATACGCTGAAAGTTATCGATATTTGTTAAAGAATGCCTTCATTTTCTTATCGTAGTTTGATTGCTTAGCAACTTATAACACGGCTACCGTCAAAACACTAAAGAAGAATGTGTTTTGTCTAAATTTGTGACGCTGTGTACTCTAAAATCCTTTGTTACTGATCACGTTTTACATATTTTTACTCGTTTGCCAATGTGTTTTTTTGTAGCTTTTGTGTAACTGCCATTAGTACTATCGTTAAGTCTTCATTTTTTGTAGTAAATTTAGTGGCACGTTGCGGTAAAGATATAGAAATATTTTAGCAATGTTTTTCCTTGTCAACCACGACATGTTTATGTTCTTTTACTGCCTGTATTCACTTTATCATTTTTTTGTAGTTTTTAATTTACTTGGGTTAACTGTTCAAGATAGAATAATCAAATTGCTTCTGGAATATGTATAATAATATCAAATTAAAATGAGATAACTTGCACCTGTCTTTAAAAGAACTGTGAATTAGCATGAAGAACATGAAAAAATTATCTGTTTTCACTTGAAAGTTTAACTACTTGTTATTTAGAATGCGTTTCATGTTGTCAGAATATTTTATAAACGTAACATCTTTGTTTGTAATATTTCCACGTTTGAAGAAAAAAATGTACAAAACATGATTTGTTTATGTCATGGACTTAGTTCTTACTGTATTGTCACGTAGTCTACTGTTTGCCATAGTAGACTATCATAGTTATATATGTCTATATATATCATAGTTATATAAGTCTTCATAGTTATAGAGAATATCATAGTTATATATGTCTATATATATAATAGTTATATATGTCTATATATATAATAGTTATATATGTCTTCATAGTTATAGAGAATATCATAGTTATATATGTCTATATATGTCATAGTTATATATGTCTTCAGAGTTATAGAGAATATCATAGTTATATATGTCTGCATAGTTATGTATGTCTACATCATCATCAGTTTTAAACAAACATTCAATACAATGGTAGAAACCGTAATTTCCTTAACCCGAGCTTTTCCAGACTTTTCGAATATTTTATCTTACTAACAATTGCAGCCAACTGTGTAGTTTTGTCATTAGACTCTCCTCATCCTGCTGGAGATTCTACAGATTTGAACAGACAATTGGTGAGTTTTCAATCAAAATACATCGATGGGTTTGTCCATTTGAAAACAGCAAACATGCATTCATTATTGCTCAAACATGAAGAAAAGCTTTTTTAAGCTTTTGCCTTGGGCTCCTGCTCAACTTCTCATTTCCATGTTTCTACGGCATTATCTCTCCTTATTTGAGTTTAGTAGGTAGCAAATTTCTTATTTCTGAATTTACCTGTGTGTGTAGCGTCTGGATGTTATTGTAAATTGTGTGCATTGTTCTCGTTTGGGAGAGAAAGTTAAGATGGTTTCTCATCCCTTACGCTGGTAAATCATATGTTCCACTTTAAGATGGTGGGTTATCCCTTACGCTGGTAGATCATATGTTCCACTTTAAGATGGTAAGCATTCCTTACGCTGGTAGATCATATGTTCCACTTTAAGATGGTTAGCATTCCTTACGCTGGTAAATCATATGTTCCACTTTAAGATGGTAAGCATTCCTTACGCTGGTAAATCATATGTTCCACTTTAAGATGGTTAGCATTCCTTACGCTGGTAAATCATATGTTCCACTTTAAGATGGTTAGCATTCCTTACGCTGGTAAATCATATGTTCCACTTTAAGATGGTAAGCATTCCTTACGCTGGTAAATCATATGTTCCACTTTAAGATGGTTAGCATTCCTTACGCTGGTAAATCATATGTTCCACTTTAAGGTGGTAAGCATTCCTTACGCTGGTAAATCATATGTTCCACTTTAAGATGGTTAGCATTCCTTACGCTGGTAAATCATATGTTCCACTTTAAGATAGTAAGCATTCCTTACGCTGGTAAATCATATGTTCCACTTTAAGATGGTTAGCATTCCTTACGCTGGTAAATCATATGTTCCACTTTAAGATGGTAAGCATTCCTTACGCTGGTAGATCATATGTTCCACTTTAAGATGGTTAGCATTCCTTACGCTGGTAAATCATATGTTCCACTTTAAGATGGTAAGCATTCCTTACGCTGGTAGATCATATGTTCCACTTTAAGATGGTTAGCATTCCTTACGCTGGTAGATCATATGTTCCACTTACAATTTCGTACTTTTTCATTTTAAGGAGGAAAGCGAATATTACTTTGTCGCCATTTACGGTTTTGAAGCGATCGTAAAAATCCTAGCTATGGGGTTTATATTTCATCCTGAATCCTATCTTAGAAACGGATGGAATATTTTGGATTTTGTTGTCGTTGTAGTCGGGTATGTAATCGAATCTTCATTTTAAAGACTTTTTATAAAGATGTACTTGGTCACGTACATGTGAACGCTTCAGTTAAGCACTTGACATAGCCATATTGAAGGATTTACATGTAATGCTTCATGTTATCATATCATTCCTGATGAAGATACAGGAGTGGAGAATATATATGCATTTGATTTTCAACATCATAGCACATATGATGAAGATGTTATGATGTCTAGCATATAAAAAGCCTCAAACACTTGCATTACACCCAAACAATGAACAAGATAAAAAGTTATTTTTGAATATCTTTATCAAGACAGCATGACATGATGAAGAAAAAGAAGATATTCCAAAATATATTGTTCTTTTAGATTTGTCGGGATGATTCCGGAATTGAGTCAAGAAACTCGAGACAACTCCGAAGGCATAAAAGCTCTTAGAGCCATACGTGTTTTAAGACCACTTAAGTTGGTGTCTGGTATACCAAGTATGTATAAACTTACAAAATATGTGTTAAATAAACTAGAATGTACGGCTCTCAAAGGTTGTCAAAGCCCTGGCTAGGTGGGGTGCATTTGAGTTGCCAATTTCATTACAAAATACTGCAAAGTTTTACGCAACTTCTGCGTTTTTGATGTATTATTTCAGTCAACCTTAAACATGTTTATACATTTTTAATTAATCTAGTAAATTATAATGCATTGTAATAAGTAGCAACCGAAATCTAATCCAAACTCAAGTTAACATATCTAGTTTGGATTTGAAAAAAAATACATCGTGAATCCATCCCTGTGTTCGATTGTCAATGTATATATGAAAATGAACGAACAGGAGAGAACGAGAACAGTCTTTAAACTACCTAAAATATAAACTAAGATAACGTGTGTCAGTGTAGGTAGTAATGAATGAACAACAGAGAACAAGAACAGTCTTTACACTACCTAAAATATAAACTAAGATAACGTGTGTCAGTGTAGGTAGTGGTGAATGAGCAACAGAGAACAAGAACAGTCTTTACACTACCTAAATACAAACTAAGATAACATGTGTCAGTGTAGGTAGTGATGAATGAACAACAGAGAACGAGAACAGCCTTTAAACTACTTAGAACAAACTGAGAGAAAAAATGTGTTAGTAATTGACAATGAGTTTTCTTTTTTCAGGTTTACAAGTAGTAATGAGGTCGATCGTTCGTGCTGTGAAGCCATTGATGCAAATTTTATTTTTGATATTGTTCATAATAGTTATTTATGCCATCATTGGTCTAGAATTGCTCGTTGGTCGTTTTCACAAAACCTGTCGGGTTGTCGAAACTGGTATGATGTTATCAGCTTGATAGCTCTTAAGAATTGAAGCACTTATTAATCCTTGTGAAATCTGAATTTATTTGCCTGACGATGTTTGCCGTACCTGATGGATCATTAAAAATACGAAGTACTCTTTACTTTACTTTTATAAACGTGTATTCCTCCATTCTTTGTTTTAGGCGAGATCGGCGATTCTCTGCTATCTAGTAGGCCTTGTGGGGATAAAGGTGGACGAGTGTGTGACAACGGGACAATATGTAAAGATCTTTACAGAACGTCCAAGTGGTCTGGACCTAATTATGGCATAACTTCGTTTGACAACATTTTCTTGGCAATGTTGACAGTATTTCAATGTGTTACAATGGAGGGCTGGACAGACATCATGTACATTGTATGTATTTACTTTTAGTATTTTTCATAAATCACCAAAAATTGTGTTGTGGGATGATATAGTTCTGCGTTTTGGTACATCATTATGAAAAAACTGTGATATTTTACCCTTAAAGTGATTGGGGTGTTGAAAACAGTGGAAGTCGATTTATCTATATCTATAGATATATGTATATATATATCTTATAATTAAAAAAATCCTATTGTTAATATGCCCTACTAACTTTTTGCTTTAGTATCGAGCACTTTTGCTCTGCAGATATATCTCAAATTATAGTTGTATATACATATTATGTGCCATTCCGTTTAACACTATATTCATAATGACTCCAGTACTTCAGCATAAAGGCGAGCGGCTTAATATATCGTATGATACTGTTCTATCTAACTATTTTGCTTTGTATTTCTTTAGAGTTTTGATGCCAGAGAATATAATTATGGCATCGTAACCTCTATCTTATATACATCTTTACTGATTATTGGCTCATTTTTTATGCTCAACTTGATACTTGGTGTTCTTAGCGGGTGTGTAACAACCTAGCTATATGATTATTATAGCTACTAATACTTCATCTTAGCTACGATTTTGTTTTTCTGCAGTGAGTTTGCAAAGGAACGAGAAAGAGTAGAAAATCGTCGCTCATTCTTTAAATTTCGTCGGCAGCAGCAAATGGAGCGACTCGTCTCTGGTTATACAGAATGGATCATGAAAGCTGGTATTGTTGCTTGTCAATTGCACAGTGCATTTATGAAATTAATACCAAAATAGCCATTACTGTGATTTGCGTGTACACAGATTTTGACTTATTACTTATTCATTAGTTGCAAAGCCAGCCGCTTCTTTACTCGTACAATGCAAAAGTTTTTATTACATGTTTGTAAATGTAGATCGTCCAGGTTGGTATAGTCCTGAGAAGGACTGTTTTTGTTGTTGTTGACTGACGTTTCGACAACCTTAGCGGTAGTCATCTTCAGAGTCAAAAATCTTTATTACAAAAATTTTTATGTTAAATTTTCTTTAGAAATGAACAATTTTTCCGTAAAATTTGCATGGTACTTGGTAGGAGTAAAAGATCAGGCTGACTTTGTCACTGATATTCATGCTAGTGTCTGGTTGTACAAATTAAACTATTAAAGCCATTGAAGTTGGCTGTCCATCGCATTGTACAATTTGTGCGACCAATTCAATGAAGAACTCTTCGTCTCTAAAATCTCCGCTTACAAAGTTTTTTCAAAACACAAAAATTGAATTGAAAATTTTCTTTTGCAGAGGAAATTATTATTAAAGAAGAGCAAAATGAAGACGAGAGACAAGCTCAGGGTAAAATAAAATTATTTAAATACTGCCTGAGAAACCGTCGTGTTCATTGTTGTACCTTACTTAGCTGCTCGAAGGATTCAGGAGCAAATGCAGCACAAACGACACAGTTTATCGGAGTCTTTTATGAATCTCATTGACGGAAACAGAGATTTACTCAATCATCTCAAAAATTGTCGAAAAGATGCGCAGTCATCGACAGACAGGTAAGAATTATTGGTAATTACAAATAACGTAAATGGTTTGAACCCGGGAGTATCGTTACATGTTTGTAAATGATGATCGTCCAGGTTAATAAAGTCCTGAGAAGGACTGTTTTTGTTGTTGTTGACTGACGTTTCGACAACCTTAGTGGTAGTCATCTTCAGAGTGGCTACTGCTAAGGTTGTCGAAACGTCAGTCAACAACAACAAAAACAGTCCTTCTCAAGACTTTATTAACCTGGACAATCATCATTTACAAACATGTAATTACAAATAACACCAAAGATTAATAAATTTGAAACTTTTTTTCTAGAATTGATATATAATAATATTTAAACATCTACGTATATTCAGTGACAAAAAAATAGTTTAAAAAAAGTTTAAAAAGTTGACTTATTATCATTTAATTTGTGCATGGAATAAGTATGTTTTCGTGTTTGATATAATATTCGTTTGTTTCCTTTTTCATACGAACGATTTCATGCATATTTAAGATAAACATTTGGTCTTTTTTCCTTGTTCATATTGAACTTCGAGTCCTTTTATGTAATGTAGTACAGAAACGTTACGTAAGCTGAAGAAAAAGATCAAGAAATGTCGAGTTTATGTACGTCAAGTTGTACGTAGTACTCTTTTCTATTGGATTGTTGTTATGTGTGTGTTTCTCAACACGTTGATAATCGCTCTGGAGCATCATGGGCAGTCAGAGGCTCTTACCGAGTTTCAAAGTATGCGCAATAGTCCAAATACATCTACAAATCACACACTTACATCCTTCTTACAAATTTTTGGTTCAATTTAGATACGTGTGAAATTGTTTTTTTGGTGATATTCATAACTGAGATGCTTTTTAAGATGTTTGGTTTGGGTCTTCATACGTATTTTTCATCTGCCTTTAATTGGTTCGATTTCATCGTAAGTGTCAAAATGTATGACGCCAATGACGTAAGTGTCAAAATGTATGACGCCAATGACGTAAGTGTCAAAATGTATGACACCAATGACGTAAGTGTCAAAATGTATGACGCCAATGACGTAAGTGTCAAAATGTATGACGCCAATGACGAAAGCATGGAGCACTACAAATCTATATGGTATGCAAATATTGTTTAATCAATCTTTTCAAGGTGGTCTTGTGTGGTCTAGTGGAAATGATCATTAAAGAAGTCGGAGGTGTCAGTCTTGGTATTAGTGTGTTGAGAAGCTTACGACTGTTAAGGATCTTCAAAATGACAAGGTGATGTTATGCTAATACAATATGGTAGTCGGAAAATTCTTGGTTTGTAAAGATAAAAATTAATCTGGTTGGTCGTAAATTAGACGTTATGTTAAATCTGCCGTCTAATGCATTTTTCCGTAAGGCTAACAAGACATGTATTAATTATTTTTTTAGATTTTGGAAGTCGCTGCGAAATCTTGTAACGTCGTTGCTCAACAGTGTTCGTTCAATACTCAGTCTTATATTTCTTCTTCTCTTGTTCATTTTTATCTTTGCTCTACTTGGAATGCAACTTTTTGGTGCAAAGTATGGACATTGATGTTATGTAGAAACAGAGTTCCATTTTTTTATGATTCATATTTCTTTCCAGATTCAACAACAAACAAGATCCTCCAAGGACAAATTTTGATAATTTCATACAAGCTATGCTGGCTGTTTTTCAGGTTTTGACATTATTAAGACATTAATATTTTAATACATATGTATATTCTTTTATTCAAGAAGACTGATTTCAATTATAGATGCTTTCTGGGGAAGATTGGAACACAGTTATGTACGAGGGGATTATGGCAAGTGGTGGTCCATATACAATAACTGGAATGCTTTCCTCTTTGTATTTTATTGGTCTTGTCATCTTAGGAAATTGTATCCTAAATTATTTTCAAAGCTTTTATTTAACTAAAGTAAAAGTATTATATCGGATGCAAGAATTATACTATATTTCTCTAATTTATAATTGAATGATTGTGAAATTATTGGTTAAAGTATTCTGTCGTTCTCTAGCCTTGGTATACCACGTATGTCGAGGATTTTTTACAAAATGTCATTACTTTTGATTTCAGTTTATTTAGCCACAAAATATTGGTGTTGTGGTATATTTTTTTGTTATAAACATAGCACCTTCAAACTCTGGTCTCGACTTTTTTCTTAACTTTTCCCTGAAGACACACTACTCAATGTGTTTCTTGCAATAGCAGTGGATAACCTTGCTACAGCACAAGCACTTACTAGAGACGAAGAGCGAGAACAGAAAGCTCGTGAGCTGGCAAAGAAACGCATCAAAGAGAAGCGGCAACGGGGATGGATGAAGGCGAAAAAGCAATTACCCGTCGTTCTTACTTTCAAAAATCTTTCGAATTTTCGAAGCTCTAGGTTAGTTTTTGATGAAATTTCGATGCGGACATGGAGCAAGATGATGTCATGTCGAAATTCTTTTACACCAAAATGTCTACGAAACTGTGAACAATTCATTTATTTATTCCTCATCTTTCTTTTTACAAGGCCGTCTGATCAACAGCGAAAAGGAAATGGGAATTCAATTGAGGTAGGGATGCTTATGTTCACAGTATATGATAACAGAAATTTTGAGGATCATCCTGTTCATAGAGGGAACTATCCGGTTCATTGAGAAGATTATCCGGTTTACTGATAAGAATATCAGGTTTACTGAGTGAAAATTTCTCTTTTTAATGTCACACAGGAGCCTGTACCACAAGAATCGCCAACACAAGAGACATCGCTTGATGAGGTGGCAATACAACTCGAAGGCATATCCGAGAATAGAGTACTTTCAGGGATGTATGAGATCACAGATGGGAACAGAGAAAATGTTCAAAGTGAAGGCAATAATGATATGACACCAAAAGTTAGTTTTGCTGACATTTTTCAACAAATAAAGGACAAAGATGTGCAACAGAGACAATTGGAGATAAACGAAGGGTCGGTTGCTGTGAATAAAGTAGAAAACAGATTTATCGGTAAGTATTAAAATTTTTGAAATTTTTTGGAAATATTTATTTTTTTGTTTCCATACAATGATATTTTATATTTTGTTTTTTTTGTTTTTTAAGAAGAAGGCATAAATCAACATGGTTTGTCAAAGTCTCTTCGGCATCCTGAGAAGATTATCGGTCGTCGTTTATTTCGCAGGAAAGTTCCCATCATTCGAAAAAATTCTCTTGTTATACTCTCTCCTGAAAATCCGTAAGTGATAATTTATAAGTAAAGAAACAATGGACAATGATTGTTACAACAATGGTACATGTAGGTGTCTCTTTCCCACTCCCTGCCCTTACGTTTTCGATAATTATATTGTTGTGTAGCTGTCATCTAGTTTAAGCAAAATTTATTGAACCTTATTATTACTAGAAAATTTTCTTTAAAAAGTTATCCATGTTATAAGCAGAAAGTACGTGCATTTTAAGTAAAATTTTTATGATAGAAATGTGTAATGCTATTGCAATTTTCTTTTTAGTCTTCGAAAGTTTTGTCATTGGATTGTAAACCTTCAACATTTTGATAATTTCATTCTTGTGTTGATCGCCATCAGTAGTTTGTCATTAGCCATTGAAGATCCTGTAAAACCTTACCATGAATCTAGCAGAAACAAGGTAAGAGTGTTAGTTTTTATGTTTACTTAACTTTACAAAGCTTTTTTGTGTTATTTTAGGCAATTAAACACGCTAATTTTTGTCCTTAGATGTATGTTGATTGATATTGCTTGTTTGCTTTTTACCTTCTCTTTTTAATCTGTACACTATCAAAATAATTAATCATGTGCATTTTAATTATGTGATTGATTGTACAATTGTATATGTCATAAATACAGGTTTTGTCGTGGTTTGATTGGTTTTTCACGATCGTGTTTGCTTTTGAAGTGATCATCAAGGTTTGTCTTTAAAGGTTTTATCTTTTCATTCATTACCAAAAAATCTTCGCCAGTTGCTTGAAACAGCCATAATGCTCAATATAAACCTTGAAACCCACATAATGCTTAATATAAACCTTAAAACATCCCTTGAAACCCCCATAATGCTCAATATAAATCTTAAAACACTCATGATGCTCAATATAAACCTTAAAACACCCATAATGCTCAATATAAACCTTAAAACACCCATGATGCTCAATATAAACCTTGAAACACCCATGATGCTCAGTACAAACCTTAAAACACCCATAATGCTGAATGTAGAATAAATTTAGTACTTTCAAACTTTAACGTTTCACAGTCAATTGGCAATGTAATTTCAAAAAGATCTATATAACCATTTTTAATTAGGCAGTTACTATGTTTTAGTTCAACGATTTACTTTGTTCATTTATAAAGATCATAGATGTCGGTGCCTTTCTTCATAAAGGATCGTATTTTCGGGATCCTTGGAACGTTATAGATACTGTTGTCGTTTGTGCTAACATCGCCACTTTGGTGTTAAGGTAAAAATCATAATCAATGTAAATTCAGATAGCTCCTCGTACTTTACCATATAACTTTTTAGTAGCTAGTTTTTTCTTGTCAAATAAACGCTTTACACTCTGTTTAGATCATCAAGTTCAGAAATAATTCCGAGTGGCAAGGACATTTTAAAATTACTTCGTGTTCTCCGAGTTCTTCGTCCCATTAAAGCCATAAACAAGTCCACAAAATTGAAGGTAGGTTCTTCAATGTCTGGAGCTTCTCATTCTTATACAACTAGTCAACTTTTTAACAAAACTTGATGGTAGGCATAATTTATATTCTTCAACTTTCTCAAAGGACAGATCTCTCGTTTCTTTTCTTTAATATATATCACACAATATCTTTATCAGACCGTGTTTCAATGTATGGTGTACTCTTTAAAGAACGTCATCAACATTATTTTGATCACGTTGCTTTTCCTATTTATCTTTGCTGTCATTGGAGTTCAGCTGTTTCAGGTAAGAATATCTTGACTGTTTTATATACTTTAGTACGAATCGAACGATTGTAAACGTTTATGAGAAAATCTTACAAAGTCCGCTTGAGAAACACTGTGTAAGGTTGTCAACATGACTCCAGTTAAGACGAATACCGTAGAGATCAGCATTATCTGTGTCCAATAACTATATCGCAGGATTGTCGTTCAAAAAAAAAACAACGCAGTTGTTTGCAGCGATTTTTAGTCGACAACATTGAAGATGACACATTTTTTGAACCCTGTAGTGCATAATTACAACTTTTCAATGCTTTTGAGTCTACAAAAAATTGTGGAGCCATTGCTCTTTTTAAACGTAGAAACCTTCCATAAGATTTTCTTTATATATTTTTTTTTCAAGGGTAAATTGTTTTATTGTACTGATCCATCAAAGAGAACAAAAGATACGTGCAAGTATGTTCAACTTTTGTGTGTATTTTCTTACCATTTAGTAATATTGTAATACATCGAGCACTTTAGTCATAAAAGATAGATACATTATGATGCAAACAAGAAGAAAACTTTTTTCATTCAGAGGCAAATTCTTCAGTTATTATCGACCGGTTCAACATGAAAACTTTGTATCGTATCGCGTGAGTTCTCTTCATTTCTCCCATTTCTATCCATGTTCACACTTGCCTTTATTCAATCGTGACTATACAATTTAGGTTGAGACTCGTGAATGGAAGAATCGTGTCTTCAATTTTGACTCTCTTCCTCATGCAATGTTGACGTTGTTTTCATCATTGACTGGCGAAGGTTGGCCAGCGTAAGTCTTAACGATATAGGAACGTGTGCAACAATGATTATTTATTCAATCTAAAATCGACTTCTTTTGTTTTATTAAAGAACCATGTATCACACCACTGATACTTCTTTTGTTTTATTATAGAACCATGTATCACACGATTGATACTTCTTTTGTTTTATTATAGAACCATGTATCACACGATTGATACTTCTTTTGTTTTATTATAGAACCATGTATCACACGATTGATACTTCTTTTGTTTTATTATAGAACCATGTATCACACGATTGATGCGACTGAGCTAAACATGGGTCCAATTCTTAACAACAACATTCACATGTCAATTTTTTATGTTTGTTTTGTGGTCATGTTTTCGTTTTTCTTCATCAATATCTTCGTTGCTTTGATCATTGTGACGTTTCAAGAGTCCGGAGAGCGCAATATAGTGCCGTGTGGTCTGGATAGAAACCAAGTAAGTTGCCATGGTGCAAATCTTCTTGAATATAAGATGTGTTTTTACGTCGAAAGAATAAAAAACGCTTTACTTACGTTGTTCTAGTCTAAAATATAGATCTCCAGATACCATTTTGTTTGGCCTCTCTGAGTTTGAAGTCCTGTGTTGCTTTATATAGTTATTCAAATTGCATGCATTATATAATGTAAAATTGTCACGAGTTTAGCATTCATTATGACGGATTTTCTTTTTCAGCGTGCTTGTGTTCAATTTGTTATCAACGCGAAACCCCGTCAGCGTTTTATGCCCGAGGATGAAAAGACAATTTCTTTTAAGATATGGCTTCTTGTTGAGTCACAACAATTTGAAATAATCATAATGGCGTTCATTGCTTTAAATGCCATCGTCCTCATGATGTCAGTGAGTTTCACGTTTCTTTTCAATTTTTTGTTTACTTCGAACGTTTTAGGTAGGTGTGTTCACAGAGTGACTTAGATGATCATTTACTTTGGTTAAAGTACATTGTACAAGAGAATATTATATATTTCGTTATATGGTCGTGTAGCCTTTCTAGAAATCTATTTTTGACAAATGTTTTATTGGGAAAATATCAGGAGAAGCTCATATTATGGTTTGAACTTTTTGAAGCTATCAAGCTTGACATTTTCTTGTTTATTTCCAGTATCATGGTATGAGTGACGTGTATCACAATACGTTGCTCTATTTAAATACTGGATTTACTATGATCTTCACGGTTGAGGCTATGTTGAAGTTGATTGCATTAAAAAAGGTATGAAAATATCATCGCTCTTTATTTTTTATGAAATTGGTGTGTTTTTCTTTATAACTAGTATTTTAAATCAAACTTTGGATTTTTTAGAATTATTTTCGTGATGGCTGGAACGTGTTTGATTTTATTATTGTTGTCATCACATTTTCAGGAGTGATCTTAAGTTTTGTGAGGGTAAGACATAACGTGTTTACTTTCACGTTTTCCCACCCCCATTATCGTGTATTGTTAACCTTTTCTCGTTTTTTGCAAGAAAATTTTTCGAATACTATAACAGTAAAAGATTTACAAAGGCTCATATTTCTCCACGAACGAAAAACATTAAAATCATGCTCATCATCCTTTCTGTCGCAGGATACCCAAGACATTCCTATAGATCCAACTTTCTTCCGTTTATTTCGTGCTGCCAGACTTATCAAACTCATTCGTCAAGGCTACACCATTCGCATGCTTCTGTGGACTTTCTTTCAATCATTGAAAGCCTTGCCGTATGTTGTAACTTTGATGGCCATCTTGTTTTTCATTTATGCCGTAGTTGGAATGCAGGTGATGAACTGATTTCTATCTGACAGAATGTAGAAACTGACCAATTCATGACGATACGACCAACCTTCCATTGAACGAATGTTTAGGATTGCCATTTTTTTGTATCTATTTCAAAGTGTTTTCATGACTATCCTGTTATTCTGAACTTAAGTGCATGTGTCAATCATTTCAACCTGTTCATTTTTTTTAGCTATTTGGAAGAATAGAACTGGATGATGCCACAAATATAAAGCATCACAATAATTTTCAAACTTTCCCGCGAGCATTGCAAGCTTTATTTAGGTAAGAAATTATTCCGCTAATTTAACCTTAACTATTAACTCAGTCGTATTCGTTTATAGAGCGGCGACTGGTGAAAGTTGGCATCTTGTAATGAAGGATTGTTTTGACCACGCATTGTGTGACAGTGACGCTGGTCTAAAACCGGGGGCTCATTGTGGAAACACAGCAGCATCTATAATCTATTTCTGTTCCTTCTATTTCCTTTGTTCTTTCTTGGTATGTTTGTCATGTACAATTCTAAACGTGGGTTTTATCTTCATTATACATGTACAAAATACGATCAGCTTGATGTGCTAAACACATCGTTTTTTATCGTCTTTTAGATGTTGAATCTGTTCGTTGCTGTAATTTTGGACAATTTTGAGTATTTAACTCGTGACGAGTCCATTTTAGGCCCACATCATTTGGACGAGTTCTTGAGGGTATGGTCCGAGTACGACCCTTCTGCCACGTAAGTTCAGAAAAAAAATTCTTTCATACATGACGTGAGTTTGTGCAAACAAATCTCCTTATATATACGTTTAAATAACGTTGAAATTTTGTGCTCGTTTTGCTACAACTAATAACCTCAAAACCTCATGTAAAAACTTCATGTTATTACGTTAAAGTGGTCGGATAACACAAAAGAATGTTTATCGTTTGATGTGTGACATGTCTCCTCCTGTTGGCTTTGGGCGAAAGTGTCCAAAATTTCTTGCATATAAAGTAAGTATGACGTGAATTCAATTGTTGCAAATATTTACTGTAACTTGTATATTATATGTATTTACATGATTTGACTTCTACACAATAAGTGTTTTATGTGAATGTGCTATGAAATTGTGCTTTACTTTGCTCAGTTTTAACTTAAAAATCTCGTCACTCTCATCAACCCAACCATTAAACTTAACTTTTAATTCCTTTTTTTCATTAGCGTCTCATCAAAATGAACATGCCCATTATGGGTGATGGAACTGTCTTGTTCACTTCCACTTTATTTGCTTTGATCCGGACTGCACTCCGAATCTATAACAGTGGCGAACCATCACGACGTGATGACGAACTTCGACGAGTTATAAAGAGGTTGTGGCCGAAAATCTCTGTAAAGATTTTGAATCGAATGATACCACGTGATTCAGGTTTTGAAGCACTTCTTTTTTATTTTATTCTGTTTACGAGTTCATTCAATGAAACTATGGAACATTCATTACAGTTTAAGCTCACAACAATTAACAATTGGCAAAGTTTACTGCGCGAAATTAATTTACGAAAATTTCAAAAATCGTAAAAGGAAAGAGAGAGAGATGGCGAGTTTAAATTATGAGCAAAAAAGGTAAACAAAAGTCTACTTTGAAATTTGCTCTAAAGGTTGAATATCCATAAATGACCCTGAAAGTACGCTGTTCACCTCAATTGCCTTAGCCCTAAATAAGTGTGTTGTTAGCTTGTGTATAGGTATTTTATTAGCTTGTATATATGTTTCGTTGATTTACTGTTTAATGTTCGTATTTTTATATTGTTTATGTAAGAGACAACCTTCTCTTTTTCGTCGTTTAATGGGGGCGTTAAGAACGACAGGATCTGTTACTGAAGAAGAAGGAACTGGAAAGTTGGATTACCTTGAGCCACCAGAAATGCCATATTTGAATCGAAGACGTCGATCACAAACATTAAATACTCCACCTCTTGCTTTGTAAGTATAGTTTAGACGTACGTAGGTGTTCTTACTTTATTAATCCTAACTTGTTATTTTGATTGATCTGATGCAACTACTTCAAAAAAATTCAAATCAAACCCAGTCAATGTCAGAGATCATTCTCTTGTAATTTTGTTTCTCCGTCTGTTTAGGAGGGAAAAAGTTAACAACTCGGTAAAAATGAGCAAGAATAAATCAATGAGATTTTTTCGTAAGTCTCACAAGAAAAGAATCTCTGATCATCAATCAACGGCAAGCCCTTCTGTTGTGTCATTTATTGAGGTGATGTTTTATTGGATTTCTTATCTTTCATACTCCGTACAGAATGCTGCTTCATACAGAATGGTTCGTGTGTTTTTTTTAGGAAATTCCAATGAATGTTACCAAAATAAATCCCACAATTCAAAACGCTGACAGCGGTTGTCAATCGTCATCAAAACCAAGAGCTTTTACATTTGATAATCATGCCATGGTAGGTTTTGTTTTCGTCTTAATAAATAGTGATTGCTTCACGACAACTGTCTTTTTTACCCATCTATAAACCAATAAATAGATAACACAAAGGATAAACACCTTTCATTAAGTGTTTTGGTTCAATTGATTTTGACCTAGAGTATCGACGATGAGAACTATGTATCCAATCTTCAAAAGAATACAAGCAATTACCGTGGAACATGGCCTTCTCTTACTCCCGCGCTCGTAATACTCCAGGTTCCCACTATAGAGCGAACTCCACATCCACCGACACCGCCTGCATTAGACCCCTCTTTTCCCGACGTTATACGATCAGCTGAAGCCAGTCCCAGACCTTCGTTATCTTCATTTATACAAGATTCAACTCTTATAAGGGAATTAAACGAGAAAATTGCAGAAGCTGTGAGCAGAGGTCAAAGTCCGTATTCTCTGTATGCCATTAAAGATGGAGATGAAACTAGCTGGTGTTAATGATGAATGCAGCAAGTGATCCACAGTTTCTTCCTTTAAGGTATCTTGGAATAAATAAACCTGTTCAGCGGCATTTCTGTCCAGCGGCAATTTTCATGTTTCAACAATTTTCAATTCCCTAAACTCTTTTCATTAATTCATTTGCTGGACGAAAGGACAATCTAGCATTTCGATTTGTACATATTTACACTGTCAATAAAACTTCGGAAAAAATATACAATTTACAATTAAAAATGAGGCTAAATAAGAGAAAAGATTTTTTGATCATTAAAAACCTAGGCGCAGCTCAGATGACGTCAACATCGATTTTTTGAAAAGGGATATTTCTGTTTTAGTTCAGTTTTTAAATTCCTATAAAGTCTCCTGTTTCGATTATTTTCGTCGTTTTTCGATGAGTGGAACGAGTTTTTGTCTTTATATCCAAGATGAAGAAGAAAGCCTCGATTCAAAATAAAAAAACGATATCGAGCCATATGAAGTTCACAAGCATGACTTATTCTGTTGAAGCCATACTAAATTCAAAATTCAGGAAAAATGAAAGTTGGTTGTTCTTTACTTCCATCAAATATAAGTTATTGTAGAAAGATAGTTTTTTCTACCTGTTTAAATCTCTCATCATAATCTGGAGCGGACGTTGGTGAAATGAAAAAGGGCTCCCATGGATCTTTCCACGAAACTTCGTATCCAACATCGAAATAATTCTCAGAATTATCTAAACTTTAAAATGACGAGTTTAATTTGGCTTATTGGATTTCTAGGAACAGTTTAGAACACACAATTATTCAGTACAAAGACGAACTTCATCAGTACATTGTCAATAATGCTACCTCTTCCATCTTGTGTAATCCGTTCGTCTCTGACATTTTTGACAAACTTCATAATAAAAAGGACGAATACTTTTATCGAGCATATTTAACAATTGCGACTTTTCTTTCGGAACTTCTTCGTAGCTTTCCGAATTCATTTCAAACACCGGCAAAACGAACACGCTTTTTTCTGTGAAAATAATTATTTAAAATAATGCAGTGACTAATGAATAAGACATAATAATACATTTTATCTAAGGCCAGTGATAACACATACAGTTATTTTCATATACCGTTATAAAAGCTGTTTCCTCCGTTGAATAGATTATTTTGTGTTGCAAATTTTAAGAATTTGCTTCTCAAGTTCTGATTTGGAACTAAATCAATGTCCATGACAAGGGAATAGATTGAGGAATGACCATGTTTCGCAACATTTCTAAGAACATTACTTGGATAATTTATCTAAATTGAACAAATACATAAATTGCAAAACGTATGCTTTTGAATGCTCAGCAATGTGTGCATCAATTGAATGAGAGTCAATCAGACATTTATACTATAAAAGTACAGTAATGGATGCAGGGTAATTTTTCAGACAATTACACAACCTTTTTTGCATAATTTTTTGCATCATCTTGGCTTCTTTTGAGGAAAAATTCAAGTGCCTTGACACAATTGATATTTTTTCTTTTCCATTTATCCATTGCATCTATCAAAGTATCAGCTGCATTATTCATGATCATGGCTACTGGGTGAATCAAATGGATTGATACTTGTTGACGAATGTGGAAATAACATTGATAAAGCAGGTTCAACATATCTAAAGTCTGGCGTAGGGCATTGTTTGGTACAAAAACACCTGAAACAAATATATTGAATATTCCAGAATCATATTTTGAATGAAAACAACAGCGTACACTTTCTTAAGATTTTATTGTGGTATTGTTTGGCAAACATAACTTAGAAGAAATCTATAGCAGGATCACTTTCTCTTACAAACCTACAGATATTGATCCTTGCCATAATTTGGCAAGAGAAATCAAACGATATAGATGATCTTCTGTGCAGTGAGTGACAAGAACAACATCATGTGGTAGGGATTCATGTTGACTTTGTATGAAGTATTTATTGATATAGTATTCACCACTCTTGTCCTTTGGAAGTTCATGAATTTTTTTTAATTTTCCCAAATTCATTTTATAAAGGGAATTTGTCCATTCATTGTCCAACTAGATGAAATAAACATATAGATGTTGAGCTCAGACTTTTGAGTTTTGACTATGTCACAGTTGGGGGATGAACTAGTGATATAAAGTAATATGATCTATATGTATCAATATGTCCATCAATATGATGAACAGATCCATTATAACCTCAATCCTGTTATCATTGTTACCTGGTATTCAAAATGTTCATTTGGCTGCAATTTCTTGTCGTTTTGGTCCATGTAGATCATCAAGAAGATATTTAAGAACACTAATATCATAGCAATAATAAGTAAATACAAAATAAAACTCATTTTAGACATAAAAGATGATTATTTGAGTATTTGACGTCACTGCTTGTATGTTCATCGGAGGATTGTGACGATTCGGAAAGTCTCGGTTTACATTCGCTAACATTGAATGTACCAAATGCTTGACTTTACATTTCTTCAACAGATTTAAATTCAAGTTGCTCGATGTATTTGTCGTATTTCAAGTTATCAAACCAGCGAAAAGTTTCTACCTTTATTGAAAAGGTTAGTCTCAGCGTTTTTTACGTAAAAATTGTTCAGGAATTGCTTTAAATTTGACTTGAGGAATATGTACAAACAAGTACAATGTCCTTCGTTGTGGATTAAGGTCAGCCGCTCATATATTTCGCAAGTTTAGCACCGAATATTATGGTCAATATTTAAAAAATACTAGAAACATACTGTTAGTTTCATAAAATAAGTTCAAAACAAAAATCATTTTCAAGGAATCGCTACTGACGCTTTACAAATTATGTCATGTTACTTAAAGTCGCAGTTGGATTTCATTAAATTTAAAGTCAAAGTGCAAAACTTTAATTCGAAACGCATGAATGAAAAAAACAATGTTTATTTTTTTGTGGGTTTTAGCAAAGAAATTATTATCATAAAGAGATAGTAATATGGATAATCATTCGTCATCCCTGTATTTTAGAGATGAGAATATGGCTTTCACGTTGCATTTTCGTCAAAGCAATAAATTTATTGTAAACAAATACATGTTTGTTTCTCTCAGACTAATCTGATTTTGGAAAGCATACACTGTTACAAATCTAATGTTAATCTAGCTGAATTTTTTACTGTCTAATGACATGGAATGTCGATAGAATATCTCAAATGTTTTTATACCGTGTATAAATAGAGATGAAATGAAAGGATGTGTCATGTAGATGGTTTATTTATTTTTATCTTGAATTTTATTTATTTATATATTTATTTATTACTGCACAAAGTCTCGAACATGTTCGTCATACTTTAGATCGATTTATCAAGCGTGGTTGTAAATTTTTGTTTTGTTGCCAAGGAAATGTGTTTTAGTATTGCTAAGTGGCCGGAAATTGAAATTTACACAAATAAGTCTTGAACATTCTTTATGTTAAAGTGGGAAAATTATGCTGTTGCTTAGTATTTAGTTTATACTTGTGTATGTCAGGCATCACACATCATCCAAAATGCTGAGAATTTTTGTTTAGTCATGTTTTAGTTATTTTTCAATAACTACATCAGAACTACATCAGTTGGACTTATTTTTTATCTAAAAGAATTCACTCCTTATCGTGCACTAAGAAGAAACTTTAATTTTAGGAGATGATGAACACTTTTTAATCAAATTATGAAGTAAGTTGTGACATATTTTGATATAAAACTATGCATGAACTTGAGTTCGAAAAATGACTTATTTTTAACAAAGTCACAGACTTGACTAGACATTTATGGACTAAAGATTAAGCATTAGATTATTCTAGATGAAGAAAGATTAAGGTGTTTACATTTGCTAATGTACGATAAAGACACTAGATCAAAGTTATGAGAACTTGTGTTCTAAATAAGATTAGTTCTGATTATGAGGCGAGACTAAAGTACATAATAATTACAGTTTCCACATCACTGCTGTTCAAGGCAGTAGAATGGAGCACATATTGACTCATGTTTCAACATCAAATCACTACTGGTGAATTCCAAAAGTGGGGCTTATAATCATAAGTTTAGTGATTAAGAATCTGGTTAATCCTGATTTAGACATTTAAAGAATCACATTTACGCGACAAAACTGTTAGAATATTTTCACGTGATCTATTTTTCTTCCTATACCTCATGTTTGTCTTAACATTATTATGTAGTAAATACGTATCTTAAATTTTATTGTTATTAATAAAGATACATAAAACTTAACAAAAACGTAGCTACTGTAGTACTGTACAACACGTGAAAATATTTTTACTTTTCAAAGGAGTTTATTTCGTTCAAAGAATCGCTGTAATTCCCCATCATACGCTCACAGCTCTCGTTCATCATCTTTAACAAGTACTGGTGATAGTGGAATTGATGACGATATAAACCAAACAGGATCATCGTCGTCTACCATGAGTAATTATAGCAACCAGGTACGATGCGGTGTATGTGTATACATTTTAGGATTGATAAGCGTCAGTTTAAAACATCCTACTTTTGACTTTATTCGTACTTGAGCCACGCTTTTGTGAAACAAAACTTTGAAAAAAACAAAAAGAAGCAAGGTTTTTATCTTGTACATGTGAAATATTCGATTATTTATTGATGGTAAAATTTCAGCGCACTTCATAACGAACTTTTAGATTTTTCAATTATGGGTTGTAGTCGCCTGCAGACAACGATAAAAGACATTTATCAAGTTCAACTGTATCTTAATACATTAACATTTTTTCTTGCAGCAACCCAATGTTTGCTCACACGTGCAAGCAATGACGTAAACATGCACGTGAAAAGCGATGATTGAAACGTGCACCATAATGAATGATTACTTGTTGAATATTCGGCAGAATTTTTCCTGATGATATAAATTCTTGAATTTTTCTGTTTTAATGACATTGCTACCTGTAATAGACCAGATAATAGGACTATTTATTTTTCATATTTGAGTATTTTTGCGTCAAAAGTTTACGTTACTCAACTCAAACCTCTGGCCCGCCGTGTGTCAGTGCAGGTTGAATAACAACCTGTTTATCATTTTATATACAACATTGAATTACTAACAATCATGTCATGTGTATGCAATGCAAAAAATCCTCAGTATGTTCGTGAACTGATAATAATGAGGACACAGTAAAGTATTAGGTATTCAGGAAACAGAGTAACAAAATTTTTACTCGATTGCTGAGTTGAGTAAACTACATTTTGCTCAAATAAATGACTAAAATAGTTTTAGTCATGCTTTGAGTTGATTAAGAAATTTTACACTAAAACGTTTTACTCTTTTAAACGAGTAAAGCTACAAAAACTCTCAATGTGAGTAAAGTTAACTCGATAATTTGAGTAACATCAGCAGTTACTCATTTATCGAGTAGCATTTACTCATGAATTACGTTTATTTCACTGTTTCTAGTTATTATTAATTTCAGTCGAAAAATTTTTAAAAAATGTTTTATTGAGATCCTGACAATTTCGCATACCAATAAACCGTGTGGGGTCTTTTGCACTTCTCTCGTGACCAATGAAATCTTTATGAAAAATGCTTCAGTGATTCGAAAGTATTTCCAGTTTTATTATCTTGAGCGTTAAAATATTCAGCTATGTGTTGAATAACTTTTGATGTAATATACTTAAACACACGATTGAATAGGATTTATAAAATATCGCTGAAAGTGTAATTGGTAACAAGTTTATGTTAGAAGAATTATTGATTACTCAACAATGCCTATTGCTGGTCATAGGAGAAATAGTTTGGTGAGCAGTGAAATTAAAATTTCTTTATAAAGTGAATGGTTTTGAACGCGGGAATATTGTTGACATGTTTATAGATGTAGATTGTCCAGGTTAGTAAAGTTCTAAAAAGGAATGTTGGTGTTGATGTTGACTGACGTTAAGACAACCTTAGTGGTAGTCATATTCAGAATCAAAATGTGTACTGCTATAACGTTGTCAAAACGTCGGTAAACATCAACACCAACATTCCTTCTCAGGACTTTACTAACCTGAACGTTCTGCATCTACAAACATCAACAAAGTTTTTATGTTTGACAATTTTTATATTTCACATGGAATAATATCAAACTATGAAGAAACATATAAGTGATGTAACGACATATTTTTGTAACAAAGATTTTCTTGTCCGGAAGTTTCTTCAATAAAAACGAAGCTTTCTTTTCAAATCCACACAATATGAAAGTTTGACCCTTGTCATTTTCAAAAAATCCTCTTTCCGCTACGGTGTAACTCGGTAAATTATCTTAATCTTGAACGTTCTCATTCCTTCTACAAAACTCGATAATGTTGCTCGAATTGTTGTCTATCTTAGACCTGTTCCTAGAGCACTTATACGTGTTGCAGTTGTGACTACGAATCAATATTTTATTGTTGTTTTGCTTTTGAAATTGTTGTTTCTGCTTTATATATGTGTTGAACAGAAGACATAAGAACTCGTCTCGAGGGGGCGTCTATTAAAATGTCGTATTGTTGTAGCAGTGAGGGGGGAGGGACTTTTACTGACTAACACTTCCGTTTTTTCAGGTCAATGGAGGACCAAGAAATTTCTTTACTCCACCCAATGGTATATATTGACTATGTTTATCATTTACTCCCCGAAAGCTGTTGCCAAAAATGCTCTTTTTACCGTTGATGATCTATAAGATGTAGATTTATATATTTATGGATAGATTATCCTTGCACAAAGTCAGCACATGTCAATGATTTAAAGTAGAATGCAGCTATATGAAGTGTGTAAAATTTTATTAAAGAATGTCAATCAATATAACATGGGCCTAAAACGATGAAGAATCAATGAATTTTGACTTGACCTGAGTTTTTTGGTTGTTGTTGTAGTTGTATCAGTAAACAATGGCACGTCTGCAGTTCGCAGTAATTTTCATGTCGAGGTTTGTGCGCTCTAGCTTGCTTTCTTTCACTATTTTTATGTCGTGTAATGGTTATGCCATCACGTTTCCTTTTTAATTCATTGCTTTACATGTTCTTTTTCATATTTTCTAGCATTTGGCTTCGTTTCCTCTTTCAGCCGGTGATAAAATGGTTTCTGCTAAAGAGCGGCTTCAGAAAGCAAAGGTATAAAAAAAGAATGCCTCATTAGTTATGGATTTTTTCAAGTCAAAATAGCTATACTTACGAACAAAACAGAGCAAATTTTATCTTAAGTGTTGTGTAATTATGACTTCTTTATTTCCCTTTTTCTATGTTATGTAGGAGTTAATCACGAAAGGTGAACCATGGACAAAGGAAATGGAATTGTCTATTACAGAGAAAGAAATCATATTACGTGATTTTCAAACACAAGAATTGATTGAGCGTTATCCATCATCACATGTTGACTCTGTACAAGAAGTGAATGATGATCCCATGTTAAAAAGTGTTTTGGTCTTTTCAACTGTACAAACTGCTGAGAAATATGCAGCTGTTCATCTTTTTCAGTGCGATAAAGTACCCGTAAGTACAATGATCAGTAGATTGTAATAATAAATAACTCTTTAACAAAGTAATGTTTTCTATAGGCCCATGTTATCGCACCGGAAATCAATAAAATGATCGCAAAAAATCCAAGGGTATGCTACAAAAGACAAATATTTCATTGGTGATGAAGCAAATATCTATGGTTTTATAAATTTTCGTAACAAACTTCTTATGAATTTTCCAGGTGATCTCAAGATCAAATAGTCAAACAAAAGGCGTATCAGTTTTACCACCACCCCCATCAGCACCAGCGCCATCTCCACCAAAGGTAAAAATCCTCTTGTCACTAATTATGGTATTTAGTCAATAATACATTTGTTCATTGATATTTGTAACAGTTGCCTTCATTCCTTGAAAATGACAAACACATATATATTGTTCTTGCATATTTATCATCCCAACTCTACAATGTTGACATGCATTAAAGTACCATACGTGCTTTATTTTTGTACATTAATTGATGGATTTACAACAACTATATTCCTATAAAACTTTGCTGCATCACAGGCTGATATTGGTGCTAGAAAGACTGAGACTCCCGTCGTCGGACCTAACCATACAGCTACCAAAACTATTCAAGGAGAAAGTTACGATGGGAACATGTCACTAAACCTCATGGGGGCGCAGATTAACCGAGAAGTTGTAAGTATGTTTCCATGGTATTTTGATTTGAAGTCTACTAGATTTGTTTTTAATTTCTTTGAAGGAACGTTTTGATTTCTCGAACGTTATCATTAAAGTCTGTATACACTTATATTTTTAACAGCACATCTTGAATCATCGCTTATATTTTTAACAGCGCATCTTGAATCATCGCTTATATTTTTAACAGCACATCTTGAATCATCGCTTATATTTTAACAGCACATCTTGAATCATCGCTTATATTTTAACAGCACATCTTGAATCATCGCTTATATTTTTAACAGCGCATCTTGAATCATCGCTTATATTTTTAACAGCACATCTTGAATCATCGCTTATATTTTTAACAGCACATCTTGAATCATCGCTTATATTTTTAACAGCACATCTTGAATCATCGCTTATATTTTTAACAGCACATCTTGAATCATCGCTTATATTTTTAACAGCACATCTTGAATCATCGCTTATATTTTTAACAGCGCATCTTGAATCATCGCTTATATTTTTAACAGCACATCTTGAATCATCGCTTATATTTTTAACAGCACATCTTAAATTATCGCTTATATTTTTAACAGCGCATCTTGAATCATCGCTTATATTTTTAACAGCACATCTTGAATCATTGTATTGATGATATTGAGGAGTTGGTGTATCGCGTGAAACAAGTTGCAGAAGCCTGGAAACAACTAGAGATAAAGTATAAAAGCAAAAAATCAAAGTCACGTAAACAAGAAGGTGACATATTTAAGTGTTGTTAAATGTTGTACTTATTGCAACGTCGTTAGTTGCTTGTTCTTTCAAATTTTAAGACTTCGTTAGACAAATCTTAAAAATCCAGCAATTATTTTATTTGTTTGTTGGAACAGATTGGTTGTGCTTACTTGTAGCTTTCTTATTTTCATTAGCTGAAGCAATTGAAAGTCGCTCTCCCCCGCGTGAAGAATTCATTGATGCTTTTCAAAAGTGCAAGTATTCCTTTATTCTATTGGTGAGTGACAGTCGAATTTCGTGACTTGATGGTGTTTTATGATATAACTGATGATTTTTATTGTATGCAGGGTAAATTACGAGAGCATCTCAAAAATCCAAGCTCTGCAGAACTTCTGCATCATCTTATGAATCCGTTGTCATTGTTGATTCGATGTACAAGAGGGTGAGTGAACTAAGATAACGTGTGTCAGTGTAGGTAGTGATGAATGAATAACAGAGAATGAGAACGGTTTGTACACTACCTAAAATATAAACTAATATAACGTGTTTCAGTGTAGGTAGTGATGAATGAATAACAGAGAACGAGAATAGTCTTTACATTACCTAAAATATAAACTAATATAACGTGTGTCAGTGTAGGTAGTGATGAATGAATAACAGAGAATGAGAACGGTTTGTACACTATCGAAGATATAAAGTAAAATGACGTGTGTCATTGTATGTAATAATTAATAAATATTACAGAACGAAGACACTTTTTACACTACTTAAAAGATGAACTAAAATAACGTGTGTCAGTGTAGGTAGTGATGAATGAAGAAAAGAAAACGAGAACAGTCTTCACACTACCAGACATATAGCTTTGATCAACTGTATAAGAAATCATTTGTCTATCTTACCATGACTGTTTTTTACAGGCCAGAAGAAGCCAGTAAAGTCATAAGCCCACTCATGACTTCAGAAAGCATTGAATTATTACGAAGCACATTGAATGACAAAGAAGCCGAGCTTTGGCAATCACTTGGTCCAGCATGGACACTTCCGAAGTTCGTACTCTTTTTTTCTTCTTTTTTGAAATCGCATCTAAATTGTATTCAGTCGATTTGCATTACTTTCTCTGTAATGTGCCAACCTTTATTTGTCACGTGTTTTTGAGCTAAGGAGGTGTAGTTATTTTATTATAAGTCAACTTGGTAGTTATTTCTGATGGTTGTCTTAATATTATGAAGGGTAAACATAGTAATTATATTATTAACTAAGCCAATTATTATTAATTTATTTTGATACATACACATTGATACAATGTGATCTTCGATGTAAATTTAAGGTAGTTTTTTCCCATTTCAGAAGCAGTCCTCAATGGAATAATCGTTCAATAGCTCCTTACGAACCAAAGTTTAGAAGTGGATGGGTACCACCTGAGATCATTGGTTCAGGTCGCAGTATGCCTGCAAATGTTGGCGCTACGGTAGCTGCAAGTGCTGCTGAAAGAGGAGAGAAATTAAAGAACAACGCAAATAAAGAAGTAACAGTGTAAGTTTTATACTTTATTTCCATTTGTACTTTATACTCACGACATAGTGCATCATTAGTTGATTGTAACACTTTTTTTTCCATTTTCATCTCCTGCTTTAATGGCAACGCAAAAAGGATCTTTCTCAATATAAATAACATCAATTTCCGTTTAATTTCTATTGTAAATGTGTTATTAGCATTTACAAAATTTTCCTTTATTCGTATTTTCCATCAGTACCGGTAAAAAGTCTACATTTAAAAAAGCTACGGCAGTCTTTTCTTTCACTGGAAGTAATTCCAAGGAACTTTCTGTCGTCAAAGGAGATGAACTGTTGGTAAGTTCTCTAGAACTTCTAAACTCTATATTAGTTATGTCTGAGAAAATCGTAGAAAGGCATTTTGTTGCACGTGTCTGTGTTTATTTATGCTGCACAGTTAATGCATTGATTTAAAGTGACAGTTTATTTTTCATTTATCTTTTATTATTGTTTAAACAAAACATTTTTTTCAGGATGACTATAGCACGTGTTATCTAAGACTAAAACAAATTTTTAACGGTATTTATAGATTCTTGATGATAGCCGTCAATGGTGGTGTGTTCGCAATTCAAAGGGTGGTGTTGGTTTTGTACCATATACCGTTTTTACACCATCAGGTTTGTGTTTATGTTTCATTCTGGCGCGTAGTTAGTGGTAAAATTTGCTCGGAGTAAATTACTGATTTTCATCTTTCAATGTTATTGAAGGTTCCCTTAACAGGAATGAAGTGAAAACACCTTCTGGAGCTGTGAGTAATTAGAGTATGGTCATGTTTTCGGTGGATATTAAGAAGTGGCATAGTCTGCCCGCAAATTTGGTCCTGCTATGTATTCAATCACTGTAGCTAAAAAATAGATTTCTAAAGAAATGAATAATGTGTTAATGATCTGAAATTTACATAACACGACCAAAACTTGCGGCTGGCTACGCTAATTATGTTAAGTACTCTTTGCATTTAAAAAAAAATTGGTCTATTGTTTCTCACATCTTAGTCAATATTACATTCAACATATTAAACTTCTCCATACTTGGGATTTGTTGCAATGGTAAAATTTGGTCAATATGATGACATATCTTAGTGGAGATATATATGCTCACATCTTAGTAGTTTTATCATAATTCTGATATTTTTACACTCATTCTTGTTCATTGCAGGAAAAGACAAATTCAAGCAATGGAGTCTCAAATGACACTAGTACATTTGAAAATATGATACAAAATAGAGCGACGAAGTTGAAAAAGTCGAAGACATTGAGGATGGAAAGCTTGGAAATAAACGATGTAAGTTATTGTTTTCATTTGCTTTGTATTCCTGCTCCTGTGTGATAGAGAATGAGCGTTTAATCAAAATTTCTATGTATTTTCAGTCTTTTATCAGTTCTCCATATTATGCCAGAAGAAAATGCCTCTCTAACTAGCAAATATATGGTTTTCTTTGACGTTTCTTGCAGTGTCTAATGCTGATATGTTGACAAATGAATTACGTGACAAAATTTCTGCCAAAGCTGCACTGACTCCAACAGCAAATAGACTAAACAGTACGTGTTGTAGTAAGCACATTTTGAAATAGCTTTTCAACTACCGCTCAATTTGCACGAACCTATTTTGGTTTTAGCTCAAGAATCGACTATTATTCTACGAAAAGGATCTTCTGCTTCTGACGTCCAACAATGGATGAAATCAAAAAAATTCAGTGAAGAGTGAGTATTTGTAAGGATCAATGGGGCTTACTTTAGTGGAATGTGAGAATTCGTAAGGATCAATTGGGTTTACATCAGTGAAAAGTGAGAATTGTAAGGATCAATGTGGTCTACTTCAGCTCGGAATAAGCATTCGTAAAGATCAATATATTTTATTTATTATGTATTATAATGATGAATTTTGCTTTTATACATTTTTTAGAGTCTTCCATAGCTTATCAAATACAAACATTGTTTAAATGCTTTAAATAATCACCAAAGAGTCCATTTAATATATATTTTCAGCGATTATTTTTAATACTATTCAGTTTTTCTTTATTTAACCATTATCCTGCTTCTTGAAAAACAACTCGACTTTATATGAATGACTGTCATCATTTAATGATTTACGTCACATTTCTAGGGCAATGGGCGTTGTTAAAAACATGAACGCGGAACAGCTTGGTGATCTATCAAAGACTGAGATGTCCCATTTAGTTGGTGCGACAGAGGGGAAAAAACTCTTTAGTCAACTTACAGTTGAAAAAGCTGGCGATTCTTGGCATGTAAGAAACTTGAAATATTTTGTCTGACATTGAGATGCTTTTCATATGTATGTACTTTTGTTGATATGTATGTACTTTTGTTGATATTTTTTTGCAGCTATTGTTTAAGTCTTATATCGATAAAACAAATTTAAGGTTTTTACGTATTATCAAACCCTGCTGTTGGAGACTTTAAACATATCTACTATGACCTCAAAGATAAAATGACGACTTGCATGGAGCAGGGAAGGGCGGGAGAGAAGAGAGGATTTGAGGGAAGGGGCAGGGTAGGAGATTTGAGGAGAGGAGAGGGGATTTAAGGGAGGTGCAGGATGCGGTTATATTACTTACTCTGTGTTTTCAGCATCTAAACGTATTTGTTATTTGTGATTTCATCGATTTCATATTTTTTTATTGTTTCCTATTTCATTTTATGTTTATGTGATTTCATATTTTTTTCAGCAAATTGTTGTCCATCACGGTGTATCCGAATTGGAGGTAACATTTACTTTTATGAATGTTTCTCGTTGTTTTCTTCTCGCATTCTTTTCAATTCGTTTTCTCTTTAAGCAACAGTGACGTAGCCTGCAAATTTTAGTCATGCTGTAGAATGTTTTAATCAATTTCAGATCATAATCATTCATTTTTACAGAAAACAGAAAAAAGTAAAAACAGAAAAATTAACATATCAAGACTAAATATTTCGTTCGTGGTTATTTAGGCTGTAATGAACCGTCGTAAGAACATCAGCGAGTCAGCTGTAAGTTTAAAATGTTCCCACTGACTCATTTATTATAAGTCTGTATTTGACTGTAAATAATTTCATTCCTTTTAGCCGGAAGAGAACAGTTCACAGGGGATAAAAAGTGCCGTGCGGGCAGCTCAAACCGATCGTCATGACACGTGGATTGAGAAGAAAATAACTCGGAGAACTTCATTGGATAAATTTCAAGACGCGAACAATGCTCGCATTAAAACGCACGAGAAATTAAGTAAGCAGAATTCAAATGAGACGAGAAACCCAACGACTACAGTTCCCATTACATCAAGTAAAATTAACCCACCTCCTACAGCCACTAAACCTCCTGCATTAAAACCACGACGTTCCAGTTTATCTACTTTTCAACCTGTACCCCCACCACCTCCTGACTACAAAGAGGAATCCCAAACGGCAGTTGTGGTTAGTTTTTACTCTAATATTGTTGGAAGGAGTGCACTAAACTTAACACCGCTTTTCCGAGCTTCAAATCCTAATTTTACAATGTCATTAAATTGGATAATATATAAACATTACAATGAAATTTTGAACAAGCTTAGAGGGCGTAGCCAGGGAAAGAAAAGGGCAATTGCATCACTTTTTTATGACAATTTCAAATTCATAGCTGTATAAATTCTTTTTTCTTCACGTCATAAGTGACTCCCCCACTTTTCATAAATCCTAGACACGCCATGATGGATATATATTAAAGAAACGAGGTATGTTTGCATCAGTATTGTTGCAGGTGAATTCAGCAACTAAAAGATTGTTTCAATCTAAATAGATTCCGCAGAATGGAAGTTTTTTTCAAAATAGTAAATTGTGTACAACACATAACGTTCAGCTTAAGACTTTAATTGCGTTGAATGATTGGAAATAACAATTTATTTTCATTTTTTTGTTTTGTTTTGATGTAGTTGAATAGTTATGTCAGTGCAATGAAATTCATGAGATGAATATGTGTCTTTTTTTTAGAATGAAAATCAGTCAAATGATCAACAAGTGAACGACTTGCTACGTGAGCACGAAAAACAACAACAGTTGCTTAGGGTAAATAAGGATGGGGTGGCTGGAGAATTGATGTATTTTACTAGTTTCTGTAAAATCTATATATATCATGCTCATATTCGACTTTCCTTTTATATTTAAAGGAGCAACAGCAAGAGCTCATTGAACTTCGAACGCAGCAGCAGCAAAAAGAGCAAATTCAATCCTACGAGGTACGATTTTTTACCTTCTCGTTTTATTTTCTCGATCCTTCTAAATTTCAAATATGGAACAGAGTTTTTCATCGAGTGTTTTGTGTCTTTTTTTTTAACAGCAAGACAGGATAAGACTTGAACAACAAGTCAAGGATCAAGAAGCTTACTTGGCACTTTTAAAACAGCAACAGCAACAATTGCAGTTGCAACAACAAGGTTTGCAACCAAACCAGTTACAACAATCATCACCAATATCTTTTCAGACGGCCACAGGATTACCACCACAAGGTGCCTACATCTCTTACATACCGTACCATATGTCCCCAAATATCCAAAGTGTGCAAGGTATACCCCAACCCATTTATACCTTACCATATGGTGCAATACCCCCGTCCATGACGTATCCACCTAAGTAGAATTACGCAGAATGGTATGTTTGATTGTCGTGAATATGTAATTTACATATTCCCCTGAAAATACTACGTTAATATAATATAGAAATAAATATAATATTATAAATACCTACAGATGACTAACGCTTCATTCTAGTCATCGTCATATGTGTTGCGTAACTATAATCCACGTTTTCTTATTTAACATTAAATGCGTATTCAATATTAGTTTCAATAACATTTTCTCTGATCTCCTCGCGATATATTTAAAAAAAAATTTAAACATAAGAAAGGACGAACAGTTAATGACTTGGCTCTTCATCCTCCGCTCGTTATAAGGCAATATTCCAAGTATAGATTAGTATTAACAATTATTTAGTATTCTCAACATTCAACAACTGACTGTAAAGGTTATATAAAAGAATGTAAGCGTGTATAGTCAATAGAACTCTTTAACTTTTGCACAATCTTTTCTAAATTATTTTCATAGTCTATGTGCGTAATAGTATAACTTTAATAGATCATTGTGGTTAGTATTTCCTTGTATTACTTAACTGTATTAGATAGAAGACTTACAACTATCTGACCTCCAGTCTGAGCTGTTTAGTCGATGGGGTGACCTACATAAATTGGATGACCATTTTTTTTGTGAAATTCTTTGCTATAGCTCAAAAAATCTCAGTAAGGGAAACAAATAGTATAGTAATGAAAACAGAAAATAAACCGTTTCTTGGCGTACAGGTTAGCCAGCTATTTTTATAAAATAGACTTAATTTTTAAAAATCTTTCGCTTATTGACAATGACCTACCTTTTTTGGTCAATCCATTCACTATTGTTTTCATTCTCACGAGGAAATTACCGATATTGACTAATTTTGCTTGCGTTTATGTACAAGTTGATTCTTCCGTTTTACCAATTTAGGAAGTAAATTTTGATGTGAAAATGCGCGTTCTACCGTTTTATCATTAATATTGACACCAAGTTAAGAGATTACGTTTTTTCAGATCTATCGCCACAAGGATTGCCTTATTGATTTTGTGATCCTATTTTAAGACATTTACATACAAGGAATTAGTGTTTTGTAATATGTTTGTGCATTTTTCGAAAACCTGGTCTCTTTCAAATAAACATTTGAAATTAGAAATTTTTTCGAAGTAATGTTTATTGCCTCATTCTTTTTCATTCTAAGTTCTCCATTTTTTTGAGAACGCGTAAAATAAATATTGCAGTCACCTTTAGGCATAGCCACGAATTTTTACATGATTTTCGTGGAATTAGGAAAGAGACACAGTGAAAAATATTATTCTGTAAGAGCACGTGTGCATATGTTTTTCGGAGGAAATGCTGTTTTCAAGTGCATTTTCTGGGCTTGTCTTCCGTTTCGTTCAAAGTTTTATGTAAATATTGACGTTTTTCCATATATGGCATGCTTACTGAAGATTAATCGACGACGTATTGAATACGAAAGTATTCTCAACAGCAGGTCGCCGTACATGTTTTATCCTGGCTTTGTACTATATTAATCGACTAGCTACCAACGTACTCGTGTGTATCAACATTTCTATTTGAGCTCTTTAAAGTTTTGCTGGAGCAATGACTAATAACGAAGCCATTTCAAAGTTATCGGCAGACATGTTAAAGGATCTGCGCGAAAAATTTAACGAAGTAAGTGCTAAAAGTTGTTAGTTGTCCAGGAAGTAGTTGAATCATAATTGTATAGTTGTAAAATTGGTAAAATTTCAAAAATAACTTATGAAGAGTAATTGTACTAAGTATTTTTCTCATTTACAAACATATATGGAACACTGATGAGGAATTTTAATGACAATGGTCATTTGAAGTGGCCATTTTGTATATACTTTAGTACTATTGTTAACAGGAATTTTGTTCATGCATTTGTCGAAATAATTTGACGGCTTGTCCTACTTGGGTATCAAATATCACCTCGCCATAATTGACTGTTCTTACTCATGACTCATATCATGTTATTTTGAGTGCTGTTGTCTTTCCTGAGTTTATAACACGCTACCCTTTGGCAAGCGATATTTTTATAAATCCTTGTTGTAATTAATGAGTTGAAGACTGAGAAAGTAGAGTTTTCTTAAGTGGAATGAAGAAAATGTTTTTAATCGAAAAATGTCATCATAAACTCTATAGAAATTGTCCTAATAAATATTTTTAATTAAGTAAAATATGTTGCAAATATGACAAAATAGTGCCATGTATTATTAATTCCTTATATTTTAGTTTGATATCGATGAAAGTGGTCATATTACGACGTCGGAGCTTCATGCCTGTATGAAAGCGTGTGGCGAAGACATTCCAGGATTTAAACTTCGTCAATACATAGAAGAAGTCGATAAAAATCGCAATGGAACCGTTGAATTTGACGAGTTTGTTGAGGTGTGCTTTGATTGACTTTTTATTTCGTTATGTTTTTGAATATTTCGCAATAAAATAGTTGGTCATTTTTTTGTTTACCCTGCTTGAGAGGCATTGCGGCTTTTCTTGTGCATCATGATTTATTCTAATTAAATGAAGATATGATCTTCGCACTTTGCTGGACAATTTAAGCAATTGTCTCATGAACCTTGATTATATTTCAAGCGAATTTTATGCACTTCAATTTATGCATTCATTTTATGCTATCCAGTAGGCTATACTTGAACCGATATTTAAAAGAACAACAAACGAAACCGATTGCCCATTGCGACGCTGCAGCAGTACATAATTAAACAAGCAATGGCGTATCAAATGACTGTCAAGACATGTAAATACTTTGACAAATTGTATGCTCTTTATGTACAAGAATTTCACATTCGCTTGAATCAGTTTTGACACTGTTCATTCCAGCAAAATTTTTGAATAATTTCATGATAGTTGTTGGTGCGAGTTCTTGTACACTCACAACGTTTATCTAGCCTGTTTTTGGTATTTGTTTTCATGTTTTGGCTTGAAAGATTCCTTGTCATTGCCAGTTCAAAGTGTAACGAAATTACAATAACATGTTTAACATTCAAGATTCGCCTGGCTGGTTTTTTAGACTGAACAAACAAAAAAACGTTAACCTGCAAAAGACTGGTCGTGTACGAGTTTTTGCCTGATAACTTATTTATATATTGCAACCATAGGCTATGTTTATAAGTTGAAGACTCATTTCACTGTAGGCTTACTAGCATTTATCTTGAATTTTGCAAATAACAAATTGGTGTTATTGCATTAGAAGTAAACACATCAAATGTGCGGGCACACATCAGCTGCGTATGTTTATTTCCGGAAAGAAGCAATACTCTTTGATGTCTAAAGTGTCATTCATTTTGAAAAGTTTTGATTATTTTAAAATAAGAATTATTGTATAAAGTTTAATGTTCCATCAAAGCAAAAATATGACAAAAGCAATAAATACTTTCTCGAATGATTTTGAAATACTTACGCAACACTTTCTCGTTAGATATACTCGAAGGAATCAACCCAACTTCAGGCATCTGGCTTTAAAAGTATGGTTAGAAAGTTTAAGAATAGTGTCAAGATTCAAGGAGGGGTTTCTCAGTCATCTGCTGATGGAACCACACATTCTTTGACCGATTCTGAAAGAATGGCATTTTGTGACTGGATTAACAGCACATTGGAAGATGATAAAGATCTGAGTAGATTGGGTTTGTTGCCTGTTGATCCAACATCTGAAAGTGATCTGTTTCAGAAAATACAGAATGGCATCATACTTTGGTAAATTGTTTTTAAGCTACATGTATTATTTTCATTTGTTTTCTAATTGAAGACTAAAGTACATGTTATCATTTCACTGTTTTTTTCTTCTCATAGTAAATTGATCAATCTCTCGGCTCCTGACACTGTTGATGAGCGTGCTATTAATATCAAACCAAATGACAAATTGAACATTTATTTAAAACAAGAGAATCAGATTTTAGCTTTGAACTCAGCCAGTGCCATTGGTTGTTATATTGTGAATATTGGACCACAGGACTTGATGAATGGAACCCCTCATCTGGTGTTAGGCCTTATTTGGCAAATCATCAGGGTATATATATTTACAAATGTTTCTGTTATTTCTTGAACAAAATCACATGTTTTCTATTCAATGTATATCTTTAAAATTATTGTTCATTGTTCAGGAAACATTTGTGGAATATGCTATTCAAAGGTAATTGCAATTTTGTCACATTTCTTACATTTTGTTTGTATAGATTGGTCTACTAGCAAAAATCAATCTTGCCAATGTACCAGGCCTTGCACGTCTTCTTCATGAAGGGGAAACTATGGATGATTTAATGAAATTGTCTCCTGAGGAAATACTGTTGAGATGGGTAAATTATCATTTGGAGAAGTCAGGATCAAATAAAAGGATTAAGAATTTTGGAAAAGACATCATGGTAGAGTACATTTTTATTTAAGTCTTAATGAATATAAAATATTCTATTTCCTCATCCAACTACCTTGGATTGATTTTTGATGAGATCTACAATGATCTGCAATGAAAAGTTATAAAAATTTGCTCATCTTTTTAATGAAATACTCACATTTCATAAAGAAGCATTTTATGAAAAAATCCACCAGAATTCCATCAATTTGTTGCATTTCTAGGATTCTGAAGCATATACAATACTTCTTTCGCAAATCGCCCCACCTCAGCTTGGTATTGATGAATCTCCACTGAGGGTATGAATTTCTTCTTTGATTCTGTTAAAATCAAAAGCAGTCAAGATAATGTGTTCTGTATTTTTTCATTATAACCTTGTGTTTGTAAAATTGTTTATAAAATTATAATATTGTTTTTAGTTATAAAATTGTAACTTATTAATTTAGTATGGATTGCTTCAGTTACTTTTTCCGTTACTTTTCTCATCGCAAATACGTAGTTTAAGAAATGGCTCGAACATCTTGTGTTATGAAACATTTTTATAGATGCATTACTTCCAAGTGCTGAGCAAGAAAGGTTTTTTAGTTATGCTGGGTTAATATTTAGGCTTCACCATTGTTCTATATTGTTCAATGTAACTTTTCAATGGTAGTGACTTGAGAGTAACAATTTATACTTTAGTTGGTCCCACCTCCCCCTCCCAATATAATTTCTTTCACTGTCCTGGGAACCTGGGGCCATCAAGATACGAACCACAATCTTATACACATTTTTTTAATCATTCAAAAGTTTAGTCACGTTTGACTAAAGTTTAGGTTTTCAAGGAAAACATGTGCATAATAGCTTAATCAATTTTCGTGTCATTGCAATTATTGCGTCAATTGCGTTATCTTCAATTGTGTCGGGTTTTTTTCAACAGGAAAAAGACGACTTGAAACGAGCTGAGTTGGTTTTAGTCAATGCTGATAAAATGAAATGTCGAAAGTTCGTCCAGCCATCGGTAAGTTATCATTTTTACTGCAAAGTTTTCATGGAAAGTTTTTTCTAATTTAAGAGAAACATAAATTTGCGTGTATATAGGATATAGTAAAAGGACATTCAAAGCTAAACATGGCATTTGTTGCGAATCTCTTCAATACCTATCCATGTTTACCGCCACTTGATGACATAGAAGAAGATTTTGAAGAATACGAGGAAACAAGAGAAGAGTTAAGTAAGTGCATGAAGTACCGTATTATAGTAAAGTGAACTTTATAATTTGGTGTTGAAATTAATTCCCAAAAGTGGTATGTAATTATCCTTAAATTATCTCATAGCGTTCCGTAACTGGATGAACAGTCTTGGAGCCAATCCGTTCGTTAATCATCTGTACAACAATCTTCACGATGGACTCGTTCTTTTCCAGGTAAAATATTCAATTGAGAGTTCAATATTTCATTTATCTCTCTCTTGTGGAAGTTTAGTTGATTATCTTGGATAAACAAGAGTGTTACCGAAACAGAGAACGAACTGAAAATAGAGTTCCTTTTTACTGCTTAATGCCGAACAAGAATTAAAGATTTCTTCCGGGCAAATGTTAGCCTCAGACATTTACATTAGAGCACCCAGCCTACTTTTCTTTTCGTTTTTCAATATATGTACCAGCTTAAATTAAATTGAACTGTGAGAAACTGAAGAATTACGAAGTAATTATCGCTTGTAATTGGCTGCAGCTCACGGGTATTTATTTTCTAGTCCATACAAAACGACTTCATTCTTCTACGTTTGTTTTTTATAGCTGTTTGACAAGATTAAGCCTGGTGTTGTGAATTGGGACAAGGTGAACAAACCTCCTTTTAAGCAAATGGGTGGGAAAATGAAAAAGATCGAGAATTGTAACTACGCTGTCGAACTTGGTCATGAATTGAAATTTTCTTTAATCGGAATTGGTGGTGAAGATATTCACAACAAAACAAAAACTCTAGTTTTGGGTACGACTCAATCATTGTGCCTTACTTTAACGTATGTCCAAGTAGATAATGAGTAAAAGACTTATTGATTTACATTTTAGCTCTTGTCTGGCAAATGATGCGAGCATACACTTTAAAAATTCTTCAAAACTTGGCCAAATCAGATAAACCATTGGAAGATAAGGAAATCATTGCGTGGGTGAATGATAAGGTTGGGTTTATAACAATGAGTTAGTTGGTGTATTTCCACTTAATCAAACTTTTTGAAAAAAATTGCTTGAGAGATAACCACACAGTTTCTTTTTATTTATCAACGTACCCAAATACATCGTTTCATTTGTAATGTACTTGATGTACTTGAAGTTTCTTGTATCTTTTAGTTGGAGTCGGCTGGGAAGACATCAATCATAAAGAGTTTCAAGGATCCCAGCATCTCAACAAGTTTACCAGTCATTGATCTCGTAGACGCAATCAAACCTGGATCTATAAACTACGATGTTGTGAATGCTGGTAATACCGAAGAGGTGAGACTTGTATACATCTTGTTGAGTAGTAGGATATTACATATTAGAGAGGAAGCTAACTGACAGCTATTCGGTTTGATATGTAGCTAGTATCTTATCCTTTGTCTATGAACAATGAATTTATTTTGTAGGAGAAAGTTGACAACGCCAAATATGCGTTGAGCATGGCTCGTAAAATTGGCGCTCGCGTCTACGCTTTGCCTGAAGATTTGGTTGAAGTCAACCAAAAAATGGTTCTTACAGTTTTTGCCTGTTTAATGTCAGCAGTTTACTCGAAGAACTAATATAGTAAGGAAAGTCACAAGAACAAACAAACAAACAAACAACGTTGCGATTCTGTAATCAACCTTAGATGTTTTAGTCATACCACACTATTTTTCTATAAGCAATCATTGGACATCTTACGTTCTATTTGTTTAACCATTCATGCAAAATTGTATTGGAACCTTTCCCTCGCTTTTTCTTGTTGTATTCAGAATTAAAAACATATGTTGATGCTGACCACATTCATATTTTTAGGGTTGCTAGTTCTTTGAAGTTTTGGAGTTGTATTTAGGAATCCTGTATTTAAATTTACGATAAAATTAATCATTTGATGAATTGTGTTTTATTTCTAAATTGATGTTCCTGTAACCCTTGATTTATCCTAGAATATAAGAATGATTGTATATATAATCTCTTCTCTTCAATATATATATTATATATGCTTACATTTATAAAAATGACCATGGTTATTGTGACCATTAGTGACCCCCATAATAAGCCAGAGATGACCATCATTAAACCATTGAACCTGCCTCGCCTGCGTGTAGGTAAATTTCAAGATGGCGGTGAAAACTGTAGCGGGAAGTTTGAATTGCTCAACAGTTTTAAAATAATGAGACGGTCGTATGCACCAAGCCAGGTTTTAAAACGAAAAGAGTCTCCTTTGATCGAATTTGACAGCGATAGTGATGGAGAAGAGAAGCCGCTTCGCAAGAAGATGCATATAAAGACTGATGAAAAACCGAACTTTTCCACACAATATTCACAACGATTTATTAGGCAACCATTTACTCAACTCTGTTTCAATTGTAATGGCAAGCTCACGGAGCACGAATCTCGAATCAAAAATATATTGAGCAAGCCTTTCAAGATACCCATTCCGAATTATCAAGGTATTTTGTTTTAATGATAAATTGAGAATAAATTACGTGTTTTCTCATTAAAATTACATTTCTCGTTTTGCTTGTACGGAGTCAATGAAGTAAAACGTTTTTTAAGAAAATATTTTATGCATCGTTTTTCCATCTTAGGTTTTTCAAATGGCCGTACATTGGGTATCAGAAGGCAAGGTCCTAGACGATCCTTACATGATCCTGATGATCCAGATGCTCTTATTTTGTTTGCTCCCTCACCTCAGAGTGAACATGAAAAACTGAAATCAAACCAGGATTATGAAGTTCATGTTGTAGTTGACCCAATCTTGTCTAGGGTTCTTCGTCCACATCAACGAGAGGGTGTTAAATTTCTTTATGACTGTGTAACTGGTGTGAAAATACCTGACAGTTATGGTTGCATTATGGCTGATGAAATGGGTCTTGGTAAAACATTACAGTGCATAACTTTGTTGTGGACTGTTCTAAAACAAAGTCCTTCAGGAAAACAATTAATTGATAAAGCCATTATTGTTGCCCCATCAAGTCTAGTGAAAAATTGGTATAATGAAATCAACAAGTGGTTGCCAGGTAAAGTAAGGGTTTGCATTCAAAAAATAATGATGACATACATAACTTACACAACAGCAGTCTGTTTCCTAACTTGTGTCATTTAGAAAGGAAGCAGAAGATGTTTTATTAAAATCATCATGGAATATAGTAGTTACTTTATCTGACCCTTCTTGAAGTGTATCAATATGTTGTTATAAAGGAACACATGTAAATAGACAATCCTTGTACGAGTATTAATCTTTCAATGAAACATTTTCTCCCAAAGGGAGCAATGGTTTTTTAGGCAAAAAATTTTTGAAACCTCATAAAAAATTTGATTAACAGGAAAGCTAAATCCGTTGGCTATTGACTCTGGCTCAAAAGATCAAATTGATTCTAACCTTACAAGTTTTATGTCGCAGTCCAGTAAAAGGGTGTATAATTCCATTCTCATTATATCATATGAAACATTCCGAGCTCATTATGAGAAGTTAACGAGTAGTGGTGTTGGACTTGTCATCTGCGATGAAGGTCATCGATTAAAGAATCTCGAAAGTCAAACGTATCAAGCACTTGATAAATTAAAAACACAACGTAGAGTTCTATTGTCAGGTAAGATGACAATGATGAGAGTGATAACTGGTATTATAAAACGGAATTCTTGGTTGGTTTTATGATTTTAAATCAAGGAAAGATTTTTTCATTGGACTACTCTATTCAATTCAACCTTTAATTTCATGTTAATGCAATAACATTGTGCAGTTAGTTAATATTAGTTCCTTTCGTATAGTAGAATGCATTAATGATGTTTTCATTTGTTCTTCTACATTCAGGAACACCCATTCAGAACGATCTTCTTGAGTATTTTAGTCTCGTTCATTTTGTGAACGGTGGCATGTTAGGAACGGCTCCCGAATTTAAAAGAAAATTTGAGAATGTTATTATACGTGGTAGAGATGCAGATGCCAGTGATGTTGAACGTCAGAAAGGTGGTGAGAAACTTAATGAACTCGTCTTATTGGTCAACAAATGTATCATCAGACGAACTCAAGCAATACTGTCCAAGTATCTTCCAGTTAAGGTTAGTTTGTGAAAAGAATATCGATATAGGTTGTTGTGATGTGCGAACGAAAACAGTTTTGATTATATAACATGCTTCAGTGTACGTTGAACAATGGACAATGAGAGAAGAAAAGTCTTTACATCCTCTTAAGACTTAAATAAAAAACTAAAAGATAAAAAGTGACACTGTAGGAATATTTTTATTCCTACAATCAAATATTTATTTTAGCATGCTGAAATTTGACTTTTATTGTAACCCGATTTCTAAAAATTCATAGATTGAACAAGTGGTATGCTGTGGTCTTACATCGGTACAAAAACAGATTTATCAACGCTTAGTGTCCAGTAAAGCTGCAAAGATAGAAGTTGGAAAATCTGGCAATATTTCCTTTTCGTCTTTGGCATTTATTACTCAATTGAAAAAGTTGTGCAATCATCCTGAGCTTCTTTTGACTGGTGGTGAAGAAGACAAGTTTGGACGAATCTTTGAGATGAACCATATATTTCCTGGTGAGATGCAAAAAGTGTTCGGTTATCTATATATCTACAAGTATAATTGCCATCTGGTTTATTCAATTGAACCCAATAGGGTCTTTCTGATAGTCAATACGCAAGGAAACTCACTTTAATTACAGTGTTTTTTTTCCTTAGGGGGTAAAACACCAAAGAGTTTTCAACCAGATTTATCCGGTAAAATGAAAGTATTAGATTATGTTCTGGCGATAACAAAATCAACATCAAATGACAAAGTAGTTTTGGTCTCCAACTATACACAAACATTAGATCTTTTTGAAAAACTCTGTCGATTGAGACGTTACCAGTTTGTTCGTCTTGATGGATCAATGACCATAAGGAAACGGCAGAAGATTGTGGATCGCTTCAATGATCCACTTGGAGGAGACTTTATTTTTATGTTAAGCAGCAAAGCCGGTGGCTGTGGCTTAAATTTAATTGGGGCAAATCGTTTGGTGATGTTTGATCCTGATTGGAATCCAGCAAATGACGAACAAGCGATGGCTAGAGTATGGAGAGATGGACAGAAGAAGAAGGTTTTTATTTATAGGTAGTGTAAAGACTGTTCTCGTTCTCTGTTTTTCATTCATCACTGTCTATACTGACACACATTATCTTTATACTTTAGCTGATTATAATATTCGGTAAAAATACAATAGATTCATCACATGTTAACGGGTTACTAACAAAGTTTTATGTGGAATTTACAGGTTACTTTCAACTGGCACCATAGAGGAAAAAATATTTCAAAGACAAACGCACAAGAAAGCTCTTAGCAGCTGCGTTGTGGATGAAGAGGAAGACGTTGCAAGACATTTTTCAATGGAGGATCTTAGAGATTTGTTTAAACTGAACGAGAATACGTCTAGTGATACACATGACAAGTTTAAATGTCGCAGGTAGGTTGTTTGACACAATGCATGTATTTGATAGTATGCCTGAATGATAGTGAGTCACCAAAAGCCACGTGAGTAACAATTAAATGTAGATTTACGTTCATTTGTGGGCAGTGTAAGCAATGCAAATTTCTCCAATTTGAACCTATGTCGATTTCTTATCATTTAATGTTACCTGCGTTACAAAATGTTCAAGGCATTTTTATTCCACAGGTGTGTAAACAAGATACAGGTGCGTCCCCCACCTGAGGGCTCTAGTTGTAATTCAGATCTCTCCGAATGGAATCATTGTAATGATAAAAAAGGTGTGGAGGATCTTGCTCTTAAAAAAGCATGGGAAGATGGTGTTACATTTGTATTTCATCATCAATCACATGACAAGCAGCTTGGTGTGTGAGTAGACACATACTGGATAATTAAATTGCATAAAGGTATTTGAAAAAATTTATGTGGTCTTATGACTAGAGTGGCAATTTTGTGGAATCTGTGAGATTTTAAATGTGTATTGAAAAGAGGAGAAGTTTCATGGACATGAGAAAGGATGCTGAGTTAAGGTTTTCGATTGTACTTTTTCTTTATTCCTATCTCATAACAGATCCCTAAAAGAGTAAAAATATGGAGACTATTTTATTTAATATATTTTATTGAACAATTTTTGCAGTCATGAGTCAATATAAGTAAGTATTTGGATCACAAACTTAAAGAAAAAATCACTTCGTCAATTCAATTTCAGCTGTTGCTAAACATGTCATCCTAGGATATTTCACTTTATTTTTATCAAGTTCTTTCTGAGACCATTCAAGTAGTTTGATTATCTTAGATAACCTAGGTTTCGTTGGAAGATTTTCTTCCTCTAAAAGTGCTGCATTAAGTTCACTTGCCACTCTATGTCGTTGAGAGGGATGTAGAAGATCACCAAATGGACTATCTTCAGCATTCTCAAATGCCAAAAGAGCCATTGTTCGTTCAAGCTCTTCCAGAAATTCTGGTCTATCTTTACCATGTTGAGACATTTCAGTCTGTGCAAATTCAACTGCAGTATCAATATCTTTGTCTCTAATGAGTTCTATAAGTCTTTGCTGCTGAAGATGAAAATATAATTGTGGTCTGCTATCTAAAATTTCTGGGTTAAAATGATTCGTTAATTGCATCGCTTTGAAAACATCACCACTTTGTACGGCTTCTCGTATTTGTATACGTTCATCCATGCCTGTTACAGGAATGTCAGACTGTAGTTTTGCCTCGAGTTTAAACTTTTCGGCAGCCTGTTTAAAACCCTCCGTCACCAAATAATCCATTATAAGCGCGTTCATTTCATTTCGTGGAATCCGTAGTTCTTGTACTTTTTCATGCCAGTCTTCTTGATTGACATCATCTGCTTTATCTGAATCACTCATGTTAATTGAATAATAAAACACTAAGAGTCAAACGCGAAAGATTTAGAGAAGAAAATATATGTTTACACTGAGGGGCAGATAGATGACAATGCATTTTACAGTCTATACTGCGAGGCTGCGATTATAACAATACAATGAAAGGACTGGGTCGAGCTTCAATCACTTTGAATGAAATGTACTCTCGAATTTCTTTTTCATAAAAAGAAACCTTTTTTATGCCGCAGTATTTGAAGTTGTTTAGTTTTTTTTCAAAAAATTTAAAATATGTTAAATTAAATTTGAACATATAAAAAGTGATTCCTCTCTCACAATCAAAATCATTGATAAAAAATAAAAACATTTTGGTAGTGTTTCCGCTGAATTATAATAAATAAATCGCTGGCTCATCCTCAAAGTTCTCTTTGAATCTCACTTTGAACAACAAATATCTGAACAGGTAAGCACGTTGAATCCTCTCAAATTTTCCACAATCTTTTCCCATCCACTCGTTTTTCAATTTTCATAGTGCTTATTAGATAAAATTTTATTATTACTATTAATTTTAGAGACATTAATGTGACATTTTTTAAAACAAACTGCATATATATTTAATGAAATTGTTCCACTAGTTTAACAGTTAGTACTATCTGTTTTGCAGGCCATATAATGGGGGCTTATAAGTACCTAGAGGAATTATACAAAAAGAAACAATCAGATCTTTTACGATTTCTCCTGCGTGTACGATGTTGGCAATATCGTCAACTAAACAGCATCCACCGAGCATCTAGACCAACACGACCAGACAAGGCAAGAAGACTTGGATACAAAGCAAAACAAGGCTTTGTCATTTACAGAATCCGTGTACGTCGTGGAGGCCGCAAGAGGAAAGTGCCTAAAGGAAACACACATGGTAAACCTGTTCGGCAAGGTGTGAATAAATTGAAGTTCCAAAGAAGTCTTCGATCAGTTGCTGAAGTAATTATGGCATTCATACGTTTTTTCTTTGAAAACAAGTTCATTCAATCTCTCACCATAATTAAATCTAAATTATAAGGATTAATGTATTTTTTATATGAATATAGGAAAGAGCTGGTCGCTATTGTGGTGGACTTCGTGTCTTAAACTCTTATTGGGTTGCCCAAGATTCCACCTTTAAATTTTTTGAAGTGATAATGGTAGACCCTGCCCACAACGCAGTTCGTCGTGATCCAAGAATTAATTGGATTTGTAAGGCTGTCCACAAGCACAGAGAGCTAAGAGGGTTGACTGCTGTTGGACGAAAGAATCGTGGCATGAGAAAAGGCCATTTGTTCAACAAGGTTCAAGGTGGTTCTCGTCGTGCAAATTGGAAGAAGCACAATTCATTGTCATTACGACGTTATCGTTAGATTTTGTACAAAATGATTTTGAAATAAATATCAAATCAAATCACTTATTGATTATTAAATCTATTTACACTGACCTTATCAACCAATGATAATGCTGTACATAAGCACTATCATTGGTCAATAGTGTGTTTGGCTTTTGCATATTGGCTAAAAATGTAATATGCCAACCAATCAGTAGCAAACTGGATAAGAACAAAAGGAAAAAAAGAGAAAATATTTGTACACAGGCATTAACCAATTGATCACAACAAGTTATATGTTTTTCCAAACAATCTTATAACAGTGCCTCAAAGAAGTTGGCCAGTCAGAAATAAGAGATCTATCTGTGTCTAAAATATTAATTATCCAACAAAAGTTTAGGATAGTTGTCTAACTCTTCTTTTGTGTATTCATCCAACCTTCTAGGCAATGAGGCTGGTGACTTCAGTTGTGAATAAATGTTTTCTGCATAAGGATGATCTTCATCCTCAAATAAAAATAAACGTGACATGTACAACTTTCTGTTTTTGTTTTTTGGTAACATCCCATTAATAGCACGCCACAACACTCTTGTTGAATCCTTCTGGTGAAGGGAGATGGCATTTTCTCCTTAAATCCACCTGGGTAACCTGCATAAAGAAAAATTTAATCACGCTTTTAAAGTTTCCTCTATTGCTAAGCTTGCAAAGATAAAAAATCCTACCTGTGTGATGTCTGTATACTTTTCTATCCCATTTTTTACCGGTAAAAGCTACTTTTTTCGTATTTATAATTACCAAAAAATCCCCCACGTCAACTTTTGGGTGCCATATGGGTTTAGTTTTGCCTTGCAAAATTGTGGCAGCATAAGCAGCAAGCCGGCCGTTTATTTGGTCTTTGGCGTCAATGAGATACCAAAACCTAGTATGAGTCAAAAGATTTTGCCGAATACGGTTTCCAACTAGCATTCTCTTTTTTCGTAAACTAGATAATGTTCATCGTCATTTACATGGCCATGGACGTGGTCACCATTTTGAAATTCTTACGGATGAGCAGACGATGTTTTTTCCTGCGGACTTACAATAAAGCAGACCAAATATTCAAAATATGAGTATCTACTTTTCGGTGATGAATTTTATTAGTTATGTTACATCAAAGCGCGAAGTGAACGACACTAAAAAATGGGAATGATTAACATTTGAATTTACAAAGATGCATATGAAATAAGTTTATTTTCTTTTCAAATATCATGGATTCAAGTAAGTATTGGAATTTCCAGTTTTTCCAATATTAATGCATAACATACGTGCATACTAATACTGGTGTATTTAGGTTTTTCTCGGGTACCTTCAACGGGTTTTAATCTTAATGCGCAACACACTCCAACAAGAAGTACTGGAATTCTAAGTCAAAGTGGCGCAATGCGATACGGTTCTCCCGGCCATGGTTCAAATATGAGCACTTTTTTACCTGGATATCTATTAGGAGGACAGTCACCATCGTACATGGTAAGAGGTTGAACTTGAACAGATTACTTCCATGTCAATATTCCTCCATATCTTCAGAGTATTTATCTGCTTAACTACAGGATACATCGTATGGTCAAATTACTCGTAGCAAGAGTCCTGGAAAAATGAAGTCATGGTCACCATCAAGGTCTGGTGGCCATAACTATAGTGTTATGGCAAGAACAAATGCAAGTAGGGAGAGAAGAGATGCAACTCAACTTGCTCATAACTTGTATGAATCTTATATTTTTTACTATGACATAGATATTCATTTCTTTGTAAAATTTGCTGTTTTTTGTGTATTTATATGTAATATTTAATTTTATCAAAAATTGTTGACTTTTAGAAAGGAAAATCATACTCCTAAGAGTATGTTACGAGGAAAAGCTCCTCCTGTGGCTGATTTGTTTACAGAAACTACTAGTCCAACACGAAATAAGACTTCATATATGAGAGATGGGCAAAATGTAAGCAGAGTGCACTATGTTGTATGAACTAGTAAAACTAAAATAATTACAGCAGTTCATTCATGGATACAGTTATATTTAACAAAATTTGATGCATTGGTAAGATATTTTTCTTTGAAAATTCATGAACCAACAGATTTCCCATTATATTTGTATATGTGAATTAAAAGATCATGTCAAGCAACATGTTTTAGACGGATTAAAAATTCAAACACTTACTAAAGGATGTATAATTTTATCCACCTGTTATTATTATATGATGCTCATGAAGGGTTTCATGAACCTAGGAGATCCTCTTGTTCCAAAAAAAATGGAATTAAATATTGTTTTGGACAAAGTTCTTTTAAATCTCTTACCCTCCACCAAAGTAAAACATATCTCGTTTTTTGTACATGATACTATGTATTTGACTGGATATTGTGTCTCACTGTATGTATTTACATATATCAATGAAATTCTTTTTACTAGAATGATGTTCACATGACAACGCTAACATCAAATGCTTATTCACCCAGTATGTTTAATAATGAAGATTTTTTTTAATCAACTTGATAAATTCAATTATTTTATTTTAATGAAACTCTTTTAAGTCCTTGTGTTTTGAATTATTGAAGATTTAATGATGCAACATAGTGGAGCTACAGATATTAGAGAACATTTGATGGGTCCATCAAAAAAAGTTTTGTCTTCTCCTGCTCAAATTGATCCATTCTATTCACAAGGGTATGCATGCATACAGAATTTGAAAGTTAAAATTTATTTTTTATTTTGTTCCTTTTTTTTTTGTTCTAGAGACAATATAAGTACAAATAAAGTCTTAGATGAGTGTTGTATCACTGCTTTTGGGTATGTATGTGTGTAGATTTCTTTTGCAAGGCTTACAATGTTGTACTCCAACTTCCAATTCGGGTTTTGTCATAATTATTATGATCATTTGTACAAAAACAAAAAAAAATACTTCTCTCTAATTACAGGTTTCCTCCCTCTGCTAGCTCATATCTTTTGCAACAGTTTTCACAATATGGAAGCATTGTTAAACATGAAGTATGTTCTACTGAAGTATTTTAACCACATACGTATTAAGGAAAGTTTGGTATAACAGGTCATAACCCACCATCCAACTAATTGTTATATGGTTGGATTCACCACATCATAGCAGCAATCATTTTAACTCTACATCATGATGCAATTCTTTGCATTCTTTTTCTCCAAATCATTATTAATGCTCCACTGGATTTATGATTGGTCATGTTGTCCTTTCACCATGTCAATTTCTTCATATAACTCATCCAATGAATCTATCAGTCCATCAACATGCTTCAAGCAACTTTAACACAAAACTTCTCTTCTCAATCATTTTCATTCTCTTTACACTTGTTAATCTTCATTTCATGTTACTATATTTTTGTTACTTTTCCATGAATACTCTATAGACTACCCTACTCAATGTTACCTTACCCTCTCAACCATTCACAACCACAAGGATCTACCTTACTTTATGGCCCTACTTTTTACCTTCCAACCCTTCTCATTTGTCTTCCAATGGTCCACCTTTACCCATTTACTTTGAAATTCTTTATGCTCATTGATTCCAAGAACTTCTTCGTGTATTCTTCAATCATCTTGCTTATTAAAACCGAGGCACCAGCTTTTACTATCTAATTGTCAGGTTTCTTCAAATGGCAATTGGATGAATATAAAATATCAGTCTAAGCTACAAGCAAAAAAGGTAATGTATTGTGCTATGATGTTTTTTAACTACAAAAAGTTCTTGAATTACAATTTGCTGTATTTTATGATTGCTCCGTCATTGCTATTGCTATTTTTATTACCGATATATCATTTTTGTAGGCTTTGAGCAAAAATGGAAAAATATTTGGTAGTAATATGATGATAGGTGTTAAGCAGTGCATTAATAAGGTTGGTTTTTAAAGATTCTATGTGAAAGAAAGTCATCTCATTATAATGAAAATAATCTTTTCACTTTTAGGAGTTCATGTTTGATTTGGGGAAAGAAAATTTACCCACACCAAGTACAATCTCTCAATCATATTCCTCTAACATGCCTGTGTCATCACCTTCAAGAAAAACTCCCATACGTCCTTTGACTGCTGCATATCAGGCAGTTAGTAGTGATCTTGAGGTAAATATTTCATTAGTTTGATAAATATGTTTGCCCTATTTCATCATCATCATCTGCAATGACACACATGATTACAATTTAAATAGTACTAAAACTAATCACATTTTATGTTGTTTATTCATCACCACAAACACTATGACAAAAATCCTAGTTTCCATTTAAGGAAGGTTGTAAGAATGTAATAAGATTGTTCTTATTCTCTCATTTCTTTAGCGAAAATTGTCAATTTGACCTACCATATAAATGTTATTGTAGTTCATGTGCATTAACTTTTTTTCCTCTGCAATTCATTGGCTTCAAAGTGCAGTATCCCTGTCTGTATAATTGTTCATTTTTAGGTTACAGGAACTGCCTCAAACACTCCACAAAAAAATAACAATTTAGTTTCCAAGGCTATGGAATATGTTTTTGGCTGGTGAATTTGCGAAGGTACTTTTTCCCATTGCATATGACATTCTTGTAAACAAAGCTTTGGCCTCTTGCAATGTATTTAGCTGAGATGGTCATTTGATAAATAATTATTATAAATAGCTTCTACTCATATTATGTAAAATCAAGAAAAAAGTCTGATAGTGAAAAAAATGTGATACTAGAGTATTCCTAGATATTATTCGAAATTAACTTTTTGATCTAGGGATAGCTGTGCGCAGCTGCTCTATTTTATGTAATAATAGGCTTTCAAGGAAAGGAATATACAATTAATAAATTTACGTAATTATAATTTGTCAAATTGTTTAATATCTTTAATAATGTGAGTATTTATGAAGGACATTATATCCTTAATGTGACCTAATCAAAATTTTCTATCCATTTTGCATGAATTGGTAAGTTTCTCTTGCCCTTTTCGTGTTAGTACATTTTTATTTGCTAATTTTCGTTTCGTTTTAATATAGAGTTCTTTTACTCGATAATTGATACGTACTTGCCATCACTGACATGATAAATGTTATGTACACACATTGCGCATGTGCATTTTATTTTTACATGCTTGAGTCCCAAGCACCACTGCCACTGCCTGCTCCCACTGCTTATCAATTGATTGACATTTAGCTGGAGGTCGTAATGGAAGAGCGGCGGAAATGGAAACCAAAATAGCGAGAGATGTTCGTGAAAGAATCATGTATTCACTTCAATATGTTATGTTCTTTTCCCGTTTTGTTTTTTTTTTCTCAAATCTTGAACAAGTTCCATTTAAAATAATAAATATATCATTTTAATTATTTTGATTCAATCTGCTTCTCTCAGTAGCTTTATATTTGGAAGCTACCAACATGTACGCGTTGCGCGCCTATTTTTTTATTCAAATGTATGCCATTGTATTTAATAAACGCATTGTTTCTAGAGATATATCCAAAGACCAAGAAATGAAAAAGAAACGTGAAGATTCATTATAGCTACAATAAATAATGTTATGACAAATGACTTCCTTGGCTCCAAATGTGGACACTGTTTTTTTTTCCAAAACAAAACGAAATCGGAGGGAAAACCGGTGGTTCAAAAAAAGCTACAATAAAAGAAAAGACCAAAAATTTAGAAAATTTCCTCAAATTTTTGTAGTTTTAAGATGTTTCGTATTTTTGTTGTTTTCAATGATTACGATGATCTACTTTCCGTTGAAGTGACAAACGAATTTAAACGTTTCTTTCATTGAAGTCATGACTAAAAATTTTATTGTAATTGGCTCCCTAGGAGCTTCTCACCTTTCACAAAGACAATAAGTAATCCTTCAATGCGTTTGAATAAAAAAAAATTCATTAGAATAGTCATTTGTGTTTTAAGTATGCAAATGAAAGGAGTCTGGGAGACCATAGCTCTTTTGTTTGGCAACAATACGTTTTGTTCTTAAAAATTAGATTTGATAGATATCCGGTAATTTGTTCAAGTACGAACAATGAGTACTGAACAATCATGTTGAACAAATACATATAATGATATGCTTAACACCATATATAAAGTAATATTCACTTCACGTGTTGCCACACATTAACCACGAGTATCAGTACCACATCAAAAACGTTGATAGCTGCTGAAAAAAAGGGAAACCCTTTTGAAATCAAGTATGAAAGTAGAACCCACGGCTGGAAACTACAAATGTAAGTGACTACACTGACGATAAATGATTATTTGCTTTTTGATTTATCTTTAATGTTCTCGGAAAAATCGAAATGGTTTTTATTGATGCTACTGATTTTTGGTTTGTTTCTTCAATGTGATATTAGTCATTACCATGCAATGAATACAAACACACTAAATTTGCCATCTGTCTCCAACGCATTATGTGGTTGAGTGCATAGAGGTGCAGTTTTCACAGATTGTCGTGTAGACTTGTAATGAACGAGACCCGTAATTGTCTTTTGCTCGAATTTCTACGACTCCCTGCGATATTTTTAGTATTTGAGAAACCTCGTGGCAAACAGAATGCCCTTAAACCTAAGCTTAACCTAGCAAGGTATATTACTGCAAAATTCGATGAATATTTGGACAAAATTCAAGTCTACTTTCTAAATTCATTATCGTTTCATGAATCTTAGCCTACCATATCATGTCTCGTTATTTTGCATAACGACAAACGCAAAACCATCTGAAAATTCTAATGAATTTTCTTTATTTAAACGCATTGAAGGATTACTTATTGTCTTTGTGAAAGGTGACAAGCTCCTAAGGAGCTAATCAAAATAACTAATTTTAGTCATGACGTCGTCAATTAAAGATTAGTCATGTATTAAGAAAGTTAAATTATGTTCTTTACTGAGAAAGTAAGTATGAGTTACATGGAATACTAGTGTTAGTGTAAGCCTTGTAATATGAAAGCGTTTACTGTAAGAGGCTTTGACGACTATGTTAAGCCTTTGACTTGTGAGAATTGTTACATCGTTCAAACTCAACTGACCAAAGTGACTAAAGCAATTCGTGCAATGTAGGCGAATGTTCTACCATTTGGATAGTCAAACAGAAAACATATTCCAATTTGCTTATTCTCAATATATCTGATTAAGTATTTGAAAACGCAAACTAACGTCATATGTAGAGTTACTCATCGTGAAATCTCGAAATGTATGTTTAATAATTTTTTATATTGTAGATCCCACAAGGATGGAGTTGTGAGAGTCCCTTTACCACCTGTGTCATTCTCTTCAATTACTCTTACTAGTTTTTCATTGACAAGAATGTTTACGTGTAGTGTGGATTTAGTTGATGTCAGTTGTTTGTTCATATAATGATGATGGGCCCCATTGTTATATGAGCCCACCTAAGGGTGGTCAGCTGATACTCACTGAAGATCAACGCTGCACTAAGCATTCTTTGAGTGATGATAAAACTGGGGTATTGAAGTGATCCCTTTTCCTTCGCTTAAAGTTACCATAAGAGGGCGCTGTAACTTGTAATCTATCCAAATGGCGATTCGTGATATCAGTGGACGATGATGGAAAACAAGCGAGTGGAAAAACACTATCCATGTGTTGTGGTTTGTAAGAGGTTTGCAAGTTGAGTAGATAAATGTTATTTGAGTAAATGCATGAGATAGTCAAAAAAGGATCCTGATGGTCTATTTTTATAATTTGAACCTTGCTGCGACAAAATAGCTGGCTTTCACTCGCTACTTTTTACTAAGATTTTTTAACATTTATAAAGAAAACTGCAATGCTGCAAGTAGGGTTAATTGAATTTGTAAGATAAAATGTTACAATAAATATGAACTATGTACACGTAAAAAACTGCGCGGTGAAAAGAAAGGAAGAGATGAAACCTACCAAGAGATGAAGCCGACCAAGAGATGAAGCCGACCAAGAGATGAAACCGACCAAGAGATGAAACCGACCAAGTCGCCTGAATCGGGTACTAAAGTTTTGTTCTTTTCAATATGTTTAATTTCTGTTTTCATTAACTATGCTGACGTTTGTAACGTGTTTTTTTATAGAGTTAGCTATGTCTGCGTGGCCAATGAATGAACGACCAAGTCGGACAGGAAGCACCAAGAAGCAAGCGTCCTTATCGATCACACTTGCAACTTTAGTTAAGCATAACGTTCAACAAAATTTCCATAAAACTAAGTTTTTACAATTGTAAAATTACTTAAATATTGTGGAAAAAAAAAACACGCGTGTGAAAGCCAGCTATTAATCAAGGTCTTAACGAAGCAACATAGAAATTTTGAATCGAATGAAGTTTAGTAAAAATCAAAAATGATTTTATGCACGTCATGACGTCACATTGGTCATTTCGTTTTTCATTGTTGTTGGCAGGCGAATGGTCAGGTCGTACGTACTGAATAATTTTTTCATGTGATTTATATATGGCTGGATTGGCTGCTATTAGTTTTCATATTTCGTCTATCTGTTAAAGTTTCGGTCGACATTTTGCGCTCTTTCATTTTTTGTTCTCTACCAAAGTTTGCGTTTCTTTTGTTCCAACACCAAAATATTTACCGTGTCAAAGGTTATAGACTGCCCATTTTTTTATCGCTCTAAATTTAATTATTTTATACGAACGACGTACGATCTGACTACGATGCATGTTAAAGTAGATCATCGGAATCATTGAAAACAACAAAAATATGAAACATCTTAAAACTACAAAAACTTGCGGAAATTTTTCTAAATTTTCGATCTTTTCTTTTATTGGAGGGTTTTTCACCAGATCCACTGGTTTTCCCTCCCATTTCGTTTTGTTTTGGAAAAAAAAACAGTGTCCACATTTGGGGCCAAGGAAGTCATTTCTCATAATATTATTTCATGTAGCTACATGAATATTCACGTTTCTTTTTCATTTCTTGGCCTTTGGGTATATCTCCCGAAACACTGCATTTATTAAAGATACAATGGCATACATTTTTTGGGGAAAAATAGGTGCGCAACGCGTACACACGCTGGCCTGCAAGTATATAGCTACTGAATGAAGTAAATGTGATCTACGTCGTTAAAATATAATGATATATCTGATGTCTGATGGAATAAAGACGAAATATACACCATCTTTATAAGTCATCAATTATAAGTCTGATGTCTGTGGAATAAAGACGAAATATACACAATCTTTTGTTTCCAACTCTTGTACTATCTTGAATATCAAGAAAACGAGATGTCCCTCTTCGGAATTTGTTTTATTTTGTATCACTTGAAATTGTCTGCTTGTTCTGCTTGTGTTAGTGTACTTTTATTCTTCTTCGTGTACTTCTATTTGTGTTTGTGTACTTCTATTTGTGTTCGTGTATTGTACTTGTTTGCCACCGTTATAAACACCGATGTAGCCTTGTATTTTGACCACAACGTGAATTTTTATCTCCTCTTGCTGTGATGTCACATATCGTACTCTCATGTTCAGCGAACCAATTAGGTTCGAGCTGTAATAATCTCGCTTTGCTCCATGGGAAAACTCAGATACCAGTTGTAAGAGGACACTGTTCGAGTGATACGTTGTGTAAAAGTGCGAGAATATTTGTTGAATTTTATTGCATTGATTTTGAAATTAATTGTTCTCTTCAAGGATCAGGGTGTAAGAATGAATGAAGCTTCGATTCGAGGTATTTAACTTAAAAACTAATGAAAAACACGACCGTGTGCAATGAATATAATTGACCGTTGGTCACTGCATCTGTTCTCTTAGTGTAAGATATTCTCCATTTTTATTTGAAATATATCCCTGGTTTTACCCTTGTATATTCTAGTTCCACCGAGAAGGTTTTCTGAAGATGGAATGAACAATATGGTATAATTTCTCGGCATCTTCGCTAATAATTGAGCTTTGTTTACTACACTTAAATTCAATGGCTTTACCCTGCACGTTTTACTGTTCTATGTCACTGGTATTTTGCTTACGATAATTGCTTGTATCTTGCTGCTTTTAGAACCTGCCAGCACCAAAGAAGTTACGGAGAAGTCTAGAAGAGTTTAACTCGTTTTGTAGTTATGTTTTGGCCTACGAAGCAAGGCTACAAGAGGTGTGTGCTTGTTTTATATCTGTGCCTAATTTTGTTGTATTTTTTGTCTTCTTGAAAATCGTTTATTTCTCCATGACTTAAAGTGTGTTCCCTCCTGTTGATGTATTTTCCTAAATAGCTTGTTAACTGTGGTAGAAACAAATCTGAAGCTCGCAAAATTCGATGTTTGCACGGATCTTAAATATATTTTGTAGTCATGTCTTTATAAGATGTATTTTTCAATCGAAGTACATTTTTTGTGTGATAGAATTGCAAATTTGGTATCTCATCTCATGTTATCATTGTGCTGTTTGTAATAACGCTTTTGCCCTTGTCAATCTTTTTTACTTTTCTCAATATGGCGCTGAATTGCACATGCTTTCAACTGTTGTCTTTCTACGTAGGAACGTCGAAGAAGACAAAGTCCAAAATCTTCAGGGGAAGAAAGCACAAGCTCTAGCACAGATTCAGCTTACAGTGAAAGTCTTTCATCGCCAGATAGTTCAGATGAACGGTTGCTTGATAATGTTGACGAGGAATACGACTCAGGTGCATTTTTATTAAACCGTTCTTTGTGCGATTTCCTTTGCACAATGTTGTATTGACAGTGTCACAGTGGCGAGTTGCGGCTAAATTACCAATGTATTATCATGCATTCTTTTTTATATAGGCGACGAATCGTGGAATAAAGTAACTTGTTTTTGCGAAAAGCCTTTTGCAGGTATTTATATTTTAATCGATCATTCGCTTATAGTTTCACTGGAAAATTTTAATTGTTTCTCGCACATCAAGTGACATTTGTTTACCAAATTTCATGTTCATTTCTATATCAAATTATTTTTAAAAAGTGTCCATTCGTTTGATATCTATTCGTCAAATTTCTAAATATTTTTATTGTGTTTATTGGGCCTTTAAAGAGAACTTTGATAAAATTCTCATTTCTGATTTGTCTCCAGTCTCTAGTCAATCATTGAATATTGTACAAATATCTAATGACTGCGCAATGAGTGTAGTGAAAAAAACGATTTAGATTTTTGTTTGTGTCCAAATGAGTTTGTTTACATCAAATTTCAAATTGCATTGTGAAGCTGATTAAAAGTTGTTTTGAAAATAATACAAGTAGCATCAAAATTATTATTCATTTTCTATTTCTGGGCAGACATCAGGAATAACTACTCATGGACATGTTATCTCAACAAGATAAAGCTTTAATAGTTTTCTGATTTTGATACTGTTGAGTTATTAACAATTTTTTTCACTTCTACTTTCAAAGAAGGCTATGTATGTGAATCTAGAATGATATATCTGAATGCAGATAATATAAATCTGGAATCTGTAACTCTGAAGTCTAGGGAGTGCTTGCTAAAATTTAAACAGCATTGACTTGATACTTATTCTGAATTCCTATTCCCCCATTCACTGAATATTGCTGGGGGGGGGGTTGTATTTAGAAGGTTTGAGTCATTTGTGCATGTTTTTCTTCTGTTTTGCACAAATATATACTATTTATGTTTCATTTGAAGGTCGGCCAATGATAGAGTGTTCAGAGTGTCTTATTTGGATCCACTTATCCTGTGCAAAAATTCGAAAGTCTAATGTTCCAGAAGTTTTTGTTTGTCAAAAGTGTCGGGATGCAAGGCACACAATGCGTAGATCACAAAGGGTGAAGACAAGTCCTAGTCCTAAGCGCACTTGATAAATTGGCATACCTAGATTTTATGTATAAATTTGTAAATAGATTTATTTCAGGAAACCTAAAAGTTTATGCGGGCATTTATTGTGTATTTGTGCAAAGAAATTTATATGATTGTTGCATGTTTGGCAAAAGATTGACCAAATGTATAGATTTTAAAGTTGTCTGATAAGATTTATGGGTTAAATTTAATTGCCATAAAGAGATGTGTTTACTTAAAACAATACTGTTAAAGTTCGTACTTTGGCTTGAAACCGATTGACAAATGTTGAAGGAGTTATCTCTCTTTTCCTTCCATAGTGTGTTGAGTAGATGTGTGTAATTACAATGGATGGGAAACCATGCTGTTAATTAAGGAACAGCCTAGTTAAATTACTTGGAATGAAAACATAACACTTGCATTTGTTATTCGGTATCAATCCTCTTGTAATTGCAATAGAAAGACTTCATTTTGTCATTAAGTTTTGTTGTGTGTATTGTGTTTGACATTTTTGTTTCCTACTATCCCAATGGTTGCTACTGATAACTGTTTGCCTTGTTATGGTGTAATGTCAAGTCTGGGGTGTAATGATTAGTTAACCCAGTGGAGTGGCCTTTTGTCCAAGTCTACAAAAGTTCGAAGTTTGTACTGTTACATGAGCTGCCCAACAAAAAAGTTAATGAGGAGGCTGGCTGAAGATGGGTAGAAAATAGTTTCTTAAGTACATTTGTTCGTTTTACCTGAAAACATGTTTAAAATACTCAAACACATTTGTATTTATTACATAAAATGGTGTTCCTGTCAATTAAGGGCGTATATTGGAACATGTTACAATCTGGAAGATCCAAAATCATATTGTTCTGTCTTCGGAAACAGTTTCCGAATGCGCCTCCTTTTGACGGATGGTATATTTACATTGTGTCTTATGGCAATGGTGGACGACTTGTAGGGATTTTGATTGCAGTTGTCTCTTGAGTTCGAAAATGCCACCAGTGACAGCAACCACAGAAGAGAAAAAGGATGCAGGGGAAGCAACACTTTCAAAACCAACTATTGGTATTATTTATCCCCCTCCTGAGGTCCGGAGTATCCTTTATTTTACTCTTTAAACCTTATGCTTACCGTAATAAATTTCTCAAAACGATTAAGCCCATCGTTTATGGACTAAAATTTTGCAGTTGTTATGTTCTTTGACAGACTTTTTAAGATATTGTCGATAAAACAGCAAGCTTTGTCGCTAGAAATGGTTAGTTTGAACTGTATTACTCTTCTTAATTTAATGTTATGCTTCAAATTACGGGGTTAGATGGTGGGTTCAAATGGTGTGTAAAGTTCACCGTTCCAAAAAATGATTTTCAACTGTAAAAATTTTGTGACGTTTTTTTGAATATTACATAAAGAAGACATAAAACACCAATTTTAGAAGAAGAGGTTTATATTCATTTATATTATTTTGCATTGTCCGATGTTTAATTGTGTTTTTAGGTCCCGAGTTTCAGACAAGAATCAGACAGAATGAACAGAGCAACCCTAAATTCAACTTTTTGAACACTGGAGACCCTTATCATGCATATTATCAACATAAAGTAAAGGAATTTAAAGAAAATGATGGCAAGAGTAAGTTTATTTAAAAAAGAAATAAACATAAAGATAGTAACAATACATTTCTTGCTTTATTACGGAGTATTTTTTGTTTTAGTCCCAGAGCCAACAATCCAACCTCTCATGTCCATTCAGACAAACAAGGTATGTGATTTTGTTTTTGACTGATGAATACCTTTGAAGGATTGTGAGGCCACAGATCTTTGCCTGTGAATGTGGGTTTGTGCTTTTAGTTAAAGCCGACTGTTTCAGCACCCCAAGTGACCATCATTGAACCTGAGATTCCCAAAGAACCTCCACCTGAATATGAATTTCTTGCTGATCCTCCAAGTATATCTTCATTAGATTTGTAAGTAAATAAAGTAATGAAATTTTATGCATGGTTTGAAAGACAGTAAAAGATTCTTAACAAAACATGTTACAGAGATATTGTCAAGCTCACAGCTCAATTTGTTGCAAGAAATGGTCGACAGTTTCTAACAAATTTAATGAATCGTGAACAGGTACAATAACTTTTCAACAGTTAAACTTGAAATGAATACTGTACTAAACTGGAGTTTTCATGTGCTCAAGAGTGAGCTGATAGCAATGCAGTTGGTGTGTTGTATTTTTAGAGGAATTATCAGTTTGACTTTCTGCGACCACAGCATAGCCTTTTCAATTATTTTACAAAGTTGGTAGAACAGTACACTAAGGTACATCAATATGTATGAAGTAAAGTGTTGTGTGCCAGTACTTCTTTCCTCATAGTGCCAAGTCTTTGATGCTTACAGTGTCCAAATGACAAATTCCTTTAAATCTGTAGGTGTTAATACCTCCTGGAAACATTAAAAACCGATTAAAAGAAAAGATAGATAATCCATTCAAGGTAAAATTACAAATTTTAAGATAATAGTTGCGTTTAAATTTTAATGTTATTTTCTGTTTTATGTATAGATTCTTGACAGTGTCAACTATCGAGTGCGCTGGGCTAGACACCAGGAACAAGAAAAGCAGAAGGTTGAAGATGCTAAAGAAAAAGAGAGAGGTGTTTTGATGTTTTGAATTATTCATTTTATCAAACATTGCTGAAATATCATTTTATCAAAATCATTCATTACATGGTGTATGTTTTCTTCCTTTTAGTGTCATTTGCTCAGATTGACTGGCATGATTTTGTTGTTGTTGAGACAGTGGATTTTAAAGAAAATGAAACTGGTGCATAAATTCTCATTGCACTAATTCTTATAAACTTTCTATTTCAATATGAAAATCTTGTTTTAGGTAACTTGCCACCCCCAGTAACTTTGGAACAACTTGGTGCAAGAATTCTTGCTCAAGAAAGGGCTGGAAAGACCAAGGTAATAAAACACTTTTTACCATTTTATCTAAATTTTGCAGGCCATTCTTTATTTTTTCAATACATTATTTTTTATCATGGCATATTATATTTAGCATTGTTATTTGATGTTGTTTATTTTATTCATTTATGAAATGACCATGTCTTCTTTATTCAGGATAGTGATAAAGATGGCAAGGAGAGAGATGATGAATTTGACATGATGGATATTGAAATGGAAGATGAAGATGATGGACAACCACCACCTCCTGGAAAGGTATTATCTTATGCCTTTTCTCATTTCTTGTGGTTTTTATTGTAATTATAGGCTCCAGTTCATGGTTGTTTAATTCATGGCATTTCACTGTAAACAATATGTTCTTATGCAGTAACAAAATGATACAATCTTCACTTCATCTCTGTGGGAAAACATTTTTGAACAGAGCTATCCACTAAAAAATGCTAGTTAAAGACTAACATCATTATAACTTTGGAAGAATAATATAAAATTGTTTCAGGAAGCACCGAGAGCTCCTTCTCCTCCACATCCACAAGAACCTCCACCTCCACAACCTCCTCTTCCACCAATGGCACCTGGTACCAACATACAGATTAGAAAAGACTATGATCCAAAACAAACTCGAGTTCAAGCTGGTCCAACACCTCCTGACAACTTCCTTATTTCACCGATAACAGGAGAAAAAGTACCTCGTCACGAATTTGATGAACACATGAAGATAAGTTTACTGGATCCAAAATGGAAAGAACAACGTGACCGATACGAGGCTGAAAAGAAACAACAAGAAAGTGTATTTGCTTCTGGTACTGTATCTTTTGCATTTCATGACTCTTTTTCATTGTACATAGTTTTTGATTGTGAGTTTTTGATTGTTTTATTGACAAGTTATTTTGCATACCTAATATCAGGTTGCAATAGATAAAATCACACCATTCAATTGATGTAACAGTCAAGGCACTGCTGTATGTTGGGAGCTTGATAAACTAGTGCTGCAGTAGGGATGAATTGAACTGATCTTGTACGATCATTCTGATTCTACTTAACATGTTATTTATGTAAGATGGAATAAATACATAATTATTCATCCTTTTTAGGTTCATCCATGGAAAGTAATTTGAAACAGATTGCACAAAGGCGAACAGATATCTTTGGTGCTGGTGATGTGGAAACCTTCATTGGTCAGAAGATTGGTGAGGAAGATACAAAACAACCAGAAAAGGTCACATGGGATGGTCATACTGCATCAATCACGGCTACTGCTCAAAAGGCTGCAGCCGGAATCTCCTTAGAAGAGCAAATCGAACAAATTCACAAACAGATTGGCATGGTGTAAGTAATTTGTGGATGAGAATTATGACAAATTAAGCATGCAACTAATTTTCCTTTATTAAAATTTGTAGTCCTGATGAGGAAAAAGAAGCCATTGGGCCAAAGCCATCATCGACAAACCCACCACCTCCTCCTCCCAATCTTCATCCCCTTCAAGCTTCTCCGAATCAATCCATGATTAGGCCGCCTCCTCCACCTAACTTCCCACCACATCCATCAATGCATCATTCCATGCCACCTGGTGAACACAGAAATGCACCGCTACCTCCTCCAATGCTCAGGTCTCCTGTGCCACCACCACAGAGATTTATGGGTGAGGATATTTAAATTCATTTTCTGAAAGTGACTCAGTCCATCTTCTGATATGGCTGATTTTATTTCAATTCTTGACTGCTCATATGCTTTAGCATACTTCAGTAGCAACCTGTTACCAGTATTTTATCATGGGGATTGTGTAATTTTTGCAACAGGAATCCCTCCTCCTCCAATGCAAGCCCCACCTTTTATTCGGCCAGATATCCAGGCTGCACCACCAGTTATGCGACCTGATGAACCTCCAGCCAAGAAGTCAAAGGTTGATACTGGTCCAGAGGCCAATCTTATACCAGAAAATTTGTTTCTTCAACGGCACCAGGGATCTGTTCGATTTCAAGTTCAGGTTCCAGAAATTCCTGATAAAACTGAATGGAAATGTAATGGACAAAAGATCTTCTTGACTATACCATGGACTGATCCAGTAAGATTGATCTAATTTTTTTGTGTTATGACATAAATGTTGTTCCTGAAAATTCTTTTTACCCTTATCTTTTTATTTTTAAACAGGTGTCTGTGATTAAGGCAAAACTACATGAAGAAATAGGGATGCCTGCTGGAAAACAAAAACTTCAATTGGAAGTATGCACATCATATATAATTTAGATTTTTACATTAAAAACATGTGATAATCTGTGATTTTCATTGCAAATTTCCAATTTTTAAATTCTTGAAAAATTAGATGAAAATGTTCTGACTATTCAAATATTTCTTTGTTCTACAGAGTATGTTCATCAAAGATTCCAATACTCTTGCATATTACAATTTCCTACCATCCAGTGTGGTACAATTGCAAGTGAAAGAACGTGGTGGCAGAAAGAAATAGACATTTCTCTAAAGAAATGTGCAATGTTAAAATGCAGAAGGTATTTGCTTTAAACCTGTCATGAAAAATGTAAAAATTGTATTGCTTAAGTACAAAATTTTGTTCCTCTTTGCTAAGAATATATTTATATGCAATTCATATGTATGCCCACTATTGAGTTTATATTAATTAATATCAATATCATAAGCTAAATCTTACATGTTTTTGTATCCAATAGTTCAAAATTTCTGTACGTGGCTATGAAAACTGCCATTACTGTCTGGTAATTTACAAGTAATACTTAGATTGATGAGGTTCTGAACTATTTAAATAGTAATTCACATTTAATTTGGTCATTTGTATACACATAACTGACATGACAATGGTTCAATCTTTTCCCACCATTAAATCAATGACCTTATGCGAAGGAGAGTTGCCTATTAATTACTTTGTTCATCCATACTATCTGACAATCCATCATCAACTGCATCTAATCTTGGTTCTCTGTCCGGAGCAATAGTCTCTTCTTCAGCAAAGGTACCAACTGTACCTGGGTGGAACTGATAGTTGGATACAAATGCATACATTGGTGTGAATGAAGTATCCCCCATGATGTCTCCAGAATTTGCATCATTTTCATCCCAAATATGTGCTGCACCAAGAATGCAATCAGCATAGGAAGGAGGAGCTAAAAAAATTTTTGGGAAGATTATTCTTTCTTGGCCTATGTCATCAAATGTGTTTGTTATAACTGCTAAGGATTAACCAATGGATAATTTTCTTTGCTTATTAAAGTTCAGATACATATAAATTTGTCTACATACGTCCCAACTGTGCTGTTGTCATTGACTCATTGTAAGTAGGAAGGTTGACTTGAAAAGGCATGACTTCATCAGATGCAGGTGCTGAAGGTTCACGAGGTAATGTAGTTGGTGGAGCAGTTGCTAGTAATGGTGGTCTGTAGGGTACTGTTCCAATGGTTATGGGTAATGAAAGAACTAGTTGATTCCGTCTTGTTTGAATGCATACCTAAGACAAAGGAATATATGTTTTTCAGTATTATCAAACATAATAGATCATCAATATATTATAATGACATTACCTCCAGTTCATAGGAAACTTTAATGAATTTGCAGTTATTTATTGTGGGTGGTATGGGTGGTATACTAAACATTTGGTTTTCCCATTGTACAGGAGTGTGAGGTGGAAGTCTTTTGTCCTTGCTCACTTTCACACACTTGTTGACAGTAGTTATTTTTTTGCCTGAAATAAACAGTAAAATGAATAGTACATTTTCAAAATTAAGACCACACAAAAGGAACATAAAAAGAGCAGTTGAAATGCAAAAATGCAAACAAACCTTGTGTATATTTTGTCTTCTGATACAGAATGACCTTAACAGGTTTTGTCCTTTTGGACATGTTATTGCACAAGCCTCCTGTGAGGGCAATAGCTTCACCTGGACAATAACCACGGCGATCAGTTCTTAGCTGAGCTATAACTGACCCTCGATTAAAGCACATGAATTGTTCTTGCATTTCACGCTCCATTATAATGGGTTCCTATAGAGGTGTAAAATATACATTTAGCATTATTGATAAATGTATATTTGCTCCATACATACACCCTACTAATGTCAATGATATTGGCTTGCACATTGTTATCTAAACTTTTCTAAACTCTTACCAATGCCCATGGTTCATTAATGTCAACCATTTCCAATATTGTTATTGCACTTTTTGAGCTGTAGTTCGATTTCCATGGACGGTCCATTATTGCTTTCAGTGTGTATCTAATGCATCCTAATTTTCCCTCAAATGACGAAGGTAAGTGACTCATGGGAATCTCAAAATGAAATGGGAAAGCATGATCTCCTGCACTAATTACTGGGTATGAGCTGTCATGACTTCCATCTAAGAAAACATTTAAAGAACACAATATGGTTGCACAATTGTAAAACTTTTTCTTTCCCAATTATTATGTATTAAGAATACTATTTGAATTAATTTTGCAAGTATGTTTAATGCAGCCTATTGAGCTAAAGGCCAAGGTGACTCATGATGTTGATGGTAAATTACATGTAAGAATATCAAAATTGTTTTATCATCATATCTTTATGATGATAATGATAGTGCTTCCTCGTCAAACACTGCTTGTGGAGTAAAAATCAACAAAATTTAAGTATTGCACAACAGGACACTGTAGAATATTTCATGAATAAATTTTTTGATAAATGTAGACAGACTCAAGAGATTTAACATTTATTGCGCATAGTGTATTTTAGGCGAAAACTAAAATTTTTTAAAAAAATTGATGACTGGACAATAAACGCAGCCGTCCCAAACTTCCTTGTATATCAACACTTTGAGACAAGGCATCATTTCTTATCAGTATACATCTTACTTTCTGTATTTTTGTTCGATAAAAAATTAAGATAAAATGACAATTATCAACTAACTCATGTAGACAAGATTCTTATTTTACCCAAACCTGTCGTCTATTTGAAATTCCCAAAAATTGTCATATTATGAGAGTTGACAAACAATGTCGAAGTACACAAAAATATTTAAGGAAATTTGTTTCATACCCTTGCCAAAAATTTCAACCTTTTCGTCGAAATAATTTTTAACAGCAACCCAATCTTTGCTATTAGGCTTCGCCACCCTAGCTTCTCCTAAGAATTCCATACGAATTGAACGAAATTTTAATTTTTTTCTCGACTTCGTAACAACGTTTCCAGTTACCATATCACCAGCGTAGTACACACGTTTATTGTTCGTAAATATTATTTTGAATTCGTCTGGTTTTCCCATGATTTATGGCCTTAGTGAATCTTATTTTTGTTAAATTATCAATCTTATTGTTATGCTTTTAAATTATGCATTGTTGATGTTGTTGTTTCCGGCTTCCGGATGTCAAATTGTTTGGCTAACACTTGCAGCCCATTCTTAAGATTGTATTAACAAAAAGAATATGACAATTACACGCATTTATACCAAAGATTATTTAATTTATAAGAAAATTATGAAAGAAGAAAGAAGTAGTTCTATTTTCGTTTTTTATCACTGACTTATAGTCATAACTGAAGTGTTTAGATTCAAAATGGTGGATCTGAATGTGTACGTGAAAGAAACTCTAGAGCTGTTGAATTTAGAAAGACAAACAGAAATCGACGAATCTAGGGCTATTTACGAAAACACAGAATGTGATAGATTAGAGAAAAAGGGTGTTTGCTTGCGGAAGATGGTTTTGTATGATCGGAGAACCGGTTTGTATGGCCGAACTCTCCTGACTTTAGGGAATGGAAAAGGTCAGAAAAAGAAAACATCACCTTTATCAGCACATTGCTTTACTGTTGGTGAGTTTCATCAATTTCATATGTACTACCAAATGCTTACTGTAGATCATTGATGTATTGTCTATTGAAAAACTCTGAATGAATTACAATTTTTGTTATTAAAGGTGATATTGCTGGCCTCTCTTATTCTTCTACTGAGAATAATATAGATGAACTGTCATCAGGTGTTGTTACCAGCGTATCGGAGACGTCCATTGTTATTGCATTTGATGAATCTTTTGATTCTCAATTGATTGATGAGCATCGTTTGATGAAAGTCACTCGTTTGGTGAATGATGTCACTTTCAAGAGAATGAAAAGGTTTCCAACATATGCTATGGCTTTTTGCATATCATTTATAAGCATTAAATTTTGAATTTTTGTCTTCAGAACTATTGAATCTCTGGGTCAAATGCCATCTGCCAGATTTTGCTCGCCACAATTGATATCCGTCCTCTTTGGTAACACCTCTCTGGGTTTACCTCTTAACATTCAAAATCTTGTAAAAAGCTCTCATTTGAAACATGATCAGGAATATTTTAATCCAGGTCTAAATGTAAGTCAGCAAGAGGCAGTTCAGTTTGCATTGACTTGTCATGATATTGGGATCATTCATGGACCACCAGGGACAGGAAAGACAACAACAATTATTGAAATTATCATTCAGGCTGTTAAGAAGTATGACATGAAAGTAAGGATGTTAACAAGTTTTCAAAAATTTACCATTTTAGTCCTGCAATTCAGTAAATCTGGTTTAATTTTAGCCTGTTTACTTTATTTTTTGTAGATTTTGGCTTGTGCACCATCTAATGTGGCTGTGGATAATATATTGGAACGGTTAGCATGTTTTAAAATAAAGGTGTGAAATTGTTACTTGTATGTAAGTGTGTACTTCTCAATTAATTACTGTTAACATTCTCTTTTTCCATGCCAGGCTGTGCGTTTAGGACATCCAGCCAGACTAATGGATAAACTACAGGCCTACTCTCTTGACGCAATCCTTAATCAATCCGATGAAACAAGCATTGTCAAAGATGTGAGAAAGGACATCAACACTGCAGTAGTAAATATCCAAATATTAACAATACTGACATTCATCTCACAGACATGTTATTAAATTTACAATTAAAGCAGTTTTTGTAATTGCTCCTTAGAGAAAACTTCATGATACAAGAAATTTTGGCGATCGTTCAAAGCTGCATTCAGAAATCAAAATATTGCGTAAAGAATTGCGAAAACGTGAAGGAAAAGCCCTGAAACAAGTCCTCCAGAATGCTGAGGTTATTCTGTCAACAAATATATCTGCATGTGATGATGGTCCATTGAAACATCTTCCAAAAGATCATTTTGATTTTGTGGTCATTGATGAGGCTGCTCAAGCACTAGAAGCTGCATGCTGGATACCATTACAATGGGCTCCAAGGTGAGAGATGTAAACAAGCAATTGTATTTTTGTTATATTTAAGGTTTCTGAATCAAAGTAGTGATGCAATGGTAGTTAATGATTGCTTTCCAAACTTATACATATCCTGTACGTCAATAGGTGTATCTTAGCTGGAGATCATAAACAATTACCGCCGACCATTACGTCGTGTGAAGCTGCACAACGTGGACTGGGAGTGACATTGATGGAAAGAGTTATAAAAATGCTTGGAGATAAGGTTGTTTATATGCTGACAACTCAATATAGGTATGAAAATTGAAACTTTGCAGCAAAAGAACATTAGGAAAGTCTTAGTTTACGTTTTCCGTAGTGTAAAAACTGTTGTCATTCTTTGTTGTTCATTCATCACTACCTACACCGACACATGTTATCTTAGTTCACTTAAATGACTTTTTTCATTGTATTCATGGACATCTCTATTTCAAGAATGAATGATAAAATAATGCAGTGGGCATCACAGCAACTTTATGATGGAAAACTTCTGGCTGACTCATCTGTGGCGCAACACGTGCTATCAGACTTACCATGGGTGAGTGACACAGAACTAGTGTCGCTACCTTTATTGATGATTGATACCGCTGGCTGTGACCTATTTGAGCTTCAGACTGAAGATGAGGAATCCAAAGGAAATGAAGGAGAAGCAGATGTTGTGCTCGCACTTGTAGAGGAATTGATAGATAGTAATGTCAAACAGCAAGATATTGGTGTTATTACACCCTACAATCTTCAGGTTGAATAAACCTGACAATAAATTTATTTTTAATCTTATAAATAGACAGTACAAATATATATCTTTTTTCGTGCAGGTTGAACTCTTAAGATCACGGCTATCCTCCAGATTCCCAGCAATTGAGATCAGATCAGTTGATGGATTCCAAGGGAGGGAGAAAGAAGTTATTGTCATATCAATGGTGCGCTCAAACACAAAAGGTATTTTTGATTCCATAAAAACATTTTTTCGTGAAAATTGTAAAATTTATATTTGATTTTTACCTAGGTAATATTGGATTTCTTTCGGAGAGAAGACGAATGAATGTTGCTGTTACGAGGGCTCGAAGACAGTTGATGATTGTTGGCGATTCAAGTACGATCAGTCACGATTCTTTTCTCAATTCTTTGGTCAAATACATCAGCGATCATGGTGAAACTTGGTCAGCGGAACAATACCGAAATCACATTGGTGAAACGACTTATTACCAAGGTACGTATATTCTATGGTATTAAATTGCTGTTTTTATAAAAAATCATTCTCAAACTTTTGTCGAATGTTATTCATTCCTTTAATTCCCTCAGGCACTTACAACCACACAAAATCTTCCAACGCAGAAAAACTCAAGAAAAACAAAACTAACAAAGCCTTATCAACCAAATCTACAAAAGGGACATCTACAATGAGAACTAAACAAAACACATCAGAGATTTCACAAAAGAAAGTGAGGTCAAATGATAATTCACAAGAGAATTTAAACAATGTTTGTGAACAGGATGATATTGAAAAACTTGAGGCTCAAATTAAGACATTTGTAATTGATCCCACTATGACGCACCTTGTCTTTCCCAGTCATCTCAGTTCGAAGGAACGTTATACAGTTCACTCAATGGCCGAGGAACTTGGGCTCGAGCATGAGAGTAGAGGTGTTGGAAATGAACGTTTCATTGCTGTGTCGAAGAAATCAATGCTGAAGGAGGAGGGTGAGCTTAATAGTAAGCCTCGAGTTTTCTACTGATGTTTATAATTTTGTTGGTCGTCCATATTTAGTAAGAAATATCGTCTGTATTTTAAAAGCTCCCTCACACTAACTGAGTGAGGCTTCATGATAACACCTCTATATGAAGACGGTGTTTTCACTTGATTTATTGTTTGAAATGAAATATTAATGTAACAATCTTGCTGTTGATGGCGTAATAAATTTACCATTCATTACTGGCAGCGAAATTTATGTGTCGTACTGAGTGTGAGCTTTTCGAATATAACCTTTCTTTCATTGATTATGTTCTCTAAACTAAACTTTCATTTTTTATTGCTATTTTTTATAGATGAAATAAAAACGAAGAAAATTGAAACAGAGTCCGTATGCAACACGAAAGTAAATGAATCTCAGTTGAAAGATGACATGGCTATTTGTGGACACTGCGGGAAGGAAATGATGTCTTCCAACATATTTTTACATGAAATAAGATGTGAATATAATAGACCAGAAACTCAAACCGATGGCGCTACTGGCATTGGTAAAGGAGGTCGGGATCAAAGATTCAGATCGAAAAACAGTGTGGCACGCAAAAAGAAAAACAGCAAGTCGCAGGAAAAACAGTCTGGCGTTAAAAAATCCGACTTACAGAACCAGGAGGATGATTTTGATGAACTTTTGGCAGAATTTCGTCAAAATGACTCGCAGTGCGCTATTAGCAAATGCAAAAAGAGTGTTTTAACTCTGGGACAAAAATGTCGTTATTGCAACAACATGTATTGCATAGGACATCGTTTACCCGAGGATCATGGTTGTCATCAGGTTGTCAAAGAACAAACTCGGTCTGGTATTGGCATGCGCAAACAAATCTCGCAGAAAACTGCAGCAAAGCGCACGCTTTTGGAAAAGAAATTGGATGTTAAGATTAAAGATTTGGAGATTGGTCGTAAAAGTAAAATTAAGAATGGCAAATAACACCAACTTGTTAAAATTAAGTTTATGTATGTCCCTTCCCTTATGGTCCTACATATAATACAAACTAATTTTCATTTTGAGCAACTACACAACACTCATTTCTGTGTCCAAGTTTCGTTTTGTACTTGACGCTGACATTTTTGTTTGCGGTCGAGGATGACGTACAACATGTGATAAAGAATTAAGGAAAATCGTTCAATTGAGTTGATGAACATATCAAGACGGCTCACATGTAAGATTACCAACGCAAATTTCTTTGTAGGTAAAGTTATTTTTGTATAAATATAAAAAGGATATGATCTTTAGAGTAAGTTCTTGAATCAAAGTAGTTGAGGTCCAAAGTTGCTGCTAACTTTTTGGCGAGACTTCGTAGTTTCTATAGGGGATGTGAAATGTACTGTTGTCATTCAAAAATGTGACACTTTAGCTGTAATGTACGGCTGTCACAGTCATTTCGCTTTCTTTTATTTTCTCACCTTTTTGTTCGTTGTGTACGATGTGATTTTTTGCTCGTGGATGTTGAAACCGTTGAAAACAACGTAATAGTAAACGCTGCCTGCATCTGAAAATCACGTGTAGTGTAGTTTATTGTCAGTACTTAGCAACGACTTTTATAAGTGTTTCGTTAGAAATCTCTGTTAGGATCTTGGATTGGAAAATCTTTGTGGCGATAATCAGTGTGTCACCGAAATCGTCACCAGTGTTCCAGGAGATCCAGGGTCTCCTCTTTTTGCAGAACAATTGATTATTATGGTTTATCGACCAGTAAGTCTCGGTAAAGTTTCTGTGAGTAGAGTTCCACTAACCATATTTTTGTTCTTTCAGTCGTATGTAGACATTATTGAAAGTTCCATTGTAAATCAAATGTCCGTTCTCGAAGAAAGAATAATGTCTAGTTTTAGAATCAAGAACACATCTTCCTTGATGACGACTTTCCCAAGCCATTGTGCCACAGATCAGGATAAGAAGTAAAGAAAAAATTATGTATTCCTAAGAAAGTATATGTGTTATTTGATCATGCATATCTCTTAGTTTTTAAGAGCTAAATTTTGGCAATCCTCTATACGCACAAATATACTATTCTCGTAAAAACCATGTATTTAAATTGTGATAGAATCATTAGATTTTGCTCACTCCAGCTCCATAAAAAGCAACCAGTATTACTGTTGTAACGATAACAACTATTGTGGACAGTACTCCGTAATAAAATCTTCGATCACATAAATCCAAACTGTAATCTGAAATTTAAAAAGCATGCTTTTTTGCACTTTCATCTGTTACTCATTTTTATAATGAGGTAGCTATTTTTCGCTTAGACTGCACCATGTAGTGAAGATTGATTTTTTTTCCTATGGGCGTGTACTTACGGTTTTCATCTGTTTTTTTAAAAGGAAAAAACGGATTTTTCGAAAGTTGCCGTTTGAAAGTTATCTCAGGTTTTTCCAAGATTTCCAAATTTTTTATGCGCTCCAACATTTTGTCTTTATTTTTTTGCGTCATTTAATTGTATTTTGCATGAAGAAAATTGATGATGAAGAACCTATGGAAGTGTGTTTTTGTGAAATGGAAACATGAAGAGCAAAAGGCGGGAAGAAGAAATTGAAATAGAAAGATATCTAACATGGAGGAAGATAATTTAGCTAATTCCACCGTTGATGTATTGTTTAAACTTTGTTTACCTGCGATATCTAAGACTTGGGTTGATGAAGTTTGGCAAACAGATTTCTGTGAAGCTTGTAACTTACCAGATAATTTATTAGATGAATCGGATTCTCCTAAATCACATAGTGATACTTTGATTTCTGTGTTAAAAGTCGTCGAAACTTGGTCGAAATGTGATGCCGACAGCCAGCCTTTAGGTAATTTAGAACAGTTTTGAGCGCATTCTTATTTCAGATATGTTTTCTGATTCAAATTTTGAACTTAATAAATGAAATGTATATTTTTAACTCAACTTTGTATTGCGTTTTATATTAATTGAATGAATATGTTTGGCTAGGTTTTTGGGCTGTTTTAGTTGAAAACGAACTGTCTCATCATGCATTGGTTGCATTATTGTATGCCTTTATGCATTCTTCAAATAAGGTACCTCAAATTATTGCACCATTTCAATAATTCAGTATCATTTTTCATCATGTGTACTTCATTCAGTTGTTCGGCCAAATGTTCTTAAACGTTACACTTACACTTTATAAACTTTCTTCCAATGTGGAAAAATCATTTCACATCCTAGATTTTTCACAGAAACCTTTGCTGCTTAAAACAAATAAACTTGTAACATTAGGTGGCTGCCATTTGGTTATTGGTTCAAGTACCAATTTCTGTACTATGCTACTATTATTGTTACATAGAGTCATTATAATTTTTTGGAAAAGCATTTCACCATTATTTATATAAACACTATGCCTTGACTATCTATATGTTTTTGTTTTCTAGAATTCCCAAATTGGATATCAGCTGAAGTCATCCATTTTGGCTTCAAATATTTATATATTACTAAACCAACTTCCTGGTGTGTTATCTTTGATACACTTTTTGTGGTTTTAGTATAGATCCAGTTTTGTGATGTTATATTTCTTCATAGGGAGTGGTGCATATAAGATATTTCATCCTTTAATCTTTCAAAAAGCAATTGATGTTTTGCAATATTGGCCAAACTGTGGTAAAGTATTAGTGTTGTGGACACATGTTATAAATTCTTAACTTTGTTGCTGAGTTTGAATGAAATTCTAAAAATTTTGTGATGTGTTTCAAGTTAAGCAATTTGTGTGTTTGAAGACATGTTTGCTTGCTATTTGTAATTAGTCAAAAACAGTGTGCAAATTAACAGTGTGCAATGTGCAATTTGCACATCATTTTAGCTAAAATGAAAACAATTGCACATCACTTTTTCAAACGATGTGCAAAAATAGCGGTTTTAACGAAAAACACTGTCGTAAATCATAAGAATTTGTTCACGTTTGAAAATATTAATTTAGCAATTAGCGCTATATAATAATTAATGTAATATCAATTTGATTATGCCTATAAAGAAACACTTTTGTCAAAAAAATTACACATTGTTTTTTCTAAACTAATTCGCACACTGGTCAAAAATGATCAAAACTAAAACACCAAAATATAATATATCTATGTACTTCTCATGAACAAACCTTTTACATAATGATGAGTTTACAAATTTGTTTTAGACAATACAAATGGAAAACGTAGGCAATTACTACAGAGCAACTTTAGCCGAAAATCAAGACGTATCATTGGTAATGAAGGATGACAAGTTTTTCTAGCAAATCCATGTGATATTTGCATACAAATTTTTGGTGATTGCTTTAAGGAAATTTGATTTACTGTTTAGGTCAGAATTTGGCCAATGACATGGGTGATGACTTGGATCACTCATTTAATGAAAGGAATGTTTGTGAAGACATCTCACAACTTGGTTTATTTGATGTACCAAAGATGACTATGGAAGTCAGAAACTGTTTGGTGAAGTATTTCAATGTATGTAAGGATTATAAATATGAAGCTGCATGAAAATGGATTTTCCTGTAAAATTAACATATTTTATCTTATTAATCATGTAGAATAACTATAAAAATGTCATGTGATATATATTGCAGGATCTTATTAAATTTCTTCATTCTAACTCACTCAAAGACTGTGGACAAACATTGGATCATGTCAGATCAATCTTGGTTGATCTGACTAGAATAGAGCCTTCACCTGTTGAGTTAAATTGTGCTGACACTGTGTATGAATGTTTTTTTTGTAGTCTTTAGCTTTTTTCAACTCTTCTGTTAAAAAATATTTTATTTCATTTTTCAGATCTTCAAAGACTTCTTTAAGTTATCTCGTATTTAAGGTAATCAGGAAATTAATATTTTCAGAGATGAGATCTAGTATACTAACTTGTTGTGATTCTTTAATATTTCTCTTTTTTCCTGAGTTTCCAAAACATCTCTGCCACCTCTCATCTTTGCTGTTTTCATAAATACTTAATTACTCTGTTTCAATGTTGTCAGGTTTTGAAATGTATTATCCAACCATTGCATGGAGATGTTGGTCAAAATTTGCGTAAGGTGACTTTAGTAGAATGATCCTTGTGTCTTCATTTTGTTAGCTTTGTAATTAATCGATTTTGTTCTGTTGATTTATGTTCTTTTGTTTTATATATAGATCTTTAAGCATCTTTTACCTAACATTTTATCAACATATGGGAATGAATCAACTGGAGCCATTTCCATTACAAAAGAAAAGCAGATTGTGAAAGACAATTCAGTTAACTTTGTGCGGTGCGTAGGTTGACGAATAACATAGTAATTTTTTTTATGTTACACAGTTCGAGTTGAAACATTTATCAAACCACTTGGTTAAAATATAAACTAAGATAAAGTGTCAGTGTAGGTAGTGATGAATGAACAACAGAGAACAAGAACAGACTTTACACTACCTAAAATATAAACTAAGATAACGTGTATCAGTGTAGGTAGTGATGAATGAACAACAGAGAACAAGAACAGACTTTACACTACCTAAAATATAAACTAAGATAACGTGTGTCAGTGTATGTAGTGATGAATGAAGAACAGAGAACGAGAACAGTTTTTTTAGTGAGTTTCAGTAAAAGAATGGGTATTTTTGAATTCCCCTGTCCAGATTGTTGGCTCACGACAATATTCTTCATTATGACAGCTCCATGATTGAAGACAACGGAGAGAGTTCTCTGCCGGCGGTTCGAGTTCTTGTTCAACATTTATGCATGAAAGTTCCTGATCAAGCAGAGTTTAGGAATTCACTTGCCAGTGTACTGTTACTTTTTCATTTGTTGCGCTTCTTTAGCCGGATGATTTCACTTGATTATAAATACTCTTTTACTACTTTAGGCATTAACTGTCATAATTGAATCATTTACAAGCGAAAAACTTAATGATCTAATGGAATGGATCAAGAAATACTCTAAAAATTCAAAGGTTTTTTTCGCACGAGTGATAGTTAAATAAAGCACTCTCATTTCCAGTTGCTATAATCATTCTAACTATTTTCCTTTCCTAATGAAGATTGGTTTCCGTGTTTTTGCACTTGATGTCATCTTTTGTATTCTCACTCGATCATCAGGTACAACATTGCTGTTGCGTTATTAATTTTTTTGAAGATAGGTCATGATTGTAACATCAGAGAAAATGATAGCAGCTAAACTTTTTTATTTCAGATGTGAGTGAAGAACGAGCTTCTCGTTATTCGTATTTTAGTTTACTTCAACTTATCATTGCTAGATGTTCTGATAAAGCACCAACGTAAGTTTAATTTCTCTTATTTGTTTTCGACATTGAAGTATTCTTTTCATTTGCTTTTTTTGACAATCTTCTTCAACATCTTTCATTATTTTTAGGGTTCGGGCTAAAGCTCTCTCTCATCTAGCTCAATGTATTTGTTCAGTTAATGATGTAATTAAATCCATGGTAAAAAAATTACTGACGACACCCATCAATAATGGCAGTATGAATAATTGTTCATCAACAGATTTTAGTCCAGCTAACCGTAAGTGTCGATTGTTCTGTGCTTTTCAAATGGTTTCCATTGAATTTCCAGAAGTTTGAAGAATATGCTTGAAGATTTAACTTATTGATACGCATGAAAATGTTATAGGATGTCTTGTCTTTTATATCATTCTTCGCGTAAAACATCCATCGTCATTGTCCTTGCTCATACATGGATGTTTAACATTTGATATACTTCTTTATACCTCATATTTATCCATCGTCGAACATGTTGTTCATATGGATGCTTAACATGTGATATACCTCTTTATACCTCATATTTATCCATGGTCATACATGTTGCTCATATGGATGTTTAACATTTGATATACCTCTTTATACCTCATATTTATCCATGGTCATACATGTTGCTCATATGGATGTTAATTCCCACTGTCCATCATATATTCGTAAAAGTTTTGATTTTCTGTTGCTAGGTTTTTGTCATTTGTCTTATTTATGTCCGACATTAGAACATTGACTTTCTTTTCCATGCATGATGATTTCATATTTTGTTTCGTTGATCCAAACAGCTTCCCGTCAAATGAACGTTTCTGCAATGATAAGACGACGAGTTTCGGATGGAAAAGTTCTTGTAAGAAAAGCTGCTATTCAGGTGTGTATAAGGTCGCTGAAAGCTGATGTAAAATAAATTTAATTATAATTATTATTTATCTTTTGTAGGTGTTAGAGTCCATTATAAGAATCAATAGTGATGAGCTTTGTGAAAAGGTAAAATTATTTCAAGTAAATGAGCGTACGTATTTTGTTGTTTTGATATTCTAGAGCAGAGAAAAACTTGCTGATCAAGGTTTTGTCAAAATCTCAGTTGTAACTATTTTTATCATTGATCCCATCCGTGATTCACAAAGTCCTCATGTGAATGATTAATTCAATAATTAGTTTGTGGGTTTTCAATTGTCATTGGATCCATTGATCCCTAAAAATGAACAAGTAAAATACATTTTCAAAAAATAAATAAGTGTTTATGTTTAATTCCTCCTGCTTTCCCTACTTTACATTCATAAAAAAATTTGTTTTCTTTCATCAAGGATCTTCGGACGCTACATGAGAGGACTATGGATTCGGCATTATCAGTTCGCAAGCAAGCTGTGATATCCATAACATCTTTGTTAAATGAAAACTCCCGCTCGTCTCTAATGCATCGGTAAGTTGATGTACGTAGAATTTTTATCCCAAGAGCCATTGCGCATTCAGGGCTGATGAAAGGAAACTCTAGTCTCTCTAGGCCAACGTTATTGCCGGGCATTAGTTTTTTGTGACGACTTTCTGTTTTAGCTTGAGGCTTTAACTTTTTACCGCTTTTACATTTTTGTTATTGTCTGTTAACTGTTTAACAAACCCAGAATAACTGTATGACATTGCATTAACAGTAAAAACAATGACAATTTGGATGTTTAGTACTCTTATTTATGAACCTGCAATATTTTACCCGAGGCTCGAGACTATATGATCAATGTTGCGATGTTTCTTATATTTATGTCATATTATAGGATTTGGTTGGATGCCATTTTGCCTTTGGTGACGGATCGAGAGACTTCAGCGCAAGAGAAATGTCTTAGCATTTTGGAAGGAATAATTTTGAAGAATATTTCTATGGAAACGACAGGCGCTGAACAACTATTAAGTTGGAATTTGTTGGAATTGATAGCAGGCGAGTCGGGCCAAGAGTTAAGGTATATAGTAAAACAATTTTTAATAACTGAGATTTTGCAAACTTTTGATTATGGCAACTTCCTTCATGCATGTTTTTTATGTTGCTTGTAACTGTTTGAGCAACTACAAATTTCTGTTGTCCAATTGACATTTTGAATATGTTTTATCATTTAAGAAAGTTACTTAAACGAAATGAATTGTCTTGATGTGAATGTTTTATCATGACAAGTAACACACCTGTGCTCAATGCATACCTTGTTTTTCAGACATTATTTTCAGAAAGTGTGCAATTACTGGTCAAAGCAAGGTAAATTTACCCCAGATAAAGTGAACGCAATCATGAATCAACGTGAAAACGCATATGCCTCCTCGGCTTGGCTATTGTTGTCTGAGATTTCGTCATCAAAATCAAAATTGGATCCTCAAAAGATAATTAATTGCTGCGTCAAGTATATGGCAGACGGTATGTGATTTGTTTTCAAGAGAGAAAGATATGTGGTAGATTTTGGTCTTTTAACTAATTTTTTCATTACAGGCAACGACAAATTGCTTTGTAGATGCCTTAAAGTGTTAGAAAATATTGCTGTCACCATTCCGGTTGAAAGTAAAGAAACTTTAGCAGGTTTGTGTTTTGATCTTCATGCTTACCATCTTCTCTTGTCTTTGTTGTTCTTACAAGTGATAATTGATCGACGAACTATTTCATTTCTTCTAGAGACATTAAAAAGAAAGTTATCTTCATTTACCTGCGCTCCTGAAATCATAGTTTCTGCAATGAATGCTTTGTTTAAGGTATACATATAACATGTCTGTAATATGCACACAGACAAAGCTCTTTTTTAACTTCGTCCTTAATCTCTTCTTTCTATAGCTCTGCGAATCCATCCCGAAGGGCGATGTAAGTTTGGTATACGTACATATTATAGATGTGTTTAAGTAATGCATAGAATTATGACTCTTGGTGGGTTTCTGCATGTTCTTTTTTTATATATTTGGTTCAGTTGCACATGCGCTTTGTATGAAAAAAATCAACTTTCTTACCATCTTCCTGATGCGTTTGTACTGTTTGTAAGCTTTCCCAAAACTGATGTTTTTTATTTTGTATTGACACTTCTATTATTTTAGAGGAAGATTGATCGATGGTGCAATGAATTGCTTAACATGTCTGAATCGTATTTATCTAATGTTGTACTTAACCCAGATTCAGGTTCGTTGTATAAAAATATCATTGTGCATAAATAATTCCACTTAAGTAATGAGTTTGTTTAGGAAGGAAATCTGTGAAATAAATCGCCTGTCTTTTCTTTCATTTAGATGATTGTGTTGATGAAGGTGCCATCATAAGATATCTTTTTTCAATTGGCGAAGTTGCTTTGGTATACGAGTCTTATGAGAAGATTTTTTATTGTTTTATACAAACATCACCGATATTTTCCATTACAATAACCAAAACCCAAACATTTTACATGTTTTTTTATAGTTGTGCCCTCGTAGTTGCAACAAAAGATTATACTTGGTCGTTCAATCAATGATCATAACGCCACCACGAATTGAAGGTGCGTAGACTGTATGAACTGATGTTGTTTTCGAAATGAGATGATGTTGTTTTCCATTGTCGATTGTAAACGAAAAGGGTTAGCCTCAATCACACGTCAAAACCACGAAGATGATAAAATGGGACGATTAATGATCACTTTTAAAGAAATTGCACGATTGTGATGAATGGCGAAAATTTACATCATGTCGTTGTATACATCAGATATCATAGAGTTAACTTGTCAGAGGGTGTCCGATAATCCTTGTTATATTTTTTTGGGGGGTGGAATCTTATCATATTTTGCGTTTCTTCCAAAATTGCTGAAATTCTGTTTACATTATCGAAGTCAATATGTTGCAAGTTTCATGGTAACACTTCGATATTCATTTAGTTGATTTAAGAGAGCAAACAATTTATAGCATTTCCATGTGTTAATTTGGACTTACTTTAGAAACTTTGCATTATTCTTTGATCTATATTTATGAATCAAATCGTATATGTCCTCCCGTGAATTATTATTTAGGTTGCGGGCAATCGACACCAGTTCCTCTGCAAGGATGTGTTTTGACACCAACAGTCAAGGCTCACGCTTTTATTACTCTCGGTATTATTTTTTGTAATTTTAACTCTTTTTTTTTACTATTTAACGTTTTTCAGTGATCATAGGAATATTTTTTCATTTTTTAGTTTATTAGTCTATTCTCAAGTGTTTAGCGGAGATTAATTTTGAATAAAGCTCATCCCAATAAATTTGATGTTATATTTTACTGTGATGTTTTTATAGGAAAACTGTGTTTGCAGAATGAAACTTTAGCTAAGGATTGTATAGCTGCACTGACAAAGGAAATGGATACTTCACAAGATCCAGCTGTTAGAAACAACATCACTGTTGTCCTTTGTGACTTGTGTGTTAGGTATGAAGTGTAAGGTTTTTTGTGATGTTTATCTTTTCTCTGAAATTTGTTTTAACAAATCGTCAAGAAAAGGACATAGGAAGTAAAGCAATTTATTTTTTTAGGTACACGAATCTTGAAGTAAAGCAATTTATTTTTTTAGGTACACGAATCTTGAAGTAAAGCAATTTATTTTTTCAGGTACACGAATCTTGTCGACCGTTACATACCAAATGTTGCAAGAGGTTTAAGAGATGAAGAACCGTTGATACGTAAACAAACTTTAACCATGCTCACACATTTGCTGCAGGTAACCCAGCCGTTACGTGTGTAATTTGTGTTCATTTTTATTGCTATAAATTGGAGTTAAAAGTTGGTTTTGTTATTCGAGTTTAGCATTTCCGTATTAATCTGTTGGTTAGCTGCATGTTATAGATCGAAATGTAGACAAAACAAGTTTTAACTGAATATGGTAAATTTTAATGTTCTTCCGAAAGGTGCATGCTGTAAATATCATATTTTATATGATATAATCTAAGTAGCTATACATAACGTATACTTCTGCTCTACATAACTTTTTTCTCTACTCCATGAAAAATATTGATAGTGGATGCTTTTTTAATTTTATATACTTTTGTTTGAAAAAGGAGGACTATGTCAAATGGAGAGGTCCGCTGTTTTTCCGTTTTATTACTGCTTTGGTTGATGAAAACGTTGACATAAGGAAATTTGGTAGGTCAAATGATTTTCAACCAGTAATTGCTTAATGAGTCAATTGCATGATGTTTATAATCAAATTTTTTTGTTTCCATTTAAGCGGAGTTTTGTATGGTACATTTACTATTAACTCGCCATCCTGGCATGTTTCATCAACATTTCATTGAATCTATTTTCCATTTCAACGCTTTTGATGAACACAACGGTTAGTTGATTAGTAAACACGTAATTTTGTATTGATTTTTCTTCAAGTGAGATTAATCATATTTATCTTTAGTATATAACCGGTTTCACCAAACAGAAAAAGAGAAGGAATTGTTTTCATTGAAAGGAGAGAAAAGGCAGGGTACGTTCTGTTAGAAAAATGATGCGTGTGGTTATTTATATTTATATATTATTGTGTTGATGGACGTTATAGTAAACGAATGATTATCTACAAGTTCTTGCTCGATCACACGACGGATGAGCAGCGTTTTAATTTAATTGGAAAGTTATGTCAAGAGGTGTGTAACTGAAAAAATTGATAAAATCCATTCCATAGAGATTATAGACCGTCAACTCGGAGAGAGAAAAGTTATAGTCTCAAACATCCGAAATTTTAGAAGTGTTTCCTGTAGGTTCTCAAAAACTATTTCTACTTTTCTAAGATACTTGGTGGATTTACAGATGGTGCCATAAAGTTTAACGATAATTCTAAATCTGTTCTTAAAGATGCTCTGGCGATTCTTTCTACTAAGGTAAATTTTTCAACTACTTATTCTCTGCATTACTGTGCTCATTGGTTGATGTCATTTTGTTCTTGATTTTCACTATCTCTCTCTTTGCATTGTATTTTATTAGAATATCAAACTGTCTTCCACGCAGTCTGTTGCGGCTGAAGATCTTGCTGATGAAGGTGATGAAGCTGGTGCTGCTATAGCATCTGCCCGGACGAAATTTCTCACTCAGGTTCAAATTGAATGGCTTTACTATAAAGTTTTCATAGCTTTCATATCATTTTGTTGGGGACGGGTATTACAGATATGAAAAGCTTACAATTTCGTCTTACAAATGATGTTGTGTAGCCTAGCTTTTTAATGTTCATAATTTGTTGACTTTAGATTGTTAAAAAGAACATGATAGAAAATATTATTCCCATAATAATCGAACTAAAGAACTTGGTAAGCTATTATTGACGTGTATGTGTATTGTAAAGCCTAGCTGATGCATAAAAAGTTTTTAGAGAACAGGCTGTGGATGTTATTTTTTAGTTGATCATTTGATGTGTGAGAGCCAGCATGTATTGTTTATGTTTTAGCTTGAAAAACAACGGTCACCTCTTCTTAAAGACTTAATGCTGTGTCTTAAGGATATCATAAAAGATTACAGCACGGAGGTTCAAGGTAGAAGGCATCGTTCGCTTTAGTCAATTTATGTGGCGGGAATATTATCATGAACAGCAATTTCGACATAACCCCCCACCCCCTTCATTGTTTCTTGTAGATGTATTGTCTGCTGACCGTCTACTTGCAAAGGAAATTGAGTTTGATTTGAGGAAATTTGATGAAGAACAGAAAGCGTTAGAAAAAAAACGACGAGAGAAAGCAAGTTTATCTGACCTTGTACGTTAATGAGCCACAACATGTGGTTAACCATAAAACGGTTAATATCTTCATCAAAACGTTCAAGCATTAAATTTTTTAAAACTTAATTGAAGGTTAATCGATCTAGAAAAAGTTCTACTTCTGCTCCATCACTGGAAACTCCTGTAAAGACCGGGGATTTTGCTACTCCACAACTTCGTACTCCTGGTGGAAAGATGGTTATTCCGCTGTCTGGTAAGTACGAAGTTTTTTACCATGTGAATATTGTAGTGCTGGAAAATGTTTAGCAGCGCTGCTGCCAGGAAATTTTACATAAAATTACTCGTGGACCTTAAGATGATAAAGACAACTATGGTGTTTATCGCTGGTGTCACGGTGTAAACTTACCTTTACACTGAACTAACCTCTTGGACATTCATATAGTGGCGAGTTCTGAGCATGGCATTTCATATTAATATATTTCACATATATATAGACATCATGATATTGTTCGGCTAAAAGGGATAAAGAATTAACCACACGATTGTAAATAATCGTTGTTAGTACAGCATTTATTATATTTTGATCTGAAAGGGGATGGCTGAAATAATATACAATTCTAAGTGTTCCTTGATGACAATGTTACAAAATTAATTACATTCGAATAGATCCATAATCTTTCAGATGATATACACGTTGATCAGCCTGTGACACCTAAACCTTCAACTTGTCATCATACTCTTGCTGCTTCGGCTTTATTGAACTCCGCCAGAAAAGCAGTCGAGGAAGCGAACAAATTAACTGCAGCTCGATCTCGGTTTCCTTCCGTTGGATCTGTGAGGAATGTAAACAATAACTTGCAAAATACGGCTGGCAGAGATGGAGAAACGGCTAAAAAGAAACCAGGATCAAAGACCTTAACGCGGAGTGATGAGAATGAAGAGGTAGACTTAAGTCTCAATGTAGTTTATTTGATCTTTGAAGATACACAGATTTATACACGTGGATGTATCCCTATCATCCTGTCAGGGATAATGTAAAGCTAAAGTTAAATAAAACCATAAAAACGTCGTTGATTTAAATGCCCATTTTGTAATAACTTTCATTTGAAGAATCTAAGTAATTTCAATCTTTGCACTAGTTGTTTTATCTTTTATTTAAAAAATACTAAATCTTGGATTATACGTCATAAATATCACATTAACATTATTTTATATTTTGTGTTCTATGGAGTAGAATAAAAGTTTTTGTGTGATTAGTTTTCTCAATACCACGTAAATGTTTTTTTCTTTAGATCAATGAAAAGTCATCAAATCGACGCACTGTCAGGGCAGTTAGCACTCCTGAATGTATGTCGAAATTTCATGGACATTTTATTTGACTAAGGAACTTTTTTGTTTCTGATAGTTGATGATGTAATGCCGTGTTAACTTTAAAACATAAATATTTTTTAGGTGATACAATGCACATGTCAAGAATCTCGTTCGCTACGACTCCTCTTTCGCCAATACTTAATCTAGTACCTGTAAATGTTTCTAAACTAACGCAAGGTATGTAGTGTTTTTCTTTTCTTGATTTTTTTTCATCGTGAAAAATTCATAAATATCTTTAATATCTTAATGTAGGCTCGTACAATACAAGTTCAAACAGGAAAAAACAGGAGTGTAAAGAGAAGAAAGTTTTATGTTTACCTTCTCCCGTGCTGCAGTAAGAATTCTTTTTTTGAATATTGTTATGTGGAGAATATTATACTTTTGCAAACCTTTATTATTTATTTGTTTTTGCATTATGGGGGAAATCGTCTTTGACTTTGGATTTGTCTCAATTCTTCCTCATTGCTTGCACATAATTTTTTGGAAAAAAATATATAACTTTAGAAATATTTTTTAGGAAAAATTAGATTTTTGTCTAAAACATCGTTTAGGTGAAACGAAATCGGTTTATACACATTGTTTTCTTTTACACAAAGTTATAATTTTCTTATTTGATATTTTTTCTTGTTTGTTCCATCCAGGGCACCAAAACCAAGGAAATGGAATGTTACATCACCTGTAAGTGATAAAGATTTACAACACAATAATTATTCGAACAATTTATTGACATCTACGACGTCTGTCCCAATGTTAAAAGAGGTTACCAATTTATGAGACTGGTAATCATGAACAAATCAATTTTGGCGACTAGTAACATAATGCTTGTACAAGAAATGGTTTTACGAAGAATGGAATTATTGCAACTATGTTACCAAACGGTTTTTGTTTAGGTACAAGCCTGTAAATTAAATCCACGGATATCATTACGCCAAAATTCTCTTCAAAATGACTCTGTTTCAAGCAGGACGCGGTCAAGAATCAAATAATGAAAAGGTAGGATTATTTTTAATATAGCTTTATTTAGAGGATAATAGAGTATGATAAAGAATATACACCGCAAACGCAGTACACAAAGAGTACCCTTGAGTTTATTGACCTCAATTGTATCATGCAAATAGTGTTTGGCTTTACTGACCTCAAACAGCTGGCATCATTTTTATACTGATGGATGTTTTTCAACATATGCAAATTCTCTTTACGAATGATTTTCTAAGAAGACGTTTTCAATGTTATTGTATGATTTATCGATGTATCGAAAAATTATGAAGAACGATAAAACTCGTTTATAAAAATGTTTGACGTCATGATGTAAATTTAAATCACGTAGATTTATTACGTATTTATCTACTTTGGCGACATTGTTGAGCTGAAGCACACACATGTATATTATACGTTCATGCATTCATGTGTCGAAAATGTCTGACGTAGAAAGAACTCGTTTTATGGTGATACTTGGCTGGTGCTTGTTTAGCGCTTTGTTCGTTGTACAATCCGTGATATTTGCAGTTTTGCTCAAAAGATATCACAACTTGCCATCGCTTATATCATGCATTTCTTTATACTTCCTCGCTCTTGCGGTCATAGTTCTCATGCTGTTCATGTTGCGGAAGAACGAGGCGCTTTATGCTGAAGGAGATGAAGAAATTTGTTATGTTTGGATTGTTTGCAATGTTTATATTGTTGCTTACACCGTATCTGTTGCAATGATATTCTGTAAAGTCGCCAAAAATCTTACCAAAGATATGACTCTTGGTATCAACACATTGAAAGGAACACTTTCCATTGCTCCTATGCTGTTAATTCTCATGTTACAGTTGACCATTTCTCCAATATATCGTAAAGATGTTTTATCACTGTCTATATTTTCTGCATTGAATATTTTTGATGGCATCGAAATGTTGGAAGTCATTTTGATGCACCATGAAGGACTATTTCCTTTAAACATTCATTTGGAAAGGGCCATCATTACGTTCGCTTGTATGTCGTTTTTAATCTCTTCTCTTGCTCTCTTTCGAAATAAGTTTAAGACGGATGGAACCGTCAAGAAAAGAGAAAGAACATCAATTATCATTGGTTTTATCGAGATGATTGGCATCAATTTATCTTTTCTCATTTTACGTTCCATTGTTTGGCATGATTATAAATACGAAGCTTCAGTGTTTATAGCTAAGAATGTCATATCTTTAGTTGTTGGCGTTGTGGAGTTATGTCTTCTGAAAAAGTGGATAAAATGGGGTGTTGAGGATGGTTTTGCTGAAAATATTGACGGTTTTACTGAAAACATTGAGGATGGTTTTTTTGAAAACATGGAGGATTGACATCACAGCTTCATATCTAGAGAAGTTGGACATAATAAATTTCGTGTACCTTTACAAAGGTGTATATGTAGGAAAGTTTTTTTGTGACTACAACACCAACGTTGATTTATGTACAGTAATATTTAAAGCTTGTAGTTTTGCCCTAAGCCAATTGTGTATGACAGTAAAACATCACCAGGGAAACATAAAAGAATCAATAAATCTTTGAGTTCTGAAATCTACGTCACTATGTACCATGGTACCTTGGATGATTTTTATCATCCAGTATGTAATGCATCAGGACTTTAAAATGCAATCTTGCCGTACTCTTAAAGGATGATGTCATTTTGCCTGTCATGATTGAAAAGAAACGCTACTCGTTTGGCTTGACAAATATTTAGGTCGTTTTATTGAACTGCTAACTGTATATAGATAGAAAAGCACCACAGTTGCAGTTTAAAATCCTTGAGATGACATGTTTACCCCTATGCTCTTATAATAAGTTTGCAAGTAAAAATTGTGGCTGAAACAGGCAGCATAACTTTGGTGAAAGTGTTTTTCATGAATATTGCTACGATTGTGTTCCTTTTTAAATGGTTTGAAGGTTATTGAACAATTGGTCGACTTCTTATGGATGAATGATGCCGACGTCATGGTGTGATTTAGTCCACGTAGATATGTATTACACATTGGCTGAATTTATCAGAATTGGCGTTTTAGAGACATTTGAGACAATTAGAGCCTCTCAATTTTAGAGACAATCGAAGCACGAATTTTGTTAGTTTATAAGTCGAAATGTCTGACGTACAAAGAAGTCGTTGTATGGTGATACTTGGCTGGGTTCTATTTTGCGCGTTGTTCATTGTACAATTAGTGATATTTTCACTTTTGCTTTACGAATATCACAACTTGGCATCGCTTATAACCTGCATTGTTTTGTACATCTGTGTATCTGTAGCGGTCATAGTTCTTATGCTATTCGTATGGTGCAAAAAGTCTTGTCAAGAACTTTATGCTGAAGCGGATAAAGAAATTTGTGGTGTTTGGATTGTTTGTGGCGTTTATATTGTTGCTTACACCGTATCTGTTGCAATGATATTCTGTAAAGTCGCCAAAAATCTTACCAAAGATATGACTCTTGGTATCAACACATTGAAAGGAACACTTTCCATTGCTCCTATGCTGTTAATTCTCATGTTACAGTTGACCATTTCTCCAATATATCGTAAAGATGTTTTATCACTGTCTATATTTTCTGCATTGAATATTTTTGATGGCATCGAAATGTTGGAAGTCATATTGATGCACCATGAAAGACTATTTCATTTAAGCATTCATTTGGAAAGGACCATCGTTGTCTTCGTTTGTTTATCATTTTTGATCTCTTTTTTTACTTTGTTTCGAAATAAGTTTAAGCCTGATGGAAACGTCGAGAAAAGAAAGGGAACTTCAATTCGCTTTGGCCATGGTATTATGGAGATGTTTGGCATCAATATACCGTTTCTCATTTTACGTTCCATTGTTTGGCATTATTATAAATACGAAGCTTCAGTGTTTATAGCTAAGAATATCATATTTTTAGTTGTTGGTCTTGTTGAGTTTTGTATCCTGAAAAAGTGGATAAAATGGGGTGTTGAGGATGGTTTTGCTGAAAATATTGACGGTTTTACTGAAAACATTGAGGATGGTTTAATTGAAAACATGGAGGACTGACATTGCAACTTTATATCTAGGAAAAAGGTGGAACATAATCTATTCATATCTTTACAATGTGTATATGTAGGAAAGTTTTTTTGTGACTAAAACACCAACGTTGATTTATGTGTAGTAATACTTACAGCTTGTAGTTCTGCCCTAAGCCAACTGTGTATGACAGTAAAACATCACCAGGGAAACATACAAGAATCATTGAAATCTACGTCACTATGCACCATGGTACGTTGGATGATTTTTATCATCAAGTATGTAATGTATCAGGACTAAAGAAGATAGTAAAAATTGCAATCTTATAAACGACGTTGTTATTTTGCCTGTCATGATTTGAAAGAAACGCCACTCGTCTTGCATGACAAATATTTGAGTTATTTTTTAATGAACAGCTAGATGCATGTAAAAGGATATTGTCACAACCTAAGTATAAAGCCTTTAACAGTGTTCACTTTATTCATGCTGAGTTTGCAAATAAAATTTGTAGCCGAAACAGGCAGCACGACTTTGATGAAGGTGTTTTTATAAATGTTTTCTACCTATGTGTTTTTATTTTAACGATTTTTAATGTAATTAAATAATTTGTCGACATATTATGGATGGATCACGAAGGTGATGCTGCTGGTGGCGTGATGCTAATTAAAGAGACTTAGGTTGACGTCATGGTGTTGATTACAATTAGGCAGTTGTATTTCCCAATTTCCAAGAATTTGATTTTGATGTAGTTGTATTTCCCAATTTCCAAGAACTTGATTTTGCTGTGGCAAATTTTTGGTTATTAGGAATGTAAAACACCTTTACGATCATTCGTGTGTTGAAAATATCTGACGTACAAAGAACTTGTTTAATGGTGATACTTGGCCGGTTTCTATTTTGTGTTTTGTTCATTGTACAATTAGTGATATTTTCACTTTTGCTTTACGAATATCACAACTTTGCATCGCTTATAACATGCATTGTTTTGTACTTCCTTGTTGTTCTTGCGGTCATAGTTCTAATGCTATTCATGTGGTGGAAAAAACATAAGTCTTGTCAAGAACTTTATGCTGAAGAGGATAAAGAAATTTGTGGTGTTTGGATTGTTTGTGGCGTTTATATTGTTGCTTACACTGTATCTGTTGCAACGATATTCTGTAAAGTCGCCAAAAATCTTACCAAAGATATGACTGTTGGTATCAACACATTGAAAGGAACACTTTCCATTGCTCCTATGCTGTTAATTCTCATGTTACAGTTGACCATTTCTCCAATATATCGTAAAGATATTTTATCACTGTCTATATTTTCTGCATTGAATATTTTTGATGGCATCGAAATGTTGGAAGTCATTTTGATGCACCATGAAGGACTATTTCATTTAAACATTCATTTGAAAGGGCCATCATTACGTTCGCTTGTATGTCGTTTTTAATTTCTTCTCTTGCTCTATTTCGAAATAAGTTTAAGACGGATGGAACCGTCAAGAAAAGAGAAAGGACATCAATTATTATTGGTTTTATCGAGATGATTGGCATCAATTTATCTTTTCTCATTTTACGTTCCATTGTTTGGCATGATTATAAGTACGAAGCTTCAGTGTTTATAGCTAAGAATGTCATATCTTTAGTTGTTGGCGTTGTGGAGTTTTGTCTTCTGAAAAAGTGGATAGAATGGGGTGTTGAGGATGGTTTTGCTGAAAATATTGACGGTTTTACTGAAAACATTGAGGATGGTTTTTTTGAAAACATGAAGGATTGACATTACAGCTTCATATCTAGAGTAGTTGAACATAATAAATTTCGTGTACCTTTACAAAAGTGTATATCTAGGAAAGTTTTTTTGACAGTAAAACATCACCAGGGAAACATACAAGAATCAATGAAATCTACGTCACTATGCACCATGGTACGTTGGATGATTTTTATCATCCAGTATGTAATGTATCAGGACTAAAAAATGCAATCTTACCGTACTCTTAAAGGATGATGTCATTTTGCCTGTCGTGATTGAAAAGAAACGCTACTCGTTTGGCTTGACAAATATTTAGGTCGTTTTATTGAACTGCTAACTGTATATAGATAGAAAAGCACCACAGTTGCAGTTTAAAATCCTTGAGATGACATGTTCACCACTATGCTCTTATAATAAGTTTGCAAGTAAAAATTGTGGCTGAAGCAGGCTGTATAACTTTGGTGAAAGTGTTTTTCATGAATATTGCTACGATTGTGTTCCTTTTTAAATGGTTTGAAGGTTATTGAACAATTGGTCGACTTCTTATGGATGAATGATGCAGACTTCATGGTGTGATTTATTCCACGTAGATATGTATTACACATTGGCTGAATTTATCAGAATTGGCGTTTTAGAGACAACGTTATACTTCTTGTGAAGCACGTATTACTTTAATTTATAAGTCGAAATGTCTGACGTACAAAGAAGTCGTTCTATGGTGTTTCTTGGCTGGGTTCTATTTTGCGCGTTGTTTATTATACAATTAGTGATATTTTCATGTTTGCTTCACCATTATCACAACTCTGCATCGCTTATAGCATGCATTGTTTTGTACTTCCTTGTTGTTCTTGCGGTCATAGTTTTTATGCTCTTCATTAGGTGCAAAAAACATAAGTCTTGTCAAGAACTTTATGCTGAAGGAGATAAAGAAATTTGTTATGTTTGGATTGTTTGTGGTGTTTATATTGTTGCTTACACCGTATCTGTTGCAATGATATTCTTTAAAGTCGCCAAAAATCTTACCAAAGATATGACTCTTGGTATCAACACATTGAAAGGAACACTTTCCATTGCTCCTATGCTGTTAATTCTCATGTTACAGTTGACCATTTCTCCAAGATATCGTAAAGATGTTTTATCACTGTCTATATTTTCTGCATTGAATATTTTTGATGGCATCGAAATGTTGGAAGTCATATTGATGCACCATGAAAGACTATTTCATTTAAGCATCCATTTGGAAAGGACCATCGTTGTCTTCGTTTGTTTATCATTTTTGATCTCTTTTTTTACTTTGTTTCGAAATAAGTTTAAGTCGGATGGAAACGTCGAGAAAAGAAAGGGAACTTCAATTCGCTTTGGCCATGGTATTATGGAGATGTTTGGCATCAATATATCTTTTCTCATTTTACGTTTCATTGTTTGGCATGATTATAAGTACGAAGCTTCAGTGTTTATAGCTAAGAATGTCTTATATTTATTTGTTGGTCTTGTTGAGTTATGTCTTCTGAAAAAGTGGATAAAATGGGGTGTTGAGGATGGTTTTGCTGAAAATATTGACGGTTTTACTAAAAACATTGAGGATGGTTTAATTGAAAACATGGAGGACTGACATTGCAACTTTATATCTAGGAAAAAGGTGGAACATAATCTATTCATATCTTTACAATGTGTATATGTAGGAAAGTTTTTTTGTGACTAAAACACCAACGTTGATTTATGTGTAGTAATACTTACAGCTTGTAGTTCTGCCCTAAGCCAACTGTGTATGACAGTAAAACATCACCAGGGAAACATACAAGAATCAATGAAATCTACGTCACTATGCACCATGGTACGTTGGATGATTTTTATCATCCAGTATGTAATGTATCAGGACTAAAAAATGCAATCTTACCGTACTCTTAAAGGATGATGTCATTTTGCCTGTCGTGATTGAAAAGAAACGCTACTCGTTTGGCTTGACAAATATTTAGGTCGTTTTATTGAACTGCTAACTGTATATAGATAGAAAAGCACCACAGTTGCAGTTTAAAATCCTTGAGATGACATGTTCACCACTATGCTCTTATAATAAGTTTGCAAGTAAAAATTGTGGCTGAAGCAGGCTGTATAACTTTGGTGAAAGTGTTTTTAATGAATATTGCTACGATTGTGTTCCTTTTTAAATGGTTTGAAGGTTATTGAACAATTGGTCGACTTCTTATGGATGAATGATGCAGACTTCATGGTGTGATTTATTCCACGTAGATATGTATTACACATTGGCTGAATTTATCAGAATTGGCGTTTTAGAGACAACGTTATACTTCTTGTATTGAAGCACGTATTACTTTAATTTATAAGTCGAAATGTCTGACGTACAAAGAAGTCGTTCTATGGTGTTTCTTGGCTGGGTTCTATTTTGCGCGTTGTTTATTATACAATTAGTGATATTTTCATGTTTGCTTCACCATTATCACAACTCTGCATCGCTTATAGCATGCATTGTTTTGTACTTCCTTGTTGTTCTTGCGGTCATAGTTTTTATGCTCTTCATTAGGTGCAAAAAACATAAGTCTTGTCAAGAACTTTATGCTGAAGGAGATAAAGAAATTTGTTATGTTTGGATTGTTTGTGGTGTTTATATTGTTGCTTACACCGTATCTGTTGCAATGATATTCTTTAAAGTCGCCAAAAATCTTACCAAAGATATGACTCTTGGTATCAACACATTGAAAGGAACACTTTCCATTGCTCCTATGCTGTTAATTCTCATGTTACAGTTGACCATTTCTCCAAGATATCGTAAAGATGTTTTATCACTGTCTATATTTTCTGCATTGAATATTTTTGATGGCATCGAAATGTTGGAAGTCATTTTGATGCACCATGAAGGACTATTTCATTTAAGCATCCATTTGGAAAGGGCCATCGTTGTCTTCCTTTGTTTATCATTTTTGATCTCTTTTTTTACTTTGTTTCGAAATAAGTTTAAGCCGGATGGAAACGTCGAGAAAAGAAAGGGAACTTCAATTCGCTTTGGCCATGGTATTATGGAGATGTTTGGCATCAATATACCGTTTCTCATTTTACGTTCCATTGTTTGGCATGATTATAAATACGAAGCTTCAGTGTTTATAGCTAAGAATATCATATTTTTAGTTGTTGGCGTTGTGGAGTTATGTATCCTGAAAAAGTGGATAGAATGGGGTGTTGAGGATGGTTTTGCTGAAAATATTGACGGTTTTACTGAAAACATTGAGGATGGTTTAATTGAAAACATGGAGGACTGACGTTGCAACTTTATATCTAGGAAAAAGGTGGAACATAATCTATTCATATCTTTACAATGTGTATATGTAGGAAAGTTTTTTTGTGACTAAAACACCAACGTTGATTTATGTGTAGTAATACTTACAGCTTGTAGTTTTGCCCTAAGCCAACTGTGTATGACAGTAAAACATCACCAGGGAAACATACAAGAATCAATGAAATCTACGTCACTATGCACCATGGTACGTTGGATGTTTTTATCATCAAGTATGTAATGCATCAGGACTAAAGAAGATAGTAAAAATTTCAATCTTATAAACGACGTTGTTATTTTGCCTGTCATGATTTGAAAGAAACGCCACTCGTCTTGCATGACAAATATTTCAGTTATTTTTTAATGAACAGTTAGATGCATGTAAAAGGATATTGTCACAACCTAAGTATAAAGCCTTTAACATTGTTCACTTTATTCATGCTATGTTTGCAAATAAAATTTGTAGCCGAAATAGGCAGCACGTCTTTGATGAAGGTGTTTTTTATAAATGTTTTCTACCTATGTGTTTTTATTTTAACGATTTTTAATGTAATTAAATAATTTGTCGACATATTATGGATGGATCACGAAGGTGATGCTGCTGGTGGCATGATGCTAATTAAAGAGATAAGTGACGTCATGGTGTTGATTACAATCGGGCAGTTGGAAATTTTCCAATTTCCAAGAATTTGAATTCGTGTGATAAAAATTAATGCCCAACATAAAGTTCTGATTAGAGCCATAGAAATAGACCAAAAAAAGACAAATTGTAAAATTAAATTTATTGTAACGTTTGGATGTTGAACATCCTATTTAGTGTTTGTCTGAAGATGTCTTGAGTAAAGACGAAACGTTACAATAAATTTAATTTTACAATTTGCCTGGTCTATTCTAATCATTTTTATCACACGAATTCGATTTCCGCTCGGCAAGTCTCTCGCTACTATTCCAAGAATTTGATTTTGGTGTGGCAAATTTTTGTTTATTAGGAATGTAAAACACCTTTACGATCATTCGTGTGTTGAAAATGCCTGACGTACAAAGAAGTTGTTTAATGGTGATACTTGGCTGGGTTCTATTTTGCGTGTTGTTCATTGTACAATTAGTGATATTTTCACTTTTGCTTCACGAATATCACAACTTTGCATCGCTTATAACATGCATTGTTTTGTACTTCCTTGTTGTTCTTGCGGTCATAGTTTTAATGCTATTCATGTGGTGGAAAAAACGTAAGTCTTGTCAAGAACTTTATGCTGAAGAGGATAAAGAAATTTGTCGTGTTTGGATTGTTTGTGGTGTTTATATTGTTGCTTACACCGTATGTGTTGCAATGATATTCTGTAAAGTCGCCAAAAATCTTACCAAAGATATGAGACTTGGTATCAACACATTGAAAGGAACACTTACCATTGCTCCTATGCTGTTAATTCTCATGTTACAGTTGACCATTTCTCCAACATATCGTAAAAATATTATATCAGTGTCTAAATTTTCTGTATTGAATATTTTTGATGGCATCGAAATGTTGGAAGTCATATTGATGCACCATGAAGGAGTATTTCATTTAAACATTCATTTGGAAAGGGCCATCATTACGTTCGCTTGTATGTCGTTTTTAATCTCTTCTCTTGCTCTCTTTCGAAATAAATTTGAAGCGGATGGAACCGTCAAGAAAAGAGGAAAAACATCAATTATCATTGGTATTATCGAGATGATTGGCATCAATTTATCTTTTCTCATTTTACGTTCCATTGTTTGGCATGATTATAAGTACGAAGCTTCAGTGTTTATAGCTAAGAATGTCATATCTTTAGTTGTTGGCGTTGTGGAGTTTTGTCTTCTGAAAAAGTGGATAAAATGGGGTGTTGAGGATGGTTCTTGATTATTTCTTTCTCTATACAAGTCATGTGTAATTTATATAGAAGGACTGACTTAAAAAGGTTGCTACCATTGCAAAATTGTATTAGTTTTGTTTAGCTCTATTGTAGGTGTGTTTCTGGAAAAGTTTTTTTTAGAAACGTTTCACGTGAAGTAACATTTCTAGCTTGAGTGTAGATCAACAGCATGCATTGTAAACTGCTGGAATTTTATTTGATGTAAAAGTCCTATATGGTGACATATGGTGTGGCTATAATATACGAACAAGTGACAAGCTTAGTTTTTGTATTTTACCATATATGGATTATGGGTGGTGTTTTTATTTAGTAAAGATGAAATTTGGGTTAAATTACAGTTTTGATGTTGACCTTCTATGGGAAATTACTGTGGAAAAAACACAATTTCGGGGAAAAAATACAATTTCGGGGAATAAATATATTTTCGGGGAATAACCACATTCTAAGAATAAAACAACTCATTTTAAAAAGAAAACCAGCATGTATATGTATATTTAGTTTCTGCAGTAACTTAGATTAGGTGTGTTATTATAATGTCAACAAATACTCCCACTAAACTTGAAAAAGATATTGAAAGTGTAATATATGCACATAATTAGCGCTATAAACTTCGGTTATGTTATATATATATGATTGACATTCACTGAGACAGGACTTCACTATAAGCACATGTAGAGCACAAACGTGTAAAGCTGAGAGATAGCACAATAAACGTAGACTTATAACTATCAGAGTTATTACAGAAAGATCGAAATGTTTCGTGATACCTGGATGGATTTTACTTTTTATCCTATTCGTGTCTCAGATCGGGTTGTTTATCGCGTTTTTCGTCGTTCATTTAAAGAGTTGCTATCCTCTCATTTTGATCGTTTACGTGCTTCCCCTTTTTTCCTTTGGTTGCTTTCGTTATTTTAACAAGAAATTTTATGCAGACCAAAATAAATCTATTCGCGGTGTTTGGATTATTTGGGGAACTTATATCTTGGCTTATGTTATTATAGTTGCTGCTATCTTTGCAACGTTTGCAGGCAATTTGACCTAAGAAGATGTGCTTGGTATCAATGCTTTAATGGGAACATTATGTATAACACCAGGACTTTTGATTCTTCTTGTACAGCTCACCATTTGTCCTTCCTATCGAAAATCGATTCTCCCTATTGCTTTTTTCATTGCTTTAAACATTTTTGATGGCATTGAAATGTTGGAAGTTTACCTGATGCAAAAGGAAGCGAACTTCGAATTGGATGAGAGTTGTGAAATAACAATTATAATCTTTGCTTGTCTTTGTTTTTTCATCTCTCCCTTTGGTTTATGTGAAAACAAGTTTAAGCCAGATGGCAAAGTGGAACAAAGAAGTAATTCGTGGTGGTTTTGGCTTCTTAGATTGCTTTATGTCGTCATTAATAATCTACCATTTCTCATCATCAGAGCGATCATTTGGGAAAAGTATGAATCTGCTATCTTCATGGGAAAGAATGCCATCGCTTTACTGATGGAATTCGTTCAATTTCTTATTTTAATGCAGTGCTGCAAGTGTGAGGTGAAACCTAAGACAAGTAATACAGATCATTCAAAGGAAGAGGAGTCCAGTCTTTGAATAAATAAAGACACTTTTGCACACTTAAGTTCGCTTTTTGTTGATTATGAATAAAGTATATTTTGTAAAATGAAGACTTTATCGAAAAATTTAGAAATTTAAAATTTGTTTTAAAAAGAGCAAATACGATGGTGAATGGTCAAAATAATGACACAATACTTCTTAAAGAAGTGTTTGAAACCAGAAAACTAACCCAGCAATTTTAAAAGAACTGTTTTAAAGCTGCATAGTGTCTTTCAGCTTTATTGACTTTATTTCAAAGTCATAATCAAGCCAAGTGATGATGACTTTGGTTTGATTTACTGACCAAGTAATGATATGGCTTGATAACGACTTTGAAATTAAGTCAAAATATTGCTTTTAAATCTTGTCTCCTGTCAATATAACTAGAATCTTGAGTTTACAGTACAGTATTTTGAATTGGGTGGAATTTTTAAGTGATATTTTTGCCATCAGTCTGTGTATACGTCTCTTTTTTCGCTTTATGGTAAATAGAAATCAACATTATGTTTGAAATCTGTTTCTGTGAGTTGAAAGAGGTGGATTGGAAGACATGAAAACTTTACTGATTACACATTACAATCACGATAAACACTATTAATGTATATACACATTTTAATTTTTGCATAAGCCATTAGAAAATCTTGTTGACATAAAAATTCATGCCTAACTATTTTAAAGCCTTGAAAATGTAACATGTAGCGAATTAAACCTTTTTGTTCATAACAAATTACTCCGTAACATCAACAGCACTTGCAATACTGCGAGCTGCTTTCAATAAGTTCACAGTTTCTGCATACTTTTCATTTTCTTGCCAACTATCGTTTTGCTTCTTGCGTTCTCTCTCTTTATAAGCATGCCAGAGTTTATCCAAATATTCTACAACTTCTACTCTGTCGAAAGCTTTGGCAAAATCTAAAGCTGTTTTACCGTGCACCGTTGCTAATGTGTGATCAGCCCCTTTGTAGATGACTAACTTAACCAACTCAAGTTGACCATTCAACGCTGCCATCATAAGAACGGATTTGCCGTCCTTGTCTATACTTGATATGTTAGCACCGTGTCGTATTAGCAAGCGAGCAATATGGATGTTTCCACCCACCATCGCCAGTCTCATAAGTGCAGTCCATCCTGAATGGAAGAAGTCATTTTAGTAAGCATAGAAAGGGAAGGAACTCGTCATTTCCATAAGTCATTGTTAGGAAGGTGGTCATCGTATAATGATATCTTTATTTGATAGAATCAAATTTGTCAACTGGCTTTTGTTTCAGTTACCTGATGTATAATCTTTAACATCAACAGCACATCCTTTATTCAACAGCCATCGTACAACCTCGATGTTACCAACATCAACTGCCCAACGTAAGCAGGTTGATCCAGTATAATCTTGAGTTTCCCAAGAGGCACCATGTGCTACAAGCATCTTTACTACGTCAAGTTGTCCTCAGAAAAAAAGTTCAACGTGCATTTTAATCAATACTGATGTTATAGTATGGTGCATTTGAAGGCTTTTGGAAACGCAAGGTTTACTATACTGTTAACCAAATTATGTGTTGATGGTTTTTAAACAGAGATATTGTGTTTCATTGAATATTTTAGAAGTACCTGTGAAACATGCCAGCATCAATGAATCTTTGCCACTGGAGTTCTGAAATCTGACGTCAGCATCATAGTTGATTAGTTTCTTCATGATTTCGATGGAGCCTTGTTTTGCTAAAAAACAGAAATGTTTATTATTATTACTATTAAGTGAATGATTTTCTATGGTGTAATTTTTCTCTGTTGACGTTATCATCTTTCAATTGTCAAGAAGAGTTTAGGAGAGAAAAATGTGTGAACACTCGGTCCTAACCTTCAATTACAAGTTCTCTTGTGCAAATGCATACAGCAATAGAGCCACAAATACCTGCAATCATCAGTGGAGATAATCCAAATTTATCTGGCGAGTCCACCACACTTTGATTAAGTTCTAAAATGTTTTAATAGCAGTTATCATTCTGTTTAACACTTTTTGAATACTATTAACCAATACTCAAAATCCATATCATGCAATCATGACAAGTTCCATATTTTTCACTTTGCTACATAAATAGCTTTTTTCTTTGAGTGAAACATGAGTTTCGCAAAACTTGTCGTTAATGCTGGTTCATTAATGACGTCATGAACTTAAAATTTTTACCATCAAGGATACATACAGGTTGTCCCCCAAAAAAGTGACGCTATGAAAATCATCTCGTTGTTTCTTTAACCCGCTGATTTTAGTATAATTTCAATGAATTCTATGGGTTTAATCACGCGCATTCAACAATTGTTTATCAACAATGAGATCATTGATAAAGAAACACTTTTATGTATAGTTAAACTTTAAAATGCATGTCTTAGGTGTGTGATAGATTGATATTGACGCACGTATTAAACTACCATAAAACACGAGTTGTACTTTAACTTTAAATGAAAGCACTTGCTCATTACGAGTGAAATTTGGGGCATAAAAATACGGTCACTGGTGGCGCTAGGCGTTTGGTCGTTCAATACTGGTTCTTTTCAACGAGTTGGCTGGTGGTTGCTAAGCTCACGTTTCACTGCATGCTTCTGCTTAGCTTTTTGACAAAAAATTGTAAATAGGATTTTGCGTTTTCCTATAGTGTTTGTAATTTATTCATTACGAGCAACTATCAGTCATCTTGATAGATTTTGTGTAATAAAATTTCAGTTTTTTTATTTGACAACCTTGTAGGATAGCATGTACTCTTTCTAAGTCTTTGTGATTCACAGCTTTGACAAAGTCTTCACTGGTTTTAGGTTTTTTTGTGGTTCTGACTGTGATAATCACACTCCAAGCACTTTCACCATAATTATCACTTTTTCTGAGTCGATACATATCTTCGATCTATTCATATCTTTACAATGTTTATATGTAGGAAAGTGTTTTGTGACTGCAACACCAACGTTGATTTATGTACAGTAATATTTAAAGCTTGTAGTTTTGCCCTAAGCCAATTGTGTATGACAGTAAAACATCACCAGGGAAACATACAAGAATCAATAAATCTTTGGATTCTGAAATCTACGTCACTATGCACCATGATACCTTGGATGATTTTTATCATCCAGTATGTAATGCATCAGGACTTTAAAATGCAATCTTGCCGTACTCTTAAAGGATGATGTCATTTTGCCTGTCGTGTTTGAAAAGAAACGCTACTCGTTTGGCTTGACAAATATTTAGGTCGTTTTATTGAACTGCTAACTGTATATAGATAGAAAAGCACCACAGTTGCAGTTTAAAATCCTTGAGATGACATGTTCACCACTATGCTCTTATAATCAGTTTGCAAGTAAAAATTGTGGCCGAAACTGGCAGCATAACTTTGGTGAATGTGTTTTTCATGAATATTGCTACGATTGTGTTCCTTTTTAAATGGTTTGAAGGTTATTTGACAATTGGTCGACTTATGGATGCAGACGTCATGGTGTGATTTATTCCACATTTATTCCAATTTGACAATTGGTCGACTTATGATGCAGACGTCATGGTGTGATTTACTCCACGTAAATATGTATTAAATATTGGCTGAATTTATCAGAATTGGCGTTTTAGAGACATTTGAGACAATTAGAGCCTCTCAATTTTAGAGACAACCGAAGCACGAATTTTGTTAGTTTATAAGTCGAAATGTCTGACGTACAAAGAACTCGTTGTATGGTGATACTTGGCTGGGCTCTATTTTGCGCGTTGTTCATTGTACAATTAGTGATATTTTCACTTTTGCTTCACAAATATCACAACTTGGCATCGCTTATAACCTGCATTGTTTTGTACATCTGTGCTCTTGCGGTCATAGTTCTTATGCTGTTCATGTTGCGGAAGAACGATGCGCTTTATGCTGAAGAAGATGAAGAAATTTGTTATGTTTGGATTGTTTGCAGTGTTTATATTGTTGCTTACACCGTATCTGTTGCAATGATATTCTGTAAAGTCGCCAAAAATCTTACCAAAGATATGACTGTTGGTATCAACACATTGAAAGGAACACTTTCCATTGCTCCTATGCTGTTAATTCTCATGTTACAGTTGACCATTTCTCCAAGATATCGTAAAGATATTTTATCACTGTCTATATTTTCTGCATTGAATATTTTTGATGGCATCGAAATGTTGGAAGTCATTTTGATGCACCATGAACGACTATTTCATTTAAACATTCATTTGGAAAGGGCCATCATTACGTTCGTTTGTACGTCGTTTTTAATCACTTCTCTTGCTCTCTTTCGAAATAAATTTGAAGTGGATGGAACCGTCAAGAAAAGAGAAAGAACATCAATTATCATTGGTTTTATCGAGATGTTTGGCATCAATTCATCTTTTCTCGTTTTACGTTTCATTGTTTGGCATGATTATAAGTACGAAGCTTCAGTGTTTATAGCTAAGAATGTCATATCTTTAGTTGTTGGCGCTGTGGAGTTTTGTCTTCTGAAAAAGTGGATAAAATGGGGTGTTGAGGATGGTTCTTGATTATTTCTTTCTCTATACAAGTCATGTATACTTTATATACTAGGACTGACTTAGAAAGGTTGCTACCATTGCAAAATTATATTAGTTTTGTGTAGCTCTATTGTAGGTGTATTTCTGGAAAAGTTTTTTTTTAGAAACGTTGTTTCACGTGAAGTAACATTTCTAGCTTGAGTGTAGATCAACAGCATGCATTGTAAACTGCTGGAATTTTATTTGATGTAAAAGTCCTATATGGTGACTTATGGTCTGGATATAATATACGAATAAGTGACAAGCTTAGGTTTCTGATTTTACCATATATGGATTATGGGTGGTATTTTTATTTAGTAAAGATGATATTTGGGTTAAATTACATTTTTGATGTTGACCTTGTGAGGGAAATTACCGGGGAAAAAACACAACTTCGGGAAATAAATATATTTTCGGGGAATAACCACATTCTAAGAATAAAACAACTCATTTTAAAAGGAAAACCAGCATGTATATGTATATTTAGTTTTTGCAGTAACTTAGATTAGGCGTGTTATTATAATGTCAACAAATACTCCCACTATACCTGAAAAAGATATTGAAAGATCGAAATGTCTCGTGATACCTGGATGGATTTTACTTTTTATCCTATTCGTGGCTCAGATTGGGTTATTTATCGCGTTTTTCGTCGTTCATTTAAAGAGTTGCTATCCTCTCATTTTGATCGTTTACGTGCTTCCCCTCTTTTTCTTTGGTTGCTTTTGTTATTTTAACGAGAAATTTTATGTAGACCGAAATAAATCTATTCGCGGTGTTTGGATTATTTGGGGAACTTATATCTTGGCTTATGTTATCACAGTTGCTGTATTCTTTGCAACGTTTGCAGGCAATTTGACCAAAGAAGATGTGCTTGGTATCAATGCTTTAATGGGAACATTATGTATAACACCAGGACTTTTGATCTTACTTGTACAGCTCACCATTTGTCCTTCCTATCGAAAATCGATTCTCCCTATTGCATTTTTCGATGCTTTAAACATTTTTGATGGAATTGAAATGTTGGAAGTTTACCTGATGCAAAAGGAAGCGAACTTCGAATTGGATGAGAGTATTGAAATAGCAATTATAATCTTTGCTTGTCTTTGTTTTTTCATCTCTCCCTTTGGCTTATGTGAAAACAAGTTTAAGCCAGATGGCGAAGTGGAACAAAGAAGTAATTCGTTGTGGTTTTGGCTTCTTAGATTGCTTTATGTCGTCATTAATAATCTACCATTTCTCATCATCAGAGCGATCATTTGGGAAAAGTATGAATCTGCTATCTTCATGGGAAAGAATGCCATCGCTTTACTGATGGAATTCGTTCAATTTCTTATTTCAAAGCAGTGCTGCAAGTGTGAGGTGAAACCTAAGACAAGTAATACAGATCATTCAAAGGAAGACGAGTCCAGTCTTTAAATAAATAAAGACACTTTTGCACACTTAAGTTCACTTTTTGTTGATTATCAATAAAGTATATTTTGTAAAATGAAGACTTTTTCGAAAAATTTAGAAATTTAAAATTTGTTTTAAAAAGAGCAAACACTATGGTGAATGGTTAAAATAATAACACATTAGTTCTTAAAGAAGTGTTTGAAACCAGAAAACTAACGCAACAATTCTGAAAGAACTGTTTTTAAAGCTGCATAGTGTCTTTCAGCTTTATCGACTTTATTTCAAAGTCATAATCAAGCCAAGTGATGATGACTTTGGTTTGATTTACTGACCAAGTAATGATATGGCTTGATAACGACTTTGAAATTAAGTCAAAATATTGCTTTTAAATCTTGTCTCCTGTCAATATAACTAGAATCTTGAGTTTACAGTACAGTATTTTGAATTGGGTGGAATTTTTATGTGATATTTTTGCCATCAGTCTGTATATACGTCTCTTTTTTCTCTTTATGGTAAATGGAAATCAACATGATGTTTGAAATCTGTTTCTGTGAGTTGAAAGAGTTGGATTGGAAGACATGAAAACTTTACTGATTACACATTACAATCACGATAAACACTATTAATGTATATACACATTTTAATTTTTGCATAAGCCATTAGAAAATGCTGTTGACATAAAAATTCATGCCTAACTATTTTAAAGCCTTGAAAATGTAACATGTAGCGAATTAAACCTTTTTGTTCAAAACAAATTACTCCGTAACATCAACAGCACTTGCAATACTGCGAGCTGCTTTCAATAAGTTCACAGTTTCTGCATACTTTTCATTTTCTTGCCAACTATCGATTTGCTTCTTGCGTTCTCTTTCTTTATAAGCATGCCAGAGTTTATCCAAATATTCTACAACTTCTACTCTGTCGAAAGCTTTGGCAAAATCTAAAGCTGTTTTACCGTGCACCGTTGCTAATGTGTGATCAGCCCCTTTGTAGATGACTAACTTAACCAACTCGAGTTGACCATTCAACGCTGCCATCATAAGAACGGATTTGCCGTCCTTGTCTATACTTGATATGTTGGCACCGTGTCGTATTAGCAAGCGAGCAATATGGATGTTTCCACCCACCATCGCCAGTCTCATAAGTGGAGTCCATCCTGAATGGAAGAAGTCATTTTAGTAAGCATCGAAAAGGAAGAAACTCATCATTTCCATAAGTCATTCTTGGAAAGGTGGTCATCGTATATTAATATGTTCATTTGATAGAATCAAATTTGTCAACTGGCTTTTGTTTCAGTTACCTGATGTATAATCTTTAACATCAACAGCACATCCTTTATTCAACAGCCATCGTACAACCTCGATGTTACCACCATCAACTGCCCAATGTAAGCAGGTTGATCCAGTATAATCTTGAGTTTCCCAAGAGGCACCATGTTTAACAAGCATCTTTACTACGTCAAGTTGTCCTCAGAAAGAAAGTTCAACGTTCATTTAATCAATACTGATGTTATAGTATGGTGCATTTGAAGGCTTTTGGAAACACAAGGTTTACTATACTGTTAACCAAATTATGTGTTGATGGTTTTTAAACAGAGATATTGTGTTTCATTGAATATTTTAGAAGTACCTGTGAAACATGCCAGCATCAATGAATCTTTGCCACTGGAGTTCTGAAATCTGACGTCAGCACCATAGTTGATTAGTTTCTTTATGATTTCAATGGAGCCTTGTTGTGCTAAAAAACAGGGATGTTTATTATTATTATTAAGTGAATGATTTTCTATGGTGTAATTTTTCTCTGTTGACCTTATCATCTTTCAATTGTCAAGAAGAGTTTAGGAGAGAAAAATGTGTGAACACTAGGTCCTAACGTTCAATTACAAGTTCTCTTGTATAAATGCATACAGCAATAGAGCCTCAAATACCTGCAATCATCAGTGGAGATAATCCAAATTTATCTGGCGAGTCCACCACACTTTGATTAAGTTCTAAAATGTTTTAATAGCATTTATCAATCTGTTTAACACTTTTTGAATACTATTAACCAATACTCAAAATCCATATCATGCAATCATGACAAGTTCCATATTTTTCACTTTGCTACATAAATAGCTTTTTTGTTTGAATGAAACATGAGTTTCGCAAAACTTGTCGTTAATGCTGGTTCGTTAATGATGTCATGAACTTAAAATTCTTACGATCAAGGATACATAAAGGTTGCCCCCAAAAAAGTGACGCTATGAAAATCATCTCGTTTCTTTAACCCGCTGATTTTCGTAAAATTTCAATGAATTCTATGGGTTTAATCACGCGCATTCAACAATTGTTTATCAACAATGAGATCATTTATAAAGAAACACTTTTATGTATAGTTAAACTGCATGTCTTTGGTGTGTGATAAGTTGATATAGACGCACGTATTAAACTACCATAAAACACGAGTTGTACGTTAACTTTAAATGAAAGCAGTTGCTCATTACAGGTGAAATTTGGTTGTTCAATACTGGTTCTTTTAAACGAGTTGGCTGGTGGTTGCTAAACTCACGTTTCACTGCATGCTTCTGCTTAGCTTTTTGACAAAAAATTGTAAAGAGGATTTGCGTTTTCCTATAGTGTGTGTACTTTATTAATTACGAGCTACTCTCAGTCATCTTGATAGATTTTGTGAGATAAAATTTTAGTTTTTTTATTTGACAACCTTGTAGGATAGCATGTACTCTTTCTAAGTCTTTGTGATTCACAGCTTTGACAAGGTCCTCACTGGTTTTAGGTTTTTTTGTGGTTCTGACTGTGATAATCACACTCCAAGCACTTTCACCATAATTATCACTTTTTCTGAGTCGATACCTACAACATAGAAACTTACAACTCACACTTACACACTTCAGTCAAGGGGCACTATTGGAAATGAATTGCCAAAATATGATGTACTCAAATGACACGATGAAAATACCTGTTAAAGTGGTGGTACATTGAACATGTTTCAAGATAGATATGAACGTACCTGTACCGTGTCTGAGGCTCTAGACCTTCAAAAACATGTTTCTTGGCATAACCACTATAAACATTTCCAAAACCAGTGCTTCTCATATTCACTTCCTCTTCTTGAACGCAATAATGTGTCTTTCCGTGCATGGGTTTTTCATCATTTTTTTCATCCCAATATAGCTCAATGCTATTATGGGTCACTTTACCTACCACTGGAGGATCTGGTTGAGGAATGTCACCCATACCTATGTTACATTGAAATTATGTTTCACTCCATTTCATGGTCTTCAGTGGGAGAGAGAGATATTATTTTGAATTTACATACTTCAGTCTAGTGTTCTTATCAGCTAACTATTCATATGTTAATGTGTGAGTATTACTGCTGTGAGTCACCAGTGAAGCATCTGAAGCATTCTTCTGCTGTATAAATCCTTCAGCCGACATCACCAATTAAATTTTATAAATACAGTTAAAGTCGTCGGTATATGATTTACCTTAGTCCAGTAGTCCTTACGTGATTTTCTTTATTTGACGAAATAATGTGCAACAAGTATCGTAGTCCGTTTCAATCTTGGCGCAAATATCGTGAGTCCGACATTTCAATTCTCATGACCACATTTAATGTTGTAAGAGCGCAAAAATTTATTATTTGAATTGGACAACTTTAAATCAATTTAATAAATCAAAGCATCATTTCGTTACCTGGTAGCAGATGAATTTTTTGTCGCGACAAAAGGCGGTTAAATTTGACAATGTCAAAAATGGTGTTTTTTTGGCGCGAGATTTTTGTCCGTTTAAAAATTAATGTTATCAACTGTTAAAACACCATTTCATTCAATTGATATCGTTCAACTTTGCCATATAATGGGTTCTGTAGAAAAACTTTTATACTCTCTTGATTTTTTGGCAAGCTTTATTTTGACTCGGTTTCCTTACGTGTGTATTTTAACGCTGCTTTTGCACGCGGGACGTGAAAAATTACGAAAACCAGATACCTGGCTTGAAACAATATATGAATCGACTTACATTCATGCTATGCTACACTTTATATGCGGTGGTGGAATGACCATAGATGCTACACGCAGAATTGCTGGCTTGGCCGCTTGTATTCATAATGGATATTTAGCTGTGTCGACTTTAGTTAAACCGACAGTTACAGAATGGCTGATGGTAGTGAATTCTTCACATACTAACACACGTTTGTAATTTAATTTTACATGGCACTAAATTAAATTTATATTTTTTAGATTAAGATGTTTGCAAGAACCATTGCAGTTGCTGGTGGTTATTTACTGGTTGCTGGAGGACTTGTAGACAGTAAAAAATCAACCAAATTACATCCATCATTACTTCAACTTGGTAGACAAATACAAGCCTTCTATGCTATCTTTGCTGGATACTTACTATGGGCAAGTCCTGCTGATCGTGCTGTGCATATTTCTCATTTACCTTTAGGACAATTGGTGGCAATATTTTTTGCCATTGTGTTTGTTTTATGTGGAATTATGATGTATGGTGGGTGGCAGGTACCGTACTTTGCACGTCTTGTTGCTTGGATGTTAATAATTGTTACTGTATTTGTTGATTTTGATACAAAGTATTGGAAAATTCGAGGGATGGGTTATTGGCAACAAGTGCAAGTTGGTGCACAGAATGTGTGCATTATTGCAAACTTAATATTGTTGGGTAGGATACGCAATTGGTAGTTACATGACATTTTGGTGAATTTTTAATTTTAAATAAGCCTATACAATTTTATTTTGTCTAATGCTAGATCCACCTTGGAATAAACAAGTGCAATTGCAAAAGAGTCAAAATTATAATTGCATTAACAAAAACAAGTACAATTTTATAGCTATGTTATGTGACACATGTATATACATCTCCCATTTTCTTTCAACTTTTCTGCAACTCATAAATCTAAAATAAAAATATAGAACTTTCTCATGCTAATTTCAAAATTAACCTGTATCATTCAAACATGTTATGTTTTACCTGAATATAAGAATCTGATAAGGTAATCATTTGAGGAAGTATTTCTTTGACATGCAGATCTTGAAGTTCATACCATTGACTAGCACCCTGTTCAACATGACATAGAATATGACATACATTACTTTGGAGGCAGATGACAGACGTTAGTCTTCAAATAGTAACAAACTACCAGCATGGATATCATGTAAATCATGTACAAAAACAATGAATAGTTAAATTATTTTAACCAACCTTGTGAAACACATGGACACGATAGTTCTTGCTAATTTTACCTTCAGCCTCTAAAAAGAAAAACATTTATAAGTCTTGAAAGGTGTCCTGTGTAGATTTCATTATGTCTTAAGTCAAGCACAAACCTGTTTGACCTTCATAACAGACATTAGCAATAAGATCATACATTGTATTTGGGTTATCTTTGACACATTCCGGAGCTAAATATTCAACCATGTCAACTTCTCTGTAAAATATTATTAATTGCAAGTGTCATTTAACCAGAAATTTTGTGAAATGAAGAGGGATCTACTGAGAAGGCTTACTTCACAGGAAAGTTGACAACTGTTGGATTTTTTTCAACAAAGAAAATATTCTTTGTAAATCTCTAAAAATAGCGAAAAATAACGTTGATATTATTCATGAACATTTTTCATAAGTATGTCATGTAGATAGCTTTCTTCTCTCACCTTGATCACTATTATTAAATAAGGAGGAAGTTTTGTAAGTTGAAACTTTTTCACGAATGTTTCCTTGTATGTTTTGTACTCCTGTAACAACATTTCATGACGTGATGATTTTGCTAACCAGAGGCTCAAGTCATTGATGTGATGTTTAAGATATTGAGACTAGTTAAGATTGGGAGAAACGCTGCTAAAGTAATTTTTAAATGTGCTTTAAACATGTAGGTAATCATCATTTCTATATGTGTATATAAAATACATCGATCATGTACTACGTACCTTTTCAGTAATACCGTCAAATTTACTTAACAACGCAAAAATTGAGACCTGAAAAAAATGTCGTTACAAGAAATAAGTCGCTTTGATAAATCCATCATTTGAATGAATTTACAAACCTGAGGTATAATGTTCTGTTGCATTTCGTCCTACAATCAAACACAATATTACATTATAAAAATTTAAAAAATACGACGTAAATTTTTGAATTAGCAAAATTCTGTGTCGTCCACTCAACATAAATTACGGTCTAACAAAATCTATAACTGACCGTGCAAACTACTAATGTTATTTTTATTTTTAAGATGTGTTTTAAATTACATCTTAGACACACATATGTATAACTTACAGAATACTGACAAAATTTTGGAATTTGATGTTAAAGGTAAGTTTGAAGCCAAATCTTTTTTTTGGTGTTTTCTTTTTTACCTTGAACAGCGGTGCAGGTGGTGTGTCAAGAGAGAGATACCAAAATGGTGTTTCTGTTACGGTCTCTTTATATTCATCGTTATCTACTCGTAGTTTGTCTTCTTTTCTTACTGCTTCTTCATCCTAAAAAAATCTTCACTTCATATCGCGTCTATTATGTAAAATCCTTTATCACATCTTATACTCTGTCCAATTTTTAAAGGTAAAATCTACCATAAACTTGCACCTTAGTATGAATGTGACCATTTTATCTAACATCTACTCATTCCCTTTAATACTTTCATAGTAAACACACACCTCTGTAGGTGGTAGCTTTCTACTAGTGACTCTCATTTTTCCTTGAAAAATGCTTCGAATAATACCTAGAATAAAGAGCATCGTATTTTAATTTGCAGAAACCTAAGAAATAAAAGAAGGAAGGCAGAAAAGTGGCTTCTCTATTCATGGAAAACTTACTTGATTTTCCAGACTTTGATCCTCGTCTCAAGATGGAATGTAGAGCATTTAAAAACCAGGAAAGAAACTCAACAGGATCACCTGAAGTCACAAGTTTACTTTTAAAATACAGGTACATTGTAAGTGTTTGTAACTAAAGTTTGCTTGCCTTGTTCTGTAAATTGAAATTTCTTTTTGCTACATAAAACAACTGCCTAAAGCAAAAGAAAACAAAGTTCATACAAAAACCTATTTTCCAGTTACAAGACTTTGGTGAGTCACACACAAGTTTGTTAATCTAAATCACAGAGAAAATAATACTGAAAGATCTATTAAGTTCACCACTATAGTACCTGTAGCATTTCGTGAGGACTGACATGTGCTTTAAAATTTCTTGGATTCCAAAGTTTTCTTAGTAATTCACCAAATCTTTGAGCTGAATTTAACATTTAAGAGTTGGTAATAGGAGAGTTACAGCATGACTACATATAAAAGTGATTGTACCTAATATAAGAGAGATGTCTCCAGGTGGCATTTTTACATTTTTATAATTCTCTTCGCGCAGAAAGAAATCACGAATTGTGGGAACAAATGACATTGCCTGCATAATAAGAATGTTCATAATAGCATGTTAAGCTCAGTTTACACTTTCAAACTGCATCTTTAATGACACCAACCTGTAAAACAACATTGAGATAATCATTGGCTTTGATGTTGTTTAGTCCCACAACACCTGGTCGATAGGTTGTGCCATCAAATGCTCTTGACAGTTTATTTGTTTTATCTAGTTGCATCACTTCTGACTTATGAAAAGTTGGATTAAGCACATACTACAGCAAAAAGATAAAAAGTAAGGCTGAACTCTTCATGATATTTTTGCAATTTTTAACAGAAATTTTTTCTACCTTAATGTCATCTAAAGATGAATCAATTACTTCGTAGTTGTCAGGCAGGCAATAGACCTTAAAAAGATGTACTCATATGATTCAGTTATTAAGGCAGACAAGTTGCTTAACACTGTGCTGTTGATTTTACAAGCACACATGAAGCAGAGAAGTTGTGCATTATACTACTAAACAATATTAGCCTTCTATTTACAAGTCATACCTTGAGTGTGTGTAAATTAAGAAAAACATGATGACCAACTTGTACGCTATGAGTGTATGCATGAGAATGTTTACCACGGCCTAAAATAATATTTATAGTATCAGTGTGTTGTAATAATAAAGTTAAAGAACTATGAATTGCTCATCGTTATATGTGTTTGATCCTCACCTTGGAAATATTTTCCACATACTAGGCAAGCATATACATTGGTATGAGAAAGAGATATGGAACATAATTTCTCAAAATCAAAGTCAAGAACTTGTCTAAGGAAATACAAAAATGCTGTGAAAAATGTCTTCAAAAGGTTCAAAATTCATCATGATCATCATGTACCTGTTAATGGTGTCAAGGTATGGGCATTGTCTACTTTTGTCGACAAACTCATCTGAAAATCATAATGTTGTGTGATTACAATAGTCTGGCTTTGATAAACCAAGGGTAATTAACCCTTGTTATGTGAGAATGTATTTGATATTAATGTACAGTATTAACAAGCATATGACTGGTTGATACTAGATGTAGGTCTTATAACGTTGATATCAATGATAAGGGGCTTAGACAAGATTTGTCTTATCAATGATAAGTCAGTGGTTTAGACAAGATTTGAACTCGCACTGTACGTATAATAGTGAGCCGTTCTACCCGTTACGCTACTAGGCGAACAGGGATTGGAGTCAAGTCAAATCTCTCATAAATTGCAAGTGGGCCAGATATTCTTACCACAGCAGCAGTCCATAGTTCAAATCTAGTCTCAACTCTCAACCACATGTTTTTTCATATGCGTATAACAATATCAGAATTAGTGAATTCAAGACACGATCAAACTAGCTAAATAAGTGATTGTCAACCTTTGTGTACGTATTGCTCTTCTTCTTCCTCTTCGTCGCTATAATCTTCGACAAGGGGTCTTTTCAAACCTCTCACTTCTACTTTTGAAGCAGTAGCGTCCATATTGATTTTGGTTTCGGTGATGTGAAGGAAGACTGGGCGCGAATTTTAAAAAATCAAAAAAGTTAGTGAATATAATTGTATTGGTTAGTATTACATTTTGATTGGTCAGTAGAGCTGTAAATCTGTGCATTCTGCTCATTCTGCTCCAGCTGGAAACATTAAGTAGTTGGTATACTTGTTTAGAAAAAATGCACTTGTACTAAATTGGCATTAATGCAATCAAATGAATCGATTTATTAGACTATGTCCTGATCAAATTGAGGTTTTTAAGCTTGACTTCAAATAACGATTACCACGACATAATGCTAAGGATTAAATACTTCCTTTGCTAAATCATTTGTTCTATAGACAAGTTGCAAATTTTGTCTGAAATGAGATAAACCATTGGTTACAATCTTTGTGCCACCTGATGATGTATTTGCCATTTGACGCATATTATTTTAATTATTTTATAGATTTTATCGGCGTTTGCGCGACTCATTTTTTGTCTGTGAAACGAGGAATAGCAATTGTAAATTGTCAGTGTTTGACTTGATTTGCAATCCAAGTACAACATATTTCCGGCTCCCTCCAAAAATGATAAGAATATTGAAACAATTCGTCTTTTGACGTAGTTATTACACGATAAGCAGTTCGCCCAAGAAAGCGTCTGTTTCGTGGAACAAAGAAAATACGCGTTATTTACTCTTTTCACTTTATCTTACTCTGCCACAGCATAAAGGAATGATAATAAATGACTAAAATATTTGTTTAGGATAACTTGAAGATTTACAGCAAAACCGTGAGTCCGTTAAATTGTGGAAAGCAAGAAGTATGTACGAAATAAGATGATAATTATCTCAACACCGTGTATTACTGGACATTAAATGTTTAACATCCTCATCCTCCTGTCATTATTACCATTATAATGGAAACGATGATCGACGTTTACTCTATACAGTAATCATCGTTGACTTCAATTTTCTGCGTAAAAACATCTGTTGTATATGATATGATCTTGAGTGTTTTTTTATCGGAAACTATACTTATTCATATTTTCCTGTTGCCCATTCAATATGTATAAAATAATATAAATTGCATACGAACCTATGATGTATATGTACACAATGACATTATGGTGTCAGTAAGTAATAACTGAACATTGTCCTCGAAGATATGAATTTTTATTCAATCAATTTTATTCTTCTTTTTGTTACACATTATTTTATATCATATCATATCATATTGTACAAATGTGCTTTAGCTACTAATCAACGATAATTATTTCCTTGTTTATAAAATGTTACGTATTTTTAGAGTAATCGGGTAATGGCATTAACTTCGGATGAATTGTCCAAACTCAAATCTTACGTCAACAGGTAATGGACGCAATTAAGCGCGATGATTATTAACGGGAAATGAAATTTGAAATTTTTTGAGTTGTTTTTTGCGTGATCTTTTTCCATGACCAGAGTTGGTTTATTTGCATTCATTTCTGCCTTTGGTGAATCTTGTAATTTAGATCTTTTCACTGACATTCGTTTCGTTTTTGATGATTTTGTCAATAATGCTGTACAACTGTTGTGTGATATATTGAGCTGACCTCTTTTATCCAATCGCCTTACAACTTTTCTCAAAATCATCATTTTCAGCAAACTCGTTCCAGCCTGACTGTTCACTTCTGCAACTTTAAAGTGACCTTTGCGTTTGCGCAAGAACATAATATAGGTCTCATTTTGGAATGCGCGCGAATTCGTACAGTGCCCTGAGACATAGCCAAAGCCCGAAACCGTTATATACTTTTTGCTTACTTTTCCTTTGAGCGAACAAACGACATAAAACTTGGCGTTGTACGGTCCGTTTTCTTTTGATGATTTTTTATTGCGATCTTTTGAGGTGTATGGACTTTTCACCACCTTGCCAATCAATATATACTCTGCTCTTGTAGCACGCAAGCTTACACCTTTGCTTCTCCAGTTTCTAGGTGGTGAACAACTGCGACATTGCAAGTTTGTGTCCAAGAAGTATAAACATATAAACAAAACAGTTGGCTTATTTAATGAACCTAATCCCATTTTGTGACGATTGGGCAATTTATCAAGTTGTTGTAATCTTTGTCGTGGGTGAACGATTTTATATGGATGTCAGACTGCATCTCGTACTGACAAACACTCTGGGTGTTGAAAAGAGCAAAATTATCGCGGAGTCTTTAGGTCTATAACACGTTATCTATGCGAACAATAAACGCCTAGTATCAATGACTAGTTTCCTTTCCGTCTGTTTTCGTAACGTTTTTTAATTAAATGTAATGTCTTTGAAAAAAAAACGTGATGAAATACAATGGAAAATCTAATAATGCAAACCTGCGAATCAAAAATCACACAACTCAAAGTCAGTATTACTAATCTAACCCCCAAATATCCTTGAACTTTAAATATGGGTTGCTGAACCTACTCTCTTCCCCCCACCTACCTCCTCTCTCTACTTACCAAATGATCTTGCTTGCTTGTATATCTTATCAGTGTGAGAAAATAATTTTCTAAGGATATGCAAGGTATGCAACCTGGATCTGATGTAATATGCCGAAAAAGTTTCGTTCTACCCTGATTACTGGAAAGTATGGGGTGCAGGAGGATTTACGTAGAATAGGATCGTGCTTCTTCTACAAGGCTACAACAATATAACATGAAGTAATGCAATCAATTACATAACATGCATATGTTCGAGAAATTAAATGGTCAACTTTGTAATGAACTGGTAGGAAATTTAAGAATTTTAAAACATGTCGGATTGATTTCTGATACATCAATTTTTTTGTCAGAATTGTTACTGAGTACTAGAAAGTTGTTGTCGTGAATAGAGAAATCTAAACACAGTTTGCTGGATGACTTCAGTCACATAATTCACAAGTCCCAAGACTCACGGTTCTTACTCATTATGAGAGATACTAATGTAAGCTCTAAAACTAGATCACGAATTCAAGAAGCTAAGGAAAGTGCTCGTCCAGGTATGACTTTGATTATTGCCTGTAACGCATTTGTAAACATTATTCACTGACAGAGTATTTTTAGTGTTTCTTTATTTATGACTTCCTGATAACATATTTTACATAAAAATTACCCGGATGTTAAGAAATGGTTAGTCTGCCTGGTGATCCTATAGGTTTCTAGAAAAATTTATAAATTTATTGAGTGAGTTCAAAACACATTTCAAAATGCAAATAAGCAATTTAAAGCCAAAGTAGTCAACTGTCTATGTCATGCAGGTGTTTGCACATAAATTTTCATATTAGAACTTAAACCTGATGACTGGACGAAGCAAAATTACAATGAGACGTTTGATCTGAGCCTCGATAGCTTTATTGACAATGTTCCAAGAATTGAATACCATAAAACATCATGTCAAGAGTTCATTGAGAAGTATGAAAGACCTCTGAAACCTGTTGTGATCAGTAATGGATTAGTGGACTGGCCAGCTTGCAGAAGATGGACATTAAATGTAATGTTTAAATCCTTAATTTTGTCTATTCTTAAATAATATTTGGTAATTAGATGATTGAACTTCAACATAATACTTACACAACTCAAACATAAGACTAAAATGTTTATACACTTAAAGCGTTTAGTAAAGAAGTATCGGAATCAAAAGTTTAAAGTTGGTGAGGATGATGATGGCTACTCAGTGAAAATGAAGCTAAAATATTACTTGGAATATGTTAGAACTACAACTGATGATAGTCCATTGTATATATTTGACAGTTCTTATGGTGAGGTCAGTTTCTTATTGCATAATTTCAATATTTATATTTGTATATGCCCTATTGCTATAAAGTATGTTTGGAATTGACTTTTGATTAAACTCATTTTTAAAGTACCAATATGCCATTCAATAATTCACATCATGTTTGTCTTTCTAGCATCCAAGGAAAAAACGTTTGCTTGATGATTATGAAGCTCCAAAATATTTTTCTGATGATTTGTTTCAATATTGTCCTGAATCTAAGAGACCTCCTTACAGGTGAATTTTTGCTACTTATAGAAAAATTAGTAAAGAACAAGATTGCTATTTTTGATATCATTACTCACATTTGTCGAATACTATTGAAATGCTACAAATGAAGACTCACCTTCTAGTGTATAAGGAACAAGTTTCGATGAATTAATATAGTAAAAAAGAATCTCTCTCCCAGGTGGTTTGTCTTGGGTCCAGCAAGGTCTGGTACAGGTATACACATTGATCCATTGGGAACCAGTGCATGGAACAGTTTGATATCTGGTCATAAACGCTGGGTACTTTTTCCTACTTATGTACCTCGTGATTTTGTAAAATTGACGTCAAGCGAGGGTGGAAACCAAAAAGGCGAGGCAATCACGTGGTTTAGTAAAATGTACCCTAAAGTAAAACAGACATCTTGGCCTAAAGAATATGCTCCAGTAAGTGTACATGTACATGTATATATATAATTATAAATGAACAAGTGAAAACAAAAAACTATGATTGAACTACACATACTTATCTCAAATGTAAACTTAGAACGCATGCCAGTTTTGTTAGTAATGCATGAACAGAAAAGAGAACAATTTTTTTTAGCTACTAAGTAAAATATGGACTAAAGGTAACTTGTGATAGTGTAGGTAGGGATAAATGAACAACAGAGAACAAGAACAGTCTTAACACTACATAAATATAAACTAAGATAACGTGTGTCAGTGTAGGTAGTGATGAATGAACAATAGAGAACAAGAACAGTCTTTATGTTGCCTAAAATATCAAGTAAAATACTTTTACCTGTTAATAGCATAGTGTTTTTTTTTCATATTACTTAGTTGGAAATTCTTCAAAAACCAGGAGAAACAGTGTTTGTTCCAGCTGGCTGGTGGCATGTTGTTTTAAATCTAGATACTACTGTTGCTGTAACTCAAAATTTTTGCAGCCCAACTAATTTTCACATTGTTTGGCCAAAAACTGTTAGGTACATATACATTTAACAATGAACTTTTTTTGTTGTACAGATTTTTATTTTCCATAAACTATTGCTCAACTTTTTTTCTTATTTGATCAAGGGGCCGACCAAAGTTGTCTAAGAAATGGTATCAACGATTAAAGGTTTGTATAGATTACTGTGTTTTTCTTAATTATTTACCAATTGTAAACAGCAGAAAACATGTCGGTGTAAAGTCCACAACAAGTGGTAGAAATCATACATCAATTTAAAATAGAAAATCTACTTTACCAGTAGGACAACACTTGTTTTACATACAGTTACGTAAAGTGAAACAGTGTGCGATTTCTTTATTTTTTCTGTTTTCCTATTGTTGAAAGGCTGTGACTGTTTTTAAGAGAAATTGTGTGTTTTTTAGAGAGAACGTCCTGAAATGATGGAGATAGCCAATACACATCACGATAGTCGTGATAATGGCATTCAGTCTGACTCCTCTAGCTCTTGTTCTTCTTCGTCGTCGTCTTCCGATTCATCGTGTTCTAGTGACAACGAGATACCCGAGAATAGGAAAAGAAAAAATAACTATCATAAAAGGTTTTGTGTATTTTCTTGCTTTGCATACGCGATTAACTTAAATTGTGATTTGGAAAAAACGCTTTGTTTCATTGCTCTTCTGCATAAGAATTTGTTGCTGTGAATCTTGTAGATTTTTGTATTTTCACTATTCAAAAAGGTTTCATTTGTTCCTTCACAAAATTATTACAAATTACCAAAACTGTGTTAAGTTTAGTATATTTGACAAATTCATAAAGTTTGCCAAATTGAATTTCGTTGTGATTTGTTTTTATTATTCTTTGATAGAAAGCGTTCGGATGAAGAAAGTTCTGAGGCTCGTCGAAGTTTGTCCAGTACACCTAAGCACGCCAGATAACCTTCAATGTAAATATCCATCATGCTTTTCTAACTTTTTGCTTTGTTTATAATTCTTTATGAAAAGAGTATGTCATAAAAGATTTTCTGAATCATTGCAATTTTGTAAGGCTAATTTTGCTTACAAATAAAAAATAACTAAAATATGTGTTGCCTTTTCTTCAATATTTGCATGTTATCTAAGTACAGAACATGCAAAGAATTGTTTCAGATTGACTGAACTTTTCTGAAAATTTTGAATAAAAGCCTCGTTAGAGAAATTCTCGCTACGAGAATGTCGAAAGAAATGTGGGAAGTAAGAGCACTAAATGATTTTTGCTGTTAGTGAGTCAGTCAACTGTTACTTGTGCAACTATTAATAAATGTTCTTCTATCGGTTTTGCGTGTTTTCTCGGCGACCAACAATTGTTTTGACTTGTTGTCAGTTGAAAACAGTGAAGAAATTACTTGGTAAGTGCGCTTATAGTTTCTTAATCAGAGTCCAAGTTTTTTTTTTAAATATGAAAGAATGTCGGAAAACATGAGCCGAAGGCGAGTGAATTTTACGGTTTCTTAACTCTAGCAAGATTCTCAAGAGTTTGGGTCAAGCCATCTAATTAATCGAAACATTTGAGAAGCATTAATCATTCTTTATTATTTTTATTACTTTCCGGTAAATATTTATTGTACAGAGAGATAAAGAGTGGTTGGATGTTATATTTGAAACTTTTCAAGTGGGAAATGCCATTGGGTACTTCGTTTGAAAATGACGTTGGAAATGACGTTTGAAGTGACGTTTGGAAATGACGTTTGAAATGACGTTTGGAAATGACGTTGGGTACTTCTTTCATGCACACGATCCAACGTGCCACGAACGACGAACGCCACAAACAAAAAGGCGAAAAAGGCTTCTTTCTTAAATCTTCACCACCTGAAATTGCTTGAAATGACTACGTCGCATCATGACGGTATCGTTGTCATCGTTACTTAGAATATCCGAAATTTGTCTCTACATGAAGTAAGCAGGCTAATCTCGAAAACTATTTACATGCACCATTAACTATTTCACTCGATTTTCTTGGTATTTTTTTTTATTAAAGTTTTTTTATTTTGGTTTAGTTGTGACGTAGAAGTGTGAGAGATTATGCGTCTTTCAAAGGTTTGTAAAAAAATTCGACAGTCGAACTTTTACAGGTTCACAATTTATAATTTATTTATTATGTACAGTACAGATGTTTCAGTCACCTTAAATGTTAAAATAATAAGCTATATTCCAACGGCATGCAACTGTTGTAGAAGGTTTCATGGTAGGTATAAATGTAAAGTAATTACTGCATCATTTTTACTATTTAGAAAATTCGATGGCTGGATCCTTTGTAAAGGCGTTATATGACTATAGTTCCATTCAAGCAACTGACCTCAACTTCAAAGCTGGCGACAAAATCAAAGTGTTAGACTATGTGGATGAGAATTGGATTAAGGGGGAACTTGGGGGAAACAAGGGACTGTTTCCCTCGAACTTTGTAGAAGTACTTTCAAATCCCTCAATCAATGACCAGGCATATTCTAATGTATCTACAATCCCCACAACAACCGTTGTTGCAAATGACACATACATCAGTGGAGAAGATGGTGTCTTAACTTTCTTTGTTGGTGATCAATTGGTTTTTTTGGAGCGTGTCGATGATTACTGGTCTTTAGGTAAACTTGCTGATGAAATTGGTTATTTTCCTTCACATTTAGTGAATGGATTGCCTTCACCTTCGACATCAACAGAAACATCAGGAAATTACCAAAATCTGCTAAATACTAGAGATAGTAAAGTCAATCAATTGACCTTGATCAAAGAATCAAATGTCTTTGCTCCATCCCTTTTAAGTCCACATGTGAGAACTCTTTTTAATTTTGAAGGCGTGACAAAATTTGAACTGAGTTTTCCTGCAGGAGAAATTATTTATATCACCAAAGACATTAATGATGAATGGTATGAGGGTAACTACAATGGCATACAGGGAATTTTTCCTAAAAATTTTGTTGAAGTTCTTGTACCATTGCCTACTGATTGTAATGAAGGGTTTGAAAAAATCAATAAGGACAACATAGAACACATGGAATCAACTAAGTATGAGGTTAGAAATCCTGAAGTGCCCTATGCTATTGCAATTTATCCTTTTGTTGGGGAGACATTATCTGATTTATCCTTCAAAAAAGGTGATATAATAACTCTTCACAATTGGGTGAGTGCTGAATGGATGCAAGGAGAATGTAATGGATTGGTTGGAATATTTCCTTCTACTTTTGTGGATGTTAAAGTAAAACTTCCACATGACTTTGAAAATGATGTTTTTTTGAATCATAATGTCTCAAATGCAGAAATTAGGAACACTGTTTTTAAGATTGGTGACCAGGCAAAAGCAATTTATAGTTATTCTACAGGCAATGAAGGGGATCTATGCTTAGATGTTGGAGACATTGTTAGGATAGAGCAGGTCATTGATGAAAATTGGGTGCTTGGAAAGAAAGATGATAATATTGGATTGTGTCCTGTAATCATCCTGGAATTAGTGCCTGCAGAATCATTTTTTAGTACATCTTCAGACGAAACTGGAGTAAGTCACATGGAAGAAAAAAGCATTTCGCTCAGTCATTTCAATGAAGAGATAACTGAAATGTTTAATGTTGACACTGAAAATGATTTCGTATTTGATGAAAAAATTAATATGAAAACCATCAAGAGAACATCCTCTCTTAATGATATAACGGTAGGTGATGATAAAAATGATTCTTCTTTCTTGTTGTCATCAGTGAAAAAATTAAAGAATTCAAAGGTAACAGATGGTTTGATAGATCATGGTGAAAGTGAAGAAAGCATCACTAAAGATGTGACATCTCCGTACAGTCAAACTCCCACAATAAATATATCACAAAGTAGCAATAGTTTGGATAGCTCAACCATGAAGAACACTTCAGCAAATTCATTTGTTTCAATCAGTTCAAAACCAACTGTCTCGCCTAAATTAGATGTTATAGAAGAACCAGGTTAGTCAATCTCTTAATCTCATGCATTTTTATGTCACTATAGTCCTGGTTGGTCAAAATCAAATGTAGTATCGAATATATATACACAAAGTTAAAATGTTGATGTTTGTCAAAAACTAAACATGTACTGATCAAATAACATTGTTGTTGCATTTTATAAGGAAAAAATTGGGTTACATTTGAAAATAAGCCAGAGACTTCAAGATTATCGAAAGTCTTACCTAAGCGACATAAACATGACAAATCACTCAACAGCAATGTTGCGATCTCATACAAGACTCTGTTGGAAAAGTCACTGGAAGATGATATATTTTCTTCACCTCCTTCAATAGATAACACTGGCTCTCCTTCAACCATTGACGTAGCTGGTGCAACATCTAATGGGGACACTCTAACTACTAAACTACTAGAGCAGGCGGAAGAATTTGAAAACACCAGTTCAAGACAAAACTCCCTCTCCTTGAACGAGATGATAAAAACAACTATGAATGGCAAACCAATACCAACCAAACGACATCAAGGATCTGCGCTGTCTTTCACCAAACAAGGTAAAGAGGCTTCTACAATATTTATTATTTGGTGGTCAAGCATGCGTTTTCATCTTCATGAAATATATGACTTAACAAAAGATATGTTTACTGAAAGATATGACTTAACAAAATATCGTCTTTGCATGTACTTCGCTAATACAAAATGAACTCTTTTTTTATAAAATCCTTCCTGCAGATTTCTTTTTCCAGATTATGCTAGATTATACTAAGCTAAGTTTTGGACTATAGCCATTAATTGTCTTAAATTTATTTTTTACACTGATGACGTAATTAGTTGCAACATTTTATGTGCCATGAAATATACCAGAATTTCTAATTACATTTGATTTTATCTTTTAAAAATCGTCAAAAAGGTTTTCATATTTTGGATGATTTGGAGGAACAAATAAAGAAACAGATGAATGAACTAGAGGTTTGGCAATGTTTTGAAAACTAACAACAAAAATAACTGCTTCTGACTTCTTTTCTATCACTCATGTTAAGTTTTTTTTATCTGGTGAAGATCACACATTACATAAATATTGTTGTGTGTTTCTTTTTTAGAAAGAAAACCAGACATTATTGAATATGAATATTGTGATTGAGCAAACAAACGATGGAACTGTTGTAAGACAGGAATTGGAGTCAAAGAGGGAGATAAGTGAAGGGAAAGTCGAACAGTTGAAAAGACAGTTGAAAATGCTGAAAGGTACGTAGCTGAAGACAGAACTTTGTGTGGTTTTCGTCGTAGGAACATATTGTGTAAAGGATGTACGTATGTTACACGAATGAAATTTTTAGACACCGTTAAAAGTACACGTCACTAAAAGTACAGGAACAAAAAATTGTAACATAAAACGATTTCTCTATATATCATGTATGTGTAAGAAAGACGTTGGTTTATATCCACTGAGATCAAATGCAATTCAACAAATTTGAAAGATATTGATATTTGTTTAGTTCTTATATCAGCCAATCACGTATAGCTTTAAATTGTTCGCCATATGTTTTATTTCATTTGGTAGATCGAAAAAATCGTTTAACAAAAAGTTTGAATGGATTCTCGACGCAAGAAGAGATCGTCTCTAAAATACAACAACTGAGCATGAGCATTGACGTTGGTTTATGTTTGTTGTTGGTCAGTTACTTATATGTACACCAAAGTATTTATGTTGTGTTGTCTTTCCATTGGACACAGGAAAATTCGGAGACAAAACAGAGTCTGTTGAAACAACTTTCTGAAAATGTCGAAAGAAGTGTTCGTGAAGAAGTTGAGGACAACATCAAGTTCTGTGAAGATTCAATCAAGAACTTGACATCTGAACTGAGCGCATTGCAAGGTTTCTTTCCAGAACTCTTTCATTCAACCAACTATTTTCATATCGTTTTAGAAGACATGAATAGTGTTAAAATACTGCCCAAATGATTCTTATCCAACATTGTTTAGATCTTAAGGATGAGTTAGAAGGAAAAGTTTCCAAAAGTGATCTGCATTCGATGGATGTTAGTCGTAGAAAAAAAGTTATTGATGAAATTTTAACAACAGAAACATCATTTAGGCATGATCTTAATCTTTGCTTGAAGTATTTCAAAGAGCAACTTATTCAATGGAAAGTATGTTTCTTTATGTTATGTTTATACAAGTTTATTTATTTAAATAGACATAGATAATTATCTTTCGTATCCAAACTTTTTGTTCTGTATGTGTTAATTCAAGATATGTGCATTCAAAAGAATGTGATGCTGAAAGAGTGAGTTCTTTTACTCTGCCACAGTCTATTGTACCATTTATCAGTAATGTAATAATTAAACTTTCGGTTTTTAATAACGTACGGGCTAATGTTTTACTAAGAAGGAATGTGCTGTTATATAAAACATGTTTGTATCCATTTGTCATACATTGTATGATGTAGGTCAATAATGTGGATTGTGCAATACTATTTGGCAACATGGATGAAGTCGCCAATTTATCAGAGAGATTGCTTAGAAAACTCGAAGTTGCTGTCAGAGATGTGAACATAATGGAACAAATGATTGGTACATATACATTTATTTCATATATTTTTTCTTTTTCAATTGTTATTCAGCTCGATGATCCCTTAAACCTAGGAACGTGTTTTGTTGGTTTTTCTCATGAAATGACTGTCATATATGGAAAATATTGCAGCACACATGACGAAGCCATTGCTTTTCTCGAAAAAGTAAATGTCCTGCATGTTAATATACATTTGAATTTAATGTTTTAAAATCTTTTATATTTTACCTTTCTTCTCCACATAGTCCTCTGATGACGAAGAAATACAAAACTATTTTAGAAAATGTTTATTGTCAATAAGGTAAACTTTAAAGTTTTGTTATTTTAAAGAACATTATAAAAAGTATACATACCACAATCATTTTAATAAAAATTCAAACTGATATACGAACGTTGGTTTGTGATTTCATTTCTTATCATTATCATGACTTTATTGTTAAAGAAATATACGTAAAATATTTTCATAAACACCTTATTTTCCAGAGTGCTTAAGCGTTTTCTTGACGAGCCGAGAAAATTGTTTAAAAGAATATAGTCTTATTTTACATCTTAATGTAATGATTTTTTTCCAGGGACCTTTCAAACTGCTGGGATCTGTCTTCTTTTCTTATTAAACCTGTTCAGAGAATTTTGAAATATCCACTTTTGTTGAACGAACTTCTTAAAGTACGTGCACAATAGTTTCTTTTGTTTCTTCAGTTTGTGGTTAGTTTTTGTCGCCTATCTAGTATTTATCTAAAATGTTTCTTTAGAATACTCCTGATCAGCATCCAGACAAGGATGGTTTAGTCAAAGCAATTGAAGCAATGTCAATTGTTGCAAATAAAGTAAACGAAGTCAAAAGAAGGAAAGAACTGGGTAGGTTTGAAGCATTAAGGTTTACTATTTATATAATCAAGAAACATTTTTGATATTTTGTTTGGTAAAATCTGTCCTAGTGCAAAAATACCAGAAGGTTGAAGAATCTGGATTAACTGGAATGTTTCAAAAATTTACTTGGCATTCTGTGGTTAAAAAGTCTTCGAGAATCAACCAAAAATCACACAATTTACTGGTCTTGTTTCACAGGTGAATGTCATTGAGAATAACATATCTTTGATAACCATGAAATTCTTCTTGTGAAATTTATTGTGAACGTAAACTCTACTCAATATATGTAGACTGTAGATGAAGCATTCAACGAAAATGAAAAATTGTTCCATCATATCGAGAAGACTGCTAAGAATTTTGTAAAGAACATTGTGCAATACCTTGACCTATTCCAGGTAGTTTTGCTTAAAGATACTTGTGCTCTTTCTATTCATTGATACCTTAAAAAACTATTGAAGTACATATTCTGGGACTCGTCTTGTACGTAGTTGATTGTATACATATTCTTGTAACTTATAAGATATATTGTGTTTTCTTTTTCAATAAAGAACTTTCACGAGAGCCATGTGCAAAGCTGTAGAAACATGATCGATTTCCTCAAGGAGAGCTATACACAAAGAAATATTCAGGAATATGACACTGCCCAGCGATACATTGCAAAAGAGCTCGTTAGCAAATTGGTATAGTATATACCATGTATATAGGTTACAGTGTTAGGTAGAAAAGACTAAGGAGTCTTATATGTTATGTCCTGTTAAATCAGTTTAATTGGTAGTGTTGGTGTTAATTTTACTAATAATTCTTCATGGAACTATCGTTTAATATTGCCTTATAACCTGTCAGGATATTTGTAAATTATGATAGTAACATACCATTGGTAAACTGTAATATCTTTTTTTTACTTAGAAAAAAATTTTAGACGAAGAAGTTCTGACACCATTGAATATTCTGCTTGATCTTTTTCAACGTCCTAATCGACTAATACAGAAACGCCATGATAAATGCTTAGATTTCGACAGTTTGTCTCGCAAGATTGAGAAAATTAAAGATCCTGAAAAACGCAAACAGGTACAGAACATTTGTACACTTTAGTTTTAGTGAAAAGTTTCACCTTGCACTATTGTGAATTTGTGAATAAACATAAATAAACATAAATGAGATAAATAAATTGGGCGAATTTTACTGGGAAGTGTTCCCCCTTTGTTGTAGTTTAAAAGTATATTTCAAACATAGTTAGTACATTTTAAAACATTGTGAGACATAGTTAAATAACAATGCAGCTGTATATTTAATGTTTGACTTCAGAAATATGTTTTACGTGTATCATGTATCTTTGTTCTCTTTAGACAAAAGATGAAATGGATTTGGCGAAGAAAAATTACGAAGCTTTAAATACCCAGCTTCTTGACGAGCTGCCATTGTTGAATAAAAAGTCCTTGAAGTTTCTACAAACATGTATCACAAATTTTGCTTGTGTTCACAAGAACTTTTATCGTGAAGCATTGGATCAGTTTAGTCCTTCAGTTCAGGCATGTACATATTTAGAGAGAAAATTGGGAGATTTGTGTTTCAAAAGTTCAATATCACATATTGCGTTGCATTTAATATGTAATAGCATTTTATTGTTCCTTTAGCTTTCACTTCTAAATTCTGGCGATAAAAATATCATCAGGACCTTTTACTCTAATAGCAACGTTGACTCACATGCTGTATTTGATATTGCTTTTACACCTAAGAAATCTCTTTCCATCAGCAGACCTCTTCAGTACAGCCCCAGTCAGGTGAGCTAATCATGGCCAGTGTTTATTCTAGTGAACTCTGTCAATGAGCAATTGTTGGGTGATCTATGTTTGTAAAACTGATGTAAAAACTATGTCTCTCTCTTATTGTACATTGAGTATAGAAGTCACTAAATTCAAAGGAAGCCGTTAATGGTGGAACTGTAAATTCACGGAAATTGAGCAGTGATCTTGGTCGTGTCCGAAGGAACAGTCTTTCTTTGTCAACCAGTGGTCCTGGCTTGGTGAGGTCAAAACCGTTTGGCGCGGCAGATAGTCGTTTAGTGATGAAAAATGCTGTAAAGGTATGTAAGATACTAAAGGAAGAGTGCCGTCTCGACCAACGTTTAGGCCCAAAGCCACTGCAACATAATGACACCCAGTCTTCACTGCAACATAATGACACCCAGTCTTCACTGCAACATAATGACACCCAGTTTCACTGCAACATAATGACACCCAGTCTTCACTGCAACATAATGACACCCAGTCTTCACTGCAACATAATGACACCCAGTCTTCACTGCAACATAATGACACCCAGTCTTCACTGCAACATAATGACACCCAGTCTTCACTGCAACATAATGACACCCAGTCTTCACTGCAACATAATGACACCCAGTCTTCACTGCAACATAATGACACCCAGTCTTCACTGCAACATAATGACACCCAGTCTTCACTGCAACATAATGACACCCAGTCTTCACTGCAACATAATGACACCCAGTCTTCACTGCAACATAATGACACCCAGTCTTCACTGCAACATAATGACACCCAGTCTTCACTGCAACATAATGACACCCAGTCTTCACTGCAACATAATGACACCCAGTCTTCACTGCAACATAATGACACCCAGTCTTCACTGCAACATAATGACACCCAGTCTTCACTGCAACATAATGACACCCAGTCTTCACTGCAACATAATGACACCCAGTCTTCACTGCAACATAATGACACCCAGTCTTCACTGCAACATAATGACACCCAGTCTTCACTGCAACATAATGACACCCAGTCTTCACTGCAACATAATGACACCCAGTCTTCACTGCAACATAATGACACCCAGTCTTCACTGCAACATAATGACACCCAGTCTTCACTGCAACATAATGACACTTCACTGCAACATAATGACACCCAGTCTTCACTGCAACATAATGACACCCAGTCTTCACTGCAACATAATGACACCCAGTCTTCACTGCAACATAATGACACCCAGTCTTCACTGCAACATAATGACACCCAGTCTTCACTGCAACATAATGACACCCAGTCTTCACTGCAACATAATGACACCCAGTCTTCACGGACATTTGAAACCTTTCGTATGCATGCAATTAGGTTGGCGTTTAGCAGATGCTACACAAATAAATAAAACTAAAACTACCGTTTCTTTTGCAGTTTGAGTTATAAAGTTTCTATGATGCTTGAAAAAGATCTGAAAGAATTTAATTTTTTGATTAACCACACTGCTTTTAGCATAAGTAGGTAGCATAAAAGATTAACAGAGAAAGAAAAAGGTCTTTAACTTTTAATAGAGTGAGATGTCAAATACTTATATTGTGAAGTTTTCCTTCTTGGCTGAAGCACCGGCAGAGCTCAGTGTTGAGAAAGATAATGTTGTGGAAGTTCTTCAGTACCACGATGCTTCTGGTCAGAAAGAATGGTGGAAATGCAAATATAATGGTAGGACTGGTTTTGTACCCTCAAGTTTTCTTGCACCATTATGATTTTGTATTAGTTAATGATCACAACATGTTATTCAAAGTTAATGATAGTAGTACAGGCTTTGTGAAGACCTTGTACTATCTTAAAAAAGTTAAGGTGTAGAGATACAATTATCTCCTGGCAGGAGCTTTAGTTCTGTCACAAAACAGGCTAAGGTCAGCACATAGTTTTTTATACCAATCATTTAATATGGTGTTTGTGGGAATGTTTATACACACTTGTAATCCTTAACATAGAAAAAATATTTACTGTTTTTTTAAGATAAAATTGGAAATGTGTAAAGTAAGCAATATTTTAATATTTTTTAGTTTTAATTTTTTATGTAGTTCATATTGCAACAGAATCAGTGTAATAATGAAAAAATGAAATAACAAAGTCTGGTGTTTGCAAACAAAAAGTTTTTTTATATAGTATATCAGTGTACTAATAATGGTATTATAAAGTCTTTCTTTATGGATTCAATAAAAATAATTATAGATTAACTGTTTAAAAAGTTATCCATTTCTTGTTTGAGCCTGATATGAAGAGCCTTTCTAAAAGCTTTTGTTAATCCTAGCTGATTTCCAAATGTTTCAGCTAGATCCTCTGCATTATCATCCTGAAGAAATAAAAACATGAATGGTAATTCATCATTATGTAGCACTTTCTTTTTGACCTGTCTATTTTTTCAATTTTATTTTGATTAATTGGTCTGATGTTATACATCTACAATATTCCTACTATATACCTCTTTCACAAGTATCGATTGTACTTCACCCTCTTCATTCTCATATTCAAATTTGAAAAGTACTCTGGACTCTACTCTATTGTGAGTCGAGTTTCTCCTTGGATTTGTTTGTTCTCTTTGTAAAGCTGGTGGTGCTTTTGAGCTAGTTTCACCTGCAGCAATATATAAGACATCCAAAATAATTTTTACAATATGATTTTGTATTAAATCATTATAAAAAATTATATATAAATATACTCGCTGAGCGCCTTTTTGCGTGTGGCGGCACATATAATTGTTTTGCTACTCGCTTTGATTTTGCTTTTGATTCTTCAGTTTTTCCCGAGATCTTTTCACACCAATTTCTAGATGTTCATCTTTCATTTGTTGGTCTTCAGGTCGAGTTAATTTTTTCCCTTCGGTTAAGTATTTCTGTTCCTTATCGTATTCGTCTCGAAGAACTTGGTTCTTGATTATCGATTGCATGAAACCGTGGGATTTGTCAATCTTTCGAGGTCTTTCCATCATAATGAAATTAGGAAAAACTGAAATACTGCTACCACTGCTGCTTCTCCATTGTCTTTGACAACAATTAGTGGCGTCTTTCCCGTATACTTCTCGGATTACGATGGTCTGCCGACTTTCGCCAGTAATTTTGCCATTTAAATGATTTGCATTGTAATATTTGAAACGCACACTTTGATATCCAGAAGTTGTTTTGTTATGAAAAGATCAAGAAAATAAACTGTTTTTATATAAAATGCTTTCACTCTCAAACTAAACGAAATTTTTAAAATAGTTTTGTTACATTGTTTGGTTTGTTATGTTTACATGGCCTGCATTTTGGGTGTGGTGCATAATCAGGTGTTTCCCTCGCTTTTTTTACTAGCGGGTCGTTCAAAAACACTTCCTAGTTGTCTTTTCAACGAATTGCGATACATGCGATAACGTAAAATTTTCTAATACGTGAAAACATGTTGTTTTAAACGTGCACGAAGACACTGGAAGACTGAGTTTGTTTTTTATAATGATATTTTGATCAATGGCTGGTAGAGGAGGCCGGGGAGCACAACTTTTAGAGGTAAGGATTTTGTAAAACAGAAATTAGCCACTGCCGCCATTACAAGGCTACTTGCGCCTTACGTTTTTATCGTGATGGGAAATTTTCGTGTTTTCTTGACGTATTCGTGCAAATGTTAACGCAAAGTTAATTTTAGGTGATTCTATTATCGTTTTTTCATTTTTTCCGTGTGTGTGGGGGAAAAGTCCTTCAAAAATTTTCTTTATATTGATACGGGATGGCACGTGTGAAGGCGCCATTATAACTAAAATAGCGTTTGTATGAAAGGCGACATGGTGCCCAAAGGTTAATTGCGTTTTGAATTTGATTTTTTTACGGTCTGATAGTTTCTTTTCGTCATTGAAATATTTTTTTTCAAATTAACATTTCTCTGCGGTATTCAAACAAGAAAAATGTAAACAATAGACGAATGTTATGTTGTGTCTGCCATCCCGCCTCTGCATGCTTGACCACCAAACTAATACCTCTACCGTATCCTAAATTTATGATTTTGAAAATGTTTTTACACAATTCCATCTAAAATTTCTTCTTTTTTTGTTGACTGGAAGATGAAAAATCTTGCTTTTTATTTTCAGGCATTACAAATACCTGTACGAAAACCGCAAAATGTCGGACAACCTCCTCCATCTCAGGTGAAAGAATTTATATTATCAGATATCAACATTTTCATGAGCATTTTGTGAAGAGTGTTGCAGTATTGGGTCTATCAAATTGGAAAACATAGCAACCAATATTATGCGCTCCTCATTCAGAAATATTGTCTATTAAATTATTTTAATAATAGCAAATGGTAAGTTCAGTATTTTGCTTAAGCAGTACATCAATCAGCAAATACATACTGCTACTACTAAAAGAGTTAGTTAGGAATTAAAAAACATAAATAATAGTTTCTTTATGTAACTTCAATTAAATAATAATGTAAAAATAATCACCTTTAAGCAACAATTATTATCACATACGAATTTGAATGTGTTACTGATGAATAGATTTCAATATTTTAGTGCCAATATAATGGCAATATTTATGTAGCAATGCAGTAGAACCTGTGTTAGGCCATCCTTATATATAGCTATATCCTGCCCTTATTGACTGCATGATCTGGTTTTAGAGTGGCTTTAATCAGCAGTTAACTGGTTCTCCCCCAACTTGCAAATGGGCAGCAGCAGCATTATGGACATCAAGATGCATCACAGCAATCCTATGGACAGCAATATCAGTCATTAAGAACAGGGAACCCAGGGATGGGCCCTTCTGGTATGAGACCACAGCTATCTGGAATGAGATATCCACAGCCTGGAATGAGACCTCAACAACCTGGAATGCGACTGCAACAACCTGGAATGCAACCTCCAAAACTTGGAATGAAACCTCATCAACCTGGAATGAGAGCTCAACAACCTGGAATGAGACCTCAACAACTTGGAATGCGACCTCAACAAACTGAAATGCAACCTCCACAGCAGGGAATGAGATCTCAACAACCTGGGATGCGATCTTCACAGCCTGCAGTCAGATCTCAGCAATCTGGAATGGTACGTTCGCAGCAGGGAATGAGACCTCAGCAACCTGGAGTGGGACCTGCACAATCTAGAGTCATACCTCATCCACATGAAATAAGACCTCCACAGTCTGGAATGAGACCTCAACAACATGTCTCAGGTCCTCGGCAATCAGGGGTGAGACCTGGACAGTTTGGCATGGGACAAATACAATATCAAAGTAGATTGCAGTCTCAACAGAGATTACCTCAGCAGCAACAACAACAATTTCAAAGTCATGGTCCTACCCAACAGCAATGTCCAACAATGCCTTTACAAGGACAGCAAGGTAGACCTGTCTTACAAAGAGGGCAAATGCAACCTCAAGCAAGAATGCAACCTCAAGCAAGAATGCAACCTCAACCAGGTCCTTCTAGATTTGTCCAGCAAGGACAATTTGATCCCAGAGGTGGTCAGTTTATAGCACAGTTCCAACCAAGAGGTCAACAGTCTCCACCTATGATGAGTCATGAAATGCAATCGGGTGGTTCAAGTATGGGACAGAATTCTATGGTTGGTAGTACTCTACCTCAAGCACAACATCTTGGACAACAAGCACAGTTTCTTGGGCAAGATTCCTCCCAACAAAAACAGCTGCGACAACAACAATCTTTTGGAAGAGGTAGGTTTAGAAATTTGTGTACAAAATTCTTAAGTTTAGTATTAAAAGCCTCAAATTTTCCTACATAGGTCGATCAAAATGTATGCCATGTATAAAACTAAATAGTTGTTTGTTTTTTAAGATAAAAACACCACAGTTGTTGAATAAGTGGTATAATGGCTACTTTTTATATTTATTTTCATCATTTTGTTGCAAGCTAACACTCTGTGTCAGTAGCCTTAAATGGTGATGATCTGGTTCAATTTTTATGCTTGCTAAATCACAGACACAACAAGCATTGAGCTGACATCAATGGTACCAGCTCATCTCTTAACTTGTGCTACAATGTTTAAAGACATTGTCGAATGTCTAAATGGCATTATAAAAACTTATGGTAATAACAACAGAGTTTTTAGGACATTGATACATTCACGAGATTATAAGTACATATGAATATACTTGATTTTGTCTTTTTATGTTTTCTTGACAATTTTTGATCAGTGATAATAAGATGTTATTTTTACATGTCAAGGAGCCATTTTGTAATGCAATCATTGCAACCCTATGATGACAATGCTTGCATTGCAAACCAATTAACTTTTACATGTTTTAACCCTGCAGGACAGTCACTTCATTTGCTACAGCAAGCCACCAACCCACAACAGTCGCCTTATCAATCTTTGTCACAACAACAACAAGAAGCACCTCCTTTTCAAGAACCACAACAGTTTTTTACCGGTCATATGCCATCACAAAAAACTCCACAACCTGAGGTTTGGATTTACACATTATAAATGTAAATGTAAATTTACTGTAAAGATTTTTGAAAAAGACTGTATGAAAGTAACTTTCTTTAATGTGGGTATTAGTTTGTGCAAGCATTTTTGTAGTTAGAGGCTGTTACTGTTTAGGGTAGGTTTGTACTTTTTAGAGTTTTAACTTGTAGTGAATCTTTTCTTTTATATTTTTCAACCAGGCCTTAAAACAATGTTTTCAATATTGCTTGCTAGCCATTGTTTCATGCTACTTTGTGTTATCTTTAAGCTGCTTTGTGTTATCTTTAAGCATGGTGTTTCACCTCCCACTCAAGAGTTGCAAAGTATGTCTATAAAGGCGCCAAACACGTAAGATCTTGAATAAACATACTTTTTTTTCTTTTTTATACATTTTATCTATAGAGTAAATGGATTTTATGTACTTTCAATGTCTCAGAATCTTAAATCATATTAGGTGCATGTGCAGCAACTGTTTTTTTATTGTACATTGTTGTGTTGAGCAAAACAAATAGTGCTTCATATTGAGTACATTTTGTGGTTGTATTGATTTTTATCACACCATTATTTATGAAGATTTGATAAATCATTACATTAAATTAGTTCCACTGGCAAATGATCTTTTTTCTAGCCAAACTGGAGAGAAAGGTTCTGCTGGTCAACCGTATGTATTTTTAAAATCAATTTATTTTATGATAGACCATCAAGTGCTGTTTGTACAGGATACTATTTCTTATCTTTCAGGGTTTCTCTTGCTGTAAATTATGTCCCCATACGATGTCGTACTGAAGGTGTTTTTCAATATTGTGTTTCATTCAGGTAGTGCAAGCTTTTTTAACATTGCAATTTCCGTGTTTGTTTGTTTAACTTAAGGTTATCAATTAATTTTTTCATTTTCCTTCCACAGTGTGCATTTTTCTTTTATAAATGACAATTTGTTCATTTTACAGTCCTGAGGTGGACAGCAGAGGTATGAGGTTTAGACTTCTCTACGAACATGCTGAATTCCTTGGGGAAGCAAGAGGATTTGATGGAATAATACTCTTTTTACCCTATCAGTTTCCGCAACAGGTATTTTGAAGCACAAGTTACCAATTCGTAACACAATTTTGCCTGCATTTATTGTTTACTTTACATATGTGACCTTTTCTTCTGTGCTTTAGCCAACAATATTGAAATCTGTTCGACCAACTGATGGAGCAGAGATCACAATTTTTATTCAATTGACAAAATTTGTTCGACTTGATGACTCTGTCCAATTTTACAACATAATTTTTAAGAAGTACGTATGTGTGGTGCACACCAAGATGATTAATTCTTACAATTTTCAGAATATTGTAATTCTAAAACGTAAATTTTGAGCTAAGCCTTAAGGAAATAATATTTACTTTACTGTGGCTAGAGTGATTTCAATATATATTTTTATTTTACAACTTCTCTATCGTATTTTGTTTAATAAAAGTTATATTTTATGATTCATTTCATACTAAACATTTAATGTAGAATCTGTGCTTATTCTGTTCAGGGTAATGCGTGCTTTGCAGATGCAGCAAGTTGGAAGATACTATTATGATCCCACAAGACCATCATTGCTCCCTCAACATAAATTAGAGTTATGGCCTGGCTACATAACTGCTATACAACATTATGAAGGTAGCTACCAAGATAACTTTACAGTTTTCACATTCTGCACCCTTATCTACTTTGACGTTAAATTGTGAAGAACTGATTACCTTTGACTGTGAGATTTACCTCAATTTGCAATGGACCGTACGGCGTGCATAAATTTGACGTTTGTTATAGTTTCAAAACTTGACGTTACTAACGGCTAACTTGACGTTATTATACATCTATCTGATTGTTTCTAAGGCGTAACCCTGAAATAACATTGGTTAATAACAAAGTGTTGCTCTCCGAGTCTACGGCAAAGACACACTTTGTATCACTTATATCCAACGATAGAGTTCAACGTTTTCAAACGTCTTTCCATATTTGCCAAATTTATACATTTCACGGTTGTTTATTAAATAAAAACAACATTTGCCATAACTTAACAAGTATTCCTTAGCAACAATGAGTTAGCCGTTAGTAACGTTAAGTTTTGAAACTATAACAAACGTTAAATTTATGCACGCCGTACGGTCAATTACAAATGGCTGTGGTCAGCACACCCTGGTTAAAAAACCTTTCATAATGAATTTTAAAGAACTTCTTTTCAAAGTTAAAATGCAGAAATATTTAAGGACACTAAAAAGTTTGTTAGTAATAACCGTCTACATGACTAAATAATAAATAAGAGATTTCACTTTTAGTGGTGATTTATATGGTCTTATGAATATTGAATTTTAGGTGGTCTGATGCTGCTCGCCGACGTCTCCCATCGTTTGTTGAGAACTGATAATGCCTTTGAGTTTATGTATGTTGTATGTCTTTATCTTACGCTGGACCTGGTCGCCGTCTTTTTTTCCCGTCTAAATAATCTTGTCTTCCATGTTTTTAGGAACGAGATTTATGCGTCTCAAAAAAATAATTTTCAGGAAGCTGCAACCAAAGCCCTGGTTGGCAGTATCGTCCTTACAAGGTTTGAGTCCTTTTTTTTATTGAACGCATCGACTTTTGAGCTTAAACCTTTTCACTGTTTGCTTCATACTTGAAATGATGTCTTGTGACAACGTTTTCGTTGTTTTAGTAATAATCTTTTTTGAAAGTACTAATTCTTGATACATAACAACTTTTCCATTGTTAAGGTACAACAATAACACATACAGAATTGATGATATTGAATGGGATAAAAATCCGTTGTCTACTTTCACTTTTCGAAATGGAGAAGAGATCAGTTATGTTGATTATTACAAGTAAGTCCTTAAAATTTTGCGTTTCATTTAACATATACAAGGATATAATTCAACGTAAAATCAATACACGTTTTCCCCTATTCTCTATGTTCTCTGTGAGCTTGGCAGACTGCGGTTTGAAATGTATTCATTTTAGCAAAATACTAGGTTCATTTAAGCCAATGTACGCCGGTAATCAATTCTATGAAAAAATCTTCTTTATGCATGAAATTTTTACTGACTCTTTCAATCCTGCAAAATTATCTTGGTTCTTCCAGATATTGAAGTAAATATTGGTCTTGTTTGTGAAAGAAAGAAACATTTTTTTATTTTTATATTTATTTCAGGCGAACATACAATAGGGAGATTGTTAACCATTTCCAACCTTTGCTTTTGCACCGACCTAAAGTGAGGAAAGACTCGAATAAGCCTGGAAAGGTAACATGAATTTTTGTCCATTTTTTTTATTTGTAGCCGGTGTGAAGTTTTGGTAAACTATTCATACATTTGAAGAACTTTTATTTTGTCTAAATTTTCAATAAACGAGCAATTGACCTTGAAAATTACTATCGTTTAGTATGTCGACATGAGCACTAATATTCAGGATTGCACTAACCTGAACATTGTACATATAAAAGACATGTAGCGATACTCACTTTATCACTTCTCTGTTGTTGATAGAGACCACCATTAGATACTGTGATGTTGGTTCCTGAACTTTGTTATCTCACAGGTCTTACCGATACAATGAGAAGTGATTTTAGAGTTATGAAGGTAAATTTCATAATTGAGACACCCCGTACATGGTAGGTGTGTTTTTACAAAAAAAATGTTTTCGTATACCATAGGATATAGCTGTTCATACTCGTATAACACCAATGCAACGTGATGAAGCAATGAGAAAATTTATCTCAAATGTGGAATCTACACCAGAGGTGATTGCTTTTATATTATTATCTGTGAAAGTTATCATGTTGAATAGCGTTTACACATCTTGAAAATGATTGTTTACGTATATGTCTTGTGCGTATTATTTCAGGCAAAAAAGTTTCTATCTATTTGGGGACTGGAACTAGATCGTGGACTCCTCAGGGTGAGTTGAAATCGGGTTTTTGTTTATTTGTTATTCCAATTTGATTATTCTATGTTAATTACAATATTGTATATGTTTGTTATTTTTCAATGAATTGCTTTGTTTATAATCTTGTGAGGAAGGTACATGAATGAAAAGAATGTCGTTGTGTTTTAGACCGAAGGTCGACTGCTTCCATCAGAAAAAATCAAATTTGGTGCAACGTCTATCGTATCAAATCAACAAGCAGATTGGGGTCGAGAGGCGGTCAAAGAAAACGTAATAACAGCGGTATGTACGACATTAACAGAGCTTGGATTTTGAAAAATATTAATTTTTTTGTCTATATTAATTTCTTTTTCATATTGATTGTTATTTAGGTTGCCCTAAACTCGTGGATGTGTGTGGTGACAAAGAGGGATCAAAGTAAAGCCATGGAATTCGTGCAGATGATGAGAAACGTCACACCGGCTATGGGTATTAGGGTGAGTAACAATTTGTTTACATGCCATGGCGAATATTTGAAAAATTAGTTAGTTGTCAGCTCGCAGTTTAATGTATGACAATTTTCCACAGCCTAATTTTTTAATTTTCAAATTTAGCCACTTATGCTATTTTATTGTGTTTTGTGTTTTATTTTAATTTTTATGTAGTAAAATGTTTGTTTTTTAACTCCAGGTATCAGATCCAATTGTCTTAGAAGCGCGTGATGATCGAACGGAGACATATCTACGGACGATCCGTGAAAATTTGAATCCTAGTGTTCAAATGGTTGTAGTGATCTTTCCCACATCACGTGATGATCGTTACGCAGCCGTCAAGAAACTTTGTTGTGTGGAAAGTCCTGTACCATCACAGGTAATACATACCAAATTTCTTTTGTGCTGCTACCAATAATTGTCGTTTGTTTGATTTGTGTTTACGAGAATAATTTTGTGAAATATTTTGTCTCAGGTCATCAATGCTCGAACCATCTCGCAAAAAAACAAGTTGAGAAGTGTGACGCAGAAAATTGCTCTTCAAATTAACTGTAAACTAGGCGGTGAACTGTGGGCATTAGATATTCCTTTGGTAAGTACTCAAACTTTAAATCAACTGTAATTTTTTTGGGAGGGGGGAGGTGTTGACTCCAGGCTTTTGATATTCCTTCGATGAGTGAAGAGGTTTTGAAGGATATTGTCAGTTGAGATGTTAATGGATATTTCCACATAATGTTGTTATTTCTATTATGTAAATGTGTTGTGTTGTCAGTGGAAGAATTATAGATATTACAAATAGTAGTGTGCTATTACTCATTAATTTTTCATGTTTCAGAAAAGTTTGATGGTAGTTGGAATCGATATTTATCATGACGCTAGTCATGGTGGCCGCTCTGTTGGTGGTTTTGTTGCCAGTACCAATCGTTCATTGACTCGATGGTATTCTCGTGTTTGCTTTCAAAGTCCCGGACAAGAGCTTGTTGATGGATTAAAAATGTGCTTCACCGCTGCATTGAGGAAGTTCCACGAGGTAAATTGATGAAAGTCTTTTTTCAATTCAGTTGTGTAAAAGTAATTTGTAAACTGAAGATGTTATACTTTGCGCTTTATTTTATTGTCGAATCTGATTTTCTCGGTTATAATGATAGTACAGGAGAAAATTTATACTGAATGAACTTTAATTTTTAGATCAATCACACACTCCCGGAGAAGATCATCGTGTTTCGTGACGGTGTTGGAGATGGTCAATTGAACACTGTTGGTAGTTACGAGGTAACACAGATGTCTGAATGTTTTGCCTTGTTTGGTGCCACTTACCAACCGCAGTTGGCCGTTGTTGTTGTTCACAAACGCATCAATACAAGAATATTCTCCGTAGAGGTAAATGATGTGCACGTAAAATTTCTTTAAAATTTCAACTGTTTGGTCTTCATAGTACGAGGATCTGTTTAAGAATCACTTATTCTAAAGTAAATTTCACATTCAATAATTTTATTGGCTTATAATGTTTAATATAGTCGCATGGATCTCATCAAATGCTTGAAAATCCAAATCCCGGCACTGTTCTTGATCACACGATCACGCGAAAGGACTGGTAAGGAAAAGCATCTTTTCTTCCAGTTTTCTTTTATGGCGGTATATGTGTGTTTGGTTTAAGAACTATGTGTGATTTCTTTAAAGGTATGATTTCTTCTTGATCAGTCAACATGTTCGTCAAGGAACGGTTACACCAACGCATTACGTTGTTGTTCATAATTCCTCGTCATTGAAACCTGATCACATGCAAAGGTACGTGTTGTTTCGACTTGTTTATATGAATAGAAATTAAAGTCAATCCACCTTTCCGACGGTAGACACACGTGTCAAAAATACGAAATCAAATTACAAAATTCGGACAATCGAATGGTCGGACACAGTATTGTTTATGTGGAATAGTGGCAATAAAATGGTTAGGAGATAATAAATTGGACGGCTGTCTCTATGTCTCTTTGAATCCGAAAAGTGTACTGTTTAATCGCAAAATTACTCGAGAAGTGAAGTGCCTAGATTGAATCATGAAAATATTGTAAGGTAACAAGAAATGTACTATCTAAAATGAATTAAAATTTTATGACATAAGGGTTCAATTTAGACGATACAAATGGTTTTGCTTATAAAATGTTATCTTTTTGTAAAAACTATTATTAATAAAGTATATGATCCCGTTTTTCCATGAAGCCCATGGATGCTTTTGTTCGTGATGAGAGAGTCATATTGTGTAAGATTACATTGTAAAAGATAGCAACTAAAAAACGTATAAACATGTTTAGAGTTGATCAAAAAGGCAGAAGTTGCTTGAACCTTTGCAGTATCCTTGGATGTTCTAGTTTCTTTTATGAGATAAAGAAAAAGATAAAATTCAAAAGCAAAAAAACCCCGTTTTCGGTGCATGCTTCCCGATACCTTCTTAAGCGCAAGGCACTAGAACGTCGCATGTTAACGTTTCGGTAGGAGATTTCGGCCCCTCCACGCTATCCTACTTGGGAGATGCAATAGCAAGCTTCCGCCCATCAGACCCCGATGGCCTGCGATAGGCTTTGCTCGGGGTACGCAGGGAGAGTGCGGTCGCCACCGAAGTGTGGGCCCCTAAGCCACTGCATACTATATCGCACCCAGCTTCCACTGCTAGTTGACATCTACTATATCTAATATTGGCTTTATATATATATACAAAAATTCAAAGGCTTACGAAAGTTGTGGTATTATTATAGTCACTACTGCGCATGCTCAGATGATTTCTTTGATAATTTGCGACTAAGCGAGCTCATTGCCACTAATGTAATGCAAGTACATATAGTCGGTCGTTGTCATTACTATGAACAATTAGTCGAGTGGACTGCGCATGCTCGAGCGCATGCGCAGATGATTTCTCTATTAAATTGTTACTAAGCACTCTATTTACTTCAAAATCGGTGCCAGTAGATGCAGCTGGTCGTTGCCATGACCGTGAACTTAGACAGCTGGTAAAATTGACTGCTCATGCTCAAGCAGACTGCGCATGCGCGGATGATTTACATGAGAATTTGTGACTGAGCGAGCTAATTACTCTATAATTGATACCAGTGCATACAGTTGGTCGTTGCCATGACCAGGAACTTGGAGCGTTGGTGGAGTTGACTACGCATGCTCAGATTAATTCTCAATTAATTTGTGACAAAGCGAGCTCTGAAACTGGTGCTTGTAGACGCGTTGAGCAAATTTTCAATCATATATTTTTGGCATGCTCTTTGTCTTAAGATTGTTTCGACAAATGCTTATGAAACTCATCAACACTTTTTTACGCCACTCGTAATATTCGTGACAACGTTAGAAATGTTTTTATTTTTCTCTATAACTTTCTATCTGCATATAGCATGTCATATCCAAGCTTTCCTCTGATATGACGGAAAATGTTTTTTTTCACTCTTACACCTTCTGTCTTTATAAATAGTCGCTCTGGATTTCTGAAATAATATTTAGAAATGCCCCAAGAGCATCTTTCTATTTTATTGCCACTATTCTACATATACAATACTATGTCCGACCATTTGCTTGTCCGAATTTTTAAATTTGATCTCGTATTTTTAACACGCGTGTTTACCGTCGGAAAGGTGGATCACGGTTATTCTGTGATAAGAATTTCGCGTGAAGGATGAAAAATATTTCTTCAATTTTTATTCTCTCTGAATTTAACTCTGGAGACATGACAATATTTTATTTTTATTACTGAAAGAACCGTTTGTATGTATATACGAGGTTAAATCATTCTGTGCTGCATCAATGAGACAAAATTCTTTTTTTTAAATTTCCTTTTCAGACTTTCGTACAAATTGTCCCATCTTTATTACAATTGGCCAGGAACGGTTCGAGTACCAGCGCCCTGTCAGGTATGTTTACTATTAGCAGTTCCTAGTATAATTAATATTTGTATTGTTCACAAGTTGAAATCCCGTAAATTAACTTGTTTATCCCATAGTATGCTCATAAGATTGCCTATCTTGTTGGTACTTCGATCCACAAGGATCCTGCATTAGCCCTCAGTGATCGTCTCTTCTATTTGTGATTGGATCATTGTGTGTTGAGGAAGGTGGATTGTAAAACTTTCGTAAAATGCTGGGAATTAGTCGTTTTGGATTTGGACTTGTCAGTTCTATTGAGAGGAAGGAGAAAAACGTCTGCTACTGAAAAACTGAATTGTTGTGAAATGGAATGAACGATTTTTTTATACTGCGTTATGTTATTAAGACTATTGATAAATGCAATATTGACACTGCGCTCCATGTTTGATTGCTGTCGGAAAACATGACTGAACACAACAGATATTTTTTAACGCTCACTTGTTGGGATTTTTATGCCAAGTTTTGTTTCGACGTTTTGCATTATCTATATGCGTCTATGTCATAATGAACAAAGTCACAAAAGAGCCTGCTCTTTTTTTTCTTTTTTTGAAACATTAAAAAATGTATGTATTTTATGCATCACGCACAACTGTATGTACGACATTGTGAATGAAAAATTATTTTTTGCGTTAGACTGTTTATACCTGGGTCTTTTGTTTTTGTTGTGTGTTTTTTTTTCTCGGTTTTCTACATTCCTTTGTCAAATAGGTTTAGAAATCTTGAAATGTGTCAAATTTATTAGCAACTTCCTGGTAAGTTTTGGCAAAAAGTGCTCACATTCTTAGTTAAAGTCGATGGTTAGTTTAATCCACAAATTTTTCCTAGACTATGTTACAAGTAATTTACCCTTTAAATTTTGATAATATCACCCATAACATACAAAACCTCGATGTACAATAAAATGTTTTTCGTCTAACCGTGTGCTAATATATTTTGACTTGTTTGCAGAATCTTCAAAATGCATATTGAACTGTGAAATGAAAGGTGGCTATGGAATGCATTTTATCGGTCTGGGGTGCAAGTTTTTTTTTAACACTTAACAATTGTCTGGCGTCTCCCCGCTTATCACCTAACGTTATATTCATCTGTATTTGTTAAGATATGGATCACATGCCCTTAAAATTGTGTGTATGTTTACCATATAAAAACATTCAAAATTTAGGAGCTCTTATTTCGAAACAAAGCATCTGTTTAAATTCTTACGATGACTTAAAAGATTCTCCTAAACATAATAATACGATCGCGCCAATTTTGTTTCTAATATTGCTTTTGCTATCACTGTTGTAATTCTGCACATTTACAGACAGACTTGTTTTGTGATACCATCTGGCAAACCGTTCTTCAGTTTGCTTTTTCAGGTAATATTCTCTCTTCAATACATGATTTACATCAACGTGTTCTTTCTTAGCTTATGTATATTCAGACTACGCGGTTGTTGAGTTGTTGAACTATGCTGTAAATCTTGCGTTATTGAATAATTTGGCTTGACTCGTTACCTATTAGGTGTCTGTTAAATACTGCAAATATCTGGAAAGTATAAGTAGTAATTGTCTTGTAATAATTTTATTTTTGTAATTTCATTTCGTTCATCGTTCTCATGATGTCTTATTTTCCAGCTATTTTGAACGCTTGTGTTAAATATATCAGACCATTGAAGAAGGAATGTAAAGAGGAAATATCAAGTATTTGCCAGGTAAGTCGTCCTTGTATGGAAAAAAATGATATTAACAAGACTGATCACGTGGTCTTACGTCACTCATGAGAATGATTGTGTCATTGCATTTTTCATTTCGACGTGATTTAGCTACTTCTCATCAGTGTATACAGCCAATGCTAGTAAATGCATATTTATGAAAAATTATTAACTTTGTAAAATTCAAGGATTATTTTAACTTATTTCATATGCTTAACGCTAATACCTAATACACTTTAACATTAGCAAAATGTATGATGTAATCGTGGGACGTTGATCGTATGTAAAAGCGTAAGCAAGTTATTAATTTCGCTAAAACAGTGGACGAAAATTAGCTATACCGGCATTAAACTTTTGATGATATTGCAATGTGGGCAAGTAGCGCATGATTTTTGTTAACATGGCACATTATCAACACAGTTTATTTTTTTTTAAACCTTACCGGCGTTTATTATTGCTTTATATTGAGTGATATGCTGCATATGGGTTGATATATTTAAGTAACGGAAATCTTTGTGAAGCATTTTTCATAACTTGCTTGGACTAAAAATGTGTGGGATGTTTTTACTCACGCGTGAAGCCTTGACGAGGATGATATTATTTTCATAGCTGCATAGCAACATGACAAACATAAATATACATAAATATAATCTTTTAAATGTTTATCTTTTTCGGCATACTAATGACACCTTCAATGCAAAGTATTTTTATTATTATAAATGGAAAAAGATGACTCCTATTCATGTTTCAGATTACATATATGAAAGGAGAGTAGTCGATGATTTTATAATTGGCAGCGCTATAATATGAATATCAGATGTTTTGTGATCACCATTATTTCGTATAGAATGTCTGTAATACGATCGTTTTACATCCGGTTCACTCAAAGACGTCAGTTGAAAAAAACTTCTTAAAATTGTATTCCATTTGTGACCTTGCACGTTCATTTGAAAAGAAGTGTGTGGGATGTGTCATATTGTTTTATATTACCATTAAGAATCTATTTCTTCATCTTATGTCATCTTATGTATGAGTAGGAAACCATGATCATGTTTTTATATCGAGATTAGTTGTATACTCATGTCATTCTTAAATCTTTGAAAAGTGCTGTGCTGTATAAAGTGGTGACAACACCCACACGAAATGAGTCATAACGTCTCCATGATAAAGAAACTGTGCTCTCGTCGGAAAAGTCAAAGGACGCACATATTCTAACACACCACAATACGTACATTGTAGACATTCCATGATTCTATCAATATTTCACATAATTTCTTGAAAAATGTGCAGTCCATGTTTTAGTGGATATAATAAATTTACCTACAGATAGGAAGACTGAAGCGAGTATAGAAGAACAGATGAGATGGGTTTATCTTTGTGTTTGTGCATGTGTGTGTGTGGGGGTTATTGAACAAGGGGCATTCTGCGTCAAGTGATGTATATATTGGACTAATTCCAGTTTATTGCGACAATATATTGTTCAGGACGTTATTGTGTAGGATGTTATTGAGAAAGCTCACACACTTTAATCATAATGTATATTTCGGCTCTTTTTTTCGTGGTATTGATTATGTAATTATGAACTTTCAAGTCCGTCACCTGACCTGAAGGCACGTGCAACCCCTATACATCCGTAAAGTTTGTTTTTCAAAAATTCGAGAAAAAAGTTTTTTGGTTAAATCAACTCAAGCACATGTTTGTTTCCCGTAAGTTCATTTAAGGAGCATGTACCAAGTCACGCCAGGCCTTACCAAAGATATTTGTAGCAAATCAAAATGCCAATAAAATAACCAGTAAGAGTCTGTTTTTTTTTTCCAAAATGTGCCCACAGCCCCTTTTCAAACTTTCTGTATTTACTTATGAGCGTAGTTGATTCCTTTGTATGTGTTTGCAACACTAAGGATTCCTTACAAACTACTGATTTAGAATTTTCACTCAAGTTTTATCAAAAGGGTTCATTGTGGCATGTGCTGATAGCCTCTTTAAACTGCAGGCATGGACAGTGAATGTTTTAATTTCAAATTAAGCCTTGCTTAAGTCATCATCTTAACATTTATTAATTAATGTATATTGGAATGGCGACATTATTTGTAAAAATTTTTAAACGCGATATTCTTATTCTAATTGCTCAATTAATGGTTCTAGGAAAGATTTCGCGTTTGTGCGTTCTTTGAATTGAAACTTTTTACTTTGTAGAAAACATTACGGGAAGTTAAAGAGTCCTGGTATTAGTCACATCCTTTTTACGAAAGCCAATTCGGGCGATTTGATTGGTCAAACTGTCTCGTATCAGCTAGCAGAATATGCCCCGACAGATTTATGGGATCTAATTACTTGTAAAGAATAGGATGCCTTTGGTGTATTATACCTGTTTGTGGTCGCGATAGGGTTCTTGTCTAGAGAGTTGACGTTTTGCAAGCGAACTTACAGTGGGTAAAATTTCTGTTATCTCCAACATTTGGAATCCATATCGTGTCTCTGAATCCTTGCGCGACTGTTTGGTTACTTTGGTTATCTGTGATTCTTATCTTTGAAGGTAAGAGAAAGGTCACTACACGCAATGTCAGTTAGGTGTAATTTTAGGCATTGTCTATTTATGTTGTGAAAGCGCGCAGATCACCAAACTACGGTTTCATTAAATGATTGGTTTCTAAACAAGCAGCATTGGTGATATGTTTGAAATTAGCTTCAGTATGCATGACTAGATTTAGATGGTAATCTTACGTCATCAAAAGCGTAGTTGCAAAATATGCGTCGCGTAAATTTGCGTTATGGCGGTTCCTGAAACACGAGGTCGTAAATCTGAAGTATTCTTAACACTTGCGTTTATTTTGCATACATTGTAAGGCCACCAAATGTTTCCCGTGTGTTTGATGAGCAAACATTGTGTCTATACAATAAATAGATCACTTTAATGGAAAACCTCTTTTATGTTAAACCTTTTGCGCAAACTTCGTTTTTTATGGTATCACTAGGTGATGGGGTAAGGCGTCAAAGTCTTATTTACAGGATGCGCGTTCTTGACGATTGCTTCCATGTATGATTGATTTAATCCAGTAGAAATAAAAATATTTCTTGTTTATCTTATGCTTTTCTTAATCAAATTGTTGTTTCAAGACATTATTCTTTACCTTGATCATGTACAGTTCTCCTTTTTATTGCACAATAAAGTATTTGGTACAAATTAATTTGTACAATACATCTATTACCCATCATTTTCTGTAACAAAGTGAATCACTATGTTGAGTGTGCTTAGTGCTACTTTTTACCTACGGCTAAATTTGTTAAAAACACGTGTGGTATTTGAATGTCGGTCGAAACCAAATAAGTTTGTTTCATTCCACTAAGTCGACATGTTATGTCTCCGAACTCCAGTTCTCTTAGTTATTTGATTTCAATTAATGTGATGTAGACATTTTTTTCAGTTGCTCGTATTTAAAAGTCGTATGAGCTCGTATGCGAGAATTAGCTACTTATATGTTTTAACACAGAATTGCAAACGTCATCAACTAACTCTATTATGCAGGATTATTTCAACATTTGTAAAAACAAAGTGTGTTTGATCATGGATTTTCTAATACCTAGTGGTCTTATGAATGCTGGTTCGTGTTTTTCCTTTCAATTAAATTATCAAAAATTGATAATGTCGTGTTGGGTTGGATGGTCGATTAAGTGATTATGAATGTAAAGTATGTGATTTATTGTCTATCGCTAGGTGGATGTTGAGAAAGTAGGTAATGTAAGGAAAGTTTTCTTTAGACCAGACAGGACTCATCTAGCTTAAGTAAATAACTGTGGAATATGCTGAACAAGGAGAACTTTGTTAAAATCATGTTGAAAATCATTTGAAATAAACAGAGGTCAATCTGTCTTTGTTTATAACCGCGCTCCTTGAAGAATGTCGCGCTAGGATTTGTCGTTATAAGACGATCGTTTTGTCTGGAAATTTTCACCCTTTATCTTTTACTCAGAAATTTTTACATAATGCAAAACTAGTGTGATTATTGCATAAATTTTTCTAGAAAATTTTGATTTGTGATAATTATTGTGTTGTTTTTCAACAATATTTCTGTCATTTTTCATTCATCGATTAAACAACGATTTGAGGAACTTGATGACGTTTCACAGATAATCTGGATGCATTTCAAAATCATATACTTTATTTATAATTTGAGAATGCCATTTTAATATTCTTCTTTATATTATGAACAATGATAGTAGCATTCTTATCTAAAAAAAAACACATGTCATTATGATTTTAGTAAGAATAATCATCGTTGCCTGTTGCGTTGCTTTGTTTTCGTATAATTTAATGTACGTGATCTCGCACTAGGGCGTGGTTTTTATCAGTAACATGTGTGTATGTAACATAAGGTTGCAATGTCTTGAACATGCGACGCAAATCATAATATACAATAGTCCTTGTCATCTTTGTGAGCAAGTTGCAATTTGTTAATGTACACGAACTTTGAGAAAAAGTCAGTCGTATTTCTTAATTCCTTGGAACTTTGTCTTTTTAGTAATACACCTTGTGCAACTAAATAAAGTTATTACTGTCCATTTTCTAGGTTGTGATTTTTCTTAAAGGAAACAGTTGGTTTTTTACTCGTTCAAGAGGGCTCCATTATGGAGTTTCTTGAAACTTTTCTACACGTACTTGTTGTCCTTGCAATTTGTACAGGTAATCAAATACTAATACAAGTAATCAAACACATTTAATTTGCGTCTTCTTTCATACATACATGTATAGACTAGTATTGTAAATTGATTGTTCTGTTTGCAATTGCAAAGCTAGCCCAAATTTTGGTTCATGCAGTTCAAATTTTTCCATAAAATGAATATTCATTTCTTTAGGGAAATTTTAAAATTTCATTGTTTCTTTTCCTAGTAAATTAACACAAAAATTTTGTATGGCAGGAGTAAAAACTGACTGGCTTTGCTACCAGTCTATGTGCTATAATAAGATGTTGTGTCCATGGCGATTGACATTCTATAATTGTTATTCAGTTGTATTTAATTAAAATTTTCTTTTTGCTTGGAAAAGAGTGCAATATCTTGTTTTGATGTGTCACGACTCGTCGAAAAACAAGCTATGAAAAACAATTGTTTCACCACATTTAATCTCTCAATATTTACTTCCGTCTGTAATCCTTTTTAATATGAGTTCGCTGAGACTTAATTGAATAAATGATGTGGATTTTTGTTGTAGAACATTTTTCTGGACATTTTTTATACCTTAAAGACCAATGCACAATTTACTTTACTTTCTTTTCTTGGACTATTTAGATTTCTTTATGTCAATTTACTGAGAACTGTATTCAGTAATTTTTACCGAAAGCACTGCAGTGAAACATGCTTTTTATGTAATTGTGATTTAAATGCCCGTACGTGGAAATGTTCAATCTTTTGGCGCATATTATGTAAATTAAGGTCATATGAGACTCAGATAAATTATAGATAGCTCATCTGATAGATAACTCCAACTTACATTGTTAAGCTTGCTGCGTATCCTTGTTTTTTACTGAAGTTTGATTGACTGAAGTAAAAGGCTTTTGAATGACTGTAAAAGGGTGACATGCCACCAACTTTAAATCTTCCCCGTAATTTAGTAACGCACAGCACATTCTCCAGTTTTTAGTGTTTTGATGATGTATTGAATATAGAATTTATGCCTTTTTTTGTTTTTAAACAATAATGTCTGACATTAACCTACTGCGACAGCAAAATAAACGATTTTGATCAGGATTAGCTCACTTATCTTAACTAAAGATTTTTTTCGAGATTTTTGTTTATGAGATAAAATTTAATAGCCTCATTTTATAAAGTCAACTTTAACTTTTTTTTTTTAAGTTACAAGATCTGATGAAAATGGGAACTGTAATTTTGAAAACCCGGTAGGACTATGCGGCTATATACAGGATACTAGCGATGATTTCAACTGGACAAGACATCGTGGTTCAACGTCCTCGACTAACACTGGTCCAAGTTTTGATCACACTACTTTGACTGGTTTCAATGTTCCAGGTATGTGATTCATAATTGTTTTTATAGACAAATATTATTATTCTTGTAAGTTTGCAAGAAAAAAATTCGAAGAAATATTATGTACTATAAATATTCAATGCGCTATAAATGACATGGAATCTTCTATGTTAACACACGTTTACAGGCGCTATAAATGACATGGAATCTTCTATGTAAACACACGTTTACAGGCGCTATAAATGACATGGAATCTTCTATGTAAACACACGTTTACAGGTGCTATAAATGACATGGAATCTTCTATGTTAACACACGTTTACAGGCGCTATAAATGACATGGAATCTTCTATGTAAACACACGTTTACAGGCGCTATAAATGACATGGAATCTTCTATGTTAACACACGTGTACAGGCGCTATAAATGACATGGAATCTTCTATGTTAACACACGTTTACAGGCGCTATAAATGACATGGAATCTTCTATGTTAACACACGTTTACAGGCACTATAAATGACATGGAATCTTGTATGTAAACACACGTTTACAGGCGCTATAAATGACATGGAATCTTCTATGTAAACACACGTGTACATTTTAATGTTTTTCGTACCACAACTTTGTGATTACATCAGTCACTTGCATGTTTTCACGACATGGTTATCAGTAAATGTCAACAGGCTGCAGATTGTCTTAATTTTGTTTATTCGTGCACTTGTTTTTGTGTTAGTGTATACAAAACTGTCTGTTCAACCTGGTGGAGCAACGGATCGTGGAAAGCAATGTGTGTTTCCATTCACCTATCTTGGAGCTAAATACCATCAATGTACAAAGACTAAACACACAGCATTATGGTGTTCTACTACGAAAACATATCAGGGCAAATGGGGAAACTGCCAACTTAGTGGTGAGTCTTTTTATGAAATCGTTACTAAATTGTCACCGGAAAGTACAGTGGAAATAGCTAAGCTAGCACATATAGTACAGTAAAGTTTCTGTGGTAGAAATATAACACTGATGTTTGTGTATCAAACAAACCCGTTAACACTGTCACTGTTTTTGCATTACTTGGAAGAAATAGTGGAGTAGATTTATCAACTTTAAGATGCTTATCATCTATGGTCAAAATGATATTTGATATATTAGATGTATCAGGAATAAAAGTACCAACATCGATGTAATAACGAAATAGGCTGTTGCCATTTCTGCGAATTCGAAATATATATTTTGATGAATTTTATCATAGGTTGGTACTTGTATATTGAGGTGACGAGCAGAAAAAATGGTGAAGTAGCTCGAATCACCAGTCCCCCGATAAAAACCTTTGGTGAATCATGTGTGAGATTTTGGTCACACATGTGGGGATCCCATATTGGCAAGTTAGATGTTTTGATAAGCTCAAACAGCAGTGAAATTTTGTGGAGTAAATCGGGTACCCAAGGAGATGAATGGTTGATAAACGAGATTGATGTTAATTCAACCACTGAATACAATGTACGTATAAGTATTGAAACCAATACATTGAGAAGCAAGTTTTAAGCGTATGGTACTATGGTTTTCTCTATTATTTCTAGTTAACATTTTCAGCTAGTCGAGGTACTGGCTTTCAAGGAGACATATCAATTGACGACATTACAATCACCAATGGATCATGCTCATTCGATCGTAAGGACATGAATTTAGTATTCCTTTATCGATTAATAGCAGAACCTTTTCTTTGGTTGACAGTTTGTACTACAATTTCCATTTAAAAAGGATTATCTTTAAAAGTTTGCCAGTCTTTGTAGTTTTGCACCTGCTGCAGTTGGTTGGAAATAGTTCAAAAACTATAACGTCATGCTTGATGTAATTATTGCTTGAATTTTGCAGCCAACTTGTGTACATTTGAGCAAGGATGGTGTGGATACACAAAACAAGGTGATTGGCTTAGACAAAAGGGTGCAACTCCAAGCTATAAGACTGGCCCCTCTGTGGATCATACAAAAGGAAGCTCATCTGGTTAGTTGAACATTTACTACGCAAATAAAAATTTTAAAAACATCTCTTAATCATGGTAATGATGAATGAACAGCAGAATAAAATAATAGTTTTGCGCTTCCTAATATTTTTTACATTGATTTTGTTTCTCTCATATTTTTTTCTCGTGCCTAGGTTATTATATTTATTTTGAAACATCCTATGGTAAAGTAAATGAAACTGCTACTGTGCAGAAAAATTTTACGGCAAACGGTCCTGCTTCTTGTCTACAATTTTGGTATCACATGTACGGAAGGCATGTCAATACGCTCAATGTATACACACTTCAGAACAGGAGCAAGGAATTGATATGGACTCGATCTTTCAATCAACTTAATAACTGGTACAAGGCGGATGCTACTGTAAAAATAACACAAGGGGAATATACAGTAAGTAGCTATAAATTATTTAGTCGTAGTTTGAACTCTTACTGCATAGTGTTTGTACATGTGTTGTTCGAATATCTTCACTTATTAACTAAATAAACTCAAATGCAAGAGTGAGCAAATGAATATTTTTCCAAAGGGCTCTTTCAACCTTAACTTTTCGTGGTCATGCATCATACAAGATAATTACCATCATGTTATCAAACTAAAGTCATATTTCACGGCTATCTTCCTTATGCATTTTAGATTATGTTTGAAGGTGTACGAGGAAAAGGCTATCAAGGGGACATTGCTCTGGATGATATAACTTTGAGACATGGTGAATGTATTTTACCAGGTGATCATCAAAAAAAAAAATTCCTTTCTTTTAAATTGTAAATCAAAATCATAATCGTTCATATTGATGTGTTTAGTCAAAATTAATAGTGACTGCTGGAGGTTCTGTGCTAAAAAATATTTTCCTCTCTTTCGCTCTAGTAATAACATAAATAGATAACCTTATGTAAATAATTCTTTCGTATTCCATTCATTTAATTTATTGCTCAGGTGATTGTAATTTTGAAACATCATTGACAACTGCCGACTGTCTTTGGAACAATGTTCAGAAAGGAGACAACTTTGACTGGATTTCCAGCTCTGGTAGAACTTCAAGCCACAGGACGGGACCTACAAAAGATAGAAAAGGCTCCTCAACGGGTATAAAACCATCAAACTTGGCATCTTAAAATGCAACATTACTTAGAGAAAGGGTTTTTAATGTTTCTTAGCCTGTTATTTTGATTATTAGATTTCGAATTACACCTTATTCTTATTGTGGTCTTCTTTTTAGGCAAATATCTCTACATAGAAGCTTCCAGCCCAAGAAAGCCTGGTGATAAAGCTTGGCTTGTTAGTGATTACTTTAATAAAAGTGTTAGTTGTTTTACGTTCTGGTATCATATGTACGGAAATGGCATTGGTTTTTTGAATATATATCATCAACCACTTGGAGGGAAAAGAAAATTGTTATGGACTCTCAGTGGTAACAAGGGAAATAAATGGCTTAGCGGTCAAGTGATGGCGGATTTTAACTTACAGCAACATCGAGTAAGTCACACATATTTTATTCACTGTGGCTAGTTAAATATACGTACGCCAGTAGCGATTAATTGTTGGCTTTATTATTCTAACAATGCATGGAACATGACCGTTGTGAGATAGTTTATCTGTGTTTTCATGCCAATATATAATTAGTTGACTACATGTTATGTTTAGAATCCAACTGTGGAGGGAATGGTAGGGGGCGGGCTATGTATATGGTGGGTTCTTTGTATTGATTAATTTATAACTGGTGGTGAACATTTAAAAACGATTTAGTTGTCGTCTTTATCTTGATACAGTATATCTGTGGAAATCAGGACAATTCAGTTTCTTTAGTAAGGGACTTTTCCCAAAATTTGGATTCTGGAAGATTTTTCACTGTTTAGATTATTGTCGAAGGTGTTCGTGGCTCAAGTTATACGGGTGATATTGCCATTGATGATTTTAAATTCAGAAAAGGAAGTTGTGATATCGTGCCTGTTTCAGCTAATCCATTAATATCAACAACACCCGCTACCACCGTATCTCCTACTACTATTTCAGGTAATAAACACGAGCAATGATGCACATTTGACAAAATATTGGGGGCGGAAATCAAATATGGTGATCATTAGTGAATCAAATCTTTCTATCGCAAGACTTCAATTTCCATTGGTGTATAAAAGGCAAGAAATTAAGAATTATCAGTAATGGAGGACACAAGTTGACAGCAATATTTATGCTGAATTGTTTACATCCTATGAAAATATGTTTAAATGATAATTTTAATAATTTTGCCTTTTACAGTCAAGGTTTCATCAATTATGCATACGAATTGCAACTGTGTCTCGTGTTTTGAATTTGAACTTTTGCAATCTTCGAGATTACCTTTCCTTCGTATGTTTATAGAAATCGTATTTCATTCGCTCAAGCTGCTTTTCGATTTATACAGGAAACATTGGATACAACTGTAACTTTGAACAGGGACTTTGCACGTGGACACAGGTCACCACTGGAGATGTATTCGACTGGAAAAGACACCGAGGTAAAACTCCATCTAGTGGGACTGGGCCGAGTATCGATCACACTCTTGGTAACGGATATGGTTGGTACTTATACATCGAAACGTCTCATCCACGAAAACCTGGCGACAATGCTCGTCTTCAATCTGACATCATACCGAGAACATCTGGACGCTGTCTAAAGTTTTATTACCACATGTATGGTTATCACACGGGTTCTCTAACAGTTTGGCTTAAAGTTGGCAGTAAAATGACAAAGTTCTGGCAACGAAATGGAACTCATAGCAACAATTGGTTGAATGCTCAAATGACGGTTAAAGCACCAAAATCATTTCAGGTTGGCAGATACGAGAAGTTGTGAACGTTCCGCTTTTCCGGGAACTGAAAACTGAATTATTTGTTTTGTGACAGCTGTTATTAGGAATGTTTTCAGAAGTTGTGTAGTCAATTGTTTGTTTGGTCTTAAAGTATGTTCTATAAATGTGTGATGAGGTTGAGATATTTTCAATATGATTGTTGTTAATAAGGAAGATAACAATGTGTTTACTGTCAATGTAGCTAATGAACAGCGAATATGATGTATCTGAGACTAAATAGGAGATATTCAGTGTTTTTATGGTTTATTTTTAATGGTGATAAATGTATGGTTTGCAATAATCACGTTACTTTGAATACTTGTAGATCATATTCGAAGGCATCAAAGGTCGTGGTTATCAAAGTGACATCGCTATAGATGATATTACTATCTCGTCTGGCGCATGCGTACTACCACCATCGAAATGTACATTTGAAGACTCGAATGTGTGTGGCTTTACACATGATCGAACAGCTGACTTTAATTGGATAAGATCAAGTGGCTCAACATCGTCTAGCAATACTGGTCCTTTCAATGACCATACACTGAGGACACCATCAGGTAATTCCAGTAGTCAGTAATTATATATAAAATGGCAGCACTTAACTTATGCACCCGTAGGATGTGCGGTTACACTTTATGGACGATTGCATATTTTTGGGACTTTATTGTGAAGTTGCCACATTTCTGTAACTTCAAACAGTGAACGATGCATGAAGCAAACAATAAACATGTCATACTGTGTGTTTCTTTTTGCAACAAACACCAAACTGGTGACATTGCAAAAACACTCTACATATGTACAAAATAAGTACTTAACAAAAAGACTAGCTGCCTCCTGTTTTCATTGTATATGTGTAAATTTCTCAATTTGACGTAAAATATGCGCTGTACATATCTGTGTTATTATCACAGGAAATTACATGTATGCAGAAGCATCTTATCCTCAAAAGGCCAACGATGTTGCTCAATTGCTTAGTACAATGCAAAAGCCTGCGCCAAGTGGTAAATGCTTGGAATTTTGGTATCACATGTATGGAAAAGCTATGGGAAGTCTGATTGTTATAATCAAAGACAGCGTGCAATCGGCAGAGATTTGGAAAAAGTCTGGAAATCAAGGAAACTTGTGGCAGAAAGGAAGAGCTACGTTGAAATCAACAAACAGCTTCCAGGTAGAACTAAAAATATCTTTGAATTGCATTGATCGTGTCAAGTACTGATAATTGATGTTGAAAAGTACTCGTGTTTAATGTTCAAAACTACTGTTGGTGATTAACGGTGATAAGTACTCTTCTACTCTTCGACGCATTTAAATGCGCAGCGGAAAATGTAATTTTTATTGCAAATAAAATTAATGTTAGCTTATTTGTAAGAATACCATCAACTTCACAAATACACTTTGTGACGTAAGAGGTTGAACACCAGCTGGTATAAATATACTTGAATACGTGGTAAATTTAAAAAAATTTATTTGGTTTTGTATAATTAGTCCCTATAGTCTCCAGTGTAATCATTGTTGTTGCAATATATTGAAGATAATTTTTTGCGTTTATGTTTCAGTATATTTTTAAAGCTGTTATTGGATCTGGCAACACCAGCGATATTGCAATTGATGATGTGGAACTTTTCCCAGGGCCTTGCCCAAATCCTGGTAAGTACACTCTGATATTGTATATGACGCTAGACTGTTGCTGGTCATTCTTATCTTATGAAGTTTTTATGTTTCTACGCTTCACAGGCTCGTGCTCGTTTGAACAAGGTCTTTGTCAATGGACGCAAGACAAAAAAGAAGATAATTTTGATTGGTTGCTTACTTCAGGAAGCACACCATCATACTACACTGGACCAAAAACTGATCACACGTTTGGCAACATCTCTGGTAAGTTATTTATTGCCTTTGGTACAAATGTTATCAAGTTACATGTCAAAGCTATTTTCTTATTTTTGTAAAAGAAAATTCAATCAGGATGTTTCATTTACAGTTGGGTTTACAGAAAGTTATCTTTGTTGGTTTTTTGTTGTTTGTAATATTTCTGTTCAAGAAATGAATAAAATGTGAAGAATGTTTCTTTAAAAATACCCAATCATAATTTATCAGGTTCCTACGTATTCATTGAATCATCTTCGCCTCGCACGCGAGGAGAGAAAGCTCGACTTGTTAGTCCTCGATATAGCCAATCGACCCCAACACGATGCGTTCAATTTTGGTATCATATGTACGGGAGAACAGTCGGAAAACTGAACGTTTTGATAAAATGGGGGTCCGGTAAGAAGAATGAAGAGGTCAAGTGGACACTGAGTGGTGCTCAGGGTAACAAATGGAACTTTGGTCGCTTTACTGTATCACGAAACACTACATATTGGGTATGTTTTAAGTATTGTTGCCTTTGGATTGCAGTGTGTGTGATAGTAACCTATTGTTAGTACTTTTGTAAATATTAGTAGTTGCAGACGTTAAAAAGTTAAAATGGTATAGTTTAGGCGGCAAAACAACGTGAATAGCTATCAACAGTCATGTTTGTGCTGCTCATTTATTAAATATATACATTTTTATAGTTGGTTTTTGAAGGCATCGTTGGCATTTCATATACTGGTGACATCGCATTGGATGATATACAACTTGTTGATCAAGCATGTTCATTTTTACCTTTTAATGCAAATCCAAATCCTACCACTGCTCCTGTAACACCCGTTGTCACCACTCCTAAACCTATACGTAAGTCCAATCGTCTTTTTACTATGGTTTTACTGCATACAAACATTTATCTGTGTAACTCCACATCAAAAGTAGTTTGGTTGAAAGTTTTCATTAAAATTTTGTTAATTTTGGGGTTGCAAATACGATAAACGTTATGGTGTATTTGTGCAGCTGTTGGGCCCTTCTCGTGCAACTTTGAGAAAAAATGTACGTCATGGAGTCAAGACTCTAGTGATCATTTTAACTGGACTAGACATCAAGGACATACTACCTCTTCTGGTACTGGTCCAACAACAGATCACACCAAGGGAGTGGGTAAGAGTCTTGAAATTTTGCTTTTGTTTCAACTGCTGATAAAAGAAAATAATAATTGTGATACTGTGCCGGTAGCTTTCTTTTTACATGATTTAGTTTGAATTCTAGAGCTCTTTTGCATAACTTTTGCATAACTTTTGCATAACTTTTATCTTTAGTGATATCATAGTGATAATTCATGACCTAGCGTTCTATTTCACACAAAAAAATAATTACAAATAATCGTAGTGAGACCAAACATAAACATATTCTCATGTTGTTTCAGGTATCTTAGCAAATAAAGACCAAGGTCCTGGCTCAATCATGCATCGAGGTGGAAAGTGTATCCACATTCATCATGGAGGTTTTACTAAGCCTGCTGATGCTCAGAAGTTGGTAATACACGCAGGCTGTGGAGAAGAGCGACTAGAGTTTAAACTCTGGTCAAATGGAACGTTAATGCACACCAAACACAATATGTGTGTGAGGCCAATAAATGAACGAACTAACGCAAAGGTATATCAGAGAATAAGCCTAGAGCGCGCTGGTTTTATCAAATAAAGTTATCGCTGAAATCTTTGCTTTAATTGTACATCAAATCAAGAAATGTGGTTTACTTGAGAAAGGTGTCAGTGGTATTTTTATCAAAGAGATGTGATTTAATCAATATATTTTGTTCTTGTCAACTACATTTTTAGATTGCTGTTTATCGAAATTGTGATGGCAACATGATTTGGAATTGGACAAAGAAGGGATCGCTTCAGTACAAGAACAAGTGGTGTCTTAAGCCGGAGAGAGGATTCACTTCTCCATGGAATGGTGTCAACTTGGTGCTTGGAGTTAATTGTGACCAAACCCAAAATTTTTTCAAATTTGTTCCCAGTAAGTTGTACGTATGTTGGAATAAGTTATTTGTATATTTCGATATTAGCAAAATACTTATTTAAGAAACTTAAGATAGAATAAAAAGCCCGTGATTGTGGAACACACATTATATTCATGTTTATATCGATGAAATGAGGAATCCCGAATTCTGTCATATTCGAGCAAAGTGACGTTTAAGTAAATATTCTCACAGGTTTAATTATGTTATTCTTTAATAAACGTAAATACTAATGAAACTTTCGTTGTTTTATTGAAGCTCGTGGATATTATATGTATATTGAATCATCATCTCCAAGAAAACCAAATGACACAGCTCGATTGATTTCGCCTGCTTATAGCAAAAGCACATCTTGCCTCCACTTCTATTATCACATGTATGGTCCACACGTTGGTAAACTTCAGGTAAAACTCCTCTTTATCATAACATAGTGCTGTTGTCTATACTATGATCAAGCCCTTCGAATTGCTTGTTCACATAAAACTAATTTTTTCGTTTTTACCAGTCATTTAGCTGGGGGGTTTTTTATAAAAAATGGTAAATTGATGTAAATCTAGTTATGATATGTCACAATCCTGTAATTTGCTACCATGCTACATTGTGGCATTTAGTTATTTGGCAGACCCAATTTTCTACTTTTTACAAAGAAAACTCACAAAAATAGGCTGCGTATTTTTATATAGCATGTCGTTTTACAATATTGTTTTTTTGGACGAGGGTAAGTGTTTAGGGAAAATGCAAATTGTCCCCTTTCCCCCCTGTTTTGGCGGTCCTGCCAATGTGTTGACTTTTTCCGATACGTTGTCGGGGAAATTTTCTTCAGTGCCTTCAACATTCATATCTATCCAGGTCTACGTTAAAACTGGGAATAAAATGGGATTGCCTGCGTGGAGTCGCTTTGGATCACTAGGAAACAAGTGGTATCAAGCACAAGTTGGTGTCAATTTGAATGAATCATATAAGGTTGGTAAAAGAATTTCTTCCAATAGATTTACACTATTCTAGACAGAATCGTTTTGATAATGTTTTCGCTGTTAATGATCTTGGTTCAGTAGAAGAAAATTTTATTTTTGTGTTGCAGTTTGTTATCGAGGCTGTTCGTGGGAAAAGCTTTCTTGGTGATATTGCAATTGACGATATTTATCTTATGACATCTTGTACTACTCGTGGTAGGAATTTTTCTTAAACTTTTTTAATCAATGTGTGGTTCGAGGCTGTAGTGAAATACCCTCTATTCTTTTGTTTTATGGTAATTTCAATTGATTTTGATTATTTTGGACTTTTTCCAGATTACTGTTCCTTTGAAGAACAGTTTCCTGTGAATTGTGGTTATACTCTCAGTCCAGGACCCTTGAAGTGGTTAGTAGGAAGTGGAAAGACACCATCTATAAGCACAGGTCCTTCCAATGATCACACTCTCAGAGATGCAAGAGGTAATGATTAAGTTGATTAAGGCTCTTGTTTCAAGCCATCTAGTTTGTGACCGAAAGATCTTTGTAGAGATTTGTTAAAATTTAGCATTCCGTTTAAAGATTTAGAGGTCATTTAAACTCAGGCACATGTCAGCTATTCTCTTACAGTGGAAACCAAAGTAGAAAATAATTCGAACAACGATATGTTTCGTTGAATTGCCATGAAAATAATATATGTTAGCAGGCGTTAATGTTTTCTTTCTTGAATTTTGCTTAAACTCTAGGACGTTATCTTTTTCTTGAAACGAGTAACTCTTTTGTTGGTGCTAAAGCAACATTCACTAGTCCAACATTTGATTCAAATCCTGAGGGAAGCTGTGTGACATTTTGGTATCATATGTATGGCTCAAATATAGGTAATCGTACAAACACAAATACGCATTTTTTATAATTCTACAATCTATACGAAAAACGTGTTTTTTATCTTTATAAATGTATTTATTACACCGTAGTGTTCCGACATTTAAAGTTCAACTGTTCAAACTTAAGTTATTTTCATTCAGGGACGTTAAATGTAAGAGTAAATGATGTTAGAGGATCTCTTTTGCAAACCTGGAGTAAATCTAGCACTCAAGGGAACAAATGGTTCTTAGCTCAAATTTCTATCAATTCTGCAAAACAATTTAAGGCAAGTATGAAATTTTTAAATTTTTATTGTCGTTTGTAACATACAAGGAAAATAGATGGAAGTTTGCAACAGCATTTGTTCGTTTATACACTATGCAATAAAATGTAGTGATTATGGTCTTTTTATACAAGTATAATTTTCTCAGTATCATCTTGCCTTTCTTTACTATATTTTGTGTGTGTTTTTTTTTCTGGTGAAAGAATGTTTTGTTACGATGACATGAGCACATGTTGGAAAAAATTTATATTTTGTAGCATTCTACAGCAAAAATCCATTGTAATATTACGGTTTTGTTGAACTTTTGTTTCTCCTTTAGAAAACGTTATTTTATTATTATATAAATAGTCGATCTTTCAAAGTTGAAACGTTTACATTGCTTAACAGATGACATTTGAAGGTGTTCGTGGTCGAGGATATCGTGGAGATATTGCGATCGATGATATTAATGTGTTGAAAAAGAAATGTTATGGGAAAGGTAAAACGTCTTACATAGCGTAAAAAAAACATCACAATTTTTTGACAACAAGTTTACCGCAACAAAACCTTTGGAATGGTCGTAAAATATTTACGAATATACAGTACTAGAAAGAAGAATTTCATCATGCTTTTTTTACCCCCTTTTCAATTAAACTTCTTGTTTTTCACTTTTTTTTTATTTTTTAACATTTTATATTATTCTTGTTGCCTTTCCATCAGGTACCTGTAACTTTGAATATCCGGATTACTGTTTTTGGAGAAATGACGTCACAGAAGACGATTTTGACTGGTTGATAGGTCAAGGCTCTACGCCATCGTCTTTTACAGGACCTTCGAGAGATCATACTACTGGTGGCATCTTTGGTAAGAGCACATTACCAAAACACATAGGGAAAAAACTATATATTTAAAGAGAACCTGAACTTTTGATGTGAATTTTTTCAAATGAATCCACATAATCGTATTTCCTTTTTGGTAGATGTAAAAATTTTAACTTTATAGTAGACAGTTGAATGAAAGATTTTTGGCACCTTGTTTTGATGGTCATTATTTATGATAACTTATGAAATGTTATACTTTTTATGGAAAAGACAATTTGGTCTTTATTATCAGAAGGCTTTCTTCTTATTTGGTTGATAGCCATGTATTTTTGAATTTTATTCAGTTTTACTTATTGGTGCAGATCTCGTAACAAGATTGTTTTATTATTGTCTTTCAGGTCAATATATGTTTGTGGATGCTAGCTTCAAGAGTGTAGGTAAAAAAGCCCGTCTTGTCACTGGTCGTTTCCCTCGGACAACTGGTCGGGGCTTTTGTCTCCAGTTCTGGTACAATATGTATGGTGTAAACATTGGTAAACTGAATGTTATCATAAAGAATAGAGCTGGGAATGCTACTGAAAACGTCGTTTGGACTTTGTATGGAAATCAGGGTTTCGGATGGAAACAAGGACAGGCCCCTGTGGTCAGCCGTAGTGATAGCTTTCAGGTATTTATTTCGTGAAGGATTGCAGATGATTGTCTGCAAACACACATGGTCGGTCTGGAGTAAAAAACCCTTTTACATTAAGTGAAAAATTATATAAATGTATGGGAACTAAGAAGTAATGGAGGATAAGCAGAGAAGGAAATTTTACTATAGATAATGAAAAAAATACAAAAAATTATTACTTTATACATTTCAGTTGGTGTTTGAAGCTGTACTGACTGGAGGATCAAGAGGAGATATAGCTATTGATGACATCTTATATTCTCCTGGTGCATGCAGTGTATCACCTAAAATTGCTGCACCACCCAAACCAACTACCATATTACCTACACTAAACCCTACAACACCAGGTATGTGACGATCTTTGTGTACATTGCAATGATACTGCAGTCTATTGACGTTATATAAATCTCATTGATGACGTTCTTATGTCGTAGTATTTGGAAAGTTTGGATGTTCGTTTGAAACTGGATTCTGTTCATGGAGCCATGGTTCTGGTGCACAATTCAAGTGGATTCGTAATAAGGGTTTCACTTCCTCTGTAAATACTGGTCCATCTGCCGATCATACTTTGAAAAACCGTAAGTATGGCGTAAATCGTGTTCTTAACAAATTATCGTTGGGAAAGAAAAAATAATACAGCTTGTCAATAGTGAATATGTAAGCTTTTCAAGTTTACTAAATTTTTACATGCTTATATTACGACAAGTTACCGGTATATAGTTATTTATTATAAAAGAATAATTTATATTGTCTTTGTAACGAACTGAAGATTTCTTATTTGATAGAAAATGGATATTATGTATATGCTGAAAGCTCGTCTCCACGGCAGTTTGGAGACAAGGCAATTCTCGTGAGTAAACAGATTTCCCCCAATAGTCGTCCTGGTAACTGTATCATTTTCTGGTATCATATGTATGGTGCACATATTGGTACTCTGAACATGTATATCCAAACTGTTGGTGGTGCGTTACCCAAACCTACATGGACAATGACTGGTACGCAAGGAAATAAGTGGAAGAAGGGAATGGTCTTTCATCGATCGAGTTTACCATTCAAGGTTGTTCTACTCAAAAGTCTTCTATCTTAAATTTTAAGAAATTTTTCTGAGGATTAATTTTTAGTTTACTTCCTGCCATGTTTTATTGGGGTTTTTTTTTGTATCTGGGTCAGATATTTCGTAATTATATTTTTACTTTATGTTTAGATCCTGTTCGAAGCTGTACGTGGCGTGTCATATGCTGGTGATATCGCGCTCGATGATTTAAGTATTACAAATGGCTTATGTCCACCTTTCGAATACTGTTCGTTCGAACAAAGTAAATTGTGTGGCTGGACAAATGAGCCGACAAAGGATGATTTTGATTGGACCAGAGCAAGGGGTGCTACGGCCTCCGTCAGGACAGGTCCTTCCACTGACCACACATTTGGCACATCTGCAGGTTTGTTGAACAAATAAATTTCAGCAACAGTTTGACAACTATTTAAGACCTAAAATTGCAATGAATACAAGCATTCAAAGAATTGTTAATTTATTATTTATTGTCAACAATAACTTGTGTCGTGTGATGATGTTTGTAGAATGGAATCATTGCTACCAAATTTTTTTCGACCTTGTGTTTGTCTTCAACTGCTATTGCACCTTAAATTAATTTAGTTTCGCTTCATATCTGGAGGGTTAGTGTTGATGTTGATATTGGTGTTGATGTTGATATTGGTGTTGATGAAAGGATTGTTCTTTGAATGATCTGGAAAAAACCGCCACTGTACATTTGTTTGTTTCATTGCTACGAAAAATATGTTATTTTATCTGGAAACATATTTTCATTGTAAAACCTGGAAGCACTCAATAATAACTATTATCATGATTGTATAAATGCATTTTTTTGCATTCAGGGTACTACATGTACATTGAAGCAACAGGGAAAAGAAAAGGCGATAAAGCACAACTGATATCACCTACATTTACCAAAACGTCTGGACGTTGTTTGCAATTTTGGTATCACATGTATGGTAGTAACATTGGAAGACTCAATATTTATAAAAGGGTAATCATATTTATAAGTATACATGGATTTTATCACCTACTTCATACCATTATTGCTCATTATTTGAACGGGCTAAACGCTTTAAGTATGAAAAACTTGACACATGTTTAGAAGGCCACCGTAAGCCCTCGTTCTTTAAAATAAATGGAAAGAGCTGTATTGTGGGTATTTTCGTTAAATGCTGTTTTCAGTTGTTTGATGTACAATCATTGTTAATTTCAGATTCTTCAAGTTGGCTCTCCATACAATGTTCGCGTGTGGTGGGCAACTGGGCAAAAATACAACATATGGCGTATTGCTCGAGTTTCAATAACGTCACCATCTTATGATTATCAGGCTGTTTTTGAAGGTGTTGTTGGCAGTGGATTCCAAGGAGATATTGCAATTGATGACGTCGAGCTCTTGAATGGAGTGTGTCCTCCTCCTGGTGCGATAATCACTACTCTATGACTAACTACTTTAAAATGATAATCTTTAATAAACCAATTCAGTAATTCCAGTCTATTTATTCAGTTATTGGATGAGGTTTAGCAAGATGTCGACAATAATCATCCAAAGCTTATACTTATATCTTATGTTGTTGCACTGAAACAGATAATAACTTTTACACTATGTCTACGGATGAATTTATACAACAAATGCTTTAGATAATGCGATTCTTTACTCTTGGTCAATTAGAGATTATGAGAGTAACTTGAAACTGGAAATGGTATTTATGTTTTCATAAATGTCACTTTTCTTTAAGGTGATTGTGATTTTGAGCGAGATACCTGCACATGGACCAACTCCCTCATTGATGACAAGTTTGATTGGACTCGGCGCAAAGGCAGTACATCTAGTTCCTCGACAGGACCGTCTGTGGATCACACGCTACAAAATAACTCAGGTTCATTAAAACGACAAATTTAAAAAACATATAAACGAAACTGCCCTTAGTTTTCAACAAAATATCGTTCGTTCGTATTGGTCATGATTAATGAGTTGAGGTACGACATATTAAAAACTTATTTCTCTTGCTTTTTCCCAGGTTATTATATGTATATAGAAGCGTCTTCTCCGAGAAAACAAGGAGAAAGAGCACTTTTGACGTCAGAAGAATTCTTCAAAACGTCATCATCAGGTCGTTGTGTAAAATTTTGGTATCACATGTATGGCTCTGGGATTGGTGCTCTGAAAGTGTACTACAAGACGAACGCTACAAAACAGGTTATCTGGGGATTGAATGGACAACAATCTGCTCATCTAAAGGACTGGAAATTCGGGCAGGCTCCTATAAGAAGCAACGTTGTTTATCAGGTAAACTAAGAATATGTTGTTTGTTGTTCAGAGATTTTTGGTTATCGTTAAATAGAAATTTTTTCTCTTGCTATTGTCGTGGTGTTTTTAGACCTTTTAATTTATTTAGTTATGTTTTAGTTTATATGCTTTTCCTAGATTCTATTTGAAGGGACTATTGGTAGGTCCTTTACAGGTGACATTGCTATTGATGATATTCAGTTTGCTAGCGGAGCATGCTCTATTTTACCTGTTTCTGTCACGGTTACTCCGGTCACATTTGCGACTCTTGCACCAACTACTGCTGGCTCAACTCCAGGTGATTTTTCTCCGTTCTTTTTAAGTCAGTAATAAGGCAAAACTTGGGGAAATAATTTTCTGTATCCGTTAGATTACATTAGACTTGGTTCTTAAATTACACTGATATTGCTACATTAGTTTATCGTTTACTATTTTTCTTACAAGTTTATAATTTGTATTTAAGCTCCATCACCGAGCGATTGCAACTTTGATACTGGAATCTGTTCTTGGAAACACGATAGAACGGGGGACATTCAATGGAAACGACAAAATCGAGGAACACCAAGTCTTTTCACGGGCCCCAACTACGATCATACGACTAATAATGGTACAGTGGAACTTCAATGATATTGTTCTTTCTACTTTTTCTGTTTGAGATGTTTTTAGATTATTAATTTGAAGCATTGCAATGCTTTTCTTTTTTCTCTTGGAAGCTTTTTCATATCTTGGCGATAAATATGAAATATACTCTTTAGAGAGAGTTTAAACAATACATAAAGTTTTTTTATGGCAGATATTCAATGTTGTCAAAGCTTGTCCTCAATACCTTACAATGACTTTAACTGGTCGCTGTGACACATTATCTCCTCTCCTGTCTGTTAAAAAGGTCGTGAATACAACTCAATGGTTTTCTTTCTAGGCTCGGGTTATTATCTTTACATCGAGGCGTCGTTACCTGGCCAGCCCAACGATACAGCTAGATTGCTCAGTCCACTGTTACAATCAACGAATCTGAGATGCTTGCAGTTTTGGTATCACATGTATGGTTTTGATGTAGATAATTTCAACGTGTACATAAAATCTAGTGGAAAGCTTGGTAACCCTGTGTGGACACGTCGTGGAAATCAAGGCAACATTTGGCGTCATGCAACTGTATCGATAACCAGTCAAAATCAATATCAGATAGTGTTCGAAGGTGTTATCGGGAAAAGCTATCGGGGAGACATTGCATTGGATGACGTCACTTTGCAAAAAGGACAATGTCCTTCTCAGTCTCTGTGCACCTTTGATGATCCAGGTTTATGTGGATGGAGGAATGTCCTAGGTGACAACTTTGATTGGACAAGATCAAACAGTGGTACCTCGAGTTTCGGGACTGGACCTAGTAATGATCATACCTATGGCACTGATCAAGGTATTTAGAACTTTCATTCCAGCATTCTTTTTACTGTCTAATGTAGAAAATATTACAACATGTGTCAATTTTCATTTTTCATGAATGATAAGCCGAGGTTTGTAAAAATCTTTGTCCTTCAAATTTCAAATTTTTTCTAGGCTTTTACATGTATATTGAAGCATCTTCCCCTCGATCAAAGGGCAATAAAGCATTGTTAGAGAGTCCATTAATGAAATCAACCTCGGGCAAGTGCCTGCGTTTCTGGTATCATATGCTCGGTACAGATATTGGCCGATTGAACGTACTTTTAAAATCTGGGAGCAATCGTGGCAATGTTATATGGACGATGACTGGTGACCTTGGTAATGTTTGGAGGGTTGGTGAAGTTACCGTCAAGAGTACATCACAATTTCGAGTAAGATTTGTCAGCCATAAGTTAAGATAGCGATTCCTTTTGTTTTGTTTTCTTCATCTCAAATGAAATGCAGTCGATGACTTGATTATAGCAAGTTGAATTGTGTTTAATTCGTTAAAGTTGAACAAACGACTGTGTTTACCCACCTCTGCTTGTGTGGGTAAAACACGAGTAACATCTTTGCTGTATATCTATTTTTACAAGTTTACGTATACTTATCGATTAATGTTTATAGATAATATTCGAAGGCAGAGTAGGATCTGGAGTTTTTGGTGACATTGCTATTGATGATGTTCTTATCTCGAACGGCGCATGCGTAGATCCTGGAAATTGCGATTTTGAAAACGGTCTATGTACGTGGGTGAACGTGAAATCTGATGTCATCAATGATAATTTTGATTGGATAAGAGCCAGTAAAACGTCATCTATTGGAACAGGACCATCTACTGATCATTCTACTGGAACAAAAAAAGGACACTTTATTTACATTGAAAGCTCCTTTCCACGACAATGGGGTGACAAAGCGCGTTTAGAGTCTGAAGTTTTATCTCCAACATCTGGGAAGTGTATGCAATTCTGGTTTAACATGAACGGTGATGGCATTAATAAATTATCGATATTACTGAAAGTTGTTCAACAGTCTGAGTCGCGTGTATGGACGTATGGAGGTAATAGGGGTGATAAATGGATACAAGGTCAAATCCCTATCAAGAGTTCAAAACCATTTGTGGTAAGATTTTTAAATTTATTTTATTATTTGAGAATTTTCAGTTTTGTAGATTTTTATTCATGCAGTTATTTTGCTTGTGATAGATTTTAATAGAAATGTTTTTATTACTCATGAAGTTAATGCATGCTCGTTTCCTGATACATTAATCAAAATTAATTGTGAGATTATGGAGAAAGAAAATAAATGTATGAAACATTTTATGATTGATTCAAATTAGCTACAAGTCAAAATGCATTGTTTTTTCTGAAACTTTGAACAGTCCTTGGATCACTAGTTTTTTCTGATTTGTTGCCTTCCAAGCCAAAAAACCAGTTTATCATCATCATCATCATCTTTCTTTTTCATGTCAATAGTAAATACTGTGAAATCTCGGGTAAAGCCTTAACTGATCTATAAAATATCATGTTTTACTCACTATCAAAGTGATAAATTAAGTATATTTATGCTTAATCACCATGTTCACTCTAGCTTACGTGTAAAAGATCAATTATATCGATTTCCTATGTATCATTCTCACTGTATGTAACATGATTATAAAGTGATCATTTACGATGAGGATATTTTTCGGATAGTTGTTGTCATTGCAAATGTTCTATTATAAACGAGTCTTTGCATATTGTAGATCGTGTTTGAAGGAACCAGCGGTTATAATCATCTAGGTGATATTGCAATTGATGATATAACAATTGCCACTACCTCTGTTCCGTGTGCAGTTTTGCCAGGAGATGCCATACCCTTCGGATGTAATTTTGAATACGATAGTTGTGGTTGGAGACTTGGTTTTTCTCCTGGCTCATACAAATGGAAGAGGCAAAGCGGAACTCAAGCAACACAGTCTAGAGTAGGAACACGAATAGATCATACAATTGGAAAAGGTAATCAATCATTTTTAGAAGTCATTGAGCTTTCAGGATAGCTGGAGTGATGATGGTATTAGAAATGGCATAACCAGGCCTTCTACGTCATATTTTTTTCGATGGTTAATGTTTTTAAATTGACATCACAAAACTAAAGCTTATGGACCGACGACATTATTGTGGTCAAATGAACTTTTTACACGTTTTAATATTATTTACTGTATCATATGACGTCATCATGACGTAACCATGAGAAATATTTGTTAAGTGTTCTAGTAAATTCTTTGTTTTTTTCGTAGCTGACGGTTCTTACGTGTTTGTGAACACCCGTGGATATCCGTCAAGCACGGCAACATTGACCAGTCCTACTGTAAAAGTTGATGGCAATAAAACCATTAACTGTCTAACATTTGCTTATCATATGCACGGTGCATCAGTCGATATGCTTAATGTGTACATACTTAGTGGCTCAGGAAATAAGAGAAAAGTCTGGAGTCGACTGGGAACACAGGGGGATCGGTGGATACTTGCGGAAGTTCAACTTAAGATCATCCAGCATTCTAACGTAAGTGGTCAATATCTTAGTTTGTTGATTGAAAGTCCTACAAACAAAGAATGAGATGTTCTATCTAAGTAAATCATTGAATATCACTGGCTATTAGTGTTGTTATTGACAATGGAAAACTATTCGAGTTATGGATACGCTTTTGCCAACTTATTTTTTACCTAGATTATTTTTGAAGCTAAAAATGGTTCTCAGTTTGATGGAGCTATTGCTATTGACGACATCGATTTAAAAGTTGGAAGTTGCCCGAGTTTGGGTGAGTTGTAAAAAATGTATAGGATTGATGAGTTGATGTAAGTGATATGAATGACGCATGAACTTGTCTTGATTATATAGGATCGTGTGGATTTGAATCGGCGTCGTTATGTCACTACACTGTTACGCCATCCTCGAAAGGAATGAAATGGATTCGAACCGGGAGTGGTACACCTTCATTATTCACAGGTCCTAACTATGACCACACGTACGGAACAGAATTTGGTACGTAATAATTTTATGTGTGACATCATCATTATCATCATCATCGTCATCATCATCGTCGTCATCATATATTGGTGAGATTTTACTTGTCGCCTTGTTTTGGCAGGACATTTCATGTATGTTGAAGCAAGTGGCTTTACTAAGGGAGAAAAAACGTCTCTGAGCTCAAATTACTACAGAAGTCAAACATTGTCACAATGTCTGACGTTCTGGTACCATATGCGTGGGAAAGACATTGGAACGTTGAATGTGTACACTGGTATATTTCGTCGCAGGCTTTCCTGGTCAAAGACTGGCGACCAAGGAAATCTATGGCGTAAAGCGCAGGTATGATAAGAAGATCAATTGGATAGATTATGACTTCTTTAAATCATGATTTGTTTGAAAATTTTTATGCCTAATATTTTTATTTTGTTTTTGTTTTAGGTACCTCTTTCCAACATTTTAAAAGTTACTAGGATAAGGTTTGAAGGTGTTAGAGGAGGTGGATATCAAGGAGATATTGCAATTGATGACGTCAGCTTAGAAGATGGTTCTTGTCCTCTTCCTGGTGATTGCAACTTTGAAAAAGGAAGATGCACTTGGCTTGAAGTTCGTGATGGTAGTGACACTTTCGATTGGCAACTTGGTAGTGGCTCAACCCAAAGCTTTAGTACTGGACCTAGTAATGATCACACGTTCAATAATCTTCAAGGTGAGTTTTTTATATAAGGATTTTCTAATTGAAGAATGATCAAGAATCAAATTGGAACGTTAAAGGCCAAATTCCAATTATAAAATACATATATTTTTATGACAGCTAAAAATTTACTATTTTGTGATACATCTGCAGCAGATCCCTTTGTAATTAAATACAGTCGTCGTTGTTGAAGACAGTGATAGGATTATTATGGGTAGAAATTCATAATGTTGTTTTCACGAATTCAAAGTTTGAACTACAAGTCAAGACAGTCATTGTGCATCATTGTTCATTTTAACTTTGTCTATGAAGGAAAACTTGCCTTTTCTATTGTAAGTGATAATGCTCAAGTTCTTTAATTTCATTTTTAGGTCAGTATCTTTTCATTGAATCCTCTTTACCTCGTCGCCCTGGTGATTTCGCGCGTATACAGAGTGAGATGTTTTCTCCTACACCGAGCCAAGGTCGCTGTATGAAGTTTTGGTACCATATGTTTGGTGGTGATATTGGTAATCTTACTGTTTATATGAATATTAGTGGATCCCAACAGTTGCTACCCATATGGAGAGTCTCTGGAAATCAAGGCAATAAATGGTTGAATGGAAAACTGCCTTTAAAATCAACGGCAAATTACATGGTATGTTAGGCGTCGTCGACAGATTTCATATAATCTTTCACCGTGTTAATGTAAAATATGGAATCATTGTTTTTCTTTTCACAGTTGGTTATTGAGGCTGTACGAGCATCTGGTTATAAAGGTGATATTGCTGTGGACGACATTTCGTTTACTAATGATGCATCTTCCTGTTCAGTTTATCCTTCCGGGGCTGGAAGTGTGAATACTAACACGCCCGCCCCCACTGCTGCCACCACTTCTGGTCCTACCTCTGGTAATCAAGGAAATAACTGCAATTTTGAACTGAAGAATCTTTGCAGTTTTACTCAAGACCGTAGTGATCATTTCAATTGGACTGTTCATAAGGGGCACACGTCTTCCTTCAACACGGGGCCTAGTACTGACCATACTCTTGGAACTGGTGAGTTACTGTCTATGTCTTTCATGAAATGGAGGGATAGTTATGGTCATTTAATGATTATACAACTTGGAGAGTTATTTAGAGAATGTAGCGTGGTGAAGTAGAGGGAGTGGGCTTTCAATAGGCTCCGCGGTCCCATGATTTCAAGATTGTCAAATATAGCATAGTATAAGAATTTTTTTAACAGAGGTGTTTTTCTTATTATAAAAATAAAATTTCTCTAAATTTTTTTTGTAGCTGCTGGTCACTATGCGCATATAGAATCATCTTCCCCGAGAAAACCAGATGATACTGCAAATTTGATCAGTCCTTCAATGAATCGACCAAACGGCGTGGGCTGTTTAATATTTTGGTATCATATGCATGGAGCAGATATAAATTCATTGACCGTATACAAAAAGGTAAGTGCATTTTGAACATTTTATATGATAAACTTCGTGATGAAAAACCCCGGCTGCCATAAAATTTTCTTTTTTTTTCAAAATGTTCTTGCAGTCAGGATCTCAAAACACTTCATTGTGGAAACGAGTTGGTACTCAAGGAAATGAATGGCGTGAAGCAATTGTTACTCTCGCACAGGATTCACAATCTTTTCAAGTTTGTTGACGTTTTTTGTTGCTATTTTGTACAAAAGGAATTTTTGAAGGAATATTTCAATTGAACGCCCAGAGTTGGCTTTATGATTTCTTTTGTTTTCATGTCGAACTATTCCTTAAATTCAAAACTTTATGTTACTTTTAGATTGTATTTTCGGGTAAACGTGGTAAATCCTACAAAGGAGACATTGCAATCGACGATATACAATTCACAAAGACGAATTGTCCAGCTACAGGTAGAGGATCATAAGTTATATTGATGATGGGTTTTTTAATATCTTTGGCCGTTGTTTTGAAACAAATTCTTACTCGTTAATGAACTTTGAATGAAAATTTTTTTCTCTAACTGATCTTTTTATCTGTTTCTTGTGCTGAATATGTTTTCATTTTAAGCTGAATGTACATTTGAAGACCATGGGGACAGTAATCCGCAATGTGGTTGGAGAAACCAGTTAGATTCCTATCAATGGAAACGTAATAATCAAGGCACTCCGAGCTCTGATACCGGACCTTCATTCGATCACACATCTGGGACAGCACAAGGTTGGCGTATTGTTTTAGTGTACGATCGTTGGATAAATGTTATGTTGGTGTATTAAATCATTGTGAATGTTTGTAATGTTAGTCTGTTAATTGCAGGTGCAGATAAATTCTCATTTCGAAGGCAATTACATATTTTATTAAATACCACCACCATTTGCAATTAAGTATTACCATGCACGTTTTTATTGAAACATTAGCAAAATTGAAATAAATTACTAAATGCACATTCATTAACCAAAAAACAAATGAAAATTTTTTTAAAAAGATAATAACCTTTTCATTATGCAAGGTTCACTCATCTGTGCGACTGAACAAAACTCCATAGTAACCCAATGATCTTGCAACTTTAGCTAGGATAACGATGCCCGAAACACACACACCTTGGAAAATATGCACCCCTCCTATCAAATGACCATTGATCCGCCCCGACTTATTGTATGTAAATGTTTGTAATGTTTGTGTGTTAAATTATAAATGTATGTAAATGTTTGTAATGTTTGTGTGTTAAATTATAAATGTATGTGAATGTTTGTGTGTTAAATTATAAATGTATGTGAATGTTTGTAATGTTTGTGTGTTAAATTATAAATGTATGTGAATGTTTGTAATGTTAGTGTGTTAAATGTATTTGAATGTTAGTAATGTTGGTGTATTAAATACAGGTGAATGTAATGCTGGCATGTTAAATGTTTTTGAATTTTATTAAAATATATTGTGAGTGTTGTAGAAATCTTGAGAAAGCACTTTTGTAAATTTTACTGCACTTTCATATGTTTTCCAGGAAATTATATGTAAATTTTACTGCACTTTCATATGTTTTCCAGGATATTATATGTAAATTTTACTGCACTTTCATATGTTTTCCAGGATATTATATGTATATCGAAGCTACGGGGGCGAAAGTGAATGAAACGGCAGTGATTGCAAGTCCGAGTTACAAAGCAGCCACTCTGGGTCATTGTTTCAGTTTTTGGTATCACATGTACGGAAATGACGTGGGGACACTGAATGTTTATCAAAAGTTTGGCAACAAAAAGTATTTCTTGTGGACAATGAATGGAAATCGCGGCAACGAGTGGAAGAAAACAGAAATTACTATCAAAAACAACGATCCTTATCAGGTTATATTTAATTTAAATGAAATAGTTGATGATGAAAGTTATGTTTTCAAGTTGTTCAAATTGAGCTTTGGTTACTTGATTTCTCGCACAATCGTTTCAAACAAACCTTTGATGAATAATGGAGTATTTTTTTTTATATAGATTTTGATCGAAGGCAAACGAGGCAAAGGATATAGAAGCGACATTGCTATCGATGACGTGAAACTTTCAAAAGATGGTCCATGTGTATTACCAGGTAGTCAGTTAATATGCGTCAACAGTGCGTGAAATATTTTTCCCGTCTTATAAATCTTGATTTCTACGTTGTCTACTTGGAAAATTAAAATTTTTAATTTCATTAATCTTTGCAATCCGGCTCTGTTAGCATTTATTGGGAGTAAGTTTTTACGTCATGATTAGTCAGCATCAGTTGGTATTGAATTATTGGTCGACATGTTTTCATTTTTCTGTTTGATTTAGGTGCATGTGATTTTGAAAAGGGAACTTGCAGCTACCACAATACTAGAATGGAGGACGACTTTGATTGGATAAGGGGACAAGGAAGAACATGGAGTTATGGAACTGGTCCTTCTGTTGACCACACCTTGAAAAGTAGTCTTGGTAACTTGAGTGGATTGTGTTATTTTGTTTGTAGATCTTTTTAATATTGAACACATTTCTGACGTTCGTACTTACCTAAAAATTACAAACTATTCACTTTTTTTGTGCTTGTTTAACGATGTGACTATTTACATCAAGAAAGATGGTTAATATGTGATGGATCAAAGTCATTTTTAATAATCATAAGCCTGATGCTGGATAATCAACTTATTCTTGTATGCACTTCATATTTTCAGGTAGTTACATGTACATCGAAGCATCGCTACCTCGTCAGAAAGGTCACAAAGCTCGTCTAGTCAGTCAAGAATTTCAACCAACTTCCTCAATAAAATGTCTAAAGTTCTGGTTTCACTTTAACGGTGCTAGCATAGGTAAACTTAACGTTCTTGTGAAGACGGGTCCTGGGAATAAATCTGAAGAAATGGTTTGGACGTTGGGTTCGAACTTTGGTAACCAGTGGTTGAGCGCACAGACTCCAGTACAAAGTAAAAAGATTTTCCAGGTAAAATATATACAGATAAACGTTGGTTATAGACGTTAAAGATTTTTTGTGGTCCAATTCAAGTACAATTGTTATGAATCTTTGGAAAATGTTATTTGTATCATAATCGTCTTGTGAAAATCAAAACAAAGTGTTTCAATATTTACCAATTCAACATTTACCTGGAGCAACAAATAAGCACTTAAAATTATCAAGCTTTACTTAATTTGAGATATTTTCGAGTGACCAGTTTATGATTGATTGAGACATTCGATGTCAATAAAGTCAGTTTGCCTTGTGTCAATAAAAAAATACTCATTCTAGATGTTTGTCGTTTCTTAGATTGTATTTGAAGCTGTTGTTGGAACTAGTTTTCAGGGTGATATTGCAATCGACGATATAAGTCTTGTTAGCAGTAGTTGTCAAGTACTTCCTGCCATAGCTATTCCACCCACACTTCCACCAACTCCACCTTTGCCTTTGAATTGCACGTTTGAGCGTGGATTGTGTAATTGGCAAAACTTGAAAAATGGTGATGACTTTGATTGGACGAGAATTAAAGGAAAAACACGTTCCTATGGCACTGGACCAAGTGCTGATCACACAACAAAGACTAATAAAGGCATGTTTCATATGACACGGTCTTATCATTGAAAAATATTCTTAATTCTCTAGTGCTCTGCGTTACAAATGTGAAACGATCAGGAAGCTAAATAAAAATGAATTGAGAAAAAAAATTTGGGCTCTTAAGGGACAACTTGATATCTTCCTTCAGAACTGGTAGTTTAGAACATAACACTAAACTAAGTTCGAAAGTTATATTGTACAGATTTAGCTTGTTTAGTTTAAGGGTTCTCCTGTGGTAACTATGCAAAAAGTGGTATGTCAATGCCGTTACGCGATGGATTATTTAAAGTTTTGTTGTAAAGTTATCTCTATTTTTGTGCAAGAGTTGAAAACATGTTTTCTATCTAAAAATTTCAGGTTATTATGTTTACATCGAGACGTCATCTCCTCGCTCACTCGGACATAAAGCTCGTTTAGAAAGTGGCTCGATAGCTCCAACTACGGGGACTTCTGGAAAATGCTTTGTATTCTGGTTTCATATGTGGGGTGCCAACGTCAACACATTAAATTTATATACTCGTACAAGGGGTCTGCTAAAAAAGTAAGTGTTTGGGCAAAGAAATTGAGCGTTTTGACGTATTTGTAGAAAGTACTTTCACGTTTCTTGGGATTAGTGTATTTGCTGCTTTGCACCGTTGCTCTTGTTAATACAGTTGTTTGCATAAAATCTTTGTATAAGCTACAGCTAAAATCGAACCAGGGCAATGTTTTTTTGAAAATGCGAATAAGTGGGCTTTGCTGTTTGTTTTTATGTTGTAGGAATATTTTTGTCGATTCATCAATTATTAAATCATACTACAAATAACTGTTTGCTTGGTATTAATGTAAAATTTCCTATTATTAGGATCTGGAGTCGTACTGGTACCCATGGTAATCAATGGCGCAAGGCACAGCTAACTCTCTCCAGTACACAAACGTTCACCCTCGTATTTGAAGGCATCCGTGGAAATTCGTATCGAGGAGACATAGCCATTGATGATATTACGTTGGCTGATGGGAAGTGTCCGCCTTCGTGGCACTGTGACTTTGGTGATGGTTGGTGTCATTATGTAAACATAAATGGCGACCAGTTTGACTGGACACGAAAAAAAGGAAGGACATCTTCTATTGGTACCGGACCTTCTGTTGATCACACTACTGGAACAAGCAATGGTATATAGTTAGTCTTTCTTGATTGTCATCTAGTTTTTTTGTGGATTGTCGCTTGTAGTAAAATTTCGTGAGCGATTCTTATGCTTTTTATTGAATAGCTATCCAGTATAAATACTTCATAATTTATGTGTCTGCTTACGACATCAATATCTGCTTGAAGTAAACAACATACTTGTTGCGTAACCTTAAATACTATCTCATATGAATAATTTTTATACAATTTTGGTATTAGTAGTTATTCCGTACTGTTTTATAAAAATACAATTCTTTGTTTTTGCAGGATATTATGTATACATTGAAACAAGTTCTCCTAGAAAGAATGGCGACCGAGCTTGGCTTGTTAGCCGTACCTATCCACCTACACCAAAGGGAAAATGTCTGAATTTTTATTATCATATGTATGGATCAGACATAAATACACTTAAAATTCATGTCACGCCAGTTAGTGCGCCTAGTGGTAAAACTGTTTGGACTAAGATTGGTAACAAAGGAGATAAGTGGCATCATGGACAGGCTACCATGATTTCAACGGTCTCTTATAAGGTTTGTTATCTTGTGTCAACTTTGGAAAGGAAATCTTTTTTTTTGTTTGTTTATTTTATCCTTTGCTGGTAGCCATGCAAGCAATCTACCATCATCTCATAAAAAGCCAATAAAGATTTTTTTCATGATTACAAGATCCAATGCACTTTAAATCTCTAGGTTATTCAACCATCATACTCGTGGTTTACTCACATTAGACTGGCATTTAGGATATTAGTAACGTTATTTCTCTTGTAACTCGTTCAAATGGTCTGCTTCTATTTTTGATTTCTAACTGAAGAAATCACGATTTTCTCTTCAGGTTTACTTTGAAGGTATTGCAGGGAAGAGTTACAGAGGTGATATTTCATTAGACGACATTTGGGTAGATGAGAAGCCATGCCCACCCCCCGGAAGTTGTACTTTTGAACGTAGTTTTTGTACATGGGCAAATCAACCCAATGGTAGAAACAAGACAATTCAAGATGACTTTGATTGGACTATTGGCAGTGGAGGGACCTACAGTTATAACACTGGACCATCAAGTGATCACACAACTGGCTCAGCTCTCGGTACGTTTTACATTATGACAAAATACAATAAGTATCCTCACTTACATAGACGCTTAATCACAATTGCTGCGTATGCATGTTTGAACGTAATTCAAACTTAGATGTAATTATTTCAAACGTCAAATAAACAATATTTTTATTTTATTCCTACTAATCATTGTTTGTATTCTTTTCCAGGTAAATATGTCTATATTGAAACGTCATCGCCACGAAAGAATGGCGATCGTGCTGTTTTAGAGAGTGATATGTTTGACAACACTACCGGGAAATGTTTCAGTTTTTGGTATCACATGTATGGCCGTCATATTGGATCCCTTAACATCTATTTGCGAGACACTACAGGAAGTAAAATGTGAGATTAAGATCAAATTTGCTGAATTTACAACAATTATTTGATTATGACTCGAATATTTTAGAAATCTTGCGATCTTCTTGTTTGGCCTCCATTGTTGTAGACATGTTTTGTGATACATTCTTTAAGTCGCAAGTTGTAAAGATGATTTGTGATGTTTTCTTTATGTGAAATGTTGTAAAGATGACTTGTGATGTTCTCTTTATGTGAAACGTTGTAAAGATGACTTGTGATGTTCTCTTTATGTGAAATGTTGTAAAGATGACTTGTGATGTTCTCTTTATGTGAAACGTTGTAAAGATGACTTGTGATGTTCTCTTTATGTGAAACGTTGTAAAGATGACTTGTGATGTTCTCTTTATGTGAAATGTTGTAAAGATGACTTGTGATGTTCTCTTTATGTGAAACGTTGTAAAGATGACTTGTGATGTTTTCTTTATGTGAAATGTTGTAAAGATGACTTGTGATGTTCTCTTTATGTGAAGTGTTGTAAAGAGGACTTGTGATGTTCTCTTTATGTGAAACGTTGTAAAGATGACTTGTGATGTTCTCTTTATGTGAAACGTTGTAAAGATGACTTGTGATGTTCTCTTTATGTGAAATGTTGTAAAGATGACTTGTGACGTTTCGCATACTTTATGTTCATGTGTTTGTTAGAAATGCTAAATTTTTTATGATATATATTTATAATCCACTTGATCGATAAAATCAACTACATAATTCTTTCGTTTTTGATGGTCACGACAAGCTTTATATTGTACTTTATTTCAAGACTTGTTTGGTCCCTGAAAGGCAACCAAGGCAATGTGTGGAAACAAAGTGAAGTGACTCTCGTCAGTAAAAAACCATTTCAAGTATTGATTGAAGGAACACGAGCTTTTAGTTACACTGGGGATATTGCTCTTGATGATATTTTCTTCCAAGATGGCAATTGTGTGGGCCTTTGTTCGTCTGTCTTACCTACAGCTAGGGTTAATTGTGGATACTTTGGTATATCCGCTGGAGGTATGCATGATTTAACGTACTTATTTCTCATTATTGAATTTTTCTACATCACAAATTCCCTGTTTTATTCTTTAGAATGCATCACAAAAAGAGGCTGTTGTTATGATAGTAGTGTTCAAAATGCACCATTTTGTTATTTCCATCCTGCTACATGTCAATCCGTTCATGTTGCTGCGAGGCATCCCTGTGATCCATCTACAACAATTACTTCGCGTTCTATATGTAAAAATAAAGGTATTTTACATCAGAAAGGTTTAATGATAATACCTATTACGCAGGAGAGGTATAAGATGTTATTTGAAATGGCTTTACTATTGCATTATAATAAAATGTAAAAGACAATCATATGATACAATATATTGCACAACTGTGTGTGATTTGTGTTTTGAATGAAATGGATGAAGGTTGTCATTGATATATTTACTAAATACTATGTTTCTTAATGTAGGTTGTTGCTTTGATGACAGTCACAAAAATTCCATCGTATGCTTTAAGCATCCTCGTCAACCCACTCCATTCCCTACAACCCCCCCAACTACTCCACAAACTACTATAGAACCAATCCCTTATCAATGCGATTTTGAGAAAGACTTATGTTATTGGATTAATCATAATGATAATCACATGGACTTTATCCGACAAAGTGGAAGCACACCTTCTGTTCGGACTGGACCAAAGAATGATCACACGTTGGGTAGCAAACTTGGTAAGGTTTTGCAGCTCCGTGCATGTATACATTTAATTAGTTTATTTTTGAAACAGCACGATATCTCTAGAGAAAGCATACAAGTTATGAAATATGAATTATGTAACTTCTCAAGTATCTTTCTTGCGATTTTTCCTCTTGAGAGATTGTTCATTGTGTATCTTTTCAGGTCACTATGTATACATAGAGACATCTTCTACTAGTGAAAACGATACAGCGTTGTTAATTACTCAAAGTTATACGGGCAACAGTGGCAAGATCAGATGTCTACAGTTTTGGTATCATATGTATGGTGCCCATGTTAACACCCTGTCAGTTCACATTAAACCTTATGGTCAGAAGATGAATCCTGCTATTTGGCAAAAGTCTGGAAACCGTGGAGATAAATGGCGGTACGCGCAAGTCCGAATAAACGCTAACTCAACCTACAAAGTAAGTTATTATAAGCTGAGATTTAAGGTTCACTGACTTTGACTAAGTTTACAATTATTTTAGTCGAGATTCAGTTTCTAGTCTTTGAAAAAGACAAGTTAGACTCTTGTAAACCAAAGTTGATGCTGCAGGTTTAGTCGTGCAAATGATGAAATTAATTTTTTCATATTCCAGATCGCTTTTCAAGCAACGGCTGGCTCTAGTTATCAGGGCGATATTGCTTTAGATGATATCCAAATTCCTTTCAGTGAATGCCCACCTTTACCTGAATGTGAATTTGAAACACCTGATATTTGTCAGTTTTCACAAGATGTTGCTGATGACTTCAATTGGACAAGAAGCTCTGGGAATACACGCAGTCAAAGCACTGGACCAAACAACGATCATACTTACCAGACAAGCGAAGGTACATGTTTATCATTAATTATGACATTTAGAAACAAAGAATCTTTAAGTATTTATCATGTTTGGAGACACATAACCTCCCCTTACCTTTAGTAAGCTAGTGTTTTTTCATTGAGCATATTCATTTAAGGTTGTTTTATTTCTATTTAAAACATTTGATTGTCAAACTGTTTTGGATTTCATTATGTTTGGCCGTGCATCGAAAATGAAATCACTGAAATTTCATTCGCGTGCAGTTGTGCAAATTTTCTTCACTGAAAGATATTTGTGTCGTTTTTTTGTGATTTTTCTCGTGTTTTATTTTACTCAAATTGGTTTTTTTTTCTTGCTCAAAATACTATGGAATTTAAAAAGTCAAAGGATGTACAACAATTTATCATTCAATTTGCTCATTTTCAATAGTCTATCATTTCATTCCTGAACAGATGTTAATTTGTGTTGTGGTATTTTCCCATTTTTCAGGTCACTATATGTTTATTGAGACAAGTTGGCCACGAGTCTCCGGCGATCGCGCCCGACTTGAAACAACGCTGTACAAAGCTACAGTTGGATCATGTGCTCGATTTTGGTACCACATGCGTGGTAAGGGTATTGGCGTACTCAATATTTACGTTAAGAAGGGTGGCTCACTGGGGGCTCGTGTTTGGAGTGACAGCGGAAATTATGGTGACAAATGGATGAGGAAAATGCTTACAGTCACTAGTGCACAACCATGGCAGGTGTGTAGTGCTAAGCTGTTTTTCTGGTTAAAAGCGTCGGTGATTTTGTGTAAAGTGGCTGTTTTGGTTGTATGAGTAAAAATAATGAATGTGACTTTTCAAGTTTTTAAAACTACCTAAATGTTTCTGTGAATTTTGTGTGTTTATTTAGAAATATTTCTTCTTTAAATTTATTAGTTAGTCTTCGAAGGTGTTCGTGGTAACTCTTATCAAGGTGATATCGCTTTGGATGATGTGGAAATAACTCACAATGGAGCATGTCCCACTCTTGGATCATGTGACTTTGAAGATGATCTTTGCACATACAGCAATGAACCAAATAATGATGATTTTGACTGGGAAAGAAACTCGGGCGGGACGTATAGTATTGGGACTGGACCGAGTACAGATCATACTTACAATACTAAGGGATTAGGTACGTACCGATTCAATAGAACTTATGGTTTACTGAAGAGGATATAAAATTGTATATATATCGGAGTAGGTTGTGTCCATTTTAAATTTTAAGCTCATTTCCCCGTAGGAACTTACATATTATGAATGGCTTACCCAATGTTTCCTTGTTGCGATTGACATACCAAAGTTTTGTGGATCCATAATGACTAATGATTTTTTTGTTTATCTAGGACATTATGTTTATATTGAGACTTCTTATCCTCGTCGAACTGGTGACAAAGCGTGGCTAATTAGTGACATATTCCAAGTCAATCCAACCTTTAATTGGTGTGTTAAATTCTGGTTGCATATGTATGGTGATAGTGTTGGCTATTTGAATGTTTATGTTGTAACGGGAGTCACCAAAACAGCAAAAGACAAGTTTTACGAAAGGGTTTTTCATTTGACTGGAAATCATGGGAATAATTGGGTTTATCAAGAATTTCAAATCAACAGTGGAAAGGATTTCCAAGTGAGTCGTTGTTGATACATCATTTACAACTTACTTGAGTTTTCCAAAGAGCAACGCAGTCATTTTTCTTTAAGTTACATCAAGTATTGTGTTTTCTATTTCATTGTATCCATTTTTCAAGTTTTCATTAATAAACAAGGGAGAATTATCAACGAATAGAGTTGATTAGCGTTTAAGCATTCCTAAATATCTGCTTCATTTCTAGCTTAAATTTGAAGGCGTCGTTGGTACAGCTCCAACATTCTTGGGTGATATTGCACTGGATGACATTGTTGTTACCCCAGATAAGTGTCTTGCTCCTACGCCTTCTGCCACTGTTAATCCTTGTGCCGTTAGATGTTCATCAAACAATACATGTGTCCCAGCAAACAAGATTTGTGATTTTGTCAATGATTGTGGAAGTGCTGATAACAGCGATGAAAAAAACTGTGGAACCTGTAATTTTGAGAAAGGTGAGAATCAATAGAGCTTATTAGCTACTCACGATAGATCGGCCCTTTTCTATCTGTTATATTATCTATATTTTGATAATATTTTGTTCGTTATTTCGCTGTGAATTTGTCACGAGCTTACGTTACATTACTGCAGGACTTTGTGGATGGAACAACACAAGTGATGGAGTATACACTTGGCATCGTGATCGAGGTGGAACTCCCTCAAAAAACACCGGTCCTTCACAAGATAATACATTAAGTATGTAAAGTATAATATTGCTTATCACACATCGTGATTATTTTACCAATGTCTACTAGCAATGCCATTAATTATGCATATGTGTATTTTCAACTGTCCCCATATCCCACAGTTTTTATAATTTTGTATAGCATTCATATTACTTATTTCAATTTGTTTGCTTTATGTGATCAATGATTAAACATTTATCTTCTAGAGAACGCATTTGGTTATTACATGTACGCTGAAGCATCTCTTGGTAAAGTATATCATTTGGCAGCATTAGAAAGTCCTCTTCTTCAACAATCGTCGGCTACTTGCAAATTTAACTTCTATTATCACATGCTTGGCTCTTCCGTTGGCGTACTTCGTGTTTACATCGTAGTTTCTCGAAGATATACATTGCTGTGGTCTTTGTCTGGCAATCAAGGTAAACCTGTGTTAGAAGAATCGTTTTCTTGGCAAATCGAAAAATGAGATGATATAATTTCACAATAATATGGTTGGATTTCTTATTTTATAGTAATTTTATGTGTTTGCTGTAGATATCACATTTGAGAATGAGTTAAAGGGATTTATTTTGAATAATCTAGGTAACCAATGGAAGCAAGTCAGTTTGCACATTGGTCGACGTGTTGCACCATTCAAGATTGTCCTTAAAGCAAGACGTTCGTACAATGCCTTTGGAGATATAGCTATAGATGACCTTTCATTTAGTTTTTGCTCATTTCCTAAACCACAGTCATCATGCTACTCGAATCAACATCGATGCATGAACCGCGCATGCGTTAGCAGTAACAGGAAATGTGATATGACCGACGATTGTGGTGACAGTTCAGACGAATTATCCTGTTCTGGCTACATGAGGCGAGTTGCTCATTGCAGTGTCGCCACTGCTATCTTAATTGCCTCAACTAGAACTCATTGTAAATATGTGCTGAACTTTCTGTCGTTGTTAGGTTGATATAAAGCCTAGCACTTTATTTAAAACTTTTGAGTTTCAAACCTATTCTAACGGTATTTAACTGTCTTGTTTGAAATTTAGGGTTAATTTTGAGTATTCACGATACCCTTTCGTGGACTTGAAAGACGATGATTTCGACTGGACAAGACAGAAAGGTTCAACGCCATCCATTAATACTGGTCCAAGTTTTGATCATACTTATGGAACAACATCTGGTGAGAGTTATGTTTTATGTCATGCACAGTCGAACCACTGGTTGGCTGCGGTGCTTTTTTATGCATTATCACATGAAGATTTGTAGAATACTTGCATGTGTTTAGTAAATGTATTTGTCTGGACAATAATTATTGCTTGGTAATGACTTATCTGTTAGAATGTTGAAACTGCCATAAACATCAATGAAGCAAGAAATTACTTAATAACTTGACTTACGTGGATTTTTTCTGTATATCTCATCTTAGAAGCGGTATTTTTTCACGCTTTATGCCAATCATCAAACTCTCAATTTTTATTCGTTATTTTTAAGGATATTATATGTTTGTGGAGACGTCTTGGCCGAGAAAACCTGGTGATAAGGCAAGATTTGCAACCTTTTTCAGTTTCGTTGGTCTTCGAGCTGGTGACAACACTTGTCGAATGCGTTTCTATTATCATATGTGGGGTGATCACATTGGTAATCTAAGCGTTAAAGTTCGTGATACAATTGGTGGACCTGAGACAACCTTGTGGATACAAAATGATCAAGTGGCCACGTATTGGGAAAGAGCTGAAGTGATATTGAAGAGTACCAAAGATTTTCAGGTACATTTAGAGAATATTGTTAGTATTCTTTGTAGCTTTGCTACGTATTTTTTGTAATTTCAGTTTAAGATGTTACATGTACAATGTATATTTCTTTACAGATACATTAAGTAAAAGTTTATTTTAAAACTTAGGGCCTACGATCACTGACTTTGTGCTGAGAAATTTGACATTCATTTTTTTTTGGTCAGGTGATATTCGAAGCAATTCGTGGATCAAATTATCAGGGAGACATCTCGATCGATGATGTTTCATTCACACCATTTTGTAAAAGAGGTAACCGTCTTCCCACAGCTCCACCGACGCCTGCACCATCTACAACTCCTGGTCCATGTGGGCTTGGACGTTTTCAGTGTAAAGCCAGCAAACTGTGTATTGCGAATTCTAAAGTTTGTGATTACTGGAAAGATTGTAAAGATGGCTCAGATGAAGCAAAATGTGGTAAGCTAAAGAAAATATACTTATGATTGAAGAGATTTTAGTTTCATATGTTTACAATTTTTTTTGTTATTTAACTTAATTACATACTAATTATTCGTGGATCCTTAATTACATACTAGTTATTCGTGGATCCTTAATTACATACTAGTTATTCGTGGATCCTTAATTACATACTAGTTATTCGTGGATCCTTAATTACATACTAGTTATTCGTGGATCCTTAATTACATACTAATTATTCGTGGATCCTTCTGAAGATATGTCTTTTCAAGAAATAAAAGATGTTTACTGTGTTTGCACAGGCTTGTGCAAACCAAGGAGATCTTTGGGAGAACTTCATAGTTGATCAGTGCATAGGGGAGGAGACCTTTGGAAAAACTTGAGAACTGATCAGACAAATTTAAAGAATGTATTTATGATTAATTTGCAAATTTTCTTTGATGGATTGAATGATTTGATTTGTTGAGCTCAGATCCGTTTCGCAAAGCAAACACAGCTATAAACCAATCACCGCACGCGTTTTATTGTGTTTATTTTATAAATATATATAAGAAACCTATTTAGCAATGTTTGCTGAATTTCTTGCTACTGTAATTCCAAAAGAAATATCTGCAAATTTAATAACTTCATTCACACGCAGTAAGCCGTACTGTACTATTTTCTAGGTTCTTGTACTTTTGAGTCTTCTGATTTGTGTGGATGGAAAGATGCCAGTCTTGGTGAATATCAATGGCTCAGAAATCGCGGTAAAACACCTTCGCACAATACGGGACCGAAAATTGACCACACTTGTGGAACTTCAAATTGTAAGTCAATAAAACTACAGAATTGGGTAATTATTGCATCTTGATACCGTTAGTCGTTCTCTAAACCATTTACCGTGTATTATGATCATTAGTTGCATTTTAATTATCATCCTAAAGTTCTGTGTAATTGTTTTCGACTTTCAGGTCATTACATATATGTGGAAGATGGAACTGGTTCTGGCTATGAAAGGGCGCACTTTGTCAGTCCATATTTGGAAAGAACGTACACAAGTTGCAGAGTGGAATTTTACTATCATCTTTACGGTGTCTTTGCCAACCAAAACTATCTTTGGGTTGCTCTTCACTACAAACGTAAAACGTCATATATTTGGTATACGACTGGTAGCCAAGGTGATAAATGGAATAAAGGAGAGGTTGGACTTGGATCAATACCAAAGGGTAAGTGTTGGTATTGTTTATTCCGGTTAGACTACTGGAATACTAAGGGAGCGTGTAATTAAAAATGTCTGAATACAACTCCTAGGAACGCAGATTGCTTTCATTTCTTTCAAACCGTGGACATTCCTTGGCTCAGCTGATATGGCAATTGATGACGTCAAATTTGTTAACTGTGGGTTGCCAAAAGAGAGAACGTGTCTCCCAGGAGAGTTCAAATGCAAAAGGCGATACTGCATTAATCCCGATCTAGTAAGTCTCTGATATCGAGTCTTCTTTACAAGTATGGAATCGCTCTATTGCCTCAACTTTCATGACATTTATTTGCTTAAAACAAACCTAACATACTTTCGATTTAATGTTGATTTATACGCAACATCTTTTCTTCATATTGCCGTGGAATGTATGATTGGTTCTACAAAGTTTATTATTGTCGAGTAAAAAAAATGTAATCCCCATTTGCTTTGAGCAAGATAAATTTCCAGACTTGCATTAATATAGCTGTGCGATTTTGCTGACGATTGTGGCGATGGTAGTGATGAAACGGCGATCACTTGTGCTGAGTATCAAGGACGTTGCAACTTTGAAAAAGGTCTGTGTGATTGGACTCAAGATACAGGCGATGATTTTGATTGGTCAAGACAACAAGGCAGAACGGTCTCATGGCAAACTGGTCCTGGACGCGATCACACTACATGTATGTATTGGGAGAGAAATCACATTTTATTATTCAAATTTGAAACTCAAGATTTGTATTTTTGCAAATTTTGATCTTTCTAAAAACGTTGCAATCTGCTTTTCATTTTGTAATCTAAAAGTTTCACGTCGTCTTTTGGGTTGAACGAGGTTTGAGGTTTGAATTAATTTGAAAACATTTTAATTCTTAAACTGTCGTTTTTAGAAGAAAAACTTTTTGCGATGAATGGGGTTGAATGTGGGGCTCAATTTAGACTGTACCAAGGATTTGGTTTATTAAATGTCATCATTGTAAAAACTTTAAAATCCTTGATTCCATTAGTTATTTGAACATTAAACGAGACAAAAAAAACCCATAAGAATCACTACAAACTAGCCAAAAAGTTGTAGTAATTATTGGTCCAGTTTTAATCATAGAGTTATCTTTTAACATTTTATATTTTTGCTCTCACTTTTGTTATATTATCTTTTCCAGCTGTTCCTCAGGGTTATTACATGTATTTGGAAACTTCCAGTCCACGTAAGCAAGGTCAAAAAGCACGCATCAGCAGCCCCATAATAAAATATAAATTACCTTCGGACAACTGTCGAATGAGGATGTTTTATCATATGTATGGTAAAGATGTGAACGCATTGAATATCTACTACAGAAGTTCAATTGGTGGCTCGTTAAAATGGATACACACCATTTTGGGTAGGTATTGTGCTCTTAAAATCCCAGAGTTTTCAATTAACAAATTTGAGCTTTGTACATAGGTGTATCATTGTTTTCGATCTTGGGCCCACCAACGATATAAGCATCACAGATGATGTATTTTTAATCTTAACATGCGCGACATGTTTCCTGCACTCAATTTGTCAACAGCTTTTCCGTTATTTCCAAATTGTATGATTGATTTAGCTCATTAAAGTACAATTAAACGCTGGTAATTTCTTCAGCAATAATTATTGTTATATTTATAGGTGATCAAGGTGACCAATGGCGACGTTACGAAAGCCCAAAGCTTCCATTAAGTGTATCCTCATTCCAGATTGTCATTGAGGGAGTCGTTGGTTCTGGTTACCGAGGAGATATCGCCTTTGACGACCTGTCATTTACTAAAGGATGTGTGATTCAGCCGACAACAACTCTCATACCTACTGGATTTACTGTACCAACGTCACTGAGCTGTCCTAGCAAACAATTTAGGTTGGCTTTGTTCTCGTAGAAAACCTATTGTTGAGGAATTAACCTGTAGAATCTATCCAAACTTAGTCAAAGCTCTACACAAACACGAGGAGCCATTTTTATGATGAATTTTTTTCACGCTTGCTTGTCCTTAGTTTTATACCCTTAAAGAGAGATTGTCAACATTAATATACCGAATTTATGTATGTCTTCATATCCTTTAGTTGTGGTGGAGGGGTATGCATTCCTGCAAAACAATACTGTGACTTCCGAAAAGACTGTGCAAATGGAGCGGATGAAAAATCTTGTCCTGCAAAATGCGATTTTGAAACCGATGAATGCAAGTGGAAAGATAATAAGATTGGTGATCATGTTGATTGGACACGAACAACAGGCTCGTCATTGCACAATGGTCCAAGTGTTGACCATACTCTTGGGACGTCGTCTGGTAAATAAAAATTATCCTTTTCTATCTCATATTAACAACTCGTTTTCTTAGCTATACCCTCTAAGTCTGTGTATTTATGGCATATTTAAATATGTGTAGATATACATGTATCTTTTGCCAATCTTAGTACTTCGAAAAATGAACTTTTGCTTCCTTTAGACATTCATAAATTTATTATTACGATGACTTTTAGACAGCAATTTTTTTTGTTTTACACAAGAGTTTCACAATATTTTTATATTTAATTTAGGTCATTATGTTTACGGGAAAGTCTCAAACAAGACTCAGATTGTCTCTTTCAGTTTGTACATCAGTCCCCGATATTACAAGTCGAGCAAAACATGCAAATTTCGTTTTTACTACTATAACAATATAACAACTCTCTTCATCTCACCTCTATATGTTTATATTCGACGAAACAACATTGACACGCTCCTATGGGCCGGTAATGTCATGCCATCAGATCAATGGAGGAACGCAACTATAGAATTACCACCTTGTCTTACTGATTTTCAGGTACGTGTGAAGATAGAAAGGGTTTTTTTTAATAGTTTGTCTTATAAAGTGCGAAAAGACTGCATTCTTTTCACTATGATAAGAAGTATAAAATTTTTATATTGTTATTGATTCTTTGCTTTGTATAAGTTTTGTGCATTTATCATCTTTCCATGTGCCAAATGTCAAATACATTTAAGGAACTGTAACATATATCATTTAAATATGGTTTTTTGGTATTTTTAGATTGTCATATCGATTTACCATTATATTGGCTTTGATCGTGTTGTTGCGATCGATGATCTTGAGTTTTTAAATTGCTCTGAACCAAAACCTCCATCACGTTGCCTTCGAAGTTCTGATTTTAAATGTTCCAGTGGTCATTGTGTCGATAGTAAGAACAAGTGCGACTTTTCACCGGATTGTTGTGACTATAGCGACGAGACAGAAAAATTGTGTTCTGGTTACTACAGGTATATTTGTAGCTGTTAGTTGTGTTGTGGTTACTACAGGTATATTGTAGCTGTTAGTTGTGTTGTGGTTACTACAGGTATATTTGTAGCTGTTAGTTGTGTTGTGGTTACTACAGGTATATTGTAGCTGTTAGTTGTGTTGTGGTTACTACAGGCATATTTGTAGCTGTTAGTTGTGTTGTGGTTACTACAGGTATATTGTAGCTGTTAGTTGTGTTGTGGTTACTACAGGTATATTTGTAGCTGTTAGTTGTGTTGTGGTTACTACAGGTATATTTGAGGCTGTTAGTTGTGTTGTGGTTACTACAGGTATATTTTTAGCTGTTAGTTGTGTTGTGGTTACTACAGGTATATTTGTAGCTGTTAGTTGTGTTGTGGTTACTACAGGTATTTTGTAGCTGTTAGTTGTGTTGTGGTTACTGCAGGTATATTTGTAGCTGTTAGTTGTGTTGTGGTTACTACAGGTATATTTGTAGCTGTTAGTTGTGTTGTGGTTACTACAGGTATATTTGTAGCTGTTAGTTGTGTTGTGGTTACTACAGGTATATTTGTAGCTGTTAGTAGTGTTGTGGTTACTACAGGTATTTTTGTAGCTGTTAGTAGTGTTCTGGTTACTACAGGTATATTTGTAGATGTTAGTTGTGTTGTGGTTACTACAGGTATTTTTGTAGCTGTTAGTTGTGTTGTGGTTACTACAGGTATATTTGTAGATGTTAGTTGTGTTGTGGTTACTACAGATATATTTGTAGATGTTAGTTGTGTTGTGGTTACTACAGGTATTTTTGTAGATGTTAGTTGTGTTGTGGTTACTACAGGTATTTTTGTAGCTGTTAGTAGTGTTCTGGTTACTACAGGTATATTTGTAGCTGTTATTTGTGTTGTGGTTACTACAGGTATTTTTGTAGCTGTTAGTTGTGTTGTGGTTACTACAGGTATATTTGTAGCTGTTAGTTGTGTTGTGGTTACTACAGGTATTTTTGTAGCTGTTAGTAGTGGTGATGAACAAAACTAAACAAAATTTTATAAATAATCGTTTTTATAGATCATTCGATCTACAATGCATCAAGTATTTTATCCTCGTTGACTTCAAATCTCTCGTAAGGCTATGTTTATTATCATGTTTTTATTAACGTCTTGTGAACGCTTTAGAGCGAATTTTGAAGACGGTCTGTCAAATTGGACGCAATCATTTGATGATAACTTAAATTGGGTGAGACATAGAGGAAGGACCATTTCAAGTGGAACTGGTCCCAACGCTGATCATACCACAAACAGCGCCGAAGGTAAGAAAAGAAAGCGTTGAGCACAATACACACGTATAACTAACTTTATTTAGTTTTGTTTCTTCTTCTTTGTACAGTAAATAAAAAACACACGTCTTTTTTTAAAGGGAAAGTATTGGCACGCTATGCTCACACTTACTTTTGTTTTGTATGATTTAGCACAGGCTTTATGCTGCAGTAAGAAACCATTTAGTTCATTTTTCTTAGGTCACTATATGTATATCGAGGCATCGAGTCCACGAATAATGAACGAAACAGCTGTTCTTATATCACCATTGTTGAAATCAACGAAGACTTGTACGATGAGATTTTTTTATCACATGTTTGGTGACCACATTGGCATGTTAAGCATCTACAAAAAGGTTGGAAACGTCAAAAATCGTTTGTGGTCCATCAGGGATGATCAGGGACCGAAATGGTTAAAGAGGAGTATCGATGTACCTGCAACATCCAGCGGATTTTATGTAATTTTGATTTTCATTTTCACATTTGATGTGTCCACCGTTTCATTTTAACTGTTTATAATTGTAACCGTTTCATTATAAATGTATTTTTATTTCATTCTAATCTTTTTTTTTTTTGATAATCGTAACTTCTATGGAACTATAAAATTGTACAATAAGTGTTTGATGTGTCATGGCTGTTTTTCTTTGCAGATTTTGATCGAAGGTATGATTGGTTCAGCGTACAAAGGTGATATTGCTATTGACGATATCTCTTTCACTCCGGAATGCCAGCCGGAAATAGGTAAGCTGCTAAAAACAGGCTATTATCAATTCATGAACAATATTTTTCTATGAATTATTGTAATCTATTTCCACGCATATCTTGTAGTGACACCGACATCTATACCTAATCCTTGCTCCAATAATGGCTTCATGTGTAAAGGAAGCAAGTTATGTATCTCCGCCAGTAAGAAATGCGATTTCAAGAATGACTGTAATGATTTCTCGGACGAGAGCGCCGACGTTTGTGGTACTCCGTGTTTGTTTGACAATAGTTCCTGTGGATGGAAAGAAACTAAGCTAGATAACTTTGATTGGACGAGGTTTCACGGCTGCACCGCAAATAGTCGAACATGCCAAGACGCGAAGGGTAATAGTCAAGGTATGATATAACAACTAGCAGACAGAAAAGATCGCTCAAAATCAAGGATACCAATGCTACATGTGGAGAGGAAAATCATGTAAACCTTTGGTTCCTTTCATTAAATGTCTAAATCAGTATTGATTCATGGATTGATTTGTTGTTTCATTGATTAGTTAGCATAGTGTTTGTGTTCCGTTTTCAGGCTTCTTTATGTACATAACAAGTCTGACTGGCATCTCAGGAACAGAAGCGGTTCTTCAAAGTCCCTTATATCAGAGATCATCGCCAACTTGCAAAATTGTGTTTTACTATAAAATGACAGCCACTTATAGCGAGACGTTAAATCTGTACTTAAATGTTGGATCAAAAAAAACTGTCATTTGGACGAGAACAGGTATATGAAATTCGTAGTATTTGTTTCCAGACCTTGGCGGTTTGCTCGCGACAATCGTGCTTTGTTATTGTTTTTTGTTTGTTTTTTTTTTTATTTTTGATATTTTTTCTTAAGGTACGCATGGCCATACGTGGCACAAGACTGAAGCTATGGTTGGCAGACAGAGTAGTCCTTTTACTTTGTCATTTGAAAATAAGCATAGTGGGAGTTTTTCTGGTGACATTGCGCTTGACTTCATTACCATGAAGAATTGTGACGCTAAAGCTAGTTGCAATGGATTGAGTCGGAAAAAGTTAGTTAATTTAAATTGTTTTATTTCTTCATTAATAAGCCCTTAATGACCGAGAAAGCGAAGTTATTGAAAGGATTATTATATAGCATTATTTGATCTGAAACGAAGCTTTCTTTCTTTCTCGTCCTTGCTGTTTTTACGGGTTGATTTTTACTTTTCTAGTTTTCGTCCATAAAAAATAAATCGTTTCGAATTGTATCGTCTTGATAGTTTAACTGTTTTCCAAGTGTTTTTCCTTCGAATCACCTTCGTAAATGTTTTTTATTTCGTTTATTTTGCGTTTTGCTGCTTGCTTTTGCTGTAAAATTACGCGTTTTGGACCGTGGTCGATTACGGGAAAATAATGGACCGGCAAAAATATTTCTCAGCCAATCAAAGTGACGCTTGCCATATAATAATGTTTTGTTAATCTTCCACTTTCATGTATTTATAATGGTAATGATGAGCATGTCTTAAGTACAAAAGTCCTCTTACTGACTACATGTCTCCTTTTAGGTGCAACACAAACAGTAAATACTGCTTCTCCGATACGCAGACATGTGATCTTGTCGATGACTGCGGTGATAACACAGATGAAACGTCGTGTAAGAACATACGATGTAACTTTGATTCTGATACATGCCAGTGGAAAAATGTAAAAGGCGAAGATGATTTTGACTGGACTCGACATACGGGCTCTACTGGATCAATTGGAACTGGTCCTCATACTGACCATACGACAGGCTCAGGTAAATTTCTAAGAAAGTTTAACTGCGTTTTACAACGTTTCAATCATTTTACAATATATTGCCGTCTTTTCATCGTAAAATCTCAATGTATAATCTTCTTATCCATACATGAGTTGAGGTTTTTGATTTTGAGGTTTTTCTATCATTAGGGTATTATATGTACATTGAGGTATCTGGTAAAAGGCAAGGTGCAAAAGCTCAACTAGTTAGTCCTACGTTGATTGCACATACCGGAAGTTGTAGCCTGCGACTTTGGTACCACATGAAAGGTTCTGATATTCAAGATCTGAAGATTTGGTACAGAACATTTATTGGAGGACCATTACACGTAGTAGACTCATTGACCGGAAATAAAGGAGATATTTGGAATAAATTGGTAACCACTGTTCCTCTTGGTCAAAACATTCCATTTGAAGTTATAATTGAAGGTTTGCATATTTTTTTAATCGTTAAAGAAAAATCCTAATATATATAAATTGATATTTTTAGATAGCTTTATCAGTTCTTAATTTGTCCTTCTATGATTGTATTTGTTGCGAACAGTTCTTTCAGATGACAATTTGACGTGAAACTTCTAGGTGTTATTGGTCGTGGTTACAGAGGTGACATTGCTATTGATGATATTAGTTTTAATAACGACTGCCAATTACACTCTGGTGTCATTCCAACATCGGAAACGCTCGTCACGACTCCTGCACCGACGCCCAAGACAAACAATTGTAAAAGAAATGAGTTTGGTTGTTGGAGTGATGCAAAATGTATCGATAAAAACCAAGTTTGTGATTTTACTATTGATTGTGCAGACAACTCTGATGAACGTACCTGCCGTAAGTGGTCACTAAAAAAAATTATTTTTGAGCATTTTCCCTAGAAATTACTTCTGTTCATTCTGTTATATTCAAGCTGCCGGATGTACCTTTGAAAAGGATCGGTGTGGATGGACCGAGGTATCTGATGACACGGACGAATTTGATTGGCTAAGAATAAAAGGCACAACCCCATCTGCAGGGACTGGACCGATTGTAGATCATACAACCAATTCTACCAGTGGTTACTACCTATATATTGAGGCATCCTCGGGAGCGGCATATCAAAGAGCCAGACTCATAAGTCCTATTTATAAAAAGGTAATGAGTTGAATTCTTGGTTAATGACTAATGATATGAATTGCAATCTCTCAATTTTGACATGAGAATGGAAATTATGGCAGAAACCTATTTTGTTGATTTTTCTAATAGGTTAAGAGTTAGGCACTGCTTTGGACTTTGACAATTTCGACTATACAAAAAATTACATCAACAACATTTGATGAAGCAATGTTAAGCATTTTGTTAGTATTCTTTTAAATTTTTAGTCTTACTCTCAATGTGTTCTTACACTTTGGTATCATATGTACGGTCCGACAATTGGCTCGCTACGTGTCTACCTAAACTCAACTGGTCATATGACTAGACACTGGGTAAAGTCAAGTGATCAAGGAAATAAATGGCATAAAACATCAATCGGAATTGGAAAGCAGAGTAATCCATTTAGGATTGTTATTGAAGGTAGGGGCGAGTGTAATATCTTAAATATCTTTTCTATGACAGATACAAGACTTTATATCAGGTTTGAGTTTATCATCTAATGGTAGTTAAACCAAGTATCTAGTTTCCAAGTTGTAGTTTTCTTTTTTTTTACTGGATTATTTTCCTACATTGATGTGTGATGGTTGTTGATGATTGTTCTTCTTAAATATTTTAAGCTTTTTTTTTATTTTGCATTTCCAGCTTCTCGTGGACAGTCATACAGTGGTGATATTGCTATCGATGACATTTTGTTTACTGAATGTGGTTTGCCTCAGAAGCAAAAATGTCAACCTGAGGACTTTACATGCACTCGTGGAAGCTGTACGAAGAAAGCTTATTTATGTGACTACAATGATGATTGTGGAGATAGCAGTGATGAAACGAACTGTGGTATGTTACATTTAATGTCATTCATTCTTTCTAATGTGCTTCATCATATTTTAAACTAGTCATTACAAAGAAGACGTTAACAGTTGTAATGTGAACAAAAATAAAAAGAATACTTTGACATCTTTATGTTTCAAGCATATATGTTGATCTAGTTACCTGTGTTTTTTCTATATCTATCATTCATGATCTGGTGAAAGAAACAAGAGAAGTTATTGTTGCTGTAAAAAATAATATTACTTAGCTACTGTGTAATTTCTTAATTAAAGATTCATATCAAGCACGATGTAATTTCCAAATCGATGGTCAATGTCAATGGAGAAACAGCTTTGAAGATGACTTTGATTGGACGAGAATAAAAGGTTGGTTTTTAGAGAACTTTGTGTGTTCTTAACTGAAATATTGTTATTTTAAAAAGTTAACTCACCATCTTCAGGCAGAACAGCTTCAGTAAATACTGGACCAAAGTTTGATCACACAAATAGTGATAGCACAGGATATTACATCTATCTTGAAACGTCAAGTCCACGTCGCTATGGTGATAAAGCATGGTATATTAGTCCTATCTTCCAAGCACATAGCGTCTCAGATGGTTGTACATTAAGATTTTTCTACCATATGTATGGTGATCACATCGGTGAATTAAACGTTTACAAAAGAAGTTATGTTAATGGATCCTTGGGAAGGCCTATTTGGAAAGTCAAGTAGGTGTAGATTTTCCAAGATAACCACAAGGCTATCGATCATTAATATTTTCAGATTAATTTTTTATCATTCGATTTCTACATTCACTTTGATGTAGAATTGTGTTCGAATTTATTTTTAGATCAGATCAAGGAACAATTTGGAAACGTGCTACTATCTCGCTTTCGTCGGACAAACCATTTGAAATTGTTATTGAAGGTTTCGTCGGTGATGGCTATCGTGGTGATATAGCATTAGATGATCTATCCTTAACGTCCAACTGTATTGAATATTCAGGCTCTTTACCTGCGGAGCCCGTTATCCCCACCACTGTCATACCAACTAACCCACATTCGTGCAGCTCAAATCAGTTCAATTGTTATCGCTCAGGTACACCTTTTTCTTTCTTCTCACTATAAAGAGATACTCAGTTATTTTTACTCATGAATCCAACCCCTCTCCATACATAAAGTATTCTACTTTAGGTTTTGGCCTGAGAAATATGATGAAAAACATGTTATCATAATTTTTATACGCTTTACGTATACATTGTTATAGAATTTGCACAACTATTATGTAAAGAAAACTTAAGCACACTTAAATATTATGCTAAGGCATTTTTGGTATTGATTTAGATTATTTCTTTTAGGTTCTTCTACGTGTGTTGCCAATGATAAAGTGTGCGATTTTAGACATGATTGTCTTGGAGGAGAAGATGAAGACAGCTGTGTTAAGCCTTTTGCAGATTTTACCAATGGAGATACAGGAAATTGGCTGATTGCTGCAGCAGATAGCATCACTAGCAGTCGACGTTTGTTAGCTCTTGCCTATTCTTGGCGAGTATTTCAAGTGGATGATTTTACCAAACCTAGCACGGATCATTCAGCCAATGGTAGCTATCTTGTATAGATTTCAATTATTTACGTTCACCAAGAAATATTTAATGAAATACATATAAAGAGTATTTATATTTTGAGTAGAAACATACGTTGGGTATCATTTAAAGACTGCCTGTTAATTTTAGGTCAAAAGTATGGTTGGTATCTTAAAGCGGATGCATCCGCTGCCTTGTACAGTGGCAGTGTTACGACGTTAAGCAGTCGTGTTATATCTTCTTCGGGTCCTCATTGTACATTGGAGTTTTGGTATTACATGAATGGAAATCATGTTGGAACATTGTCCGTTTTGACCAACGATATCGCTTTAAATGTCTTGTGGTCGAGAACAAGTAATCAAGGAACACAATGGATAAAAGGTATTGTCGCCATTGGATCAAGGCGGAACTTCCAGGTAAATGTGCATTTTAGTATAAAATATTCTCTTGTAAGAATGTTATCGTTGTTAATATAAACAAGGTTTTCAATGTCCTTAAATAAAGTATTTTTCTACCATTGATTAGGTTGTATTCCAAGCAAAGTCAAAGACGGCGGGTGGTTCCCAAGATATTAATCTTGATGATATATTGTTCAAAAATTGTGAGCCTCTTATTGTTGACGCGATTTGTAAGGCAAATGTTGAATTCAAGTAAGTGTAATTATTGTAATTTTTCACTGTCAAAGGGTTTTTAAAAATTAAAATTTTTTTAACACGTTGCAATTTTGTTGCATCAAGAAGTGTTCCTTAATGAATAGCAACATTGCATCTTTTTGCTACCAATGAAATTATTTTTGTGTTGTTGTATGACTCGTGACTTGACATGTAATATTTGTGTTAAAGATATTCTGATATAAATCTTGTAGATGCGAACTTGGTGGGTGTACAAACATTAGCCGAAAATGCGATTTTGCTCTTGATTGTATGAATGGGGACGATTCTGATGAGGTTGGCTGTGAGGCTTATCCTGGACGATGTGACTTCGAACATGGTTTATGTGTCTGGGAACAAGATCGAACGGATGATTTTGATTGGACGAGAAACCAAGGCACCACTCCATCATCTGCCACGGGACCTCTTATTGATCATACCACTGGGCAATCAACAGGTAAACACACAATTCATTTTTTCGAGATTATACAAAATAAACTCATGTGCGTCACTATAACCTTGCGCTTCATATCCCTCATCGTAGCTTTGTGTTCATTTAGGTCACTATATGTACACGGAGACATCATGGCCAAGAAAACAAGGAGATCGAGCAAGACTAGTAACACCTGTTATTAAGTCAGAATCAAAAAATTGTCGTCTTCGCTTTTACTATCATATGAAAGGATCCAATATTGGGTCATTGATCGTCTATATCAGAAAAAGTTATATAGATGTGAGTACGACGAAAGTGCTTCTCAACATCACTGGTGAGCAGGTAAAACATTAAATTCATTTGTGATGGTCGACTTTTCTATTGGTTATGCATAAATAAACTGTCTTGTTGGTATTGAATTGCCCACACGATGAAGCTTGAATATTATTATTTCATACATGTGTTAAGTTGGAAGTGAAATTAGTGATCTAGGAAAAGTAATCTTGTGTTACCATTGTTAGCAAAGAAAGAATTACGTATAAAATAAACTGACTTCGTTTGTTAAATTGAAAATGGTCTTAACGATACCTTAAGAACAATTATTATTTTAATTATTATCTTTAGGAAGAGTTTTGGCGACGTGTTGATATACCAATATCTTCGGCCAGTGAATTTGAAATAGTGATTGAAGGTGTACGGGGTTCGTCATATACTGGAGATATATCTATTGATGACGTATCACTGACACCAGGTTGTAAAATGTGTCCTACCTGCGCTCCAATTGAGGGTAAGTTATTTCAGGATTTGAATAGGTATTTTATCTGATCATTAGTACTCAAGCACTGCTTTTCGTCATTTTCTAGGTAAACCATCGCCTACACCGTTTGGCCTTCGCACCAGACCGTCAAACTCGCTTTGCACTGCCTCACAATTTGCTTGCCAAAATCTGCAATGCGTGGAAAGGCAACAAGTTTGCGATTTCAAAGACAGCTGTGGTGATAACTCTGACGAGATACCTTGTGGAACCAGTTGCACATTTGAGGATAACTATTGCTATAGGGGATGGCGAAATCCTTCTGGAGTAGATAACATGGATTGGAGAAGACAGACAGGAGCTTCAATTTCAAGATATCGTCCAGGGCCAAAGAATGATCACACCAAAGGATCCGAAACAGTATGTTTTACAGCAAAATAATGTCTTACTTGGTTTGTTTTCTCATATGTCATATCATCGTTGTTTCGCAGGGCTATTACATGAATTTCGATGGTTATCGTGGAAAAGAAGGAGCGAAGGCGCAACTTTTGTCCTATCGTTACTTTGCCTCTGACCCTCATTGTATTATGTCATTTTGGTACTTCATGACAGGTAGCACCGTTGGCTCACTTACAATAAAGTTGAAGCTTGCACAAAGTTTTACATATAAAGTGTTGCATACACTTAAAAAAAGCCAGGGTAATGAATGGAAGAACGCTAATGTCAGTATTGGTGCACACAAAGAGTTTGAAATAATCTTTGAGGCATCTCGTGGTAAATCATATGATGGAATTATTGCCTTGGACGATGTAATGTTCCACAAATGTTTTGCTGGTGAGTTATAGCACATGATTACCTTTTGTCAAGTTGTCAACAAAGTTTTAATTTTTAATGAAAACAGACTATCACAGAAACTCTAACTTATATAATGATGGTTTGAAAACTTTCAAATTGGTGCCTTAGTACGTATTTTTATGTAGAATCCAGAAGAGCATTTTTTGTTTTTAGGATCACCATACTATTTTTTACATGTATTTTGATTTTAAGTTTGTATTTTGAGATTGGCCGATCGGATAAGTTGTTTACGATAAATGATTTATTATCGTAGATGCATCAAGACTATGCAACGAACATGAAATGAAATGCAGAGGAACAAACAGTCATTGCATCAGTAGGCTGCATAAAGTTTGCGATTTTGTTGATGATTGTGATGAGAAAGACGATGAAATGAATTGTGGTAAGTATACTCATTTAGGAAATCTTCATTATGTCATTAGTCACAAAACGTGATCATCACCACGGCCATAATGCACGGTTAATTAGAAGTTTTTTTATTAAATTCTTGAACAGGAATTTTTAAGTGTTTAATTGCAACTGTGAATTTTATGCAAAGCTATATTTTTCTTCTAGATAAAGAACCTTATAATTGTAACTTCGACAAGAATATGTGCAACTTTGCAGCCACAAACTGGGTTAGAAATACGAGTACAAATACACCTGGTACTGGAACGACCTATGATCATACAACTGGCAAAGGTAAATTGTTTTGTAAAAAGTCGTTTTTCTGAAAACGAAGAGAAAATTTAATTTTAATTGGGCAGTTCAATTTGTTTCATAATTGAATATCAATTTTGTGATGTATTTAGTAGTATATTCCAATTTGATTGAGTACTTTTGTGTACTTTCATGTAAATTGAGTATCATAATTTATTTAAAAGCAAATTTATCAACAGTGACCAGAAACATTAACATTATTGATCAAGTTTACTTTTTTTCTTTAATTCATACTTAGGATCAATTGTCTTCGTGGACTCCTCCAAACTCCAAGCGTTCGATAAGGCAGTATTAAAACAGAAAAACGCAGGAAACGTTTTCCCCCCCGGTGATGGTGTTTGCTTTATAAGATTCTTCTACAAGATGTGGGGCTCTCAACATCTTGGTCGATTGCAACTCTTTATTTTGACCAAGAATGGCATTATGAAGAATGAACTTTGGCAGACTAGAGGTTTGAATAACGATTGCTTAATGCTTATCGTTTCTTAAATTGTAGTTTTGTTTTACATAAATCTGTTACGCGTGCTTAATTGCCCATATATTTTTTTTTACCTAGGTGATGCAAATAATGATAACTGGATACGAGTCGACCTTCCTCTCGATTCCAATGAAAAATTTTCGATCGAGTTTGTTGCTACAATAGGAAGTGGAGAAAAAGGAGACATTGTAATAGATGACATCAGTTTCTCACACAGCTGCAGTATTGGAGGTTGGTCTTAGCAATGTTTGTTATCTATCTATCTTTCACCATTAATTTTAACGGTTTCGTTGTATGCCTTGATTATGTATGAAATTTTTATTCACGTCTCAGGCTCGCCAGCTCCACCTGTGACTCGTCTACCCGATGCATGTCCCTCAGACCAGTTTAAATGTCGACAAAGTGGCTTGTGTATTGCAAAAAGATGGAAATGTGATAAAGTTAGTGATTGTGATGATTCCTCTGACGAGGAAAGCTGTGGTAAGTCAACATTTGTGTCAACCATCTATACATCACTATTATATCCAACTGCAGAATCATATCGCAATAGGTTTTCTGTGCTTATTGATATAAAGTAATGTTTTCACCTGTTTTTTCTAGATTACACGACTTCAGCACCCAAAACAAGTAAGCTTTCCTTTTCGAGAATACTATCATAATAATAAATAAAGTATCATTTAAATGTTTTTCATTTTTATTGTTGTCATTTAGCTCCGTTCACGTGCGTAAGTGATGCTTATTACCAATGTGAGAATTTCCAGAAATGTATTCCACGTTACCAACTCTGTGATCATTGGATTGATTGTCCTAATCAAGATGACGAATATCGGGAATTCTGTCCTAATCGTAAGTCACTTGTAGATTAAAATGAGGACTCGGGTCTGGTTTAACGTTAAGATTATTGTGTTAAGATAACATTGTTAGGATTGTTCTAAAGAAATTATGCTTTGGTTCATGTAAATTTCGATGTTTAAACTATGTCTAAAATTTAAATATACAATGTAGCTACGACGTTGGCTCCGTAAGAAAGAATTTTTCCATTTTAACTACAGCGCCAAACATGTTTTAAAGTATGATTCACTCAAATGATGACCAATAATGAGTATCAGTTTAGGTAGTAAAGAATAAAAAATATATAATAGAGCGAAAACAGTGTTTAAAACTGAGGTTTTATTAAAAGAGTATGTTAAAATTATTTATAGTCATTTAGGTAGTGCAGTTCATAAAATTCAAAATACCCTGACGCATTACATGTTTTCGCAGTAATTGATTATAGACTAGTAAAAGTTTCTTAACGTTTAAGGTTTTTTTAATCGTTCGCAGGAAACGAAGAAAATCGTGATCTTTACTACTGTGAAGCATCGAAAAAGTTTTTACCAGCACGGCAAGTCTGCGATGACAAACAAGACTGCCTTGATTATGGCGATGAACTTGATTGTAATGGTAGGGGAAATCATTGTGATGAGCCAATTATTGATTGAAATAAAGCATTAATCATGTTAAGCGTAAGTCACCTTTCTGTAGCTCTTTTAAGTTTTGTACTATTTATCTTTAAGGTTGTAGAAAGGATTTCTGTTTGAATAACACCAAGTGTTTAACAGGCAATAAAGACTTACAACCATCTTCTTGCAAGTAAGTCGTAAAATTGTTCACAATTTAACTCTACATAAATTCTGAATGATATTTATCTGTAGAAATAATGTCATCCTTTCACAATTGACAAGTGCCTCAATGGAAGTTGTAAAGTCATAAATGCAATTTTGCAACAACATAAATCTATAGCTGTATTTTGTAAGGGCATCTCATATTTTTCTTTCTGACTTGGAACTTTATTAGACATGTTCATCGCTAGATCAAGTTTTATTATCTCATGGTTTCATTAATTGTTTAAAAATCGTCGAATCATTTGTGTGATTGATGATTGACAATATCAAAACTCTAAGTTCTTGAAGATTTAATTATTAGATGTCAATTCTATTTATTTTATTGCTATAATGAATATGTTGACATTAGATACGCTCCCATTCTTCTTCCCAGATGTTCTTCGGGTGTCAGTGGTAATCGTTGCCAGTACAAATCAAACGTTTGCTTTAACAAAACTTTTTCGTGCTGTGATGGATCACCCAAATGCTTGAGTTACGATAAACTTTGCGATGATGTCAAAGATTGTAAAAACGGTTTTGATGAAAATAAAAAAACTTGTCGTGTTTTTCTTAAGACATTCAGGAAACCCAGTAAGTATTTTATTATTTTAGTAATAAATTTAACATGCAGATGCTTCGTTATGTCGTTTGTGTAAATTTTTGATTTTTTATGAATAGCTACCGTTAAGAATAGTGTGTATTTTTTTGTTATAGTTACGGCGAAATCGAGTGGAAGTAAAATAACTACAAGTATGTATTGTTCTGCTCATAGAATAATCTTTAGCTATGAGAGTAATCTTCTTTATGATGTTTTTAGGTTCATGGTTTTTACCTGTTATCGTCGTTGTTTCAATGATTATAACTGGTATTGTACTCGTCGTGGCATACATCGTTTTTAATAAAAGACGGTACGATGACATTACATGTTTTAACTATTTGTTCATTCTTGCATAAATTATGCATTTTTACCCTGCATTGTTGTTGACGTTAAAATATAATATTGACTTAACAACTTACCGCTCCCGATGTAGATACTGGAGTGGAGTATATGGGAATTACTTCACTATAGATAATGACATTAGATTCCGTATACTAAATCAAATTTTAATATTACGTCATTTCTGATGAAGATATTGCATTAGAATATTGCTATATACGAAATCAAATTACATCCTCACTTTATGATTAAAATACCACGAATCTTGAAATTCGTACATTTTTCTTTAAGAAAAAAACTTACATTATTCTCCGTGTTTTATGATCCCAATAGGAATAAGAACGGAGAGACGTCAAAGTAAGTAGTAAAATGTGTCTTTTATTTTCACTGGGACATTACCAAACGTATAGAATGATTGATTTGAAATTTTCTTTCGTCTATTTTAGAATTTCATCTGAAGATGGTGCTGTCAATGTTTCAGAAGGAATTGGTAATCCGGTTTACGATGAAGATAGGCCTTTGGAAGGAGTAAGTTTTTTATTGATTAAAATTTTTCATGGAATCGTAGCATTTTATGGTAAGAACTAATGGCTAAAGTACAAAATACCTCGACACACGAACACCACCAAAAGAAAACAATAAAAGCCACATCAAAAAACAAGCTTTATAATTATTGGACTTTTTTTAACAGTTCGCTATGAGTGATGTCGACACGAATATGTTTGTTTCCGAGGACGCTTTCACGCTTCCGGTGCGTCATGTTGTCTAGTTGTTCTGTTCCTTTAAATTCTATATCTATAAATGAACACATCTTGAATCTTTGTTTTGGTATTGTTTTAAATTAGAGTGAAAAAGATGGTGAAACATCCATGGCGAACCCACTTTATCAAGACCCATATTATGGCGAAGATTAAAATCTAACTAAATTAAATCGAGTGCAATTTACATATTTTCGTAATTTCAAACAAATCAATATTGTGATTTTTATAGTTTGCACAAAAATAGGAATTCTGTATAATAATCTACGAAATTGAAAAATGAATACACATATTTTGATTAATTGTATATCCTATACATACAACGTAATTGCCTATAATTGTGAAGCTTGCTTCAATTTATATCCTATCATATTACCTTTTTCACATCTTTCTTACCTTATGGTCGCAATTTATAATTTTTTTATGTACTGAATAAGCCTAAATGCTAAATTTAAGTTATTTGTGCTTATTCAGAGGCGACATCCTTTGCACAAAGGAACGCTATTTATCTCTAAGTTTTCAGATGTTTTATACATCTTTTTTACTTTTTTCATTAAAAACGAAATTAAACATTTTTTAGCTTTTGTAAATAGTTTTGTGGCTAATAGCTTCCTTATTGGCGGCAGTTTTATCTTTTAATGGTGGCGTGCTGTTATGTTGAAAGACATTTTACTCGAAGCAAATATGACAATGATGTCTATCCATGTAGCTTTGGCAATGCTCATTTGCAGTAGATGTGTTCGTCTGTGAATAATGAGCATCCTTAATCACTCTTCAACAAATATGTGAAATTAATCAGTATTTATTCTTATTCATAATAGTGGCGTCGCTCAAAACAAAACAGATAATTTTGGTACTAGAAAGTTGAAATCGACCAAATCCTGGTAGCAAGTGGATTTTACTTTCAAATTGTTGCTTGTGTTGTGTGATGTTCTGTAAGTGAAAGATTTATATGTAATATAGGACATTTTTTTCTCTAGATAAGGTTGACTAAACTCAAGTTATCCAGGTTGACGGGATCTATTACAGGTATACGAATTTACGAAAGGTATTTTCTACTTTTAACAGATGACGTTAGTATATATAGCTTCTTTGGCGTGTAGTTTAAAATAAAGCATTCAATATACTGGGAAAACTCTCTCCTTGTGAGCAAGGTTACCATTATTTACTATTTATAAGATATCTGCAGTTTTATTCCTTCTTGATCTGCCGTATTTCTTTGCCAAGTCACGTTGCTTCGATCAAATTTTTTATTTTTCTCCCATAGTAAGAAACAGACTTTATCATGTTTACCCAAAATATTTTATAAATCACAGATCTATGCAATTCAACACTGAAAAGCTCGGAAATTTACACTTATATGCTTAAATATTGTGCATTGTTGTATAGTTTATAATGTTTTACGAAAACATTAAGTTATCAGTTTCTTTCGAACTGTGATTGACTTTAAGCAGTATTCACTCTCTCCGTTTAGTGGTTTTATACATTCTGATCATTATTACTGAACTAGTCAAAATATATGTTATTAAAGCAGTTCGTTTTAAAGTTAAAAATATTTCCATAACAGCTATTAGGCATGAGTTTCTGAAGAATAAAATTTCACCCCATGAATTTTAAGTGAAACTGTTTTAATTAAATTCGACTTACGGCAGATTCTTCACAATTATATCATGTGACATCTCTAATATCCAGCTACGTTACGCGTTCACGTCATTGCTCATAAACATCTTTCCTTTTTCTCTTCCTCAATAATCAATGAAAAAAAGCGCGGCTGAAAGGTCAATAGTTGATTTTGTTGACGTTTTGTTTAAAGCAGTAAATGACATCGATGAAGGGTGAACGCATGAAAATCAATACGATAGAATTTTACTATAATTATAATGACGCATTGACGTTTTTTTAATAAATTTTTTTCCGGAATTATCGAAACTTCCATTTCTACGCAACCATCGGTCGATCTTAAATTACTTATTTAAGTCATTATGTGAAGAATATATTGCATTTGCTGAAATTAGTTTTCCCTGTGACATATTACATTCTAGGTAAATCGCGACTGTAAGACGAGAAAACGCAGCTTGTAAAGTTTATAGAGTAGATTGAGGTATGAATTTGTATTTGATACCTGAAACTTGGCTTTGTTTGTTTTTCGTTCATTTCATTGTCTCTTCCTTTCAATTTTCGATTATTAAACGTAAAATTATGAATTTTGTTGAGACAATTAGATTCTAGTTATTAAATACTGTTGTACATTTGTACTCACTTGATAAACATATCAATGAAAGGAACATTTCATTGGAAAATTTCTTTATTCTATCGTAAAGTTCTTACATTGTCTGAAGTCTTCAGGCAGCAAAGATATCATTTGAAGTACAATGCAATCATTTATACAGTAATTTTTATATCTTTCATCTCATACTGCGAATGCCAAGTTTACAATTAATGAGAGTGAGCCCGCCATACTTACGACTATCTCTACGCGTCCGTTGTGATTGTAACCATAGTTTTACCAAACACCAGACGAATGTCTTATTAATTATAGCTTTTAGACTGAGATAATCCAGTTGCATTACACATTTTAAGCTAGTCCTCAATGACGATATAACCATTCGTTTACAATTTTTTTATGTATAGAGAACAGAGTTATCACTTAACCCCGGCTCTTTCCTTGATGTTCTTTGATTTTTTTGAATTGAAGTGGCTTAGTATATATAACACGTATTTAAAAAAGATTTGAAACTCGTTGACTAGAGGATTATTTTTATGGTTAATTTCGTTCCTAAATCCATGCAAACGAACAACATCCTCTCCATTTACACATGCTGTGACATCCCATGCAAAAAAATGACAATATTTACTCGTCGTCAAAAACATAAGGTATATTTTTAAAAAACACCTTGCTTTGTGATCACCAAAACTGTATGAACCAATACAAACATCTTTATTTTTATTTTTCTGTTGCGCATGGGACAGCAACGTTGATACTTGACCAAATTCATATATTTTGCCTTCGCCATTGTGCTGTGTATTGCATGATATTTCTTACATATCACTTTACCTACAATCTGTTAAGCATCAACACTGATTAAAAGATTAAATAATTAAAATTCGCGTTGACATTTTCATTGGAATTTTTATTCCTAAGTATTTCTGTAAACGAGGGGTTTTCCGTTGCAAAGCTCGTATTAAGTGAAGAAAAAAATGTCCACTTTGTGACATTGATGTTTTTTAAGCGTGCGAAAATTAAAAGGTTTCGTTAATTTTCAATTAATAATTTATCTCAAGTTTTCATTTATGAAAAGTTAAAAAAATTATTGCGTTTTATTGTAATGACAGTGCGAAGGTACTCGTCACAAAACTGTTTATTGTTGTGGGTATTTAATTTCCATTCATCTTTTGTTTTTATCCCAAACAACAACGCCGTTCCTATCTTTGTTTTTCTTAGCCTTTCAGTTGATGATAACGTTATCAGTGAAAACATTTTCAAAATTAAAATCTCTCGAGCTAAATTGTGTTTATCTGTTGAAATTTGCGTAAATACATTGCGGAAAATATGCACAAAAATTGCTTGGTGTCTGACAAAAATTGCTTGGCGTTGCTCATTACATTTTTATTCATAAGACTTCAAAGTGAGCTCTTACCGAGCTCTGAACATTTCTTTTGACGACTTTAATTTTTCAATGATTTAAAAGTATTTTCCTTCAACATGGCTCTTTCGAAGTTGCTGGAATATTTTTGTAAGATTTTGGAAAGACGCTTTTGAAAAATGTTTTGAATCATCTTTTTCCCAATTACGTCCTTTATTTACATTACTGATGATTTATGATTTTAAAGAGAAAATAAAATATAAATAGATTATGTTTTTATTATCCAAATCTTTAATATATTGCTAACTACGTTCACTTTATGATAAATGATGTGTAGATTCTTTGACAATAATATCAGGCCTATAGTAAAGAAAGGGAGGGAGTAGGCCGGCTGTAGCCCCTCGTTAACTTACCCCCTCCAACCCACCCAATCGTAATTTAATTTCAACTGGCCTGAATATTATCAAGAAATGCTTATGTCTATTAAAATTGATTAAAGTAAACATGCATGAATAGACGTTTTAGATTGGTCTATTGATGTGAAAGAAGCATATGTTTAAAGGCGATGACATTATCTATACAACATGAGCACGTTCCACATCACAATGACTTCATTTTGCCACCATTCATATATCCACGTCATGAATTAATGGTAAAGTGAAAGATATATATTTTATTAACTTTTGCTGCTATAAATATAGTGCTTGAAAAAATATGCTTTATATCACATTAGCGATATTGTCGTTGTGTATAACCATGCCTAAAAACTATTAGTTCATGATAATATATGAATTACAAATGTGAAGTCTCAAATTACCTCAAAGTTTTAGCCCCCTGTGAATAGTTTTTTGGTCCACAGGATGTTCGCAAAATAATTTATTGTCGATGATAGTATCAAGTGTTCCATGACTCAATCTAAACATTAATAAAAAGTCAGTATTTTCATTGTCCGTGTGGTTCGTTGCTTTATCGAGGTAACGTTGTAACTACATTTTATATATTTATAATAAGTCTTGAGATAAAAATTTAGCTCTTCAATAAGAAAGCGATATGTGTATTACATGACAAAATGCTCCTGTTAAATGTCAGGTAAATATTGCATGTGTTGTGGTTTTGATTTAATGATTAAGTGAAAAGCGATCCATTTATCGAACTTTATCTTAATGCGCTTTTAACTTTTTAAAGTGTTTTTATATTTCTATTTCTCCAGTATGTAATAATATAGCTGTGAAAAAATACGTGTCATACGTGTCATATATAGCTGCGTGATACCATTTTTCTTCAACCATGACCAAGAAAGCATGCTGGTTTTAACAATTATATATTTCTATAATTTATAACACTCTCCATTCTCTTGTTTGACATTGTCATGGTTTCTGTCGCCAAAGGTAATTTTACCCTTAGAAAGCTTATACTACAACATACAGATATAACATTACCTTTATCCTTCTGAATTAACTACAAATACTTGTTATTTCAGCAATTAGAGAATGTAAAATTTACAATGTGTTTACAGAAACTCTGTGCTAGACCCGTGATAATGTTATAATGATTTATTATGATTTGTTGTCTCATCGAAGACATATTTTTATTTGTGTAGGAAACAAAGAGTTTTTTTTGCTCCCTCAAGGAAGTCCGCTGCTTGATCCAAAGACGTATTATTCAAATATTGACGAAATTTCGTTGCTGTTCTCATAATATCGACATAAGAGTGCGTATATTGACAGATGCTGCTTCAGATGAATAAATTCTGAATTATTGGGGATGCTTAATGTTTAAATAATCATCGGGAAACGTACGCGAAGCAATGTTTTAAAGATGAACTCCTCAATATAAGATTACATCTATTATGGTAAGTAGCAATTCATATTTTTATGTCTGCTTAGTACAGCCCATTTATTCTTCTAAAAGTGTTTTATCTTATTGTTTTCTAACAAAACTATATTGTATACATTATTATGGTATTTAAGTTAATAGAAAACTTTAATGTTCTAAGTTATCTACACGCATTAAATATTTTAAAATTTAGCCAGTACGTATCTCAACTCGTCAACTGTGTAACTGGAAGCTTCCATGTAGAGACATTTATACCTTTAACATACTGTCATAAATAGATTTTGGGTTGTATTTCCCAACGTAAATGGGAGTGGGGACATTTAAATGTAATGAAAGAATATGACCAGAACATTCGTAAATCACGGCATGATATAATTATTGGCCTCAATGCAAATTATTGTCATGCAAGATTTCGATTGATGTCATAGCCCGGATGTCGTTTTAGGGGATGTTGTGTGGTCAGGAACTACCACATATAGTTAGTGTTGACATCCGTAATTGTTCCAATGTGAACAAACTGAATAATGAACGACTTTTTATAAAAATATACACGATTACCTATCATTGCTTTTGACTAATGACATATAAAAGGTTCATGTAGATCCTGTTATGAAGAATACATTGATACTCTGACATTTGCACCCATAATTAACTTATCCTTTTTCCTTATAAACGAAAACGAAATCTTATTTGCAAGATGGATGTTTTTTCTCATTTATTTATTAGTTTATTTCTTATTTAAAGCTATTTCATTACATACGAAGTGTCAGCTATATCATCCGTAGAGACGTGACGAGTTAATAAGTAATAATGGCACATTCTAATTTTTTAAATACACGCATGCGGAAATGCGCACACATGCATGAACAAACAAGTTTTTATCTACGTTTGTGGATTCAACTTTTTTTAACTTTCAGAGGCTGTCTCTTTAATGAGAGGATTTAACTCGCGCTGAAACTCCTTCCTTATCCGAAAAGTGAGGCATTTCATTTGGATTCAGTACGGTAGATATATATGGACTTTTAATTATTTTTTTTCATTATTCATGAATACTTAATGTGTTGCTGCAGGGGCTTGGAAAAAATATCTAAGAATTTTTAACGTGACTCTTGCTGAACTATGAGCCGTGAAGAACAGTTGAAAAACAGTGTTAAGATTGCTTTATGTGAAGTGAAAATGCTCACATTTTCTCATACATAAAATTTTATGTTTTTTATGTAAATGACGTCATTAAGCCTTGAAATTGAGAAATATCAACCACCCGTTGATTTTAAAATTACAACAACTTACAGGTTGAATGTGGTTTTCTTAAGTATACACGAAAGTTTACAATGTTTTTCAGGGTTTTTTTTCAATCTCGTGTTATTTTTTCATCGTCAGGTGGATTTTTTTTAAGAATGATGAACAAACGTGGAGTATTTGATTAGAATTTCTTCAATGTAGTTAAACATTTATGAGGCTATTTGATTAGAACTGGTGATATCACATAAATATGCATGATTCTGCCGTGTATTTTCTTTAATTAAAAGCTATGTAGATCTAATGAAGCATTGTTCACGATATGATTATGCTGTTTATAAACGGAAATATTTTTCAACGAGATACTTAATTACGTGTGTTATTTGGTTTCTATACCCGCTGTTTGAAATAGAAAGCGTTATATTTTCTATGGAAACCTTGTTTGTAACGAGCTCTGTTCAAAATTAAAGTTTTGTTGTGGTGAGAAAAAATAACGAAAAGTTTAGATTTCTGTTAAGATTTTTACATGCAGGTTGAAATAATCTATATTGAACTTTTATAATTTGAAGTATCGTATATGCACGACGTTTTTAAATGATTCGTTTTCACATCAAAACTATGTAGAGAAACTTTTACAGTCTAATTTTTGTGAAGGAGTAACAAAACCATCAAATACGTCATTAGAAACTGTAAAGTTTTTTGTCATTGAAACGTGTAAAGGAGATTTTTATTTCAGTTTTATTTATGCAATAACGATTTCTTGTTTTTGTTGTAGAACAACGATGTTACGACTTCTGCTTCTTCTTCAACTTCAGATGGTCTTTTTTTGTGGATGGGCTTTGCTCATGTCAAAGGAAAATGACACTGAATTACACATTGGAACATTAATACCATCTTATACAAGCGATCGTTATCATTTGAAAAGTGCTGTTGAATTTGCAGCTGAAACGATATACAAGCGTGGATTACTGAAAGGATATAAACTGGTATTCCACCATAAAGATACACTGGTGAGTATGTTCATATACCTTGACATTGACAAATTACATAAAATGTCTACTACATGACATTTTTGCATTAAGTTTGATGAGTTGCCTTGCTCAATCCAACTTTATTTTAGGGCACCCCAGACAAAGGAGTCGAAGCATTGATCGCTTTGAGAAATGAAAACGTTAAGATTTGTGTTATCGGGCCGTTAAAATCTGAAGTTGCTATTTACACCGCAAGACTTGCTTCTGTCTGGGGAACCTTGCAGGTATTTTATCTTTTAACATCGTTAACAGCGGTAAAGTTCATTGTAGCTCGTACACAAATGAAGAATTATAATTTACGTAAGTGTCTTATCTGGCTAATATCCCTGTAATGCTTATATAACTCGTAGTGTCGCACAATTAATGTAATATTTTCTCTACTAGGGCTAGTAACTGACCTTTGTTTGAAAAATACCCTTGAATGTTCTTAGTGAGCTTCCGACAAAATCCGTTTGTCTGTCAGCGTGCTGCGTCGTGAGTTGTTGGAACCAATAAGGATTTATAAATATTTTGTAAACCCATATTCAATATAAACATTGTTAGCAAAAATACAATTCCAAAGTATACGAAGCATTGTCGTGCATAAAATTCATTCAACTGCATGGGTGTTAATATCATGTAATTTTTTCCAAGGTATCATATAGTGCATCAAGTCCTGACCTTCTCTCTGATACCTATCCAAGATTTCTTAGTTTAATGCCAACTTCCTACTCACTAAATGCTGCTTTGATCAAGTTCATGGAGTTTTTTAAATGGAATAGGGTAGCATTGGCACAAGACGCTAATTATAAAAAATCAGTGTTTCCACCGGTATGTATTGGAGCTTAGACGAACTTTTATTTCAAGTTTGATGTCGAGGTTTTTGAACATTTATTACACACTGGAAAACTTTGTTATTTAGTTATGTTATCAATGATTTCATTTCATTGCTTAACGAATGCAGTTTTTCGTGAGTAGATGGTTTGTTTAACAGAATATGTTGTTTTAGACAATAAACGCACTCAAACAGAAGTTAAAACATAAAGGAGTAAAAATCCTGACGACAGAACTTGTCGATGTAACTAAAAGCGACACAATTAAATCATTCGTTCGAACGTTAAAGGTATTTATTGGTTTGATGCTCCCTGTAAAGTTTGTAGGTTCCAGTCTACTTTACTTTTCATCAACCATATCATTGATACTATTATGCCGCCACTCATTCAGAATCCTCCATTGCATCGTCATAAGTTAAGGTTGTTGTTTCATTGAAGGAAAAGGATGCAAGAATTGTGATTGCTTTACTGGAGGATAAAACTTTATTCACAGTTATGTGTGAGGTTAGTTTTCTTATTTTGAGATCCGCTTAATGGTTTGATCTTAAACGTTGTTTTTGTTGACGGAAGATTCTTCCCAGGCTTAATGCAATGGTGAATATTTAGTGAGAAGATTTACTTTTTAGGCTTACAGGGAAATTGGTATTGTGTGGTTTAACTACTACAATCGTGCTGAATTCTCATCAAAATCAAGGTGTAATTGGACAGAGTTAGCAATGATAACTGAGAGACTGTTTGTTTTGGATGTTGTCAATACGCGTAATGATTCAAGAAAAACTATTTCTGGTCTGGTAAGTTTTCTTGAAAAAATTCAATGTTTTGCTTCTAAATAAATTTAGAATTTGAGTTACAACATGAGTGAGATTGCCACATGTGGTAATTGTGAATGTGTATTAGGGATAGTCCATAATCAAATTCATTGTCTTATTTTTTAGACCTCAAAAGAGTTTAAAACGAAAATGAAAAGAGAACGTAATGGATGGGAAATTCGTTCTGCTTTAGCGTTTGATACAACCTGGCTACTTGCGCTTGCTGTAAATGCGTCCATCAAAGATGCTGTTCGAATGCAGCACGTAAATCTTTCAACAAACGACCATATTGGTTTGAGTACCAAACTTCGGAAAGAATGATGAATATGGATTTTGAAGGAATATCTGTATGTTTTTTCAATAGCTTTTCTGTAAACATATTTTTTGTAGAAAATCTGTAGTTTTGCACATATTTGACCTTGTTGTTAAAAAAATTTTCCTGCAGTTAGGTATATACTATTAACACATAGACATCAAAAACAACGATAGCGTTGAGGAAGAAATTTGTCTTTCTGTTTAAGACACTTCCTATAAATTAGTTACTGAAAATGGCTACATTGAAAACAGCTTGATATATATAATTCAATTTTTGAAGGGACGAGTGACATTCAATTCATCCGAACGACTAGGAACAATCCTTATAAAGCAAATTAGGAAAGGTAACTATAGTAACCAAGTCAACTAAATAAAAGTAAACAAACTTTGCCTCTTATATGACAATTATTTTAGGCCAGACCAAACATGTGGCTGAACATCAGACGTTATCAAATATACTTACCTTTTTTCAAAACCAATCCAACCCAAAAGAACTATTTGATGGTAAAATGTTTTCATATTGAATAGAATTTACCACTTTTCTGTAGTCTTCTCTTTCTATTAAAATGAAATTTTAATGTTTAATTTCCTAATTATAAACATTCACATATAATAATCTCTTGACGTTTTATTTTGCAGCCGATAAAAATGTTCAAGATGGTCCTTTTCCCATCAACGAAGTTCGTCATTATTCTCTATCTTTGTTCGTTATCATTTGGATATTATGCTTTGCTGCAAGTGTTGCTGCGTTAGTCTTGTTCAGTTTCAACTTTAGGAATAGGAAAATTAGGTTTGTTGAGCAGTTGCATCTGATTTTTCCATTAAAATCATTCTTGAAATGCGAAAACTGAAAATGAAATGAAAATTTTTGAAAAACTCTTACAAAGACGTAACTTTTTACAACATACACGTGTCGGCATTTTGTATGTGTGTAAATTTCCTAATAATATAATTCATTTCATTTTGAAACTCTACCAGAATTTTTTCGCTTCACTTCAATCAAGTTTTATTACATGATCCACTTTCTATGATCCTTCAGCAATTATTGAACACGATAAATAATGTTTTTATAGGTATATTAAGATGTCTTCTCCTAATGTGAACAACATCATTATATTTGGGGCATTTTTATGTATTATTAAAGTGATATTGGACACCATTGACTCAAGATTTGTCTCCTTGCAATCATATGCTAACTTGTGCAATGTAAGTAATGTATTCACTATTTCTGTTTTCCAAACATCAAAATCTTTACAAATATCTCTGTTAGTAACATTCTATAGTAACAACACTAATATCGGCAACAACTCTATATTGTGAAGGTTCGTGTTTGGTTTATGTCTTTGGGATTTACCACTGCATTTGGTGCGATGTTCAGCAAAACCTGGAGAGTTCATAGGATTTTTACAGCTTCAAAGAATTTCAGACGAGCTGTAAGTTTAGTAAAGATAATAAACGAATCGATTTTTTGTTAACATTTATAATAAAGAGGAGCATGTCTGTCGTATTTATATAAAACTGTTTTTATTTTTAGGTTATTAAAATTTCCATCTGTATGGTCTGCTTTTAGTGTTGTTGACATTGGAGTGTATTATATTGACTGCCTGGATGATCATAAGTCCTTATACATCTGACATTCTTGATCTACCAGTTGAGGTGATTCTTTTATACAAAGGATCGTTGCACCTTACGTTTGGTGCTCACAAGTTTCATTTCTATTTTGTTGTTTTTCTGCAAATGCGGTTGTGGTGTAAAAAATAATTTGTTTTAATATTTTTACTTGTTCTAGGAAAATAAAGAGAAGATGTCCTCATCTATCCTCGCATATTTCACTGCACATCTAAACACGATAACATCTTTCTCATCACAAGTTTGGCATTTAAAGGACTATTGTTGGTCTTTGGTATCTTCCTCGCGTGGGAAACACGAAATATCGAGATCAAAGCTTTAAACGATTCCAAGTACATCGGCATATCTGTATACAACGTTGTCATCTTGTCAGTTATTGGTGTAATACTGGCCACATTGATGTCGGCATCAAAATATTATAATATTTACCTAGCATTGATGTCGTTCGTCGTGATCATTTGTACTGCTGCTACCCTTGGTATTGTTTTCGTACCCAAGGTTTGTTGAAATATTTTTGTCTCCGTTTTTTTATCATTCTCATACACCAACAGAACATTTTTAGTTTAAACTTCTACATTGTTTGGAGTAGTCTTTGTTTTCAAACATTCCTTTAAAGTTTTCGGTTTTGGGAAAAATTAGTGTTTTTTGTTCAACACGAATCAAGTTGAATTTGTCATCGAAACAAGGTTAGGATAATCCATTTTTTGAAAAAAACTGAACATCATTATTTTTCCATGCTATAGTTAACAATACTCCCTGTATAGTGTATCCCTGTCTTGGTCTGTGATTTACTTGTTTTGAAAATCTTTATCCAGATAATCGGCTTAAGAAAGATCATAAAGTCATCAGCGAAAGGTAAGGTCTCAGAGACGACATACTCTATGAAAGGCAGTTCTGCCGATGAGCAGGGTCCGTGTTCCTGCTGTGATAATTGTAAATACAAATCCGCGATTCCTTCTCGCAAAGCTTCAATACACGTGAGTAACAAGTTCCTTGCCGGTTCTTCTAATAACCGACGTAAGTCCAAGACTGCATACGTCCCGAGTATGAGCGTGAATAAGCCGAAGGTGAGCGTTCATATTGACGCAAAGGTATGTTTATCGGCTTATCCAATAGCAGAAAATCTTATTCAGGACGAAAACACAAAGGCAGGAATCACGGAAGACAATGATGTATGAAAATTCGTTTGAAGCGGACCGTTGTGATAGAACGGCGTGAAGCAATATGCAGATATAAATTTTGTCGAATAAAGCTGCACGTAGCCATTCATATGGCGATGCATTATAGTGCTTACTGTGACTGTGCACGTGGTGATGTAAAGTTCTATAATTTACTTTGCTCGTCGTGATGGATTGTAAAATTTACTGTGCTTGTGGTGATGGATTTTTGAACTTGTTATTCTTACAAGAATATAGCATTCGTGAAAGAAACCAATGGATGACTTTAAATGCGTATATTTATTTTTGATTGCATCAAGGATGGAATCATAACATAAAAGAGAAACCCATTTTATTAGAAACAAATGCGACCAAACAAGTAGTTGTACAGTTGACAATTGGAAGACGTGAACAAATGTCTTGTATTAATATTTCGTTTTTTTAACTACTATTCTCTTTCTATGTATATGTTCGTAATGCAATCATGAGCAGTGAAAAATATTAGAACTATTAGATAAACGGTGTGGCAAAGTTCACATTTTGGTTTTGGTTTAAATCCCAGCAATTTCTTACAGGCTTACAAAATTTTTTCTAAGTGATTCACAGTTAATCATCCCATGTGGTGCACGTGGATCCGGAGTGGCTCAGACGACCGAGACTTATACCACCATTTTTCATGCAATGCTTTTCTTGGAGCAATCTACTAATGATCAAAATTGAGCGTGTTTTATGAGGATAAAACACGAGGATATTTCATTATTATGTTGCTAATGCTGACATTTATAGAAAATTGCTATTTATTGAAATTACAGTGGTTGATAATCATGCCAAGTGCAGTAGTGCGTATATTATATTGCTGATTTTGCTGGTAGATTTTTGGTAAAGTTCTCATGAAACAAAAATTAGAATATAACGTACCCATTCTTTTGTAGATGCTGTTCTCTTTCTTTAAGGTAATTTTTGTAGCGAGAATGTTTCAGGACCTCCCCCACTGAATACAATGTAAATGCCTTATTATGTTGGATGTTCGTCTTTTAATGCACCAGCTTATGGCGCTGTTCATAAATCTAAAAAACATACTCTGATGAAGAACGTCTTGTCTCTACATCATCACCCCAATCAGTGTCTGAAAAGTCATACAAATCAAAATGTTTTCCATTTGGTGGAAACAAAAGAGCATAGTCTATCGTTCCTTTGATATAACGAAACATTCTTAACTGCTTGCCAATGATCTTTACCTAGTCTGGACATACAGCTACATAGTTAAAGTTGTGGAAGATCTTATGATTGTCGTGTTTTATTTTATCTTCATGTTTTTTTATATTTTCATCATCATAAGTTGAACAGGTGAGTTACCTTGCATGAGTCGTTTTTACTTCAAAAATGTTCTTTTAACAATTTGGGTTTATCATTGTTATTGTTTTCTTGTTATATATTATTTTGTAGTATTTATTAATATTGCAAGTAAAATATTAACTCGTTTCACGTTTACGCCATCTCCGCTCGGTCTAAAGAAGATGGTTTGCAATGTTTCAGATCATTTTTGAAAGAAATGAACCATTTAAATTAAGTTACATTCGTTTCATTGTGTGCAATTCCTCTGTATGGTTTCAAAGTATCTTACATATCTTTAAAGTAATTTTTTTGTTTCTAAGTTTGTGCCACCTCCAAATCTTTGATATATTATAGAGGATGTAAAATACTTTGGAATTGTGAAGTTTTAATAAATCTGATGGAATAGATCAATAGTTATGAGTAATTTTCTAAATTTTTGCGTTTTCCGCTAATATATTTATATATAGTTATTAAGCCGAGCATGGCGTCACATAACTTTAAAGTAAATTTTTTCTTATTTATAAGTTTGTGCCACCTTCAGATCTTTTATATATTATAGAGGATATAAAATACTTTAGAATTGGGAAGTTTGAAAAAGTCTGATTGTATAGATCTGAAATTATGACTGATTTTCTAAATTTTTGTGTTTTCCGATAATTTATTTATACATAATTATTAAGCCAAGCATGGTGTCCATATCTGTAAAGTAAATTTTTTCTTATTTCTAAGTTTATGCCACCTCCAGGTCTTTAAAATATTATAGAGCATATAAAATTCTTTAGAATTGTGAAGTTTGAAATAATCCGAGTGAACAGAACAAGAGTTATGTCTAATTTTCTAAATTTTTGCTTTTTCCGCTAATATATTTAAATATAATTACTAAGCGAAGCATGGCGTCACATATCTTTAAAGTGAATATTTTTTTGTTTGTAAGTTTGTGACACCTCCAGATCTTTGATATATTATAGAGGATATAAAATACTATGGAATTGTAAAGTTTAATAAAGTTGGACAAAATAGATCAAGAGTTATGACTAATTTTCTAAATTTAGGGGTTTCCCCCCAATTTATTTATATATAAATATTAAGCGAAGCATGGCGTCCATATCTGTAAAGTAAATTTTTTCTTATTTCTATGTTTTTGCCACCTCTAGATCTTTCAAGTATTATAGAGCATATAAAATTCTTTAGAATTGTAAAGTTTGAAAATATCCGAGTGAATAGATCCAGAGTTATGAGTAATTTTCTAAATTTTTGCCCTTTCTGGTAATATATTTAAATATAATTATTAAGCCGAGCATGGCGTCCATATCTTTAAAGTTAATTTTTTCTTATTTCTAAGTTTATGCCACCTCTAGATCTTTCAAGTATTATGGAGGATATAAAATATTATAGAATTGTAAAGTTTGAAAATATCCGAGTGAATAGATCAAGAGTTATGACTAATTTTCAAAATTTTTGCGTAGTAATATATTTATATATAATTATTAAGCAGGGCATGTCGTCACATATCTTTAAAGTTTGTTTTTTTTGTAAGTTTGTGCCACCTCCAAATCTTTGACATATCATAGGGGATATAAAATACTTTAGAATTGTGAAGTTTAAAAAAATCTGAGTGTATAGAACAGGAATTTTGATTAATTTTCTAAATTTCCTTGTGAATTTTTATAGCTTGATTTTAAGCGATTGAATCTAGTGGAGTGTGGTGTTGATTTTTGTGCCCAATGTGATGCCAATTTGATGTTTGAAAGGACATGACATTTGAGAAAAAAGGTATGTTTACAGTATGGTTAAAGTTGGTGATTTGGACTGTTGTGGAATTAGTTTTCAATACAACATAGTTTGAATAAGAGCGAGAGAATCTTTGGTGGTGTGCATTTTTTATGGAGGAATCTTTTAAGCAAAACTCGTGCAAATAACAACATTTATGTGAAGTATTATTCGCAATCTATTTGGGCCAAGACATTTATAAACGATCGCAGTGAAAAAATTTTACTCAAGGGGATGCCTACAGTTAACTTCTGTAAATGCTTGAGATGAATGCTTCTTCATGTTTCTATTTCTAAGTAAAGCTTGATTTAAAAAAATGATCTAGCAATGCAATTTAATATGCATGCAAGTCATTTCGTCCATCTTTTCAACTAATTGCAATAATTATTCTCATAGGTTTTTCGTGTTACTGATAATAATTGTGAAGAGCTCAAGCTATTTGAGATTCAGAAGCAAAGAAGCTCCTCTTGTTCGATCATCTGTAAAGTGGATTGTTGAAGTTCAAATAGGAAGATGAAGCATAACTAAAAGCAGAAAATTTTGCTGAAAGATTTTGTCAAGTGATTGCATAGTAAAATGGAAGGTCATGGATGATTTTTGAATATGACTGAAGAATTGATAAACTAGCAGGTAATGTATTTTAGTAAACATAGTCACTAGTGTGTTTTACGGGAATACATTACCTAAAAGAATAAGGAGAATTATATAGTTAGGAAGCCTTGAAATGGTGCCTGCTGCCTTTTTCCAATCAATCTTTTTATGAAATGGTAGTACCCAGCCAATACTAGGAATGAAAGGAATGCAACCTGACTGTACGGCATCAAGGAAATGATAGGAACCAAGATGTATGCCACAAGGAATAAGGAGTTAGTTGTATCTGAAAAATTAGTTCATAATAATGTGCTTTGATGCAAAGTAGATGACCACAAAGATAAACACAGTAATTGGATTATGTGGTTGTCATTTTTAAAAAAATGGTTATGATCAGCTATTTGTTTTATAGGCTTAAACATGCAATAGTGTCTTAAGCTTTTGACAGAATGAGCAATGATGTCAGTTTGTTGAAGTAATGTGCCTGAGCCATAAATTTTTTTTCTTTGCCGTGTAACTATGAAGTAAACTTCACTGGGAATTTTAGCAAAAATTTTCAGGTGAAAGTACCTGTATATTATCATGATCACAATGATCATCTTTAACATCTTTCCAATTATGAGCATGTTTGCAAGTTGTTAGCATTAAAATGTTTTTATTATTATGAATTTGATGAATAGTGGTTTTGGTTACACTAATTTTTTATTATGATCAGGTAAAATTGGATAAAATGATTGGAATTGGTGGATGTTTGTTCATAGATGTATGAAATAAGCCGTTGATTAACAATTCAGTAAGAACTGCAATGTATATAGACTGAACTGTACAGTCTACTGTTCATGGAAGAAAGCTGTATGTTAGGAAAGGGATCACTTTTGTGATTTCTAAAACGTACTTAGGCAGGTTCAGTTAGTTGATGTGGATTTTATACTGTTGTTAAAGGATTTACTGTTCTCAATTTTGAAGTCAAAAGTTGAGATGGATGAAATTGGAGAAAAGTGAGATGAAAAAGTGGAGTGTGTTTTTTGTATTATATTGTAATAGATATATTATTATGGCCCATGTTGTTTGCATGTGGAAAAAGTATAATGTTTGTTCATATGTAAAGGAAAAGTGAACGTATTGAGATCGTTTATTAAAAACACGAGATGTATTGCCTATTTAGGTATTCTAAACGATGATAAAAAATAATGTTTGCAGAATTTGATGAATTTTGATGACATAGACGTATGGAACATGTGACAAGTTTTGTCCAATAGGATTTGATGTTGGTTTGAATTAGTTTACCGTTTTATCACGCGTATTTTACAAAAATTCTTAGGTAGGTAGGGCCGACATACTTTTATCAGAAAGATTATGAAAAATATTATATTATATAGATAAGTAATGAGATTTATAGTATAAGAGTGAGTTTACAGATGTGTGTTTGTTTTGAACTATTTGTGAAAAGTAGTTTCTGTAAGTCAGCAAATTGATAAATGTCGAAGAGTTTATTTCAAACGTGGGCAACGAAACCGGACAATGTTCTGTTATTGAAGGTAGGTTGGTTTGTTAAAGTAAGGAAAAGTTGAAGGCATGTTATTTAAAATAAGTTAAAGTTTGAAGTGGTGTGGAAACTGCTGAAAATTGTATAATATGTTGACTGAAATGAAGATATGGTATGTTATGTTCCGCCATTTTGGATTTTTCAAACTTTGTCGTAATAAGGATTGGGTTGATTGAAAACACTTGTACATGAAACAGTGAGATTTGAAGATTAAATTCAATATTTGTGGAAGTGCATGTTATGTTATTGGTTTATAACACACGAAATGAGGTTAAATTTTGCTTGATTTGAATGTATGGCACAAAAATGTTTGGGAGCGAGATTTGTGGAATAGACTTTAGTGATATGTCAATTGGGAATGTGTTTTGTAAGTAAGAATAAAAAGGATTGTTTAGTTTAAGTTGAGATTGTGTTGGGTTGGGTTTTGTTTTGTTAGTTTGACTATTGTTTAAATTAAGACAATGATCAAGGTTTGGAAAATGTGGGTGTTTCTTAATTTTGACATAAATGATTGTCATAAAGTTATTTCATGATAGGAAAAGTGTTATAAACAGCGGGACTAATTTAAAGTTTTGTGGAAGTATTTATTATGATTTACTTTCAGGTTTTGATGATTTGAAAATTTTACATATTTTGTTTTGGTTGTGTTTATAACAAATGGGGAAAAGTGAAATAGTTGTTTGAATTTTTGAAGGAAATGGAAAGAAGAATTTAATGTCTATTTATATAACAACAAGGAAAAAGTTCTTAATATTAATATCAGAGCGCAAAGTGCTTTCAAAGAGCCATTTAATACAAAATAAAAAAAAACATTTAGAAGTGTAACATTTGGTCTTGACTCTCAAGACATCATGAGACAGTATTAAATTATAAGTATAGAGGTATATATATATATAGCTATAATATAGGTATATATATATATATATCCCTCCATACTTGTAATTTAATACTGTCTCATGATGTCTTGAGAGTGAAGATGAAGCGTTACAGTTCTAAATATTGTTTTTATATGTTATTTTGTATTAAATATCTCTTTTAAAAGCAGTTTGCTGGTCTCTGATATTTATATTAAGAATTTGCTTTTTGCCCGGTATATCCCTGGTCACAATTCCGAAGAAAAAAGTTGTTTAAAAAAGAAATTTTATTATTAAGTGTGTTGACTTGAATTTAATAATGGTTGAGTGTAAGGGATGTTATAATTATTTATGATGGTAAATGTCGTATTGTGATTTCAGGTGCAAGAAGTGTTTAACAAGAACCTCATGAAAAAATGATGAAGAAAAGTTGTATATAAATGTTTGGTGAAAAAATGGTTGTGGTTATGAAAAAGATCATGAAAATTTGTAGTTGAGGTAAGTATGTTTAAGTATGGGGTATTTCAGGGGAGGGAAGTTTTGTGGGAAAAATATTTAAGGGTTTTAAGATTGAAGAAAGTTTTGATTAAGTAAAATAAGGGAGAGTTAAGATATAAGTAATATGCAGGAAATGTTATAATATATTGGGAATAAAATGAGGTGATATATGTTTGTGCATGTAGTTTATCGAAGTTAAATTAGTCTTGAGAAGGAATGTTGGTTTGACTGATGCTTGAAAAAGCATAGTGGTAGTCATCTTAAGAGTGAAAAGTTTCATTTTGATTTCAAAACATCAGTCAACAAAAACCGTCCTTTTCAAGACTATAATAACCTGGACAATGTACAGCTACAAACATGTAACGATACTCCGGGTTCAAACCATTTAGTTTAAGTTTTCTTTACTATGATGAGTAATGCTAAGGTTGTCAACAAAGGAGTATTATTTGGACTAATGTCGTCTAAGGATTGAACTAACTGGGAGGAATAACATGATATTAGAGATGGGAATAACAGTCGATTTTAATATAAATGAATGATATAAATGCTGAAACATGTAATGCTAGTTTTGGGTTCAAATCATCTAGTTTAAAAGATTTTGATAAGTGAAGTTGCATGTATATAATGTAAAAGATGGTATGTTCAGTAAGTGTTTATTGGAGTTAGATATGAAGAAACGTTTGTATACAAAAGCTGTATTTGGATGGAAAGAAAAGGTTTGTATGCAGCGGATAGAGTTGGACAAGAAGAAATGGTTTGTATGCAGTGGATAGAGTTGGAAACGAAGTAAGGAAGAATTGTTTATGATCAATAAAGAGTTTATTAAATATTAGATGAAAAGTGTTTAATTGTAATGGTGGGAAGTAGTGGGGTGTCAATTTAATTATTTTTTATGCTTATGAGGGGTTGGAAAGGCATATTAGTTTGATGTAATGGGTAGTTGTCAACATGACCTGTGTGGTCTAGTGGCTGATGTTCCTGTGTAAGATGCTGATGATGTTGGTTCAAATCCTGGTTGGGTCAATGAAGATGTTGATGTGAACCTGATGTTGTGATGAACCCATGGTTAGCTGAGGCACAGTGAAGGAAGTATCTAGCTGTCTGAAGAACAGATAAGAAGAACCGATTGATGTGATGAAACCCCGGGTTAGCTGAGGCACAGTGAAGGAAGTATCTAACTGTCTGAAGAACAGTAAGTATAAACTCACAAGGGGTCATGCAAGACTCAACAACATAACCTGGGGAGACTATGTCTCATCCCATGGAGGTATCCAAGAGGTAAGGTAAGGTAAGGTGGGTAAGGTAAGGTAAGGTAAGGTGGTGGTAAGGTGGGTAAGGTAAGGTAAGGTAAGGTGGGTAAGGTGGTAAAGGTAAGGTGGTAAGGTAAGGGTAAGGGTAAGGTAAGGTGGGTAAGGTAAGGTAAGGTAAGGTAAGGTAAGGTAAGGTAAGGTAAGGTAAGGTATCCCTTTTTTGGTGCGTTTTTTCGTCACTTTAATTTTTTATTTTTTCTTGACGTCTTCTAACATCTTTAAGTTGATTGAAGAACTATTAAATCCTAAAAAAAAGCAAGAAACAAGAGGAAGATGGACTTCTGAAAATTCTTAAAGTTGAGTTTTTAAGACTGGCAAAAAGTATTTTTGTAAAATAAAAGCCAATTTAACAATTTTTCAATCATTTATATTAAATAATATTACTTTATACTTAGCGTTTGAAAAAAGACTATAATTATACAACCAACGATAACTCAAATTCAGTCAATTCAAATATTAAATTTATTAGATACAGCGTTTGTTCAGGTTCTCCTTTCTTATGAGTGTTCGACGCTATTTCTTTAATTTTCGGTCTACCTTTGACATTGTAAAAATTTGCCACGTTTCTTTTAACTCCTACTATGTAATTTTTGAATGATTTGTACTTCGAAAGTCTTTTATAAAACAAATGTGTTCAATACATCTGAATACATGAAATATAATACTGAAACGAGTACATTTTTTGGCGTTCAATACTTTGATCAGAAACGAATTGTTATTTAGCTGCTGTATTCACAAATAAAGTTCGCATTAACGATAAACGAGACGAAATAAACAGACCACGAAGAAAATCAGTTGGCGTTTTTCCAGGCATAACGCGTCTTATAACCATTTGGAAGGCCTTGCCCTCGAGTTTCGTGCAATCTATTCCTTCAGTTTATATTTAATCGGCTAGATTACCTTGTTCACACGAGTAACATGAACGTAAAACAACAGGCTTTTCTTTCCATAGATCGATGAAACATCACACGTTAAACACAGGCATGTATACTATAAACGCAATAAAGTTAAAATATTTGAAAATTGACACAATACCTTATCTGCTTCGATGTATTTTCTTCGCATTTCTTGGGCGAAAGAACGATATTCCGATAATCCAATTCTCATTCCCAACATTTACAACGAATCTTCAGAAGGCCAAAACTTCTTCCTCGCGGTATTCAAGCTCTACCATCAACCAACTTTCACGACAATCTTTCGACCCGACTCCAACTCAGCGACCAAATGACTCGGCTGTCTTCAACACGTCCTTTTAAACACATTCTGACAAAAGACAGGAAGCAATTAATGAACACAATGAATGACGCACATGCAAATTCAACAACCATGACCAGTACGTTTAATTACGTCATTTTTTTACAAATCTATTGTTTTCGCAATAAGGTTACTTCTGAAAATTTCCATTGTATTTTAGGCACTATATGACGCAAATCAACTCAAACCAACATTCATTTCAATTTTATCCGGAAGTCTAGTCTTCAAAAGTACACGACTTGCAAATAAATCAGAACGTACAAAAATAGATTATTTGCCTAACGTCTACATCTTTCAAATCTTCAACGATTGTTCTTACCTTCTTTTATATCCATAGCTTGTTCGGGGTAAATGTTAAGACTCTGAAAGGAATATATAGAGTTCATGCACGTTAATCACCCAAAAATTATAGTTCATGCAAATAACACCCAAAGACTATAGTACACGAAAATAACAACCAAAGACTATAGCTCACGAAAATAACAACCAAAGACTATAGTACACGAAAATAACAACCAAAGACTATAGCTCACAAAAATAACCAAAGACTATAGCTCACGAAAATAACAACCAAAGACTATAGTACACGAAAATAACAACCAAAGACTATAGCTCAAGAAAATAACGCCCAAAGACTATAGCTCAGGAAAATAACACCCAAAGACTCAAGTTCACGAAAATAACACCCAAAGACTATAGCTCACAAAAATAACAACCAAAGACTATAGCTCACGGAAATTACAACCAAAGACTATAGTACACGAAAATAACAACCAAAGAGTATAGCTCACGAAAATAACAACTAAAGACCATAGTACACGAAAATAACACCCAAAGAGTATAGCTCATGAAAATAATACCCAAAGACTATAGTACACGAAAATAACAACCAAAGACTATAGTACACGAAAAATACACCCAAAGACTATAGTACACGAAAATAACAACCAAAGACCATAGTACACGAAAATAACACCCAAAGAGTATAGCTCACGAAAATAACAACCAAAGACCATAGTACACGAAAATAACACCCAAAGAGTATAGCTCATGAAAATAATACCCAAAGACTATAGTATACGAAAATAACAACCAAAGACTACAGTACACGAAAATAACACCCAAAGACTATAGTACACGAAAAATACACCCAAAGACTATAGCTCACGAAAATAACAACCAAAGACTATAGCTCACAAAAAATAACAACCAAAGACTATAGCTCACAAAAATAACAACAAAGCTCACGAAAATAACAACCAAAGACTATAGCTCACAAAAATAACCAAAGACTATAGCTCACGAAAATAACACCCAAAGACTTTAGTATACGAAAATAACACCCAAAGACTATAGCTCACGAAAATAACACCCAAAGACTATATAGTACACGAAAATAACACCCAAAGACTAAAGCTCACGAAAATAACACCCAAAGACTATAGCTCAGGAAAATAACACCCAAAGACTCAAGTTCACGAAAATAACACCCAAAGACTATAGCTCACAAAAATAACAACCAAAGACTATAGCTCACGGAAAATAACACCCAAAGATTATAGTACACGAAAATAACACCAAAAGATTATAGTACACGAAAATAACACCAAAAGATTATAGTACACAAAAATAACAACCAAAACTATAGTACACGAAAATAACACCCAAAGAGTATAGTTCACGAAAATAACAACCAAAGACTTTAGTACACGAAAATAACACCCAAAGACTATAGTACACAAAAAACACCCAAAGATTATAGTACACGAAAATAACACCAAAAGATTATAGTACACAAAAATAACACCCAAAGACTATAGTACACGAAAATAACACCCAAAGACTAAAGCTCACGAAAATAACACCCAAAGACTATAGCTCACGAAAATAAAACCAAAGACTATAGCTCACGAAAATAACAACCAAAGACTATAGTACACGAAAATAACACCCAAAGACTATAGTACACGAAAATAACACCCAAAGACTATAGCTCACGAAAATAACAACCAAAGACTATAGCTCACGAAAATAACAACCAAAGACTATAGTACACGAAAATAACACCCAAAGACTATAGCTCACGAAAATAACAACCAAAGACTATAGTACACGAAAATAACACCAAAGACTATAGTACACGAAAATAACAACCAAAGACTATAGCTCACGAAAATAACACCCAAAGACTATAGTACACGAAAATAACAACCAAAAGACTATATAGTACACGAAAATAACAACCAAAGACTATAGTACACGAAAATAACACCAAAGACTATAGTCTTCGAAAATAACAACCAAAGACTATAGCTCACGAAAATAACACCCAAAGACTACAGCTCAAGAAAATAACGCCCAAAGACTATAGCTCACGAAAATAACAACCAAAGACTATAGTACACGAAAATAACACCCAAAGAGTATAGTACACGAAAATAACACCCAAAGACTGTAGTACACGAAAATAACAACCAAAGACTATAGCTCACGAAAATAACAACCAAAGACTATAGTACACGAAAATAACACCCAATTACTATACCAATGACTTTAGTACACGAAAATAAGACCCAAAGACTATAGCTCACGAAAATAACACCCAAAGACTATAGTACACGAAAATAACAACCAAAGACTATAGTACACGAAAATAACACCCAAAGACTATAGTACACGAAAATAACATACAAAAGACTATAGCTCACGAAAATAACAACCAAAGACTATAGTACACGAAAATAACTCCCAAAGACAATAACTCACGAAAATAACACCCAAAGAGTATAGATCACGAAAATAACAACCAAAGACTATAGCTCACGAAAATAACACCCAAAGACTTTAGTATACGAAAATAACACCCAAAGACTATAGCTCACGAAAATAACAACCAAAGACTATAGTACACGAAAATAACTCCCAAAGACAATAACTCACGAAAATAACACCCAAAGAGTATAGATCACAAAAATAACAACCAAAGACTATAGTACACGAAAATAACACCCAAAGACTATAGTACACGAAAATAACACCCAAAGACTATAGCTCACGAAAATAACACCCAAAGACTATATAGTACACGAAAATAACACCCAAAGACTATAGCTCAGGAAAATAACACCCAAAGACTCAAGTTCACGAAAATAACACCCAAAGACTATAGCTCACAAAAATAACAACCAAAGACTATAGCTCACGGAAAATAACACCCAAAGACTATAGTACACGAAAATAACAACCAAAGACCATAGTACACGAAAATAACACCCAAAGAGTATAGCTCATGAAAATAATACCCAAAGACTATAGTACACGAAAATAACACCCAAAGACTATAGTACACGAAAACAACACCCAAAGACTATAGCTCACGAAAATAACAACCAAAGTCTATAGTACACGAAAATAACAACCAACGACTATAGCCCACGAAAATAACACCCAAAGACTATAGTACACGAATTATATTTACCTTTACTGTGATATAAGTTCGCAGTAAAGGTAAATATAATTTAATTTAAACAATACTAAGATATTAAAGTCGACGAAATGCATTGATTTTTTGTTTTAGAGGGAAGCGGTTTAATATATTTTCCTGATATTATTGAAATTGTCCACGATCATCATTGTTTTACGCTATATAAGTATTTGTATGTTTAGTTTGAGTAAAAAGTAAACTAAAATTGATATTTTCAACCTTGTTCGATATATTTTGAAAAAATGGCGAAATCTCATTATGGTTATAGTATGCAAAAAAAAATTTGCATAATGAAAATATTGCATTATGGATATAGTATGCAAAAAAATTTGCATAATGAAAATTTACATAATCATAACCAATAGATGAGGTAAGCGTTTATTTTTTATTTTTCTTTAACTATAAATTTAGTGATTATTTGTTTATTTTTTAGAATGAGTAGAAGTCTACATATTCGATTTGATAATATCAATGTTGACGGATTTGAGATTATTGACGCTTGTCTACCATTATTTGAATCTATAACGCAAGATGTGAAGAAAGTTGACGAAGGAAAGAAAACGAAAATCAAAGCCTACTACAAACAACTACAAACATCATTCAATAAAGTTTGTAAAGGAAACAACATCATATCGTTGAATAGTGTTTTCGAGTATTTTGAAGGTGAAAACATACCTATAACATTATACGAAAAACATCATTACGCACAATGTGAGAGATTAGGGGTTGCTAAAGCATATAAAGATTCATTACATCCAACTATACAACTTGTTATGATGCATGATAAGATGATCGATGCGAAGAATCGGACTGCTTCTTTGCTTGATTTCTTTTTAATGACGCACATGTACTTATACAAAATTCGGTGCAAACTTATTCATAATAAGCGGATACGAACACTTGAACGTATATTTTTACGATGTGTGGGTGTTAGCTATTTGCTTCAGCACGATTCACGGTTCTATCAAGCATTAGTATTTTTTCGGGATCAATTATATGAAAATACATTTTTCCAAAGTGTATTTGAAGATTTTGGTGACATTCCCAAAGACTTTAATGTACATATGTTTGACGAATTTAATAAAAATTGGATTGAGGATAATTGGAGGTTTTGGTTACACTAATTTTTTATTATGATCAGGTAAAATTGGATAAAATGATTGGAATTGGTGGATGTTTGTTCATAGATGTATGAAATAAGCCGTTGATTAACAATTCAGTAAGAACTGCAATGTATATAGACTGAACTGTACAGTCTACTGTTCATGGAAGAAAGCTGTATGTTAGGAAAGGGATCACTTTTGTGATTTCTAAAACGTACTTAGGCAGGTTCAGTTAGTTGATGTGGATTTTATACTGTTGTTAAAGGATTTACTGTTCTCAATTTTGAAGTCAAAAGTTGAGATGGATGAAATTGGAGAAAAGTGAGATGAAAAAGTGGAGTGTGTTTTTGTATTATATTGTAATAGATATATTATTATGGCCCATGTTGTTTGCATGTGGAAAAATAATGTTTGTTCATATGTAAAGGAAAAGTGAACGTATTGAGATCGTTTATTAAAAACACGAGATGTATTGCCTATTTAGGTATTCTAAACGATGATAAAAAATAATGTTTGCAGAATTTGATGAATTTTGATGACATAGACGTATGGAACATGTGACAAGTTTTGTCCAATAGGATTTGATGTTGGTTTGAATTAGTTTACCGTTTTTATCACGCGCTATTTTACAAAATTCTTAGGTAGGTAGGGCCGACATACTTTTATCAGAAAGATTATGAAAAATATTATATTATATAGATAAGTAATGAGATTTATAGTATAAGAGTGAGTTTACAGATGTGTGTTTGTTTTGAACTATTTGTGAAAAGTAGTTTCTGTAAGTCAGCAAATTGATAAATGTCGAAGAGTTTATTTCAAACGTGGGCAACGAAACCGGACAATGTTCTGTTATTGAAGGTAGGTTGGTTTGTTAAAGTAAGGAAAAGTTGAAGGCATGTTATTTAAAATAAGTTAGAAGTTTGAAGTGGTGTGGAAACTGCTGAAAATTGTATAATATGTTGACTGAAATGAAGATATGGTATGTTATGTTCCGCCATTTTGGATTTTTCAAACTTTGTCGTAATAAGGATTGGGTTGATTGAAAACACTTGTACATGAAACAGTGAGATTTGAAGATTAAATTCAATATTTGTGGAAGTGCATGTTATGTTATTGGTTTATAACACACGAAATGAGGTTAAATTTTGCTTGATTTGAATGTATGGCACAAAAATGTTTGGGAGCGAGATTTGTGGAATAGACTTTAGTGATATGTCAATTGGGGAATGTGTTTTGTAAGTAAGAATAAAAAGGATTGTTTAGTTTAAGTTGAGATTGTGTTGGGTTGGGTTTTGTTTTGTTAGTTTGACTATTGTTTAAATTAAGACAATGATCAAAAGGTTTGGAAAATGTGGGTGTTTCTTAATTTTTGACATAAATGATTGTCATAAAGTTATTTCATGATAGGAAAAGTGTTATAAACGAGCGGGACTAATTTAAAGTTTTGTGGAAGTATTTATTATGATTTACTTTCAGGTTTTTGATGATTTGAAAATTTTTACATATTTTGTTTTGGTTGTGTTTATAACAAATGGGGAAAAGTGAAATAGTTGTTTGAATTTTTGAAGGGAAATGGAAAGAAGAATTTAATGTCTATTTATATAACAACAAGGAAAAAGTTCTTAATATTAATATCAGAGCGCAGCAAAGTGCTTTCAAAAGAGCCATTTAATACAAAATAAAAAAAAACATTTAGAAGTGTAACATTTGGTCTTGACTCTCAAGACATCATGAGACAGTATTAAATTATAAGTATAGAGGTATATATATATATAGCTATAATATAGGTATATATATATATATCCCTCCATACTTGTAATTTAATACTGTCTCATGTGAGTGAGATGAAGCGTTACAGTTCTAAATATTGTTTTTATATGTTATTTTGTATTAAATATCTCTTTTAAAAGCAGTTTGCTGGTCTCTGATATTTATATTAAGAATTTGCTTTTTGCCCGGTATATCCCTGGTCACAATTCCGAAGAAAAAAGTTGTTTAAAAAAGAAATTTTATTATTAAGTGTGTTGACTTGAATTTAATAATGGTTGAGTGTAAGGGATGTTATAATTATTTATGATGGTAAATGTCGTATTGTGATTTCAGGTGCAAGAAGTGTTTAACAAGAACCTCATGAAAAATGATGAAGAAAAGTTGTATATAAATGTTTGGTGAAAAAATGGTTGTGGTTATGAAAAAGATCATGAAAATTTGTAGTTGAGGTAAGTATGTTTAAGTATGGGGTATTTCAGGGGAGGGAAGTTTTGTGGGAAAAATATTTAAGGGTTTTAAGATTGAAGAAAGTTTTGATTAAGTAAAATAAGGGAGAGTTAAGATATAAGTAATATGCAGGAAATGTTATAATATATTGGGAATAAAATGAGGTGATATATGTTTGTGCATGTAGTTTATCGAAGTTAAATTAGTCTTGAGAAGGAATGTTGGTTTGACTGATGCTTGAAAAAGCATAGTGGTAGTCATCTTAAGAGTGAAAAGTTTCATTTTGATTTCAAAACATCAGTCAACAAAAACCGTCCTTTTCAAGACTATAATAACCTGGACAATGTACAGCTACAAACATGTAACGATACTCCCGGGTTCAAACCATTTAGTTTAAGTTTTCTTTTACTATGATGAGTAATGCTAAGGTTGTCAACAAAGGGAGTATTTGGACTAATGTCGTCTAAGGATTGAACTAACTGGGAGGAATAACATGATATTAGAGATGGGAATAACAGTCGATTTTAATATAAATGAATGATATAAATGCTGAAACATGTAATGCTAGTTTTGGGTTCAAATCATCTAGTTTAAAAGATTTTGATAAGTGAAGTTGCATGTATATAATGTAAAAGATGGTATGTTCAGTAAGTGTTTATTGGAGTTAGATATGAAGAAACGTTTGTATACAAAAGCTGTATTTGGATGGAAAGAAAAGGTTTGTATGCAGCGGATAGAGTTGGACAAGAAGAAATGGTTTGTATGCAGTGGATAGAGTTGGAAACGAAGTAAGGAAGAATTGTTTATGATCAATAAAGAGTTTATTAAATATTAGATGAAAAGTGTTTAATTGTAATGGTGGGAAGTAGTGGGGTGTCAATTTAATTATTTTTTATGCTTATGAGGGGTTGGAAAGGCATATTAGTTTGATGTAATGGGTAGTTGTCAACATGACCTGTGTGGTCTAGTGGCTGATGTTCCTGTGTAAGATGCTGATGATGTTGGTTCAAATCCTGGTTGGGTCAATGAAGATGTTGATGTGAACCTGATGTTGTGATGAACCCATGGTTAGCTGAGGCACAGTGAAGGAAGTATCTAGCTGTCTGAAGAACAGATAAGAAGAACCGATTGATGTGATGAAACCCCGGGTTAGCTGAGGCACAGTGAAGGAAGTATCTAACTGTCTGAAGAACAGTAAGTATAAACTCACAAGGGGTCATGCAAGACTCAACAACATAACCTGGGGGAGACTATGTCTCATCCCATGGGCGGGGAGGTATCCCAAAATGCACAGAGGTAAGGTAAGGTAAGGTAAGGTAAGGTAAGGTAAGGTAAGGTAAGGTAAGGTAAGGTAAGGTAAGGTAAGGTAAGGTAAGGTAAGGTAAGGTAAGGTAAGGTAAGGTAAGGTAAGGTGGTAAGGTAAGGTAGGTAAGGTAAGGTAAGGTAAGGTAAGGTAAGGTAAGGTAAAGGTAGGTAAGGTAAGGTAAGGTAAGGTAAGGTAAGGTAAGGTAAGGTAAGGTAAGGTAAGGTAAGGTAAGGTAAGGTAAGGTCCCTTTTTGGTGCGTTTTTTCGTCACTTTAATTTTTATTTTTCTTGACGTCTTCTATCTTTAAGTTGATTGAAGAACTATTAAATCCTAAAAAAGCAAGAAACAAGAGGAAGATGGACTTCTGAAAATTCTTAAAGTTGAGTTTTTAAGACTGGCAAAAAGTATTTTTGTAAAATAAAAGCCAATTTAACAATTTTTCAATCATTTATATTAAATAATATTACTTTATACTTAGCGTTTGAAAAAAGACTATAATTATACAACCAACGATAACTCAAATTCAGTCAATTCAAATATTAAATTTATTAGATACAGCGTTTGTTCAGGTTCTCCTTTCTTATGAGTGTTCGACGCTATTTCTTTAATTTTCGGTCTACCTTTGACATTGTAAAAAAATTTGCCACGTTTCTTTTAACTCCTACTATGTAATTTTTGAATGATTTGTACTTCGAAAGTCTTTTATAAAACAAATGTGTTCAATACATCTGAATACATGAAATATAATACTGAAACGAGTACATTTTTTGGCGTTCAATACTTTGATCAGAAACGAATTGTTATTTAGCTGCTGTATTCACAAATAAAGTTCGCATTAACGATAAACGAGACGAAATAAACAGACCACGAAGAAAATCAGTTGGCGTTTTTCCAGGCATAACGCGTCTTATAACCATTTGGAAGGCCTTGCCCTCGAGTTTCGTGCAATCTATTCCTTCAGTTTATATTTAATCGGCTAGATTACCTTGTTCACACGAGTAACATGAACGTAAAACAACAGGCTTTTCTTTCCATAGATCGATGAAACATCACACGTTAAACACAGGCATGTATACTATAAACGCAATAAAGTTAAAATATTTGAAAATTGACACAATACCTTATCTGCTTCGATGTATTTTCTTCGCATTTCTTGGGCGAAAGAACGATATTCCGATAATCCATTCTCATTCCCAACATTTACAACGAATCTTCAGAAGGCCAAAACTTCTTCCTCGCGGTATTCAAGCTCTACCATCAACCAACTTTCACGACAATCTTTCGACCCGACTCCAACTCAGCGACCAAATGACTCGGCTGTCTTCAACACGTCCTTTTAAACACATTCTGACAAAAGACAGGAAGCAATTAATGAACACAATGAATGACGCACATGCAAATTCAACAACCATGACCAGTACGTTTAATTACGTCATTTTTACAAATCTATTGTTTTCGCAATAAGGTTACTTCTGAAAATTTCCATTGTATTTTAGGCACTATATGACGCAAATCAACTCAAACCAACATTCATTTCAATTTTATCCGGAAGTCTAGTCTTCAAAAGTACACGACTTGCAAATAAATCAGAACGTACAAAAATAGATTATTTGCCTAACGTCTACATCTTTCAAATCTTCAACGATTGTTCTTACCTTCTTTTATATCCATAGCTTGTTCGGGGTAAATGTTAAGACTCTGAAAGGAATATATAGAGTTCATGCACGTTAATCACCCAAAAATTATAGTTCATGCAAATAACACCCAAAGACTATAGTACACGAAAATAACAACCAAAGACTATAGCTCACGAAAATAACAACCAAAGACTATAGTACACGAAAATAACAACCAAAGACTATAGCTCACAAAAATAACCAAAGACTATAGCTCACGAAAATAACAACCAAAGACTATAGTACACGAAAATAACAACCAAAGACTATAGCTCAAGAAAATAACGCCCAAAGACTATAGCTCAGGAAAATAACACCCAAAGACTCAAGTTCACGAAAATAACACCCAAAGACTATAGCTCACAAAAATAACAACCAAAGACTATAGCTCACGGAAATTACAACCAAAGACTATAGTACACGAAAATAACAACCAAAGAGTATAGCTCACGAAAATAACAACTAAAGACCATAGTACACGAAAATAACACCCAAAGAGTATAGCTCATGAAAATAATACCCAAAGACTATAGTACACGAAAATAACAACCAAAGACTATAGTACACGAAAAATACCCAAAGACTATAGTACACGAAAATAACAACCAAAGACCATAGTACACGAAAATAACACCCAAAGAGTATAGCTCACGAAAATAACAACCAAAGACTATAGTACACGAAAATAACACCCAAAGAGTATAGCTCATGAAAATAATACCCAAAGACTATAGTATACGAAAATAACAACCAAAGACTATAGTACACGAAAATAACACCCAAAGACTATAGTACACGAAAAATACACCCAAAGACTATAGCTCACGAAAATAACAACCAAAGACTATAGCTCACAAAAATAACAACCAAAGACTATAGCTCACAAAAATAACAACAAAGCTCACGAAAATAACAACCAAAGACTATAGCTCACAAAAATAACAACCAAAGACTATAGCTCACGAAAATAACACCCAAAGACTTTAGTATACGAAAATAACACCCAAAGACTATAGCTCACGAAAATAACACCCAAAGACTATATAGTACACGAAAATAACACCCAAAGACTAAAGCTCACGAAAATAACACCCAAAGACTATAGCTCACGAAAATAACACCCAAAGACTCAAGTTCACGAAAATAACACCCAAAGACTATAGCTCACAAAAATAACAACCAAAGACTATAGCTCACGGAAAATAACACCCAAAGATTATAGTACACGAAAATAACACCAAAAGATTATAGTACACGAAAATAACACCAAAGATTATAGTACACAAAATAACAACCAAAACTATAGTACACGAAAATAACACCCAAAGAGTATAGTTCACGAAAATAACAACCAAAGACTTTAGTACACGAAAATAACACCCAAAGACTATAGTACACAAAAATAACACCCAAAGATTATAGTACACGAAAATAACACCAAAAGATTATAGTACACAAAAATAACACCCAAAGACTATAGTACACGAAAATAACACCCAAAGACTAAAGCTCACGAAAATAACACCCAAAGACTATAGCTCACGAAAATAAAACCAAAGACTATAGCTCACGAAAATAACAACCAAAGACTATAGTACACGAAAATAACACCCAAAGACTATAGTACACGAAAATAACACCCAAAGACTATAGCTCACGAAAATAACAACCAAAGACTATAGCTCACGAAAATAACAACCAAAGACTATAGTACACGAAAATAACACCCAAAGACTATAGCTCACGAAAATAACAACCAAAGACTATAGTACACGAAAATAACACCCAAAGACTATAGTACACGAAAATAACAACCAAAGACTATAGCTCACGAAAATAACACCCAAAGACTATAGTACACGAAAATAACAACCAAAGACTATATAGTACACGAAAATAACAACCAAAGACTATAGTACACGAAAATAACACCCAAAGACTATAGTCTTCGAAAATAACAACCAAAGACTATAGCTCACGAAAATAACACCCAAAGACTATAGCTCAAGAAAATAACACCCAAAGACTATAGCTCACGAAAATAACAACCAAAGACTATAGTACACGAAAATAACACCCAAAGACTATAGTACACGAAAATAACACCCAAAGACTATAGTACACGAAAATAACAACCAAAGACTATAGCTCACGAAAATAACAACCAAAGACTATAGTACACGAAAATAACACCCAATTACTATACCAATGACTTTAGTACACGAAAATAAGACCCAAAGACTATAGCTCACGAAAATAACACCCAAAGACTATAGTACACGAAAATAACAACCAAAGACTATAGTACACGAAAATAACACCCAAAGACTATAGTACACGAAAATAACAACCAAAGACTATAGCTCACGAAAATAACAACCAAAGACTATAGTACACGAAAATAACACCCAAAGACTATAGCTCACGAAAATAACACCCAAAGACTATAGATCACGAAAATAACAACCAAAGACTATAGCTCACGAAAATAACACCCAAAGACTATAGTACACGAAAATAACACCCAAAGACTATAGCTCACGAAAATAACAACCAAAGACTATAGTACACGAAAATAACTCCAAAAGAATAACTCACGAAAATAACACCCAAAGACTATAGATCACAAAAATAACAACCAAAGACTATAGTACACGAAAATAACACCAAAGACTATAGTACACGAAAATAACACCCAAAGACTATAGCTCACGAAAATAACACCCAAAGACTATATAGTACACGAAAATAACACCCAAAGACTATAGCTCAGGAAAATAACACCCAAAGACTCAAGTTCACGAAAATAACACCCAAAGACTATAGCTCACAAAATAACAACCAAAGACTATAGCTCACGAAAATAACACCCAAAGACTATAGTACACGAAAATAACAACCAAAGACTATAGTACACGAAAATAACACCCAAAGACTATAGCTCATGAAAATAACACCAAAGACTATAGTACACGAAAATAACAACCAAAGACTATAGTACACGAAAATAACACCCAAAGACTATAGCTCACGAAAATAACAACCAAAGACTATAGTACACGAAAATAACAACCAAAGACTATAGATCACGAAAATAACAACCAAAGACTATAGTACACGAATTATATTTACCTTTACTGTGATATAAGTTCGCAGTAAAGGTAAATATAATTTAATTTAAACAATACTAAGATATTAAAGTCGACGAAATGCATTGATTTTTGTTTTAGAGGAAGCGGTTTAATATATTTTCCTGATATTATTGAAATTGTCCACGATCATCATTGTTTTACGCTATATAAGTATTTGTATGTTTAGTTTGAGTAAAAGTAAACTAAAATTGATATTTTCAACCTTGTTCGATATATTTTGAAAAAATGGCGAAATCTCATTATAGTTATAGTATGCAAAAAAAATTTGCATAATGAAAATATTGCATTATGGATATAGTATGCAAAAAATTTGCATAATGAAAATTTACATAATCATAACCAATAGATGAGGTAAGCGTTTATTTTTATTTTCTTTAACTATAAATTTAGTGATTATTTGTTTATTTTTTAGAATGAGTAGAAGTCTACATATTCGATTTGATAATATCAATGTTGACGGATTTGAGATTATTGACGCTTGTCTACCATTATTTGAATCTATAACGCAAGATGTGAAGAAAGTTGACGAAGGAAAGAAAACGAAAATCAAAGCCTACTACAAACAACTACAAACATCATTCAATAAAGTTTGTAAAGGAAACAACATCATATCGTTGAATAGTGTTTTCGAGTATTTTGAAGGTGAAAACATACCTATAACATTATACGAAAACATCATTACGCACAATGTGAGAGGGGTTGCTAAAGCATATAAAGATTCATTACATCCAACTATACAACTTGTTATGATGCATGATAAGATGATCGATGCGAAGAATCGGACTGCTTCTTTGCTTGATTTCTTTTTAATGACGCACATGTACTTATACAAAATTCGGTGCAAACTTATTCATAATAAGCGGATACGAACACTTGAACGTATATTTTACGATGTGTGGGTGTTAGCTATTTGCTTCAGCACGATTCACGGTTCTATCAAGCATTAGTATTTTTTCGGGATCAATTATATGAAAATACATTTTTCCAAAGTGTATTTGAAGATTTTGGTGACATTCCCAAAGACTTTAATGTACATATGTTTGACGAATTTAATAAAATTGGATTGAGGATGTTATCGATACTAATAACAGGCTAAAAATTAGATTACAAAAAAGTAATTTACATGAAATGACTGCCATAGATGTGACATGTGAGGACTCCATATCTTTACAACATGAAACATTTACAGACACAATCCCAACCGTAGTTATGGCGCCGTTACAACATACAGACACAACCCAAACATTAGAAAGACAACGACCGTATCGACGTAGAAATAGAAAACAAAATACACCTATCGAAACACTACAACAAGATGTTGTTCCTGATAGCGAAGATGATGAAACAATGTATAAATGTACACGAAAATAACAACCAACGACTATAGCTCACGAAAATAACACCCAAAGACTATAGCTCACGAAAATAACACCCAAAGACTATAGTACACGAAAATAACAAAAGATATAGCACGAAAATAACACCCAAAGACTATAGTACACGAAATAACACCCAAAGACTATAGTACACGAAAGTAACAAACAAAGACTCTCGAAAATAACAAAGCTCACGAAAATAGCTCACGAAAATAACACGAAAATAGCTCACGAAAGCTCACGAAAATAACACCCAAACACTATAGTAAACGAAAATAACACCCAATTACTATAGCTCACGAAAATAACAACCAAAGACTATAGTACACGAAAATAACAACCAAAGACTATAGCTCACGAAAATAACACTCAAAGACTATAGTACACGAAAATAACAACCAAAGACTATAGTACACGAAAATAACAACCAAAGACTATAGTACACGAAAATAACAACCAAAGACTATAGTACACGAAAATAACAAAAAGACTATAGTACACGAAAATAACACCAAAGACTATAGTACACGAAAATAACAACCAAAGACTATAGTACACGAAAATAACACCCAAAGACTATAGTACACGAAAATAACAACCAAAGACTATAGTACACGAAAATAACAACCAAAGACTATAGTACACGAAAATAACAACCAAAGACTATAGTTCACGAAAATAACACCAAAGACTATAGTTCACGAAAATAACAACCAAAGACTATAGTTCACGAAAATAACACTCAAAGACTATAGTACACGAAAATAACAACCAAAGACTATAGTACACGAAAATAACAACCAAAGACTATAGTACACGAAAATAACACCAAAGACTATAGTTACAAAATAACAACCAAAGACTATAGTAAACGAAAATAACACCCAAGGACTATAGTTCACGAACCCAAGGACTATAGTTCACGCACCTAACCCCCAAAGACTATAGTTCACGAACATAACACCCAAAGACTATAGTTTACGAAAATAACACCCAAAGACTATAGCTCACGAAAATATCACCCAAAGAATATAGTACACGAAAATAACACCCGAAGACTATAGTACACGAAAATAACAACCAAAGACTATAGCTCACGAAAATAACACCCAAAGACTATAGTACACGAAAATAACACCCAAAGACTATAGTACACGAAAATAACACCCAAAGACTATAGTTCACAAAAATAACACCCAAAACTATAGTACACGAAAATAACAACCAAAGACTATAGTACACGAAAATAACACCCAAAGACTATAGTTCACGAAAATAACACCCAAAGACTATAGTTCACGAAAATAACACCCAAAGACTATAGTTCACGAAAATAACACCCAAAGACTATAGTTCACGAAAATAACACCCAAAGACTATAGTTCACGAAAATAACACCCAAAGACTATAGTTCACGAAAATAACACCCAAAGACTATAGTTCACGAAAATAACACCCAAAGACTATAGTTCACGAACATAACACCCAAAGACTATAGTTCATACACTTTACTCCCAAAGACTATAGTTGCTTACTATAAGTTGTCTTCAAATTACTAACCAAATTTTCGTTTCTTTTTTCGTACTTTCATTGTTTATTCGCTCTGCCATCGAATTCATTGCTCTTCATCGACATTTAAGTAACGTAATTTCTCAAATGTATTTCACATATGCTGTTAAATAAATTCCCCAACGTCAAAAATTTTATTTTTTGTCCAGTTGCAATCGCAGATGTTGACGATCTTCATTTTCTATTAAACGTTTAAATACATCGGCAATCAAATGACACGTCTTTCGGTAATTCGCAGAAATTTAAGGATATTTATGGCACCAACTTTACTTTGCTTTACTGCATGCCTTTCCCCAACCAAATATATTTTTGAACAGATTATACTACTTCTTTCATTTTTGTCGTCTTGTTTAACTATGTACGAAAGTCAAGTGTTTTCCATTATGCCTCGTACTTTGTAAGTACCACAAATCTTTTGAACACGTTAAATATGTTGCTTGTTTGTGTGTTGTCTTGTTGAACTTCGTTAGAAAGATAATTGTTTCTCATGACGCTTCGTAGTTTATTATTGTCAAAACATGAATTGAATAACATCTTTAAGCATCGTTTATGAATGTCATTTGTTCCACATCATGTTTGTTTTTGCATTCAATGTTTAAACAAATTACCTGATATCTATCAAATTTAATCCTATGAACAATAGGTAATGTTCCTTCTGAGTCAAAAAGGACTGAAGATGACTGAAGATGACTACCGCTAAGGTTGTCGAAACGTCAGTCAACAACAACAAAAAGAATCCTTCTCGGGACTATACTAAAGTAGACGATCTACATCTACAAACTCAGTGCAGTGCTATACATCTCATTAATTCGGCATATAATATAATATTTGAAATAATACTTACGATAAAACTCCTTGGGGAAGAAACATGGCGCGTGAAGGACTTGAAAAATTTTATAAAACATCATCAAATGTAATTGGTCAAAAATGGTCACGTGTTACGTCGTATAGTTAAAACAACAGCAAGGTGAAGGCGACTATGGTAAAATAGTAAAGGTCCATCGACGTGCAAATTAATCAACAGGTTCAAAGATACAACAGTATCACAGAAGGACAATATTTTATAGTTTATAGCATAATTTAGAAAATAATAAGTAGGCATTACATGTGATGTATTTCACTTTCGCATGTACTGTATATGTATATTCCTATGTACAGTAACCAAGTATATTTACAATATAAACACAACTTATCTGACTTTTCTTCTTTCCTTTGACATTACTCACAGCCATTTCCTTGATATTAAGAAATACAAAGACACATACTTTTGCTTATAAGTCAGTAAGGAAAATCTTGAAAATTGGCTTTCTATCAAATTTACCCAAAACATGATATTAATATTTCAAAAAAGAACAACCCTAACCTTGACAAATTCTCTAACCTTTAAAAAATTGTATTCAATCAAATTCACAAATCTATTCAAAAACCAAAAATTAAATATAATTGAACAATATACATTATAAATATTAAAATTAATTTACACTAAAGTAGGTAGTAAACAGCATAAATACACGATACTAACGAAGTATTTGTAGAAGTTTTTTAGTACAAACATAATACATATCTTAATATATAAGAAATAGCAAAGAAATTAGAACAGCCCAAATGCTCTCTTCAGAACATCTTGTTTCCAACCAGGAAGCTTACAAAATAAGTCACGTGGCATCTCGAAAATTTTCTATGACAACAAACAACTTGGTAAGTTCTTACAGTTGAAAACCATTTGAATAAACAATTCAAATGTTGCAAGCATTTTACCTCAAATACATCGTCAGTCAAATATGTTTCCAGTTTTGAATGATTGATGCCATCTGGAGGATCATCACTAGTCAATTCTTCATAACTGTAGAACTTTCTGAAAGTTATTAAACGTATATTATTAAGCATTCATAAAAAAATGTGATTACATCTATCATTATGAAACGTCACTAACATCTATCATTATGAAACGTCACTAACATCTATCATTATGAAACGTCACTAACATCCATCATTATGAAACGTCACTAACATCTATCATTATGTAACATCACTAACATCTATCATTATGTAACGTCACTAACATCTATCATTATGAAACGTCACTAACATCTATCATTATGAAACGTCACTAACATCTATCATTATGAAACGTCACTAACATCTATCATTATGAAACGTCACTAACATCTATCATTATGTAACATCACTAACATCTATCATTATGTAACATCACTAACATCTATCATTATGAAACGTCACTAACATCTATCATTATGAAACGTCACTAACATCTATCATTATGTAACATCACTAACATCTATCATTATGAACACGTCACTAACATCTATCATTATGTAACGTCACTAACATCTATCATTATGTAACGTCACTAACATCTATCATTATGAAACTATCACTAACATCTATCATTATGTAACATCACTAACATCTATCATTATGAAACGTCACTAACATCTATCATTATGTAACGTCACTAACATCTATCATTATGAAACGTCACTAACATCTATCATTATGTAACGTCACTAACATCTATCATTATGAAACATCACTAACATCTATCATTATGTAACGTCACTAACATCTATCATTATGAAACGTCACTAACATCTACCATTATGAAACGTCAATAACATTAAAAATACAACGTGATAAAACTTATGAAAAAACTGAAATCATAAAAATAATGTTACTACGTCCTACTTTTCAAAATGATTGAGGGCGTCTTGGACGTGTTTCTTCTCACAATTAATCTTTCCTTCCTGATAAAAAAATGTTGAAAATATTTACCTGTAAGTTTGGATCAATCGTAAATAACATAAAAAAGATAAAAATGTTACTTGCTTTTTTTTGAATCTCAGCAACATCCAATCTACGTTTCCAAAAAGGAAAATGATTGATAAATGATGACGGTTCCAAACCGCCATTAACAACATACGCTCCTTTAATACGACCATTCGACTCTTAAAAACAATTGAAAATTGGTGATGATAATGAACTTTCCTCTAGATGCAATTCTTTACAAAACGTTAAAGTTTAATGACAAGACAAGAACAACGACAAACAACAGAATTTTGTTCAAAAAAAGCCTGTATACCGACATTGTTTACCTTTAATGTAATTTATGGTTGTTTGTAGGGTAAGTTTTCTTTCTTTATCCCAACGTCTTTTTGCTGATCCCCTTTTATCCTTAGTTATCTCAACTGGCATCCATCCTTCCCACACATAGATTTCATCGCCAACGTCAAATATAAAGGATGCTGTAAAAAACAAAAATGTTTCAATAAAAACACACAAATATCACTTAATTTTTAAAAGCTTAATGAGGAAACGTGCTATAAAAAGGCAGAACTGGTGTGCAAAGCCAGACCTTCTATAACAAACCAGAAGTGCTATACAAAGCCAGAGGTGCTATACAAAGCCAGAAGAGCTATACAAATCCAGAAGTGCTATACAAAGCCAGAAGTTCTATACTAAGCCAGAAGTGCTATACAAAGTCAGAAGTGCTATACAAATCCAGACGTTCCATACTAAGCCAGAAGTTCTATACTAAGCCAGAAGTGCTATACAAAGGCAGAAGAGCTATACAAATCCAGAAGTGCTATACAAAGCCAGAAGTTCTATACAAAGCCAGAAGTGCTACACAAAGTCAGAAGTGCTATACAAATCCAGACGTTCTATACAAAGTCAGAAGTTCTATGCAAAGCCAGCTGCCATACAAAGCCTTGGTATATAAATATATTATGCTCTTTCACGGGAAGAATGATATTGATTTTCCACACAAACGAACGATAATTTTGTGCAAAAAATTATTTCAAGCTAGGATTGACTGTCTCAACTTCATAAAAATTTCCATTTTCCTTGGACAGAAAACAGTAATAATTGTACCAAAAAAATCATTTTAACATTTTTACCAGGTTGAGATGAGCCATAAAGGTCCTCTTGAAGGACTGGAAATGGACATGTTCTTCCAGGATATCTGGACGGGCATAGGACTTCAGTGGATACAAAATGACCTGTAGCACTGCTCATGTGAAAAGACGTGGACAGTAACTGTCACGTGGCGAATCTTTATGAAAAGAAAAGCAAACGATAAATTGTTATTGCCCATCGCAACTAGTGCAATACCAAAAGATTTTCTACTCTTTTACCGTTTAACAACGATATATACTTGTCTTTGTTGCCACTAACTACTGTCCAAAATATTTCAGGTTCTTCTCCTTCTTCAAATACATTTACGGATATCGTTGTTTGTTTATAAAAATTCATCTCCAATGGACACCTAGAAAATAAACATTGAAAGTTCTCATAAACGTCTCGGAGGTTGGCATAAGCTAGTGCAAACACGAAAAAAACCATCTTTTAGTTCTTTTTATAAAATAAAAATAGTGATAACAAATACATTTAACACATTATTATATTTGTGATTGATTTGAAAATTCTCTTCTATCGATAAAATTGATTGAGCTCAAGTCGGTTTGCACAGTCTAATGCAAACTCAGGTATTGACCAATCATCGCACACGTTTAATTCTTGTTATGTTATAAAGTGCACCCCCCCCCCTTAACTATTAACATCCCTACAGCAACCAACAACAGCGCGAGGAAAAACTAGGGTCATTTGCATTATATACGTACTACAAACAAAACAAATTGGTTTATGTAAGTTGTTACATGATAAAACAACAAATGAAAAACTCATATATGCATTCAATAATTTCACCTTTCTTTGATGTAATTTGCAGCTTTCTCAGCAGAAAGTCTGTGAAATTCGTTTGTCTGACAGCCATGCCACACGTAGACATTTGCCTCATCTGAATCCACGACAATAAAAGATGACTTTGAACGCAAAGAGGATGCCCTGAAAACGCAAGTCATAAATTATTGTCATTCAAAAGAAAAAGATACATTCGTAAACACCTCAAGCGACCTTGGTCCAATTAGTTAGCCGATGATTTGGAGATTTAGATGTAATAACTAAACATTTCTACAAGATTTATAAAACCTATATCAAAGGATTACAAATTGATTCCAAAATAACCTAACACTTCGAATCTTTAAAAGTGAAACAATTGCAAAGCAAGATTTTACAAAAATTATTCTCCTCCTTAGAAATTTAAGTATATAAATAGAAATTTATGTCAAGTTTTGTCTACCTTCGTTCCACTTGAACAAGACAACCTTCCGTCGAATCCTCATTTCTGATACAGTACATTCTTATCCTTGACTTATCTACAATGATTTTATGGTTTCAAATGAATAAATTATCCCACAACAATAAAAAATCCTGACGATTTTCAACTTCTTACAACAAAACAAAAGAGGCCATTCAAACCTGAAAACTCGTCATCCACTTTGTCATCCACTTTTATACGTCTAATACAAAAAGCAGAACAATTGAATACAAGAACATTGAATAAGTACAGAACAAAGTCTTACATGAAGTTTAAACATATTCTATATTAATCTAAGAATGACACTCACTTTCCACAATGAATGACCATAGCACCATCAAATAATTTCAAGAAATGAGGTGGTTCTTTTCCTTCAACAACTCGAACCTGTAAAAATATCAAATTATAACAAAATAAAAAATCCTAAAATTCTTCATGCCAGAGTGACAGGTAGACATCTTGATAAAACGAGGCATTGAAATTTACCTGTGGACCACGTTCTTCGTCTAGTTCTACGGCCATTATTGCAGCTGCACCTTTTTCACTCACGCTACATTCATTTCCTTGCCAAAAGAAATATGCACATCGTTGTCTACCGGTCAGAGGGCGAATTCGGCCACGTTTGTCGCGTACTATCCGATTCTTAGCAACAAAATATACCCATCGAATAACATAGCCATCGCCTAGGAGAAGAAGCAGATTAGTCATGAATGCATTACAATAATTTAACATACCTGATGTTGTTCTAACTAAACGTTTAGTTCCGTGCTTAAGTTATGCATTGTAACAGTAAAAGATACTTGTTGTTCAACAGTAAAAAATACTTGTTGTTCAACAGTAAAAGATACTTGTTGTTCAACAGTAAAAGATACTTGTTGTTCAACAGTAAAAAATACTTGTTGTTCAACAGTAAAAGATACTTGTTGTTCAACAGTAAAAAATACTTGTTGTTCAACAGTAAAAGATACTTGTTGTTCAACAGTAAAAATACTTGTTGTTCAACAGTAAAAATACTTGTTGTTCAACAGTAAAAGATACTTGTTGTTCAACAGTAAAAAATACTTGTTGTTCAACAGTAAAAGATACTTGTTGTTCAACAGTAAAAGATACTTGTTGTTCAACAGTAAAAAATACTTGTTGTTCAACAGTAAAAGATACTTGTTGTTCAACAGTAAAAATACTTGTTGTTCAACAGTAAAAGATACTTGTTGTTCAACAGTAAAAAATACTTGTTGTTCAACAGTAAAAGATACTTGTTGTTCAACAGTAAAAGATACTTGATGTTCAACAGTAAAAGATACTTGATGTTTAACAGTAAAAGATACTTGATGTTCAACAGTAAAAGATACTTGTTGTTCAACAGTAAAAAATACTTGTTGTTCAACAGTAAAAGATACTTGTTGTTCAACAGTAAAAAATACTTGTTGTTCAACAGTAAAAGATACTTGTTGTTCAACAGTAAAAGATACTTGATGTTCAACAGTAAAAGATACTTGATGTTTAACAGTAAAAGATACTTGATGTTCAACAGTAAAAGATACTTGTTGTTCAACAGTAAAAGATACTTGATGTTCAACAGTAAAAGATACTTGTTGTTTAACAGTAAAAGATACTTGATGTTTAACAGTAAAAGATACTTGTTGTTCAACAGTAAAAGATACTTGTTGTTCAACAGTAAAAGATACTTGATGTTTAACAGTAAAAGATACTTGATGTTCAACAGTAAAAATACTTGTTGTTCAACAGTAAAAGATACTTGTTGTTTAACAGTAAAAGATACTTGATGTTCAACAGTAAAAGATACTTGTTGTTCAACAGTAAAAGATACTTGATGTTCAACAGTAAAAGATACTTGTTGTTTAACAGTAAAAGATACTTGATGTTTAACAGTAAAAGATACTTGTTGTTCAACAGTAAAAGATACTTGTTGTTCAACAGTAAAAGATACTTGTTGTTCAACAGTAAAAGATACTTGTTGTTCAACAGTAAAAGATACTTGTTGTTCAACAGTAAAAGATACCCGTTGTTTAACAGTAAAAGATACTTGTTGTTTAACAGTAAAAGATACTTGTTGTTCTAACTAAACGTTTAGTTCCGTGCTACATTAAGCATGCATTACAAAAATGAAAAAAAAAACCTGAATGAAAATGTCCCTCGCTTGTTTTGGTCAGAACGAAATGCTTGTTTTGAGTGACGAGCCATACGGTCAAGCCAAGAGTAGTTACCAGATCTCCTTCTTTTACCTCTCCGTTGATTTCTACGTTCGGAGTGCCAACACCACGACCCAGATTGGTTGCTTCTAAAAAGATGGCTTCTAGATCTCCAACGGGTTTCATCATCTCAGAGGGATTACAAGGAGTAAGTTCGATAGCAGGAAGACGCTAAATGTCGAGAAATAACAAATCTATCTATACTGAACCTTATTGATTCTCGTATATATAAGGTAATGAAACGATCAGAAGACTAGAACCATACCTCTTGAACTTCACCACTGCTCACATGCCCTTTCATCTTAATGATTTTCGTGGGATCTGGCCAGTCGAAAAACTTTTCTTGAAACAATAAAGTTTCGGCTTTCTCGTGAAGTTTTCCATACAATGTCCACGCGGGTCGTGCACAAACAACACCCTCTGCATCACGATAAACAGCAGACTTAGAAGACTCTTGGACTGTGCGTTTCGGATCCATTGGGTTAATGTTCGAGTCACACTCAAATTTCTGTTTGTAAAGCATCTCAGCCAAATGAAAAGCTGCCTTTCGCTTGCTAGATAACGACTGCTGTCCAGTCCAAACGTATAGTTCAGTGCCAAAGTCGAAGACAAACACCTAATTAAAAGGAAAAAATTAAAGCATGAAATTGTTTCATCTAATGTTAAAACACAATTCCGGCTTATGCAGACTCTGGTAGATGAAAACAAGATTTTTCATCTATATACATGTGGCATTTACTTTATGCATTTGTTAAAATACAGTTTTAAAATCAAACCCTAACCTCTTTTGTATTTAGCATTTTAAACTGTGGCATGTAGCCACAATATTCTCTCATCAAAATCAAATGCGGGGGATCTTCTTCTTTCAATTTATAGACTTTATTTGTTGCAACCACTTCACGTTCATATTTTTCATCATCAGGACACAAAGAGCCATCTTCAATGTCAAAACTACTTTCACCATTTAAAATTTTACAGAACTTTCTGTATGGTAGTGAATTGGAGCGCTTCGCATCATCTATGTGCAAGACATCGCCAGTCTTACAGTTCAGATCACGACGTTTTTGAATCTTTGAAGACACTTCAACGGCCTATAAATGATAAATTTTGTTATATTCTATAAAAAAGAAAACGTATTATCTTTTACAACACAGGTATGCAGGAAACAAACTTTATTTTAACTTGCTCATGAATTTCTAGAATACAACAAGTCCAGTCAATTTTCCAACACAGTACTATTACAACGACTATATACCAGGAGTGGATTAATGCTTATTTGACAGGAGGGTGCAGATTTTCCAACGGGGGTGCATCCTTATCCTGGCTAAAGTTGAATAACAGGGGCTTCGTCTATTGCGGATTTTCGAGTGAGCCTTGCGTAACGAAAGGGTTATGCATCTAGTAATTTATTTCCATTTTAATGTTTCAATGAAAACGCGCATGGTATAAAATATGTAATTGCCTTTGAAATGACAAGTTCTACCTATATAAAGTCTTGTTGTACAATTTAATAACCTCCAATATTGTCATATTAAGCGCCTATAGTACGTAATACCATTTTAAAATTTTTCTTGGGGGGAGGGGAGTGCTAGAGAATGATGCGATTTATACACTCGTTGAGTAAAGTTTTCTCAAAATGCAAATTTTAACACCAACCTTCGCCTTCTCTATGGTGTTGGCATTTTCTCCAATCCAACAAAACAATTCTTTTTCCGTTACGAGAATGAAACAGTCGCCACTGTTTAAAGATGAGAGACTGGGTTCAACTAGACGACTTTGCACCTGTCGACGACCTATGACCAACAAACAAAATCTCTCTTTTTAAGTGGGAAAATTAGTTTGAACTTGAATTTAGAGCTTGTCGATACCTTTGATCTGAATTAACATGACAGGCAAACTTCCAGAATATTCAATATTATCTTTAACAGGTCCCTTCGTTTTTTTTAGTGACACAGAGGAAAAATCCTCGCGGCTTGCTAAAGCAGCTAAAGCAACTGGATCCAATGTATGTCGTCTCCCTAAAACATTAAAAATTATGAACTGTTAAACATAGCAATGATTAAATAAAAACAATGTCAATAATGAAGTATAATGTGAAAACAGTATAATGAAGTACTAACATGGTTCCAATTGCGATCGTTTCTTCCTTGGAGCACTTCGTCTTTTGGGTTTTCAAAACCAGACTTGCTTTCTTTCTAAAATTAGAGAAGTTGTAGATTGCATTAGCATAACGAACTACGCTAACCTTAGTCTATGAACAATCTCCTTTTCAAAATGCCATGTGAGCAATCGGCAATAGCCCTTTCCCTCCCAAATGTAACTTCACCTCTTCAGAGTCTTCCGTCGTCACTCTAACGTCAGCTCTTTCCATTAAAGATTTCATGGGATTCATGGATTTGGAACTAACACGTTTTGGTCTTGCTTTTGTTCTACCTTCCGTAAGTGATTGCAGTCTAAGAATAAAACATGTGGTAAAATAATGATTACAAAACATATCCAAATAAATTGGAAACAATCCGACCTTACCTGGTTGTACTTGAAGATATTTCATCGAAATCCATTGCTGACAAGTCAACCTGTCTTGTTTTTGAACTCGATTCATTTCCATCACGATTGAAAAATTTAGAAAGATCAGACGTTGACCAAGAATGTGAATTAAGAGGGGATTTCACTACCATATGACTTTCGCCATTTATATTAACGCCATTACCAAAATTTTCACTGAACGTAAACTTTTCTTGTTGTGAAAAAGTACGAGGAGATGATCTTTGTTGACCTTTCGTTTGTTTTGTCAAAGTCTCGATAGCTGTGCTCAGATAATCATCCAGATGCTGACTTGACTTACTCGTATAACCATTTTTCAACGACTCTTTTTCGTTACGTGTTTGTAAAATTGTAGATGTAGATGAAGTCTTTAACTCCATTGCATCAATAATTTCCAATTCCTCTGTTTCTTGATCCGCTAATGTATCAATCCCCGATTCACTTTTACTTCTTCGTCTTGTTCTTGATGAAAAGACTGGTCTTGATACCGAAACTTCTGCATCATCACCATTGGATGTCCTCTTCAATCCATTAATATCCTTGGATGCTTCCTTAAAATTCGGCAGCTCAACATCATGTTCGCCGACTTCGTTGACAATATGTGATTTAACAAGTGCTTTAGCATTTTCCTGCAATACCTTGTCTCCCTGAAGTTCGGATTTCTTTTCTTCGAATGGTGATAAGTAATTATCTGGTATTAAATCACTTGTCTGTCGTGCTAGCTGAGGTTTCTCCTTTTCTCTATCCTCATAGCTGGAAGGTGCTACATAGAAATTTGATGAAACAATGCTGTTCCCTTCATCACTATCAATATTTACGTCGGCTATTTCTTTCAATATGTCTTTTGAAGAACTACCTGCCACGGTTTGTGCACGTCTGTCCCTTACCTTGGCTTTTCGTTTATTTTGAGACTTCGTTTTCTTTTTATCAACTTTCTTAGTAGATTTTTCACCTGATTCACCTTCTTCCTCTGGACTCGATCCTCTCCGTGATACTGGATGGTCGTCTTGCGACAGATATCTGTTAAGATATGTTTGTCGGTCCTCAAAAACTTCATTAGAATTTTCCCAATCATCTCCTCCAGTGGAAGAGGACTTCTTCAAATTCTTTGCTTCTTCAATAATCTTTCTCACATTATTATCTTTACCATAACTATTTGTTTCACTGTCGAGGTGCGACATTGATTTAGAAGTGGCTAGTTTAAACTCAGGTGCGCCACCTTTAGAAAATCTTTCTCTCAAACTTACAACGGATTCAGACTTTTTAACAGCATGAATAGATGAACTGGTGATATCATCTGACGAAATTCTTTGACGATAAGACGATTTACCATTCTTATCGAAAGAGCCCTTACTATTTGTATTATGAGTTACAGAATCAAGCGTTGATGAATTTTCTTCATCAGACTTAAGCGGCAAATTGTGAGATAAAGCATTTTGCCGTGTCAATAATGTGTTTGAATTTTTAGTTTCCTCGTTTTTCAGGACATTGTCTCGACGCTTATCTTCATTTGTTTTCAAATCAAAACCAACGATGAAGTCGTCATTTGGGTCCTGGGTTGCAAATGTCGTAGCAAGCGTATGCCTTCTAGAAGTGTAAGCCTTCGTGTTTGAGCGTGTTTTGTCTTACTTGAAGTACTTTCGTTTGCTTTGCTAGAAAAAATAAGCCCAACTCACTAAGTTTTGCGGAAGAATTTTCTGTTTCTATAAATCTCTTCCTTATTTCGGAGACAGAAGGCAAAGCCAGAGACTCGTTTGATTCAACATTCATTCCCTTATGTTGCATCTCTCTCCTTGCATCCAACGATATTTCATCAAACATTAAAGAATTTATTGTCTTAGAGCGTTGGTATCGCTGCTTTTTACGTGTTTCTCGTTTACATGATTTTTTTACTTCCGAGTTTCCTTGTTTACCTTCGTGCAAATCCTGCGTGGCATTGGTTTTTTTGTTGACAGAAGAATCGTTTTCAGTTTTCGTTTTTCCGTTGATTTCCGAAGATGTTTCGTCAATGTCTAATTTCATATGTGTTGTACCATGAGATGTTTTCTCTAAGCTTGCCACATTCAAGTTTTTATCGAAAGTCTTTGGCTCACAATCTACATCTTTTTCAAAATTTTTTGCAATTTTATTGCTTAGGTTCATACTATCCTTTCCTATCATCTGATCATCGATCAACGAGCATTTTTCATGATCCTTCTTTCCAATTTCGCCATATTGAGAAATTTTAACATTTGAGTTTTGATCTAGACTATTTGCTTCGCTTGAAGTCACGTCTATAAAATCACGCAAAGTTCTTCTGTCTCTTTTAGAAAAGTTATTTTCAAGAGATATATTTTCCTCATTCACGGTTGATTTTACATTTTCCATCAATGGCGATGATTGTGATTCTGATTTCGTAGGTTGATGTGACTGTTCTTTCCTAAGTTTCCTATCACGTACACGCTCTCGTATGGAGTTTACACTTTCACTCACCTTTTTTTCTTTATCTGTTGTATGAATAACTGGATTCGTGTGAGACTGAGTCTTCTTACTGCCTCCTTTCTTTTCAAGTGGAGTTTTGTCTTTATGTAAGGACTCCTCCTTTTCGTCATGAAATACATCCACATCACCACCATAATCCTTCTTTAAATCATCGACATCATCCTTTTCAAAATGCCTAGATGTGGCTGGCTTTCTGCTCATTGTGTCTTTCAACCCAAGGTTGCTTAATGATCTTGACATTTTACCATTTTGTTGGTCAGAACTGCTGGGCAAGTTCTTCATGATTTTGAAACCAAAAACAGTTTTTTCTTCAGTGATAGAACCATGGGACTTACTTCGGCTGGCAGGTTGGTGATTCTCCGTAGACGAGTTAGGCTCACTACTTGCTTGCGTTTCTTTTAACTTCACTTTCTCCTTATAAATTTGATTTGAAATAGGAAATGTATACTTTTTGACTTTTGTCGATGATGGTGATTGCTGCATTTTCTCACGTGACGTGTACTGCTGATGGTTTTTATTTTCTAGATTTGATAATTTTCTGTTACGAGGATCATTGATCTCCAAAGATGTGACATTGACTGACGCAACTGTATTCATCATGTCACGTGTTCTTATGACTTCATCGTCCTTGTTATCCTGTAAGATATGAACTTTATCACGTGTAATAATCTTACTATCACGGGATGAATTTAAGTTGTTGAGCGAGGAGACAGCATCAGTGAACAAGCACGAACGCTTCCGTGCGACTCCTGGGCACTAGTAACCTTCGTTCATGTGTGCTGAAACAGTTCCACTTGTTGAAGGACGGAAAAGTTAAAATGTTACTTTGACGACTTGAGAAACATGAGAGGAGAACCCACAATGATCCCCATTTTCTTTCTCAAATGGATCCTGAAATTAAAAAGATTAAACCATTCCTATAATTAGTAGTTCTACGGTTTCTGCTAAAGAGATAAAACGTTCATTAGTATTCAGAAATTTTATTGAAACTCCAGTCATACACATTATACATTTTAAATTTAAATTTTTGTTTTATCGCTGTCCGGGGTTTTGTACGTATACCGAAATAAGTCTTCATTAAGACTTGTTTAGGTAATCATAACGTTCAAACATTCGGAAGAAAGATACGCTTAAATCATAAAAACATATGATACAATTTTAATTAAAAAGCATCAGAATTAAACACCACATACGAACCGTAGACTGTAAGCTACAAATCTACATTCTATACTCACACATAAGACTATTAACAACAGACTTGAGAATCTTTCATCGTGAAAAATCGATTTGATTTCACACCTTTCACTGTTTCACATACATTTGTTCAAATAATTAATCTTCCTATTTCAGTTTGTTTGTCTGCCAAACGTTCATTTATCAAAACGATATCAAGTTACTTTCAAGAAGGAATATTTGAGAAGTTTATATATATATTCAATCAACAGCTCAGAAACTGCAAACATAAAACAAATGCATTTACTGCCTTCGGCCACAACGATAGACCAACGAATAATCAATGCAAGCAAACGGCATTTTAACGAAGACTTCGGCGTGAGAAATAACTCAGCTGTATTTGTACAGACAGCACGAATATGAATTTTGACTTAAGTGTGATAAATAAAAACAAAAATAACTCAAAACAGCTGTGAAAAAATTATAACATGTTTTATGTTGTAGAAAACCATGTTTCGACAATTCGTTAAAGGAAGACTTGAGGAGGCAGCTGGAAGCTTTAATTTAAATATTTAAATTTTTATGGTATCAGGGCCAAATTCAGAAATTGATAGTTTAATTCGACTTAAAAAGACGTCTCGTCAGTTTATCTTAGCAGAATACAACAACGAAATTTAATTGAAAAGCAAATATTTGACAAATGCTTTGATCTCATTGAAAATGCCTACTTACACAGCAGTTTTCCCGAATGAACTTCGAAGATTTAAGACGGAAATAAATTTCTTTTGACCTGCAGCGAATCATTTAAGACAAGAAAAAAGAATGACATGACTCACTAACTAAGAAATGTGCGAAAGAATGTCCAGCAAATAGGAATGCGAAAACAATACAATTCATCAAGTATTATTCTTACTAACACGGCAACAAGTCGTTGAAATAAATAAAATTAAGTGTTAAATATACGTAGCAATGGTTCAAATCAAAACATTACGCTACACTTACGAATATACATACAAACGTACAATTTTGTCAACGGGCGCGCTCGCATTTAAAGATAAATAATCCAAGTTCATAGATTTCATTCGTTATAAATAGTTCAGTATTTACCAGTTTTAGTAAAAATTCTGTTTAGTAATAGTTCTTGAGATTTTATATTTCAAAGATTATCACACGCTTTATCGAAGTTTTCTTGCCAATCTTCGAAGCAATATGAAAGGCATATTTTATGAGAATTTGTTTATTAATCTTAGCCGAAGCGCCATAATATAATTTTCACTAAGATCAATTCTATTAAATATCTATTCAAAACACAACACAAGATTCAAAATATTGAACTGAAGCGATTATATGAATATAAAAGACGAACCGATATTTCATATTCGCAACACTTTCATACGAATTTATTATTATAAATCGTGAAAGTTTTGCAATTTGTAAGAACAATATAAACGTACGACAAACAATGGACATTAGCGAGGCACAATAAAAGAAATTGTTCGAATGAAAATCAAATATACATAAAAACAAATATCCATTATACAAAACTGCAGAGAAATATATCAATATGTTTTCTAGAAGCAAAGCTTACCCAAGGTATCGGCCAAATATATAGTTTGATTGTTTTTAAAATTTTTCTTGAAAATCCAACGATTACCATTCTGTGTGTCAAGTTATTTAAATATTATATCTTTACTTCGATAATGCGCATCATAGCTTATTAATCATAATACACACGATATTGCTTTAATTCATTCAGTAAAGATCGAATCGTGTGTGTTTTTGACATCACAAAATATCATTATACCAAGTAATATTTGATTACTAAAGGCGTGAACTTCCTTTTCTGTCCTACGTCAAGTAACTTTATATAAGTTTCCCAGCATTAACAAAAGACTTTTTGTGTAAATACTGACCAAAATTTCATATTCCTCGCTGAATATATAAAGCTATCAAAGCAGTCCAATATGAAAAACTTTGACAATCTACGGTCGGATATGATGTAACCTAATTACGATACGAAGTTTTTACGAACTAGAATCCAAGTAAGGAGGAAATAATCAAATCCAATGAAATAAAACAAAACACCAATCTCCACTTAAAAAGGAAGATCAAGGATCAAAGATAGTAAAACCGAAAGCTGTAACTAAAATGCATGCTTTTCATTTTATTTTGTTTGTTGCACAATATACGTTATTTATTAGAGAGGCTTTGACATTGAATAAAAATAAAGATGAAGTTTACAATTGGTCTTAAATCTTATTATGGGAGAGAAGAATGGCAGGCACTTTATAATCCTGGATACTCTTTTATAACTCATAAATCATTAAAGATGGTAAGAATGAGGAAATTAATTACGAAAACAATTTGTCGTTGTAGTTTTATGAAATATTAGAAGTTTTCATTGGCTTTTGCTTAGTAACACGCTGCAAAGTTCGGCTGCTACAGATCGGCCAGAGCAGTTTTAGCTACTGACTGTGAAACATGCGAAGTGCGATAAGCACTATGTCAATGAATCAGACCTAAAGTTATTGTTTTTGTTCACCTGGTCAGGATACAAATATTTAAATAAGAATTTAACAGCAAGTATAACAAAACATATTGCCAAGGCGAATATAGCAATAGCAATTTTTCTAAAACAAAAGCAAAGCCTATCTTTGGATATTAAACATTGCCCAACTCAAAATCCTTTTCTACCACAAAGACTTTTGCAAAAATATAATGACGAAACACAAAATCAAAACAATACAGTACAACATAGCAATTTTGTTGACTTTCATCAGTATGATAATTAAAAGACGGACTTAAGTCCCAACCAACGATCATCTATGAACCAAATTAATGAAAATGGCCGGTAGTCGTTAAAGATTTCGAAGTGACCGGATATAATATATTGACTGTAACTGTAAGACCATAAGTGGAAATTTTTAAAGGTCTGTTCACACACAAGTCTTTCATATCCTCAAAGTCATCTTTTTAGAGAGCTTAGGTAGTCACTGCAATCCCAACGGCTTGCAGATTTGTAGAAAAATGTAATATTTTAATCGAAGGGATCGTACACTGAAATGTACATTTTGATAAAGAAAAGTGAAGTGGCTCTCTTTATGACGCACACTTTACACTTGAGCACATTCAAACGAAAAATAACACATGCAAAAATTCAGTGAAAAAGCAGTGAAATGTAATGCAAACTTACCAACTTTTATATTGAATGATACATTTTGATTAAGTTGAAAACGCTTGGAATAGTTCACCAAATTCTAAGATTAGGTTGGCCAAGTACGAATATAAGCTTGTCGTAGTCGAAGCTTTGTCCTCTCAATTTTTTACTACTTTAACTGGTTACTAGACAGTTATAAATTATATCGGCGAATCAACTCTTTAAAAGATCGCAACCAAAATGACAACAAATACTTTGATGAGTCACAGCGTGACGCGGGCTCCTCGCTCAAGAAATTAGCATATATTGATTTGAATTATACACAAAGACATCACGAAATTGTGTTTAACATTTTATTTTTCAGTAAATTATAGTTTGTTCAAGACTGAATAACTTAAGGCCTCCTCACAGGAAGACACAGTTGGCCAATGTATACATTACAAGAACTTGAGCTATAATAACAATAGCTTGATGACAACTTTACATACTGATATTTAATACGATGCTCGGAAAATCTGTCGCAAATTCTGAAATATATCATAGATAACAATCCAACATAAGCATATCTCTTAATGCTCTAAGCTGCGGTGTTTTGCTAAATACAACAACACGATTGGAGAATGCGCGTGCTTTTATAGACAAAACCCATGACTGATTCTAAACTTTGCCTGCGAGCAATTATTTAACGTGATGAAAGATATCATTTTAAAACGCTTTGCGATAATTCGATAACATGATGGCTCTCTGTGAGCAATATTTTTGCCATTGAGCACTGAAAAAACCGCAACACTGTCAGTAACAATGCTCAGTACTAAGGAAAGTGAAATGTTATTATTGATGCAGCGGCAGCTCATTTCATAATTAATAAATAAATTCGCCTATGAACTTCGAGCATTTAAAAAATTTCCTCTTTATTCAATGAAGGTAAAACAGTAGCACTCAAAGTGCACTTAATATTGAAGGTTTTAACTAGAGTTTGAGTCAAACAAGAAGATTACATGACTGACGTGCACTTTGCATACTTCAGTGATCCTCGATCTATTCGAGGCCATTTAATATGAGATAAAGGTGTTAAATATTATTATTACAAAGCTTAACTTGTCGAAGATATTGACGAATTTCGTCTTTACACGTTCTGACACAGCTCTTAAGTTAAAGTAAAGGAGCAGACAAAAAGAATGCCAAAATTTTTGAATTTATACAAGCTCATAGAACATACACGGCAAATGCAAATTTCGTAAATATTAAAAAAAACGTACGGGAAAAACCACGCACGCACCACACAATAGACATAATCACAACCATTAAATATAACATGTATCATTTATTTACCTTTTTCTTTGTCGAATTTTTGCCTTGTCTATCAATTCCGCAATAAACACTGTGTACATTTGCACTGTTCCTATCCTCTGATAACATCATCATTTTTACATATCAACAAACATCCCGTAGTTCCAGTAATAATGTCATCAACTGTTTACGAATGTCTACCACTTCGTAAATAACGGTACATTTGATAAATATGTTGCGTTTTAACAAACTTCGCTCCAGACTAAAGCAAAGCTCAAGCTAGATACGTTTGAAGTACTTAGAACAATTTGTTAACTTATTAGACTTATTTGACATGCATGAACTAATGTTGCTATAGAAATTATCTGGTTCTTTGTTGAAAGCGATAAACCTACAAGTGCACAGAGCGCATTTCCGTTATAAAAGAAAAAAGTCCTTTTCTCCGGAGCATAAAAAATTTTATTTAGCTTAGCAGTCAAAATGCTGGACATTACCTTTTTAATTATGTTTTGAAGGGGATTTGAAAACAATGGCAATTATTTCTAAAGTAAACGTATTTTACATTGAGAAGACACACGTGAAAGTGGAAATAAGTCAATGAGACAATAATACATAATGATAAAACTGTTTATGCCTAAAGGTGCGACTCCAACGGAGAGTAAAATCAAAGATGGGTAAGCTTAAGTTATATTCTGTGTGGGCGAAAATTAAAACGAACAAAGACATAAAAACTCTCAGTAATCAATGTATATTTCCCGTTGACATTTATAACTTTCTTCAAGGTGGAAGGAAGTGTTCAATGATTAACGACGTTAATGTACAGAGCCGAACCAAAAGCGTTTTATTTATCTTGCGTAAATTCCAAAACCAAAGCTGTGGCCAAAAATGTATATGGAGTCTCTTCGTATGACGTAGCTATGAACAACGCTATGTCCGGAATGATAATTTACTGTTTCTTTGGTTGGAGGGGGTGAAACTATTTTTTCCTCTTTTTTGTAAGCAGACTCATTTTTTTGAAAAAAATTATAAAACATAACATTTTAATAACTTTAAAGTTTTAGGAACGGTAGGTAACGCGGTACATCGTTTTATTAAGAATAAAAATGAGATAAATAACAGGGGAAATTGTGTTTTTTAAAACGAAACTATCAATAAACATTTTTTGAAATGTAAAAGTACACGAATCAGCTTTCAACTCGAGAACATCTCGCTGCATGTAGAAGATAAGTACTGTATCGGATAAAGAACGAACTTTATAAAAAATTTTGCTCACACTCTATCATTTTTATTTGAGCTAACCAATGTAATTATTCGGTTTCCAGTAGTTTCGAGTTTCTTCTCTACTTTTCCACAGGACTGTTCTCACAATGATGGTAATCCCAGTATGTTATCTGCAAAGAAAACGTTTTGACATTAACTCAAACACAAGTTGGCAATAAGCACAATACTATAAAGAGCTTTTTTTGTCTCAATATTAAAAAAAGACAATAGCAGCTGAAACTATTTTATTAATAAATAGATGTTATCTTTTTAAACGATATATAAATCACTATCATTCCATCTTTACTGCAAATGATCCAATGAATGCAAATGAACCGCCGCATTTCTATGATCTTAATAAATTCTCTAGTATGTGCGGTATGTTTAGGCGTTTAACAGAGAGAGGCATTTCTATCGCCTATCGCCTTAGAGTGACCAAACAAACAAAAAGAAAAATAGGTAATAAATATATGGTTTCTAAGCTCAGTTTACAATCCACTATAATAATTTTAACTACCACATTGGCAGTGTGGTGGGGCGCTTGTATTAGAGACGGGACGTTTATAAGAAAAGGGTGTAATACAAACTTATGCTTACAGAGAGGATTTATTAATTATGAGGAGTTTGTTTAATAGGAATCATTTAACGTGTTCTGTATTTTAATGTCTTGAAAAAACACTAGATGTACGACAAACTATTAACTACTTACCAAGATTGTCCTTCGACGTGCACAACTTTTTGCAAAATATGAAATGAAGCGAAGATTTGATGATAAACCAAACGCCTTTACGATATTGTCGTCGGCTAAGTAGGTAAACCCATGGATTTAAAATTGTATGAAGAGACACAAGAAAAACTGCAGTTAAATACCAAAGAGCATTGCAAGGATACTTAGCCTGTATCATTATCACTTGAATCTACTGAAAAGGAAACATGAAAATGCAATCAAGTCAATCGTAGTAAAAAGAAAAACAGCAAAAAAAACGCCTATTTTTTACAATTCGAGTATTTTATAAATAATGCAGAAATAAGATTACTGTAAGACGACACGAGGGTAGGTTCTCACCGTAAAGGGCAACCAGCAGAACAGAAATAACGTCATCACAATAACACTCAATTTCAAGAAATGACATTCTTCCCTGGAACAAATAGCTCGGCTGGATTCAAATTCTGAACACTGTTTTCCAGCACGTGACAGCATTTTGTAACTCATCCACGACGCTGATAAATTACATGCGAGCACAATTAACATGCTGAGCAAAAACATCACCAAATTAGCATTTAATGCGAGTTTTCCTTCCAAACTTTTTGGTTTGAGGTTCAACCAACAGAACGTACCGGGGTGCTTTACAATGAAATTTGAAACTCCAAAAGTAGGCAACAAGCTTAACGACAAAGCAAAACCAAACAAGAACCCTACGAATGCAGCCAGTCTATTGAACTGAAATACAGCATGTGTTTTATAGAAAAAAGGAGTTCGTAGAGCCAGAAACCTATCTAAACTCAACGTGCTTACAAGAAGAACAGACATGATCAGGAGAAGATTAACGATTGTGCCTTGAAAATTGCAAAACAACGAAGTGTTCATATCAAATGCCATGAAGTAGTACAGCAATGCAGGAAATAGGCAAATGATTATAGTGAAAACATCAACAAATGCCAGAGTGAAGATAAGACAGTTTGGATACGTCCTTCGCCAACGTAATACTTTTGCAACGATTGCTATCACTAGGACGTTACCAAAAAAACCGATGGTTATCATAAACAAACATATGACACCAAATAACAATTGGAGATAAGAACTAATAGGTACGATTTCACTACACATTATGAATTTATTAATGTCAATTGGATGCACGATTTAGCCACAAATTTGAAATCATACAAATCTTTTTTGTTTTCTCAGCAGTTCAGCAGTTCTTGTACTTTTCACATTGAATCAATTTTTTTACAATTCACCCATGAATGTGTTTGTACATGAAAACAGTCTTTTATCATAATAAATTGTTTACATTTTGATACTAAAAAACATAGTGAATATCAGTATATGACAGGCAACATTTTATGTTCATTTGCTCAATGTTTCGATGCTTAGCAGGTTGTTGGATAAAATCACTTTCTTTTTTTAGAAGTGAAAAAGACAACTTTTGGGAAGAAAATTTATTGACATCCTTTACGACTAAAAATGCAAACTTGTTATTGCAAAACAGAAAATTTTGTTGGGTTTTGATATTTTCAAAATTTATGTTTTTCTAAGAGTGACATAGACAGAAAAACGAGAGTGGACCCAGGATTTTAATCAGGAACGGGGTGCATCATTTAGAAATGTAGTTATACCTGAAACATTTTAATTGTTAAACTTTACAATATTTGAACTCAGGGAGGGTGTACACAACCCTCTGAGCCCCCCTCTCCCGAAACAAACGACTGCACAGTCCAACCTACTGAATCCAGTTTACTGATCACTAACCGGTAGTTTATACTATCGCCGGGAAAATTACGTAAATTATTTTTATTTATTTCAATATGACCAAAGTGTACATTTTGCTCGTAATGATTGATTGTAAATTCTGTGTTACACGAAATATCTACAATAAGAGCGAAGGGGTTTTTTAATATCTATCTACCTAAAGACCTTGGAAAACCTTAAACGACTACCCTCAATTAAGCAGATCAATGTTCAAAAATACAAGTGAAAAATCCATATGAATGTCTACATTTTGTGTTTCTAATTCAAGTGTTGAGGGAGTTAGGAGAAGTAAATTTATTTTCTCTTCCTGTAGAAGTGGGCCGCCACTTCTACAGGAAGTACAAAGAACAACTTTGTTGTTCTTGACAACGCGTAGTCAATAACCTGTACTTTGACATTCGTGCGATACAAATAGTTAACTACAAATTTTTTCCAGTTGTCAGAATATGAATGGTCAATTGACGAACAAGATAAAATCAACGCGAGAAATAATTGGGCCGTTGTTTTGGCTCAAGGTTGTCCTTTAATTACTTACAAATATTTGATAAAATTGCGTAGAATGGATTAAAAATAAACAACATAACAAATTTCCTTTTTATGCACCGAATTTACTATTATTATTTCATCGAAACTAGATTGTTGGTCTTGGAAATGAAGGAGTCGGTAAAAGCAGTTTAATTCGAAGCTTTTGCGACAAAAAAGTACAGTAAAAACGTTACTACTGCCCCAGTGCAAGATATGTTATGATCCTGAATTTGTACGTTCCTCATTTCAAATCTTTATAGTTTTCCAAATCTTATAACGAAACAATCGGAGTTGATTATGGTACGTACCACTTAACTTGAGTATTATTTTTGTGCGACTGCAACTTGAATATAATTTTTGGTGGGTATGTATCATAATAAATAATTTGTGATTAATGATTTAATTGTATTCTGTTGTTTGTTTATGTAATTATTTTACCAGGTTTTAAAATACACGAGTTGGAAGGAGTAGAATGTAAGATGTGACATTTGTAATGTACATATCAGTACAATCTGAAAAGTAACTATACATGGGTTCTATCTATGCATTGTAGATCGCCTGAACTTCTGGGATTTTGGCGGAAATGATGAATATCATATGATAAGAACACAGCTTTATAAAGATACTAAGGTGAGAAACATTATTACCCAAGGTGATAGGAAATCAAACATGACTATAGTATTGTTATAGAATCAAATAGATCTTGAAAAGTATAGATCCCAAAGCGAGTGACTAAAGTTTCCAGTTTATGAACTTCAGATAAAGATACTACATGTAGAACATGTAAACTTTTTGAATAGGCACTCTACTTTAGGGATGTATGCTAATATTTGATGTTAGCAACAAGGACTCATTTATAAGACTGGATAAATGGCTGGAAGAGTTCCACAACAACGGTGGAAAAGGAGCTGTGGTTGCAGTAGTTGGTAATAAGGTATCTCTCTTCTCATTTTTATTTTATACATTTTATGTTCAAGCAATCAAAATGTTCACAAATACTCAACAGGAAGACAACATGGGTTTTTCACTCATCTGTAATATGCGCCATGTGTATAGTTTGTTTAACAAAGCTACGTATTGCATGTTGCAGGTCTAGTATGTTCAACAAAGGTATGGTGTGCGCAATGTGTGTAGTATGCTAAACTAATCTGTTGTATGATCATGTGTGTAGTATGTCCAACTAAGCTGCATACATATTGTGTTCCAGTTATGATAGATTGTTTTTTATCTCTTTCTAAGTTTTGAAAATATATCATTGTCTATTATTATATGCTAAAGAGTCCCTTTCAACATCAAGCATTCTCATTAGTGTGACAGAATGAAAAGACAAGTTAGCATTGATGAAGGAAAGAAATGGGCAACAATGAATGGGTTTAAATATTATGAGACATCAACTGCAACAAGATTGGGTGTAAAAGAAATGCTGGATGGGCTTTTGAATACAATTGTTGAAAAAAGAATGATCAAACCTAAATGGATTGGAGATGAAAATAAACCTAATGTGGCAAACTAAAATTATATGAGTGTCATTAATAGTACACAAGGGTCATATGACTTACGAAAAATGGGAGATCTTCACATTGTAAATTCTTGGTGCAATCAACATTATTTTTCATCATAACATTTTTTGAAGTTTATGTACAACATGCTCCTTGAACATGCATTGTATGATTGAAAAAGGTTGAACATGCATTGTACATGTTAGACCTTGTTCAAGAAAAAAACGCACCTTGTGATAATGAGTACAGTAATCACACCGATGACATTCCTCTTTTTTTAAATCAAGAGTCTTGCTATCATCCATTTTTCGCTACTTTAAAGTAATGATTTCTGAATCTGTTGTGAATTTCCCTTAAATTCTTATCAATGTTGAGATTGTCACTTTTCTAATAAAATACAAACAAGAAAGTATGGTTACATAAAGCCACAATTGAGAAAACTAAATGTTGTTTGTGCATATTGCATTTCAGGTATTAAAACCATAATAAAATATATTGTAATTACCTTTGGTTCTTTAATTTTCTCCATTGTAATGAGATGTCTCGAGACATTTCCTGATAAAATTTGTTCACTGACAAACAATAACTTCAAACATGGGTGTGTTGGAATGTGTTCCATCTTAAACCTGATAAAAGAAAGTAATGGAAAAAAGGAAAAAATATAGAAAATGTGTTGCAAGGTATTTTAAAATTTCAAAAATGCCAAATGCCATATAAAAACTTAGTTTGAAATGGTACATACGTTCCTCTGTGAGATGGGAGCCAATAAACCAGTCGACCATTAAGAACAAGATGGGCAGCAGCAAATTGTAATAGATTGTATATAGCATCAGAAAGAAGGCAACACTCAGTGGAAGGCAATTTAACTCTAAAAGTAATGTAAAGAATAGTAAGATAATACATAAAACAAAAATATTTTCATGGAATAATTATTGCTATGACAAATGCATATATACCCCAAAATACTTTGACTTGTACCAGCATTTTGAATGAGTGCTTTTGCCAACTTTCTGCTGCCTTCTCTAATTCCATAAGGAGCTAAATGAAAAACATTCATTTGGACTAAATATTTAGCAAAAAATGATAGTCTTCATATTTGTTACAGTTCAAATAAATACAAACAAGTGCAAATCTATATACTATAAATAAAATTTTAAAGTGACCATGCTTACGATCAGTGACTATAGCATCAAACATAAAGGATTTTCTTAATGGAGTGTTCATTTGATCTCCCATCCATACATCAACATAATGGTTCTCCAATTTATACATTTCAAAGTTTGATTTAATGCTTTCACCTTTTCTATAACATGATTTTGCAATTCTATAAATGAAGCTTTTTGCTAATCTTTAAATAAAGACATGCATAATTTAAGACAGCCATTCATAAATCCTGCCATTTGACATACCTCTCCATTTCCCTTTGTCAGCTCTAGATGGGTGCCCTGGAAGCAATACGATAATATCCATTAGAATTATACAAGGAAAACAGTGTGATAAGGACTATACCTTGCTATACCTCGACCAAGCAATAGAGTCCTGTCAATGTCACTGCCACAAGAATAGGAACCAAAATGAGAGCATGCCACAAGAATACTACCTGCCATGGAAGATATCAACAATATAATTCCCTCATATTACAATCAAGACATAACCAAACAGTAAATATTAACTTACCACTTCCAACAAATGGATCATAGACAAGCATTCCATCATGACACTGTTAACAAACAAAATTCATAATCTATGCCAATAACCTTAGTAATTCATGTGATTAACAATAAAAATAAATGTTTCATGTACCTGTCCCATGTTTGCCATGATTAGTGCTAGTTGAACATCCATCGTCGTATTACCAATAAAGTGTCTGGTTTTTATAGAATAGTACTTAATAAGATGACGCTGACCATAGGAAATCTATTCAAAAAGTCTAAAGTAAAAACTTTTTTTCTTAAGTTTAAACTGCCACCACAACTTACCAGACGTCCAAAGAAAAATCTTGTGGGTATCAAGCTGTGATCAAGGAATAACATAAATGTTGTAACAGGATTTTTCAGATTGACAACTCCATTCAGTGGTAAGAATGACAAACAATCAATATAAGCCAATTTCTTTGCATGGTCCAATTTCTTATTGAAAGATTCAACAGTGATTTTATAGGTTTGAATACTGCTAGGAGTGTGTTGCAGCTAAAATTTTCAAAATAGCACAAATTACAACCAAAAGATGGTATTATGGTTGAAATAAAAAGAGAATACAGAACTTACAAGGTCATCACTATTATAATGACCAAGTATAGCAACAAGATCTTCCCATGAATCAGCATAACCATACAGTTTTAAAATGCACCTGTTAAGCAGTTTAATGAATTAATATATTTCATAGTGAATATAAAAGAGAACAGCAAATGTCACATGGCCAAATTTTCATGTAACTGATCATTTGAAACATAAATATGTTGGGTACTTTTGCAACTCTACTATTCAATTACTACAATGTGCAACCTTCAAATCTATTAAACGTTGCACTGAATGCACTCTAGAAATAAATGATAGGGTGTATTTCTGTCGATATTATAATAGATTAATATACATAAAGATGGCTAGTTGTAAGTATTTATCAATCCCTTCTATTTACTTAACATGCCATAAGACAAGATAAAGTATATTACTTACTTTATTAATATTGATCTGGAAGATATCTTCAATGCTTCACTGTCACTTGGTAAGTCAATGATTAAGAATGGTGACTGAAAGAAAGTTTCAACAATTACATGTTACTATTTCACAGACAAACAAGTAGCAATATTGAAATGAAAATTAACAAAACGAATCTTGTAATAAAGTAAATGGTTTGAATCTGAGACTATCGTTACATGTTTGTAGATGTAGATCGTCCAGGTTAGAAGAGTTCTGAGAAGGACTGTTGTTGTTGTTGTTGACTGACGTTTTGACAACCTTAGCTAGCAGCAGTCATCTTCAGAGTCAAAAAGATGACTTCCACTAAGGTACTAACTCTGAAGATGACCACCGCTAAGGTTGTCGAAATTTCAGTCAACAACAACAACAACAGTCCTTCTCAAGACTCTACTAACCTGGACGATCTACATCGACAAACATAAAACGAATCTCACAAATTAGTCACGAAGGTGTATATATTAAATGGCTGCAGTTGATATAAAGCTATTTTTTATATAATATGTATTACCTCTGCCTCCAATTTCAAAAATTTCTTGTCAATTGATATGTTCAGAAGAGAACAAATTGAATCCAATTCCTATTATGAATTTATGATGCCACAATTCAATTTTAATCCTCAAAATGATTTTTAGACTTGGTAAAATGAAAGAATTACAATAAATTATCAATATAATACCCCGTAGCGAAATTTTAAATGTTCCTGAGCAAAAACGATCAAATACTTCTGTATAAATGAGCTCTTTTCTGTGTTTTTTCGAAAACACAAATTTGCAGCCATGTTGGAAAGATAACTTCATCAGAATTACACCAAGTAGCGGCTCTTCCGCAAATCAATATGATCGGTCCGTTTTCGCGTTTTACGTGGATTAGAGCGAGCAATAGGCATTTAGAAGTTTTGGAAGTGAGAGAGAGTGATAAATTTTTGCATTCCTCGCCTGCACGAAATGCCTGTAGATCATCGACGTGTTTTGGGACCCGCAGATGAAACAAGACCCCCACTTAATGAGCTGACCATCCAGGAAGACAAAACTAAACATGTCAGTTCTCAAATTCAAGTCTCTTCCTCTTGATGCACAATGTTCCAATTACATACTTTTCTTAATACAGATAGTGATAAATGGATTGAGACAAGATGGTCGATCAACTGATGAAATAAGGAAATTTTGTTAGTATCTTAGCAGTACAAACCACAAAAACCTTCAGGGCAACCATTACTAATGGTAAATTATCATTTGCCAGCCACAAGATTGACAAAATAATTTACAATGTTCTTCTGTAGTTGTGCGAGCAAATGCTGTGACACAGGCTAAAGGTTCAGCATACATTGAGACGGGAAAAACTAAAGTTATTTGCTCAGTGTAAGTGTGTGCTATTAGCTTTGTCCAAGGTCACTAAGAAAGTCTTGTAGTGATTTCATCAACTCTAGTTGATAACACGCTTTTTTAAAAAATAATTATAGTAAACAATGTCCATCATTATTTTTAAGATATGGTCCACGTGAATCATTGAGAAGGCAAGAGTTTAGAATGAAGGTCTACTGGTGTTAGTTTAAGTGATTATGGTTTCTTGTCAATCATATGGTGTTATTTATTGCAGGGTAAATTGACATGTGAAATCAAGTATGCTCCATTCTCTTGTAAAACAAGGAGATCACCTGTGATGGTACATAATTCTGCCTTCAAAAAGTAGCTTTTAGAGCAGTTCATATGTTAAACTATGTCAGTTGTAAGACCTAAATTTTAATTCAGGGTCAAGATGAAAAGGATTTATCAAATATTATAAAACAAGCATTTGAGCCTAGTATAATGATGGTATTGTATCTCATTACAACTTTTTTAACAACTTTTAGTCAAAGACATTACTGAAAGACAAAACAAAATACTATTTCTAGGAGATGTTTCCTAAAGCCCAGATAGACTTGTACATAGTAGTTTTAGAAAACGATGGAAATGGTAAAATTTTGCTCTCTATTTGTTTTTGCTGTAAACTAAATTTTTGCACCTTAATTCATTTTTTCCCAAAGTACTTTCAGCTGCGATTAATTGTGCAACTGTGGCTTTTGTCGAGGCTGGGATAGAAATGTACGATCTTGTGATTGCGTCCTCTTTGGTAGGTAAATACAGAAATTGTGGCAATCCTTATATTTGTTATGTGATCTAAAAAAAGAAGAAACATGCTGTTTGAATTGGGTTCCACAATCCCAAGGCATTGACCTTTAAAGTTAACTGAGATGGTGCTTTGGCTTTAATTTTTCACCAGGTTCAATCAATTCAAGGTAGCCTCCTGGATCCAATTTTATTCGAGGTAAATTAAATGTTACAAGTTTCTTTCAAAACATACAGTATCATTCCACATGGAAATTCATTTACAGGAAAAACACCAAGAAACACAAAGCATAATGACAGTTGCCTTTCTTCCTGTGTTGAACCAAATATCATTGTTAAACATGAATGGTGAACTTTCTCTGACACAGACAAATCAGGTGAGCTTTTGGCTAACAACTCAGTGCAATGAAACCATGTCTAATTTGTTTATGTTATATCCAGGCCATACAGAGCTGTATAGAAGGTTGTGCAAGAATCTATCCTGTAATTTGTCAGTGCATTGTTCAGCATACTAAGAGAACAATCAAAGAACCATCAATAAATGACAGAAACCTGGTGACCATGGGTAAGATCTAAATCTGCCATTTGAAGATATTTTGCCGTATCTTCAATAAAGATCTGCTAGGTTTTCTGGCATGAAAGTACTTATTCATTATTGACCATGTTTTACATGTTATGGTTGAAAACCCACCAACTGCTAAAAACACTTTCATTGTTAATCATCTTCAAAAAAATCTTCCCCATAGCTTTGCAACTCTCTAGCTTCTTTGACCTTTTCATTGCGATCCCTTGGTTGATAGCCTATTGAATAAACATTTCAAATCAAATGTATTGTTTATTTAGGTTTTTCCATAACTTACGTAATTGTGCACAACCACTACATGTTTCCAAATAACAATGACAACTGCATATGTATTTATGTGAGCCATGGCCCAAGGTGGATTCCATGTAAACTGTATGCCAAAGTTGTGCACAACTAGCAAACTTTCCAGCCTAGGCCATGACCATTTACCATGACTAGTATGTATCTCTTTAGTTTGTATTGTAACACTTATATTTGTCATCAATATTAAATACTTAGAAACATGTTTGAAGATTAATTGTGAAACGTTTTTGAATAAAAATAATTTGAAAAGTTGTTTCAATCATAATTGAAGCAGTTTTCTAACAGCAAGTTGAAATCATGAGTTATAATGAAATAAAGAAAGACAAGAGCTCACCACGAGACCACATTGGACTGTCACCACGTTCGTTGCGATACTGTCTTCGTGCAAATGAAACCTGAATATACCCACTGACAATTTTTGTTCCATTCATCTAACAAAAGAATGAAATGTAAGAGTCAAAAGTTCAATCTACTTCTTGTTTCAAAGATAGAAACTACTTGTGTTAGCCAGCAAACAAAAACAATTCACAAACTAGCAATGTCAGCAAAGTGTCAAAATATATCACACAAGTATCATGAAAATCATTTCTTGGTCTTCTCATACATAAAAAGTGCATGAATATAATAATGTGATTAATGCTACCTCTTCAATAGCCTTTTCAGCTTCATCTACATTTTGATATGTGACAAACGAAAACCTAAATGACATCAATGTAGCTTTTTCTTAATATGTAATATACATATAATTATTTAATTTATGATATCCTATCACTGACTTGAATACCTTGTCCTACTAAAGCTGTTTTAGGATAAAGGTAGTGTAGGTGAACTTAGGTCAAAACATTATGCAATTTACTTTTGTTAATGATGAACAAGGTAAAGTTACAATAAAAAACATATAACATAGTTACATTGCCAAAACACCCTAAGAAAGCAATTGACTTCACAACAACATAACTATACTCTTTACCTCCTTTCTTTTTCAAAATGGATATCGGTAACGGTACCTATAATGAGAAACTGATCAAATAAACAAAAAAATTACCACAAAACATCTGAGAAAGTGGTAACATACCAAATTTTACAAATTCATTTCTCACAATTTCTTCAGTGAGACCGTGTCCTTTTATGAAGATTGTGTTCCCCTGATCATGTGATGAGAAATATTCTTTAAAATTTCAAAATTGTTCCAGCACAAGTTAAAACCATCATTGTTGAGATGACTGTCTTACTTTCTTAGGTTCCCTGTAACCTCTGTTATACTTGTATTCTTTATGGCCATATTTAGAGTCAGAATTGTCTAAAACAATTAGGTAAAATTATAGCACCCATAACTTCAACAATATTTTTTACTGAGTTAAACCAGAGTGTGAACAATCCTAACATCTTTTTGGAGAAAAATTGTTTGCTAAAGTATAGGCTAAACTAGGACATTGTTCTTAATACCTTGGTCACCACCATCTCCACTCTTGACAAAACTACAATGTTTGTGAAAAACACACAGCTCATAAATACATTACTGTATAAAATATAATAAATAAAATGACATACTTTTTTGTGTACATTTCCTTTATTGTGGCAGCCAGTTCTGATTGTTCTTGCTTTAAAAAACACAAACTAAATTTGTTAAAATAATCTTACAAATACACTATGACAATCAAAACATATTACATTATTATACAACACATGTTTAAATATTTTTTCTATTTACCTTCTTTTCAACCACTATAGGTGATTCTTGATCGGACAAAACATCCTTAATATTAGAAAATATACTTCTTCAAATTTTTACAATGACTTCTTTAGCCCAATCAACAAGAGCTGTGCAAACTCTGCTACAATAGTGCAGCATAATCATTTCATCACTGACTTTCTAATGAAGACTAATTTACTTTTGAATTTTTTTCTCTGACATTCTTGCTCTTTTGAATTCTCTGCTGGTGGATGATTTTGATATTTTCACACACTACAAATAATATTTTTTCCCTGTTAGCTAATTATTTAAATATATTTTGCAGGTCATTTGTGGTAACTATATTTTATCACAGGAAGATGTTTCACAATGCAGTGGTTTACTAAGAGCATAAAAGTCAAATGAAAACATAAAGTTCAATTTAATGAATACCCCAGATGCAACAAGTCTTTCTGCTTTTCTTTTAGCATCTTCTGGTGAGATGTTTGGTGTTGAGACAAGATCTATAAGTGAATTGTCAACATGAAACAATAAATTTTTAAGATTTTAATATATTTTTCAAATCTACTTACCCTTTTTGACTGCAGGTTTAGACTTTGTTTCAGCCTTTTCTTTCAACACCTTCTGCAAGAGCTTCTTCTAAAAAAATATTGATATATGCCGTCATAAAAAGCCTCTCTGATCAACAGTTCGTACTAATTCTCTGCCATTCTTAGTTTGACATGAAGACAAGATATAATTAGGCAATTTTCGTGAAATAAAAAACAAAATAGGTTCATGCTGAAGGATGAGAAGTTAATGAAACTCGTGAAAGAAAACGAAAATCCATTTGCGTCATTTAGAAATAACTAATACCTTCTCACGAAGAATCTTGTATTTTTCTATCAAATACTCTTCTTCATCTGTCAAAGGGCCGCCACTAAAGCTAGACATTTCACAGTCTAATTTTCGTTGATCTATTCACTCATTCTTGTTCGCCATTTTATAGTATAGCGGATCCATGAATGGATCAAGATTATGATTAAGAGGATCAAGATCATCAAGATGACCTAATGTATCAACAACTGTTCACTCAGGTTCAGTCATCAAACAACCATCATCACCAAATACAGTTCAGAAATAGTCTCCAGTAATGTATTTATTCTGAAAAATCTTTACAGTTAGTGCGATAGTGTTCTACTTTGTTATACATGTAGTATACGTCATGGCGTGCAAGGAACTTAAGTTTGAGGTTTAAAAGTTTACTAATCATTTATTATTCAATAAATTAATGCTTACGTTTTGGGATGTATAAAATTATAAATCATACTATTTATGTATTCTAAGCATAGTTATATACTTTGCAGGTGCTCAACGAATTACGTGACATTTTGGTACGAGATTTGCAGCCAGATAGACATTTTGCGTTTCTGAGATCTAAACGAGTTCTTGACGAGGATGATTGCGAGGAAATCAACGCCAACACAACACGACGAAAGAAGGCTGAACAATTCCTTGACATACTTAGCATGAAAGGAGAAAGTGCCTTTGATTTTTTTTGTGAATCCTTTATCAAAAATGGAAAAACTCAACTTCACCTACTTAACCAAATATTGGATGCATATGAAGAAAAAACAAATGAAAGTGAAGGTAAACAGTAGTTTTTCTCATCCATTTTTTATATTCAAGTCAAGATTACAATGTAAACAGGATTTGATACATTATGATTATTAGTTTCAATGCAGTTCGATTTTGGAGTAAATAACTTACTGTTTGATATCTATTAATGGTCTTATTTCAAGTTTTTTTTTCTTACTCTTGAATTTGGTAGAGTACCAACCATCAAGGCCAATACAGGACTACATAAACATGGAAACCCTAAATGATCGTTTGCCACGACCTGGAGATGCAGGAGCACCTTGCTTGCCATCTTACCCAAATCCATACATGCAGACATTTCACACAAATGGTATGAACAAGCATATATACTGAATTTCAAAATTAGGTTTGCCAAAGAATTATTTTTATTTTAGGCTCAACTTTGATGGTCGAAGGTGTAGTTCATATGGACGACCCTCCACCTTACTCTACATGATGTTCTCAAAACTGTTGTATTTTTTAAGCCTAAACCTAGAAGTATTCATTGAATATCTTCTAGTAAACTGCTGAGCATTAAAATACTCACCCAGCTAATTCATAGTGACATGCAACTTAAATTATTAGTGTAACATGATGTACCAATAGCGTTGGTTTCTTGTGAATGTATCAACTTGTAAATGCATGAGAATTTAAATTTAGTATTTGTTGAAACTAGGTAATGAATGATAGTAAGAGAACAAGAACACAACCAGAACATCAACACTTTTCAATTGAGAGTAATGATGCATTTATTTTAACATTGTCAACAGGAAAATTTAAGGAAATTGTAACATGAAAGTACATGAAATAGGAATCTCTAGATTGAGAATTAGGTTTTTATAACACAATAATTCATTCAAACAAGTAGAAAATGTTTCTTTTTTGAACTTTAATCAACTTCTTCAATGGTAGGACCTTGTGACTGTTGAGATTGTTGAGCACCATCAGCACCTGCACCAGGAAAACCACCTGGCATCCCACCAGGCATTCCTCCTGGCATTCCAGCACCACCACCTGCACCCTGATAAACTTTGGTAATGATGGGATTGTATATCTTTTCCAACTCCTTTTGTTTATCTTCATACTCATCTTTTTCAGCAGTTTGATTGGAATCCAACCAGGAGATAACTTCATTGCACTTATCCAAGACTGTTTTCTTTTCATCTTCACTAATTTTATCTTTCAGCTTTTCATCTTCCATTGTTTGTTTCATTTGATAAGCATAGCTTTCCAAACCATTCTTGGCTTGAACACGATCTCTTTGCTTATCATCATCAGCCTTGTATTTCTCAGCCTCAGAAACCATTCTATCAATGTCATCCTTGCTCAATCTTCCTTTATCGTTGGTGATGGTGATCTTGTTTTCTTTGCCAGTACTTTTCTCAACAGCACTCACATTGAGAATACCATTGGCATCAATATCAAATGTGACATCAATTTGAGGAACACCTCTGGGTGCAGGAGGAATACCTGACAATTCAAACTTGCCAAGAAGGTTATTATCCGAAGTCATTGCACGCTCACCCTCAAATACTTGAATAAGTACACCTGTAAACAGAAAAAAAAAATGCAATGCAAAGTGTTCATGATAAATAACAACGAAGAATACACCATCAAAGTACCTGGTTGATTGTCTGAATAAGTGGTAAACGTTTGTGTTTTCTTTGTTGGGATGGTTGTGTTTCTTGTAATGATAGCTGTCATGACACCACCAGCAGTTTCAAGTCCAAGAGAAAGTGGAGTAACATCAATAAGCAAAAGATCTTTCACATCATCACTTGTATCACCTGATAAGATGGCAGCTTGAACTGCAGCACCATAGGCAACAGCTTCATCAGGATTGATTGATTTATTTAGCTCTTTCCCACCAAAGAATTCCTGGAGTAATTTTTGAATTTTAGGAATACGAGTTGATCCACCAACAAGAACAATGTCGTGAATTTGTTGCTTGTCCAGATTAGCATCCTTTAGTGATTTCTCAACAGGCTGAAGAGTGCCACGGAACTTATCTGCACAAAGTTCTTCAAATCGAGCACGAGTAATGCTAGTATAGAAATCAATGCCCTCAAAGAGGGAATCGATTTCTACATTAGCCTGAGTACTGGATGACAGAGTTCTCTTTGCTCTTTCACATTGTGTACGTAAACGCCTCATGGCACGCTTGTTGCCAGAAATGTCCTTTTTGTGTTTTCTTTTGAATTCCTTCACAAAATGATCCACCATATTTTGATCAAAATCTTCCCCACCAAGATGAGTATCCCCAGCTGTAGATTTCACTTCAAAGATACCATCTTCAATAGCAAGAACAGATACATCAAATGTACCCCCACCTAAATCAAAGATTAATACATTCTTTTCGCTGCCAACTTTTTTATCCAAACCATATGCAATGGCAGCTGCTGTTGGCTCATTAATGATTCGAAGTACATTGAGACCAGCAATAACACCTACACAGAGAAGAAAGTATAATTCAGTTGACTGTTTAAGATAAATACGTGAACTTAAAAAAGTAGGTAACATTTTTAATTACCAGCATCCTTTGTAGCCTGACGTTGTGAATCATTGAAGTATGCTGGAACAGTGACAACAGCATCAGTCACTTTCTTCCCAAGATAGGCTTCAGCAGTCTCCTTCATTTTTGTAAGCACCATGGACGATACCTAAAAGAAACATGTTTTTATTTTTAGATTCAATTGCTTTAATATTAAAAATCACTAGAAACACAAACCTCTTCAGGGAAAAAGCGCTTCTTTTCTCCTTTATATTCTACTTCTACTTTGGGCGAGTTCCTTCATTGATCACAGTGAAAGGCCAATGTTTCTTATCAGACTGAACTTCAGCATCATCAAACTTTCTTCCAATCAAACGTTTAGCATCTGTACAATTAAATTACATAAATGTTTTGCTTTTACTGTGCTAAACGTGGCACTGTAAAACAAGATATTTATCAAGGTTTCCAGAGTACAGGTGCACTAAGTTTAGTATTGTATAATAACCCACTCAGGGAAGAACTATCTTTCCTGAGAACTATAATTCCCATAATGGTATATCATATACAAATAATGATAAAAGAATTTGCTCTTTTGAATAGTTCTTAGTTAAAAAGTATGAATAACTTTCTTTCATTGTATTCAGTGTCAGCATGGGTAACAAAACGGTACTGTTCTGATTGACCAATCACAATAGACACATGTCCTGCTCACGTGTACAGTGAAACTTGAACCTTCCTGTTGGCTGTTGTGCTATTCACCGAAATCAGAAATACCTCATGGCAGAGAGGTTCGTTTCTTGAGTGCGCTTGAAATTTATCAAATTTTTATTATTTTTACACATTTTTAAAAGAAGCAACAAATAAAAGATCATCGAAAAATATAATTCAAGGCACACATGTTCTTAAGCGTTTGACTTTATGTACAAAATGAAAGTAAAACAAATTTTGTGCCGGTGAATATGTGAGATAAAAAAGCACGCCCAAAATAAACCTTTTTAGTTAACCTTTAAACAAAATAAAAAACTAAAAATGAAGTATCTCACCAAAAACTGTGTTGGTTGGATTCATGGCGACTTGATTTTTAGCAGCATCGCCAATTAAACGCTCAGAGTCGGTAAAAGCGACATAGCTTGGAGTTGTTCTGTTCCCTTGGTCATTTGCAATGATTTCAACTTTGCCATGTTGAAATACACCAACACAAGAGTACGTTGTGCCCAAATCGATACCTACTGCAGGACTTTTAGCCATCCTTTCTCCGAAAATTTCTTTAATTCAGGCGTGACAAAATGTCTCCTTTCGACAACTTTCAAACGACAAACCTAGCGTGCACTCGTAAGCATGCCCATAATTTATATGGTATGGTCACGTGCCATTTGCAAGTTAGTGGTTGGCTTATAGTATAATACGTAACGATTACGTATTCTCTTTACTAAAATAATTATTCTCAAAATAGATTTGACGTCGTCAGCGTCAGGATTACTCGATAAAATTTTCGAATGAATCAGCATTAAAAATCAAAAATTTTTTCCCAAAGTCAAAAAGCAATCCAAGATAACGAAAGTGATGTCATAAAAATTACGATGATCCCGCTTTTTTTACGTAGTGATATTGCAATAAATGATGTCATTCATTATTCCATCACGTGCATATCATATGCCTGTCAAACAAAAGCTAATGTTTCTCTAAACTAAAAGAAACGATTTAAAACTAAAACTAAATTCTTCATTATAAGCGAGGAAAATATTTATGCATATTGCATGTTTTGTGGAGCAATTTCAATGAACTTTTATTTAGTGCGCTTAGAGCTCGATAACCGCGCCCTACAAGAAAGTTAGAAATTCCACAACGCTAACACAGGTCATCCTTGGGTAAAGACGCAAACGTTTGGTAAAGTGTAGAGCTTTATCTTACATACGAAACTTGAATTAAAAATGAAATTTCATTAATATATCAGTATTACTCGTTATCCATTTGCTTTTCGGTTTTTGATTTCAACGGGAAAAACCTACGTTTTCAAAGTCATTTATTTCCATTTTCAATATCAGATATTTCATACCACATTACAAGTGATTCCAAGAAAACTACACAATAGATAGCCAATTATAAATGATCATTTAATCCATATTTCACCATTCTATTGTTTTCTCTGAAAAGATACAGAAAGTGAAATTAAAAATAAAAGTCATAAAATGAATCCTTATGTAATGGATGGAATGATATCGAAAACTGTTTCTTGAGAACTGTAATTATGATGCAAATTAACTTCTTTATGGAATAGTTGCAATTTTGCTAGCAAGACTCTTTTCCATCTCTCTAACGTGCTGAACATTATGAAACAAAAGCCTTAATACCGTTTGATTCTTTCTTTCTCGTTCTCCTATCATGGTTTTCCTTGTCAAGCTTAAGTATAAATCTTTCAAACACATCCATAGCATCTTTCAACAATAAACTTTTATAACCTGAAAACGAGATTTGTTTGGCAGTGCTGTAAAAACAGTCACCAAGTCAGACACAAAAATATTATGAATGGGTACCTCGAAAATTTTGCGGAGGTATATTTTCATCGTTTGACGTGTTTTGGCAAATGTCATTGATTTCTTCACACAATTGACTGACAACAAAATAATACATATCTAAGTTGTTCTTATTTGTTACATTAAAACTTGCTCCTCAATGCATGAAACTGTAACTTGTTGTAAACATCACATGATGAAACAAAAGAAAACATGAAAAACTAACCTTATTGTAGGCACTGTGAATGGGTCAAAATGATCAACTTTCGTGATGTCAATAGGAACACAAACACGACCTTTGTTATATAATAACTTCATGAAATTTATGTAAGACAGGGTTTCACAGAAAAGTGCAATTATTTGGATAAATATCTTCATCATGATAACTATCTATTTTATTAACAAAAGCCATTTTCAAATATTACCAAAGATGATCAATATGACAAGATTAATTATTATTTCATTGATGAACTTTAACCATGCAGACCACAATTGTGGAGCAAATAAAGAAATACCTGTTTTAGGGTGAATACAGAAAGGACTTTTCAGCAAATGATTGAGTCCTTTAGTAACATTCACATCAAGTCTGGGATAGCAATATTGAAAAATGATCTCCAGTCGATGATTTGAAATTTTTTTATCCATTTCCTGTGAATAAGCAAATACCTGCATTAATGCATCATTTAAGGGATTGATAGAATTGAAAAAAACTATACCGATTCAAGAATTTTCCATCTTTCTTTTGATGTTTGACTTTTCTCCCACGACAGATTCAAATTCTTTTTTACATCTAGGAAATGTGTCAAGCATGGCAAACTTGACAAAATTTTAAATCTAACATAATTTATAAATTTCTAGCTGAAAGTATGACTGTAGTTTCAACATCAAATGCTCAATATGCTCAGCTGGAAAAGTTTAATAATTGTACTCCTTATTGAAAGAAAAAGTTTTACCATAAAAACCTCTGCAATGTTGAACTCTTAGTCTCTTATTGGTTAAGAAAAGGATACTTTCATCAGGAATAAGTGCCAGAACTTTTTTCCAAGTTTCTTTATCAGATAAAATGTCTTGTTTTTCCAACAATAGTGTTTTAAAATCACTCTCCAAAATGGTTGATGCTCTCCTTCATTACCATAGATAAAATTGCAAACATATCGTAAAAGTATGAAAGATTTCAAACAAAAGTAAACTTTATAAACATACCACAATGAAGGATGGAGTTTTATTGGCAAATTAACTTTTTTTAATTGATTCTCTCCCCCCTGAAAGAAAAATGAAGCAATATTAATAGTAAATACTTGAAAAGAAACAATTGTGATGACCAAACATTGTTATTATACTTCTATTTCTCAGACCTTTATAACACTAAGGTATTCAGCAACAGCAGAACGTGAGCTTTGGGATAATTTTCTGGCTGCTTCATCACAAACCCAACAATGGACACCTCTTCGACCACTGTAAACCCATAGACGATGCTCAAAACCAAAGTCCTCTACACAAAAAAACATTGAAAACTTTACCTTTTAAGAATGAAATGAAAAACATAATACCCATTGCTATAAAACAAATCATGTGGGGCTGTCACGAAGGCAGTATTGAGAGTTTGATTTCACATAGAAATGCAGCAATTTGTACTGTTTGCCAAATGCACCAAATATATATACTGGTTATTGGCAGTCCATATCAATTTCATGATAGAATTGTGCAAATGGTTTTTTGTGTAGATTGACATAAAAGTCAGATGTCAGCACTTGCACAAGTAACAAACAAAATTTGCATTAATTGCACATCTGTTTCAAGATATATTATTCCAGAAGACATATTTACCTTCAAGAGCCTTATCAACAACTTTCATGGCAATAGTCATGAGAGGCCAACATTTGTTACATATACTAGCTCCCCTGAGTAAAGAAAAATATATAATGTGAAACAGAGATATAATATATTTGAAGTATTTTTATGGACTTTCATACAACATGATTGTATGTTGTAAAAACTCAACTTCACCTACTTAACCAAATATTGGATGCATATGAAGAAAAAACAAATGAAAATGAATGTAAACAATAGTTTTGCTCATCCATTTTTTATATTCAAGTCAAGATTACAATTAAACAGGAATTGATGCATTTTGATGATTAGTTCCAATGCAGTTCGATTTTGGAGTAAATAACTTACTGTTTGATATCTATTTATGGTCTTATTTCAAGTTTGTTTTCTTACTCTTGAATTTGGTAGAATGCCAACCATCAAGGCCAATACAGGACTACATGAACATGGAAACCCTAAATGATCGTTTGCCACGACCTGGAGATGCAGGAGCACCTTGCTTGCCATCTTACCCAAATCCATACATGCAGACATTTCACACAAATGGTATGAACAAGCATATATACTGAATTTCAAAATTAGGTTTGCCAAATAATTATTTTTATTTTAGGCCCAACTTTGATGGTCGAAGGTGTAGTTCCTATGGACGACCCTCCACCTTACTGAACATGATGTTCTCAACTGTTGGTTTTTTAAGCGTAAACCTAGAAGTATTCATTGAATATTTTCTAGTAAACTGCTGAGCATTAAAATACTCACCCAGCTAATTCAAAGTGACATGCAACTTAAATTGTTAGTGTAACATGATGTATCAATAGGGTTGGTTTCTTGTGAATGTATCAAATTTTAAATGCATGAGAATTTAACTTTAGTATGTGTTGAAACTAAGTAATGAATGATAGTAAGGAAACAAGAACACAACCAGAACATTAACACTTTTCAATTGAGAGTAATGATGAATTTATTTTAACAAGTCAACAGGAAAATTTAAGGAAATTGTAACATGAAAGTACATGAAATAGGAATCTCTAGATTGAGAATTAAGTTTTTATAACACAATAATTCAATCAAACAAGTAGAAAATGTTTTTTTTGAACTTTAATCAACTTCTTCAATGGTATGACCTTGTGACTGTTGAGATTGTTGAGCACCATCAGCACTTGCACCAGGAAAACCACCTGGCATCCCACCAGGCATTCCTCCTGGCATTCCAGCACCACCACCTGCACCCTGATAAACTTTGGTAATGATGGGATTGTATATCTTTTCCAACTCCTTTTGTTTATCTTCATACTCATCTTTTTCAGCAGTTTGATTGGAATCCAACCAGGAGATAACTTCATTGCACTTATCCAAGACTGTTTTCTTTTCTTCTTCACTAATTTTATCTTTCAGTTTTTCATCTTCCATTGTTTGTTTCATTTGATAAGCATAGCTTTCCAAACCATTCTTGGCTTGAACACGATCTCTTTGCTTATCATCATCAGCCTTGTATTTCACGGCCGCAGAAACCATTCTATCAATGTCATCCTTGCTTATCATCATCAGCCTTGTATTTCTCGGCCTCAGAAACCATTCTATCAATGTCATCCTTGCTTAACCTTCCTTTATCGTTGGTGATGGTGATCTTGTTTTCTTTGCCAGTACTTTTCTCAACAGCACTCACATTGAGAATACCATTGGCATCAATATCAAATGTGACATCAATTTGAGGAACACCTCTGGGTGCGGGAGGAATACCTGACAATTCAAACTTGCCAAGAAGGTTATTATCTAAAGTCATTGTACGCTCACCCTCAAATACTTGAATAAGTATACCTGTAAACAGAAATAAAAAAGATGCATTGCAAATTGTTCACAATAAATAAAGACGAAGAATACATCATCAAAGTACCTGGTTGATTGTCTGAATAAGTGCTAAACATTTCTGTTTTCTTTGTTGGGATGGTTGTGTTTCTTGTAATGATAGCTTTCATGACACCACCAGCAGTTTCAAGTCCAAGAGAAAGTGGAGTAACATCAATAAGCAAAAGATCTTTCACATCATCACTTGTATCACCTGATAAGATGGCAGCTTGAACTGCAGCACCATAAGCAACAGCTTCATCAGGGTTCATTGATTTATTTAGCTCTTTCCCATGAAAGAATTGCTGGAGTAATTTTTGAATTTTAGGAATACGAGTTGATCCACCAACAAGAACAATGTCGTGAATTTGTTGCTTGTCCAGATTAGCATCCTTTAGTGATTTCTCAACAGGCTGAAGAGTGCCATGGAACTTATCTGCACAAAGTTCTTCAAATCGAGCACGAGTAATGCTAGTATAGAAATCAATGCCCTCAAAGAGGGAATCGATTTCTATATTAGCCTGAGTACTGGATGACAGAGTTCTCTTTGCTTTTTCACATTGTGTACACAAACGCCTCATGGCACGCTTGTTGCCAGAAATGTCCTTTTTGTGCTTTCTTTTGAATTCCTTCACAAAATGATCCACCATATATTGATCAAAATCTTCCCCACCAAGATGAGTATCCCCAGCTGTAGATTTCACTTCAAAGATACCATCTTTAATAGCAAGAACAGATACATCAAATGTACCCCCACCTAAATCAAAGATTAATACATTCTTTTCGCTGCCAACTTTTTTATCCAAACCATACGCAATGGCAGCTGCTGTTGGCTCATTAATGATTTGAAGTACATTGAGACCAGCAATAACACCTACACAGAGAAGAAAGTATAATTCAGTCAACTGTTTAAGATAAATATGTGAACTTAAAAAAGTAGGTAACATTTATAATTACCAGCATCCTTTGTAGCCTGACGTTGTGAATCATTGAAGTATGCTGGAACAGTGACAACAGCATCAGTCACTTTCTTCCCAAGATAGGCTTCAGCAGTCTCCTTCATTTTTGTAAGCACCATGGACGATACCTAAAAGAAGCATGTTTCCATTTTTAGATTCAATATTTCAATTGCTTTAATATTAAAAATCACTAGAAATACAAACCTCTTCAGGAAAAAAGCGCTTCTTTTCTCCTTTATATTCTACTTCTACTTTGGGCCGAGTTCCTTCATTGATTACAGTGAAAGGCCAATGTTTCTTATCAGACTGAACTTCAGCATCATCAAACTTTCTTCCAATCAAACGTTTTGCATCTGTACAATTAAATGACATAAATGTTTTGCTTTTACTGTGCTAAACGTGGCACTGTAAAACAGGATATTTTTAAGGGTTTCCAGAGTACAGGTGCACTAAGTTTAGTATTGTATAACCCACTCAAGGAAGAACTATCCTTAACATCCAAATTCCAATAATGGAAGAACTAGCGTTTGCCTTTATGTACAAAATGAAAGTAAAACAAATTTTGTGCCGGTGAATATGTGAGATAAAAAAGCACGCCCAAAATAAACCTTTTTAGTTAACCTTTAAACAAACTAAAAAACTGAAAATGAAGTATCTCACCAAAAACTGTGTTGGTTGGATTCATGGCGACTTGATTTTTAGCAGCATCGCCAATTAAACGCTCAGAGTCAGTAAAAGCGACATAGCTTGGCGTAGTTCTGTTCCCTTGGTCATTTGCAATGATTTCAACTTTACCATGTTGAAATACACCAACACAAGAGTACGTTGTGCCCAAATCGATACCTACTGCAGGACTTTTAGCCATTCTTTCTTCACAAATTTCTTTAATTCAGGCGTGACAAAATTTCTCCTTTCGACAACTTTCAACCATTGAGTTCTATAATAACTAGAGCGGCTATCTCAAACACGGCTGACGCCAAAAAAATGGAGGTTTGTTCCATTACCGCTGAGATTTACCGAAATTGACTGCTTTTCCGAAAATATCACAATTTCTCTCTCCCCCCTTAAAGTGGACATACAACTATTTTTAGTATTTTATTCTCAAATAGATTTTGGATAAATAATACAAATGCCGTTTACAGAATTTGAATAACTTTTATGAGTTATCTTTCGGCAAAGATGCGAATAAATCCTGAATTTCAACGTTTTGTAAAAAATGTCGAGAGCTCTTATCCGTGGCATGGGACTTACTTGTGACGTCATTTAAGGAACACAAACTGACTGCCAAAACAACTTGCACTGTTTAAGCATGAAAACAAACACAAAAATGCCAGATCGATGTGTAGTTTTTGGTTGTTCTAACGTAGCCAGTTCGGAGAAAGGCATTTCACTTCATCGCATACCATTTTTTAACGACGAAAGAAGCGAAGCTAAGCGTAGGAGAAAGCGATAAGTGGGTCCCCACAAAGAATTCCGCAGTTTGCTCGTAACACTTCACGAAAGATTCGTTTTCTCGGCAATTCGGCTCGTTTTCTGAATCAGAAAGTAATTTTGCACCTCGACTCATTCGACACGAATTCGGAATCGTTGCTTACCCAGGCATTTATCCTCGAAAAGATGACAATGAACTTAAAACAAAAGATCGCAGAATGGTGAGTACGTTAAAAATTATACATATGCATATCTACATTTTACCTGGAATCTGTGTGAGAGTATATTTCATAAATATATGCCATTTTAGATGAAAAGAAAGTGGATGTCTGATTATAAAAGAGGTTGAATCAGAAAATATTCCCAGTACAAGTAGCGAACCTCAAGAGCAAATAGAAGAAACAACTTGTGATGAGCCTGTATTATCAGAAATGATCAGCTACTCTTTTCCTGGAATGTTCTGCAGGTATTCTATGAAACATGTGTGATGAAGCACCTTTGTATCATTACAGTTTTTATTCCCTTGTGCCAATTTAAACTCTTTCAAGAAATTGAATGCAATTTTATATTTCATGAAGGCATATCCTTGTTGTAACTCACTTCGAAAGCAATTTGGATGGGGATAATCAAGAGGTTAATGGAGTTCCCCAGGTTAAAGTGCATTATCCAAAATTTATAAATGGTGAAGCTGTTGTAAGAATGTAAAAGTTGCTCAGGATTTTGGTAAGGTAATTTAATATATTTCTCCTACTGCTTGATATCATGTTTTAAATGCCATAATAATCAAAGCCTTAATAAAAAATGGTTACCATAAAATAAAATTTTGAATAATTTGCACATTGCTCCTCCAGGGTATGTTGAAGATATATATCAAGTGTTGTGCTCTGCATTCATTGATGAGGAAACATTGAGAAAAGCCAAAGCTGATCTTTTACGAATGACTCCATTGCCAATGAATTCCATGTTGGACAAGCAATCAAAAAGTGAAGCTATCTCAACAAAAGCAAGAAGACAAAGCATGCCAGCTGTACATTTCCCCCCAACTAAGCCAGGTTTAGCAAAAAGGCATTACTTGCTTTGAGTGAATTTGAATCTTATTTTTGGAACTGACTCACTTTATTGTTTGATATAACTGAAGTATCACCTGTCCATTCCTATTTTCATTCCGGATCGAAATTTAGTTTTAATCTCATGTAAACGCAAATTGAGTTTCATTTTGGAATGATATTGTGATTAATGACGAAGCACGCATGTGCCATGGGTATTGTCTTCTGGCAAATTGAAGCTCGTAAGCAAATAAAGCAGCTAAATGGGCTAAAATGAGTGCGAAGAAAAACAACAATTAGTTTCATGCAAGTGTTAAGCTGTATTAACGCAGGAGCAACAGAAAAAAAAGGGTTGCTATAATGTTTATGTTCTCCATCTTCAAATTTCAAAATTCCTGCAAAATGTCAATCCTTGTTTTGATTTCCCATGTACACACGGATTGACGTCACGTTTCGATCGGGATTGAAAGTCATTCCGGACTCATGTAAAAACCCCCTAACAAAGGTCATCCTTGGGTAAAGATGCAAACGTTTGGTAAAGTGTAGAGCTTTATCTTACATACAGAACATGAATTAAAAATGAAATTTCATTAATATATCAGTATTACTCATTATCCATTTGCTTTTCGGTTTTTGGTTTCAACGGGGAAAAAACCTACATTTTCAAAGTCATTTATTTCCATTTTCAATATCAGATATTTCATACCACATTCCAAGTGATTCCAAGAAAACTACACAATAGATAGCCAATTATAAATGAGCATTTAATCCATATTTCACCATTCCATTGTTTTCTCTGAAAACATACAGAAAGTGAAATTAAAATGAAAGTCATAAAATGAATCCTTATGGAATGAATGGAATGATATCGAAAACTGTTTCTTGAGAACTGTAATTATGATGCAAATTAACTTCTTTATGGAATAGTTGCAATTTTGCTAGCAAGACTCTTTTCCATTTCTCTAATGTGGTGAACGTTATGAAACAAAAGCCTTAATACCGTTTGATTCTTTCTTTCTCGTTCTCCTATCATGGTTTTCCTTGTCAAGCTTAAGTATAAATCTTTCAAACACATCCATAGCATCTCGCAACAATAAACTTTTATAACCTGAAAACGAGATTTGTTTGGCAGTGCTGTAAAAACAGTCAGCAAGTCAAACACAAAAATATTATGAATGGGTACCTCGAAAATTTTGCTGATGTATATTTTCATCGTTTGACGTGTTTTGGCAAATGTCATTGATTTCTTCACACAATTGACTGACAACAAAATAATACATATCTAAGTTGTTCTTATTTGTTACATTAAAACTTGCTCATCAATGCATGAAACTGTAACTTGTTGTAAACATCACATGATGAAACAAAAGAAAACACGAAAAACTAACCTTATTGTAGGCACTGTGAATGGGTCAAAATGATCAACTTTCGTGATGTCAATAGGAACACAAACACGACCTTTGTTATATAATAACTTCATGATATTTATGTAAGACAGGGTTTCACAGAAAAGTGCAATTATTTGGATAAATATCTTCATCATGATAACTATCTATTTTATTAACAAAAGCCATTTTCAAATATTACCAAAGATGATCAATATGACAAGATTAATTATTATTTCATTGATGAACTTTAACCATGCAGACCACAATTGTGGAGCAAATAAAGAAATACCTGTTTTAGGGTGAATACAGAAAGGACTTTTCAGCAAATGATTGAGTCCTTTAGTAACATTCACATCAAGTCTGGGATAGCAATATTGAAAAATGATCTCCAGTCGATGATTTGAAATTTTTTTATCAATTTCCTGTGAATAAGCAAATACCTGCATTAATGCATCATTTAAGGATTGATAGAATTGAAAAAAACTATACCGATTCAAGAATTTCCCATCTTTCTGTTGATGTTTGACTTTTCTCCCACGACAGATTCAAATTCTTTTTTACATCTAGGAAATGTGTCAAGCATGGCAAACTTGACAAAATTTTAAATCTAACATAATTTATAAATTTCTAGCTGAAAGTATGACTGTAGTTTCAACATCAAATGCTCAATATGCTCAGCTGGAAAAGTTTAATAATTGTACTCCTTATTGAAAGAAAAAGTTTTACCATAAAAACCTCTGCAATGTTGAACTCTTAGTCTCTTATTGGTTAAGAAAAGGATACTTTCATCAGGAATAAGTGCCAGAACTTTTTTCCAAGTTTCTTTATCAGATAAAATGTCTTGTTTTTCCAACAATAGTGTTTTAAAATCACTCTCCAAAATGGTTGATGCTCTCCTTCATTACCATAGATAAAATTGCAAACATATCGTAAAAGTATGAAAGATTTCAAACAAAAGTAAACTTTATAAACATACCACAATGAAGGATGGAGTTTTATTGGCAAATTAACTTTTTAATTGATTCTCTCCCCTGAAAGAAAAATGAAGCAATATTAATAGTAAATACTTGAAAAGAAACAATTGTGATGACCAAACATTGTTATTATACTTCTATTTCTCAGACCTTTATAACACTAAGGTATTCAGCAACAGCAGAACGTGAGCTTTGGGATAATTTTCTGGCTGCTTCATCACAAACCCAACAATGGACACCTCTTCGACCACTGTAAACCCATAGACGATGCTCAAAACCAAAGTCCTCTACACAAAAAAACATTGAAAACTTTACCTTTTAAGAATGAAATGAAAAACATAATACCCATTGCTATAAAACAAATCATGTGGGGCTGTCGCGAAGGCAGTATTGAGAGTTTGATTTCACATAGAAATGCAGCAATTTGTACTGTTTGCCAAATACACCAAATATATATACTGGTTATTGGCAGTCCATATCAATTTCATGATAGAATTGTGCAAATGGTTTTTTGTGTAGATTGACATAAAAGTCAGATGTCAGCACTTGCACAAGTAACAAACAAAATTTGCATTAATTGCACATCTGTTTCAAGATATATTATTCCAGAAGACATATTTACCTTCAAGAGCCTTATCAATAACTTTCATGGCAATAGTCATGAGAGGCCAACATTTGTTACATATACTAGCTCCCCTGAGTAAAGAAAAATTTATAATGTGAAACAGAGATTTAATATATTTGAAGTATTTTTGAAGTATATTTATGGACTTACATACAACATGATCGTATATCATCATAGTCAGTCATATCAATATCAAAAACTAGTTCTTTTTCTTGTGCTTGAAAATTGTTCGCCTTTGTCAACTTGTTGTCTCTTGGCTAAAAATAAATTTAACTAGAGCTTTAGCCTACATATAACCTACGGCATACAGATGTTTCTAAGCAAGCTATTCTGATTCAGCTAAGTCAAGCGTCATACTTTACAGTTTTAATAATTGAAGAAAATATAACAGTTTTATACTACCTAAAATTTCACAATACCAACCTTTTGCGAGAAGACAGCACCAATGTCAATTTTATAGGGACATTTTTTTTGAATTTCTTTTTCTAAATCCTTTTGATCAGTAAACGACTGATATCTAATATAAATATCGTCTTTTAAAGTGAACGAGAACTCACGATGAGAGAAGTATTTCGAGCGTCCGACTGTTAAGAGATAAGGACCAGAGGTAAAAATAGAAAATTGAACACGAAATACATCCAGCTAAAATCTCACATAACTGCGAAAATTTTCAAATACACCAACTCACTTTCACCATAACATAGCCATTGATAGTATAATTTATACGGAAAGATTCTTCTGTAGTAATGAGCCAATAATTCAGGCAAGTCATTTTCATGGAATTGAACGTTTTGTGCTGTTTCGTCCACCATGTTGTACAAATGTTGTGCTTGGATTTCGCGCGCTTTTACTCCACTGAATCTGATCTCTACATATTGTATTCATATCCAAAATTTGAGAGTTGAGTTTGACTTTGGCCTTGGGCAAGGCAAATTGCACATGTTGTGTACGGTGTTGTAAATTAATAAAATTTCTCGTGTAAATTGATTGAGAAAATCTCTATTGCAGTTGCATTATAGCTGGTGAACGTCGTAAAAAACAATGCGTATTTTGCAGGTTTGTCACCAATTTTTGGTAATTATCAAATTAATGAATAATTTAAGTATTGTTTCAACAAAATTTACCAAAGATATTGTATTATGTCGATCGTATTGAATTATACAACTATTTCTTTCTGTAGTCGATCTGCTACTGCCGTTCAAAGTAACAACTATTGGAAAATACGAACATCTAAAATCTTGTGGCCAGTCATTTAAACTATGAACACAGGTAGAGCGAGAGTTAAGTAAAAATTTATTGCGAAGGAATTTATCTTATCATTGATTGCATTTTTAAACCATTAAAGAGTTATATACGATGATTTATTAATTTGTTTAGATTTATAACCAATGAAAGGGAAAGGCAATAGATTGTTGAAGGCATGTTAATAACATACATACGTGGCGTTGTTTTTTTTTAGAGAACTGATGGCTTTGAGTAAACCAGACTTTCACCTATTTGCCTTAAATGCTGGCTTAAACTTGGCAGATAAAGTGTGTACCATATTGGGCATCAAACAATCACCAGCTGTGGTTAGCACCTTTTCCAACTTGGAAACAAAAGTTGAGGTTGGTGTTTCTGTTCGTGGCAAAGATGTGTTTATTATTCAGTCTGGTTTTGGAGAATCAGAACTTGGAAGTGTCAATAACAGTCTTATGGAACTACTCATTTTTGCCTACCATTGTCGAACTGCTAGTGCAAGGAAAATTGTTGCAATTATACCTTATCTTCATTATTCCACACAAAGCAAAATGCGATGTCGAAGCTCCATACCAGCCAAACTTGTTGCTAGCATGCTATGCCGAACTGGAATCGAAAATTTCATCACTGTTGACCTACACTCTAAAGAAATCCAAGGTTTCTTCAATCGACCTGTTGACAATTTGCGTGCATCACCATTTTTGACATTGCATATTAAAGAGAACATAATACCACGTGGAGAAGTGGTTATAGTTGCCTTAAATCCCCACACGGCTACTCGTGCCAGTCCTTTCGCAGAACGCTTGCGAGCACAGTTAGCTGTGCTACATGGAAAAGCAGAAGATGATCCTGAGTCAGACAATGAAGATGATGTATCCTCACCAAGTAATAGTGATGAAACTGTATTTGATTTTGAAGTCCATAGAAGACGTCGAGTACAAGTGGAACGTACTTCCATATCTTTTGACACACCTGGATTCTTGCCTAAAAGCAAACCATCAATGTATCTTGTGGGAGATGTCAGTGATAAGATTGCTATCATTGTGAATGATCTTATTGATGATGCAAACCCTTATATCATGGCAACACAAGTGCTTAAATCAAATGGTGCTAAGGAAGTCTATGTAGTAGTTACTCATGGTGTTTTATCTGGTTGCAGCCCAGAGATGATACAAAGTTCCGATATTGACGGCCTAATTATAACAAACACAGTAGAACATGAAAACAAAAAGAAACAATGTGAAAAAATAACAACAATAGATATAAGTGTGCTCCTTAGTGAAGCTATAAGGAGGATACATAATGGTGAATCCATTTCATATCTTTTTAGAAACATTGCACCTGATGAATAAATGGTGGTTTAAATCCACAATTACCACAAGATATTGATGGCTTGAAGAAGTTGTACGAATGTATGCTATTCATCTTTGTAATAACATACAAGACCAACTTTTATAATAATAAGTTATAATTAGAAACACAATCGATTTTTTTTATTTATATGCCACTTATTTGCAAATGTTTCCAAACTGACTCTCAACTTACTTTGAAATCAGACTACCTTTGAACTTGTTGTTTGATGGTATAGAAAAATAGTATTAATTATGTTTCTAGAGAAAACAACTCATTCGAAATTTGAAATGAACTTTTCAAACTCGTAAGCAAATAATTGTTAATATATACAGAATGTACATCTGTATTTTATGCTTGATGTATGTAATAATTTAAAATTCTCTTTTACAATAAATATTAAATTAAAATGCCTGCATTTACAGGATTGTGTGCACATAACATAGTTACCTTTACCAATATAGAACGTACATACGATGCACAATCATAGACCAATGAACAGGTAGGAACATTTTATGAAATTCGCTCAAGAAAATATCAAGTATACATTAAATACAGTTCCGCTAGGGATGTATTGATAAGACTTTAGTCGTTGGAGCGGAAAATTTTCGTTGACTGTATGACGAATTTTTTCCATGGAATAATTTTCAAACTTTCTTGAAACAAAAGAATACAATTAACGTCAACAGATTAAGGGGTTTTCTCCACAGAAATTTCCCAAGAAACAGCATTGGTGTTTTCTTAAAGAAAAATTGATTTTTTAATTGAACAGGAACGGTTTCCTAAAAGCCTCCGCACCTAACTTTATTTTGTCTTTATGATCTTTGACTTCCTGAAAAGTTCAATAAAATTTTTGTCAGAATCTAAAGAAGTTGTCTAGGAGGGTAAGAGCCCATTTCTTATCATTTTCACACATATAACTAACACAAATTGCGAAACCATCATGAAAAATATAAAACGAAATATAAATATAAAACTAGAATTATAAAACTCTGTTCACGGCCACTATTGGAGTGCCAGTTTATGACGTCATGAATGAACGAAAATTATTCACTGCGTTGTGTAGAGAAACTCTTAGCAAGAACTCATAATTTCCTGTTTTATAAAATCTTTTACCTTTTGAAAGTTCAATTCCAGTTGTTCTTTCTCTTTCTTTTGAAAACTCCTCAATTCTTCCATTTCTTTAAGATGTCTGCTCTCCAGCTTGAATGAGAGAAATAACTAATTAACGACAGTACTGTCAAATTGTCAATAATTTTAATGTTATGACTTTGTAAAAAAAACAACAAAAGGAACCTGTTGTCTTTCTTCAATGAAATCCTTAATATTGATCCTGTCCAGCTCACGTAGCATCCTAAACATATGTAAACAGTATTTCGATGCATGACAAAAAGATGAAACATCTCTATATTATTTTGGGGGTGACGATGGTAAATTGATCCATGAATTCCGGTTCACTTCCTAAACCCTACAATTGTAAACATGAAACATCACATGATGAAGATCTCATATGAACTCAATAAGTTGTATCTGCTCGTTTTTAACCAAATTAGCGACTGTGTTTTACTTGCCCTATTAATACCGCTGGTCATTGTCAGTGCTTGTAAACTGTCACACACATAAATGTCAATACTTTTTTCTCTAACCTTTCTTTTTCTTCTTTGCATTTAATTTGTCGACTAGTATTCTTCGTTTCCACTGATTGCTTCACCTGATTTTTACGTAACTCTACGCATTCACGCTCTTGGCGAGTCTCGATATCTTTAACGTGACTTTCGTGCACACCATCCAATAACTTTGATAGTAATGCTAATTTCTGGAGAAAAAACATCACTGTTGAGGGACTAACAGCGACCTGCTACGGTCTAAAGCTAAATTTTCCTAAAATGGCTACGATAGCGCTTTGAGTTTTAGATTGCAGTATATTATATGAAAGCAAGTCAAATCATGAGAAATAAAACTAGTTGTAGAATATTACATGAAAATGATATTATAAAGTAACACAAATTAATAAAAATAATTGCTTGACATGGATTCAAATTGAGATGATGGAAAAGATAAATACATTGATCATAAATAATCATTTACTGTTACTCATGCAAAATAATAACAGCAAAATTTACTCACTTGAGGCGCGTGTATATCGTATAGATTGAGTTCTTCTGTAACTTGTTGTGAGATAAGATTGGACCAATCATCATCTTGCTGAGTTATCACAGTTTTTGCCTAAATATTTAATTCAAGTTGTGACATCGCACTACAGATTATATGGTAAATGAACAACTTATCACAATTTTTGTTTTATATACTCACTCCAAGCTGAGTGTGAATTCACATTACTTACACATTTAAATTACACAATATCATGAATGAACTATATATAGGCTTTAAATGTTACCTGTTGTTGTTGAACTGTATTCAAATAAGCTATCTTTTCATTGTGAACATTTTGCAGTTGAACCAAATCAAGGCCACTAGAGCAAATCAAATATTTGCAGTTAATTTTTATTGATATGATTTCAAAAACAAGAACTCAAACAGGCGACGTTCTAGCAACCATTGCTCTATGAACGCTGTAAATGTGCTAGTGACAATGTAAAAACCCTTGGTCGTAAAAGACCTGAACCATTGCTCTATGAACGCTGTAAATGTGCTAGTGACAATGTTAAAACCCTTGGTCGTAAAAGACCTGGACCATTGCTCTATGAACGCTGTAAATGTGCTAGTGACAATGAAAAACCCTTGGTCGTAAAAGACCTGAACCATTGCTCTATGAACGCTATAAATGTGCAAGTACAATGTAAAAACCCTTGGTCGTAAAGACCTGAACCATTGCTCTATGAACGCTGTAAATGTGCAAGTACATTGTAAAAACCCTTGGTCGTAAAAGACCTGAACCATTGCTCTATGAACGCTATAAATGTGCAAGTACAATGTAAAAACCCTTGGTCGCAAAGACCTGAACCATTGCTCTATGAACGCTATAAATGTGCAAGTACAATGTAAAAACCCTTGGTCGTAAAGCACATTAATATAGTTGTTGACGCTGAAGTGACAATGCCATAACAAGAAACAAAAAAAGCAAAAAACAAAAACAGAAATGTACGTAACAATGACAGCAATAGCAATGAACGTAACGACAGCAACAACAACAATAACAACAACGACAGCAACAACAACAAACAACGAATAATAACAACGACAGCAAAACAATAAAACAACGACAATAACAACATAACAACAACAATAACAACAAAAAATAAGCAACAACAAAATAACAAAATAACAAAAATAATAAAAAAAACTAACAGTAGCTAGATCGGAAATGAAAAATTGTAGGATTAAATTAGAATTATCAATTTCAAGAATGTTTAGGAATAAATCCAATGGAGTTGTTTCTGAGATATTTTGAAATTTCAATGTATTCATCATTATCAAACCGCACTTGAACAACCATTGACAAAAAATAGGAACAACAATAAAAACAACAAAACAGCAGTTTCAACAACAAACTACCTGCATTTCTTTTTTCCACGTTCAAATGTTTTCTTTTCATTTTCTTTATTCTTTTGAGCGTTAGCAACAAGTTTTTCCAACGCAGCAGTGTGCAGCTTATTTAAGGCTGACCTTTCCTGGGAAAACAATTACATTAATTCAATAAAAAGATAAACATTTATAAATTCACTAAAATAACTAGATGAAAAACAACCATTTCTCCCAACTTATACCAAACTCCATGACATATTGACTATTTTTCGTACTGCTGTAAATTTAATTACGCTATCCACCTTCACAAATCTCTTTGTCAATGTATCCGACTCTTTTTGATGTTTCTTTACCAATTTCAAATAAACCTTCAAACAGTAAAACACATTTCTGTTCAGTCCAGAGTGGATCACTCGAATCGCAAGATGTCATAAAAAACATCTCAGAGAAAGTACCTTGTCTTTTTTTAAATCATCGATGTCAATGTGCTCTAGTTTTCGTTCTTCTAAAATGTAAGCATAAAGTTATACATGAATTTCCCAGGACCCACACTGTTGACCATAGAAACATAGTTCTAACAAAAAAAGTCAAACATAGTTTGCTGCAGTTTCAGACCAACTGTATGCATTTGTCTCCTTCTAACTACCAAAGTATCGTTGATACTTAAAGAAAAGCTTAAAACATCAAATATACAAAGGTAAAAATTAATAAAATTGCACTGCGTGTAGGTGTAAACAACAGCCTTCGCAGTGTTAGCATACTGTTCACACAATAGGAAAATCATTTCTCTTTAAAGTTGTCGGACTTACGTTTTGTGGGTAATCTGTCCGAAAATAATGTATTGAATTGCAAACTGGACGCTGACGATGAAAGGCTAAGGGTAACGGTCGATTCTCGTCGGTTGTTTGAAGGAAAAGTAACCAAAGGTAGGGAGGCGTACGAGCCCCTGGGAGATTTATGATTTGTCGCAGGAATCATGTCTACTTCATCATAATCCTGGTTCAAAACGGGCAATATGTCAACTTCATGTAAATTTGCGTTTCAAAATGCAATAGAAAAATTTATCACCTCTTCAAAGTCAAATATTCGACATATTTGCTCAGCTCTTTTCTCAACTGCAGATTGATGCTTGATTGGGTGAGACAGTTCATCAACAACATCTAAGCAACAAAGATGTAGGTTGTGTACATATAAACACTTCGAAGTCCCCCAGCTTTATTTATACGATCATAAAGCGCATGGCTGACTTCACTGTACACACTAGAAAACTTTTACAAAGAAAGAATTTATACCTGAGAATCCTTCAAAGACGTAAACATTGTGAGAGACGTAACAAAAGAGCGAAGATAAAGGTAAAGGTCTGCATCCTTCAGTCCATAAGGGGATATGTCGATATCCTGGATAAAACAGATAATTTAAACAAGGATGGATCTATGTTGATTTTTTTGGTTGGGTGAAGGCTGCTCTAGTTAAGATTAGATTTTAGTGGTTATATATATTGCTGTAGCATGTCAAACTTTTTCTGTTAAACTATTCACTTTTACTATGATGATGAAGAGACGATGACGGAAGCGCTGACGCCGCTGACTTAAAAATTTCGAGGCTTCGACTTGTCAACATGAAGTAGCTGTACCTGCTTGAATTGAGCTAACGGGAATCACTCGCTGTCCAAGCACACGATCGCTGTCGTCAAGTACAGTAAATCGAAGTAAAGCAAGCTCTGGGAGAACAATCTTAAAGAAAGCAAATGGAAATTTTAAATACTTTACAAGGATAAAATAACAAGAAAGTACACAATTCTATTGGATATAAGACTTATGATCTGACAATGATCTTATCGATAACATATTTCTTATTGTTATAATCATGGCATGTGAATCATAATCGTCCAACAATTTCACCACTACATGTTCGCATATAGCAAAAGAATAAAATTACCAACCCGTTTAAAAAGAAATTCCTCGCCATCATATATAGGATTCATTCCGTTACTATTGACAATTTTTGTTTTAAATCTTTTGCGAACGGTATCAGTAGGTAGACCGTACAAATCAACTTCTACGTAAGTCCCAACTCGTTTATCTGACAAAAACTGTCCCGATATTACCTTCACAAAGAAACATAATACACCCCATTTTAAAATTCATGCTTGGATCAATTAAACCAAAGCAAATGGACAGTTGCTACCTCACACTCTAAAAAAACGTTAAAAACTAAACTAAAGAAAACATACCTACTACAAAAAAGCAGTGCAAAAGTTCATATAACTTTTTTGCCCTTTTTAATAAATTCGTTCATGTTAAACGTTCTCGTTTGAAAGTCAAAATTTATCGTTTGTTTCTTTATTAGAGTTTTCACAGAGGTTGTCAACGCATTTCTGAATCTATTACGATATCTTAAAAATCTACGATACCTTAATGCCGATGCAAGTTGCGACCACTCCATCAACTGGCAATTCCGTGAACGGATCAAAACTTTTATCATTTTTCCTCATTACTGACGGTTTCAATAAGTATCTAATGTTGAGCATTAGGAAGACAAACATAAGAACTAAAAATATGACATGAACTCAGTTCTTCATTCCAAAAGCAATAACTGAACAAAACATGGATGGATTTATAATGGTTTTTGTGCCGTGTTCTAGTTTGATTTAGATTTCGGTGGCTACTTGTTGCCTTATCATGTCAGACTTTTTTTAATAAAATTGTGTAACCTTTACATGATTGGGAGACTTTTGAAAGTGTAATCACAATTTCTCTTGCTTAATAGATTGGTACATTAGTATTTCGTAGAGAAAATGGCACCTATCCTGCACCCCCTACCAAGCCAAGACAAGGACGAGTGCAAACCCCTGACCTTTATTCATCATTGGAAAAAGACTTGAATTTGAATCAAATCAAGTCGACTTGACTTACCCACATCTTCCGTTGTCTACAAATTTCCCTGCATTCAACTGAAATGCAAGATCTAAACAAAAGAATATTATGAATGAGTTGTTTATAAGTTTGAACAATTGTTGTTAGCCTGTCATATTTGCCTGCACCCAAGATTTCACATAAACACAAAGAAAATCACAAGCTTAACATTTCAATACCAGTAGTTTGTAAATTCAACGACACCATTTGACAACCTGCATTCCAGAAAACCTAAAAAATAAAATATTCATGAAAAAGAAAATGTTGTTCGTATACTACTTCGCATTCGTTTCATCAATTCTTGACTTGCAATTTAGCAATGTCGTGGTCCGATACAAAAGAACATTTTTTTCTGTGCTGTTATTGTTGACACCAGCGGAAGTGAACGTGCAACATTGTTTGTTAAATCTGAAGAAAATGGTTGCAAGTCGAGAATTCATGATAATAAGATAACAACAAGCTAACCTGTGGCATATAGTTGCTTGAATCAACACGGGCTCCTTTAGGGTAAATTCGAGACAATTGTCGACGATTATAACTTTAATGTTGTGGTCAAGGAATCATTACAACGCGTGACATTAGAAAACAGAAACTAAATTCAACTTGGTTTCAAAATGCAGTAATAACATACTTGTCATAAAACGTGAAGCATGATTTATAAAAGTAAAAAGATACTTGACAAATTCAACAGGATTTCCTTTAAGAAGGGTGAATGCTGCTACTTCGTTAAAAGACGACATAAGATAATGAAGCTTTGCTTCTAAAAACGTTGTAAAGTAACAACTATTTAGTCATTAAATGTTTAATGCATTAAACTGTTCTCATGACAATTACATTCAAAAACATCCTCTTGTGGATGCGCAAGAAAAGATCGATAGTTGGGGGCGGGCAGGTTCATATTCTTATATTCATTTGTTGTCATCATCAGTACAAACAACTTAATGACTGTTGTCATTGATTTCAATAGATATTAATAAAGTAAAATGTCTATAAACAAATATTACACCCTCGATCATGGACTTTCAACGGTGCCAGTAATAAAGTCTAAACAGGTTTGCTACCTTCTTTCTGTAATCTGTTCAATTTCAAACAGGTTTGTCCCCTCCTTCATGCATTCTGTCTATTCAAGTTCAAACAGGTTTGTCCCTTGCTTTATGTAATCTGCCTATTCAACTTCAAACATATTTTCCTTGATCATGTAGAGACACCTCCTTTATACTTCCCCAAAAGTTCAAATAAATACAAATCAAAGAAACATGGTACATTTCAGTATTCCGCAACAAAAAAAAATGATCACCTTCAGATTTCTCAAATCCAGGAAATGGTATTGGTTGTAAGTAGTTTACCAAAGACGAGAGGCTAGGATGTATATTACCAAATGACGTGGAATAATGATAGTTGTTCAAATATTCTACTACTTCATCCTGACTGATACTACTTTGAGAATTCTAGAAAGAGTTCATTCGTGAAGCATATTAAGTATGATGTTGATCATAGCGATGAAAATTACCCAATTCAATAATAAATGGTCAGCACGAACAATAAAAAAAATCATTGATGAGCTACATACAAAATAATTAACTCTTATTATATTTAAGACGCGTTATAAAATCAAAAAACAGACATACGAGACCCACGAGGTTTAGTTAAAGTATGAAATCAACTTAACCTCACTTATCGTTTGATAAGGTTTGGACCTTTTGACAGAAAAATTTTATTTATTACCTGTCTTTGTTGAACAAGTTTTATTGAACTACCAAAAGACGCAAAACTTTCACTTCGTCTAAAATCATGTTCATCGTCAGATGTTGTGGAGTCAGAGCTAGCTACCGAGTTGTTCCTTCCTTGAAGGAATTCCATTTCTGGAGTAAAGCTAGTCTTTTTCCCTGATTTACTCAATGTTGGATACAACACTTCATTGTTTTCGAAATAAATATTTGACACACGTATACAATCCTGGTCGTTTTTATCATCACTCGAATCCGTGTCGCTATCCCCTGGAATGATTTCGTCAAAAGAATCAGAACTGGTTACGTTTGTTGTCCCATTCATATTGATGTCCTCCTCTTCGATACACTCGTTCAGTGAGCTGTCATATTTTTCAAAAGATCGCTTTCCCTTCTTCCTGAAATTTTCTCTTCGTGTGTCAGATCTAATCTGGTTTTCGGAGGTGATAGAAGACCGAAATGTTCTTTCGTTATTTAAAATATTAACCAAACCAGCGTCTTCCTCATTTTGTTCCCTAGATGCAGCTTCTTCGCCATCAAAATCTTCGGTAAGTCTCGACATCCGATGACGGAGATTCCTGATGTCATCACCACGAACATCACTTGATTTGCGACTGTCTAGAAACGTACAAAGACTCTTGTCCAATAAAAAATACCTAAAAATCTCTGAGTAGTAACAAATTAAAATCAACGGAATTTCAAGGTTTTCGACACGTGCAATAAACATCACAATTTACCATCAGATATATAGAAAATTACTGAACACTGTATACTAGCTGTATATAAATTCGTCATCAAAAGAATGACAACTCTCAACTCTCGGATTCCATGTTAGGAACTTCCTTGACAATATCATAGATCCATCAAGCGAAATTGATTGTTTTGAATTAGAAACGTTCGGCACGGGTCATGAGATCATAAGAATAAATCCTGATGACCAATATTATTAGATCTAATTTTTTAACTATACACCAATCATTGAAGGTAAAGGTGTCAAGAAGAAATTCTTACCTGAAGAGACAAGACTGTCGCTGTCATAATTTGATTCTTGACCAGGTCTTATTTTCTTGTTCTTTATTAAAATTTTTCTTTTGAGTTGATTAGGCGACGGTAACTTTTGATTTTCTTCCAGCTAAACAGTAAAATTACAATAACTTAACTCGTAGTCATTTATGCAACAACCTATAATCAATACAGCAATCCATCTGATGGCTTTCATTTTGCCTTCAATTTTCAATTTGATTATTTTTTTTATAGCATTTAATATTTAAGAGATTTAACCTATATCAAATGACATGTTTAAAAGGTGAAAAATTTAGGATTCGGGTTGTGTACTTTAAGTAAAGAATGCAATCATTAATGAAGAAGTTTTAAACGTCAACCAAGTATCACTGGTCTTAATGTACAACAAAAACTGGAACAATATTTACTGGATGAGATTCCAAAGGCCAAGATAACAGAAGATCACCAAACGTTTCAGTGCAATAACAAGCCATCTTGTATTGTTGGTATTTACTTTGAAAAGAAAAAGAAACAATAATTTTAATATAAAGACGGTAAATTGAGTTTTCGGCCTTATTTCAAACGGCCGAAGAAATCGTTCTCTCGGAAAAAACTACAGTTATTCAGGATAGTTATAATCATAATATTCAGGGGATTTTGATTTTGTGTTCTCATGGACTGACCAAAAATTTCCCCTGAGGTGACAAAAAAACCCTTTCCAATAAATTTTCGCATATGCCTACGAACTTCGTCTCCCCCCTCCTTCCAAAGGAAAAATAATATCTTACCTACAATGATTTTCAAATGACAACAACACAGGATAATCCGATGTTACAAACGCAGTTTCTTTGATCGCATTGATAACATCCTTAAAGAAAGAAAGCGAATATCAGTCTTTCCTTTGGTTCACGTGTGTTTCTTCCATTTTAAAACCTTGTAACAGAAAAAAGACTCCAAACGATGTACCTTAAATAGTATGTTAGTACACATAGCTTTACCATGGGTGATAATAGGTTCATCGCCAGGTCCATCCCAGCAATCTAACTCGATGCACCTGGATAAAAGTAAAATTTCATTTCACAGGTCAGCACAGTAAAATTGAAAAAGTCGAGTCTAATATTGACGCAGGTCTATCATCACGTACATATGAGAGAGAGCAATGTTGTTTTGAAAGAGCAATTTGAAATTAAAAATATACTAAAATAAAAATACTGTTGGTAAAGTTTGAAAGAATAGTTCCCGATCAAAATACAACTTGTGTAATTGTTTTTATAATAAACTCAATGAACTACACTTGGTACACCACTGATATAAATGACGGATATAGCTACGTATGAAAAAAAATGAAGAATGCACGCCAAAAGAACACACGACTCTAAAATGGTTGTGAGCAAAAATAAACACAAATCTGAGAAGTTTAAAAAGGAGTTTTTCTTACCGAGAACCAGCAAGTAAACATTGACGATAAAGAAGTTTTTCTTACCGAGAACCAGCAAGTAAACATTGACGATAAAGAAGTTTTTCTTACCGAGAACCAGCAAGTAAACATTGACGATAAAGAAGTTTTTCTTACCGAGAACCAGTAAGTAAACATTGACGATACATGTCTACAGATGATTTTCCACCAATTTGCCTTCCTAAAGAATGCAAATTAGGATGAAAAGGATTAAAAACAATTCCTGTTTCATTTTTATTGATTAATCATCAAAAAATTAATGATTATAGGTCGTTATACCTGTGAGATAAGTGTTGTGTGATGAATGAACAAAGTAATGACAGATTGGTTGGTTCATATCTTGATGGACATCAAACATTTCTGATGTAACACATAAATTGTCATCAGACATTAAAAATCGATAAAGACCATCTGCACTCATTCTTCCTAGAAAATAAAAATAACATGAATATTTAAGTCCATACTTCCTGCACAGACATTAAAATATGAAAAAGGCCTTCGTAACCGAACGCAAGGTCATAATCAAGAAATTACAAACCAAGGTCTTTCTGTACAAACCAAGGTCTTTCTGTACAAACCAAGGTCTTTCTGTACAAACCAAGGTCTTTCTGTACAAACCAAGGTCTTTCTGTACAAACCAAGGTTTGTAGTATATTGCGTCAAATTACGTTAACCTTATAACAAAATTCCTGACGAAATTTTTGAAGGGCATTACATTATTTCTAAAATACAAGTAAAGGTATCCACTAATCTTAACAGGTATCCACTTTAAAACCTTTAAAATATGTGTTTTGTTATCGTTTTCTCCAACTACATCAATTATAAGAGCAGCAAAATTTTGAAAGGGTTAAAACTTAATGTCTGAAGTATATTTGATCAAACTAAAGAACAATAGCATAAATTAAAGTTAAACGTGAGTAAATGGTTTTTTTTGAGTTCGTTTAAAAAAAAATAGGTACGCAGAGTGTACACGTGTACCACAAAAAACCTTTCAGCGGGAAATGTAAATGGTACCTTTATTAACCATTTCTTTACATTTTTCGTAATGACAAATCAGATTGTAAGCTTTCTCAATTGTACAGGGTGGATGTAAGATTTCGTTAGCACTTGGATCTCGTTGCTCTGTATTAATAAATTCTTTTAACCTTGCCACAGTAACATATGGCGCTTTTCCAGCCTGCCTACGTGATAAACATAGAAAGTAAATATCAAGCATGACGGACTTGAACATTGAATGCGTCTTCCATTAAAATTGGCCAGAATCTGATTAGCTCAAAATATAAAATTTGGAACAAAAGCTAAATAAACAATTTGTTTTTGAATGTTATGGTTATAAAACATGTTTAAATGTTATTCACTTCCACTCTCAACATCACTAAGATATTTATTTCCTTTGCTATGTTTTAAAAAGCTTTTTCTGAATAACATAAACCACTAATATGAGCGACTGGGCGTGCACTTACCATTTTGTAAAAATTTGATCAAAATCATGACGAGGCAAACTTTTAAGTACAACTGATAAAACGTGTCGAACGTAAAATGATCTTGGTCGATTTCTTGACTCTGAAAAATGTTTAAGATAGCATAACGCAAGATGAAAAAACAATAGTATATAGTATAGATGCTTTAATACAAGCCCCAACATACAGTATACCTTTTTATGTGGAGATCCATTGCCTATAAACCATCCAGATACGTTTCTCATAAATTCTACCGCAGTTGAAGCACTTGCAAATACTACATTTGTAGAAGTATAATGAATATATACTACAAATAACTACACAATAGACATAAAAATAACTATAAATAACTACACAATAACTACACAATAATATACTACGAATATATACTACAAATAACTACACAATGGACATAAAAACCAAAACCACTTAAATTGTGACTCCACTGTTTTAATAAATAGCCTTAAAACTAAACTAAATGGAAACACACCTATTATCGCAAGAATTGGTATTAATCATAGAAGAAATGGGAAAAGATTTACATGTACCTCTTCACAGGTATCTTGCCATTGACTTTCAGTAACGTCACTTTGGTGTACCTTTATAAATAAAACATAAAACATGTCGCGATCGTTGATTAATCTATATTAATCTGAGTAAAGAAGAACATTGAAATGAAACTTACAGTTTTAAGAGCATAGTCATTATACTTAAATTGGTAGCTTTAACAGAATTGCTCAACTGTTGTAATCCTTCGATCCATTCCTTAAATAAATTTATCTTATCAAATCCGTAAATATTTGAACAATCTCGAAATGAGCTTCTTAGCTGAGGTTTGAGCGAACATGATCTAGTGGAGTGATCTGACGATAAAGTTTTCACATGCTTGAAGCTAGTAGTATCTCCATATGTACAGCTACTTCTTATTGAAATTATATTACATTAAAATCTCGAGCGACATTATGTTGAAGTGCTCGTATAATACAGCCTGGTGTCTCTATCTCGAGTGAGATCTTAGTGAATATTATGTTATTAACACCTTGTGTCTTTGATCTATATTCAATCTAACGACTGCAAATGACAAATACCAGGAGAAAGGACTTAACGACTTCAACTTATATTGAACAACGCTTTTAAAGTAACGATATTAAATACTTTGGTCTAATATATTACTACGGGGTAATAAGATGTTCAAACACCCTAGTAAGGATTGAAAGCACTATCTTCTTTCTACAATGATGCATGTTGTTGATTCATCAAAACTTACATACCCTGGCGACTCTTGATGAGCTTGAACAAGATAAATACACGTTGTTTCAACGAGATTTTGCGTCGTAACAATCGTAAAGACTCTGTCCTTAATAGGCTCTGGTCCTACACTCCAAACTGCTCTTGGATTTCCATCCTGCACGTAAAAAATTTAATAAAATATCAAATGAGGCTAAAACCGAGAGGGAAAATACTTTCTTCTCAACATGACGACATCAAAAAATCAAAAAGGGAACTCAAGCTTTAGCTAAAACGTCTTCCATCAATTGATTTTTTTGGGAAGCTTTACTCTCGTGGGATTAAATTTGCTAATTTTTAGGTTATAAAACGACCGTTAGCAGAAAAAACAAGCTGAATTTGATTGGGTTTTTAAATGATTTTATATAGCGAGTGTTAAAAATTGAGTGACAAAATGCACTCTGAATTTTAGATTTATTTCACATTTTAACTTACAACATTGAAAGATCTTTCGTAATCCACAAAGCGCTTGACACCCTGATTAATTAAAATTTATTGAAGCAAACGTTAATAATATCATTTGAAAAGATGTAACATATCTTTTTTAATGTTCATATGAATTTTACTTCTTTATACAAGTGGTGAAATAACTTTAAAGAATATACACAAAACACTTGAGAATGAATGACCCTGGGGACAATATGTCATAAGAAAGTAGCACATATTTCCATGTGTAGAAGATGGATGATTTCAAGAAAAGCACATAAAAATTGGTTGTTATCATCATCTTCCAACAACAAAAAGAATTTATCTGTGTTTTATGACTCAAGATCTATTCCACGTATAACACTTTAAGACTTTTTATTGATAATTTTAACAATTCATTTAACAATTGATTTACTTTATTGAGTTTTTATTCGACGTTAAGAAGCAGCGCATTAAGATGAAATATTTTACCCATTGAATCAATACATATTTAAAATTTAACAAATAAATTCATTATATCGGAGCTGCATCATATAAATTACATCGACGATGATTTTATTGCTAGAACTGTTCCTGCAAGCGAGGCTTCTCAAAAGTAAAGCAAATTTAATAATCTTCAAAGCAAATGCTTGGCAATGAAATAAAATAATGCAAGACATTAGTCATGTTTCTATTTCTGTAATGAAGAGCATTGATAAAATACAGATATTTGTAATGTATTCACATGACACAAGTACTTGGGACTTAGACATTGGGAATAGCAACAACCCTGATTTTGGAAGTTCGTACTCCGCTTTGGGTTTCAGTCCTGAAGGAAAATAAAGAATTTAGGGTTTCAAAAAGGCTTTCTGGACGTTTTGGTGATAACACTTCGTGGATTTCTAACAGAACTAAACGTCTTTGAAACATGGATTTTTTAAAATGATCGGAGGTTCACTCCCAACGCTACCAGAATATGTTTCAACGATATTTAGATTACATTTTGCAAATCATACTTCCTATATATGTATAATTGTGTTTTGATCATCGTCATTTTTCATGTCATTTCTTTAAATAGAACAAGAATTTTTTATGGATTACATTAAAAAGCTATCAAAAGATAGAGATAATACAAAATGAAGCGTACTCCGATGTTTATGTTTAACTCAATATTTGAGAAGGAAGGAACAATTTTGTTTGAACAGTTATATTTCGAATTTGCAACAAATTCATCATTTGAAACAAATTCGAAATATAACTGTTTAAATAAAAATTGTCTTGTTTCTCTCTCAAATATTGACTTTTTATTCGAACTTTTTATTCGGAGTACGCTTTGTACTAGACAGAGATAAGAGCAAGAAATTGATGATAATTTCCTGTTACGCAATGGGAAAAATATTTTTTCGGTCTCAGAACACCCCTTATCTGTCAACCTTGTTAGAGGTTCGTCTTCAAAATAATATTCCTGGTGTATATAACTATCGGTTGGACACCAGTTTGTCAAATTTCTTCCAAATGAAATTTGAAGGTAGATACAAAATATATGAGCGCTTTAGTGCCATGATTCGTAATATATCAAAACCAAAAGTAATGCTCATTTTTGGTACTTTTCAGTTTCACTTTAGAGATTGATAATCAATAGTCGTGCAAAATGTGATGGCAAACATGCTTGTAATCACAAGATAAAAAACATCATATATGATCTACGTTAGGTCACAAGTACTGCAATGTACTACCGTTGCCAATAACAAATTACGAGAACTTCAGTTACAAAAAGACATTTCAAGTATGCGATTTAATTATCGCAAGCTATTTTGTGTAATTGGTTTTAAGTCGTGAAAAACAAACAAACCAGATGTTCAGTTTCATAGACAGTAAGCTGTCACAGAAAAGCAAAACTGCTTTTCTTGGTGTACGCGATGCTTTTGATTCAAACAAAATCAAAACATGATAAAACTATAAATGTACATCAGTGACTTGCTGACAAAATTTCCTTCCATACGTAGCCAAATTCAAGTCTTTTATTGTTTTGGAAAATCAAAATGATCAACGATGTATGACGAAGGTTGAGCCAAACAACAAATATTACATTTTGCATTCTTTCAAAACAATATCTATGTTGATATAATTTGGGGCAATCCAAACAAATATGACAACCTAATGACCTTATCAAAATTTTTCGTCACGAAATCACATTAGCAAGTTCTTTCGTACCTAATTTTGTATAATTACATGTGACTTCAATTCAACAATGAATGTTTTTAATATGCATGATCAAGTTTCGTGTTTACAAGCCTCTGGTTACGATCAAAAAATTTAAGACAATAATTAAAGGCGATAGGGAATGTTTTCCTACAAGACATTCCATAAATATTTTTTCCGTACAAAAATAATAACACTCATCCTCACCTTTGGCAAAACACCGCCAAGTTTCACATCCGTAACACTTCCCAAATCTACACAGCACGGTTCCTGTTCATAAAAATCAAAACCGTAAAAATATCATCAAAAAAAAATGCAATTCGTACTATTGTTTCAGCATATTTACATGCTCATACCTTATACACACAAATACAATGGCTGTGTACTGTGTATGTCATACAATAAAAAACAACAAAGAGCAGAGCAACGAACGAGACACTATCATTGAACATATTTGCCCAACACTCATTGTAGATTTGCCCAACACTCATCGTATAGACGATAGGCTGTAAAAGTACGACACCAACAAACCCTTTGAGAACACAAGATGTTTTCATGAACATACCTTTTCTGGCTCACGATAAGATAGGAAAAATCCATATTTATCCACATTAAAGTGACACTCATGTACACCACCAGCTTCCTAAATTAAAAAAAAAAATACATGGCAATTGGGGATAAGGGAAACTTCAGACTTAGAGTGAATTTTAACCAGACTTCATACTTCAAACGTTAAACTGATTAATTTATATTATTCACCAGTCTTTAAAATTTTCAATATAAAAATGAAAATATACGAACACAATAGGAATGTTTGTATTTGAAACAAGCAGGAAGATAGTGCTGTTCAGATACCGTAGTATTCTATCTCATTTACTACCTCATCCCATTTATGTAAAATTGTTCCAGCTTGAAGTAGATTTGGTACAGAAACATTCCATATTTGCAAAGCAAGATCCATGTTGACCTTAACTTTTGTCTTCGAGAACTTCAAATTTCCAAATATGTCAACAAGCACAGATCTCTTTCACTGAACACAAGTTTACCTCCAATTAACTCGTTCACAGTGACCTTTAACTAACACGGACGGTATTTTCGCTTTACCGACGTTTGAAGACGACATGAATGAAATATCATTTGTGATACAAAATTCTAATCTTCCTGCACACATAACATTTTAAAAGTTTATCCTCTCGAAATCTAGTCTACCGGAAGAAAGGTGGCTGCGCTTGCTTTATTGCCGTCGACGTTTGTGATTGGCGCACGAATAAAGACTTTCTTACTTCCACTGTTTAATATCCATGAGAGCATATTTATAAAATAGTTCAAATTCTCCTTCCTATAGATGAGAGAAGCATAAAGGTTGTTTTTGTTTTCCTTGCACGCGAACATTTTGAGGTAAATATTCTTTACGTCAGTTTCACGCCCTTTCAGCTCATTAAAGCAAGGATAAGTTTAGCATACATATTTTTATAATTTTCCAGGTCTGGAATAAAACTATTAAATATGACTTTGAATGCGTGTAGCCAAGTCTTTGAAGCTAACTTGGTATAGTTTACAAGACATTTATTAAATTTAACCAATTTGTTGCAACTGTCATAATATACCCTAAATGGCAATTTTGTTTATACCTTGAAGTTCAATTAAGCCAGTAACAAATGATGGTGATTTACTTTTTAACAATACTTTTCAGATGTAAAGTATGTCCCAGTCAGTTTTCAGCAAGGTTTAATAGCAAACAAAGAAAAAAATTGCCAGAAGTCATTTGAACACTTCATTAGGAACCAGTTAGTTAGGGTTTAGAAACAGTATCGAGTTTTAAACAGATTTTCAACTAAAAATGCTTTGAATAAACTGGAGAGCATGGAAATTTTAAAACTTTTAAGGAAACAATATTACAATTTGACATGGAATGATTCAAAATATTAAATTGAAAATGTCTATTAAAATCAGTCACAACATAACATCACTCAGGATGGACTTCATCACACAATGACACTCTTTTCAATTTTCATCAAATTTTCCAAGTCTTTTGCATCCACTCTACTTTGACCTGGCTCGCATTTTTCTGCGCTTTCGCTTCAACCTAAATTGCCAAACATGGATTAAGAACACAAGTTTCTGAAATAGAAACTGTTGACAAAAATGTGCCAAAGATGATCTATATAATTGACAAGAATCATAAAGACGTCACATCACGAAGTTGAATTTACAATGCATTATGCTGTAAGATTTGATCAGTTTCTTTAATAACACACATATACTACATCTAAATCAAAAATATTACAGTAATAACACACATTTAGATCTCACATATTTCATCTAAATAAAAATATCACATACATCTAAACTCATAACCATCATCAGAGAATATATAATATATTAATCCTCACAGGATTTAGGATTAATATACTTAACTCATAATGTAATGGCCACATTGACTAAGCAGTCAACAATGAGAACACAAACAAATTTGTTGTCAGGCAATACAATACTTATGCCAATCAACCATTATTGGCTTTACGAAAAACCATAGAGTAGTAAAATTAGAGATCTTGAAGTGAAATAATTAAATAACTATTGCAAGCAATGCATAACGTCAGTAAATAAATATTGCATACATTGAAATGGTAGAAATTTCCAGTTGCCTCATGCTAACTGCTGTAATACTTAACATTTAGTTTAATGTGGCAAGAAACTATCCCTTTTCACAATTACTTGTTTGGCAAATTTTCATAGACATGCTATAGAGTCTTGAAAGTAGCTTTCAATAAAAAGAAGCCTACTTTTAACGCTTGCTAAAGAATTGCAAAACTACCCCCCCTCTAAAGTAACCACCTCTTTGTAGAACTTTTGAGAGCTTTAAATATTTACACACTTTCATCAAAATTAAATGTCGATGTACATTTGTGTCAACAACCACAACTTTACCTAACTTTATACACATTAAAAAATTCCTTTATACAGTATGATTTAAGAGGTAACCATTGGATTTAACTGAAAATAACAACTTGAAATTAACCACCCCCCCCCAAGTAGCTGCCCCTTTAGGTCACCCAATTCATGTAATAGCCTGGATGAAAAATATATATGAATACATTATCATTGCACTAAATGAAATAACTAAATTTTGTTGAGTTTATTCCCAAAACGGTGGACTTAAAACCACATGTGCTTGAATATACTTTAGTGAGAAAATTGAAGTGATACATATAAAGGTATTAAGTGCATCTTAAACACCGGCCAACTACTTTCGAGACTCTACAGTATTTCCATTGCATGTCGAAGCTGAAATATTTTCAACAAACTTCAAGAATCACTTATGAATACTTTGCACGATTCGTAAACTCTGTAAACGTGATTCAAAATTGAAGCATGTAAAGATCAATGAACAATGTTTTATGGGGGATTGCATGAGCCTGGTTGTAGTAACTGAGTTACACAAAACCCAGCAAAATAGACTTCTCACTGTATAGCTGGTTAGGCAATCCATGGAAAATGAGTAAGATGGCTGTTAAATTAGAGTTGACGGTAAGAGTTTGGGTAATTTTCTTCAAAAGCAAAAAAAAAACACGAACAAATAAATGCAATTGTGGAGCTCCTTCTCGGTTAACTCACGCACTCAATTCTTCATACCTTCGCATACGTTTCTTCTTCCACTAGATAACGTGAGAAAGAGACATTTTGATATCTGTTTGTATGTACGTACGATAAAAATATTGATCAAATATAAGGTGTTTGTGAACACTTTAATGCTAACCTTATCTCGCATTTTTTACTAAAATATTCTTCAGTTTTCAATCTTTACAACTAAAAATAAAACAATCAAGGATGGCATTATATCTAGTCAGATTTTTTGAGATACATAGCACAATTTTACTTACATCTCAAAGTTGGAATGGAAGACATGAGAGAGGACATCCCACATGTCTTTGCGTGCTTTGGCATGAGCAACCGGGTAGTCTACGACCGGGACAAATAACTATCGGAGAAACAGCCCCAGGATTTACAATGGGATCGCATTTATGAAATTAGTTTGTTCAATTCCCAATAGAGACACCTGGTTGGTAATCCTCTTCATTTGAAGCGTGTTTCTCACTGTTTACTTAAGTTTGAGAAGAAAATCAAGAAATCACAGACACAAAGTTTCCCACCTGTTTCCAGTGGCGTAGTAAAATTGTTAATTGGGGTATTCATATATTCATGTTCTGCCGCATTACGTTTCTATGAAATCCATTGTTTTCAACAGATTTGTGCCCTCACAATTAACGAGTTTCCTAGGCCACTGCCTGTTTCAAGCAACTGAAAATCAAAAAACAGCCCATTTTAATAACATACACATTTCAAATAGTAAAAAAACATAAATAATCACAATTAATGATTAATTCCATCAAAATCATTTCGTCCAAACCGCGATCTCTTTTATCAGCAACCATGTTGGCTTACCACGTTCATCCAAATTCAGTTTTGTTATCGTCATTTTGATACATTTCACTGAATACTCTACATTTTTCAACCAGCCAGAATCCACAATTCCATTCGCGATGGATCTTGGTAACAAAATGGATTCTTCAGCTAAGCAGCCATCCGTCACCGCTGAGTGAGCAGTTTCTAGCTTTGCATCTGCTAAAATGTCGATCGGGGCAAACGAGGCTCCGCTATCGAAGATCACTCGAGCCAGGCGCACTTTTTTCACAAAGTCCAGTAAGATGAAATCATTAAGATTGACATTACTACCCCAAAAATATCCGACGTTCAATTTCCTATATGGTCGATCTATCGTATTTTGTTCAACGGTTCGAATACTTGTAGAGAGGAACGCACTAGGATTTTCTGCATTAGTATATCGTCTTATGATTGGCCTTGATTTCATCATTTTTCTGATATCATCGTCGACCTTACGAGTTTGGCCTTTTAGAGAAGACTGTTTTCCAAGATGTATGAAACAAGGGGGACTATACACATCACGGGGACTATTTCCAAACAAATGAATGTCGTTAAAATGTCGGAAAAGAAGATCAACAGGAAAGACCCAATAATACATTTTTACAAATAGCGCCAGTCGATCCAGGTCAACTGTTCTAAAAAGCATGCCGATAAAGCCACCCGGACCAAACTGTAAAGTTGACCAGCGCGTAGAACCGCGAGCAACAATGAAATTTTTCATTTCCCTGAAATAAGATGGAGATATGGAAACATCATCTTCTAATTGGAGGTAGTACTTTCCTAGATTTCGACAATAAAGAAACAAAAGGGCATAATCGATGCATTGCTTTGAACGCCAAAACACCCGATCTGGTTTATCTTTCCATAGCAAAGGCAGATCCTTTAATGTTGGATAAAACGACTTGTCTGGTTTGATGACTTGTATTAAACCCAATTCAACTTCATTCGCGAACTGTTGATTTATAAACTCGGCCGTTCTTTCGTTGCCATCGCCATCGAAGTTTGCAGTAAACACTACGATATGACATCGCTTCCTTTCGTCCGTATTTAGAAAATTTACTAATTGACGCAAAGTTGAAGTAAGATATTCCTCTGATTGTCTCTTTACCGTCGGAATGCCAATAACAATGTCAACTAAGGGCAAAAAAGAGTCAATGTTTAGTCAAAACACCCATGTATTCAATAGTCATAACGTCCATGTATTCAATAGTCATAACGTCCATGTATTCAATAGTCATAACGTCCATGTATTCAATAGTCATAACGTCCATGTATTCAATAGTCATAACGTCCATGTATTCAATAGTCATAACATCCATGTATTCTATAGTCATAACGTTCATGTATTCTATAGTCATAACGTTCATGTATTCAATAGTCATAACGTTCATGTATTCTATAGTCATAACGTTCATGTATTCTATAGTCATAACGTTCATGTATTCTATAGTCATAACGTTCATGTATTCTATAGTCATAACGTTCATGTATTCTATAGTCATAACATCCATGTATTCTATAGTCATAACGTTCATGTATTCAATAGTCATAACATCTATGTATTCAATAGTCATAGCGTTCATGTATTCAATAGTCATAACATCCATGTATTCAATACTCATAACATCCATGTATTCAATACTCATAACATCCATGTATTCAATAGTCATAACGTCCATGTATTCAATAGTCATAACGTTCATGTATTCAATAGTCATAACGTCCATGTATTCAATAGTCATAACGTCCATGTATTCAATAGTCATAACGTTCATGTATTCAATAGTCATAACATCCATGTATTCAATAGTCATAACGTTCATGTATTCAATAGTCATAACGTCCATGTATTCAATAGTCATAACGTCCATGTATTCAATAGTCATAACGTTCATGTATTCAATAGTCATAACATCCATGTATTCAATAGTCATAACGTTCATGTATTCAATAGTCATAACGTCCATGTATTCAATAGTCATAACATCCATGTATTCAATAGTCATAACGTTCATGTAATCAATAGTCATAACGTTCATGTATTCAATAGTCATAACATCCATGTATTCAATAGTCATAACGTTCATGTAATCAATAGTCATAACGTTCATGTATTCAATAGTCATAACATCCATGTATTCAATAGTCATAACGTTCATGTATTCAATAGTCATAACGTCCATGTATTCAATAGTCATAACGTTCATGTATTCAATAGTCATAACATCCATGTATTCAATAGTCATAACGTTCATGTATTCAATAGTCATAACGTCCATGTATTCAATAGTCATAACATCCATGTATTCAATAGTCATAACGTTCATGTATTCAATAGTCATAAATTCATGTATTCAATAGTCATAACATCCATGTATTCAATAGTCATAACGTTCATGTAATCAATAGTCATAACGTTCATGTATTCAATAGTCATAACGTCCATGTATTCAATAGTCATAATGTTCATGTAATCAATAGTCATAAAGTTCATGTATTCAATAGTCATAACATCCATGTATTCAATAGTCATAACGTTCATGTAATCAATAGTCATAACGTCCATGTATTCAATAGTCATAACGCTCATGTATTCAATAGTCATAACGTCCATGTATTGACATTTTATGTAATTGCATATTACTTTGACTTACCAGGTTCGGCTGGACTGTGCCCAATCATTTTCATTAGATTGGCATTAAACTTTAATTTGTCTTTAGCATGTTGAAGATTGTTTCTACGTTTTAACGAGTTTGCTTTATCACTTAGCTTAAACAATGTCTTCTCTGTGCGGTTGTTGTTGAAATTATTTTCCTTGAATTCATTTTCTGAGAAAAGATAACATTGTTATTTGAACTATATCATTTAGAAAAAATATTGCCGGACTCAAAATAATAGAGAAAATATGTGCAATCAAGAGGACAGGTCAACTTCATTACAGCTCAATCATCATCAGTTTTTGAGCAGTCACTAATACATGTGACTAGCACCATGTACCATGAAAACACAATTTGTTTTAGTACAGATTCTCATATTTGATACTCTAAGTATCCATACATAATGTTGTATCATCTTACAATGGTCAAAATATATAAATGGTCAAAATGACCAAGTTAATAAATTGGCTGGTCAACAATTAATTTTGATAAGCCATTATTTTGAGCCCGTATTGACTAAGATGCAAGAAAATAATACAGTCACATTACAGCAATGAAGTTAGGTCATTAACTTAGTAAGATTTTAGCAAACATTTTTGTTATAATTGGAAAAATAAAACAAAGTCTAAAAATCAATGATCTGATGATGAAAAATGAACGAACAAGCAAACAAATGAATAAATAAATTGATATCTTTATTTGAACATCAAACATAAAGCTATCAATTGAAGCTTATTTCCTTGGAAAGGCCTGTAGACTGAAGTGTAAATTCACATTGTCATATATTTTCTAGTCTAAATTCTTCAACATGTTTGCAATTAATTATACTCAATCAGTTGTTCAATAAATATTTTTCAACAAATACTTTTTATACTTTTGAATAGTATTCAACACAAAAATGATAATTTTTAGGTATTCTTTCTTTACATTATGTACTTACAACTCTTACCAAATGAGTCTAACTCATTGTGATTCACCACCAATACTTGTTGTTCACCTGTAAATTAAGTTTCCGTTTAATATATTATATACGTTTATATAAGTTTTTAACTTTACAATCAGTTTGATTTTAATACACTGATTTTCGCTAGTTGTCAATCCATCTTATGGTACAATCAAAAATACTATTTTTTTCAACACCAAAATGATTTCATTCAAAAAATCTTACTAGTAAAAGAAAATAGTGAAAACAAGCATATTGGACTCGTAAAAGTAAAAACAAATCGGGCTTGCCATTAAGTTTAATTTTAGTGGTCTTCATGTCAAACCATGAAGCTGAACTCCTAACTAATGAATGGGGATTGACTGCCATTAGTTTTGTTATCAGCAGCATGTCGTTGTATATTCATTTGAATGATGCAAGAAAATAAAGAACTGCCAAATGAAAGAAATATATATGTATAAATAATGTAACCTTCTCCATGACTCATCAAGTTTGAAGAAGGGCAAGGCAAAGTACCGGGATTTAAACTGCCATCTTTGTTATGAAGTGGACCTAAAAATGCATGATGTTTACAAGTAGCAGGACGGATAAATATGTATACCTACATGAGAAATTATTAATCTTCATACATTCATTCGTTTGTTCATTATATTAGTAAAAATAAATTCAACTTCATTTGCATTACTAATAATGAACAGAAACATTGACACGCACGCCAAATTGTCACGACTACTAGGTGTACCAATTCGTTAAAAACTTCGTAACTGAGCAAAACATAAACCTATATAGTCAAACTAAACAAAGTACATAATACTTTCTGGTATTAAATAAAAAGACGTACCTAAATACACAATAATAATCAGTGTATTAAACAAGGAGAACAAAATAGCCACTGTTACCGACGGGCCAATTTTACAGCTTCGACTCAGAAGCATCCAAAATTCTTCAAACGTCCGCCCTTGAATACAAATATAAACACTACCGTGAAATTGGCACCACATTGGGCACCACATTCAACACAACATTCATCACAACATTCATCACCACATTCAACTAAAATTTATCATTCAAAATGATAAATCAAAAAATCGTCTTTAAAACACGTTTTCCATCAAATACAACAGTAAAAAATAATTCTTAACTGTTTATTACTATTTTACAGTCCTTAAACATCAGAAAAATGTATAAAAGTCAAGAAATTGAAGAAAACACTAAGATTTATATTACAGTGTACTTTCCATTTCTCTTAAATAGCCTATAATTTAAAACTACACGGTAGAATTTTTTAAACTTGGCCAGAATATAGATAATTATATTGTCTAAAATATATCCAAAATCTGGAGGTGGCACAAAAATAAATGATAGAAAATCATCGACAAAGTCGGATGACACGAATGCGCGTAATATAATCTTATATATTTAAGTTAAAATTCGGTTCTTTAACAAACAAAGCCTTATAAATAGAAAACTACACGGTAGAAATTTTTAAACTTGGCCATATTGTAGATATTCTTATTGTCTATGACATATCCAAAATCTGGAGGTGGCACAAAAAAATAAATGATAGAAAATCATCGACAAAGTCGGATGACACGAATGCATGTAATATGATCTTATATAATTACGTTTAGAATTCCGGTTCTAAAACAAACAAAGCCTTATAAATAAAAACTACACGGTAGAATTTTTAAAACTTGGCCAGAATATAGATAATTATATTGTCTAAAATATATCCAAAATCTGGAGGTGGCACAAAAATAAATGATAGAAAATCATCGACAAAGTCGGATGACACGAATGCGCGTAATATAATCTTATATAATTAACTTCCTATATCCATGTAATTTTCAAACAAAGGCCTATAAATAAAAACTACACGGTAGAAATTTTTAAACTTGGCCAGAATATAGATAATTATATTGTCTAAAATATATCCAAAATCTGGAGGTGGCACAAAAATAAATGATAGAAAATCATCGACAAAGTCGGATGACACGAATGCGCGTAATATAATCTTATATAATTAACTTCCTATATCCATGTAATTTTTCAAACAAAGGCCTATAAATAAAAACTACACGGTAGAATTTTTAAACTTGGCCAGAATATAGATAATTATATTGTCTAAAATATATCCAAAATCTGGAGGTGGCACAAAAATAAATGATAGAAAATCATCGACAAAGTCGGATGACACGAATGCGCGTAATATAATCTTATATATTTAAGTTAAGAATTCCGGTTCTTTAACAAACAAAGCCTTATAAATAAAAACTACACGGTAGAAATTTTTAAACTTGGCCATATTGTAGATATTCTATTGTCTAAAATATATCCAAAATCTGGAGGTGGCACAAAAAAATAAAAGAAATAATATTCCTTGAGAATGTACTCTGGTATAAACCGTGAAGTTGGCACCACATTCGACAAACAGCTCTATAGCTAAAAAACTACACGGTAGAATTTTTTTAAACTTGGCCAGAATATAGATAATTATATTGTCTAAAATATATCCAAAATCTGGAGGTGGCACAAAAAAATAAATGATAGAAAATCATCGACAAAGTCGGATGACACGAATGCGCGTAATATAATCTTATATATTTAAGTTAAGAATTCCGGTTCTTTAACAAACAAAGCCTTATAAATAAAAACTACACGGTAGAAATTTTTAAACTTGGCCATATTGTAGATATTCTATTGTCTAAAATATATCCAAAATCTGGAGGTGGCACAAGAAAATAAAAGAAATAATATTCATTGAGAATGTACTCTGGTATAAACCGTGAAGTTGGCACCACATTCGACAAACAGCTCTATAGCTAAAAAACTACACGGTAGAATTTTTTTAAACTTGGCCAGAATATAGATAATTATATTGTCTAAAATATATCCAAAATCTGGAGGTGGCACAAAAAAAAATGATAGAAAATCATCGACAAAGTCGGATGACACGAATGCGCGTAATATAATCTTATATAATTAACTTCCTATATCCATGTAATTTTTCAAACAAAGGCCTATAAATAAAAAACTACACGGTAGAAATTTTTTAAACTTGGCCAGAATATAGATAATTATATTATCTAAAATATATCCAAAATCTGGAGGTGGCACAAAAAAATAAGTTGTAGAAAATCATCGACAAAGTCGGATGACACGAATGCGCGTAATATAATCTTATATATTTAACTTCCTATATCCATGTAATTTTAACAAACAAAGGCCTATAAATAAAAACTACACGGTAGAATTTTTTAAACTTGGCCAGAATATAGATAATTATATTGTCTAAAATATATCCAAAATCTGGAGGTGGCACAAAAAATAAATGATAGAAAATCATCGACAAAGTCGGATGACACGAATGCGCGTAATATAATCTTATATATTTAAGTTAAATTCCGGTTCTTTAACAAACAAAGCCTTATAAATAAAAACTACACGGTAGAAATTTTTAAACTTGGCCATATTGTAGATATTCTCATTGTCTAAAATATATCCAAAATCTGGAGGTGGCACAAAAAATAAAAGAAATAATATTCCTTGAGAATGTACTCTGGTATAAACCGTGAAGTTGGCACCACATTCGACAAACAGCTCTATAGCTAAAACTACACGGTAGAATTTTTTAAACTTGGCAGAATATAGATAATTATATTGTCTAAAATATATCCAAAATCTGAGGTGGCACAAAAATAAATGATAGAAAATCATCGACAAAGTCGGATGACACGAATACGCGTAATATAATATTTAATAATTAACTTCCTATTCCAGGTAACTTTGCAAACAAAGGCCTATAAATAAAAACTACACGGTAGAATTTTTAAACTTGGCCATATTGTAGATATTTTATTGTCTATAATATATCCAAAATCTGGAGGTGACAAAAAATAAATGATAGAAAATCATCGACAAAGTCGGATGACACGAATGCCGTAATATAATCTTATATAATTACGTTTAGAATTCCGGTTCTAAAACAAACAAAGCCTTATAAATAAAAAACTACACGGTAGAATTTTTTTAAACTTGGCCAGAATATAGATAATTATATTGTCTAAAATATATCCAAAATCTGGAGGTGGCACAAAAAAATAAATGATAGAAAATCATCGATAAAGTCGGATGACACGAATGCGCGTAATATAATCTTATATATTTAAGTTAAGAATTCCGGTTCTTTAACAAACAAAGCCTTATAAATAAAAAACTACACGGTAGAAATTTTTTAAACTTGGCCATATTGTAGATATTTTTATTGTCTATAACATATCCAAAATCTGGAGAGTGCACAAAAATATAAAGGAATAGTATTCCTTGAGAATAAACCGTGAAGTTGGCACCACATTCGACAAACAGCTCTATAGCTAAAAAACTACACGGTAGAATTTTTTTAAACTCAAGTATATTATAGAATTTTATATTGTCTAAAATATATCCAAAATTTGGAAAGTGCACAAAAATATAAATGATAGAAAAACATCGGCAAAGTTGGATGACTCAAATGCGCGTAATATAATATTGCATAAATAAGTTAAGAATTCCGGTTCTTTAACAAACAAAGACCTATAAATAAAAAACTACACGGTAGAATTTTTTTAAACTTGGCCATATTGTAGATATTCTTATTGTCTATGACATATCCAAAATCTGGAGGTGGCACAAAAAAATAAATGATAGAAAATCATCGACAAAGTCGGATGACACGAATACGCGTAATATAATATTTAATAATTAACTTCCTATGTCCAGGTAACTTTGCAAACAAAGGCCTATAAATAAAAAACTACACGGTAGAATTTTTTTAAACTTGGCCATATTGTAGATATTTTTATTGTCTATAACATATCCAAAATCTGGAGGTGGCACAAAAAAATAAATGATAGAAAATCATCGACAAAGTCGGATGACACGAATGCATGTAATATGATCTTATATAATTACGTTTAGAATTCCGGTTCTAAAACAAACAAAGCCTTATAAATAAAAAACTACACGGTAGAATTTTTTTAAACTTGGCCAGAATATAGATAATTATATTGTCTAAAATATATCCAAAATCTGGAGGTGGCACAAAAAATAAATGATAGAAAATCATCGACAAAGTCGGATGACACGAATGCGCGTAATATAATCTTATATATTTAAGTTAAGAATTCCGGTTCTTTAACAAACAAAGCCTTATAAATAAAAACTACACGGTAGAAATTTTTAAACTTGGCCATATTGTAGATATTCTATTGTCTAAAATATATCCAAAATCTGGAGGTGGCACAAAAAATAAAAGAAATAATATTCCTTGAGAATGTACTCTGGTATAAACCGTGAAGTTGGCACCACATTCGACAAACAGCTCTATAGCTAAAAACTACACGGTAGAATTTTTAAACTTGGCCAGAATATAGATAATTATATTGTCTAAAATATATCAAAATCTGGAGGTGGCACAAAAATAAATGATAGAAAATCATCGACAAAGTCGGATGACACGAATACGCGTAATATAATATTTAATAATTAACTTCCTATTCCAGGTAACTTTGCAAACAAAGGCCTATAAATAAAAACTACACGGTAGAATTTTTAAACTTGGCCATATTGTAGATATTTTTATTGTCTATAACATATCCAAAATCTGGAGGTGGCACAAAAAAATAAATGATAGAAAATCATCGACAAAGTCGGATGACACGAATGCATGTAATATGATCTTATATAATTACGTTTAGAATTCCGGTTCTAAAACAAACAAAGCCTTATAAATAAAAAACTACACGGTAGAATTTTTAAACTTGGCCAGAATATAGATAATTATATTGTCTAAAATATATCCAAAATCTGGAGGTGGCACAAAAAAATAAATGATAGAAAATCATCGATAAAGTCGGATGACACGAATGCGCGTAATATAATCTTATATATTTAAGTTAAGAATTCGGTTCTTTAACAAACAAAGCCTTATAAATAAAAACTACACGG